GGTGACTCCTTCCTGATGGGTTCAAATATCCCAATGACTGGCTCTCCTGCGATATAGGATATAACTAGATCGTCGTCATCGAGCTGATCCATAGGGGATTCTGATGGTAGTTCATCTAGTTCGGTATCATTCCGCACTGCGGGTAACTCGCCACGCTCAGTGTTATCGGTCATGATTTCTCTGATAGATTCCGAATGCCCAAACGAGGTAGGGGAAGTTTCGGTGGTGATTAGCTCTGGGAGTCCATCTTCCTTGAAAATCGAAACTTCTTTATCTGGTGCATCTTCGACGGTGGGTTTCGGTGGCCATTTGGCCTCTTTACCAAACCAAAAGTCACCGGTTTCCCAGTTGATCATCGGATTGAGGCGTTTAAGCCACGGCATGCCGAGAAGTATGTTTTCTTTGCCAATGCCGGTCAAGAGGAAGCGAGTAAGCGTCTTCCTTCCTCCGATTTTCATCATCTTCCAGGTGCAATGAGTAATGGTACCCATTTGATTTGGTGTGCCATCTGCATTCATGACTGTAATCGGTTTCGGTAATTCCCATCTGATGAAATCGTTTTCTTCCGCAAAACGAATATTCATGAACGTTTCGGCTGCACCGGAATCGATCAAGGCTTCTGTTGTAACGTCTTCCTTCTCTCCCAACGAGATATTCACAGTGATTGAATTTCCGCTAGTGTTACAAATAACGAGGGGAGATACGGTAAGATGCGACGGTCCATGCATTACTAGTGGCCGTCGTCTCAAAAACCCAATTGGGTTCGTTCTTCGTCAGTCATGTCGTTGAAGACGTTTCGCACATAGGCGATCTGTTCCTCTCTGGTTTCTTCCTTCGACGTCTCCTTCTTCTGTGCGAGGTCTTCTCGCATCTTCTTGATCCATGTGATCGTGTCTGTGTCTAACCCGGGCTGTATCGTTCTAGCACGGGTGAAACTTCCAGACTGGGGGTGAAATTGTCTGTCGTTGGCTATATGGCCCTTCTTTCCGCATAGGAAACATAATCCTTCTTTCATTCTCTTCTGTCGCTCGTCTGGGAATAAGCGCGAGATATTGACACGATCAACATCCATCGCGTTTGGATCCTTTGCAGAAGCCGAGTAGTAGGGACGATGGACAGATCGGCCCTTTCCTCGCGTCGTTGTAGTGGCTCCTCGCTTGAAGATCTGAGCAGATCTCCATTGGTTATCAAACCGCGAGGCGTATTCGTACCACTTGTCAAGCGTCTTGGGCATGCTTTCCATCCCATATATCCTTTGTCGGAGTGGGTCGTTAAGTCCCCACTTGAAATACTCGATATTTCCGGCATCTTCTAGTTTCGCCTTGGATTCAAGCGATCGGAATTCAGCAATGTAGTCGTCCGCAGTACGAGTTCCTTGCTTGATGTTACGCAGCAAGGTACGAGCAGTTTCTTCAATATTTTCATCGCCAAATGCTTTGTTCACACTTGCAATGAAGTCTCTCCAACTCCCATAAGAAAGGAAGTCATCATTGGTGAGTTCCGTTTCTATGAAGCTCTGTGCCCATGATCCTGCTGTTCCTCCTTGCATGTGCGATAGCACGAATGCGATCTTCTGATTGTCCTCCTGGTAGACATGGCTATTTCCGGCCATGTAGTTCTTGCATTGGTTTATAAATTCCCTAAGCTTCGAACGGTCTGAACCGTTGAAGATCTCGGGTTTTCTAAAACCAAGTTCCTTCTGGCTAACATGGTGACGTCCTTCATCCATGGTAACTGTAGCCATCGGTGGTATGTAATCGGGTACGATTGGTGCAGGAGTCGGTTGGGGTACAGGATTCTGGGCAGGGGGGTTACAAGGGGCGTCTGGTCTTTCTCCTGGATAGGAGGTCGTTATACCGCTGTCTGCGATGTGCTGGAGCACTATTCCACCAAGATTATGGGGAAGTGTCCTTTCAAATTCCTCTGGGGAGTAGTCGAAGTTGTGATTGTCTGGCCTGATGAATACAGGCCTTCCTCCTATGAAATGTGCGTTTCGTTCTGTGCTCCACTCCGCTTGGGATGGGAGGTGCTCGCGGTACTGCTTCGGAAGAGCGGTCGGGTTGATGTAGTTAAAATCCAGCGTGGATAAATTCTTCTGTGTGGCCTATGTCTACACGTAGACTGCACACCGTCCTTAACTAAGTGGGTTCATTCGTCGTCGGCTAACAAGCCCGTAAAGTGTCTTCTGTCTTCAAACTGATACACCTATTTGCTGATTGCTCGAGTGATTACCTCAGCCTCCTCGGCCTATTGGTCTCTCGGACAGACCCCTCTCCGAAGATGAGTGATCAGTCTATCCCTTCAGCTACCTCGATTACAGAGTAATCTCAAACGGTGCTTTAGCAATCGAATCGGGTGTATCGTTCAGTCTTCGAGGTTCGGTCCGGTCGGTAGTTCGTTGTTAGACTCTAGGAAGTCACAGAGAGTAATAAGATCTCGACCTAATGTTACACGGCAGCGAAACACGAGCGTCTAGTCGAGTTGTCACGAGACAAGGTCTTAGTCTAAGACACGAGTCCGTTCAAGTGACACTTCTGGCGATGTCCTCGCACTGAAGGTCGATCAGAGTTCGTTCTTATGACTCGTAGTAGCTGTCTGCTACTGACGGTCGATCTCAGTCAAAGGCAAGTGAAAAGCTGGTTTAATGGTAACCAGGTCGAGATGGGGATCCAGCTCGACAAGGTTGTCTACTTATACAAAAGGTATCCGCAGTACTACGCAGTAATGCGAGATCGTTCATTGGCTAGATAAGGTGAAACGATATCTGGGCAAGGTAACAGCGAGGAAGTAATATGTATGAGAAAGCTGAGTAAGGTCGTGAGAGATAATCAGTACTAATGGGGATAACGAGTCGTGTATCAGAACGGGGTAAAGATGAGGCATACATGCACGTCTTGCATGTGTGATAAGAAGAAGGTCCGGAGTTGGATCCGGTGTAACCCTAGACTAGGAGTTCTGGACATCTGGATAAAGAATCGGGGGTTGCGCTCCGATGAGTCACGTGTTGGATCACGTGGTCTGGTAACGTAAATGGAACAAAGAAAAGAAAAAGGAAAAGATGCGCCACAAGTGAGGAGCATTGTAACACATGGTCAGCATCCTCTGGACTGCTATACACAGGAGGTGGTGTAGGACAGGTGCAGCTTGGACAGTTAGTATGAACCCGACTGCTGGTGTATCCAGGAGGTCGTTCAGACACAGACGGCGGCGCTGACGAAGAGATCATAGTGTTTGTTGAATGTGGGACGCGAATGTGGATGGGATAGGAGCAGGACCGAGGTTATAAGTCAGAGAAAAGGACACATCCGCGTTACGTCGCCGGATGTGACGTGGCGCGGACGGATGATATCCGCGCAGAAGGTGGCGCATGGCGGGCACTGTCTACATCGGCCATAGTCGAGTAAGAATGAGGTCTTGCCTAGTGGATGAGGTTAAGGGTGTGTTTTACCCCAGATCTATGCTCAGAGGCCAGCAGGACCCCTGACTATAGGTGGAGAGGCCTGATCCAAATTTCCGAAAATTGGGCCCCAACATCCGAAGAAAATTTGCAAATTTTGGCCCCAAATATCCGGATAAGACCAGACCTTTGGCCGATTTTTCGCCCAATGTCCGGACCTGAGATCAGGCCTCCCAGATACTCACATTTGTCCGGACTGCAGGATCAGGCCTCCCGGGCGCCGCCCAACTGACCGGGTGGCAGGATCAGGCCTACAGGGCCTCTCCTGGAAGTTTGTAGTCTATTGTAGCTACCCACAGTTTACAACGGTGACACATAGAAATCTATTACTATTCTGCGGACTCAGCATCACACGCATCCCCTTTCCTATGCTCTGCTGTGAGTTGCTTCATGGCCGCCACAATTTGCGCAGTTGCTCCCTGTAGCTGTGTGAAAACCTCGAATGCTGACTGCTCGAGTTCTAGTGTACGACTGTCTGTGCTGAGGGTCTGGCAACCAGGGAGCTGGCGCAGAAAGTAGTCAGCGGAGAGATGTGCAAAACTGAACGTCTGTAGAGCGGAGAGATGCCGTTGTAGATACATTTGATACCTGCGCAATCTGTGTGAAGAAGTACGTCACCTAGTCTTGGTCAACTAGCGTATTTTTGGCGGTCTCCCATCTTACGGAAGTTTCCGCATCACGTGCAACCGTGATTCTGTGTATACGCGTCGCGATGTCCAATGCATTTCTCCTCTTTCTGCAGGGAAAAACGGGTAGCTAGGCTAATGATGCTGTGTTTTTAGGACCTGAGTTGCTACAAAACATATTTCTAGTACAGTTTGTACCAAGGAAGGCAGGGAACAGGCCATACTGCACAGTCTTGTAGTGAAATGGTCATCTGCACCTCTTCTCTTTATCAGTGCCTCCAGAGAACATTCCTGAAATAACAGGCAAGGATTCTGAAGGATATATCTTGAGCTCTTAGGTTGAATATCAGCCATCCGGGCTGTCGTTGTCCTTCCAGCTTCTAAACTCGCGTGCACAGCTGCAGTTGTTATTTCCTTTTTGGGCGTAAGAGGGGAGGCCTGTAAATCGACGCGACTTGATGCAGACTATATACTAGATATGGATCGACTGTCATCCATAGCCATATATAGTCAGCAACGGAGACTATACGTCACCTAGCCTCACCCGAAGTGCAAACCACCAAATCAAGGAATTTCGGAGGCGGACTTGAATGCGGAATTGAGCTGACTTATATACTGGCAGCCACAGGACTGGCCGATCTCCCAAAGGCCGGTATATGTGCCCCCCGTACGTCCGAAGTGGGATCAGGCCTCCCACAGAATGGCGGCATATTATCCGGACATGAGATCACCTCCGGAGGCCTTTATGGCCCTCCGACGTCCGGATGAGATCAGGCCTAAGGCCTCAAAAATCCCAAATTTCGTCCGGATAAGTCATCAGGCCTCTCCACCTATAGTCAGGGGTCCTAGGCCAGCGCGTAGATGCTCTCGGCCCGCCACCATATTCAAACTCCGCAACCACTCTGTGGCTCGTCATCATGTCTGGCAAAGGAGGCGGCGCATATGGTGCGCGAGCATCCGACACAGACTTCCGCAAGAAATGGGACAAGGAAGAATACGCGGAGAAGGCGCGGCAGCACGACCAGGAGGAGAAAGAGCGCATGCAGGAGAACGAGGAGCGGCTGAAACAAGGTACGTCTCATCTCAAACAAAGTAGCAGCGGGGCTTACGCTGGGTACTTCAACTCAGGGAAGAAGCCTAGGAAAGGCCGTCGGGATGACCTCCCTAAACCCACGGAGCTCATGAAACGGCGCGAAGGTGACTTGGAACTGGAGAAGAACCTCGGTAAGACCATCGTCGTGCAAAATCAGGGCACACGCGGGCCAGGCGTACCGGGATTTTATTGTGAAACATGTAATCGCACATATAAAGACAGTGTAGGGTACCTAGATCACATCAACGGTCGTGCACGTACGTCTGATGGATACCCCATACTTCTCTATCCCGTGAGCTTAATCCTTGCTTCACAGATCTACGTGCCCTCGGTCAAACCACTCGCATTGAGCGCTCGACTGTAGAGCAGGTTCGTGCACGCATTGCCTACCTAAGGGATAAGACCCGTGAAGCCTCTACCGCAAAGTCCTTCGACTTCGAACAGCGCCTAGCAGAAGTGCGCGATCGGGAGGCTGCATTGCGCGCGGAGAAAAAGGCAGCGAAGAAGGCCCTGCGGGAACGAGTACGGGTAGAGCTTGCGAAAGAGACCGCGGCTGTTGAACCGCAAGGAGAGAACGACATGATGCAGATGATGGGCTTCAGCGGTTTCGGCTCTTCCAAGAAGTGACCTTCGCAACTTCAAGAACTACAACCCGAAAGCCACACTGTATTTCTATGTGAACACTACTGTATTACAATCTTTCATTCGCTCCATCCTCGTCACTGCCCTCTACGGCCACGCCAACGACAGCATGAACTTCACATCTGCCACCTCCTGCTCCTCCTCAATGAGCACCTTTTGCGGACCTTTTCTCCGCTTCACTTCCACCGGCACGCTCCTCACCGTCTTCTGGATGACTTTCGCATGACTCCGGAGCGCCTCAAGCAGATCCGCTCCTGCACCCTCCTCAATCTCATAGAATACATCTACGTCGTCCGTCGCTTGCAGCCCCGCGCGTTTCCGCAGCTTCTGGATGCGGTTCATGAGTTCCCGGGCGAGCCATTCGCTCTGCAGCTCCGCATGCACTTCAATGTCAAGGCGCACGACGACGTCGTTGTCTGTGTGCGTCGCGTGCTGGGCGACGCCGCTTTGGCCTGCCACTTGCTCTGGGAGCTCGATGTATCTCTGCACCGTCAGGTCACCCGTAACCAGCTCGATGCCATCTACCGTCAGCTTCCCAGTCTGCACATATGCGCGCACAGCATCACTCGGCACGGACGGGAGTGCATTCTTCACGCGAGCGAGATCTTTCCGCAGCTTGCGCCCGAGTACGGGCCAGTCGGCAACGGCGCGGTAGCGCACCCCGGCGAGGGCCTCGTCCGAGGTAAAAATAATGTCGCGCACGTTAAGTTCCGATTGGATGTACCGCTGCAGCCCCTTCGCATCTTCCAGCCACTGTTGATCCGCATGGAAGACCAGAAGCTCGCGCAATGGCGTCTGGAACAATTGTCACGCTTTAGGAATGTCTCATTGAGGGAAGCGAAACTCACCTTCAGAGAGATGTTGTGTCGCTCGCGAATATTCCGCGTGAGCTCGATCACAGTCTGCATGCGCTTGACCTGTCGCTCGATATCTGCATCGAAGTACTCATGTTTCACTTCTGGGAAGGACAAGAAGTGGATGGATCGTGCATCGCCGGCTGAAGGATCTTCGGCGATAAACTGTCGCAGCGATTGGTAAATGTTTTCCGTCAAGAACGGTGTGTACGATGACTGTCCACGGGGAACATCAGCGTGCGCAACTTGGTAGATTGGTAGATGAATGGTAACTTACCATCGTCCTGCACAATGTGAACAGTGTCTCGAATAAGGTATTTAGTGCAGCGACAGTGTCTTCTAAGCCATCCTCCCCCTTCAGACGCCGGCGGTTGAAACGGATGTACCAATTAGTGAGCTCGTCGACGAGGTCAAGCAGGCGAGGGATGATCGTGTACAAACGGTACGCTGCCATTTCCTCGCGCACAAGCTTGATAAGCGACTGGCAGCGGGCAAGGATCCATCGGTCCATCACGTTCGCAGACACAGCTGCATGTGGGCTGTACTTGAACTCATGCCCCCTTGCTTTCTTAAGCAGCGCTACCTGCCCGAGGAAAAACCGTGTCGCATTTAGCCAGGGAAGCAAAACGCGCGAGACAACCTCGCGAACACCCTCTTCGCGGAAGCGGAGGTTGTCACCTCGCACGATGGGCGAATTCACGAGGAACATTCTAGATGTGTACGTTCAGATGCTTGCATTGAATCATAAAAGGGTCGTTACCTTGTAGCATCGGCGCCATACAGGTTGATGATATCATTGGGATCCGGGTAGTTTTTCAGACTTTTGCTCATCTTCTTACCATCTCTGCGTGGGTGGTCAGTAGGAGGTTGAGCCCGGAAATCGTCCAGGTACACACGCTGCGAGTACAAGACCATAGACAATGAGATTCTTCCATGGTGCCTTGCCAAAGAGGTGCGTAGAGAGGACTAGAAGCGTATAAAACCATCCACGTGTCTGGTCGATACCTTCAGACACGAAGTCAGCAGGGAAAGTCTTCTCGAACAGCTCCTTATTCTCGAAAGGATAGTGATTTTGAGCATACGGCATACTAGTTTACAATAAGGCACGGTCAACTCCTCTGAGACCGTACATCAAGGATGAAACGCACCTGCCCGACTCGAACCAACAGTCGAAAACCTCTTCAATTCGTTTCAGCTGGCCCTTTCCCTGTTTTGAAGGGATGGTGATGTGGTCGATCTTGTCTCTGTGCAGATCTGTGATGCCATTTACACCAGACAACTTCTCCAGCTCCGCCACTGAGCCAACGCACACAATCTCCTCTAAGTCGTCGCTCGCCCAAAGTGGCATAGGCGTTCCCCAATATCGATTCCGAGAAATATTCCAGTCACGCGCGTTGACCAACCAGTTCGCGAACCTACCATCTCCAACATTTTGCGGTACCCTAATGCACAGGTCCTGAGTACATGAGATCCGATAGGCAGATGCGATAGATGGACTGACCACCGCGTCTGGCTGTTGTTGTCCACTAATTGGTCTACGATAGGAGAGACTTTGACGAACCATGCCGGGATGGCGCGGTACAACAGGGGAGTTCCCGATCTGGAATAGTTGAACATGCGCGCGGTTCAATCTGACTGTACACACACCTCCAACAGTACGGGTACGAGTGCTGGATAGTTGACTGCACGATCAAGCGGCCCTTGGCCTTGAGCACCTTCTGAATATCCTTGTCCGCGACCTAGCGCACGCTCGCACGATCAGTAGAATCCACCCCTCCGGCACAACGAATTATACCTTGACGTGCTGGCCGGCAAAGTCTGGCACCTCCTTCGTAAATCGCCCTTCATCGTCGATCGGACATGGTGGCATCTCATCTGGCCGTAAGACACCATTCGCGAGGGCAATGCGGTGATCTTCTTCACCAAACGCAGGTGCCTGGTGAACAATACCTGTACCATCGGCGTCCGTAACGTAAGTATCGGTAAGCACCCGGAACGCCTTGTCCTCGAACTACATCTCCGTTAGATTCGATAATTGGCCATAACTACAACGGTACAACCAACCTGCTCAGTGAAGTACTCAAATAAAGGCACATATCGCCAACCCTTCATGTCGGAACCCTTGAATGTGCCCAGTTTTTTGAACTTTGCCTTCTTAGGGTCTTTGTACAGAGTCCTAAGGAGACCTTCGTGCAAGATGAAGTTCTCGTCGCGTGCCTGATCGTGGATCTTGATGTAGGTGTAGTCGGGGTGCACGCAAAGGGCAAGATTCGAGGGTAGCGTCCATGGTGTGGTCGTCCATGCCAGTAGCGATGTTTTTCGATCATCGACCAGAGGGAAGGCCACGGTAACTGCGGGTCATCAGAAGTGTACAACAACTAGGCTGAAGAAAGATACATACCAGCGGGGTCACTGACATCTTTGTAATTCAGACCAGCCTCAAAATTTGACAGCGGAGTCAGACAGCCTGTGGAATACGGCATGACCCTCAATCCTCTGTACACCATGCCCTTCTTGAAGAGCTCGGAGAAGGCCCACCACACGCTCTCCATAAAAGTGACGTTCAGCGTCTTGTAGTCGTTGTCGAAGTCAATCCACCGGCCCATGCGCTCGACCGTGCGCCGCCATTCAGACGCGTACCGCATGACGATCGCGCGACACTCCGCGTTGTATGCTGCGATGCCCATCTTCATGACATCGTCCCGCCCTGTGATCCCAAGTTTCTTGTCAATCTCGTGCTCCACGGGCAGTCCGTGCGTGTCCCAGCCGAATCGTCGTGAGACGTGGAACCCGCTCGCGTGCGCGTGCCGAGTCACTATATCCTGTCGAGTGCCCATCGCAGTCAGTAAAACAGGTGTGTGTTCTTCCAAAATCAAAACAGATGTAGCATAGATACGCACCTTGATCGTTCCAGCAAGCAGATGACCATAGTGCGGCAAGCCGGTCGCGAACGGCGGACCGTCGTAGAAGGAGAACTCTGGTCTGCCCTCCGAGAGCTTCAAACTCGTCTGGAACGCATCTATTTCTTTCCAGTATTCTAGCACCTTCTCTTCTTCTTTTGCAAAGTTGAACGGCGCGGTCACTGCAAATCGGACGTCAGACGAAATCTGTCCAGTGTCCATGCATGAAATGCTTCAGACGCACGATCATGAGGGGGCAAAGGCATGGTGGCTTTGGAAAATCCTCCGTCTAAGATGTAAAAAAGTAGATGAAGTCGTCTATGTGATGAGTTCGAGGTGACTCATGCAGTGTTGCATGCAGGGCTTGGGACGTAGTGACTACCTCAGGCGCCCGCGATGAGTCGAATTATCCCGGTGACCAGACCCCGCGCCAGGTCCCCAATCGATCAATACTGTACTAACTTATCAGGAAGGAACGACACTCGGGTCCAAATCAGGCTTTTGTGTTCGTAAAAGAAGAATTCAGCGGGTAAACTGGTAGCATATTCATCAACGCCCACGGGTAAATTACGAAGAGGGCCGACACAGTAACGCACTAAGGATGAAATACGGCTCTAGCTGGAAAATATCGTCTGTGTGTTCGTCTTGCTTGTTCCGGGATGCTTTGTCACCTCAGGGTCCGCATTTCATTCGTACGGATCTGATCATACAAGACTGTAGTACATGCCGAGAAGAGTAGGGCACCGAGAACAGACGTCGCTGCAATAACACACTGAAGGATGGAGCACGTTTCTACCGAAAAATTGAGAGTCATACAACTTAGCAGAGATATAAGAAGCCTTCAAGAGATAACGTCATATGTAGTTCAGGAAGTGTGTGCCGTGTTCGTCTCCTATGTAACCCTGCAAAAATATGTGAACATATGCCAACATAGGTGCATGCATCAGCTTACCACATTAAAAAGAACTTCTACTGGGGAGATTGAAAGAAACCCTGACACCACCCATCACACAGCGCTTTACTACTGCAAGAGAGATTTAGAGGACAAGAAAGATCGCATGTGACAGACATCACACCCTCAACTTTTGAGGTAGAAGATACTGAAGTCGGTAGGCTCGCCACCGTACAGCAGGTTGTAGCACTAGTTCAAGCGCGCGAGCTGAGCGGGATCGGAGCAATCGGACAGCGCGGCGAAGATGATGAGATCCCAAGTGCCACCATTGTAACTTTAAGCAATGATGGACTCGAAGTTGATGGCTGGATAGTAGCAGGTGTTGTGGAGCCCGCTCAGGGCGATAGGATCGTAGGTGCCCCCGCAGTTCTCTGCGCTACAGACTCGGATGATCGCGTCGTAGTCATGGTAGGAGATGTTGGGCTTCGGGGCCTTGCTAACTGCGGGCTCTATCGACGACTCACTACGGCACTCTGCGGACGGAGCGGCCTGAACGGCGCCATAGGCAAGGGCTAAGACGATGAGAGCGGAGATGGTAGAGAAACGCATGTCTGTAAGGATGTAGGAAAACTGGAGATGCGAGGAAGAGACGCTGTCAAATCTGAGGAATTCAAGAACGATGGCCCAGCTTTTATAGACAACTTGGAGACCGTAGGCTCTCGTCTGCCTAGTAGATCAGAACGAAGTGTAGGGAAAATGCACTCGTGATTCCAGCGTTACGATCTTCGCGCCCAAGATCACAAGATCGCAGGTTGAGTCCCAGACGGCCAGTGAGCGCAGTCAAAGGCGAAGGGACATCAAGAGAGTGAAAATGTTCTCGTCCGTTTCGATAATAGTTTGAGCTATTCACTGGCCACAGTTGTTGAGTAGCATCCTAACTGAGCCTGTATCTGAGGATGTGTCTGCATCTGAAAAAGTTCGTGCACGCATGGCAAAAAAAATTGTCCGCAGAATCTATTCACTCCACAGCGCTGTGTGTAAGCGGGCTTATGGAAGCAGGTGTCAGTTCTCCTCAAACAGAACGTCGGCATATGCTCACCGTTGGAGCAGCGCGGCAATCGTCACCAGCGTTAGCATTCTCAAGTTATTCAAACATGTGTTCATAGACTGGTAAACTAAGCTGACTGTAGCCTCCGACTTGCTGCGTTTGTAGAGTGAGTTCGGTCTGCAATCTTCGGATCGACCTCAACAGGGTCGCGTACGCGTTATAGACGCTGGCAGTGTTCAGGAATTCAGCGCGTAGGAATGAACAATATAGTTTAACTCTTTCCAGAAGATCTTTTCGAGAACTGACAGAAAATTCACGATCTGCGCACCGTCGCAGACGGCACCGTGACGTATGTGTAGAAAATGCTTTATCTGTAAACAGAGTAAGTGAGTTGGACGCGGGGGCGGCGCCCGTGGACGTTCGTAGAGAATCTAGAACGAGATCATAGTTGGACCGCACTGCAAAAGCATGTTGTGAGAAGGATTGGGAAAGTGCTCCATGTTTTTTCAATCCTCACTGCATCGAGAGGTCAGCCCAAACCAAACGTAGGTCAGTACTGATCCTTATACTGACTCTGCCAGCAGCAGCCGTTACAGAAGACTAGACGCTGCAATGAAACCTGGCATAAGACATGCGCGGCGATGATAGCCAGCATGTAATCATGGAAAAGAAATCTGCTATGACTCACTTTCTACAAAAAACTTAATCTGTCACGCACGCCCCAAGAGAACATCGGCATATGCTCACCGCTGAAACTAGCACGGAAATAATCATTCTCAGCATACTACAACCAAGGAAGGAAGAGAACGGGTTGACGCACAGCTAGCAAATAGCTCTGATCACGCAGAGAACCCTAAGTAAACTTAGAGTTGCAACCTCCGAACCGACACTCGGCGACAAGAGTGCCTTTGCCTTGCACATGTGTCCTGGACGTTGGAAATGGCAGACGTGCACGACACAATTTGAGCTCTTTCCAGAGGACCTGTTTAAGTACTGACGGTGGGAGTAAAAGTCATGACCGGAGTATCGAGGAACCTGTACACACAGTGCGGACAACCATGCACTGCAGGTAGAGAAGGCCAGTTAAGCCCTGCTCCCGTGATCGATTCATAAAGCATCATGGTCCGACGGTCCGTACTCGCCCTGTGGTACAAACGGATGATGTCAATAAGATTAGGGTATTTTCATGTTTTGTTCAATTTCTCACTGCATAGAGTGTCAGCGCGGATCAAACCTGGATCACATTGAATGAGTACTAGTCCTTATAGCTACTCTGCGGATACCAGCCGACGGCGCGGAGGACAACTAGACGCTTCAACGGTAACCTGCCATGAGGGCAACCTGCATATAGCCAAGGAAAGGTAATATTCGAGTCTGGCCGTCATAAACACCTTCAAACACGAAGTTCGCTGCAAGGAAGGGCTTTTCGAACAGTTCCGTTTGTTGTCGGACTCAGGAAAAATGCTTCGGAGACTTGGGATTCGATTGCTTGCGGGAACAGAGAGATGTGTACACATACATTATTTCCACTCTAAAAAGAACCAGAAAAGGCACGAACGCGTTGCACGATGATGGTTGAACGTTGAACATGGTTGAACGTAGAGCGTAGTCACTTGAAACACGGCTGGGCGTATGTATTAGGCTACGCGGGCGATCATTCCCCGATCAAGATGACACCGTATTCCCAATATGGCTTGTCTATACAAGTGTGTACACTACGCTATCGTACAAACGGGCTCAGAGTCATATCAGATTCGTATATTTCATATCCAAGAATTTCATACAAACCCAATCAAACCAGTAGTTCACACAGAGAGTAGAATACAACCAACATGGAGACACACTGAAGAGGTGATGCACGTTTCTCCAGACTCGTACGCGAAGAAAGAAGCCTGATTTAATGAGCGGTGAGGAGAGTGTGTCGTGTTCATCTGCTATGTAAACTGGGAGACTCGTGAGTAAATACTGGTCATAGATACTTGTAGTGGCCTACCGCATCAAAGAGGATTCCTGCTGCCAGAGATTAAAAGAAGTCCCGACACCGCCCATCACCCACGCGATCTGCCACTAACAGACGGAAATGTGAGAAAGAGGAAAAATCAGAAACTGCAGGTCCACATACCATCAAAACTGGGGGTAGAAAATGCTGAAGCACGCGTCCTCCATCATATAATACGTTGTAGCACACATTCAAGTTCGGCAGCTACACCGCGTCGTCGAAGTCCGCGAGGGCAGCATAGATGGTGCCAGTAAGGTCCCAGGTGCGGCCGTTAGGGCTGTGATAGGTACTCGATAGCGGCCTCGTAGCTTATGTTGAGGTCGAGCCTATCGATTGCAACGATATCCTCGGTGCCATTACAAAAGTTCTCCCCGCTGAGGAAGAGAACTACATCATAGTCGGGATAGGAGATGTCGGCGTTCGGGCCCTTCTTCGACGGTGGCTCCCCCGCGGTGCTCGAGAGCGGTGAGGGCGGGGGACGGGGCAGCCTAAGCGACGCCAAAGCCGAGGGCAGGGACGGGGAGGGTGAAGAGGGTGGAGAAACGCGTGTCTGTGAGTGCGCGACAGAGCTAAAGATGCAGACAAGAGACGATGTCCACTCTGAGGAACAAAGAGCGAAGGTGGGACAAAGAATGCTAGCGCGTAAGTCCTCATACGCCGTGGTCGTCGGTGTCGAATTGCGAAAGGAGGCACTTGTGATATGAACATCACGATACAACAGTTCGCACCCCAGATCATAGGCAGTGTCGTAGATGACCAATATGCGTGGTAAAAGAAGCGAATCCAATAGATATTAAGGGACTGACTGAGTCATTGCAATTTTCTCTACAATTGGATTACCAATCTCGGCGGCGTGCTCGTTGCAGATGCCGCATAGTGTCCGAAAACGTGCGCACGAGAATAGCCATAAGATTAACACTGAGAAAAGTAGATTCACTCCACGAACAGCATTTCAGACTGCTATCGGGCAGCCGGCGCACGTTCTCCTGAAGGAACCACAGTTCAGCCACGTGCCAGTACGTACCTCAAAATTCCTACGATGAAGGGAATCCCATGTGTCATCATGCCTGCAGTGCGGAACTACAGTTGCCTTCTGTGATATCTCGCACTCTGAGGTGTTCGGATTTGATTGGCGCCCTAAGGGGTTCTCCCACTCGGCTCGCAGCCGGACCGCCGCGAGTAAAACTGAGGTGATTAGAATCGTTGTAGGAGACGGAATTGCTTAGTCTTCTTAGTAGTATAAGGGCCGGAAGGGCGTTGTTTAGCCCACCAGCTAAGATTCCAAGCGCTTATGCGCAGGTGTCAGTGGGCGGACACTGTGTGCAGCGCTACCAATTGAGCAATTGGAACGAGCAACTCGCCAGAGACTGCCAGAGCTACTCAGCATCTGACCACTCCTCTTAGCCATTGGCGTTTGCTCGGGGAGAACGGCTGAGGTCTAGGTCGCTTGCCCTGAGCACTGGCGTGCCCGCCGTAGACTTCTGCGTTACAGTATCGTGCAATGTGACATCGTCACGATGTCAGTACAGGGCTATAGAAAGTTCTAGTACGGTCCCACTTACTTACTGCAAGGGTGCCTGTCGACGCTGGTGAAGATGTCTGTAGCGCTAGTATGGCGTCAGTCGAAGCCAACCCGATGACAGCAAACTCCGTCCAAACGGACCGACGGCAGAACTGCCAGGTAGTGGATTTGGTTCAAACGTGGATGTGCACGCGCTCACGGACTGATGGCCCTTGGTGTAGGCTCCGATGACCTAGGCTTGTAGAGTACGGCACGTTGGCTTTCGAGACCTCAATCCAAAAGGAACATCTGCAGAAATCGGCCATCAGCCGTGGCCAACAATGAAGCACTTCAAAAAATGCTCACAGCTCAAATGCCGTGCGATTTTGGAACTGCAATATCCGGGATCCATGCAGACACTAATTTATGTGCCTCGCCTATTACGTACGGTAGACGGTGCGTAGGAAGTCGGTGGTCTGGGAATCTCTGAAGGCGGGATGAGAAGAAAGGCCTTAATTCCTACGAGGAGGATTGGTTCAGCACTGACAGGAGTGGACCCCATGACTGACATACCGCCCAAAACGAAGCGCACATAGAGGCAGATTCAAAGTAGATACAGAGTCACGCAGTTGGATGCGGTTCGCATCCATGGGCGTACCACAGGGCGTTAAGCAAATAGCTCCACTAAATGATAAAGATCCGTGCATTAGCGCGACATTGAGCATCAAGTACTTACGATACACCTTACCCTACCACTCCATCAAGTCCACGGTGTTCGCTGCGAGCGCATTTAAATTGACACATATGAAGAACGAATCATCAAGTTTGCCGAATCGGACGTGATAGTACGATAGAGACACCGCCTGTGATAAATACGATTACTCACCATGTACAAAGTGCCTAGGAACTGATAGTAGGAAGCCCACGGACAATGAATGCGCAACAAAATAGACATAACGACATGAAGGGCGAGGCAGTCACCCTTCGCTGGCAGACGATGCTGGTTAGTCGGTTGTAATGTGACACGAGGACCCTCCATGCCGGCGTTGTTCCGATATCTTTAACTCCGTGCGCATATATTCCGTAAGGTGTATATACTAGCGCGGCTGAGAGGACCGGCGTATAGTGCAAGGACAGAGGAGACACCGAGTTCGCTCAGAGGTTGAGCGCTGAGCGCTGAGCGAGAAAGAACGACACCGCAGTCCAAATAAGGTTCGTGTGTTCGTCTTCGCTTGGATCACACAATACGCTTTATCACCGAGAAAATTGTATATTCGTAATCGTATTTCGGTTTCGCACCCAAAAGCTTCGCACAGACCAATCCGAACTAGAGTACACACCGACAAGAGTAGAGCTACGACGACCATCGTAGGATCGCTCTAAAGAAAGCAGCGCGCGCTTACTAAACATAAAATTCATACAAATGAAGATAAAAGAAGCGGAGTTTATGAAGACTAAGGAATGTGTGTCGTGTTCGTCAGCTATGTCAACCTGAAATATAGTGAGTACGTTCCAGCCACGCATATTTGGAGCGACCTACCGCATCAAATTGGACTCCTGCTGCTTGAGGTTGTAAGAAGCCCCGACACCGTACGCCACCCAGCTGCACTGCCACTAACGGAAGGAAATGTGAGAAGGAGCAAAATTTAGAGGCATCAGATGCGCATACCTTCAAGACTCGAAGTAAATGGTGCTGAAGTACGCGTCGTCTCCATCATACAGTGTGTTGTAGCACACATTCAAGTTCGGCAGCTGCACCGCGTCGTCACAGTCCGCTAGGGCGGCATAGATGGTGAGGTCCCAGGTACCGCCGTTGGGGCTGTAGGCCATGATGGATAGGTACTCGATGGCGGGCTCGTAGCACACATTGAGGTCGAGCCCGCTGATGTCGATGATGTCCTCGGTACCGCTGCAGCCCTCCCCACTGAAGACGAGAATTGCATCATAGCCGGGGTAGGAGATGTCGGCGTTCGGGGCCTTGCTGGTCGCCTCCTCGACAGTGGCTACCCCGCGGCGCTCGAGAGAGGCGGGGGCGGGGGAAGGGGCAGCCAGAGTGAAGCCAAAGGTGAGGGTAGAGACGAGGAGGGTGGAGAGGGTGGAGAAACGCATGTCTGTGAGTATGCGGGAGAGCTGAAGACGGAGGCAAGAGACAATGTCGACTCTGAGGAACAAAGGGCGACTGTGGGCCCGCCTTTATAGAAGGAACACTAGCGCGTAAGTCCTCATACACCGTGGTCATCGGTGTCTGGATGCAGAGTGAGGCACTCGTGATATGAGCATCATGATACAACAGGGCACCGTTCGCGTCCCAGACCACAGGTAATGTTGTAGATGACATCGCCAAACAAACGGATCCAATGGACATTAAGGGGCCGATTGAGTCATACCAATTTGCTCTACCCCCGCATTGTTAATTTGCACAGTGCGGTTCAGCCGGTTGTAGCACTTGCAGATGCTGCACAGTTTCAGGAAATGTACAACTCGTGAATTCTGAAAACAAGAAACAAGAATGCTCTGAAACTGTGAATTTATTCCGCCGACAGCGTATTAGACTGCTCCCTAGAACATGACAGATTTCTCCTACAAGGGAACGACAGTTCAGCCAGGACGTACCTGAACATCCATCACTGAAACCCGGAATTATTCGCGAAGCCTTACGCCAAACAGTGTGAGTAGTAGAAGTTGTATAATTATCCACCTTGATTATATACCATCATATTATCCTGCGAGTTTCGGACTTATTGACAACCCATGTGATCTTATATAATAATTCTCGGGTTTCAGTGATGTCGCTACTCCCTTCGTCTCGTGTGTCGTGCCTGCAGCGTGAAATTGCAGTCAGGTTGACAGCCTTCTATAACATCTCGCACTTTGAGTGGCCGGGAGTAGCGCAGGCTGTGAGACGTTCGAGGTTGCTCTGGTGCGCCTACTGCTGCTGAGCAGAGCGTCAATCATCATCAGTGTTAATCCTCTACAAGCACCGACTCACACAGATTGGGAGTATCCTGTCACATGTGGTGGGGAGCCTTGACAAGGGGACTGCCAAGTAATACATATTCTTCAAACATGTCATGATACATGGTGAGCAATAAATGCGAGGAGTTGGTCATGAGCCTTGGAGAGAAGCAGACCGCCGGCAAAGCCCGCTTAGCGGTCAGAATCACGGAAGATCATGGTCCACCGCCTGCTCGTTCCTTCCCGCGGTCAAGGGCACATATGCAAGCAGTATCACACAACATCCTATAATTTTTTTTCTGCTTGTTGTTCGGACTAAGCAATGTATGTCGCGAGGAAAGCGACTGTGGTTGGCATTATTTTTTGGGAATAATTCAGGTATGTGCTCCGACGGACTGGTGGTAGAGAATCAAAACGTAGGGTCTAATGTCTTGGGTTTACGGAGTAAGTGCAACCGGTAGGCTTCGACGCATCAATTCGTGGATCACGCATGACCAAAAGAAAATGATTCAGCGCGGCTGCCTCAGAGGCGCTTCACCAATGCCCACAGCTCAGACGCTGTGTGATGGTTAAACAGCAATATCCTGCGGACGCCAACGCCTGCGCCTCGCCCAACGGTCGTTGGAATGCTGCCAAGGCATACGCAAATTACATCTTTCCTCTAGGGATGGTCTGCCTGTGTTCAACACTGACGAGAATGGGCGAACCACGTATGACCCGTATATCGTCGTTGACTGGACACATAGAGGCAGAAGTGGACAAAACACACAGGGAGAATCGTGGTTGAGTGCGGCCCACCCGTGTGGGCGCGCATCGTACGGGGTGGATGATAAACATCGCGGTTAGTGCAATCGAGTCACAGGACTCAACGGAACGTGCGATGCTGAAGCGCTGAACGCCGCATCAACCCACCCCACTAAACTGGCAGCCAGCATATTCGACTATTTAACGTGCATTTGGGAAGAACAGGTCACTATTGACATGATCCAAGAATGTGTGATAGGGTAATGGCGGACTCCAGGTTCTGTACATCGATGCGGGACAAGAAAAAAGGCCTTGATTCCTCCGAGGAGGATTGGTTCAGCACTGACAGGAGTGGACTCGGCGCCATGACTGACATACCGTCCAAGACGGGGCGCACATACATGCAGATTCGAAGTAGAGACAGAATAAAGTTGGACGCAGGTCGTCTCCATGGGCGTACCGCAGAGCGTTAAGCAAATAGCCCCACTAAATGATAAGATCCGTGCATTAGCGCGACATTGAGCATCAAGTACTTACGATACGCCTCACCACCCTACCACTCCACCAAGTTCACGATGTTCGCTGCGAGCGCATGTAATTGACGCATATGAGGAACGAATCATCAATATGGCCGAGCGGACGTGATAGTACGATAGAGACACCGCCTGTTGTAAATACGATTACTTACCATGTACAAAGTGCCTACGTACTGATAGTAGGAAGCCCACGGACAATGAATGCGCAAAAAATAGACATAACGACATGGAGGGCGAAGTAGTCACCTTTCGCCGGTGGACGATGCTAGTTAGTTGGTTGTAATGTGACACGAGGACCCTCCCATGCCGGCGTTGTTCCGATATCTTTAACTGCGTGCGCGTGTATTCCTAAAGATGTGTATACTGGCGTGGCTGAGAGGACCAGCGTATGGTGCAAGGACAGAGGAAACATAGACTTCGCTCGGAGGTTGAGCGCTGAGCGAGCTTCATCGATAAATAATTACCGAGCGCAGGGAGGTTTCTCCACCCCTGAGATTCCGCAGCAGCATGCAACAGACCCCCGTACCTCTGCATTGGAGAATAATGATTGGTGACTCATGCGACCTGAGTGTTGTCACTGTTTGAGAGCATTTCTGCAGTCTCTGAGCAGCCACTGTTCTCTGTAAATCCCCCAAAAGGAAGGAAAATATTAGATGACGAGTTCACACTCATCGTATAGCCATATATTTATATGTCCCGAGTGCCACATTCACTCACGCGAGGTCAGTGCTGCCATGCACGCGCTTCGAGTGACACCGCAGTCCAAATAAGGCTCGTGTGTTCGTCTTCGCTTGGATCCCACAATACGCTTTATCACCCCGAAATTTGCATATTTGTAATCGTATTTCCGTTTCGCACCCAAAACTTCGCACAGACCAACCCGAACTAGTAGTACACACCCACAAGAGTAGAGCTACGAGGACGACCATCGTAGGATCGCTCAGCTAAAGAAAGCAGCGCGCGCTTACTCAACAGAAAATTCGTACAAATGAAGATAGAAGCCGCGTTTATGAAGACTGAGTGTATGTTGGTTCGTCTGCCATGTCAACCTGAAATCTACTGAATACGTTCCAGCCACACATATTTGGAGCGGCTTACCAACTCAAAGAGGACTCCTACTGCTTGAGATTGTAAGAAACCACGACACCCCACGCTACCCACTTGTACTAGAGGGAGATGTGAGAAAGAGCAAAAATTAGAGGCAGCAGATGCGCATACCTTCAAGACTCAAAGTAGATAGTGCTGAAGTACGCATTTGCTCCATTATACAATACGTTGTAGCACACATTCAGGTTCGCGAGCTGCGTTGGGTCGGCGCAGTTCGCGAGGGCAGCAAAGATGGTGAGGTCCCAGGTACCGCCGTTGGGGCTGTAGGCCATGATGGATAGGTACTCGATGGCGGGCTCGTAGCACACATTGAGGTCGAGCCCGCTGATGTCGATGATGTCCTCGGTACCGCTGCAGCCCTCCCCGCTGAAGACGAGAATTGCATCATAGCCGGGGTAGACGATGTCGGCGTTCGGGGCCTTGCTGGTCGCCTCCTCGACAGTGGCTACTCCGCGGCGCTCAAGAGAGGCGGGGACGGGGGACGGGGCAGCCTGAGCGAAGCCAAAGGCGAGGGCAGAGATGAGGAGGGTGGAGAGGGTGGAGAAACGCATGTCTATGATTGTGCAGGAGAGCTGGGGATGCAGGCAAGAGACAATGTCGACTCTGAGGAACAAAGGGCGACTGTGGGCCCGCCTTTATAGAAGGAACACTAGCGCGTAAGTCCTCATACACCGTGGTCATCGGTGTCTGGATTCAGAGTGAGGCACTCGTGATATGAGCATCATGATACAACAGGGCACCGTTCGCGCTCCAGATCACAGATAATGTCGTAGATGACATCGCCAAACAAACGGATCCAATGGACATTAAGGGGCTAACTGAGTCATAGAAATTTGCTCTACCCCCGCATTGTTAATTTGCACAGTGCGGTTCAGCCAGTTGTTGCACTTGCAGATGCTGCACAGTTTCAGGAAATGTACACCTGTGAATTTTGAAAACAAGAAACAAGAATGCTCTGAAATTGTGAATTTATTCCGCCGACAGCGTGTTAGACCTATCCCGAGAACATGACAGATTCTCCTACAAGGGAACGACAGTTTAGCCAGGACGTACCTGAACATTGCTACTCCCTTCGTCTCGTGTGTCGTGCCTGCAGCGTGAAATTGCAGTCAGGTTGACAGCCTTCTATAACATCTCACACTTTGAGTGAAGTAGTGCAGGCTGTTCGACGTTTGAGGTTGCTCTGGTGCGCCTACTGCTGCTCAGCGGGGGTCAATCATCATCAGTGTTAATCCTTTACAAGCACCGACTTACACAGATTGGGAGTATCTCGTCACATGTAGCCGGGAGGCCTTGACAAGGGGACTGCCAAGTAATACGTATTCTCCAAAAGTGGTACCTGGTGAGCAATGAATGCGAGGAGTTGGTCATGAGCTTTCAATGGAGAGAAGCAGACCGTCGCCGGCAAGTCCCGCTTAGCGGTCAGAATGATGGAAGAATCATCGTCCACCGCCTGCTCGTTCCTTGCCATAGTCGAGAGCATATATACAAGCAGTATCGACATCCGAGTATTTTTTTCTACTTGTTGTTCAGACTAACCAATGTATGTCGTGGGGAAAGCGACTGTGGTGGGCATTATTTTTTGGGAATAATTCGGATATACGGTGCATGTGCTCCGACGGACTGGTGGCAGATAATCAAAAGGTAGGTTCCAATGTCCCGAGTTTATTGAGTAAGTGTAACCCGTTGGCCTTGACGCATCAGTTCGTGGACCACGCGCGCGTAGCCAAACAGAAATAGTTAACCGCGGCTGCCTCAGAGGCGCCTCGCAAATGCCCACAGCTCAGACACTGTGAGATGGTGGAACAGCAATATCCTGCGGACGCCAACGCCTACACCTCACCTAACGGTCGTTGGAGTGCTGCCAAGGCATACGCAAATTACATCTTTCCTCTAGGGATGGTCTGCCAGTATTCAGCACTGACGAGAGTGGGCGAACCACGTGTGACCAGTAGTATATCATCGTTGACTGGACGCGTAGAGGTAGAGGTGGACTAAACTCAGAGAGAATCGTAGTTGGGTGCGGACCACCCATGTGGGCGCGTATCTTACGGGCCGCCAGGTGAACGATAAATAGTGCAATCGAGTCACAGGACTCAACGGATGCTTCGCGACGTGCGATGCTGAACGTGACATATGGAGCAAAACAAAGGTGCAGCGTGTCACTGACGGTCCACTCAGCTCTACCTCAATCCCCCCGGAGTTAATCGCGTCATGACGCGTGAGCTGGCCATCGATTGTGTATCCAATACTCTGAGCAGTCCCCAGAATCTCTTTCACGCCGTTTGCTAGCAGTGAAGCTTTGAAGGCTAGTAGTGTCCTCGCAAGGGACTTGGACTGCATCGTCGTCCTCGCAATCTCATCGAAAGTAATGTTACCCCAGTACTTGGTGTTCTTCTCCTTCTTGCGGTCTCATGGGGCTCTGAATGGACGTAGTCATGAGACATTGACAAGCACATAATTATGTAGAAAAGCACACCCTTGAGAGCCTCGATGACAATTGCAAGGGAGGACGCGGAAGCCTTGTACGACGTCAACCCGGGCTTGACGGTTTTGGATAGTCGCCGTTCACCCAACCCGAGTGCCACATGCAAGCGCTCAACGCACAGTCACTATCTACAGGGCTCCGAATGACTATCGTGATGCGTCTAACACGCCTCCGGGACGAGGGGAATCCCTGTTCGACGAAAATAGGTCTGCAGGTGCGACTCCGAAGAGATCGCAGCTAACTGTCATCATTATTCAGTTATGTAAGGCGTCACGTCTGATCAACTGCTCCTGGCGTGGCGGACGTTCATGAATGACTGGAATGCGAGCTGTAGCACGCATCGGATGGGATGCAGCAATCAGTAGACGAAGTGACTGTCCTACCTAATACCACGAATTACTGTTCCATTGCTCACCCGACACAACAGCTGAGCGGTACTTGGCCCGGTGTCTCGAATCCAGAAGGCGACAGGCTCGGCAGTCCGGATAATGGTATACACCCTCAAATCCCAACTGCACCAAAATCGCACGGAAAACACTCGCGAAGCAGGTCTAAACCTAGATAGTTACTTTTTGCCCTAGTTTTCGCCCTCTGCAGGAGCCATTGCACCACAGCTTAGTGCCTAGTTGGTCGTAGCATCCGTGTATGAAGTCGTCGGGAAGCCAACGCGGCTGTTGCCAGGGTACAACGCAGAGTAGAACCACTCCAGGAAGGTGTAGGCGTTGATGAAGTGGAAGCCCTCGCCGAAAGGGCTGCCGATGTTGCTGACGACGAGGTATATATCGCTCGAGGAGCCACCAATGGCGATGTTCAGCGAGCGCTACGGGCAGCAGCTGTCAGCAAGGCACAGAAGCCCCGGGGACGTACCGGCCAGATCTGGGCGTTGGCAGGTCTTGCTGCCGATGTTGAAATTCGGGGTCTTGAGATTGCTGTACTGGGACGATGTAACGCATAGTAGACCGGTATTATCATCCTCGATTGCGCCTGTAGCAATCTGGTACGCGCTGTAGGCGTCTGTGCAGAAGATATTAACAGGGCTCGCTCGGGTTATAGAAAACACTTACCACTAGCAATGAGGATGAGGGTGGTACCAGTGTCGACGATACCAGCGGTATTGCCTAAGATGGTCTCGAAGCCATAGGCGATCAATTCATCGATGCCCCAATAGTAGGAAGCAGGAGAAGTGATCGTGAGAGACCTGTAGGACACGTGTGAGCTGATTTTTCGGGAAGGTCAGTGCACTTACGTGTAAGCGATGGGACCGGTGTATTTCGAGGAGTTGGTTCCACCAAAGGTGGGCTCACCATTCGTGGGCTCAAACGAGACCGCGACAAGGTGCTCGGATATGACTTCATGAGAGCAAAGGTTGTCGGTGACTAGCACAGAGAAGTCATCAAGGGTAGCGGTTCAGACTGACAAGCAGCCACACCAGTGGGAACCGTGTCTGAGTTTCCGAATCTGCCCTCAGTCAGATCTACAGGGCCAACACTAGGAACATGAATCAATGCTAGTGCTTTCTGAGCGACCTCAGAATCTTACCCAATGATACCGTCAACACCGGCAAATCCTTGAGCGTGGGATGCGACGCCGAAGGACTGCTTGGTGATTGTCAACCTGTTGCCCAGGGATCATACTCGGTACCTGTCATGCGTAGCTTTGAGTGGCAGTGAGGTTTCGCTTTAACGGAAGTCACAGACCTTCGAAGTAGCCCGAGCCGTAGGAAACAAACTGAAGGGGTCGGCTCTCAGCGCAACTAGCCTCATAGCATATACGCAGACTTACCACACTATCGCCGGTATCAACAGTGGAGGAAGAGGACACGAACAACTTGCCCGCACCGACCCACGTGTTGAAAGAGCCGGTGTCGACCGAGAGAGTGTCTGTCGGATAACGTGAGCTTGACGGTCCAGAGAGTCCATGCAGTATACTCACAAGAGGTGCCCGGAGAGCCGATGTTGACCTAAAGCGCACGTAACGCGTGTCAGAGATGAATGTGGAATGACACATGAAAATTCTACCTCGACGGTATAGTCCTCGGCAGCGTTCGTGGCGGCAACACTGCCTGCACGGCCCTGCAATCTTGCTTGGCCGTTGGCCTTGAGGGTGGCACCACGAACCTGATCCCTTTGGAGTAGATTAACGATGCCAGTGGCACTGAAGCGTCTAGTCAGCGGAAGCGACACGAAGTTGCTCGGAGGGATCGCAACCGGGCTTGCGGTAATCGCGAGGGCCAGCACAAGAGTTTAGAGCAGAGAACCAAAGGCCATGATTAGAGTGCGATACGAGTGGAGCGCGAAGTGTGGAAATGAAGCTTGAGACGCGCTACCAGGGTATTTGAGCATCCGCTCTGGCTCATAAGCAAGCACGCAAGGGAATTGCTGTGCACGCCCAACACAGTTTGCGAACGTTTGGTGGAGTATCTATATACTCAATTTTTGTCAGCAAAAATGGCGACTCGAATCGAGGGTGATAGCCCTATAATCCAGCTCATTTTGGAGACATGATGAGCAGCCACGGCACAAATCCCAATTTTGGTCTGGGCGCATCACCCGGACCTTGCGACACGACCGTCCGTGACGGTCTTGATACATGGAGAATCTTGTGCCGAAAATGTCAATGCTGTCACGGTCGAATAGGACCAATTGATCTATGACTACAACAAAGCCTGTGTCCTCAGAACGAGTACAGAAAAGTTGAGGTCTTTGCCATTCTATCAGACAGCATTTCTGGCCGATGTGCCACTATGGTGCGGGCATAGTGTGGTTCCTAGTCTGTTTTCATTTCGGAGTTACAAAAGCAGGTTGATCTCCGAAACGCGTCGTGTCGATCTTGTAGAGCGCGACGCGTTGCAGGACCCGATAATCCCCCCAAAGGTCGTCGCCAAAACCCCAATTTACAAAAATCTGTCCGGCCCATTTTTCGCCGGTTTAGGGAGTTTTTTGTCCGGAAATAGCGACATCCTCGCTCTGGGGACGTCCATTTTACGCAATTTGTGGCTATTTTTAGCCTTTTTCGGCTTTTTCCGGCGATTTTCCGGCGATTTTTGCCCCAGAACAGTTCCATGTCCGGATAGTACGACGGCTACATGGTCCTTAGGGGGTCCATTTGTCCGGACATGACGACGGCGTGAGATCGATTTTCGCAAAAATCTGTCCGGATTTGGCGACGACCTTTGTGGTGATTACCCAGGGTCCTCGCGTTGCCTCCATGGGAGAGGCGGCATCCTCCCTGTCGTATAATTTCATTCTAATTGATCGCTCTACCGTTATTCATGGGTCTCTACGTGGTTCACTCCAAGATTTGGGTGTCTGAGGTGATGAATGTTAGGCGGGACTGCAACTTTTCTCTCACACTAGGGATACAAGGAGTGCCTGTGTGGATGAGTAGCCAGGGACTGGCATAGAGGGCTCATTACCGACACGACTGAGATACGGGTGCATATTTCGCGGTGGCGTACACGAACGACTGCGTCAAGAATGCGTTAACGCGATGCAGCTATGTACCCAAAAGCCACTGCCTCCGGCAGGAACCCGCGGCCGGCAACACGGCCGGAATCCTCGGCATTGCTTCGGCATCGTTCACGAGTGAAATGGCGAGCAACGGCTAAAGGGGCGGTTTGAAAGCAGACCTATATTAGTCCGTCCCTCCCACCTCTCATAGGACTGATTTTGTAGTCTGCCTTTAGGGCTGCTCAATTCTTCTGGTTCATTTCGAGCGGGTTCATTTGGCCTGAGCCTCGAGGCAGGCCGAGAGATCCGAGACCATGCCGAGGGATGCCACGAGATCTGCCGATGTGGAGTGCTCCGGCTTGCCGGGCAGTAGAGACAGTAGAATAGTTTGCTTGAAAGTCTCTACTTTATTCTGAGAAGATTCTGAGGAAGTAGTCTTCAAAATCACATTTCTTTAGATGTAACAGAGCCACAAGAAAATGCCTAAATACTGAGAGGCGACCAGCAACCCGGAGCACTCCAGATCGGCAGATCTCATGGCATCCCTCGGCATGGTCTCGGATGTCTCGGCCTGCCTCGAGGCTCAGGCCAAATGAACCCGCTCGAAATGAACCAGAAGAATTGAGCAGCCCTTTTGGGAGACTATGTGGTTCCCATCGTGAGGCGGAGTCAATCAGAGGCAATCGTTGCTTCCAGTCAAATTTTTCCTTCAATTAAGACGACCAGGTGATGAACCAGTTAACCGAGGAAGCTTGGACTTTTGGACTTTTCCGGTGAAACTAGTACGCGCTCCTTTGACTGGAAACGCCGTGACGTTAACTCATACGCCAGATCTCAGTGCACAGGTGCTTGTTACAATGTCCTCTAGCCACAGCTAATACTCCAGCGGCTAGGGTCCGGAATTTCGCGCCTGACGACTCACTGCCTAGAGCTTGATATCCGATGTCGAGTCGGACGCGAACTCTGTAGAGAAGACTGCCGGCCGTGCATCTGGAACCCCTGTGACCATCTGGATACTATATAACCAGCACCTACCTGAGTAGAGACGATCATCAAGTTGCTTCGCTATCGTATCTGAAGATGTCGAAAACCAAAGTTATCATCGCTGGATGCGGAATCGCCGGGCCTGTCCTAGCCATATTCCTGAAGGGAAAAGGTTACGAGCCGGTCGTATATGAACGACTCGAGAAACCTACCGAACAGGGACTCTCGATGTGGTACGTTTTTTGGTTGTGATCTTTATGTATCTAAGAACAGTCCGTAGTTTGCAACCGAATGGCCTGCGCGTTCTATCGTTAATTCCAGGCTTCTGCGCCAAGATTGTTGGCTTGCAGCTCAAGAATCTCTTCTTCTGTTCCTCCCTTTCGGAAGACGAAGGCCTCCTCGCGGAGACTGACGCGCCCTCGATGTTACCAGAGCTTGTCGGTCCGGGCATGTGTGTGCTCGGTGTGCATCGTGCCACGTTCTGCCGCACTCTTGTTGAGGAAGCAGAAAGCCACGGCGTGCAGATTGTCTGGGGACACCAAGTTGTCGGGCTCACGCAGTCTGAGGACAGTGTCGAACTAGCTTTCGCAAATGGCAAGACTGACACCGCCAGCTTTGTCGTCGGCTGCGATGGCCTGCACAGCAATACTCGCATCAGCCTGTTTGGCGAGGAGAAAGCCGATTTTACGGGCCTCACACAGGTTTGTCTCAAACGCTTCTGACATCAGTACGCCGTCTGAGTGCCATGCTACATTAGACTGGCGGCTCATCTCCGACCCCTAAGGCTTACCTGAACCGTCCTGGGGTGACAAATATATACGGCAATGGCGCACACATGGTCTTCTATCAGGTCAACGAAAAGCAGACATCTTGGGCGTGAGTACTTATCCATTTTTAACGGAGGTGAACTCACAGTTGGATGCAGCGTCACTTTGCAAGAACCTGAGGCCAAGGAGACTTGGCGCGCAATGGACGAAGAACGTCAACGGGAATTCAGAGAAAGCCGTTTCAACAAGTGGGGATTTGGTGGAGGAGAACTCGTCTCTAATGCCAAGACCATTGTCAAGGTATGTCCGACGTATTTGTTGGTTGCGAAAGTCTCACATAATATGTGGGCAGTATGGGCTGTACGATAGGCCTGAATTGAAGACCTGGCACAAGGATAGGGTCGTGCTGCTGGGAGATGCTGCTCATCCGACAAGTCCAGTGCGTCTCCTGTGGTGTTGCTCGCGCGTTGATCTCCGCTCATGGTTCTATTTTGATAGCACCTTGGACAGGGCGCGAACCAAGCATTCGAAGACATCTATCATCTCGTGCGACTTCTGGCGAAACATAACCCATCTGGCGAAGCGCCTTCTACCTCCCTCCTTTCCACGATTTTCACCGAGTTCGAGCAACGTCGCATCCCCCGCACCTCCGCTCTAGTCAAGGGGGCACGGCAGCAGGGTGAGAATCGCGTACTGCATGGGGTGCCGGCGTGCAAGAAACGCAACGACGCGATTCGCGAGATGTACATGGACGGCAGTACCCTGGCAGATAGTTACAAGCAGGCTTACAGTGAGCCGTTCGAGCAAGGAAAGAGTGAGATCTAGGTCGATGTCATCGTTTCTCAATGCATATGATACTTATACGTGTACTTCGAAAATCATTTCTCTAAATCCCCTATTTGTCGCCGCTCGGTAGTCAGGTAGGTAGGTAGATTACCGGCATTGGTCCCATTCAGGAACGCCGGGTTATCGCACCTAGATCTCTGCTATGTACCCGTGCACAGTACACTACAGAAATCTAGGATACAACACATCCAGGACAGAAATCGCTCCGATCAATGCCTACTCATCTACACGGCGATTAGAGATTAGCCTCCAAGTCTATACGCGGTCTGCACGTGATCGTTCAACTTGAAAGCGTTCAGTATGCACTGACGTCACACGGCCACCTTCTTCTGCACGTTTGTGAATGTCACTCCCTCCGACGTGTACATAAACCAGACCTTCCGGACAATGCATGAACACGCCTTTTCCCCCTTCTACCATCACGTCGACAGACTCTTTGGTTGCTGTTACCCTGATCATCATGCTGGCATCCTCGAGACTCCCCATCGTCCGTGCCTCTAATGCAAACTCTGCGCGACTCGCAACATGTCGCATCGCAGGTAGACAAACTGCATCAAAAACTTACTCAACCGTTTCCACACAATCGTCTTCCTCGTCTGCTATATGGAGCCATGTAGGAGCCGGCGTTGCAGGCGGAACGGTCGTCGTTGCAGGGGGCAAGTCGTCCCTTCGAATTGGTTGTCTTAAGAGGACCTCGGTCGAATAACCCCCTTCAGGTTACGTGTGGTACCATTTCTCCGGGGCTAAGCAAGCGCTGGACGCTTCGAACGCTGTGCAGGAGTACTATGCGAAGACGAAGCGTGCCATTGTCGAGAATGCGCCGAAGAACCCTAACGACGTCCTCACGTTCCTGAGGAGCACAGTGAAGTTATACGCAGGGTTCATCCCAGGTGCGTCTTCATACGTTGACGCGACATTCGACTCCCTCGACGAGCTGCATGACACCCATCGCGGTGAAGTGGACAAGATCCTGGGACACGCATATGATGAGGTCAAAGGTATCTTGAAACAGAGAAAAGAGGGCTCTGATGTCGAGACCGGAATGAAGGTACTGGAGGTTGTCAAGCGACGCATGGGCGAACTCCAGGGGGTGGGGAAGAAGGTTGGCCAAGACGTGATGCAGAATCTCGGAGATAAGTTTCCGCAGGTGTCCGAGACACTCGGCGGAGGATATAATGAACTCAAGAACATGGCGGAGAAGATGGGACCTGAAGCGAAGAAGATCTTTGACGATACAACGTGTCAGGTACGCGCTATATATCATAGTAAACGTGACAGCGAGCTTACCTGTGAGAATGCGTCAGGTGAAAGACATATTCTCGAAGGGCTTTAGCCCGGAGCGCCTCAACCAGGCAAAGGAATTGATCCAAGCTAAGACAGAGGCCGTCCGGAAACTCGCCGAGACGTCTTCCCAGGGCGCGTGGAATAAGGCAGTACAGCAGGCTGAGCCTTACCTTGACAAGCTACCCGAGATCAAGCACCTGCTTAACGAAAATGCGAGCAAGTTCATTGCAGCAGGCTCTGGGAGCAGTACCGTCGCGCAAGAAGTGCTAGCGCGTGTGCGGGAGGCGGCGGAAGCCGGTGTCAGTGGCAATGAGGAGAAGATGCGCGAGCTGAGGAATTTTGTCTCGAAGAAAGCTAGCCAGGCGGAGAACGACGGAAGGGGCTCAATCGAGAAAGGATGGGATGCGCTGCAGCAGTGGATCAAGACCGTACCGGGTGGAGAAGACGTATGTTTCCCTCTTCGAGATGTGCTTTGCAACGGGGCGGGACTGATAACGAGCCGCAGGCCCTGGAGAAGACTCCTGAAGTCAAGACGTTCATACAGCTGTCGCGGGAGCGAAGTGACGATGCGCAGAAGCTAACGCACGAGACATATGAGGCTGTATTGAAGGTACTGGAGGAGAAAGGTCAAAAGGCGAAGAAATTAATCGGGAAGTCGGAAGAGGATGTGACCGAGGAGACTTCCTCCTGACAAACTATTTCGTGCTGTAGGGTCTCCTCCGTTCACAGGATATTGACAACGTGCTGACGTCAATGGTTGTAGATAGAATGGATACGAAGGAACAGCTTGGGATACCATCAGTAGCATTAAGGCTTAAGGACCGTACCGTACATTCTCTTCGTCCACCAAATCACAAGTTTGTACAGCAGCGCGTACTTCCGGGCCTCCTGCGAAGGTTTCTGAGTATCGTTCATACAACGGCTCGACAGTATGTTTCCGTTCGCTGATCTGAATTGAAGGGCGTTCGCCGAGGATGCTTCCGTACCAGATTCGTGATTTCACGGAGCGACTTTTTTGTTTTTCATCTGCATAGGGTCATAAAATGCTGTTAACCCAGAATTGGATCACTTTCGACTTGGAGCCACATCGTCAGGAGGGTTGATCCCCAGTCCAGAACTGAACTCAGAATAGTCGTAGCTCTGGAGATGCCTGCTACGCTACTCCAACAGGCTCGTGGACTGTTGGTGTAATGTAGCATGCAGCCGCGACCGTACGGCAATACTAGCCATCACAAGGAATGAGAGAGAGGATTAGTGCAACTGAGCGGCTATAGGCTCTTTTATGCTTCCTCATCTGCGCCACTCCGAATGCCCGTGGAGATAAGAGCACAATGAAACTGGTCTCACGGCGATTGACCAGAGACCAAAGCACAGCTGATCGCACGCAACGACCGTCGACACTCCCACCTGGCAGTGAACCTAGAACCGAATTATCCCAAACGCGTATCCGTACTCTATATCTACACGCCGCATTCTCCAGACAGAAGACATGTAAGTGCCAGCGGGCCCGGGGTATCCAAACGCGCCCCTCCGCCCCTCCCGTCAACGAGACGCGCGCCAGCCCCCATCGAGGCGGTCTAACAGCGCCTGCACCTCCCTGACCGCGCCCTTGCGCTCCCGGCGCGCGTCCTCCCACTCGCCCTCGGCCGTGATCGCGTCCAGCCGGAGGAGCGCCTGCAGCAGCAGCTCCCCGAGCCGCGTGTGCTCCTGCGCGAGCGGCGTCTTCCCCTGCGCCGGCGGATGTGGAGGCGGGTCGGCGGCGGGGGCGGGGACGAGCGCGGTGAGGAAGCCGTCGACGTCTGGGACGAGCGTGCGCCGCACGGCCTCGAGCTCCCCGCGGATCTGCGAGATCGTGCTCGCCTCGGTGCGCGCGCTGAGCCCGGCCTTCGCGTCGCTCCAGGGACCGGGTGCGGTGGTGTCGCCGCCGACGAGGGCAATGGTCGAGTTGCGCTTGATGCCGTATGTGGAGACTGGGAAATGGACGGAGTCAGCACGGACGTGCGATGTTGTGTGGGATTAGGGTGGGCGCGGACACGAGGGGTAGGATGGTATGACCGATTTAGAGTGCGAGACGATAGACTGAGGCGGAAAGGCTGCGCTGAGGATTATCGTCGCACGACTCGCCCGGTGGAAAGATGGCAAGGGCGTCGATCCTCGGCGCAGCCCTTTCGCGAGCTATCGGGCTGAGTGGTTAGCTGCGGCAGGTGCACAGTCCGGCGCGCGGGTCTCGATGATGCTCAGTGCCCTGACCATATACCGAGTGCGAAACAAAGGCGGATCACGGAGTGGGGCGACGGAGAAATCGAGATCAACGGAACCGATGTGACGCCATCTGAACCATAACAAACGCAGAATGGGAGAGACAGGGCGAGGCCGATGTTCGTGAGCAGAACGTGGGCACACATGGTCGATTTCGAGCTTATGTTCGGGCGAGGTGGGGATAGTACGCGAAAAAATGACGCCGGGCGAGAGATTAGAGATGACGACGGAAAACTAGCTCGTAACATTGGCGCTCACGCTCATCCATTGGCATGCGACGCGTCATAGATATTCGACGCGGGAAAAAAGCTGGCAGGGCACTCGGAGCGGACTCGGACGAATGGCAGTGACGCCATCGCCTCGTGTACGAGTGCTGGCGGATCGCGAAAATCGATGGAGGCGGTGCAACATGTGTGCACACGGGATGACTGAGTGCAGAGAGAAGAATGACGCGTCGGGTCGCGAAGAGCGGACCAAGCGAGAAGAGAGAAGTCAAGGGACACGTACTGGGTGCATTGTCGTCCTTCATGACGGCTCCGGCGTGTATGAGCTTGAAGGAGTCGGGAGGTAGCTGGGTGTACTCTGCGAGCTCTGCGCGGATCGCTGAGAGTTTGGTGTCGGGCGGGGGAAGGGAGAAGTGCAGTCTGCGAGGCGGTGCAGAGTGGCGAGAAACGCGTGTTGCGCGACGGAGAGAATAGAAAAGTACGTGAGTAGACGTCGAAGGAGTACTGAGTAGAGCGGACGGACCTCTCCCTCCCCCATTTGACGGCATAGCTCATATGTTGTTTCTTATGGCTTGTGCTGCGTCTGAGGGAGTTCGCCTGAACGTATACGACGCGGAGGACGATGAGGAGGACAGGGACGGCTGCGAGCGGTGAGCAGAGGCGGGGAGAGAAAACAGGCTATGGGTTACCGTAGACTAATTGGGAGACCAGGATGGGCAGAAGGCAACCAAGAAGGACACGCGGACGGCGAGGAGTGGAGCAGAGCAGTGTAAGAGGCTTTGAAGCTCCGACCGTAACGGGCTAGTAGAATTTGGAGCGGTGATTGGATACGGCAAGGCGGTGACGTCACGCGGAAAGGGATAGAAAAGAGGAAATAGTGGTTTATAATGCTGTGGCTGGTCGACCGAGGAGCGGTGCGCTCTTCTCTCCCTCCCTGAGCGAGCCGTTCTCTGCCATGGACGACCCCGCCGCGCAAGACCCCGCCCCAGTCTCCCGCCTGCCGCCGCTCCCAGTCGCCGTGCAACGCAATGCCCCCGCCCAGTCGTCCCGCTCCGTCGCCGGCCTCCTCAACATCCGCCGCCCCCCGGGCGCGACTCCGATCCCGCCTTCTCTCCAGGCGAAGATGGCTGCGGTTAGTCTCCTTTGAGATCCCGGCGTCCGCCTGTCCTCGCTGATCCCAGTCCCCAGCTCGCCAACCGCGGCGCCCAGTCCTCCGCAGTCCGATCCGGCGACGCTGCGACCGCCGCGCTCCTCGGCGCCGACAAAGCTGCGCCGTCTGTGTTGCGTGCTCCGGCATTGTCCTCCGGGCTTTCCCGCCCCGTTGCGCCCCCTTTGGGCGGTCTGGCTGCCCGTCGGATGAAGATGAATATGCCTAAGCTCAGTCCTCACGACGTCCCCGGTGGTCTGCACCTTCCTCCCATCCCAGGCGGCGGTCCCAGCGGCGCCGGGCTTGGTCCCGGCCGTCCCATCATCGACGACGAGCCACGCCGCCTTCCCCCGAGCAACATCGGAACCCCTTTTGCGAACTTTGCCAAAATTGTGTACGTGATCGGCTTTTGTTCGGCGTTCCCTGTCTCTCTCAAAACCTTACACCCCTCCTTCCTTTCACTCGCTGATTCGCAGTGATCCGTCCGGTGCACTCAATTTCAATGGCAAAGCCGTTCTTCATGCTTCCGGTGTCAATTTTTCCAACGGCGCATCGTTCGCGATTAGCATCGACCAGTTGCAGCTCGACGAAGAGCTCGGGAAGGGTGCGTATGGAACCGTCAAGAAGGTACTCCACAAGCCCACCAACGTTGCGATGGCGATGAAGGTGCGTCTGTTTTTCCGCATGGCCTTCTCTTATCTCATATCGCCCCGTCGCAGGAGATCCGCCTCGAGCTCGACCAGGCGAAGCTAAACGCGATCATTATGGAACTCGACATTCTTCACCGCGCCGTCGCTCCCGAGATCGTCGAGTTCTATGGCGCGTTCTTCATCGAGTCGTGCGTGCCCCTATGCTTGAACGCTTTATGCTCGTCACTCATTTATTCTGACAGCTGCGTTTACTACTGCATGGAGTATATGGATGCGGGCTCGCTCGATAAGCTCCAGGGTCAAGGGGTTCCAGAAGTGGTGCTTGCGCGTATCGCGGGCGCGATGGTCCGTGGACTCAAATTCCTCAAGGACGATTTGCAGATCATTCATCGGGGTGCGTCTCCTCCGCATCCCGTCTCATGATCAGTATACTGACAGCTATGATTATGCAGACGTAAAACCCACAAACGTGCTGCTCAATCGCAGGGGGGAGGTCAAGCTCTGCGATTTCGGCGTGTCAGGTCAGCTCGAGAAATCACTCGCGAAAACCAACATCGGGTGTCAGAGTTACATGGCGGTGTGTCTTTTCTGTCACTTCCGTCAATTTCACAACTCGAATCTCATTCTGTCGCTCTTCCCTCCGTAGCCGGAGCGCATACAAGGCGAGTCCCAAAATAACCTCGGCACATACAGCGTTTCCTCCGATGTATGGTCCCTCGGGCTCTCCATGATAGAGATGTCGCTGGGCCGTTATCCATACCCGCCCGAGACGTACGCGAACGTTTTTGCCCAACTGTCCGCCATCGTGCATGGCGACCCGCCCGAGCTGCCAGAGCATTTCTCCGCGATGAGCAAAGACTTTGTGGCGCGGTGTCTCCACAAAGTCCCGAACATGCGCGCTACGTACGCGGAGCTGCTGGTGAGTGTGTCCCCATCAATTTATGTCCTTCCGTCGTTTTCCGTCCCGGATACGTCTTCATCATCTCTACCCGCATTCATCATCCAGCCTGTGCTCCGTCTTCATTCCGTTTGAGCGCTTGTGCTGAAGCGCTCGTTCCAGAACCACCCATTCCTGGTGCAGGACCGCCAGCGCAACGTGGACATGCCTCGCTGGGTCGAGTCTGCGATCGCACATCGCAACGCCGTGCGTCAGCAGCATCAACAAGCGCGGGGCGCGTGAGCTCGGCGGGTCCCCCCCCCCACCCCGGTTTACGGCCAGTCGTTCGAGTGTCCCCGGCATCGCCCGTTTATTGCCCCACGCAGCTGCAGGTGTGCTTGTGCAGGTCGTGGTTCGCACCGTGTGGCGGTGTAGTTGACGTGCCTGCGGACGTCTCGTACACAGTCCGTCCGACACATACCCGTCTTCATACCCGTCCCCCAGCCCGTCCGTGTGCGCTGTGTTCCCCGTCCCCTTGTTCCCCTGTTGGCCTCCTTCCCCCAATTCATCCCCTTCACACATGCGCGACATGTACTTGCGCCCGTCCTCGGCTCTCGCTGCTGAGCGTCCGGGCGCCTCCGCGCCGGCGCGGACCGGAAGTCGCGTTTGTGGGCGTCGGAACGCATGCTCGGTCAGGTGGTGGTACTGAGAGGGGGAAGAGAGGGACGCAGGTGTCGCTCTGGTGTTTGCGGACGAGGCGGGCGTGTGGTGCTCGCGGTGCGGACCATTATCGCTTTCAGCCCTCTTAGATGCGCCTCGCAGTGCCGTGCGCTGCCGGGTCACGCTTCGCTACTCTCTCTCTCTCCCGTCCGCCCCTTTCGACCCGATTTTGATTCCGCACATGCATACACACGCACCCGCATGGCTCGCTTGTTTTCGTAACTTAGATTTTTGCGCATGTGGTCCGTGACCGACGCGCGTCCGCAGCCCCTCTCTCCCCTTGCTTTGCATACTATCCAAATATTGCCCTCGTTTACTGTGTTTTTCGCATGTTCTGTCTGGCTGTTGCCTATACTGCTTTTCCGGCGTTACCGCTGACCGTCCGACTATACACGCGCGGACGGTGCGGTCGTTTCTGTTGATGTGTGCGATTGGTGCGAGCTGCGAGAGGTGCCAACAGGTGTCAGTTTGGAAGCCTGTGTTTGGTGAAATTTCAAGGAATGAGGGAGTTGAAGTGCATCAGACGCAGCGTGTTGGGACGGTGTATGAGAGCGTAAACGTGCGCTACCCAGGCGGTCACCCGGTCACGGGTGAATGAAAGGACGTGCGCTGGGAGCGCGACGGGGGTTGCCACCTTGAATGGCGGTAGCGCATTTGTTGGATACGCAGACCATATGGCTATCTGTCGAGCGTGTCATGTAGCTGTTAAATGTGTTCGCAGAAGAGCGCCATCTCGATTAGATCGTTATAATATTTCAGTTTTGTTCTGGATCTACGATCCTGTCCTTTGTACTCCGTGGCGCTCCCAGGACGATATAAATGCCCACCGGCTTCTCGAGAATTTCAATTCATCGACTCTTCTCTGCTCTCCACAACCTCCTCTCAGCGTACCTCTGCCAATATCTGCTGCAAGCCCGTGGATGAAGACTGGTGATTATCGCCATGGAACGAAGCACTGGCATGTGGCGGAACGGTAAGGTAGAGTGGCCAACGCGGGCTGCACCCTACACTACAACAACAATCTCTTTGTTGTTGCAGTGTAGGAGGCATCCTGCGGGTGGTGCTCGGGCCTTCGAGAACGCTATGCCATGGAGCGCTGACACGCGGCGCTGACTGTGTGTCGTGATTGTACGGGTGTAGTGGCCTACGCGCCGCGCCTTAGACTACAACAATGGTCTGTCTGTTGTTGTGGCGTAGGAAGTATCATACGACTGAGCTGCCGGGACGCTCGCATGCTAGTCTGCTGTGGGCAAATGAGGTGAGCGGTCTGAGTTTTTGAGAACACGCGTTGGATGCTCACGTTGGTCCGCCGCCGACAGAGTCTTCAAAATACAATAGATACGCGGCATGGTCGCAGAGTAGGAGAGGCTGCCATGAGCTGGGAAGAGTGAAAGACCAGGTGGTCAAAGAAGAGATACGCCGTTCCGTGTCTTCGTCCACTCCTCAGTTGACACATCGGACTTTGGATGAAGACTGCCTGGCTGTTTCGAGCTCTACTCATCGTGTGGTGGAAGTGTTGGGCGACTAACTCGTACACTCACAATTATAATTTTCGGGTGAGCGAGAGGCTCGTGCGCTATAGGGCCGTGAATTCTGGTGGACCATGCTTGTAGGCTCTTGACCCCGTTCCCACAAGCCGGAGTTTAGGTTGCCCCTACGCAGCGAAGATTCTTCGTAACTTTAAGATTTTGGTTACAGGACAAATTTACACGCCGGTCTGTGCTTAAGTTCAGAGGGATCATGGGGAACTTGAACGCGTCTATCTACCTCGGGGATTCGTGCTGTGCCAGCAGTGCCACTTGCAGCACAAAGTCGCTACTACCTACATATTTGCAATTCTGCAGTTTCATGCTTGGAAGCGGCAGCAACGAGATCCTTCGTACTAGTTCGGCATCAGCGCTCACGCGTGGACGCGCAGATTGGATAGGATCACGATCTAATCGTGTTGTGCCTGCCCGATGAAGAATACAGCAGAGGCCCTCGCCGTGGTCGCAAGCTATCTGGTAAGAGACGTTTCCATACAATTAAATTTTCCTTTGGCCCTGTTGGACTTGGATATTTGCCAGTATTTACTCCGACCCGATATGTATGTTAATCTTCTGTATTTGTACGATACGAGTCTCGACGTCATTACTCCACAGCGGTTCGTCCACATATGTAGTTATGAATTCATAGTGACGATAGCCAAGCACTTAATGCGAGGCTCCACCAGACTCCACCGATGTACATAAAAGAGCGCGAGGAATGCGCTGAAGGGGGCAGTGTGTATTTACCCCCGAAATATTATTAGGTCTCGCCGCTTTCCGAGACTCCGATAGTAAGCGAAATCTTCATTTGCGCAAATGAAGGGTCATTGATTCCTTCATTCCGACACGCTTACCCTGTTGCCGACTTCAACAGCTGTTTATTGGTTTTGCCTCTATTCTACGTCATTCTCTAGTCTTTGTTCTATCTGGGTTTTAATCAACGTACGTCCTCATCCCTTCATTGATTATTTAGCGCTATGGCCGACCTTCATCCGTTACTCGCAGCGCTTGCTGCCGCAGTCTCGCCTGAGAGTTTTCAAGCCTTGCAGCCGATTTTGGACGTGCTTGACCAAAGGATTTCACAGGTATCTGCAGAAGCGGCCGCGGCACAGGCAAGTACCGTGAGTGCTGCTCAGATGCAGAACGTCTTACAGAATGCTCTGTCTACAGCGCAGATAACCGTGCAGGCACCTCCACAGAGCTCGGCTTCGCTCTCTACGACTGCTACGTGACCGGCGAGTATCAAGGCCGACCTCCCGCTTTTCCGAGGACGCGATTCGGACGACGTGAACGCCTGGATCTCGATTATCGAAGATTACCTTACAGCCCAGCACGTTTCAGCGGTTGACTGGGTCACGCAAATATCGATCTTACTTCGTGACGATGCGATGCGCAGCTACATCGCACAAAAAAAGGAGATGAAGGAGCAAGGGAAAGTGTTGGACTGGGATGGAATGAAGCGATGGCTCAAAGGCAAGTATAATTCGCCGCTCCGAATTGAAAGCCTCCGTAATGAGCTTCGCACGATAACGTATAAAGGAAATCTTGCACGTTACAGCGAGAACTTTAGAACGTATGAGTCCCAGATTCCTGCTCAGGAAATGACTTTTGGTGATCGGCTTTCCCATTTCCTTAGCCATCTCCCTCCCGATATCGCTAGAGATCTCCGTCGCGAGAAGCCAACCAAGCCGGAGGAGATGTATCATGCCGCCCGCGAACTCGACCGACTTTCGAATCTATATCGCGGCACGCAGAATCATGGCTCCTCACTAACAAAAAAGGCCAAGAACTTCTTTCGCAAAAACCCGCAGCGTTCTCCTGCCATCCCTGAATCATTCACACCACCTGTCTCGATATCGACACCGCCCGCGGCAAGTACTGGGCCAGTGCCGATGGATCTCGATGTGATGCAGCCTATGTCGAGGAATAGTAGCGGGGCCAGGACCGATTCCCAGGTACGTTGTTTCAACTGTAATGGGTTTGGTCACTTCGCTCGCAATTGTCGCTTACCAAGAAAGCCTCGACAGTTGCAACCTTCGCGCTCTCGTCCATGCCAAGATTTACATGCCTTCGAGAATGCTCTGCTGTTCAAAGATGCTCTGCCGGAGTCGACAGACATCGAGGATCAGCTCGGTTGTCCGGAACTGCACAATCTTGTACTTACTGACAGTGGTCATACAAAATTACCGTCTTATGGCGTCAAACTAGGTGATTGGGATTGCCGTAAATGGCATGAAACGGATGCTATCCTCGACACGGGAGCAGCGTGCTCTTATATCAAGCTTGAACTCGTTCGACAGATTCGTGCAGAAGTTTTTCCCATTGACACTCGCGTTATATTAGGAGCCGGCAGTACTACGACGTCTGCCTTTGCACAATTCCGTATTATGTTAGGTGGTATCAAGTATGGAATGTATGCATATGTGCTTGATCCAAATAGCCACCTTCGTTACGGTCTCGTCATCGGTCAGAACTTTATGAAGCGACATAACGCTCAACCCTGCTGGCCGAAGAACTCTTGGACGCTTTCAGATGAACGAAACATAAGAACCACGGAGATTCACCCGAGTAAGCAGACTCCGGTTAAGTCTTCGTCAGCTGGCGCTGTTCATACGTCACCCACATTAGTAACGGCCGAGTCACCGCTGCATGTTATGGCCGAAGAAAGGGATAGTTTGAATATGAGATCGGAGAAAAAGAAGTCATTTGGTACAAAGTTGAAGGACTTCGTGAAGAACAAATTCCCTAAGCTATTTCGAAAAAAGGTAGGCTTTCCGCCGAAGCGTCAATGGATGCATTCGGTAGAATTAAAGGACTCAAATCAGCAGCCTATCCAAGCTCGTGGACGACCGTTTTCGCCACTTGAACACAAAGCTATTCGGGATTTCGTTAATGAAGGCCTAGCAGAAGGCGTCATCGAGCCGAGTGAGTCCCCTTGGTCATCTCCATTGATGCCGGTAAGGAAGAAAGATGGAACTATGCGGATTTGCGCCGATTATCGTCTACTGAATGAAAAGACGATCCGCAATAGTTACCCTTTACCGCGCATTGATGATTCATATCAAAATTTAGCGGGAGCTCATTATTTTACGTCTCTCGACCTCAAATCAGGTTACTGGCAGGTACGTCTCACCGACGATACTAAACCGAAGACCGCATTTCAAACTCGATTCAGTCATTACCAGTTTCGTGTCATGCCCTTCGGGCTAGTTAATGCTCCTGCCACCTTTCAAACCATGATGAATGACGTTCTACGTAACCAGCTCGATAAGTTCGCCATGGTTTATCTCGATGACATCATAATCTACTCACCGACATTGGAGCAGCACATCCAACATGTCGATGCCATCCTTAGCACCCTTGCCACACACGAACTCATCCTTAATGAAGCCAAATGTATATGGGGAGCTACCAAACTACTCTATCTCGGACACATCATTTCTGCTGAAGGTATACGTCCGAACCCTGATAAGATATCAGCGATATTGACTTGGCCTCGTCCCCAGACCATAACTCAGCTCCGGGGTTTCTTGAATATCGCTGGCTATTACAGACGTTTCATACGGAGTTTTGCGAAGACAGCTGGAGCTCTCTACTCTCTCTTGAAAGGACGTCCGCAGAAGGGATCGACTATTGAATGGCCTGAAAGTTGTGCGCAGGCATTTCAAAATTTAAAACAGCATCTCACCAGTCCGCCTCTGCTTATCTATCCAGTTCCATGGCGAGTTTTCGTCATTGATAGCGACGCGTCCGGCGAATGTATCGGAGGAGTTTTGCAACAGACATCTTATCCACTCGAAGCGTCTACCGAAGGGGGAAGGAATAGTGATTCTTCTGACACTCGCTTCGAGTTCCGTGATCGCAATCTTCGCCCTATTGCCTATGAATCTCGTCGTTTGACACCAACCGAACAGAGATATTCTGCGCAGGAGCGCGAGATGCTGGCCATTGATTATTTACTTCAAAAATGGCGCGCCTACATCGAGGGGTCACCTATCGTCGTCAGGACAGATCATGAATCATTGAAATACTTTCTTACTCAAAAGAGTCTCGGCCGTCATTTACAGCGCTTTGCCGACAATATCGCCCATTTTGACGTGAAGATTGTCTATCGTCCAGGGAAGCATCAGCTCGCCGCTGATGCATTATCACGACGCGACGGTGAAGACATACTGGATTCCGATACATTGGGCCCGCTCTTTGCTCATCCTATGACTGTGGCGCCAGCACCTACGCTTCCACGCACGAATAGTGCGGATTTGATTTTTGGTTCCGAAGAATGGTTGTATTGCAACAACCACGCCGAACCGGCACCCAAATCATCTCGAGAACAGACAGAAGAACCTAGGTCAGTGTACCAGACACTGAAAAAATGGTATGATAGCTTACGCGCGAAAGCCGATAGTGGTGACTCTAGTCCTGACCAGCGCGGCTTCTTCATGCGTGGCGATGTGATGTATCGCCTTCTCGATAATAAGGTCTTGGTGGTTCCTATGAATTTCGAGCAATCGGAGATGTTAGTACGGAATGTTCATCAGGATCTTGGTCACCTTGGTTTCCGACCGGTTGTTGAAGCCATTAAGGACCGTGCCTGGCTGCCCGATCTTTCGGAGGTTGTCGATTTCGTTATTCGCACCTGTGATCATTGTCAATTCTCGCACAGTGGCCCTGTCCCGACTCAACCTTTGCATCCTCTTCCACGCGTTGGAGCTTGGAGCCGTTGGGCTCTTGATTTCGTCGGTCCCCTCCCGCGCACAGCCGCCGGTAATGCATATTTATTGACCACAATGGACCACGGCACTGGTTGGACCTACACAGATCCACTCCCGCAACGCTCGAAGGAAGCTGTTGTTTCAATGCTGAAGAAAATTATTACTGCGCATGGGAAACCTTTGAGTATCCTGACCGATAACGGTGAAGAATTTATATCCTACCTGGTTCAAAATTTCCTCCACCGTCTTTCAGTCAATTACCTTCGCACGACGCCCTACCACCCGCAAACGAATGGCCGCCTTGAGCGTTTCAACTACGAGCTGGAAGAGATGTTAATGCGCTATTGTGCCCCGAATTCGCAAGGTAATTGGGATACTTACGTTGACGATGCCTTGCTGGCGCATCGCGCACATATCAATCGCCGCTCGGGGACCTCCGCATTTTATTTGACTTACGGGTGCACGCCTCGTCTGCCTCACGATCTCGTTGCTGACACTATTCAAGTGCCTCCTACCGATGAGGAGATCGGTCAGCTACAGAACGAACGACTTGAACATATCCAGGACTTGGAGCGCCTCCGCGAAGAGGCTAATGAACGTGCTAGGCACCGCCTTGAAGAACAGGCCGAACGCCGCGAAAGTTCCTATCGCGAGCGTGCTTTGGGAATTGGAGATCTTGTTCTTCGAAGGTCAGAACCTGATTCGAAAATCCACCCGCGCTGGGATGGACCGTTCATTATCCGAGATGTCACTGATAAAAACACGTATCAGCTTAGCACCCGCAACGGATATATCCTCCGTCGACTCTACAATGGAGAGCGATTGAAACGGTACTTACCTTCAAAACTTGATCCCGAGCCGCCATTATGGTATGCGAGTGCAGATTTACAGCGAAAGGATGCTGAAGCGAGACGAAAAGCTGACCTTGCGAGACGTCGAGGACAGCACTGAACGTATGTTTGTCATTGTTTGTTTCACACGCTTATTTTTGCTGGAGGCTCCAGAAAAACGATGTCTCTTGTACCGGTAATTATTTTGTCTTCTTTTATCACTGAGATGCTCTTGTGTACGATAGTTAGTTGATGTTCCTTCTTTCGAGGACGAAAGATCTTAACGAGGGGGTAATGTTGGACTTGGATATTTGCCAGTATTTACTCCGACCCGATATGTATGTTAATCTTCTGTATTTGTACGATACGAGTCTCGACGTCATTACTCCACAGCGGTTCGTCCACATATGTAGTTATGAATTCATAGTGACGATAGCCAAGCACTTAATGCGAGGCTCCACCAGACTCCACCGATGTACATAAAAGAGCGCGAGGAATGCGCTGAAGGGGGCAGTGTGTACTTCCCCCCGAAATATTATTAGGTCTCGCCGCTTTCCGAGACTCCGATAGTAAGTGTTGGAAAGTAGCGCCCAAATTTCTGGAGCTCCAGAAATTGGGGAGCGCCCAAGGGCAGACAAGCCGAGGGCATGATTACAAAGAAAGACAAAGAAGGAAATTTGCTTATATAAAGTGGAGCGTCTAGAACTGTATATATACAGAAATCTATTTTAGGACGCAAAATAACGCGCCCTGACGCATCTTGACCCGCCATCACTACCTTCCTATTTGGGAACTAAGGCGCGATTTCTAACAGGTTATGAGCCCCGGCTCTAGCCAATAAATACTTGGATAACAACAGCCCCTATTGTGGCTACAAAAATTGTTACCCCCTTACTAGTACGAGAACAAATAATGTCGACCAGCGCTGATAATACGAGCAATAGCAATGCTTACCGGATCCCGCTCCTGAAGGAAGACAATTGGCTCCCGTGGAAGCGCCGCGTCGAGGCCATCCTTAATGATAAGGGTCTCCAGGAGTATGTGACCGGAAAGACACCGAAGCCGCAGCCGAGTAATGACCCGGCCAATAGGGCAGCGAGAGAGGCGGAGATTAGCGCCTGGGGAGAGAAGGACCTCAAGGCCCAGAACGTAATTGTGCTATCACTGGGAGATTCCCAGATGATGCACATCGCTGGAGCCGAGACGGCACGGGCCATGTGGGAGCAGCTTCGCACAGTCAAGGAACAGCGTGGACAGCATGGAATTCTCGCGCTGTGCCGGCGTTTTTACCGGATGCAAGCCAAGGAAGAAGATAATATCTCCAGTCACATTACACAGCTACGACAGATCCAGGAACAACTCCACCTAATGGGGAAGGTTGTTTCCGACGAAGATTTCCGGCTCATTCTGGCTACCTCATTACCGGAGAGCTGGGACTCTTTCCTCAGCTCTTACTTTGGCGCCGTGGGCGGCAATGTTGGCGCCGAAGGTGCTGACAACGTGCGCCCTCAGCTTACATCACAAGAATTGATTGCCATCATTCTTGATGAAAATAGGCGAAGGCACGAGCGTGGCGAGCGCGGTCAATCCTCGGACCAAGCCATGGTTGCCAAAGGAAAGAAGCGCCCCTTTGGGGAATACAAAAAATGTTCGATCTGCGGAAAGCCGGGACATCTTGGTAACGAGTGTCGGCACCGCGACAAGGTCAAATGTATGAATTGCGGAAAATTCGGGCATAAGGCCACGGATTGTTGGGCTAAAGGCGGCGGCAAAGCCGGACAGGGCCCGCCGATGAAACGGCAAAAGACGGAACGTGCTTACGAAGCGTGCGAGGTCGAATCAAAAGAGGATGAGGCAAAAATAGCCTACGATAATGATAGCGACACTGTATCTCTCGGATCTGATGGCGAAATCGCTTCTTTCTATGAGTGGTTTGCCGACTCCGGGACAACTTCGCACATTACAAATCGTCGTGAAGTCTTCGCGACCTATCAGGCGCTCGAAGATCACGCGATCACGGGCATCGGACCGCAACCAACGCAGGCATTGGGCCGCGGTATGGTCGATGTCGAAAGTAAAGTAGGAGACCGGAAAGTGAAATTCCGTCTCCACAGTGTACTGTATGCGCCGACAGCACCCAATAGCCTCCTCTCCATCACGCGTTTGGACGATGCGGGAGGAAGAGTACTTATGGGTAATAGTCGTGCAATACTAATAGATAAAAATAAACACACTCTTGCTATAGGCAAGAAAAATGGACGACTATATTCATTGAAATTGCGTCCAATAGTTCCACAACCTGCGCGAACCTATACTGCTAAGGAATACGGCCCGCATACCTGAGAAGAGTGGCACAAGATCTATGGCCATATCGGGAAACCAGCGCTTACGCGATTATATCGCGAAGGGCTTGTTGATGGCCTAGAAATCTCGCCAAGCCCAGATGAAATTAATTGCGAGGCGTGCATCCAAGCAAAGGCAACGCGGAAGCCATTTCCCAAAGAGACGGATGAATGCAGCAAGGTACCCGGAGAATTAACACACACGGATGTGTGGGGACCTGCGCAGACAGCCGCTCTACAAGGGTGGAAATATTTTATTACATTTACCGATGATTACAGTCGTCGAAGTACAGTACTATTTATGAGGCATAAAGATGAAGTAACTGAAAAGGTAAAGAATTATATTACCTATATCGAGCGCAAGTTTGGAAATAAACCCTTGCGACTCAGGCTCGACAACGGTCGAGAATATATGAACACCGAATTAATTAACTGGTGTCAAATGAAAGGGATCGAGATGGGTCCGACTGCGCCGTACTCACCATCCCAGAACGGAGTCTCTGAGAGATTGAATCGCACACTGCTTAGACTAGCGCGCGCGATGATCTATGCGAGAGATCTACCTCGTTATCTTTGGGCTGAAGCGATTGCTCACGCAGTCTATATTAAAAATAGATCGCCTACCCAGGCGTTAAATGGGGCAACTCCCGAAGAAAAATGGAATGGGACGAAACCAAATATCTCGTACCTACAAGAATTCGGTTCCCCCGTATGGGTCCTCACGGAGGACGCAACACTATCAAAGCTAGCGCCCCGTGCCAACAAGTATATTTTTGTTGGATACATGGACGGACCCAAAGCCATCAAATATTATGATGCACATACGCGCCAGATTAAAATCTCGCGTAATTTCCAATTTTCTTCGAATTCCCCGGACCATTTGCCCGGTAACGCGCCTCACGTGCCACAAGAGCAAATAGGATCCGACGTACCTATCCTCACAGCACAGCGTGAGGGGGAGCAAAATATATTTCCGGGCACTTTACCTAGCAATGCGTCAGACGTGCCGCATGCGGAAAGAAGACCCGAAGTCCCAAACCTCACAACGACCGCAGACGTGCAGCGCGAGGGGGAGTTAGGAACTTCCGCGCCACAGTCACCTGCCAAAAATCCGCGAAAGCGCAGACAGGATGATGATCCTGATCAACGCGAGGAAAGCGGGACGGACGCACCAAGCCAGCCCAGACGAACCAGAAGAAAGACAGTTCAGCATGATTACCGTCTAATGCACAACCCAGAGGCAGACGAAGATCTGGATAATGATCCAGATAAATCAAATGCCGAATTAGTCTATATTGCGATGAGCGCCCACGGAAATGCGGATGCGGATGAGCCAAAGACGCTCAGTGATGCCAAGAGATCACTCGAGTGGCCCAAATGGGAACAGGCAGTCCAGACGGAACTCAATCAACTACAGGGTATGGAGACTTGGGAGTTAGTGGAACCTCCCGAAGATCGAAAACCCGTAGGAAATAAATGGGTTCTAGTTAAGAAAACAAACAAAGAGGGTGAAATAATCAAATACAAAGCCCGCCTGGTTGTGAAGGGATATTCTCAAATCCCAGGCATGGACTATACCGAGACGTTCGCGCCCGTAGTCCGCCTCGAAACCATTCGAGCTATCCTCGGGCTAGCCGCAATCTTAGATTGGGAGATCGGACAGATGGACGTGAAAGGCGCCTATCTCAATGGAACTCTCAAAGAAGAAGTGTATATGCGGCAACCCGAAGGATACAGCGATGGAACATACCGCGTATGTAAATTAAAGAAAACCCTCTATGGGCTAAAGCAGTCTGGCCGAGAATGGAATATCGTGCTGAACCGCAAGTTACTAGACGCGGGATTCAAGCGCCTATTCTCGGATCCATGTGCATACATTCGGATCAAAGGTGATAAGATAGAAATCGTCACCGTTTGGGTAGACGACCTATTAATATTCACCAATGATTGCGCACTGATGGACCAATTGAAGAGGGAACTCCGAAATATGTTCGAAGTTACCGACCTTGGCGAACCCCGAAAAATTGTGGGGATAGAAATTGAGAGAGACCGTTCAAAGCGGACAATCAAAATCTCTCAGACAAAATATATTGAGTCTATCCTACACAAGAATGGGCTTACGAACGCCAACACGGTCGGGATGCCTCTTGATCCAAATACAGTGCTTGAAAAAGAAGAACCCGAAACTGATGACGAATGCAACCGAGACAACGGATATGCATCGCTCGTCGGATCACTGATGTACGCGGCAATTGCCACGAGACCAGACATTGCTCACGCCGTGCAACGGCTTAGCTCATTTACTGCCAATCCCGGAATGGCTCATTGGACTGCTGCTAAACGCGTCCTCCGCTATCTATCCGGAACGCGAGAACTTGGAATAATCTACGGGCCAATTGCAGATGTCAAGCCCGAAGATCAATCCATATTTGTGGGCTACTCAGATGCAGACTATGCGAACGATATCCGAGATCGCAAATCAATCTCGGGATATTTATTTAAATTAGGAAATGGCACGATCACGTGGAGCTCAAAGAAGCAAACCACGGTCGCGTCATCCACCACGGAAGCCGAATACATGGCATCCGCCGAAGCGGCAAAAGAAGCCGTGTGGCTCCGAACACTATTCAAAGAAATAGGTTTCGAGCAACAAGATCCTACAATTTTATTCGAGGATAATACAGCGGCGATCTCAATCGCACGTGATCCCCAATTCCACGCGAAATCAAAACACTTTGATGTAAAGCATCATTATGTGCGCGAAAAATTGAGGGATAAATATATTGATATCCACTACTGTCCCACGGAGGACATGATAGCGGATATCCTAACAAAATCACTCCCTAAGCCGAGGCACGAGAAGCTCACAAAGAAGCTCGGAATGCCCATCGGCTTGAGGGGGAGTGTTGGAAAGTAGCGCCCAAATTTCTGGAGCTCCAGAAATTGGGGAGCGCCCAAGGGCAGACAAGCCGAGGGCATGATTACAAAGAAAGACAAAGAAGGAAATTTGCTTATATAAAGTGGAGCGTCTAGAACTGTATATATACAGAAATCTATTTTAGGACGCAAAATAACGCGCCCCGACGCATCTTGACCCGCCATCACTACCTTCCTATTTGGGAACTAAGGCGCGATTTCTAACAGTAAGCGAAATCTTCAGCCCAACGTGTTCATCCAGCTATGGGGCTACTAGTATGGGGCGACCGGGCGTGACCTAGACGCTGGGTACACTCTTTCCGTCACAAAAGGCAGCCTCATGATCATGATGCCCGCATCTCAAGTATTGGTAAGAAGGGACATGTGTCGTCCAACACCACGCCAAGTGTCGGGAAATGTTCAGATAAGGCAGGCGTTCAAGTTCAACACACCACTTAGTTTTGTTTACTCGATCACAAGATACTTCCTCGCCGAGATGCTGCGCTTGGCCGCGACTTTGACTTGGCTACTTGATACAAGCTGATTGGCCTCTTGATGTTGCCACCGACGTCAATGCTCGGTGTGTCTCCGAGACTCCGAGTCGATCCCGAGCTCTACCCCTATACTTGCTGCGGGTGATATTCGTTCATAATCTACCGTGTTTACAGCTACTAGTCATGAACATATCGTTCAATCTTCTACCATGGCTACACTTACTTCTCATCCCGAGCCAACTCTGGTTGCAGCATCGACCAACATAGGCCACGCGCTCGTCTTCGAAAACGCCACTGAGCAGCGGGAGCCAATTACCCTTCACGTCCGAGGCCGCATTCCTCCCTGGCTGACAGGGTCACTCTATCGCACGGGCCCAGGGACTTTCAGAGTAGCCTCTGGGTCCGCACGGGGCCATTCCGTCAACATCCGCCACTGGTTCGACGGCCTCGGCCTCACCCACCGCTTCGAAATCATGCCAGACGGCTCTGTGCAATATCGCAATCACTCTACCGCGGAGGGCCTCCAGTCCCGCATTTCCAGGGCTGGTACCATTCCAACCGTAACGTTCGGTGTGCAGGACCCGTGCGAGACGCTCTTCTCCAAGTTCTTTACCTTGTTTAAACCCAACACGGAGGCGCCGCGTCGGGCAGGGAAGTGCGCCCCAGACGAGGCAAACATTTCCGTCACTCTGACGCCAAACATGCCCGGGATTGCCGCGCATCATTCCGCGTCCACCACCCCAAGCCTGAGGAACCTGGTAGCCAAGAGCGACCAGAATGCGCTTCAGATTCTCCATCCCGAGACGCTGGATCCGCTGCGCGTCATGACTTACACTCAGCTCGACCCGCGTCTCGACGGGCAGATTAGTGCCGCACATTCTTGCCACGACCCGACAACTGGGGAATTCTTCAACTTCACGCTGAAGTTGGGTCCCTCGCCGACTTACAAGGTCTTCAGGATTCGCCCAGAGGACGGCAAGCCGCCTCAGACCAAAGGTCACACCGTCGATATTCTGGCAGAGATCCGTGACGCTCCAGCTGCATACTTGCATTCGTTTGCGATGACGCAGAAGTACGTGGTGTTGTGTGTCTGGCAAGCCGACTTTTCATGGTAAGTTATCCGCCTCGCCTTCTTTCTGCCGAGGTTGGTGACTGATAGCCTGGTATCTTTCAGCTACGGCGTATCTGTTGGACTGAACCGAAATTTGGCGGGATCGTTCAAAAAATGGGATCCGAAAAGAGATACACTCTTCTATGTCATTGACCGGAACGATGGCGGAGTTGTGGCGAAGTTTAATGCAAGTATCATATTCTCAGGTGTACCCTAGCGTGCATTAATTCGTGGCGCTTAGGCTCCCCCTTTCTTCAACTTCCACAAGCTCAACTCCTACGACTCCGGCGCTGACGACATAGTTATTGATCTTGCTGTCTACGATAATCACTCCGTGATCGACCTTCTCTATCTCGACAATCTGAGGAACCTTGATGAGAACATTTATGCGCGGCTGACCCGTGCACGGCGTTATGTGCTAAAGGACGTTGGCCAAAACAAGGGACATATTCGCCCGGCCGAGATCGAGTTTACGTTGGCACATGAACTCAATATTGAGTTGCCGACGATTCATCCAGCGTTGTACTACAAGCCGTATCGCTACGCGTACGTGTTGGTCTCCTCCACAGCTCGGAATAAACTCACATTATGACGTGTATCAGTTACGGAATCAACAAAGCAGACCCGACGGTGCAGTCTTTCGCGGACAGGATCATCAAACTGGACATGTTCGATCTCACTGCTAAGCCGAAGCTCTGGGGCGCACCTGGATATGTCCCCGGAGAGCCGATCTTCATTCCGCGTCCAGGCTCTAATCCGCGCGGTGGGGAGGACGAAGGTGTTGTTCTCAGCGTTGTTCTGGACGCCGACGCGCAGAAGAGCATGCTGGTGATATTGAACGCGAAAGATCTGAAGGAGGAGGCTCGGGCTGAGATGCAGACGCATGTGCCCATGGGATTCCATGGTGCCTGGGTTAAGCGTGCTAAGTAGTTTCTTTTGCGTCCTTCGTGTATCTACATAATTCATACAGAAAGGAGAATATTGAATTTAATTTTCGGAGACGGGACTAGACCGACGCAAGCGTTCGCTGACGCCGCCTTCAACGATTTCTGTTGTATTTCGAAAGTTGAGGACCTGACGTACATGTACTGCGCTCGTTCTCACTTTTCAGGCCGTTAGTGGCTGAGTGAGAGGGTGATGTGCAGTTAGAGACTCGCGATAAGCTGAGCACTACCAGGAGAAGTCCTCTTCGATGACGTAACTGGAATATATTCACAAACGACTTCCCTGGGACGGTAGGTAAGGCGCAATGAGATCAATTTCTCTGTACTCTTATACCCACGGGCATTTGGAATGGCGCAGAAGAGGAGGTATATAAGAGCCTACAGCCTCCGCTTAGTGCCGCCAATCCTCTCCTTCGTTCCCTCCGATGGCTAGTGATGCCGTACGGTCGCGGCTGCATGCTACACCACACCAACAGTACACGGGCCTGTTGGAGCAGCGTAGCAGGCATCTCCGGAGCTACGGTTATTCTGAGTTCAGCTCTGCACTCTAGGAGCCTGGGAATCAACTCTCTAATGCAAACCGGGCCCTTCATCGCGATGAGTCGGACGATGTGACACAGTAGCGAGAATGTGAGGATGTGGCGTCCAAATCGATGTGATCCAATTCTGGATTAACCGCATTTTATGACTCTATGCAGATGAGGAACGAAAAACGAAAAAGTCGCTCCGTGAAGCCACGAATCTGGTACGGAAGCATCGTCGCCAAATGCTCCTTTCAGATCTGCGAACGGAAACGTACTGTCGAGCCGTTGAATAAACGATACTCAGAAACCTTCGCAGGAGGGCCGGAAGTATGCGCTGCTGTACAAACTTGAAATCTGATGGACGAAGAGAACATACGATCCTTGAGCCTTAATGCTAGTGATGGTATCCCGAGTTGTTCTTTTGGCACACAGGCGATAGGTGTAGTGTACCCGGACGTAACTGAGTTTGAATTGATAGAGGGCGGAGGGCGCGGACCCAGAAAGCGGCATCATGTGCAACGACGTACTGTCCTTGTACAGCAGTTGAAGCAACAACCGAGGTCATCATGTGCCAGTAAAGAGATCTAGAGAGACGACGAAATTAGCTAAATTCAACCGTCAGGCAGCGGGCAACGCATCCGTGTTAGGGAGAGGCCAGAAGATAGTGTGCTCGCAGAGGCCCGACATTGTATATGTATGTCGAAGAAGACGAACATGCCAGGTAATGTCAGCGGGAGACAGAATGAAACACCTCGGTCACCCACACTGCGGATATCACGGTGGAATGACATTGCGGATAGCGCAGTGGAATGACAACGAACGCAGAACGACGCGTCGAAGTTTGACAGCATACCAGCTAATTGCGGGTGCACCATGCCCGCCTGGTGGCTTGGATGCGTTCTTTTTTCTTTTCTTTTTGGAGTAAGCGTAACGACACAGGGGGCAGCTGTACTCTGACAGCCCCCCGGCTTGGATGCGTTCTTGGTGGCGGCTGATATAGCTGTCCTGTTATTCTTCCTGTAGAGATTTTGTACTAGGCCTGCATATACAAGGAGCTTGAGCAGAAGATCAATCTCAATGCCCAAAACGAACACTAAACCGTGACGAACTCGCGACGCGTCACATACAGTCACACCGTGTTTCCACCTCGACCGTGATGGTAGAGAGTCAACTTCACTTTGAAGGCGCAACCTCGTCTTTATTTTCTCTCTCGAAATGTTTTGCCCCTCTCCCGTGTTGCACGACATAGCTGACTCTTCCGAATGGCCTCCTCAGGCTCAAGAAGTTGCTCTTCTGCTCTCCCAACCTCTTCCCGAGTATATCTCTACTGGACCCTGGCCTTTCGTCTCCTCGATCGCTACTCATCTCTTGGACGAGCTACGTCAAGATACACCATACCAAGGAGCTTTAATGCCCAGCGGTCAATTCGTATCGCGTGTCCATGAGGTGTTCGACTTAGTCTTGTCGACTGTGGCGGCTCTTCGTGAACTCGAATCTCTCGAGGACTGTGGCCGACCTCGGCCAACGGTTACTTTGTGGTCTTCACTCTTCAAGGGAATCGGAATGGTATGCTCACCAGAGTCTTGCTACTTGTTCGTGTATTCTCATACCCTGAATTGCTCGATTTCGATTTTTGACCTCATAACAGGAATGGAGCATCGTTTGTTCTGCCACGGGTGTCCCCACGATCGAGCCAAGTCGCATTCGATGGTGTTGCAACTATTCTCATCTCTCACGTCGTGGACGAAAGCGGATTTTCTCGCTCCTGCTCGTCGTCGAACGCCATGGATGTTGACGCACCCTCCGATGGCACTCCGTCGCAATCCGACGGCACAGATGGATCGACCTCACATAATTCCATGGATCTCTCTATTGACGGCACTCGCTCTACGGTAGACTCTGAGGGCGACTACGCCGATGAGGATCAGGAGAGCACCGACGAAACCTCCCAAGAACTCAGTGGACCCTCTATCGACGTCCCTTTCGATGCGCACGTGCTGAGCGGGTCCGGCCGGCGATCTTTCGTCGTTTTGCCTATGATCTGCGTGGCTGACGCGGACAATATCCGGTCCCTGGTGACTAGTGTCGCATATCAGCGCCGCATCTGGGATATCGATGAACCCGTGGTCGGCTTCGAGATCTCGAAGTTTGGTACTGTAGCCCGTATTTTACTCGCCTGGGTCGGCACGGAAATGGACAGTGACTGCTTGGTTGGTCTGCTCGGCTTCATTGTCGATTTAATGCTGATAACTCTGCAGCCAGCTGTGCACATCGCGTGTGCCAGTACGCATTCTGGGGCAACAATAGGGAATTTTGATCTCACGGACACACGATCGGCACTCACGCTAGCACAGATTGTGCTAGGTCTAGATGCGCACTGCCAGCGGATAGTGTCGAAGTTGAAGCATCGACCAGCTATCGATGCGTATCACTGGAGATCTGACTATGTGAACGAACATGAGGATCAGTGTGACAATGGTGATCTGGGGACACGGGTAGCGCATTGGGCAAGAACAATTGATGCGCGCGGCGAAGGGTGAGCAGCTTGATAAGACATCGATAGATGCATCCAACTCACCTTCCTTCCCTCTCAGAGGCAACAACGAGGTTGAGATTGACCTTTCGACTCCACCCACATCGGAGATGAGTAAACTACCAAGCATCATCGAAAGCCCGGGGAAACCCACGACTACTGAAAGGTATGAGAAGCCCTACCTCGGTGATCGTTCATGACTGATCCATCTCTTCTCGCAATCATAAAGTCGCGGTCGATCTGCTACGCGTGGTCCGACGTCTCAGACCGGAAGTGACTCCAAGACGTCGCGCACCGGTGTAGAGCAAGACAGCGTGAAGTCACAGAGCCTTAAAGACGACAAGGCCTCGCAAAAGTCGGAACCGAAGGGTCGGAAAAGCAGGAGTGAATCTGCCACGCGGACCGATAGATCGAGTTCCAGGTGAGTGTACGTGCGGTCATATTGTATGCCACTGATTCTGTGTCCAGATTAGCGAGGACGACTTCAGTTGCATTCGACGGGCTGGTGACGCCTGCGACCTGGCTGTTTGAGAGAAAGGCTTTCCCGATTGGTCTGATCAAGGTGCCTGACGGCGCTGAAGATGCGGACGAAATCAATCAGAAGATTGATGTGTATAACAAGGTTGTCATTGAATTTGCATGGCCCAGTCGAGCATGGTCAACCCTAGTGGATATTCCGATTCTGCATCAGATATCAACTCCTTGTGCTGATTTAAACCAGGACAAAATGCCACCAGTAGACAAAGCTGTTCAAAAGATTCAGAGGGTCTTGTTCGAGAACTATTTGACATTTGCACCAAATCAGAAACCAGCCAAATTAGATCCATCGCATCTGGCCATCCTATCGAGTCGATTCTCTACCATCCTCTATGCATCGGCGGGTGCTTATGGCCGCCATGTAGCCTTGTCTGGTCTCCCTGTTAATGAAGCGGAGGCGAGATATGACTGGGACAAAATGCTTCTCCAATTCTGCGTCCCAGATTCTGACCGCATTGTTTCACCATATGTTCTGTGAGTGAATACTCTAATTACAGCTCTCATCATCGAGCTCACCTTGGGATATGCAGGTTTGAACGAGAGCTCACCTTCCCTCGAAACAAGGCTGTGGATTCCATCAGCGACCATGACAAGTCACCGGAGCTGCAGAGAGATTTGGCTCAAAAGCAGGTGGACTTGGCCTTAGGCTATCGCCACCATTGCTTGACTGTGCTGTCGTCACCTCGATTTGATGAAGCACCAGCACTTGTGCAATCTCAGGCAGATGCAGCATCCAGTCAAGCTTTGCAATTTTTTCTTCAGCTCAAGTCAGTTTCTGTCAAACCTGACAAGATGCTTGACACTCTTAGAAATCATGCCACCTCAGAGCCACTCAGGGGCATATGTGATGCCATTGTGGTCGGCCATATCAAGGATGCTTTTGATGATAAAGACTCTCCCGCCACTCAGAGGTTTCTCAAGAAACAGGCTCTTGTACAGCATACCTTGACGACGCAACTCAAGGACAAGGACAAGTCATCTGATGAATTGGCATCTCAGCCTCCTTCGCAACCGTCAACGGGAACACCGGCGGCTCGCCCAAAGAGAACAGCCTCACGTTCTCGGGCACAGGCCGCGGATAACATTGACTGGCAGAAACATGTGGGTGATCCATTTATCAATTCCTGCAGTCCCTTGGTTTTGCAGGACCCGACCAAGAGCAGTGACAGACCTCGGGACGTCGATCCAGAAGCGATTACAAAAGATCAGTTGTTACTACCAGTGATGGTTGTGGAATACAAACGCTGGAATGAGGACCAGGCGAAGTCCCTTAACCAGGGACGGTTCTACTGCGTGGCTTCAGTCACATTCCTCGCGGTGCTCGGCATCGAGGGACACCCGGTCTTCGCGCTGGTCACAAATGGGGTGGTGGGCGCTGTTCTGCTTTCGTGGCAGTCACCGCAAACAAAGGCGAGTCCATTATTTAATATGATCGCAACTGGATCTAACCTCAGTTGCTTTGTTATCGCAGAAAATATATGTCATAGAACGGAATGTCTGCACGTTCGACCTCTCCAAGCCTCTCCAAGCATTCCACTTCGCAACATTCCTCATCCGGCTTCGCGAGCAGCACGAGAAGTTGCAGGCCCTCTTTGAGGCCAAGAAGACGGAATTTAAAGCAAAGGTATCTGCGCAGCAATTCGAGGAGTGGACGATGGCAGCACAGGATGTGCTACTGAGGGCTCAACGGGCGGAGGCTGAGGCTGCCGCCGCTTCGCGAGCTGCGGCTGAGGCTGCCGCCAGTCCCAGCGGCGCTTAGCCTCCTGCTAGTGATATCCCAGCGGACATCTCTCCCAGCGCCTGATCATTATGCCACCGATGTCACTGGCACTGTGGCGCAGAGGTGGAATTCGGGGTGTACCCTTTTCTCAGGCAATTGATGCCGTTATGCTCTCATGCTCTCATCCAAGTTCTTGATGTCGCTGCACTCTTACGGTCTTATTCACGTTGCTCTCGATGTCGCTATGCTCCTTCACTTTTATGTTTTGATATGTCTATGTGTATCTGTGGTTTTATACATCCTGTCTAGTTAACTAAGAACTTGTACGTGTAACGCAGGATTTTGGATCTCAGGGCGGCACGGTCAAAGGTTCAGGGTATGTGCAGCCCTCGATAGGTATCTAAGCCCATTTCCGAGGTGCCGACAGAAAATTATGCTCGTCAACAATAGCTTACGGCTGGTGATATATCATTGCGATACAGACTGGAGCGAACGGACGGCAGAGTAGTGTACACAGTGGACTACTGCATCGGCCTCACGTACCATCTGAATGAACAGGCAAGCAGCAGGGCTCAGGACGCATCGGGGTTGTACGCGCTGGGTCGACAGGGTGCAACTTCGGTCAGCGTCGGCGTGCATCAGTCAGAGGAGGAATTTGGACAAGAATAGGGACCGTACCCCGTTGTCCTCTGGGGGTACCAGCTATCCGTCGCCATCGTTCTCACAACATGTACACCGGGGAAATCTGCGCGAGTATCAGTGCAGTGATACTGAGAAGGGGAAATGCCGTATCAGTCTTGGCAAACTGCCCGCTCTAGTCTGTGCGTCCCACGCGTGCCGCGTGGGACATCGACAGTGTCGTATCGTCTATGCTACCGCCGCAAACCTACCGCCGCGCGTCGAGCCTGCATGCGGCATGGTCAATTATGGAAGATAGGCGGCACCAGATGCGACAAAACGCACTTCGCGAGGAGCGCATTGGTGTACACTGCACGAGGGTCAGCGGAAGCGAGAGGCGGGAGACGCACGCTCGGTCAGAGGTAGATGGAGAAGTATATTATGTCGTGCGAAATGGCACCTCTGCTCGGCCATGGGGAAGGCGGACGTGAGGCGCACCTGATGACGACGATCCCGACAACATTGCCAATATGGCGCGCGTCAGCAGACACACGCGCTGTGTGCGTAGCGGTCAATTACCTCGTCAGCAGGCCAGTATTAGCTGTGTAGAAGACGATGCGGTCGATGATCTGCACAGTACGAGATGGGTAAGTAGCATGCAAATTGAAAGGTGACGCGTACCGTACGTGCCAGAGCTGGTGCGCATTACGAAGGTCATAATCAGTCCGTGCTGTGTCCAAACCAAGTAAAATACATACCAGCTGGTCCCAGAAATTAGGAAAACTGAGTGCTGTTTGAGTGCCGCTTGAAAGTGTTATGATAGGCTTTCTATCTTCAAGTTTCATTCTCTGGGCGGCTACTTGGTGCCTCCATAGCTATGCTCGGCCGATTCATTACGATGAGTTGTCACATACCGTACGTCGCTCGACCATATGCATCTCGTGGCCAGCCGCTTCCAAGAGCATGGATTACAGAATGCCCACAGGCGCGAATCATGCCCCATTGCAAAGCGCATCTCGAAGAGGGAAACATACATCTTCTCCACCCGGTACTCTCTTGATCCACTGCTGGCGTATATCCCACCCTTCTTCGACTGAGCCCTTTCCGTCGTTCTCCGCCTGGCTAGCTCTCTCCAACACAAAATTCCTCAGCTCGCGCATCTTCTCCTCGTTGCCATTGACACCGGCTTCCGCCGCCTCACGCACACGCGCTAGCACTTCTTGCGCGGCGGTACTGCCCCCAGAGTCTGCTGCGATGAATTTGCCCGCATTCTCATTAAGCAGCTGCGTGATTCCGGGCAGCTTGTCAAGGTAGGGGTCAGCCTGCTGTACGGCCTTATTCCACGCATCTTGGGAGGATGCCTCGGTGAGTTTTCGGAGAGCCTCGGTCTTGGATTCAATCAACTCTTTTGCTTCGTTGAGGCGCTCTGGGCTGAAGCCCTTCGAGAATATGTCTTTCACCTGACGCATTCTCGCAGGTAAGTTCGCTCACGTTTACTATGATGTACTGCTCATATTACCTGACGCGCTGTATCGTCAAAAATCTTCTTCGCTTCAGGTCCCCTCTTCTCTGCCATGTTCTTTAGTTCATCATATCCTCCATCGAGCTTCTCGGACACCTGAGGAAACTTCTCTGCAAGTTTCTGCATCACGTCTTGGCGAATCTTCTTCCCACCCTCTGGAGTTCGACCATGCGTCGCTTGACAACCTCCAGCACCTTTATACCGATCTCGACATCAGAGCCCTCTTTTCTCTGTTTCAAAATACCTTCGACTTCATCATACGCGTCCCCTAGGATCCTGTCCACCTCACCGCGATGGGTGTCATGCAGCTCTTCGAGGGAGTCGAATGTCGCGTCAACGTATGAAGACGCGCCTGGGATGAACCCTGCGTATAACTTCGCTGTGCTCCTCAGGAACGTGAGGTTAGGGTTCTTCGGCGCATTCTCGACAATGGCACGCTTCGTCTTCGCATAGTAGTTCTGCACAACCTTCGAAGCGTCCACCGCCTGCTTGAACCCAGAGAAATAGTACCACACGTAACCTGAAAGGGATTATTCGACCGAGGTCCTCTAGGACAATTGATTCGAAGGGACAACTTGCCCCCTGCAATGACGACCGTTCCGCCTGCAACGCCGGCTCCTACATGGCTCCATATAGCAGACGAGGACGACAGCTCTTCAGATACGGTTGGGTAATACTTTAACGCAGTCCGTCTACCTGCCGCACGACGAGCTGCGAGTCGCATAGAGTTTGCATTAGAGACACGGACGATGGGGAATCTCGAGGATGCCAGCATGATGATCAGCCTAACAGCAACCGAAGAGCCTGAGGTGATGGTAGAAGGTGGAAAAGTCGTGTTTACGCATTGTTCAGAAGGTCTGGTTTACGTACACGTCGGACGGAGACGATTAATCTGCAGAAGAAGGTGGCCGTGCGACGCCAGTGCATACTGAAACGATTTCAAGGCGAACGGTCACGTGCAGACCGCACTGTATAAACTTGAATGCTGAGCGTTAACAAATGCACGGAAGTCGTTTAGAGACAGAATTTTCGACGAATATGCTAACTGAATGCTGAGCGCGTGGTAACCAATACGCGGAGGTGATTTAGAGAAATGACCTTCGAAGGAGATATATACGCACATTGAGTAGCACAAACGATGACACCGACCTAGATCTCGCTCTTTCCCTGCTCGAACGGCTCATTGTAAGCCTGCTCGTAACTATCTGCCGGGGTACTGCCGTCCATGTAGAGCTCACGAATCGCGTCGTTGCCTTGCTTGCACGCCGGAACCCCATGCAGTACGCGATTCTCACCCTGCTTCCGTGCCCCCTTGACTAGCGCGGAGGTGCGGGGGATGCGACGTTACTCGAACTCAGTGAAAATCATGGAAAGGATGGAGGTAGAAGGGGCTTGGGCAGATGGGTTATGTTTCGCCAGAAGCCGCACTCAATGATAGATGTCTTCGAATGCTAGGTTCGCGCCCTGCCCAAGGTGCTGTCAAAATAGAACCATGAGCGGATATCAACACGCGAGCAACACCACGGGAGACGCACTGGACTTGTCGGATGAGCAGCATCTCCCAGCAGCACGACCCTATCCTTGTGCCAGGTCTTCAATTTAGGCCTCTCGTACAATCCATAGTGCCCACATATTATGTGAGACTTTCGCAACCAACAAATACGTCGGACATACCTTGACAATGGTCTTTGCATTAGAGACGAGTTCTCCTCCACCAAATCCCCACTTGTTGAAACGGCTTTCTCTGAATTCCCGTTGACGTTCTTCGTCCATTGCGCGCCAAGTCTCCTTGGCCTCAGGTTCTTGCAAAGTAACGCTGCATCCAACTGTGAGTTCACCTCCGTTAAAAATGGATAAGTACTCACGCCCAAGATGTCTGCTTTTCGTTGACCTGATAGAAGACCATGTGTGCGCCATTGCCGTATAAATTTGTCACCCCAGGACGGTTCAGGTAAGCCTTCGGGGTCGGAGATGAGCCGCCAGTCTAATGTAGCATGGCACTCAGACGGCGTACTGATGTCAGAAGCGTTTGAGACAGACCTGTGTGAGGCCCGTAAAATCGGCTTTCTCCTCACCAAACAGGCTGATGCGAGTGTTGCTGTGCAGGCCATCGCAGCCGACGACAGAGCTGGCAGTGTCGATCTTGCCATTGGCGAAGACGACTTCGACACTCTCCTCAGACTGCGTGAGCCCGACAACTTGGTGTCCCCGGACAATCTGCACGCCGTGGATGTGCGCTTCCGCGACAAGAGTGCGGCAGAACGTGGGACGATGCACGCCGAGCAGACACATCCCCGGCCCGACAAGCTCTGGCAACATCGAGGGCGCGTCAGTGTCTGCGAGGAGGCCTTCGTCTTCCGGAACAGAAGAACAGAAGAAGAGATTATTGAGCTGCAAGCCAACAATCTTGGCGCAGAAGCCTGGAATTAACGACAAAACGCGCAAGCCATTCGGTTGCAAACTACAGACTGTTTTTAGCTACATAAGACAATAGCCCAAAAACATACCACATCGAGAGCCCCTGATCGGTACATTTCTGAAGTCGTTCATATACGACCGGCTCGTAGCCCTTTCCCTTCAGGAATATGGCTTGGACAGGCCCAGCGATTCCACATCCAGCGATGATAACTTTGGTTTTCGACGCCTTCAGGTACGATTGCGAGGCAACTTGGTGACCATCGTTACTCAGGTAGGTGCTTATATAGTATCCAGATGGTCACAGAGGTCGAGACGCACAGCAGGCATTCTCCTCTACAGAGCGCATACCGCACCAGCCAAAGGAACGTGCAAACGCGTTACACGTGATCGCGGCTAGTCGCGGCTCCGATGTTGAATTTCACCCGGAAGCGTCCAAGACTCCCGGGCCATTGAAGCTTCCTTTGATTCATCACCTGGACTTTTCTATTGAACAAGCTCGGACAAGCTCTTGTAAAAAGTTTGACTGAAGCAACGATTGACTCTGATTGACTCCGTCTCATAGTGGGAACCACACACCATGAGGCCCTGCGTCATGGTGGCGCATTGGCCAGATATGCTGTCTGGTAGAATGGCAAAGACCTCAACTTTTCTGTGCTCGTTCTCAAGCCTCAGGCTTTGCTGTAGTCATAAATCAATTGGTTCTATTCGACTGTGACAGCATTGACATTTTTGGCACAAGATCCTCCACGTCTCAAGACGGTGGTGTTGCAAGTCCGGGTGAGGCGCACAGACCAATTAATTTGACATTTCTGCCGTCGCTGCTCATCGTGTCTTCAACAACGAATTGGATCATAGGGCTATCACCCTCGATTCGACTCGCCATTTTTGCTGACAAAGGTTGAATATACTGGTGACAGTCATTAGATTATAATAATACGTCATTTCGGAGCTGATCTTGTTTTCTCTTCTATCTGTAGATTTCGTGACATCAAATCATAGTTGAGTGTGTCCAAAGACTTAAGAGGAGCCTTCAATTACCGCAGCTACTGCTCAGAATGGGTATATCATTTCTGGATAACGAGAAGGGGTATAGCTAAGGGAGCAAGCAGCACGAGGATATGTCCATGGCCAGGGCGTGGACGGCAACGATGAGCAGATATGAAAACCCATCTCCGCCGTCACGCACACGTACCCAAATCACTGGCAGGAACTAGTCCCCGTCTCTGTGTGGCCCGCCCGGGACAGTACAGAAGACCTGACAGCTGCCAAAGGCTGTCGTTTGCGACGTGGTGGGAATAGGAGCCATCGAATGGTCGCTCGCTTTACTGGATCATATGCATTCAAAATTCTCCTCCGAAAACCAGAACACATGCTCAGCAACTGTCAGTCTGCATTATTAGCACGCGAGACGACATTCCGCAATGATCAACCGAGTATAAGTGTTTCCCCCACTGCGACTGATCAACCGTGCCCATGCGGATGGATATATGGATCTTGTAACTGCTGACCTCTAGGACCCCAGTGCTTTTGTAAGTTGTGATTCGGGTGCAAAGGCGCAGATAAGTAATGTATTCTCTTTGTCTGATCTTCCTCTCTTGGGTATTTTTCATTCGTCTGAAGATCGAGGGTGTTGTTTTAGCCACCGCACAACTCATGCTGGTCCCAAGAAATTCTCATATGTGGGCAATGGAGGTGCATCGCTGAGTTGCTTCAGAACTTCGTGCAGTCCTTTCTACCCATCTAGAGCTGTTCATCTCTCTCCGGTTAAAGAAGGCGTGTCTGGGGGAGCAGCTTGCCATCCTATCGCAACTTGCGCAGGAAATGCGAAGTCACTGGACTAATCAATGATATTGCAGTCACATAAGCTTGCCACACCACGAGTCTCGTACTTTTTTTGTTCCGTCCAGCTGTCATCGCCACGCATTGCGAGATCCCAGATACTCCACCAAACGTTCGCAAACCGGGTTGGGCGTGCACACAATTCCTTTGCGTGCTTGTTTATGAGCTAGCGCGGATGCTCAAATACCCTGGTAGCGCGTCTCAAGCTCCATTCCACACATCGCGCTTCACTCGTATCGCACTCTAATCATGGCCTTTGGTTCTCTGCTCTCAACTCTTGTGCTGGCCCTCGCGGTTGCCGCAAGCCCGGTTGCGATCCCTCCGAACAGTTTCGTATCGCTTCCGCTGGCCAGGCGCTTCAATGCCACTGGCACTGTTAACCTACTCCAAAGGGATCAAGCTCGTGCTGCCGCCCTCAAAGCCAACGGCCGAGCAAGATTGCAGGACCGCTCAGGCAGTGTCGCCGCCACGAATGATGCCATTACCTATACCGTCCAGGTAAGGTTTTAACGTATCATTCCATATTCGTCTCTGATACGCGTTACTTTCACTCTAGGTCGATATCGGCACTCCGGGCACCTCGTGTGAGTATACGGTCTGGACTCTCTAGAACGTCAAGCTCACATTATCCGACAGACAGTCTCTTGATCGATACCGGCTCCTCCAATACGTGGGTCGGTGCGGGCAAGTCGTTCGTGTCCTCTCCCTCCACTGTTAACACCGGAGAGAGTGTAGTAAGTCTTCGTAGATGCTATGAGGCTAGTTGCGCTGAGAGTCGACCCCTTCAGACGGTCACCTACGGCTCTGGCTCCTTCTCCGGTCTGTGATTTTCGTGAAAGTGAAATCTCGCCGTCACTGAGAGCTACGCATGACAGGTACCGAATATGAGGACACCGTCTCTCTGGGCAACGGATTGACAATCAGAAACCAGTCCTTCGGCGTCGCATCCCAGACTGGAGGATTTTACGGTGTTGACGGCGTCATTGGGTAAGATTTCAAGCTCTCTCAGAAAGCACTAGCCTTGCTGATCATGTTCCTAGTATTGGCCCTGTAGATCTGACTAAGGGCACAGTCGGATACTCGGACGCAGAGATTCCCACTGGTGTGGCTGCTTGTCTGTCTGAATTGCTACCCTTGATGACTTCCCCGTGCTAGTCACCGACAACCTTTACTCTCAGGGAGTCATATCTGAGCACCTTGTTGCGGTCTCGTTTGAGCCCACAACCTCCGAGGGCGTCACGAACGGTGAGCTCACCTTTGGTGGAACCGACTCCTCGAAATACACCGGTTCCATCGCTTACACGTAAGTGCACTGACCCTCCCGAAAACTCAGCTCACATGTGTCCTACAGGTCTCTCACGACCACTTCTCCTGCCTCCTACTACTGGGGCATCGATGAGTCGATCGCCTATGGTTCCGAGACCATCTTAAACAATACCGCTGGTATCGTCGACACTGGTACCACCCTCATCCTCATTGCCAGTGGTAAGTGGTTTCTACAAGCCACTGCGAGCCCTGTTAATATCTTCTGCGCAGACGCCTACAGCAAGTACCAGTCTGCTACGGGCGCCGTCGAGGATGAGGGTACGGGTCTACTACGCATTACATCGTCCCAGTACAGCAATCTCAAGACCCTGAACTTCAACATTGGCAGCGAGACCTACGGACTCACCGCCAACGCCCAGATCTGGCCGGTACGTCTGTTGCACATCGGCGCTTCTGTGCCCCGCTGACAGGCGCTCCCTTTAGCGCTCGCTGAACACCAACATTGGTGGCTCCCCGAGCGACATCTATCTCATCGTTAACGACATCGGCAGCCCTTCCGGCGAGGGCTTAGACTTCATCAACGGCTACACCTTCCTCGAGCGGTTCTACTCTGTGTTCGACACTGGCAACAGCCGCGTTGGCTTCGCCACGACGTCTTACACGAACGCGACGACCAACTAGCGCTGAGCTGTGACACGATGGCAGAGGGCGAAATGCAAAGGTAGAAGGAAGTATCTGGGTTTGGATCTGCTTTGCGAATGTTTGCATACAATTTTGGTGCAGTTGAGAATTTGAGGGTGTATACCATTGTTCGGATTGCTGAGCCTGACGCCTTCTGGATTCGAGACACCGGTCCACTTACCGATCAGCTGCTGTGTCGGAAGTATCACCGTGATGGGTGCCGGTGAGTGCTTGAGCAATGGAGCGGTGATTCGTAGTATTAGTAGGACTTCTACTTCTTCTGCTGATCGCTGCATTCCATCCGGTGTGTGCTACATCTCGAATTCCAGTTCTTCTGTCATGAACGTCAGAAGCATTGATCAGACGTGGCGCCTCAACTGAATCATGATGACAATTAGCTGGCGGCAGTGCGATCTCTACACTTGCAGACCTATTTTCGTCGGACAGAGATTCAACTCGAAAATTGATGATACTGTATGTGCATGTACTGCCTCTTATTCTCGCTCGCTCTCATTTGTCCATCCGTTAGTGGCAGAGCGAGTGGGTGACGTGTGTGCAGTGTCGAAACTTCATTTGATGAGCTCGAGGTGAGGTTGATACCTCCCCTTCCTTCGCTCCAAAATTTCGTCCCCTCGATCTTCAGTGAGTATATGTTTCTTTCCCCATGCTATTAGTACACGCAACTCGCAGAACACGCGCCCGCAGTCGCCGCCGAATGTATTGCAAAACCAACGTCGACGTGGATCACAAAGCTAAGTTGATCATTTAACACCATCAATCGAAGACGGACGTTGTCTCTTCCGCTCACTGGATTGTCACATCAACGATCGAGGCCGAGTCGTCGAAGGTTCTGACATGGCCGCGTTACATATTCCCATGTGTCTTGCCCGGATTGTGTCGGACCATGTCCACATTTCCTGCATGTTCGACTTACGGTTGAGTGTGAGTGGCGTCTGCCTGGATGCCTACCCGACATATTCTTATGTGCTCCCATGGCCTTAATCGATGTGCACGCGAGGTATTCGACTTGTGCAGCATTGGCGTTCCTCTCGGGCTTCATAACCCTGGCGCGCGACGTCAAGTCTCCTCATATAAGGCGTAGAGAACTCCGGGGTGATAGTCTCAAAGGAGCGGAGAAGCTCGCCACGAAGAGGACAACTCACCATGCATACAGTTTGAGAAGCAGTGTCGATGCCGGACTCGCTTTCAGTCTGCTGGGCTCAAAGCCGCCCGTGACGCATCTGATGAGAGTATTCAGTACCTTGTTCGCATAAGCAACGCCCCATCTCCGACAGGAGCAAGGTGTATATCGCGGTGTATCTGAATCCAGGGAGTACACTGTTGCATAAGCGTGGAGCCAATCACTCACATATGTAGTATACACACACCATCCACGAAGCCAGCGCTAGGTACGGTGTAATGCTCGCTCATCGAGGGGAACCCTCTGGACGACGAAGCGCCGTTGTAATTGCTCATCATCGGACGGCCCAGTGTCTGCAGCCCTTTACTTCATCACGGTTGCAGTAACCGGGGGTATGACAAGCTCCAACGAAAGATCTTATCATACTGGGCTCAAAGTTTGCCCGAGCGTTGTTTGCATCTCGCGCAAGACAGACCGTTAGCAGCCGCCCGACCGAGTTGAATCGAAAGCCTCCCGCACACTCGGCGATGGGACCTGCGCGCCGCCGAGAGCAAGAAAAATGGTTCTGTAGCCGGTGTGAGAGCGCTCACTAATCTTCTGCAGTTACCAGTATACCCAGGATCTTGCATCGCACCTCGGTTTTTGACAAACATATTCTGTGTAATAATCCACAGAAGATATATCTGGTCTTGGCAACAACCAGGCTCGGGGTTGGAGATGACTCCATTAGCCACGCAGAGAGTCTTCGTTGTGGTCCGTTGGTGAAGAGTGCCGACAATAATGAACGGTATGCCCCCACAGCGATCTTCACATCGTTTTGCGGCTCCTGGTTCTTGCTCCCTGCGAGATCTACCTTTTCCTGCGTGATGATAGTCTCCCAAAGCCAGACAGATAGGTTGACGAAGTTCAATGCGAACTTGAAGAGTGCAAGTATTGCAAATGTCAATGAAATCAACGGGCGGGGCCGCGGTTCACGTGCCGGCAAATAGCGGGCGCCTTCTGTCGCCAGTCCTGCCTCTGCTACTGACGGTCTCGCAGACAAAAATCAAAATACCAGCTACTGTGATCCGACCTCGATCTTGCGAACAACCATGGAGAGGGTACATTTCCAACAGGAGCAGGTGCGCTACATCCCCTCGTCCGAACTCACCAAAACCAAACCGCCGTACCCAGATGCTCGCCGAGCTCAAGGACCTCGTGCAGCGAGGTCTCTTCACCCAGGTGCGTCTTGCCCCGCTCCCCAGCACACTACGCCGCATTTTCATTTACGCAACGACGCCCGCAGAAAGAAGCGAAGCAGATACTGCAGAAGCGCACCGCGTTCGAAACGGCGCTCGTGCGGCGCGTCGCGAAGAAGGGCGACTTCCTGCGCTACGCGGCGTACGAGATGGGGCTCGAGGCCCTCCGGCGAAAACGCGTCGAGCGGCTCAGTGCGTCCCCTCCCGTTAAATAATATTTTCGCATTCTAAAATTTGAGCGAGCAGAGCAGGACACGGCGCCGCCGTCCGTGTCGGACTACGCGCTCGTGCGGCGGCAGTTCCACATATTCGAGCGTGCGCTCAAGAAGTTCAAGGGCGACGTCGGGCTGTGGATACAGTACGTACGGGTGGCGAAGAAGGAGCGCGCGCGCGCGCTCGTCGGGCGGATCACGGCGCGGTGCGTTTGAACCCCACCTCCCTCTCGGCTCGACCTTCGTAAACTAATGACTTTTTTCATTATTCATGCTCCCAGCGCACTGCAGCTGCACCCGAACGTCCCTGCGCTGTACATTCTTGCCGCGTCGCATGAGCTGCAGCACCTCTCGCCGTCGACTGCTCGGGCGCTGCTGCAGCGGGGGATCCGGCTGAACGCGGATAGCGTGGAGATGTGGAGGGAGTACGTGCGGATGGAGTTGGGGTTCGTGGAGAGTCTTCGGCGACGATGGGGTGTGCTGGGGATCGACGTCGCGCAGGGTGACAAGGGCAAGGGCAAGGAGATGGAGAAGGAAAAGGCCATTGATGAAGGGCTGCTGGCCTTCGAAGATGAAGCAATGGGAGAAGGGGAAGATGTCCAGATGGCAGCAGACCAAGAGGAAGGTGCTGAGGACGAGGCGGCAAGGAGAGAAATTATGCAGGGTGCGATCGTCAAGTCCGTGATGGACAATGCGGCCAAAGGTATGTCGTCCTTCCTGTGCTTATCTTGCGGTAAATTCACCGTCCGTCCAGCACTCCCAAAATTCGAGCTGTTCACGTCATTGCACGACCTGCTCGTCATATACCCTTGTCCGCCGGAATTGCGTGATGCTTTGCTCGAGCATCTCTTTGTCCTTCTGCGCAGCACGCTTCCCACCGATCCGGCGGCGATAAAGTTGTCTGCTACGCGGTATCTTACGCCAGGCCTAAAAGGCGAGGCGCTGATCGACGCGCTGAAGGGAGCGAACGAGCAGCTGGTGAAAGCGGTGCGCGACAATAGCACCTCCAGCTCAAGTCTCGCAGCGGCGTACGTCACATTCGTGAAAGAATGGTGCGAGAAAGATGTTGACGACACTCTGGTGCGTCCAGATTTTTTTTCAACATGCATATCTAATTAATCACTGGTATGCGTCTCTTCTCTTACTGGTATATGCGCGTCGCTCGCGGAGCAGAAAGGGTATCTCGTTGCGTCTTTGCATATGCTCGCACAGCGCGATGCAGCCTCGGCAGCGCTGATGGCGGCAGAAATCAGACTATTAGCGTCATACCCGCAAATCCACCCGTTTCTCCCACCCAGCTGCAATAGCATCCCGCATATCCTTCGGCTGGCGAGAAAATACACGCGAAAGGCCTCTGGAGCAGAAGAGATGTGGATCGCGCGGCTAGAGCTTGAAAGCCAGTTCACAGAAGGTAAAGAAGCGTATCAGGCGACGTGGGCAGAAGCAAGGGAAGCGGTCGTCGAAGGCGACGGGGTGACGACCGTGTGGCTCTGGGGGCTGGAACGTGCTCGCGAAGCGGACGTGGAGGCGGACGTGGAGCTTCTGGAGGTGCGTGACACGCTCGCTGCGCGTGCACTGCGAACTTCGTGCCGTTGCGCGATTGTGATGTGGTGCTTATTGGGCTGATTCTTCTGCCGCAGACCCTCCTGCGGGAGAGCAAGCGAATTACGGATCCGGCTGCGTGGAGTGCAGTCCATGAGGTGCTACTGGTGCGGTACGCTGCTGCGGTTTTGGCCCTGGCAGACGGCGACGTGGCACGACCGGGACCGGGAGAGAGAAGTACGCCAGACCGTGCCCAGCTTGGAGCGGCGACTGCAGCGGCGCGCGCGGGCGCACGCGTGCAGCGAGTGCGACATATTGCTACATCGTATCTGCCCAGCGCAAAGGTGTGGGCGCGCGTGTTCGCGCAGGAGGCTGCAGCCATGCAGTCGGGTCTGCAGGGCGATGCAGATCTAAAGGTGCTAGAGGAGGTGTATGAGTATTGGAGGAGGGAGGACGGGGTCGCCGCCACGGCCGAGTGGGCGAAGTTGCTGCTGCGCCGCGGAAAGGGAAGGGAGGCGCAGGCGGCGGTGATGCGCGCGCGGAGTTGGTTGACGGCGGACGAGAGCGGCGAGGTCGAGCGTCGGTGGGCGATCGATCTGGAAGGACCGCCGGAAGACTCCGGTGCCGCCGCGGCAGCGTGTAACATTAGGTAAGTCTCCTTTTGGAGATACCGGCGGCAATTTTAGCTCTTACCAGAGTGTGACAAGGGCGGCCAAATGACTAATGGGGAGAAGGCGTTGCGTGCAAACAAGGCTGTCCACGTCGGCGACAGATGTGCCTTGCGCAGTGGCTGCCCTAGGTGATGATTGCTGAGATGGGGCTCATGCGTGGCAAAAGGAGCGTCAAGATTGCATGCACGTTCGGTTCCGACGCTCGGCCGTCGTGCAGCCGGAGTAATGGTAGCAGCAGCTGCGGAGGAATCACAACGCCCATCATGGAAGGCATGTTACAGAGTACTTGAACGAGTATGTAAATGCGCCACCAGGCTCGGCGACTACTCTCGGGGAACAATGGATAGCGGTGGAGCGAGATAGACAGGGAGTCGCCGTGCGAGGTGGCAACGAGTGTGATTGAGTAAAAGGAAGGGGGAAGTCAGAGGACATCAGAGGGCGGGAGAATTAATATCGACGAGGCGCGAGACGCACATGGACGGTGAGCATGTGCATGTGGGTGATTATAGCAGGGAACGGCGATAGATGTGATGTGCATAGCAATGGTGGGAGCGGGCCCACGAACGACGGAGATGTTGCGCTGGAGTTGCGTGGAGATATGTTGGCAAGAGAACATACGAGCAGAGGAGTGGCGTGTATGTTTGTCGGGCAGCTGGCGGGGAACTAGTTGACTGGAGGAGGCGGTGACAGTCTAGGCTGTGACGCGTGACATGATGCATCCGGCGACACGCGTGGTGCGCAGAAGCACGCACCATGTGCTGCCACTTGACTCCGAATATCTGCATTCCCTCTCTCCTCCATCGCCTTTCTCTTCTCCCTTCTCCCTCTCCCGCTCACGACCTCTCCTCCTCTTTCTCCTCCTCCTCGCCGTCGCACGCTGCCCAGGGCCCCCTTTCATCTGTAAGTCTTTTCTTCATTCCTGCCGCTCGACCCCTCTCTGATCGCGACACGACCACGCACATCACTCGTTATCCTCGCCTCCTTTTCAATCCCCGCAGCTTTGTCTGTCTGTTGTTTCGCTAGGCTTGCTTCAATCCACCTCGACGCTGCAGGCCGTCTCTTCGCCTGCCCCGTCACCCAGCAGAGTTCCAGTCTGACTGGAGAGAACCGCTCCCGTTCTCACCTGCATGCATATCGCCAGTCCAGTCGTCACCAAGCCGCTCTGATATATCTCGCCCATTTCTCTCCCGAGATCGGTGTGCAGAAGACATATCTAGGCTCATCTTCTGGCTTGTTCCCTTGCGCTCATGTTGCAGTATCCACTTCAGCTCCCGCCGCTCTCGCTGTCTTCCTCGAAGCGTGTGCCCACCCGCGCTGGCGATGACTCGACCCCGGGCCACATCCGCAACGGCCATTCCGCCCTGACCCACAAGCGCGTCACCAACGACAAGCTCGTCGCCCCTCGCCAGTCCAACTCTTACGCCATTCCCCTCTCCATCTCCGCCGCTCTGTCTGCCTCGTCCTCTCCCTCCTCTTCCCCCGACGCCTCCCCTTACCTTTCCCACAAGCAGATCCCCCGTTCCCCTCTTGTTCTTTCCCATCGGCAGCCCTCCACTCCCGTCTCTCGCTCTCCCCACACCCTCACCTCCAACCTGCCCTCCATCCGCGACGACTCGAGCAGGCACTCTTCTTTTTCCTCCGTCGTCACGGATATCCTTTCTCAGGGCGACTTGGTCGGCGACGGTCTCTCCCTTCAGGGAGAGACGATTTGTCGGGTCCCGATAAGCTCATCCGAACCGCGGGTCGACTACGATGAACCGGCGAAGGAATTCGAGGTCGTTCGTAAGCTTGGCACCGGCAGCTACGCTGTCGTGTACCTCGTCCGCGAGGTTCTTTCCCGTCCTCTGCCCTCGGACGACGGCCACTACGCTGTTGGTCGCTTGGAACTCGACGAAGGACCTGCCAGACGCCCATCCGTGGAGTACGGTCGCGAATATGCTATCAAGCTGCTGTCCAAGGCAAACCTCGACAAGGAGGCTTTGGACGCTCAGATGTTCGAGGTACGTCGTTCTCGATGATAATTGAAAAGCTTCTTGTCATGACTATGTGCCCCCAGGCCACCATTCATCAATCGCTCCCCGCTCACCCGAACATAGTCACTCTTCATCGGACCCTCGAGACCCCCTCCTTTTTATTGCTTCTACTCGAGTTCGTTCCCGGTGAAGATCTATTCTATTTCTTGGAACAGTCTCGTGACCACTACCAGTCGGATCCCTCCTTGCCCGAGCTTTCGACCTCGTCTTCGGACTCTAGCAGCTGCAGCTCTCGTACCCCGCCAACACCCAGCCTCCTCTCCTCCCTCAACCCAGGACAGTTGCTCTCGCGTACACGTCTCCGTCTCATCGCCTCCATGTTTTCCCAGATGTGTGAGGCAGTGGCGGTCTGCCATGAGAACTACGTCTTTCATCGCGATATCAAGCCGGAGAACTTTATTGTGACCGACGGATGGACGACGCTGTCCGACGGCAGGTGTGAGCGTAAGGTCATCGTCAAGCTTACGGACTTTGGACTTTCCACCACCGACACCGATTCGGCCGATATGGATTGCGGCAGCGCTCCTTACATGTCTTTCGGTGCGTTCGATTTCCCTTGGCTCTCGTGCATGCTCTAATAGCAAGCATCAAACAGAATGCAGAAATAACATACACCCTACTTATTCGCCCCGTGCTGCCGACGTCTGGTCACTTGGTATCGTGCTTATCAATATGTAAGTCGCTCGCCCAGTCCGTGCTGTGCACAGGTACCTGACGGCGTGCTTGCCAGGTTGTATCACTATAACCCCTGGACAGACACCACACAAGGCGTCTGCCCATCCTTTGAGCTTTTCCGCAGGCAGCCGGTGGAGTTCTTCATGAATCGCTTCACGGGCATGACTTCACCCGTCGCGGAATTCCTCGCAACCAACGTCTTCTGCATCCTCGACAGTCACCAATCCGACTCGCAGCGGATCAGCGCCCGCGCCTTTGGCACCTGGATCAAGGACCTGCCATCCCTGCTCGGCTCGCCGGCGCCCCGTGGCCACTCGCGCACCGCATCGGTGAGCTCCACCCAGGGATACTGTCTTGCATCCATCCCACATTCCCGCCGTCCGTCCCTTCGCAACGCGCCACCGCGCCTCGAGGTGCCTGCATCGCAGCGTGCATCGAAGTCGCTGTCTCGTGCGCCCTCGCTCGGCCCAGCGTTCGAAGCGCTGGAGTCCTTGTCGACGCTGGCAACCGTCCTTGACCAGGACACGGAGGAGCAGGAGCAGGATGGTGAGGTGGAGCCGGAGTCGCGGTCAGCGTCCACGCACAAGCGGCGCAAGCGCGGTGCACGCAAGGGCAAGGGATTGGTGCTCTCCCCAGTCTCGCCCATCCCAGACAGAACGCTCGACACGCTCGCCGAAGCGTCGCAGGCGCTCGCGCGGGAGATCAGCCGCACGTCGCGCTCGTCCCAGGTACCACTAGCAGAGACTCCGGTATCCGTTCCCGCAGTTCCGCCCGTTCCGCCGGTCCTCGCGTCGCCGCTGCCCCCGACACCGACGACGCCGACGATCTCCAAGAAGCCGTCCAAGTGGAAGCTCAGCTTCGGCAAGGGCAGCAGCGCCAGTGTCACCGCTGCCGCCAGCGCGAAAGCCACCTTTGCGGAGGAGCCGGTTCCTGACAGTGGCAAGGCGATGTCTGCTACGGCCAGCAACGTCACGAGCCTGCTGATGAGCCTCAACGCGCCCGCGGGGCCTGTGCCCGTGCCGGAGGTCGAGGAACCCGAGTCTTGGGGCGTGCGCGGACGACGCGCGAAGAACTCGCCGTATGGTGCGCATGCGAGCCCCAATGCGTCTTCCAGCCACACGTGGGGTCCGTCCTCGAGCTCGCCCTTTGGCTCGAACGCCCAACTCGGAGAGCGCCGCGCGCAGAATGCGGATGCGCGCTCGCAGCGCGCGATCTCGCCTGCGAGCACGCGCAGCGGCCGCCCGTTGGCCTCGAGTGCGAGCTCGATGGCGTCGTCCAACTGGCGGAGCTCGATGTCGAGCGTCGGGACGTCCTCGTCGTCTGCGTCGGCCTTCACGCGGTACAGCAACGGCAGCACGCGGAGCGTGTCCACCGCTGCCACGAGCGTCTCGTCCAACAGCTGGCGGAGCCAGCAGAGCAAGTACCCGTACGACAGCAAGCCCCCGCAGATGCCGTCGAACGTCAAGTGTGAGTGTTCATATCGTCTTATCGCTCATTTCCGTGGGTGTGTGTGCTGAGCGCTGTTGGTTGCATTGCAGTGATGACGGGCACGCCGTGGGAGCTGTACGAGCTGCCGCGACAGATGTACCACAATCCGGAGGACGTCAAGTACGGCGCGCCGCCCGTGCGCACGCGCCGCGCGCCGAAGCACAAGGACACGAAGCTGGACACGATCAGCGAGCGGCCGCACAAGGCGTCGCCGCTCGCGCAGCGGCATGACGCGTCGACGAGCACGACGGAGCTCGACCGTCTGCCGCAGCGCGAGAGCGAGGACGGCTCGTACGAGGGCAGCTCCCCGCGCAAGGTGCAGAAGGGCCAGATCAACGCGCTCGCGAAGATGCTGTCCGCGCTGCGCCGCTGAGACGCGTCCGCTGTGCAGCCTTTCTGTCCGGCTGCTCCGTCTGGCTCGGGTACGGAATCGGAAGATGGACAGAAGGAGGATGGTGCGGCGCGTGCGTACGGCTGGTTGTCTTTTGGGCGGCGCGGTGGCCTCGGTGGTGATGTGTGACAGTTGCATTGTACGGTATTAGTATGGAAACGCCGGAGATGGTCGGTCTGTGGTTGGTGTGCTCCTCTCCTCGCTGGAAAAACCCTAGCATCGCATGTGCGGTATTCGTAAGCTTCCCTCACTCTCACATTCACTGTACCGTTCCTTGCAATAATTCGGCTATACACACACAGCAATGGTTGATTTCATGGACCCTTCATTCGATTCTGCTAGAGGGCATCGCCCACTGGACGTAGCGTAGCGTAATGTCATGTCCGGTTGTGCGGAAATTGTACACTTAAGATGGTGGAATATGTCGACTGGCGTACTAGTATAAATACGTGCAATGAGGTTCCCGAGAAATCCTGCATAGAGCTGGTGCGATAATCCTGGAACATAACGTGCGGACGAGATCCTATGTCTTTGCGGCGATTAAAAGGTGTGATGGTGGTGTTATCGCCCTCTCCCTTCCTCCAGGGACTGCTGCTGGAAGTCTGCGAACGCCATTTCTTGCTCGATCGTTGGGGGACGCGGGGATTCGGGAGAGAGCGTCGCCGTGTCGATGAGGATGGTAGACGCCTCGAGGGTGCGGGTGCTGCTGCTCGTTACAGTCGGGGACGACGGACGGGAAGCGTCGACGTCCATGTCGCTGTCGGACGAACCGCTGCCGGATTGGCCGCCTGGGATGACGAATTGGCCGGTGCTGTGGGTGCGGACGAGGTTGACGTAGTAGTCCTGGAGGATCTCGCGCGTGCACTGCGCAGAGCGAGTGTGGTCGTGCGCAGACGAGGACGCGCGACAAAGCGGATATTTTTCAGTGCTGTGCGCGCGGCGTCGGCTGCGGAGTGTGCTAACCGTGAGGTGCCAGTCTACCATGCGGAGGAACTCGCGCTCGAGCATGTTCAGCTCCGGGACGGGAATCCCGCCGACTTTGGCGTAGACGTTGTTGGTGCAGAAGGTGTCGCAGAGGGCCTTGCTGGATATGGCGATGGAGGTGATGACGAAGCGGTGGCAGGTGAGGGAAGAGAGCGTGAAGAGGGGCGTCCTGGCGCAGATTTGGTCGATGTAATGCAGTGTGATCAGCAGACATGCTCTCTGCCACGATCCCGTCAGCGCGGAGTAAGGAACGCCCGACGGGACTCACCTCGACCTTGGTAAATTTGACGATGCGTCTAAGATACTCTAGCACAGTTATTCCGGGCGGAGTGCGCGAGTGGAAGCGCGTAAGGCTCTCGCTGTGCGAGATCGGTATGAGTGTCACCGGAAATAGAGGACATCTACGTACGGAGACAACGATATTTGATCATTATGCGCCATAAGACGACTCATCATGTCAGCTGGCAGGGGGAGAACAGAGTTCAGAGCGTCGACGTCGTGGGATCGACGGGCTCACCAATGAGCTGGACAAGAATATCCACATCAACTTCCTCAAAGGCAGCCGGCAATTCGACCCTCGCTGATGATTCCATGCACCCACACCCATCGCCGTAAACAAGTGGGGCCGCCGAGTGTGAGTGTGGTCGCGAGCACGCTGGTGGTCGGAGTCGGTGGTCAACGAGTACTAGTGAGGCTCCTCAGACTGATAGGCACATACCGGCAATCGCCGCGTTTGCACCGGCCCGCCTGTAGACCCGCCACATCTGTACAGTTCTTCAAACGCCGTACGAACTTTATATCCAGATCATTTCGCAACTACATCCACCCGTTCCCCTCATCCCTTTCCTCCTCTCGCCATGGCCCCCAAGATCGTAAGGCATTCTGCTGCACGTTCTGGTGTTGTGCTAGGTCTGACGCTCCCGCAGGACCCAAACGAAATCAAGATCATCTACCTCCGGGCGATGGGAGGTGAGGTCGGTGCCTCGTCGGCCCTTGCACCAAAAATTGGCCCTCTCGGTCTCGTGCGTCTCTCTCCACCCATATCGGTATATGCTGCAGTTCATGACACTTGCACCCTCAGTCACCAAAGAAGGTCGGCGAAGATATCGCAAAGGCAACCTCGGCGTGGAAGGGTCTCCGCGTCACTGTCCAACTAACTATCCAAAATCGTCAAGCAAAGGTCGACGTCGTCCCTTCCGCCTCCTCTCTCGTCATTAAAGCCCTTAAGGGTAGGTATTTTTTCCAATATCCGTCTGTTTATTAATATTTCATGATCTCGTCCATCTAGAGCCACCACGAGACCGCAAGAAGGAGAAGAACATCAAGCACTCGGGTAACATCACTTTCGACGAGATTGTGGAGATTGCGAGGACGATGCGGTCCAAGTCGCTTGCGAGGACACTTGCCAACGGCGCGAAGGAGATTCTGGGAACTGCCCAAAGCATAGGCTGTACAATCGACGGCCAGACCCCGCACGATGTCATCGACGCGATTAACTCGGGGGAGATTGAGGTACCAGATGAGTAGACCTGCATACTGCAAATCTGTTGTACTACATATGTTTTTCACGTCTATTATGTCTCCGTCGCGTGTGTATTTTCGGCATGCCCTTCCGCATTCAGTTGCCTTCTTCCGCGCCACTCGATATCTCAACCCTGGGTCCAGAGAAGCTTCGCAGGATGGTGAAAACCACGTTTCAAACTACTATGGGTCTAATGCTACGAAATCGGCCCTACGTGGTCTTCGAGAAGGACTTTTAAAACGGAACGCTTCGTCTTACCCTGTCAGGCCTGGAACGAATACTCTTAAGTTCGGGAGTAACTTGGGAAGCTACCTCAACCCATAGACAAACAGCATCTTTTCCCGTCGAGCGTGCCACGATATGATGATCACCCGCTACCAGCTGGATGGTGGGCACATCAGACCGTTCCGAGGACAGTGCTTGCTACTTATTCCCTCTCGGCGCACATCTCATATGCTCAATGCGCAGCACGGTGCGGCCTGACGCTGTCATAGCTACAATGATACTTACCATTCGTGGACATGTCTCATATAGTGTGTAATGTGTCAGACAGAGCAAAACTCGCTCTTTCCCTGAAATTGACATATTTCAGACTTGTCAATCTCTCTGTGCATCCTAAGTCTTATATTATTCTAACAGAAGGTGTGACAAGGTGGTTCTGTAATATCTAGATACTTTCTGGTCTCAGAAGTGTGGAGGAAAAATAGTTGACATTGAGGTGTATCAGTGACCGGTCCTACACTGTGGTAAAGAGTAAATAAAAACTCTCGCCTTGTCTTCAAGATGAAGTCCTTGTTTTTCCACCCGGCTTGGTCCTTCCAATCTTACTCTCCGATCAAGATACGATCCCCAGATCGATTCTGTACTCTCCCGGCTCAATCCTTCTTCCGAGTCGAACACTCACGGCGATGCCAGTATTAATGGCAACTTCTCATCTCAGTCATACAGATCCCATGTTTCCTGTCTGGCATTCAATGTTCAACACAGATGGCGCCTATAGACGTACGTGTACGTGTAGAAATCACTGATTACCGGAGGAAAGAAGACACGAAAGAACCAAATATTAGTCGTCATGTCCGACTATGGTATCCCAGGCACCTCCAGAACAACTCTCTGATGTAATACATCTCTCCATCTGCAAGTGGAGTCAGGGAATTCGCCTGAAGAGCCCGGCAATGCCACTTTGGTCGACTCAACTTCTCATTCCTGTGCAGCTCCAACCACATCACTGTCCGCCGCTGTCTCGCGGACATCATGGGGGTTAGACGCACTCGTTCAATGGCGGAGAGCGAGCCTTATCAATAGCTGCTCCTTGTCTTCTCGGTCTAGCTGTTCCGCCATCGCAGTCTTCCTCAGCCATGGCCACTACCAACCCGTTGCCGACGCATATGCCCAACCCCTACACTCCTTTGGCATTTCTGCAGCCTGCCATGGCCAATGACTTTGAGGGTTCGCGTTATCTGTATGTTGCCACCCTCTCTGTGAGCATAGCAAATATTATGTGCCGTACTACGAGCTCGTTGACCGTTCCCTCAGGCATTCACCTTGGACTGGATGATGGCATGGCCGGACGAGTATAGGATCATTGTCAAGGCTCCAATTCGTCTCTCCAACATCATTTATTGCATCTCTCGGTAGGCGCCTTCCTGGCTAATGCTTAACATATCACTGACCCGGTGGTAACATTTAGAATCTTCGCGTTCACCTACATCCTGACAAATACTATCTTCCAGAGTATGTCCATCTCACCGTCATAATACAGATGTACATAACCGAGTCTATCTCCACAGTCGCTTCGGTAGGCTCTTGCCAGGCCCTTCAAGTTGCATTGGCCTCTTGCTTCACCGTCGGCGTCCCAGCTACCTCTGCACTCTTCTATCTTCGCATCTGCGCAGTCTTTCGTAACTCTCGGCCTATCATCATAATTTTCGGGCTCTTATGGCTTTCGATTCTCGCCACCTGCCTCACAATTCCATTTGCTATCGGAGGCACACATATCGGGACAACAGACAGATGCATCAATAGCAAAGTGAAACCGTTCAGTTCCTCCGCCATAATTACCAACACTGTCAACGACACGTTCGTTTTCCTGGCTATTTCATTCCGGCTTGTCTCCTTCTCGATGCAAGGCAACACCATTGGAGATCGATTCAGGTCGTTCGTCCGAGGTGACGGACTGCCAAAATTCTCGAAATTGCTCCTCCAAGGTGGTCAAATGTATTACTTGTATGTTCTCCTCGTGCTCCTCTTTGTAAACGCTCAGATGCTAACAATACTTCCCCATATTAGCGCCACCGTCGCTCTGAACATCCTGACGATGGCGATGATCCTCTCGCCGAGCATGTCGCCTGTCTTCCGCGCGATGTTCACTATCCCGAACGTCGCGCTGGAGAATGCCATGGCGACGCGCGTGTTCCGCGCGGTTCACCTGGGTCTCATCTCCGATGTGGACACGTCCCCGCATAGCTCTGGCCCGTCGCGCGGGCTCGCATGCATGAACCACGGCTCGGGCAGCGGCGCCCACCCCAGTCGCGGGTCCGGCTGCGATGTATACCCGCTCGAGACTCGCGTGTTCGACCACCACGTCACGCTCGGGAACCACATCCAGATCACGAAGACGATGGAGACGCACCACGATGTGGATGACTTGCCCGCGAAGCGGGAATCGCTGACGGACGTCGAATCCGGGCTGGGTCAGGTTTAGGCCGCACTCTCCGGTGCTGTTCTATCCATATCTATTTGGGTGTACTTCTACACCTTTCGACGCGTTGCGCTATATATTCGACTGCGTGTGAGGCATACGGTATCTCTTTGATTACTGGCTGTCTGCTGATCACAACATTTCTTGAACTAGTGTATAATGGAGATCTTACTGCTAGGTATGATAAAAGTATCTGTATGAGGAATACCGTAACATAATGGCTGAGAACGAGACTTCACCCAGGCCACTCGCTATGGCGGAAGCGTTGCACGCCAACTTATTAGTCTCGGAAAGTGACGATTTATTGTTATTTACCTCAGGCGATATCTCTCGGGACATCCATCGTCGTAGAAACGCTCGCAGACCTAAGTCTACTCCCAACGAGATTGCCTGGGAGACTCGAATCACTTTCGGAGATGCTGTAATTACTCTGGCCAGCGCTTTCTGTCATTTGGGGCTCCACAACATATGTGTCGAAAATCTGTTTAAAACGTGTATTTTACTGCTTGTAACTCGAGGGCTTGAGCTTGAGCCCCGCAGGTGTTTTAAACTCGATAGCCTCGTAAGGAGTTTTACCCGGAATAGTCGGCACAACGTATTTATGACCGTTCGACCTTTGTCCCCTCCATAAGCGTGACGTTGATGTGGATAGAGACGTCTGCAGGCTTTTCTCTTTTGTATTATTTCTTTCTCTCGCTTTCGGACGCTGGCACGCTGTAGGCACGACGGTATTATATCCCGGAGAAATTATGAAGCGACTGAACCAGTCGAGGAACGGGGGGACAGCTTCGTCGAGTTTTGCTTTTCGCTTTAATAATCGCGGCCTTGAGGTGATATCTACTCTGCAGCTGTGGGCATGATATTCACCAGGTGGCGGAGAGACGGAATTCCCTTTCTTGGTAACCCGCCGGGTGGCTATCGATCTCCGAACACCGGCCGAACCACTGAACTGAACTCTCTGCCAACTATTCCCTGCGTGTCGCTGTATTTGCTTTCTTTCGATTGTATTATGCCAACCATGCCTCCTCGAGCTCATCGACCGGCATTGACACGCACTCATTCCCGCTCGTCGTCGAACGGTTCCTCCAAGATGGGCCTTAATCTACAAATCACCCAGAAGGATCCACCACCTCCTAGAATATCCGACAAAGCAAAGAAGAACGCGCACTTATACCACGAGGTAACGTCGGTGAATTTTTTAAGATGCGAATGGGGTCGTTGACTTTCCGTGGTAGCCTCCTGCACGTACCACGTCGCCATACCCACGGACCAACAGTGCTCATCACCTCCCGACGAGAGAGCAAGGGCCTTTGCGGAGGCCACCCGCGTCACAGGCCCTCACTAGTGCTCGTACGAATGGCGTGAAACCGAAGGCAGATTTCAGGATTTCTAGTCCGTCAGAGGGCGACGATGACGACGAGTGGGTGTCCAGTGAGAGTGGCGCGGCCACCCCGAGTGCTGGGTACGATTCCGAAGAGGGCACTGCTACTCCTGTTGACCCTCCGAAGCCGCCCACCGTCCAGGCTGATGTTGTACAGAAGGATGGACCGCCGACTCCTCGTGCGGAAACACCGACTCTTCCCCGTAGCGACACCGCCCGCCAAGTGCCGCTCTCGCCGATGAAGGCCAATTTCGCGCAACCTGTGCATGCTCAGCAGCAACAGAGCAAACCGCAACCGACTGCAACAGAACGTCATGATCAGCGCCGGCCACAAGTGGATGTTCCGTCCCAGTCGCAGCAACAGCAGCAGCCGTCGCCTCCCGTCTCCAAAGCCCTCTCCGAGACTCACTCTCCTCCACGCATATCATCCCCTGATCCCCCCAAACGCCAATCCATGACACGGCCGCCCTCCACTCATTCTGTCACCAGTAGGTCCGATGCCGCCCCGTTACGTCCCCATCCCCTCATTCGCGGACACTCGTACGGGCACAGTGGCGCATTACCGGCGAAGCCCGCGACACTCGCCCCGCTCACCGTATCATCGGATGCTGCCCAAGCTCAGATGTCGACCGTGTCCTCCCCATCGAGCCTCCGTGCCGACTCGCCGATAAGCATCAAGACCACATCGGCCTCGCCGAGTACGTCGCCCTCCTCCTCTCAGGCGCACCGACAGCTTCGGCGCACATCCACCTCATCGTTGCGCTCCATGACATCCACCGCAGTGCCTCCATCCGCTGTCCAGGCGCAACTTATCAAGACGCACGATCGGCAGCGCACGATGTCCGCGATGTCCTCTACTTCCTCGTTTGCCGCGCTATCTAGCCTCGCGATGCGTTCTACGCCATCCCCTCCGCGCACTCCTATACATTTTACCTCCCACTTCCCTCCAGCTGAGCAGACCAGTGCTGTCGAGTCTGTCCACCCGCTATTGCCCCCACCGTACCTCAGTGCACATTTGACCGTGCTTGCATATCGTAACCCTATTGCGGAGTCGTACGATAGAGTGATTCGTGCGAAGCAGCGCAGATGATTGCTGAAGGATCTATTCGCTTTGGTCGATTTTCGTCCGCTCGTGTAGTCTTGTACGCTATCGCTTTCTGCTATATGCACTACGCTGACTCGTCCTGATATAGCTCATGTGTAATACCACCCACATGTTCACTGATCTTCAATTTTTTAGCTTCATGTTATTATTTGCACCCCCTAATTATTGTCGTGCTGTTCGTTCGAGAAATTGTCCGATTCTTCAAACTCTCCGGCAAGCCGTTATCCCCGGCAAGATCATTCAATGTGTCGCCATACCGCAGGCCACAGGATAAAGAAATTGTGCTGCAACTGTGGGGAATACGCTTCTGCTGTCTTGCGTCTACCATTGCCTTCCCGCTGATGCGAATGGTTCCGGGTATGTTCTCTTTGTGTGCTCTCTGTTCAGTTGATCCTCTACTATATTCATCATCTCTAGCGTTATCGCATCTATGGAGGTGGTCTTGATTGACAAAGTGAGTGGCGTTGACTTTGTCTCACGACTGACCCCGGCGAACCAGGATTGCTTGTGGACTTGCTTGGACCTTGCTAGCCGCATGGTTACGTCTGATTTTCTGGGGCAAAACATTAGATACTGCTGAGACATCAGACCAGAGCAGTTGGCTTTGATTCGATCCCAAATACCTGAAGCTTCCCTTCTCTCTTGTTGCGTGGTTGCCGTATCAGCTTTCCGTCGATAATCTCAGTTGACTGTATATATCTGTCTTGCCCGACCCACGTTGGGAAGCCAAGGATGGATCGTTCCACGCCACACCCTCTCTGGACGACAGCGTGACGAGAAGGCCCGTTATCTCAACGTCGGAAGCACCTGTAACCAGTCTGGGCCCCGGTGGGTCTGAAGAAGAGATGCACTCTGTGAACATGACTTACTTGGTACAGTGGTGTCGATTGGACTGACGGAGGTTCCGATTTCCTGGATTTTCAACATACGCTGATACTTCGCACGATCTGCGTCAATCTTCGACATGACAGTCCTGGCGAAAGTAGCCTTAGTTCTTCTGATTGGTGTGACCGTGTTGAGCCTGTCGACATCCCGGCGTATGGTACCTGCCTCCTGGCTCCTCTGACGCGAGATCTCATGCTCGAATCCTACGCCTACATCTCTGATTAACAGCCAGTCTTTGCTGTGCCGCAAACTATCTCGGCTATATTCGTGACTGCTCTGGAGGCTGATGAATTCACATGTCGGTCGTTCGTTATCTTACACTCTGCTGGAATTAATCTTGTATCTTCTAGCCAAGCTTGAGACAACGATGATCAGTGTGTAGCTCTCACTCCCTATGAGACATTCAAGAATTTTGCACTGAACACACGTGGAGAGGCTGGTTACAATGCTTTTTGATCATCACCAGCGTACGACCTATTAGCTCGTTGAAAACGGTTGCAATTCAGATCGTGAGTATAGGCGGTGTCAGTCATTCGCAGATCATGCGTGCAAGGTGGTCGAACAATGATTCTGTTGATAGTTCGCAAGAGTGGTGGTGCACGTCAAGTGAGTAGACATTTTGTTGATGAGTGGATTACTGAGATGACATACGAGATGGTTTCGCTGGTGTAGCAATGATATGCATTCATTGGCTCCATCGATGGGTAGTTGCCCGTCTTGGGGATATTGCACAATTCCAGGGTCATGAAGCTTTGAAGCCGGACCAAGGCACCGCAAGTATCCGGACAGATGCTACTTGCGCTCAACCATAAGTCGAATGCAGAAAAAGTCACTGGCGCGACATAATCCGGGCGAGACACCTGGAATATGTAACGCGGCCATATCAGAATCCTCGACGATTCGGCCTCAGTCCAGCGTACCATATCGAGGTTCCACAGGAATTCGTACAGTTCGCGTTAATCGGTCCGCGTTAGTCGGCGTCACTGGAACACTTACAAGAGAGGGCTAAAGCAGTGGCGAATACCATTAATGGTCCTCGTCCAACTCAACGCTGTCGAGAAGCACGAAAGCCGAGGTGCGCTGCGAGTCTCCCTCAGGTTGTAGATACTCTGCTCCAACGTTTCAATCTTCGTGCCTCACGATATAACGCGCGCCAACTAGAACCAAATTCTACCACATGAATTCAGCTGCGCCTAGCAGGAGACTTGATGCCATCTCTCGCATTGGTAAATTTGCGTCGGGCGTTAAGAACGCTGTGCAAAAAATTTACCACGAAACATATAAGCAGGATCTGTAGCGCTTGCGGGCCCGGGTTCGATCTATGTTTTCTTTGCGTTTTGTTGCTTTAACCCCCTCAAAGCGAAGAGGGCTATGCCCGTGTACGGTTTGCTTGATGTGTTGCGGCTGATCTGTTCACTGTCTACCAGGCGAGAGTGCAGCGTCCGGCTACGAAGGTTGTCCAGCCTGCCGTTCACCCTTGATTCCACGCTCCAACTCCTCGCCACATGCAAGCCTGCTCAGCGCATAGTCATCTACAGTACGTCGGATGACTATCGTCGCTCTGGACGCGTCTAACGGCTCCGGGATGAGGTAAATCACTGTCCTCCGGCTCGGAAATAGGTCTGCAAATGCGACTCCGAAGAGATCGCAGCCAACTTTCATCATTATTCGGTCAAGGCGTCACATCAACGGCTCCTGAGGCGGCGGACGTTCGTGAAAAAATGGATCTCGAGGTAAGTAGCTCGGTCCTACTTAATCACTGTTCCATTCCTCATGCATCAGGTGACTCTCAGACACAACAGCTGAGCGGCACCTAGCGGCACTTGGCCCAGGGTCTCGAACCTGGAAGGCGTCAGGCTCAGCAATCCGGACAATGGTATACACTCTCAAAATCCAACTGCTTAAAAATCGTACGGAAAACGCTCGCAAAGCAGGTCTAAATCTAGACAGTTACCTTCTGCATTGTATTTCGCCATCTGCAGGAGCCAGCTTCGTGCCTAGTTGGTCGTCGCGTCCGTGTACGAAGTCGCGGCGAAGCCAACGCGGTTGTTGCCAGTGTCGAACGCAGAATAGAACCACTTGTAGAGCCGCTCGAGGAAGGCGTAGCCGTTGATGAAGTCGAGGCCCTCGCCAGAGGAGGTGCCGATATCGTTAACGACGAGATAGATGTCGCTCAAGGAGCTGCCGATGTTTGTGTTCAGCGAGCTCTACAGGCAGCGCCTATTAGTGGGGCACAGAAGCGCCGACGCGCAGGGGACGTAGGCGTCGGTGCAGAAGATATTGTCGCTTATAGAAACCACTCACCACTGGCGATGAGGATGAGGGTGACCAGCGATATTGCTTAAGATGGCAATGCGGATGCCAAATCGGGTGAAAATCACCAGTAAAATCGCTCGCCATTTGGTTGACAACCCCCTATTCGGCAGGTGATCCAGAGCAGAACCACTCGCTCTCCGAGTACTACATTCCGGGCAACCACCGGGTGATGTTTACTCTGAATATGAAGCAATTCACCCATTTAATGGATATAATTTTCAGCATGGTGAAAATCACCTGTACCCGAGCATCACTCGGATTCCAGGTGATTGGCTTTTTCAACCCGGCAAATGGATGACTCTCACGTGCTTGAGCCTTCCATCACAGTGAGGCCTCGGAACCGTAGGTGATCGACACATATACCCCAAACACGACCGGCCAAAACAGGCAGATTACAGAGAGGGAATTGTCTTGAATGCATCTTGAGCTTATTGATGTGCACTCAACAGAGAGTTTTTCTCACAGGATACTATGGGTTACCACTCACTCGGTGGATCCTGTAAGTTGGCAGCCCCCATAAGTCCCCATATAAGGGAAAAATCCAGGGTAGGTGCGCATCTTCTCAGGTCAAATTCCCGCTGCTTAGAACATTTGACCCGAATCCTCCCTATACATGGGATAACTGCCGACTTACAGGGTCCGCCGAGTGAGTGGTAACCCATAGTATGTTCGGCCTGAGACGCCAGCATCACACGCTAGTTGCCATACATGGAAGGCGATCCGACTCGGTCGGAGGATGGTACAACAGTCCTCCGAGTGAGAAATCATTGCAATCAATCTTTTGTCCACCTTTGCAGTGCGATGGACAGTTGATGTTCATTAAGACAATTCCATCTCTGTAATCCCCTTCCAACGATAGTTGTCCGAGGCCATTGCCCGTCGAGAGAAATCGGAGGCGTGATAAGTGGACGTGAGAGACCTGTCGGATACATGTGAGCTGATTTCCCGACAAGTCAGTGCGCTTACATGTAAGCGATGGGACCGGTGTATTTTGCGGCGACGGTACCACCAAAGGTGAGCTCAGCATTCGTGACGCTCTCGGAGGACCTTGGTGGGCTCAAAGGAGACCGCGACAAGGTGCTCGGATATGACTCCCTGAGTAGAGGTTGTCGGTGACTAGCACAGAGAAGTCATCAAGGGTAGCAATTCGGACAGACGAGCGGCCACACCAGTACTTGGGATTCACTGCGCTCGACTTCCTGATTGTGCCCTGACTTGGAGTCAGATCTAAAGGGCCAATACTAGGAACATGATCAGCTACGTCAATGCTTTCTGAGCGAGCTTAAAATCCTTCAGAGTTGGATACGGCACCGAAGAACTGCTTGCTGATTGTCGATCCGTTGCCCAGGGAGACGGTGTTCTCACACCTCCTCATACTCGGCACCTGTCATGCGTAGCTCTCAGTAACAGTGAGATTTCACTTTAACGGAAACCACAGACCGGAGAAGGAGCCAGAGCCGTAGGTGACCGCCTGCCAGTAAAGAGGTCAGCTTTGAGCGTAACTAACCTCATAGCACATATGCAGACTTACTACTTTCTTGCCAGTGTTGTAAGCGGAGGAGGAGGTCACGAATGCTTTTTCCGCACCAACCCAAGTGTTGGAAGAGCCGGTGTCTACCAAGGGAGTGTCTGTCGGATAATGTGAGCTCGACCATCCACCAAGTCGCGGGTGCTACATAAAATCCCGCCCATCAGGACGTTTTTTTTGCAGACGGCCCATCGCCGCGCCTGTCCACACTTTTTTGACCAGGGGCTTAACGATATGATCCTTACTGTAACCGATTCTCTCTGTGATTAGTCCACCTAAGTCTCTGTGCGTCTACTGTGCGCCTCGTCCACAACATATCCCGATCATGCGCGGATTTTGCCCACTCCCGTCAGTGCTGAATAAACCATCCCTGGAAGAATTTAGAATACAATTCACATATGCTTTGACAGCCTGAGCACGTGCACCCCGACGTGCATGGTAGCGTCCACGTGTACATGGGCGAGGCGCAGACTTTGGCTTCCTCCGGATATTGCAATACCACTATCGCGCGGTAGCGTCTACTTGTACATGGACGAGGCGCAGACGTTGGCGTCCTCCAGATATTGCGTACCACTGTCACACAGCATCTGAGCTGTAACGATTTTTGAAGTGTCTGTTGTAGCCCCGGCTGACAGCCAATTTCTGTTTAGCTAAGCTGGAGCATTCAAGTTATCTATGAACCGATACGTCTATTTCTTTGTCAAGGGCACGAAAGCCAAGGGGATACAGTTTACTCCGCAAATCCAGGGTGTCGGAACCTTCGTTTTGATTCTCTGCCATCAGTCCGTGAGCACACGCGCACCTGCATTCAAACAATATGCAATGTCTTGCAGTCTGCCTGTCAATACGTTGAACATCCTTGACGCCTCCCACCCACATGTGATGAGTCATTTTCGACCCAGGTGAGTCGGTGCTTCTCGAAGGTTAATACTGATGGTGATTGACGCCCTACCCTTAATATTCGGTAGGTGCAGCAGAGCAACCTCGACGTTGAACAGTTCGATGCCTCAGCTCCACTCGAACTGTGAGGCGACATAGAAGACTGTCAGTCTTGCTGAAATTTTGCACTGCAGGCACAACACACGAAAATCCCTTCGGAATAGGGATGATCAGGTACGTACTGGCATGTGGCTGAACCGTGGTTCCCTTGTAGGAGAACGTGCACCGTCTGCAAGAGAACGGTCCAACACGCTGTCGCCGGAATAAATCCACACTTCAAGAGTACTCTTTAAAGATTCACGTGCGCACATTTACAGAAACCGTGCAGCATCTGCAACTGGCGCTACAAAAATCAATAACACGGCGGTAGAGCGAATTGCCATGACTCAGTCAATCCATTCAATGTCCATCCGATTCCTTGACTTGGCTACGCACATTGGTCGTCTACATCCCGACCTGTGATATGTAGCGCGAACGGTGACATATTCAGTCATGACGCTCATATCACGAGTGCCTCCTTCCGCATGTCGACACCGACAACCACGGCGTATGAGGGCCTACGCGCTAGCATTCCTTCTATAAAGGCTGGCCCACTGTCACTCTTTGTTCTTCAGAGTCGACATTGTCTCTTGCCTGCATCCCCAGCTCTCCTGCACATTCACAGACATGCGTTTCTCTATCCGCTCCACCCTCCTCATCTGTGCCCTCGCCTTTGGCGTCGCTCAGGCGTCCCCCGCCCCCGCCGCTCTCGAGCGTCGTGGGGAAGCCACCGTCGAGGAAGCGACCAGCAAGGCCCCAGACGCTGACATCTCCTACCCCAACTACAATTCAATCCTCTTCTTCAACGGGGAGAACTGTGGCGGTAGCCAGGACACCGTTGATATTGGGGGGCTGGGTCTCAACCAGTGCTATACCCCCAACTTCCCGTATGAATCCATCATGGCGTACAGCCCCAGCGGCAGCACCTGGGACCTCACCATCTTCGCTTGCGAGGGCGGAGACTGCCAGAACTCGGTGCAGCTGCCGAACCTGAATGTGTGTTACAACACACTTTACGGTGGCGATCCCGCGTACTTCTTCACATTCTACTTCGAATCCTGAAGGTATGTGTACCTGCTGTCTCCGATTCTTGTTCTTTCTCACATTTAATCCGTTAGTGGGTCAATGTGTGGCGTCGAGACTTCTTACAATCTCTAGCAGCAGAAGTCCTCTTTGATGCGGTAAGCCACTCCAGATTTGCGTGGCTGCAATAAACTCACTGTTTTTCAAGTTGACATAACAGACGAAGAACATACATTCGTTAGTCTTGTTGGAATGTGGCTTTTCTATCTTCATTTGTACGAGTTTTGTGTTTGGAGTAAATACGTGCTGCCTCCTTCAGTGCGATCCTACGATGGTCCTCCTCGTAGCTCTACTCTTCTCGGTGTGTACTACTAGTTCGATTTGACCTGTGTGAAGCTTTTTGGTACGAAACAGAAATACGATCACGAATACACGATTTTCGGGGTGATAAAGCTTGCAAGCGGAGACGAACACACAAGCCTAATTTGGACTGCTGTGTCGTTGGTCGATGATCGTCCAGGCGGCTGACGTCAGTCTGCAATTTGCTTACGTACGCTATCCGGTATCGCGATCGCCCAACTCAATCCATATCCATAGCGAGCCCGTCTTGTCGCTCTTGTGCGTCTTTCTTAAGCTTATGCTATGCTAGTATATAAGCATATCACAGAATGCAGTAGCCTGCAGCTGTCGTTGGTCGAGATACCACCAAGGCGAATCGACATGAAGCATTACTTGACGCTCATGTGGCACTAATCTATCATTTAGCGGGAGCTGATCGTTCCATGGTATGCCCATAGCCTCTACACTGGCAGCCGACCCTCCTACAGTGAATCTGCCTCTACATGCGCACCACCTTGGACGGCATGTCGGTCATGGGAGCTTTGCACTGGGCTCATTGGATTATTCTGTTACGGAAACCCGCAAGCGCCGCGAAACACCAGCAACCCCCACCATTTTGCTCATGGTTCTTTAAAACCCGGATTGTTGAACAGCTGATATATTTCCGGCCGGGCCTGTAGGACACGCTGGCCGTCTGAGGCCCAACTGCACAATACTCATACACACTGATCGTGACCGCGCACCCATTCATCGCAATCGTGAGTGACCGCCATCCACTGCTAAGACATTTCTGCTAACCTTGTGCATGATTCAAAGTTTCTAATGAAAGACGATGCGGCGCCCCTGTTGGGGTCGATCTGGAGATTGCAGCCCTTAAGTAGTGATTTTTGCTGTGCGAATCACTTGCACCCTGCTAATGACCACGGCTCACGACATTCTTTGCATTATACATTGCATTATAATCTTGCGGAGCCCATTCTTCTTCGGATTAAGTTCACGAAATCCTGTAGACTATACTCACTCCACAATGCAAGAGAGCGGTTACGCCCTTCCATCGTCATATACTGCTAACGCTGGTGATGATGATTGCCGCGCCGGTCCAACGGTGAGCATATGCCGACGCTCTGATGGTGGAGAACTTTCACCGGCAGCTATGAACGCCCTTACACACAGCCCTGTAGAGTGAGTAGATTTTGCCCACCCTTTTTTATCTCGCTATGCGTGCATGCACATTTTCAGATACGCACATCCTCAGATGCGGACGCAGTTAGGATGCTCCTCAACACCTGTGGCGAATGAACAGCTCAAAATATTGTTGAAACGGACGAGAACATTTTCACCCTCGTGCCGTCCCTCCGCCTCGCATCTTTGGTTGCGTACACTGGCCATCTAGGACCCAACCTGTGACCTTGGGCGCAAAGATGAAACTAAGGGCTAGCAACGCTGGAATCACGAGTACATTTTTCCTGCTTTTCGCGCCGGTGCACTCGGCAGACGAGAGCCTACACTCCTCGAGTTGTCTACAAAAGCTGGGACATCGTCTTGTAATTCTCTCCGCTCTCATCGTCTCCGCCCTTGCCTATGGTACCGTTCACGCGGCTCCGTCCGCAGAGCGCTGCAGCGAGTCGTCCGTCGAGCCCGCAGTTAACAAGGCCCCGAACCTCAATATCTCCTACCCCGACTATGACGCGATCATCGTCTGTATCGCAGAGAACTGCAGGGGCACCTGCGATATTATTGCCCTGAGCGGGCTCGATCTCAACACCTGCTACTACCAAGCCATCAACTTCGAGTCCATCATCCCCTACAGTCCCAATGGTGGCACTTGGAATCTCACCATCTTCGCGGCACTCTCCGACTGTACCGATCCCCTCAGCTCGCGCACTTGAACAAGCGCTACAATCTGTTATACGGTGGTCAGCCCACTGACTTCAGCACTTCTGCCTCGAAAGTTGAGGGTGTGTGTGTCTGCTACTCATGATCTTCTTCGTCTTCAGAATGTCCGTTACAGTGGTAGGGCGCTGGGTGATGTGTGGTGTCGGGGCTTCTTTCAATTTCTCCAGCAGAAGTTCTTTTTGATGTGGTAAGCTGATGTGCGCACCCGTGCTGGCATGTGTTCACATCTTTTACAAGGTTACATAGCAGGCAAACACCACACACACTTCTTGACTTGCACATGACACTCTCCTTTGAAGCCTTCTTATATCTCCCCTTGTATGGTTTGTAATTTTCGGTAGAAATGTGCTTCATACTTCAGTGCATTGTTGGCTACGACGTGCGTCCTCATAGCCCTTCTCGAAATGTACTACCTCCCTGTATGCTCAGTTCGGTAGGAGTTTCTTAGAATGCGAAGACGGTTTTCGAGGTGGTAGAGCAGGAAGACGAACACTGTACAAGCCTTATTCGGACTGCAGTGCTAATCTTATCAATGTTTGTGGGGTATGTGCCCGATCTCCGAGTCTCCTAACGTCACCTGGCAGAATTCCCAAGGTATTGTTACCGGCATCACATTCGCGAGATGCACTTTCTCAGCAACCTTTAAAACTCCCACCCGGAGAGTCACTCTCCTCCTCCCCACGACCCAGTCGTAGCCCGCCAGCGCCATGCAGACGGTCATTCTCCTAGTGCTGTCCGTCGTCGGGTTGTATGTTCTCCAGAAGTACATTGAGTTCAGGCAGACGGTCAATTCCATCCAGTACGCCACACGAGTGTGTTCGACTTTGTGGTCATCTTCATTATTTTTCTCAACAGGAACTTTCCTGGATTCCGAGTCTTATTTGGAGTGGGAAATCAACTATTGCGGCACCGTATTCCTCTCATCTCTTTCGGGAACTTCGCTACATGGAAGTATAAGCACAAAGACTTTGCCGACGCTGGGATGGATATATTTTCAACTGTGAGTTCACTTTGATTGACGATAGAAGAACAACGTCAAGCGCCTTTCGTTGCAACATTTCAAGGTCAGCGTCTGGCCTCATGTAGTGACGTACTTCGTTGCAGATGCTCCCGCTCTCAAGGTAATGCGCTCATACTCAAGCTTGCTCTACTTTCTCATCATTGGAAATCTATTCAGGAAATCACGGCCTCCCGGGCGCGTTTCCCGAAGCCATTGTGGCAGTACAAAGTTCTGTCGTTCTACGGAAGCAACATTGTTATCACCGAAGGCGACGAGTGGAAGCGCCATAGGAAGATCACCGCCCCTGCTTTTTCGGAGGTGAGCTCGCTCCCGCGCCCGCGGCTCTGTGCAGACTGTACCTAGCATTTCGTGCGATTTCGTTACAGCGCAACAATAGGCTCGTTTGGGACGAGAGCATCCGCATCGTGCAGGACCTGTGTGGCACCGTGTGGGGCACTAAGGAGGACATCACGATCGACAACATTGTCAACCTCACCGTCCCGGTACGTTGGCCCCGCACTTTACCTGCTCACGGCAATGATAATACTGACCGGGTAACTCCAGATTGCGCTGTTCGTCATCGGTGTCGCCGGGTTTGGCCGACGGATCTCGTGGAGCGAGGACATCGTCGTGCCTGCTGGGCATGCTATGACTTTCAAGGACGCGCTGCACACCGTGTCGACGGACCTGTTTCTCAAAATCGTCGTCCCCGATTTTGTGCTGAAGCTGGACCTCACGACGAGGTTGAAGACATTCCGTGTCGCATATGACGAGCTTGAGGTGCGTCTTTTTCCCCTCCAGTGTGCCCTTCACCCAATGCTTGACTGGCGCAGCGATACATGGTGGAGATGATCAGAGCACGCAAGACGTCAGAGAAGGAGGAGGAGCGGTATGACCTGTTCAGCAGCTTGCTTGATGCAAATGAAGATGAACTCGATGGGCAGACCAAGCTGAGTGACAGCGAGACCATCGGTAATTCCATTATGGTTATACGCGTGAAATTTACTGACGTTTCTGAAGGGAATATCTTCATTTTTCTCATTGCTGGTCCGTCCTTTCTGCACTGCTGATATATTGGTAGGATGAAGTCTGACCCCAGTCCGGATTTCTGCAGGACACGAGGTCGGGGCGGCTTGAATTTGATGGTTTGTGATCCGGCGACTGATCGGTCTGTCTTATTAGACTACGGCACATACACTCGCCTACGCGTTCATCATGTTGGCGCTGTACCAAGACGAACAGGAAATTCTCTATCAGCACATCAAGAGCGTCCTCCCTGACGGCAGAATTCCTGTGCACTGTCTTTCTTTCTCAGCTGGGAAATGACGAGCTTATCTTACACCTTTTCGAAGACGTACGAAGAAATGGGGCTTTTGACCCAATCCATGGCGTGAGGCTCTTACTTCAGACTACGGTTCTGCATTTTGACAACCTCATCAGCGTCTTCCATGAGACTCTGCGCATGTTCCCTCCAGTGTGTCCTCACCTTTCGGCCAGCAGCGAAGAATGACTAACCGAGTTGACGCATAGGTTTGCTCGATCCCAAAGCACTGCGTGGAAGATACGACGCTCCTGACGCGCAACGCGGCTGGAGAAGCTGTGTTGGTACCTATCCCGAAGGGCACGAACATCGTTATCCACACGCCTGGCCTGCACTACAACCGTAAGCGTATCCAGTTTCGAGTCGTTCCTACTTTGACATGGCTGATTTGGTCATGCAGCGCGGTACTGGCCGGATCCGCACACCTTCAAGCCCGCGCGGTTCCTCAGTGACTGGCCGCGCGACGCATTTATGCCGTTCAGCGGCGGCGCGCGGTCGTGCCTTGGACGGCGGTGAGTTTCCAATCACGTACGCAGATACCATGTTTTGACGCTAAGATTATCAGGTTCTCGGAGACCGAAGGCGTCGCAATCCTCACATACCTTGTCTCGCGCTACCGGATTGAGGTGAAGGAGGAGCCCCAGTTCGCGTCAGAAACGTTCGAGCAGCGCAAGGATCGTTTACTCGAGTCTCGGTCCGCGATTACTCTCTAGTATGTGTCGCTCTTGTTCCTTGTAGTTTCGATGCTCATCGTGATTTCTTTCATAGCCCTGTGAAGGCTGGACTTGTGTTCAAGCGCCGATGAGCGTGGCCGGGTGTCTCTTCTTGACCATTATTATTCGTGAATATTCGCGGGTTCTTGTCTTTATTCTGTATGGTAACTGTACCATGTCCTGCTTCCGTTCCTGAATGTAGATGTACGATATAAGTGCCAGCTGCATCTCGAGTGCTGATTGCGTGTGGCGGCGAGTGACGCGGTCACGTGGACGCGTACTCAGGCGCGCAGTGGTCATTTCATGTCACTATCTCCGACACAACGCGCGATCTTCCTGCCGAATTGAAAATCTTAAGAGCTTAAAGGTGCATGAAATACCAGGAAAATTCAAAATAACTGGTGAGATGATATAGTAGATCAGCTACACTAAGTACACTACAACAACAATCCATTTCTCCTCTGACCCAGCTATAGTACAGCTTGTGTAGCGACACTGTTGTCTGCTACAGTGGGGATATTCAGCCAGTATGGTACAAGTAAAACAATTTATGTAATACAGTCACCTCTAGCTTCTAGGCAATACAGATGGCCCCAAATACAAGATATTGTCCTCAGATCTTGACATCCTAGATTCTATGCGAGGGGTAGAAGGTGGAGAGCCCCACCGAGACGACTCACTGAATGAGCAGCGAGTGTGGATGGGGGGAGTGGGAGGCGGGTATCCAGATCGGGGCGGCGGATACTTCAGGAATGAGGTGTCCGTGACAACTCACTTGCGCGTGTGTGGTCTCGTCATAACCGCGGTTGCACACCCAGCTTCGTCTTTGGCGCTGCGGCCCCGAGTATGGGAGGCTTCGAGCCTGCCTTGCATGCACGTTTTCTCGGTGTCGGCGCAGTCTTTTCCGCGTCGCATTCATCTGCGGGAGACCTGCGCTTCCGCTTCGTGCGCGTTGGCTCGCGTTCCTGCTCTTTCCCTCTCGCCCTCTTCGCAGTCTGCCTCCTGGGCTGTACGGTGACAGGCACGTCCTCGGCGTCATCCTCCTCAGTCATCTTGTTACTCTTGCCACTGGGAATGACGACGTCGACGACGGTCGCCTCGCTCCCGCTCAGGCACACCGTTGTTGAGGACGACGACGAGCCTGAGTCCGAGTCCGCTGAGGCTGAGCGCGCTCGCGGTGGCTTCTTCGCGGTGGCGTCTGCAACGGCGGTCGCAGTGGCGGGGTTGGAGACGACGCGACGCGCCGCCTGCCGTGTAGATCGACGAGGCGCTTGAGATGCGGATGGGGCAAGCCTGGGGTGGACGAGTCGGTTGGACTCGTGTGTGACTGAGCCCGGGTGGTCGACCACCATGTCTTCCGCATCTTGCTTCCACTTGAGGATGGACGCCCGAGCGGGAGCTGCAGGCGTATCGGGCGCTGGGGTCGACGGGATGTTGGGCGACGGCGCGCGGGCGGGCGTCGGAGAGACAGTGGTGCGCGCACGGGCGCGACTGCGCGTCTGCATGCGCTCCTCCTTACCCGAGGTGATCCGTTTGTCGTACGGCTCGACGTGCATCAACTCATGTTCATGGCCTTCTGCTGGGTTCGCCTTCAGTACACCGTTGGCCGAGATACGAGCTGATGCGTGTCGCTTCCGCAGTGTCCTGGGCTCCATCTCCGCGACCGTGGCGTGCTGGCTGCTTTGGTGGCAGGTCAGGGCCATGCAATTCAGCATGTAGAGATGCGAGTGCAGGCCGAGGTACATCTCAGGATCGTAAATCAGCGGCCGCGGGATGTCTGTGTACGATAAAGGACAAGCAGGGTCAGCGATCGCAGTGTGGTGCAGAAGAGAGACTGGACTTACAACGGACGGAGCAAATGATCCTGTCGGTATACGCACGCGTGCGCCGTCCCCAGAAGCATTCGTGGATGCGCTGCCGCGGATGGTACAGGATCGCGAGCGCTGCGAGCGCGAAGATGACTCGGCTCTGCCGGTCATCGAGATCGAGCCCGAGCAACGGGCCGACGTCCGCGAGGCGTGCAGGCGGCACGCTCGAGCCCTGTGACCGCTTCGCCTGCAGGCGGGAGCAGAGGGCACGGGAGGTGAGCGCGCGCAGGTACTCCGCCACAAAGGGGTGGCGCGCTGTGATCGTGCCGTCTTCGAGCACACCCGGGATGACCTCGCGATACCTGCGGACGGAGTACTTTCTGATCTTGTTCTGTTGCATTGGGGGGTGGTTCAGGCGGGGACGTTCGGGGATGGGTGATGGTGGTGGAGTAACTCCACCGAGGGTCGAGCGCACCGCGGAGAGGTCGAAGTGCCAGGACCGGGATTGCACATCTGGGTAGTCGTGGTAGACGGATTGCGAAGTCGGGGACTTCGGATACCAAGGAGCCATCGTGTGAGACAATCGGGTGGGTGTGGCACGAGAGATGGGATCAAAGAGATATGCGTGTCGAGGTACGTACAAGTCTACGCTTTACAATGTGGTGCAGAGATACACGCTGGAGAATATAGGTACGGGATTTGGTTTCTCTTGTGGCGGAAGGTAGGAGATGGTGGTGGTAAGTGAAGAAGGAGCGGAGGAAGGGCTAAGCGCGTTTATATGTAGATTGCGGTGGCCACAGCGCGAGTGGCTGACCTCGCGTGGCAGCGGGTCGGTGCACCGTGTGAATTGCCACTTTCAGCGATTTCTTTCTTCCTCTGCGTGCCCGCCCCACAAACAACGTGCTAAATGTGCGCGAATGGCAACGAGGCGTTCACATTCATCCATTGTCTTGCCCGGCCCAAAGTATTTAGTTTTTATCTAATCTCTTAGATCCGACATCTCCAGCCGGGTGGCGCTCCGGAATCTCGATCGTGATGCTTCCGTGGAGGCCGGCAACTCGCCGGCCTACAGCCCTTCGACGAGTACTTGCGTCTGCCATAGAGCACACTTGTATGCAAAGTTATGTTGTAGTAACGAGGTTCAATACCGACAGTTGTATCGACCGACGCTACGAGACAAGTACCAGGAATTCCTTCACGAGAATGCGCGCTCCGAGTCGGATCTGCCGGCCTATTCCATGCCGCGGCAGATTCCCAACAGATGCACCTGTGCGAAGACCAGCAGAAGGATGGCTGTGGAAGACACAGTCACAGGTATATCCCCTCACGGTGGCTCCTCGACAGGTCCGAGCCGCTCTGGACACCTGAGCCAGACTAAGGATTTCCGGCTAAAGAATAACAAACAATACGGAGACAATCGGCACAGAAATCCGCTTGTCCAGTAGCAACGAGTGATGATGTGACGAGTGCTAGGGTGCGCCACAGGCGTCCTCTTGAAGAGCAGCGGTCGCAGACAAAGACACGTTTCTTGTTCTGGAGAGGCAGAGAGACGGCGACGCTGACCAGCGACGCGAGGATAAAGGCAGGGTTGTGGCTGTGTTGTGCACGTTCAATAGTGTCGTTGTCGTTGCAACGGGTGGCGAGTCCAATGGAGAGATAAAGTAGTGGAGAGATAACACTCTGCACGCAGTCTGCAGCTTTCTAGTCGACGAGTAGGAGGATTGATCTGATGATTGCTGCAAAATAGAGTGGAGACGGTCTGCGGGGAAGATCTGAGATTATCGGCAGGATCGCGGCTAGATAAGATTAGATGGGGAGAGTGTGGTCGGGACGGGGGACATAATGAGTGATTAATGTGCCGCCTCGTGTTACGGTCCAGCTCGCGTTTGGACGGTGTGTTTGGGGTGCACACAAGGACGGAGAAAGGAACGGCTGGAAGAGGCAGTTCACACGTGGCGATTGTGGCGATCGGTAGCCACCCGAGGTCAGCCACTTTGCGCTTTGGCCTTCTCCAAAACATATAAACGCCGCGCTTTGCTAGCCTTCCGCTTCTTCTTCACCGACCACCATCATCTCCCCACTTCCCTCGCAGGACACACTTGCTCAGTGCATCTTTCCGCGCCACAGCGTAAAGCGAACCCCGCCTACTACTCACCTTTACTCGCTCATCTCATTCATCCCATCTTCAGTGCCACTGATACTCAATCGTCGCGCACAATGTCCAACTACGCTTCGACATCGACCTGGGGCCACACTACCTACCCTGCCTACCCCAGCTACCCCACCCACACCTATTACGACCACCCGGATGTCGAAGCCGGGTCGTCACCCTACGAAGTTTCCGCCGTCCGCTCGACCCTCCCCGGGGCCACACCACCGCCAAGCCCCATCCAGGATCGCCACCATCCTCTCCCAGACCTCCCCTGCCGCACCATCGACTCCACCCCGGAGTCGCAAGCACCTCTCCCGCCCTCACTCTCCGAGCATGAGGTATACCCAGGTGTGCTCGAAAGCGGCCTCATAACCGCTAACCACCCCTGCGTCCGCGATTACCTTGAGAGGTTTGCGCGATACATCCAACTCTCGGCTCGTGCGTTTGAGAAGCAGCCGGAGGGCATGGCGCGGGTCCCCAAAGCCACAATCGAGGGTGTCAAGCTCATGCTCGGAATCAAGCTCAATGACCTTCAGTGCAGGGCCATTTATGCTCTCGGGGCCCTGAAGATCCTTCCCGTGGGCACCAGGCACGACCATGCGTGTTTTTGGGGCACGCACAATCGCAAATACACGGACGAGGTCATCCTCAGCGTCCTCCGTACGTCCTTTCTTTCTTCCATTCCGCACTGGTGACTGACAACGCCTGCTCCTCGTCGTGTGCAGGCATCCCAAAGCCTGTCATCTACCACGACAGGCTATACCTCGGCCTTGCATGGAACAACTTCATGCTCAACAGCTTCGCGGATACGTACTACCCGGAGGTATGGGGCAAGGAGGAGAAGAAGAAGACGGGCATGACGCTCCGCAAGCGCAAGGCCGCACCCGCGCCAGCACCAAAGGAGAAGGCCGCGCCCCGAGCTCCCAAGCGGCCACGGACCGAGGTGCGGAAGGCGGTGGCCCCGCCCGGGGAACGCATGCAGACGCGCAGCCGGGCGCGGGCGACCACCAGTATGCCGCCCCCGCCCATCCCGGGGGCCTCGATGCCCACCGCCGCGACGGCGATACCCGTCTCCGTCCCGGCGCCCATGCCCACGCTGAAGGAGGATGTGGAGGATATGGAGGACGTGGCCGTCGACGTGACGGGACCTGTGGCCACAGCAGAGCCGTCCCGCCTCACTACCCCAGCCATCGCCCCCGCCCCCTCTCCCACTCCCGCCGACGTCGCTGTCCCCACTCCCGCTGATGTCCCTGTCCCCACTCCCGCCGATGCGCCTGCTCCCATTCCCGCTGACGCACCTGCCCCCGCTCCCGCCAACGCGCCTTCCCCCATTCCCACCGACGCGCCTGCTTCCGCCCCCGCCACCACTCCTGCGCCCGTCCGTCGATCTTCGCGACAGGCCGCACGTCGCGCTGCGTCCAGCGCCATCGCGACCCCAGCAGTCGAGGTCGTGGAGACGAAGCCGGCCCGCGCGCGTTCCGGCACAGTAAAATCGGACGCGTCGACGACCGCGACGGCTGTGAGCCCGAGCGGCAGCGAGGAGACGATCGTCGAGGTCGCCGTCGAGGGCAAGAAGGGGAGGAGCAAGAGCAAGAGCGTCGAGAAGGACGCTGCGGAGGCCGCCCCGGCGGCGAAGGGGACAAAAAGGAAGGCTGCGCCGAAGAAGGGCGCGGTGAAAGTCCAGGAGGAGGAACCCACTCGTGGGAAGAGGAAGCGCGGGGATACTGATACCCCAGTCGAGCCGGCGGAGGAGGAGCCAGTGGAGGACGCCCCGGCGCCGAAGAAACGGGCGCGCAAGGCGCCGCAAAAGCCTGCCGCCGACGAGGTTCCGGCTCCCAAGAAGAGGGCGAGGACTGCGCGTACGCGCAAGTGAGGCATACACCCCGCCTCAACATACCCGAATATACCTGAAATACCCACCGCCCGCCCGGGAGTACCTTGCCCTCCCTCCGCCACGCGATACCCGCTGGTCGCCTAGCGAGCCCTCCAATCCCACACGAAATCTAGCGTCTCAAGATCTAATGACATCTTGTCTCAATACCCATCTGTATCGCTGGAAGTGAGTGTATTATAATTGCTCCTGTTGTACTTGTACGTGGATCGTTGGATATCTGTACTTGCGTGCTGGCCTCTGAGCTCGTTAATGGATGTTGTAATTGTACCTGTAATAGGGAAGAGAGATTGTTGTTGTAGTGTCTAGAGTAGCTCTGATCTATCATATCGTCTGCTTGCTCGTCTTCGATTTCGCTGTGCCTGTTGTGAATCAAGCTTTTAGGCATCGCTTCGAGCGCTGCTTTTCTGCCGCGATGGGAAGATCGATCTTCCCAGAGACGCGTATTCGACGCGAGGCGTGGCTACCGCGCGCCTGTCGACGCGACCACGTGACCGTGTCAACACTGGTTCAACCTGGTTTCGACTCAGGGAGCGTTCTGTCCGCCGGCGAACCTGCTTTTGCGATCCAGTCACCATTCTGCTTCTGCGTTATATGAGGTCTCTCTGAGCTCTGCTTATGTCGCCGGTATGGTGGTGCTCAACCGTGGTCTGACTGGTTGGTACCAACCCACAACATGCACCTTGAAGGTTGCCGCGTGAGTGTCAAACTGGGGTTAGAGATCATTTGGACGATAGAACCTGCCGCAAAGGCTGTCGAAGTTTTGTCGACATTTGAAGTAGCATTGCATATCTCCCCGATGGTAATGCTCCTGCATTTGTACCTGCTAAAGGGGTGCTATGGGTGCAGAAGGCTGATTGGGACGACAGTAGCCCGGTGAGTCCTCAACTCTGCATAGGCGATCCTTCTTCTCTGATTTAACAGGTGTTGTTGTCAGTGGATTGTCCACGATCAAACTCCCATGCGCGGTCCTGCTCTGAATTTTGTGTTGTTTGCCTACGGCCAGTAATACGCGGTCTGACTGTCCACCCTCTACTGTCCTACACCCTCACCGCGCGTTGCACATGCTGCGTTATCTACTCGATCCACTAATCCGATGCCGCTCAGACTTGATTGGGCGCGTCGGAGACCAGAGCTTTATCTCCCAGGACGAGTAGCCTTGATTCTGCCTCATCAGCGCCGCTGTGCCAGCGGGAATGCTGTTGTTCGGTTCGGATCAAGACTCATACTCACTTGAGACCGATTCTTCTCGAGTGCTAGCGCAAACGCTACAATGTCCCCCTGCCGGTGAAGCCTGATTTCGCGGATGCCGGAACTTCAATATTGAGTCGCATTTTCGTTCCTAACGCAGGTGCATACTTTTTTGTACCAATTTGGTCTGCTCAGGAAGCCTTGCAATACGAGTTCACGGACATCTACCTTTTTCTCGGGTCGGAGATCCAGGATAGTTTCAAGGGTGGGCCGCGGTAGACAGCATGGTATGGGCGGCGACAGCATAGGATGGACGGCGACAAGTAGCCGTCTCTTGGATCACGCCAGTTGTCATGGCGCATCTGGGCCAAGGACCGCCTAGTTAAAGCCTTCGTCGTTGATACGGGTTTGCAGGTGACGAAATGCCGGTATTGTTTTGACGCAAAGTGAAGCGCGGATGCGTAGTGCTGCATGGTAGGCGATGTTCTATGCAGCGGTGGGTTTCTCTATGGAAGGGCGATATGTGGGGGCTCATCATACATAACTGGTGCCTTTTTTGATGAATGAAAACGCGACTCACAGCCTAGTGTAAAGTTAGATCCTTCATGCTAGGGCGACAAGTACTGCGGCGGATAGCTAGGATCGTGCTATTCGGTGAGCTCCTACCCATCATCGCCACCATCCATTGACCGGCTTGTTTGTTGTAGCCTGAGTCGTGCGTATTGGTTCTTTTGCCACAGCATAAATGTCGCACGAAGTACGATCTATCGTGCGGAGTATACTTGTGGATCCTCTGGACGTTTGCCGGGGCATACTCAGAGAGCCTCGTATCATGCCCGTACATAATATACGTCGCCTTCGGCGTCACATTTGCAACCGTGGGCCGCCACGAGACGTTCTCGTCCTTCGCCTGACGCCCCGTACGTGCTCACGCGTTCCTTGCCCGCTGCCTGATTAATCACTCATCTTGTCCCCATCTTCGTCGTTAACGTCTTTCCATCAGCCCTACTCATGATGACCGCTGTCAGCGGTCAACATGGCTCGTCCATATGGATGTCCCCTGTCGGAGAGGCGGACTGGGCTTCGTTCGGCCGTGCAGAGCTTGTTGCGCCTTCTACGTTTCATGGACAGCACCAGATGAACCGGAGGCTACAATACCGGCCCTACCAGAGTACTCCCCTTCAGTATCAGCAGCCCGTTCGCATCAATGGTATAACTGGACTCGGCGCACCAGAAGATCTACTGGATTTTTCTCTTCATATAAAGAACTCGATACACTCCTCGAAGTTTGCGGTTCGTGTTGTTCACCGCGTCAGTGCGCTGTCAGCACTCCTTTGTAACTATTTTCCCAACGGATGAGTGAATTCGCGTGAACACCTTCCTCCCCATAATTATGTACTTGCAGTTGCCGTCCCTGTAGTTCAAAGTTTCGCGTGTGGAAATGGCGCGCCTGAGGAACTGTCACGTGACCGTGTCCATGCCGTTCCCCTGCCGCTAACAAAGGTATGTGCGCCTACAAAGGAACGACTGTCTTCCTGCAGGTAACTAGAGGCTGTATCTATGAGCCTGAGCTCGAGCGTGTTGGAACTTCCTTGCACAACTGCATTTGTCCTGAGTACTACCGTGCCAACCGCTGCATGGGCTGCGGATTGTCTCATTCTGTCGTTGATAGCGTCTCGTTGATAGGCTTAGCCGCTGCAGGAAGCCGGATTCGACGGTGAACATGATCCACTTTCATATCTTCAGCTGCTGTATGGATGCTCTGGAATTGAGTGGGATGAACTTTCGGGATTATTGCTTGATGGGTCCTCTGTAACTCTGCACAGCTGGTTTCAAACTTATCGCGTTCCCTGTGGACCTTTGATTTGATCCTCTCCGATGGAGAAAGGTCCTCTCGTCAGCTCCGGGAGGTGCGGAATCTCCACAATCAGGCTATCTGCTGCTCCCGGCCTGTTTGTGGTTGCACACTGCAAGTCCACATCTCCGTCGTGCGGCGTGTGCGGCCATGACTGCTAACTGTGGACTTTCTGCTGTCCTGCACCTGCTGCACTAATGTGTTCGTTCGCTCTACCAAACCAGTCTAACGCTGTCCATGTTCAATCACGCCAGAAGCACGATGCACGGAGACGTTCCTGCGGCGCCCAGCTCAGTATGACAGAAAGCGCCCGAGGAGCGCCTCTGTTGCGTTCGTGCCGGTCGACTCAGGTCAACTCCTCGTATGAGCAGTACTAGTCTTGATCATGATCCGCCAATCGCTGTAACCCCTTGCTCCATGCTTGCATATCTTGTTACCTGCTATGGGACTGGCCAATCAACACGTGCCGCCACTGCCAGAGGCAGCTCTGAAGTTTCCTCACAGGTGTAGGTGTACAAGCTTGGAAATCTCAGGCATAACCATGCGACGACAGTTGGCAGTGTTGACAGTGGTTCTAGGTACAGCTTCTATCAGGATGAACCATTTTCTCCGCGGCAGTGATGCACAGAGACTCTGGTGATTGAACTGGATGATCGCGACAAACAGATACGTCACCCTCAGACTAGCATGCAAGTTTTCAAGAAACGTGTCTGCTTCGGTGGACTTATGAGTTGTTTTGGCGGGAATTTGGGGCTTGTTGTGTCTGCACTTGTCGAAGACGTCCTACGGCGAGCGTGGAAATTGGTTATCCCATTCAGCACGACTAAGAGCAAAGCTAGACGTAAAGGACAAGCTTTCTATATGAGTGCCTCAGTCGCGTCACCTAGCCGCTCAATTACCGCCTAATCAGCCTTTTTTGGTATGCCTCAGGGCGGATGGGTGTACGACAACGCACGTCCTGAGAGTAATAAATGAGGTACGCCCAAATTTCGCCCTCGCCTTTCGCTCCCAGTGACGCCTCCAGTTGTCAGCTCGCATTGCCAAGCATAGTCAATTACCAGCCGTCTCATATTAATTTGTCGTCTGCGTCCTCAATATGCTTTGGCTGCAGATCTTTAGGATCGTGGTATTCGGTGAGCTCCTCCTGCATCTACATCTCATTGTCATTTACAGACCGGGTTTTCTGCTGTAGTCTGGGTTGTGCTCTGTGCTGTGATTGTGTTGGGTCTTGGGGGCCATATCATCAATTTCACTGTAACATATCTCCATGGTTATTATGTGTTCACGGCATTGGGTGTCGCAACCGCCTCTCTGACCATTCTCACGTTGCCCGTGATGTATGTGGTTATTCTTCAGAATGCAATGCAAGGACTCACTGCTCTCTAGGTTCATTGTCGACATCGCTGTGTCCAACATTGTATTCACTTCTTGGATTCTGATCGAGCTGATTTGGCTGAGTACGTATCACGCTTAGACGAACAGACTAAGGCTGATCTCCGTCGTGTGCCAGCTATCCTTTGGGTCCTCTGGCTATCTACTGGAGCATACGCAGGGAGCTTCATCGGGCCGTGCCAATACGTCGACGAGACCGGCATTTCCGTCCTCGTCGCGGGCTGCCACGAATCGCAGGCCCTCGAGGCCTTCTCGTTCCTCGCTTGGATTCCTCGTGCGTCGCGGTGCTCCACATTCTCCACTCGCTGTTAAGCTTAACATTCACCTTGTCACCCGTATGCATAGTGATGGTTTACACGATCACCCTGCTGGTGGTCAGCATGGTCAGCGCGAACCGCGGCTCGTCCGTGTGGACTTCCTCCGTGAGTGAGGCGGACTGGGCTTCGTCTGGCTCTTCGAGGCCTGCGGTACCTGCGAGTCAGTATCAGATAGGCGCCGTGCCGACGAGCGGGGCATTCCAGTCTTACCAGGATGCTGCTCCTCAGTTTCAGCAGCCCCCTCCCTCATCCATTGTCTGAACGTAATAAGCATGAGGGATTGAGTTGTGATTTTGTTGTCGAAAAGTACATGACGCGTTTCCTGGGATCTGGAGGACGCGGCTGCCAGCGGTCATACTTATTCGGCGGAATTTTGTTTCTCTAATCACACTTAATAATCATTCTTTTGTAGTCCAGTTTGTTCTCCATATTGCGATTCTGGTCACGTCCTGTAGCCAAGATTTATTGTGCAATGCGTGCCAATGCTGCACAAACGCGTCTAAATCACGTGGTCGTGTACTACAGTCGCTGAGGAACATTTGAACAGCTTGTGTCGAGTTTTTGCTCAACCGTGACGAACGTACGATGACCGGAAAACTTGACTCTCTTGCCAGTGAACTTGGCCCAGCTGGCATACCGCCTTCCGATTTCTTTTGTCCATTCAGCATCTCAGCCCATCCGAAGACATTTTGCAACCCGCATCCTACATGTGCCCGATGAGTAAGTCGGCAAACATAAAACTTGTTGGATAGGATCTGACAGCATGTCTCGAATTGGTTTCCTTGGGCTATTGACTCCAGTCTCGCTAGCAAGTTCCATCATGATTCTATGTCAGCTGCATTACAATCACAGTACAACTCTGCAAGGCTGCAACCACAGCTGGCGTTCTCGAGACCCGGCAATCACGTTATGGAAGCCTCTGAGGTCACGGTGGTTCTATTTGGGGCATGATTGCCGACCATTATTCGTGTTGTTGTGAAGTTTACGATGTAGGAGCATTTGATTCACTACTTCCCATCCCTGTCGTTATCTAAATTTTCCAGCATTGTTCGCAGTATCATCGTGTCACCTGCTTTATCACCAACTCAACACTCAGGTCATAGCCGCCGATGTTTTGTGGAGATCCTTGATCATCGGGTCGCCACATCTAGCTCTGCCAGGTCTTGATATCTGCTTCCGCTGCACATAAAATGATGGGAAGAACCACAAAGGACGTTTTAAACGGTGACAAGTTCGACCGTCGCTGGGAATCCCGAGCATGGTACGCCGACGCAGCGATGTGAACAGATCAAAGGCGCTTTGGGGCGAAAATGTATTTGAGTTCAGGCACGTGTCATCGCCCCGAGCAGCTAGCTATTCGTCTCATCAGGTCTGATTGTTGAATCGAGGGTGTGCTGCTTCGAATGACAGTGAGCTGTACACATGAGTGTTGGTTGCGCTCAGCGATCGTACGTGGTGTTGAATATATCCTTAACTGTCAAGCGTCCCTGTCACTTCGATGCGCTGCTGCAATCATGCGACGTCGCCAGCCACCGCCCAGACTAAAATTCACGTTTTGCAGCTGCAGCAAGTACTTCTGGTCATGGTGTCTCTGGTACTAACTCGGATTACACCCTTTACCACCCGACTTCAACAGATTGCACATTGTGTCTTCCGGCTGTCCAGGACGGGATGGTAGTCGAAATTCGCAAGTCAGGGTGAGAATACCAAGATCAGGACGCACTAAGTACAGAACGCTAAACCGTTAACAGACCCCGCTGTCAAGGTAGAGCTAGGCGCGACCCTCAGCGCCTCTGATTGCACTTCTATCTAATTTTCCTGGCGCATTATCCTCTGATACTAAGTAGAGGCTCCCTTTTCGTGGCACCACATTCTTCAGGCGCAGCAACTTTGTCAGGAACAGCCGATGCACAGCGTACACCGAAATCTGGCCGAGGTGTATATCATGAGATAAGCGCCAGCGCTCGATGTACAAGGTCCGCCAAGCACAAGCGGAACGCCCTTCGACAAAGGCTCGTTTTGTGATCTCGCGGGCATGCATGTATACGTGCGTGATGGACAAGCCCCCTTGGGCCTTGCACCAGACGCCTGATCTGCCATAAATAACTGACAACTCGCCCGTACAACGCGCTTTGCGACCACCTTCACCGCGTGCAGTAGTTCCCGGCACTTGAGGCCAGATCCTCCTTCACCAACTTCACATTCAGGTTAGACTACAGTAGTGACAATGTCTTGGTTCTGGCTTGCAAGGCTCGGGGTCTTTGGCGAGTGAACTTCTTCCTTACTTGGCACCTGATATACTCATTCCTCTTTCGCAGCCTGGGTTTCTTTATGTGGCCTCCTTGTGCTCGCGATCGGCGGTAACGTCGACAGTAGCTTCCACTGGATTGGAGGAACTCCCTCTTGGGCTGATTTGGCCATCGCGACTGGGGTTTTCGCCCTGTTCACGTTGCCCGCAATGTAGGTGCACATCCTTTGCTATTTGGCATTACTAACAGGTTCTATTTCCCGTCAGGCTCATAATAGAGCTCATCATATCCGATACAGTTTTCACCTCATGGATCATCGTCGAGATCGTATGGCTGAGTAAGTCTCGTTCTATGCACAAGTCAGCTACGATACTGACCACCAATAGACTTCCTTTGGATTCTTTTTCTGGCAACTGGAGCGGACGCCGCTACAATCACGGTGTGCACCGGGGACCTTGTCTCCGTTTGCCCCAAAGCGCAAGCCGTCGCAGCGTTCGGGTTCCTCGGTTGGATTCCTCGTTAGTCTACCTTTCGTCCTTCTGTGACGACTGATTTGAGATTGCTGTGCCAGTAATGGGCTATGCCATCACTCTGATGGTACTGAGCATCATCAGCGCTCGAAGAGGAATCAACGTCTGGACATCCTCGGTGAAGAAGACAAACTTTGCCTTCTCCAGCCCGGGAAAGACAACTGAGCCTATGGGCCAAATCCCTATGGCTGATGCACCTGTGCAGCAGGTCTGAGATCCTGACAGAATCTCGACAAAGCATCCAAGTTCACACCGTGTTACACGGTGGAATTTGCAGCTATTAGTTACTGGATGGATTGTATGTTAATGAACGATACCCGCTTTCTCTGCCGATGTTGTGCTTACCTCTTCCGAGAAGCATGCCTTGCAGTCTATGATACTTCTTTCCTTTAGGATTGTATAATTTCGGGCTGAAACGTCGTAGTTACTTCCGCATGGCAATTGATGGGTTTTGGTCGTGCAAATGATATTTGCTAAGCAGTCAGGTTGTGGTCAGGGAAGTGCTCAGCAAGACATGCGTGAGGCCGTTCCCGCGCGCCTGGTACACTCGTGCTGGGCGCGTGTCGTCACGGCCACGTGATCGCACTTGTCACCCTCAAATTCAAAGAGCAATCCAATTACAAACAAACTAACGAATATGAAATAACGATAAATGACACAAAGTAGAGTCGCACCATGAAGAAATCTCAGAAGAATCTGGGATCGCAATTATCAAACAAGGAGCCCTTCCTGTCCTCCTTTCGCTGAGAAGGAGCTAAGTCAGGACGAGTTCAGAGGCTACGACGAGAACAGGTACTATGCGAATACCGTGACTAAGAGCCGGGTATAGCCCGAACGCCCGTGAACAATATTCGTCGCCCTTGAAGGGGTACTTCGCACCCAAGCTGTAGGCAGCGTGAAACGGACGTCACAGCGAGCTCATGCATGTTAAGCACTGCGATAATCATGAACAACTCCTCCAATGAATACAGACTTTAGACGTACCAGACCAAGTGCCAGCGTAGCTGCACCGGGAAGACTTGATTGTCAACAACAGAGTACACACAGAGCAAGTACAATCTTTAAAAAACTCAGGACTCACAGCGTGAGATTCTTCCCGTTGATCCACATCATCCACGGGACCGTCCCGCGTAGGGCTGCCAACAATGGGTCTACTACTTCCGCCACATCTCGCAGATCCACTTTTCAGACCTGATATCACCCCACGTCCACAGGCCCTGGGAACCGTCCCTGTCCAGGAAGATCGTCTGGAACACGTGCTTCTCCAGCGAGGGTTCCGGCTTCCCATCAGCGTCCTTGCCCGTGCGCACGGAGGCGCCACTGTCGCCATCCTGAGCTTCGCGGGTGATGGATGTGCGGTCGCACTCGTTGCGGTGTTCCGAGGTGCCGGACGGATCGATGGGTCCCGCCGGAGGGGTGCCTCGGAACTGCGGCTGGTAGTGTGTTAGGTCGAAGCTCATCTCGATCTTGGACTTGTTCTCGGGGTACTGCATCGTGTACAGCCAGCGAAAGTTGTTCTCCGCAAAGGCATTCGCGGCGTTCTTCCGCAGAAGCGGTGGACGCAAGAGGGGCGTTGTGCGAGGCGTCGTACCGAGTCTTGTATTACCGCAACAGACCGTCACACGCGTTAGTGGAGGAATGAGGCTGACTATGGAGGCGCGGACCTTGTTCATGTAGTCCAAGTCGCTGTGCGTAATTGTGACATCATAAAGTTGCCCAACACCTTCTTCCCCATCCAGCTCGCTTCCTTACCGAGCAGCCTCAGGCACGCATCGGCGTCCACCGCCAGGATGAGCTCGTCGAAACCAGTAATCTGACGGCCGGTTTCTATCTCGGTCAGAAACTTTGTACTCGATCTGCACCGGGGCGTCTCCTTTCGCGGATCGGGAGACCACGCGCAGGACCTCGTGATTGAGCTTGAGCGTGACGTTCCCGCGCGAGGTGATCTCGTCATTCCACGCCTGGTAGACGTCGTGCAGCTATAAGAACAACTGAGCAATGACAAACATATAGAAAAGCGGACGCACCTTGGGGAATGCGAGCATTGTAGGAATGCTGGCGAGCAGACTCCTCTCATTGTACTCGAAGAGCCGCATGCTGGGGTCTTTGAAAACGCGCTCCTGTAGTGCTAGTTATAAATGTAGATCGTGCGATATTCGTGGCGTACCCACCAGGATAATACGGTGTCTGGATTCAAGTGCCAAAGAAAAGGGCCTCCAGCGGGTACACCATTTTATCTCTCCAAAGTCGTTGGAAAAACGGAGCGTCCTCAGCATCACATGGACGGGGTCATGGCGAAAAGGGATTCGAACGGTTTGATCATATTCAATGCATGCCCGAACTTGCCGATGTCGGCTTGGAATTGAAGAGTCAGTGCCGTAGGGAAGACGTTCGACCAGAAGTCTTTCTCTTTGCCGAAACTGACCCTATGATACGATGAACATCATTCACAGGTGACGGAGAGAGATGACGACTTACTGCATCCCGATTTTGGTGGTCTCAAAGCCCAACATTCTGAACATCCGCATCGAGTTCGCGAACACCGGACTGCAGCCCTGTATGCCGTCGTTGATGTATGGAGCCCCAGCTTTGTCGGCATCAATATCAATCGACGTAGCCATGCCGCCAGTGGCGTCCTCCCTGTCGAACTCGGTCACTCGGTACTTGTCAGGCTGCAAGCTGAGAGTATAAGCAGCCGACATGCCCGTGGCACCCGCGCCGACGATGCATACACGTTCGGGAAGCGGGGTCATAATGAGTGACGGTGGTTAGAAGAAGAAAGGAAGCGCATCGTGCACTGAATTGAAATAAACGTCAGCGGAGGCGGGCTGGGATATCAGTTCAGACTGAAAGACAGCTCAAGTCGGAGTCATGTGAAGGAAACGTTCAGACATTCATCGTTCGCCAGGAATTACAAGTTGCCAAGGAATGCGAGACAAATTACAGGCTTCGTGGCGACAAGAAAATGCGATCCGAAAGTCATGGGGAGCCGAAATTCGGTCAGATGTCCTGAGGTAGTGGGGATGGGCGCCGTCAACGAGCTCTAGGTTTGGGTACTCAGCCTGGAAAGCGGTCTTCGGAAACTCTCTGACTCGTGAGGAAGCTGTTGTAATGGAGAGCCAGGGTACTCCGCCTGGAAAGCGGTCTTCGGAAACTCTCTGACTCGTGAGGAAGCTGTTGTAACGGAGAGGCAGGGTCATCAAGAACAACGAACCGGTTTGGATAGATTGCAGCACAGATAGCAGTCGAACGTTGCACGAGCATGGGACAACTAACTAGAAGCCTGATACAGGAATGCGAGGCATTGGCGTGCCAGCTGCAATGCCAGCCACAGAGGGAAGTGTCATTCACACGTTGAGGTGCTAGTGGATCGAATCTGAGCGCATGAGACCTGCAACACACGAAGGGAAACTTCACGGAGCACAGCTGCACCACCGACCTAGAGAACGATCCGCGCAACACACGGTTGCACGCCCGTAGCCGGACGAAGCTGCTTTATGGAATTCAGGGTCAAGTGATCATCGAACACCGTGCGATGTAGGTAAGCTGAGGCAGATACGGCGAAAAGCGCACGACATGTTGAAATTTGCAACCATGAGGTGCTGCAAGCAATGCGGACAGGATGTCATGCTGTCAGGAAAGGGAAACACAAATTTATAACATACCGGGGTGATGTCGCTCCACAATTATCCGATCCCACCGATGACTTCTTCCTTTCCAAGTGAAGATGGGAACTACCGACACAGAAAAGCTGTATTTGGATGTGTACCCGGTTGCCAGATAGTAGAACGCCTTGATCCACTGTGTGAGCGCAAAAAGCCAACACTGGAAGGACGGCGAACATGCAGGAACGAATGGAATATAAAGACAGATGTGTCGGACGTGGTTTGCACGACTGCAGCACCACAGCGGTGCGGCGGAGGCAGAAATCTTTCAGGCGGCGGATCGTCAAAAGCCCCGCGAATCAACTCAGACGGCCTGATCCTCGAGGGGATTTTGGGTCGGATCTGCGAGCCTTAGCGAGCACATATCATCGTGTCGTTCAACGTTCTACACGGCTGCGTGTTCGATGCGCATCTGCCCAAATGAATGGGCGAGTGAGCTAGACGCAAGTTTGGTCCTCTGGCAAGTTCCAGGTGTTTGGCTTGGCTGTCCTATATAAAATGTCGCTGGTATCGGACGGACATTTCCTGCAACTTTCCCGTGGTCAGCCTCTCCTTGCTTGCATGTTTAAGTTTCAAGCCTCGGGATCTTTATAGAGTCATCCTACGTGGCTTCGGACGACAAATATTTCTCGACCAGGTCGAATATTTCAGTCGCTCATAGTGAGCAATATTCGGCAGAGGTACGTCGTCCAATAGGGTTTTATTACACACCCAGTCCCGGCTTGAAATCCCAAAGGTAGATTCACGGTGAACGAATCTGCGTGGACAGTCAAAGCATCTTTGCGGAGCGTCCGGGCCTTACGGCCTTAATAGACCTGTCTGTCATGGGTAGCAGCCTGGTCTGACCCTCTTCGTTTTCATGGAACGCGCCTGACATCCCCTTGCTGTCCAACGGGATGAGTGTGCACGTACCATGAGAATGGAAGACGGTTAGACTGAGACAATGTACCTATGCTCACCGGTGGAATTCCCGTCGTAGTGTCGCCTACAAACGAACGAGCGAGTATTGAACTGAGACAAAACCGCATACGCGTTTATTCCTTTATTGACGATTTTCTCGTTCCTCCTACCGAAACGTTTGCACCTGCACTTACTCGCTGAGTCCAATAGATGACGAGCGGGGTGCACATGAGGTAGACCCACACTCACCGTATTGTTGTACAGGACACACAGTGACCGCCACATAATTCTGAGTTCACCGTGTCTGCGTCAATTTGACATGAATGACTGTCGTTTCACGACGGATGAGAGCAGCGTGGTAAAACGCGATGGCTTGTAAGTACCAGCCCTCCTTACAGAGGTTGCATCCACAGTCGCTGTTCGTACTGAATAAAATACCATGATCTTAGAGAGTCACCATAGCGGGAAATTCAGCCCACCAGCGTCGTGCTAGAAGATTCAATTTACGTCGGAGCCAGTATCTCGCTGGGCACCGGGCGGCAGAGCTCTGGCCAAGGCGACCTCGGCTACCCAGCGTGCTGCTTTTGTACGTGTTCGTTCGTAATCGTGGGGCCGCGGCACCACGAGCTCTTTGTTCTGCGCAGTGTATTCATGGCCCACATATTCCTTCTGCAGTTCTACAAGGCCCACGTTTATGTTACGAAATCGACCAGCTATCACAGCGAGAACGAATTTGAGTCGCTGATCAATGCAGCTCCCATCCACGATTTCCCCCCATACAATTATCGCGGCGTTTCAGGATCGTTATCGGACAGGTAATCGCGGGCTGTCTTTATCTAAAAAGCGTGCTGGACGTCCGACGGAGGTGCGGACGTAGCGTGAAGCCGAGGGTTGGAACTGGCTCAGGTGAGTGTTCGGTGAACTGACGACTCCCACCGTTTCTGAGGACTTCCTAGGCTACCAGCGTGCTTGCAGTTTTACCGCTCCGCCATTTATTTTGCCGTTTATTTTGCCGACTCTTTGTGTTTGTGTCGCCAGTGTGCATCATTCCAGACTTTCGGGCCTCCGCGCAATTGCACGTCGGGTCAGCACTTGATCGTGTTCCGTCGTTGCAGCACTAGGGTCACTAGGAACTTGATGATACGTTCATTGTGCGACTCTGCACGGATAGTCCGTGGCCGCTAAGCCTCCCATTGTTAGGGTTGGATCACATCGACGAACCGAGCTCGGGCGGTGTCCAACTGCATCGTGAAGTCCGTCAGGTCGAGCTTGGCCGTCTTTTTGCACTGCGGACTCTTTCAGGACGCCGCCCTCGTTCGTGAAAACTATGCGTTTGAAGTTGGGACAGCGGTGGGAAATTTGGCATCCAGCTTGACCGGTGCCCGCCCTGCGACATCTTATTTACCGTGAAATAGGATGAACTGCTCGAGTGGGCGTGCCCCTGTAGAACGGCGGCTCCTCGGTAGTCGGCGAACTGAGGTCTCCAGTTATTTCCCATATTAACATGCACAACACGCGCGCCGCGATAGGGATCTCAGGCAGATCAGTGACGTGTTTCATTGTCCAATATGTCCCACTGGCAGACCAATGACGGGACCTCCCTCTAACCTTCTCCAAAGTCTCATCCGTCAATCTGTCGAGGTCAAGTCGTTCTCATATGCTGACGCACTACATCGTCGCAGACTTTCAAGGATAAATACAGATCACATTCTCATAGCCCTCGGTTGACAAAAGACGTGGCAATTGTCCGGGAGGTAACAGACGAAGCTCTCCATAAACGACACAATGAGCACTACAGGTAACTGATGCGACCTAGCTCACAAAAGCAAATTCACATGTGCTGACAGGTGTAGCCGCACATTTAAGCAAATTTACCCGGTACGACAGGCAAACTGCACGAGAGGCCGCCGTCTACAGCCCAGTTCTGACCGTTCACGTAGCTTGACTGGTCTGAAGCACGATTCGCAATATTCAAAGCTCGTCAGATCCACACCACAGCGAGAACGTAGCCGGACACACCTGAAGCAAGGAATGTAGCAACATTTGCAATCTCTGTAATGGGGTGAAATGACAGTTGGGTGCCATAACAAAAGGCGAACAAGATTTTGCTAACCCTGTGCGAGGGCATATCTTCCCAGCGGGTTCAATTGACCAATTTTACTCTCAGAGTTCCTCCGTCGGGCGCTCTGGAAGAGGGTATCGGTCATCCCCGTATGGATCAGTCCAGGGCAGATCGAGTTGACGCGGACGTCGGTCCTCGTGAGCTGGAGGGCACCCGTTTGCGCCATGTTGTTCACGCTAGCGCGATGGATTCTTAAGCTTTGAAAGTTCGACGTGTAAGGAATAGGAGCTTACGCGGCTTTGCTTGCGCTATCTAAAGTCGGATTGAGTTTGGGATTAGGAAAGTGAGGATGACGCTAGAGGAAAAGTTGCGTACAGTCAACGGAACCAGCCCCGGCACGAATGCCTGCGACTGCATCGGTCAAGCAGTGTCAGTGGCTTTTGACGCAGGAACAGCATCACGAGATACTAGATATACCTGACGCAGTCATGATGATGCTTCCGCCGCTATGTTCTTTGCCGCGGGAAGGATTCGTCTCCATCATAGCTTCAGAGGCATACTTCAAAGCTAGGAAACAGCTTCGAATGCAAAATGAGAACCGGAATACGATCGGAACGTGCACCCGGAAGACCTACGATAACGTGTTTACCCTGAGCGTGTTCATGAACACCTCGGCGGAGGAGGATTCCAATGGCAGCTGCGTAGCAATCCCTGCCTACGCAACTGCTGAGAGGGGGTTAGGCGTGGTTGACACAAAAACATACATTCGCGAAGAAGACATCCAGGCGTCCTTCCTCTCGCAGAGCTTGCTTGCATACGCCAGAGATCGCTGCTTCGTCGGCGGCATCGACCTGAATCACTGTGACCTTGCGATATTCTCATGTCAATGGGATCATCTCTGTGGAACGATGTCACAAGGCCTCACCTTGACATCTGGGTACTTCTGCGCTATGGTAGACTTCAACGCCGGGAGGTTCGTACCGTCAAGATCCATGAGATACAGATGTTGAGCGCCTGAAACACCACACCCGCGTAAGAACCAAGCGTAGCATAATACATCAGCGAATCAAAATGCACCTTCGTGCGCGAACTGGATAGCCGACGCCCGTCTAACAATTGTGTTCCTTGCATATAAAAGACACCGCAGATCATGATATTCCAACGTACCCAATGCCAATCAGGGATCCGACGCCAGTGACTACGCAGACTTTGCCCTTAAGTCGCGTTCCACGCGGGGAAGAATCAAGCTGCAACTGGATCTGCTCCAGCCTCGACGCCGTTCTGCGAGCAAACTGCTCGCCCGTCTGACTAGGCTTGACTGACAGGTTTGTCTTCGACATGACTCTAAGTCACGTCTAGCAGGTGAGGGAGTAGTCTAAGACAACTTCAACGTTGGAGAACCTCTAAATGTCAGGTTACCTTTCAGACGCTCACGGCGGGCAGCGAGATGGCGGCAGGGAAGAGAGCGCTCCGGTTGCATGGCCAGGTGATCCTGCTCGAAGGGAAACACGGGGAATGGTCATGCGCCGGAGGTAAATCAGCACCGGCTCTTCGACCAAAGAGGCATGTCTTTAAGTTGAGTGCTCTGCGGACGGGACACCGATACAATGGTATGTTACATGCACACCGTACGAGAGCTTACGGAACAAGGGCAGATGCAAGGAAAAGCAGATACAACATCGACGAATCCACGGCCAACCCACTAACAATAGACAATAGACAATCATTCACCGTCATGCGAACTCGCAACGTCGCTAGTCATATCCTCGTCCTTGTCCTGCGAATTTGCCGCCTGCGCAACTGGCGGCTGTTCTTGGCCGGCATCTCCTCCAGTAGAGGGAGCAGGATGTTCATTTGCATGTTCCTTGCTCTTCGTAGCCTGCGCCTTCTTCCAAGCATGTGCGACCTTGAGGAACTGGAAAGATGTCGGATGCGACTCGCGTTCGTCGTCAGGGAACACCATGTCCCAGTCCACAACTGCAAAGTAAAGGTCAACATCAGAAGCAAAATACTAAAAAAAGGGACACACCCTCCGCGCCACCAGATTCAGCATCCGCCATGCGACGACGACTGACCACTGGCAGCATGTTCACCACCTTTTCGACGTCTTCAGGAGTACCATTTTTTTCTTCGAATGTCTTCCAGACTTCTAGGAGGGCAGCACGCTGTTTGCATAAACAGATTAGTGAGGTAAAGTGGAACATGTGTGGAATGAGATACGATACCTCGCTCTTCAAACCTTGCCGCCGGAGGTCCTTGTACCCTCTCTCGAACACCTGTCTCGCCAGGTCGATGTCGCCTTCCACCAGCTCTTCTTCCTCATCTTCGTCCTCCTTCTCTTCTCGGAGGGCACGCGCAACAGGGATGGCAGCGGCCTCGAACTCGGCATACGTCACCCACACCTTCCAGTGCCCGCTTTGAGCAATCAGACGCTCGAACAACGCTCTCGCCTTCTCCCTGTTGCCCTCTTCGGTCTCGAAGTCGATGTACGCCTTCCACAGTACCTCGGGCATCGCCAGTGGCATTTGCGAGACGCCAAGCTCGAAAATCGCACGTGTGCGCTCGAAATCCTCCAGCTGCGCCTCGAGTTCTGCATACTTGACCCACGCAGAAGAATTACTGGGATCGAACTAGAATAAAAGACAGTCTGAGTATCCGATACCACAAACGCACAGAAACGCGCATACCTCGATATATTTCTCGTAGAGCGTTCTTACACGGTCAAATTCCCGGAGCTGTAGAGACGAGTCAGATGTCTATGACAATACCTCAGACTCAAATGTATACTTACGTCAAGTTCGAGCTGGATGTAACCCTTGAACAGTGCCTCCTTAGGGCACATACCGATCGCAGTCCCCATAATCTTCCGAGCGGCATCCAAGTTAAGCCGGCGGACCTCGAACTTGGCAAACATAATCCACAACTTGGCGAAAGTGAACTGCTTGTGGGGAACAACGCGAATAGCAGTCTCCAATACCTGCCGAGCGCGATCGTAATCCTATTCTTCGTGTCAGTCATCCGGGACGGAAAGATGTAATTTAATATCAAACCTTGGTTTCGATTTCCTCGAATAATGCATAATTCAACCAAAGGAAAATGTAACGTCGCCAATGCCGCTTCTGGCCGCCGGGGGGTATATGGGCGACAGCTCGCTCATGCACCTCTCTAACTCGCGCAATGGCACCGGCGATTTCTTCATCTGGCGAACCTTCGTCCCTCGCTTCCTGCAGAGCATTTTCCTCCAGACGGATGTAATCGAACCACGCGTCATAGCTGTGGCCATCTTGAGAGATCTCGTCTTCGTATTGGATACGTCGCTTGCCGAGGACAGTGGCTTCGAGTGTTGACCGACTGCCATGCTGCTTCTCGAATTTCGTGTACGCCGCATACAGAGCGGCGGATTTTGATCGTGGTATACGTGCCAACGCATACTGTGAACGTATTTCAAGCTGAGCACTCTGCGAACGGGAAATATCGGGCGCAGAAGGTGCTTACCTTGTAGATAACGCGCGCTCGCTCATACTCCTTCAATCGTGTCTCCATCTTCGCGAACGCCCCAAAAACAGCTTGGGCCTTCTCGACTTCCTCTTCACTGTCCCCGAAGAACTCCAGTGCAGTCTGGAAGACCTCGCGCGCCTTAGAGAGGTTCGCCCGCTCCTCCTCGAACTTCGCCCACTTCACCCAATTCCGGGGCTCGGGCCGCACCGCAATCCACCGCTCGTAAATGGTGGACGCACGGTCGAGCTCGTGGTATCGCGTCTCCATCTTGATATACGCCTGCCATGCTTTGTCGTCGGGCTCCCACTGCATCCACCGCTCGAACACCTGGCGCGCACCGGGCACGTTCTGCAGCAACTCCTCGAGGTACACATACTTGTACCACAGCTGGTCAATCCGCGGGAGGAGCGTCACCGCGCGGTCGTACAGGTTGCGCGAGTGCTGGACGTTGCGTCCCTTAAGCTCCATCTCAGTGTAGCTGAGCCATAGCTGCACGCTGCGCGGATCGACGTCCAGAGCTCGTTCGAAAACGGAGCGCGAGCGGGCGTATTCACTCTGGCTGGCCTGATAGTTCTCGGGTTCAGCATCGCCCAAGATGCTCTGGAGTAATGGTACGTACCTCCCAGTTTGCATATTGCAACCACTCTTTTCTGGATAAGCCGCATACACGGGTCAGCGGAGAGAAACAGGTCGACGAACGGCATACGTACATGCTCCCCCTGGTCTGCCTGATCCGCTTCTCGTACTCCTCGCGTTTCCGCCCGCGGTACTCATGGAGCTCCTCAAAGTCTTCGACTCGTTGCTTGGGCGCTCTGAATTGCGACTCTTGCCTCTCTTGGGCCTGAATGTAACAACTTGAGCGTGCATGACCGACGGGGAACGCGAATGCCACTTACATCTCGGAGCAGTTGCTCTGCGGTAACCTAGGACGCTGTTAGTGTATGCAGCACAACAGAATATGATATGATCCAACGGCTTACCTGGACAGCGGCAGGAGCGCGGTTTTTGATGCTGGGCCGGAGTCAGTCGGCTTATCGCGCTAACCGCGATAAAATACATACCGAGGTGCTCTTCCGTCCTGCATGGCCAAATATACGGTCTATCTCTTGCCTTAGTGCGAGTTCCTCGCTTCCTGTGTCGTCGTAAGAGAAGAGACAGCTATAAACACAAGTATGCAAGTCGGCGCCTGCGCTCTACTGAACGCCTTACTCGCGCTTACGTAATACATCAGAGAAGTCGAGCACTTTGCTATTGGAGTAGTAACAGTGAATACACTAGTACGAGTACAGTATGAGCGAATGAAATACAGAATAAAAGCAAGCGGGTGCTCTGGTCACTACCGTCTTCTCTTCGAAATAATTTGTGATTGGAATTTTGACGTCTCGCGCCTCAACCGACTGCAAGATGGTGTTAATAGGTAACTCAATAGCGTATTGAGCAGGGATTACTCACCGACTGGCCCTCTCTCGCTCAATCTCCCTGCGCTCTACCTCCTCCGCGCTCAGCACCTCAAACCGCGTCTTGAATTCCTCCGCCTCCGCCCAATCCCTCCACACGCTCTTCAGTGCCTTCGGCCCCCTGCCGTCCTTGGGTGTGCGCCCCCACCCCAGTCCGAGTCCAGTCTTGTCCTTCAGCAAGCTCAGCCCACTCTTGTCCCGCGGCTTGTCCCCAGACAGGTCCTCGACGACCTCCCTGTTGTCGCCGCCCATGACGCCCCATTCGATGGCATCCCGTTTGTGTTTCACCAGTTCTTCGTGAACGGCATGTGCAATGAGCGGTATGGCCTCCCCCGACAGACCGAGTTCCGCACCCAGCTGCACCGCGAAGGCCTCGGGGGTGAGGGGAGAGAGCAGGTCCCATTCGATGTGGTCCAGCAGATGGTACGTAGCAATCTGGACGTCGATCTGAACGGGACGTCAATTAAAGATACGCAAAATGTGAGCGTAGTCGCGGACGCACACTCAGAATGACGCGGCACTCTCCAACTTCGTCGCCTCCAGCCAGCTCCTCCTCTTCGGTATCTGCTCCCAGATCCATCGCCGCGACACCCTCATGATCCTCCAACTGTGCGCGGATCTGGTTCGCGACGGTGTCTGCCCAGGGATTTGGAGGAAGGTCAAGGTCGACACAGAATGTTCTTGCGAACGCTTCCGGTTTGATCAGGTCCTCATGTAGGTTCCACACGAAACAATCTCGGATACGGTGCGTATCGGTCTCAAACTCCACCCGGATGGGCACCAGAGCGGTGGACCTCTTTGCTTGAGCTTCCATCGCTTCCGGTGGACTGGGTGACATTCGTCAAAACCCTCGTTAGCGCGTGCATGAGTGACAACTGAGCATATGGCACGTACAAGTAGTCATGTCTTGTGGGATATACAGGCTTTGCAGTGATATACCTCGAAGGCGGAACCATACCGAGGTAGCTTTGATCCAACTCCGCGCGCTGCGGCGGTTGCGGGGGAGCAGGCGCGGCAGGCGTCACACTACCCGCATGGAACACCGACGCGCCAGCAGGGGCCTTGCTCGACAGCCGCGCTGCGCGCACAGCAGACCGCGTCCCTCCACTTGCGACGAAATCCGAGTCATCAGAGTCGATAGCCCCCGCGTCAGGAAACTCGTCCCCCGAGCCTGGGTCGGCATAATTCACAACGCCGCCACGCCGCGAGGACCGCGTCGCGACGGCCGTGGCAGACGAGCTCGCCAAGGTCGGCTGCACGAGCAAGGTCGCACCGGTGCGGAGGCGTGACGCATAGGTGGAATGGAGAGCCTGGGGAGTTGTGGCAATGGTAGACTGGGAGGAGCTGGGAAAAATTTCCAGAGGTGGAGGGTTGAATGTAGGAGCGGGTGGTGCTGGCTGGTAGGTCGACGTGCTCGCCTGGGTCTGCGGTGTGCTCGCGAGCGTGCTCCCTCGGTGTGGACGATTGCTTTTGCGCGATGGATTGATGCGACCATTCGTCGGGGGTGGGGTCACAGAATTGGACCACTGTCGGATATTGTTGAAGTACGCTGCAGGGAATTCCATGATATGTGTGCATGTCGCCCGGACGCTGGGAAGTTTGGCTTACCAGGATGTGCTGCCTGCGGAGGTACAGATGACTGCGAAGCCCTGTTCGGAACATTGAGCAGTTGGTTTGGAGCACGCCACACTTGTGCTTCCGCCATGGTCAGTGTCTTCACAGAAAGTCTCTGCCAGGTGACAGTCGCGTCCAAGTCGCGTCTGCAAGTTTCATTACCGAAGCGTCATGTTCACGCTTACGTAACGCGATTTTCTCAATTTCTCGAACCAGTGGAATACAATTGTCGCTTTTCCGTCGACGATGATGAGATGTAAGTAACCTCGTTGCCCACTCAACTAGATGGACCATGGACACCATACAGAACCATTGCAACGTGCAACCGTAATTAAACAATAATCAAACTCGTAAACTTTTGGATCGACAAGGAGATGTGCCAGACATTCGCAGCATAGGGAGCAGAGAACTCAGTTGATCCCAACCAGTTTGACCTCTGCAGAATTTCATGAGCTCCGGAAAACAAGATGCTCAAAATATACGTACCGAAGGTCAAAGTAGAGTTCGCAGGGATACCGGTTTGTTTCTGCTTCCCGTATGCCATAGGAGCAGGAATGGTGAGCAGGCGCTCGCCGCCGACGTGCATGCCAACAATGCCAACATCCCACCCTGACACAATGAGATTGATAGTCAGTAATCTAACTAAACGAGTGAGCATCAGAGATAGCATACCTTTGATGACCTCCCCGCCACCCAAGTGGAATGAGAACTTGGAGAGATTGAGTATGTACGACAGCAGACAGCGAACATGATTGCTCACAGGCTTTCCTTTCGAGTTCTGGTCAAATACCTTCCCGTTCTCCAGCTTGCCAATATATCTCATGGCGACGCGGTCGCCTTTTTTTGCCTGAGGGCCGGTGCCGACCTTGTGGTCATAGATCTTGACGCCACCCTCAAGCACTTTCGTCTCGCCCTTCTCCTTCTCACCTTTCTCCTTCTTGCCCTCAGTCTTTTCGCCCTCAACACCCTTCACCTTCACCTTTTCCTTCTTTTCCTTCTTCTCCTTCTTCTCCGCTGGCTTCTCCTCGGTGGGGGGAGCGACTGCTTGGCCGCCCTCGGCCTTCAGCTTTTTGTTGCGCTTCTTGCGCTCGGCTTTTGAGATCTTTTCGGGGGCACCGTCGGCCTCGTCCTCCTCGCGGGGACGCTTCTTGCCTGCGTCCTTTTTCGGAGCCTTCTCCTTCGCTGCTCCCTCTTCCGCACCGGAGTGGATCTCTTCGATACGTCTGTGACAGAGACGCGTGAGCCTACGGAAGCAGATCTGGCGGTAAAAACAAGCGTACGCCTCGGGTTCGCTGACGATGTCCATCTCATCCGGATGGACCTCGACATCTGAGCTCACTTCGTCGAGATGGAACGCGTCCTCTTCCAGGTCAGATTCATCATCATATGGCGGCTGGTCAGATGGCATCTGGTCTGAAAACAAAACATCGTCAACTCGACCTCCGCAACAGACAGAGGAGGGAGCACTGACCGATGTAGTTTCCAGTCAGATAGAGGGTGCTGTAGTAAAGGTTTGAGCAATTGCGCAAATTGGTGTGGCGCCGTTCAACATACTTTTTGCCAACGATCTCCAGCAGATAATCCTGCTCGCCCTCAAGGACCAGGTCCACGGTCGCTTGCTCAATCTACGCCAGATACTCAACAACACGGTAAGGGTAGGAAGAGGAAGCAGACAAACCTTGCCGGGGGTGAGCGAGCAGATCACCGTGGAAGTTACTGGTTCAATATCGACCGATTCCTCATCCTCGTCGTCCTCCTCAGGAGCGCCTGCAGTTTGGTAAACGAGCTTGAGGACCGTACGACCGGTCTCGTCCGCGAGCTGGTCGCCCAGTGCGACGTTCGTGATCCTGAGGTCGCCCGCGGGGGAGAAAGCCGTCGGTTCTCCAGGCTTCGCAGCGATACTCCTGAGCAAATTTTTCTTACATTCAGGACATAGGTCCTACAAGACGCGTGAAAAGATACGCGAGCGTACCAAACGGCAATAGCGAGGGCCATTATTTTTATATCTGTGCGTGCAGAGCAGGTCAAACCAAAGAAAAAACGTTGTGCTTGACGCGTTCGCCGGATTTGTAGCGCGAGTTCGGACTCCGCCCCAAACATATCCTCTCCTCGACCATTCCATCATGGTGCGCATCTCAGACGCTACAGGGACCAGGGCGTAGAACTGATGAACGCGGACGCTGCTGCAGTCAAATGTCCTGCGACCATATCTCGCAGCAGTTCGGTCGACACTGACCGCTGCGTTGACGCTTGAAGACTTCGCTTCGCAGGTAGCTGTCCGTACGTATATTCGTTGCACTTGTATTTACAACACATGATTAGGTCGTAGAGCGACACAACAAGCCAGAAGTCGAGGTCGGGTGAGTTTAGTCTTTGTGCATACTCCTCTTCTACCGCTGATGTCGGAGGCTCGCAGATGGTCGAAGGAAGTGCTGCTCAACCCGCTGATCATCTCGCGAAACGAGAATGAACGCGTGCTGATAGAGCCGTCTATTAACTCGATTAGACTGAGCATCAAGATCAAGCAGGCGGATGAGATTGAAAGGATTCTATGTCACAAGTTCACCCGATTTATGATGCAAAGAGCGGAGAGCTTCATCGTGCTGCGGAGAAAACCAGTGAAGGTATGTTCGCGTGTAAGACCGCTCGCAGCTTTGGTTCTGATTCATATTTCAGGGCTATGATATCTCGTTTCTGATCACGAACAACCACACTGACACCATGCTGAAGCACAAGATCGTGGATTTCATCACTCAGTGCGTAACATATTTCCTGCTCCCATATATGCACGGCTAAACTCGTTGCGCAGGTTTATGGAAGAAGTAGACAAGGAGATCAGTGAGATGAAGCTGAGCCTAAATGCGCGTGCTCGTGTTGTCGCCGAGTCTTACCTCACCGCTGTAAGCCGTCAATGCTTGCCGTGCATGTGTGCCTGCTGACAATGTCATGTTGCATAGTTTAATTCATGAGTATGATGTTACCTTCTTCGAGGAATGCGAGAGCGTAGTGCGGTACTGGGTGGTGTCGGCATACGTCCGGGACTGCGGTCGAACGGAAATCATGTATCATATTTGCGGAGAGAGTGGAAACGCATATCAAATATTTCTGCATATCCTGATGCGCGGTATTATTTCGCTCTGCAGTACGTACTAATTTAAATAAATCGAAGGGGTTTCTCCGACTGCAAATACTTGTCGGTGAGGGTTACTGAATGGCGAGCTTAAGTTGTTTGGCGCCCATGATATGACGTAATACGACACGCTTGACCTTGCTCATCGACGACCACGACGACCACGCCTCGTTTCACGATGCCCGACGCCCGCCTAGCTGCGCTCGCAGTGATTACGTCCATCGTGCTCTTCGGCACGATCTACTCGGTCGTCTACGACACCTACCTCGACACCTCTAACCCGCTGCTCACATACCTCCCCCATCCTCTCCACCACACCCACTACTTCGCGTCCAAGACGAACGTCCTCAACGTCTACTTCATCAAGTGCGTATGGGGCTGGACGTCTGCCGTCTTTGCCCTCCTCTTCCTCACCAGCCCCCCGAGCGCGCGCACCAAGGAACGCGTGTTCCAGTTCCTCGCCGAGTCCGCCGTCTGGCTCGCCTTCACCAGCTGGTTCTTCGGGCCCCCGGTGCTCGACCGCTTCATCACCTCGACAGGCGGCGAGTGCGTGCTGACTCTCCCCTCCGGCGCGCTCCTCACCATCCCGGAGAACTACTGCTACACCAGGTCGACCATCACCCCCGCTACGCATCCCGGCCTCTTCGCCGCGTCGCTCGTCATGCCAGATACTGATTGGAGTGGCAGGCCGCGGCTCCGGAGAGGACATGATGTGTCCGGGCACATATTCCTCCTCACCATGTCCGTCCTCTTCCTGGTAGACCAGCTGCGTTGGTCCTTTGGTGCGCACCGCGTACAGTGGCCGCCATTGCACAAGTGGGCCGTCTTTGCCACCACCCTCGTTGTATGCTTGGCGCTGTTCGCGTCATATACCACCAGCGTGTACTTCCACACTCCGATCGAGAAGTTGTCGGGTTTTGGTGAGTGGTGCGGCGATGTTCTTGCTCAAGTTGACTAATGTATTACTCTCCAGTCTTAGGCGTGCTTGGCTATGCCATTACGCAGCTACCAGTTTTCCATCCCGCACCTGAAGCTGCGATCATTGCCACTAAGTCGACATCGGAGGACCAGAGAGGGGAGGCATCGGTAGATCTTGACCACAAGGAGCAGTAGAATACTCGGGCCTTCTTTTCAATGCTTAGTTGCATCACTCGGCAGACATTGACATGATCATACGATATTCTTGGGATGCCTTCACGTTGTAATCGCCTCTCGTGGTCGCTATAATATACTCACGTCCTGCTCGTATACCTATAGCACCTAGTGTATCTTTTCATGTACTAGACTCGATAATCCAAGCGTTGTTGACATTTTCCTGCTGCAATAATTTAGAGCGCCACAGCAATACATCGATTTGAGCAGGATCGCCATCTATGACAACACAGCGATTTTTTTAGTACAACATGATGCAACAGCCAGTTGCTACTCCTTTTAGTACACGCCTCTGCGATATCTGTCTTTGAGTCGATTACTCGTCAAGCCAGTCCAGGAATTGAGGGGTGAAGTAAGTCAAAATCAGGCCGCAACCTATCATCCACAGGATCAATCACCCAACGCCTACACAATATGCTGCAAGAGGCACGCACCTGCGCGGATGAAGCTCTCCACGCTCTCGTACGCCATCGTGCGCAGGTCGTAAACCCCAGCACGCGCGCCGGCGACGATCATCGCGTACTCTCCGCTGACCTGGTAGCACGCGAGCGGGTGGTTGGGTGCGAGCTGCGCCGCGTCCTGGATGATGTCCAAGTAGGGCATCGCGGGCTTCACCATGATGATATCCGCACCCTCGCCCACGTCGCGAAGCTGGACGCACACGTCAATAAAATGCAAACGGTGTAAGCGTGTGGTAGACGTACGATCGCCCGACGCGCAAGGCCCTTGGCTTGCGGGGGTAGTTGGTAGCATTTGCGGTCCCCGAACGCCGGCGCACTCCCCGCGGCGTCTCTGCGCTCATTCAGCCCCCAAGCGTCCACGCACGCAGAGGCATGCGCTCACCGGAACGGCCCATACAGCGAACTCGCGAACTTGGCCGCGTAGCTCATCAGCGTGCACTGGTTCCCGTACCCGCCGTCGATGAGCGCACGCTTGATCGCTTTGACGCGCCCGTCCATCATATCGCTCGGCGCGACGCAGTGCGCGCCCGCCCGTGCGTACGCGAGCGCGACCTCCGCGATGCGCCCAGCGGATGGTTCCGGGTCGATGCTCCCGTCCACGCGGAAGACACCGCAGTGCCCGTGCGAGGTGTACTCGCACAGGCACACGTCGCACGCGATGTACAGCGCGGGAAAGAGCGTGCGCAGCTTCCGGATCGCCTGGATGACAGGTCCCTCGGGATCATCAGCGGGCGTGCCGCGGTCGTCCTGTACGCAGATTGCGTTCAATTAGAAAACGGGCGAGTGGGAGAGGACGAACGCACCTTGGTGCACTTCAGAGGCACGCCGAAGAGGATCACGCTCTTCAGCCCTTTCTGCACGAGCGGGCCGAGGAACTCCTCGAGTTTGTTCACGCCCCACCGCCGCTGGCCGGGCAGAGAGGGAATATCGACGCTCGCATCAGGCTCGTCAGTGATGAAGATGGGATACATGAACATCCCCTTCGTGAGGTGCCGCCTTGCCTGCCATGAGCGCGACAACGGGTGCTGGTACCCGCCCTGCAACACTGATCTAGTCGAGCGCGCGACGTGAGGTTCACTGAGAGCGTTGACGAATACAAGGGACTGACGAGATATCCATCGAACTGATCTCTGTGACGGCAGGAAGGGGTGAAGGGGAAAAGTGTGAAGGCGTCTTTCGGTCGAGCCTCTTGGGGAAAATGAGACGCGCTACGCGCGTCATGTGCAGCCTTCTTCAGCAGCTCGAAGTTCGGTCACGTCCATGCGACGAAGTCCCATGGTGACCAGGCCTCCCGGTGCACAGAATAAATATAGATGTTGCATAGTTTGAGGGCCACAAGTTATACGCAACCAGTAGCGAGTACATGTAATTTAAAGGGGTACGCAAACACGCTGCACACTGAATTATCGAAAGCTAAGTTACATAGATCCAGCGGCGTCAGAGGGTATAGTGTCCACAAATCGAGTCCGTAAATTGTGGGGTACGACTATAGAAGCGCGCCGTTGCTGCTTCTTCGCTGGTAAGGACGTGTTGAGAGTAAATTGTTTGATATCGGAGGGAGTGGCAGAACAGTCTACAAAATCATGAGAGACTGTTCTAAGCCGCGAAGACGACAGTCGTTTGTACCTGGCATGGGCATTTGCTTTGAAGCTGGCAATGGATCAACATTTTGAATCGCCGGCGGATTACCAGTAGAAGCCGGCGCCGCGGCGACTGCAGTTGATCCGCCATCTCTGGGCTCGACCTTCAGTCGAAGCTGTTCTGTGCGCTCAGCCACGCTATTCCAGAGTTCCAAGTCAAGGTCTGGTACATGGTCCACAACAAGGGCAGACAGCACGAGGTATGGGTCGACCGCGGTCGGCCGCGCGTGGTGCGGGAGTGTCGGAAGTGGGATTGGGTCCTGGTAAATACGTTGTAAGAGTTGGCGACTGCAAGGATTATGCGTGCTCACCTGTACCTGCTCAAGGTAACCCAGCGCAAATAGGGTGCCATTATTCTCCTGCAGCCACAGGTACGACTGCCAAGGACTCAGACATAGCGATACGTCCACGAAAAGGGCATTTTCTCCGTCTGCGATGAGCAAAGTTGAAGAATCCGCGATATATGTGAATAGCCTGGACATGCGTGTTGAGCGGGGCCTTCTGAGGGTTATCATGGGACGAACCGTCCAGCCACCCTAAGTTTGCGCGCGACGAGTTCCGGTGTAATGGACGATAATCTAACCACAGTTGCAGTCTCGGGCTGTTGGGACATGTTGGAAATGCAGCATTAATCTCCATGCATGTTGTAGTGTTGCAATTGTGAGCTGCCAGAGCTGTTCGAAGAAGCTGAAGAGACTGAAGAGACTAAGAACAAACTAAGAACGTTGAAGTCCCCGATGATCGCGACCACATGACCGAAAAAGGATAGAGATGACCAATCTCTGCCAACGACTCGGAATATTAATGCCTTCAAGTTAAGCTTGCGACTGTCCTGTTAGGTCTGAGCTGCTGAACGCAGAGCCCATATCGTCCTCGCCGTTGTGGCACGGGCAGTGCCTACAGTGAACTTATTCTTTTAAATTTCCAGCGAAACTCTGGCTCGAGGTATACACAACTCGGGTTAACGATGTCGAAGCATTCCCTATCTCCAGCACCTCTTCCTCCTTCCAAACGACAGCACGTTCAGGGACCATCACATTCCAACCACTCCTCCCGGTCGAACTTCGATGCTCTCCTATATGATGAGATAGTGCTCGTGATCTTTTCCTACCTCTCGTGGACAGACCTCTGTGCCATTCAGTCCACGAACAGGAACTGGTCACGGCTCGCGCTAGACAATCAGGTACTTTCGTTCAGCATCTTCTCGGGACAGCCCGTCGTTGAATGTGCAGAGATAGCTATGGAAGGCTCTGTATCTCGGTGAGTACGGCCGGACGAGACTCCGCGGTGTGCGTGGTTTCATCGGCCGTGGGGATGGGCGAGAGGTGCGCCCTCTCCCCGGCAGAGCCAAGTCCGAAGAGGTGAAAGACTGGAAGTGGATGTTTCGGATAAGCTCTAACTGGCGCACAGGTAATTTCACCGTTTTATAGTCGACGTTGAGCGAGGTACTGAGTTAATACAGGTCGTTGCTCAGTCGAAGCCCTCGACACGGACGTGCAACATTCTCTGTCGAGAGTATCTGTGCCTCCGAGGGAACAGACACATATCCTGCTCGCGGGGAATGTTACTATTTTTGCGTCGTCTCAGACGTCGTCCGCACCTCCTATCGTGCTGACAGCCCCAACGCACCATACGCACACAATGCATTGCAGATCCTCGGTTCAAACGCAAATAACAGCACTCGCTCTCGATCAATCGCCTCCTCACTCCACACAACACATTCGCCTACTGTCCTTCCTGTCAACCGGGGAGTTCTCACTGTTCTCCGTGGACCATCGCACGCCGTCGCACTCCTCCCGGCTACTCACGTATGTACCTGCTGCGAGGAGTGCTCGTACGTCACCCATCAGCCAAGCGGTGTACCATCACCCTCTACTCGTGACACTCTCGCAGTCATTCCATCTCTCTCTATACGATCTGTCGTCGAACAGTGTCTCACACATGCAGACGCTTACGTCGTTCACGTCATATCCACCCAGTTCCCTCGTGTTGTCCACGCTCGTATCAGGAGACTACAAGCTTGTTCTTGCATACGCGATTCCCGTTTTCCCTGCCCACTGGAGCGTCGGTGCCACGGAGCTCATCATCTCAAGTACATCGCTCACTGTCGCGTCCACACGAACAGCGCGCGCGACTGATGTGCCGCAAGGTTGGGTGGATGAGTCTAAGCTTCAGGCGATGCGCGAGCAATGGAGTCGCAAGGTTGCGCGCGTAGCAGACACGCAGACCGACGGAAAGTGGGTCGTCCTCGCCCCGGCGGACCCCGCAGCGACTGCATCTGTGACAACTGGATCCTCGTTGCCCGCGAGCCCCTCCACCTACGCCTCGTCGGGCATGCACAGTGCGAGCTCATTGCAACTCTACCGTCTGTCTTTTCCTGCGTCATTGTCGGCGACGGCTCTGCCAAAGTTGACGTTCGTGCGCACGCTGCACGGGCAGATAGGGCCGGTATCTGCTCTAGCACTCGCGGATGGCCGCTGTGTTAGCCTCGGCGTGAATGGGAGTATCTGGGTGTGGGACCTAGAAGGAGGCACGGGCGCCGAAGTGTTCGGGAGCGCAGTCTGTACTGGCAAGGCTGAGGTTAGCGAGGATAGGCTGAAACGACTGGACGCTAGGAAGACGGTGAAGGGTACCGTGGTGTTTGATGAAAGGCGGATTTTGAGTGCTGATGGCGATGGCGTGCATGTGTGGAGGTTTGACGTCTGATTATTTTTTCTGCTATTTTTCTTCACCGTTGCTAGACATGCTGTACGATTGTCGAGTGGAAGTTGTAGTCTACATAGAATGTACACTCCAAGTACAACTTTTGCGGCGCCGGCCTCGAGAAGCGCTTCGGAGCATCTAATTTACCTGCCATTTATGGAAGGTAGTGCATGTGAAGTGGTGTGAAGAGACTGCTCAGCCACAACTTGAGCTACTTCGACCATGGCACCGTCCCGCGGCCCAACTACTGTTGCACGAAACCTCCATGCGACACTCCAAAACCACAAGGGGGCTGTCCATGTTGTTCGATATGCGAAAGGCAGCGCAAAATATATCCTGACAGGCGGGCAGGACCGTTCCGTCCGTCTCTGGAACCCCGAGTTGGGCACGCAAATCAAGGTGTATGCGGCTCATGGCTACGAGGTGTTGTCAATCAGCGTGTGGGTCACTGCGGGGGCGATGCGTAGCGGTACGCTAATGCTGAAGCTTGTTTCCCTCAGGTCGCATGATAACAGCAAGTTCGCCTCGTCGGGCGGCGATCGTTCTGTGTTCTTGTGGGATGTGATGACGGGCGCGACTATCCGGCGGATACCAGGCCATATGGCCAAGATCTTTACTGTAGAGTTCAATGAGGATGCGAGCGTTCTTGCCAGTGGTATGTAGACTATCCTCTAGTTCTGTGTTCTTTCATCTAAGTTATTCGTGCATTGCAGGCTCATATGACAACACTGTGAAGCTTTGGGACCTCCGGTGAGTTCAATCTTAAATTTTCGCTTGCACTCTCGCTCATGGCAGCTAAACCTAGCTCTCAGAACCGGCAAGCGATCCAAGTACTCGACGAAGCCCACGACGCGGTGCAGACCCTACACGTGGGCCCCACGTATATTATCACCGGGTCGGTTGACGGCTACGTCCGTACCTACGATCTCCGCATGGGCGAGCTGCGCTCCGACTTCATTGGCAGTGCGTAGAAGTCATTACATGTGAACACTTCCACCGCTCACCTTTCGTTTAGACCCAGTTGCGGCAGTCGTCCCCTCACAGGACGGCCAGACGTACCTCGCCACGACGCTCGACTCGCACGTGCGCCTGATGGACATGTCGACAGGCAAGATGCTCAATGATTTCACGGGCCATACGAACACGTCGTACCGGTGTCGCGCGTGTTTCGGGCATGGAGAGGCCAGTGTCATTTGTGGGGACGAAAAGGGTATGGTATGGGCTTGGGATCTGGTCGATGTAAGTGGTGAATCTCACCTTCCACGGCATATATCCTTATGACCGAGCGATGCCGTCTCCAGGCGGCTCCTCTGCAACCGAATCCGCCACCGAAAGTCCATCATAAAGTTATCACTTGGGTCGAGCACCACCCAATTGATAGCGACGAACTCGTCACTTCTAGCGCGGATGGCACGGTCAAAGTATGGCGCAGTCCGAACAGTGGTTCATGAGCAACATATTTCCGCGCACTAAACCAGCCTCAGTGCTCTCTCTTTGGCCATTTCCTGTAACCCCGATGCTTTGATTAGGACAGTGTAATTGCACAACGAGTGTATGTATCGTTACATTTTCTGCTTGACTATAACTCCAGTCCGACTACTCGAAATTTACTACGAGAACAGAAAACTATAATAGGTGATCAACATTAGATACACTACCGACTCACGCGGAATGCGCTACAGCGTTCTGAGATTTACACGACCTGTATTATTAGCAATGTGCATAGAAAGTACGTCTTTCCTCGGACGTCTGGCCTCTCCTTCTTCTACAGCTACACTGGTTCCGCGGAACCATCGCACTTATCTAGAAGCGCCAGATGGGAGACGACATCTCTGGCAACCCGTAATCCTCCTGCATAACTACGCCGGAGTCCCTCTGTGCCAGAAACGCATCTTCGGGCTTCGCGATGATCTGGACATCGACGCCCAACCCGCGCACGCGGGCGGCGTAGTACGCGTGTAGCGCTTCGAGCCGCGCCTTCTCGCTTACGTCGCTATCGGTGCGCTTGAGGAGATCCAAGTCGAATGAGGGAGAAGTCGGGGTCAAGTTCGGTTTTATTGGTTGCTCAGGCCGCGTGCTGCCAGATTCGCGGCGCCAGAATCGCCATGAGCGAATGATGTCCTGGCGGAAGAGTTTAAAATTGGGATACGGTGTAGCCATCCGGATGTTGGTGTCACTCACCCGCTCGGTGCCGAAAATAATAAACAGCGCCATGCCGACTGTTGTGCGATGAATTCATTGATGAAGATGCGCGTGTGCGTGAAAGGAGAAATAACCGTTACCTGAGGCAGAGAATATGTCCGGAAAGGCGGTGTCCAGGTGTTGAAGAGATACTAGGTTCAGTCTGCAGAAAAGTCAACGTCAAAAATGACTTGGGGGGAGCCACTGCACCGGAACGAGCACTAACATCGCAGAGAGGAGATTATACCAGGTGAAGACAGTGATCCGCACAGAGAACTGGAAATCCGTAGTTGCCTCATGTTCTGTGGACAATACATCCTTTCGTCGCCAGAGGTCGAAGAGATTGCACGCTGAAAATATCATGCATCTGTCAGTAAATACACTGAGACAACATGTACAGAATGTAAACTCACACTGAAGAGCTGCCGCAAGGATAGAAGCCGTCAACGCGAAACTAAACGCGGCATTATTGCTGCCATGACGCGAGAGCATTGATCAGAAACTGCATGAGGCGGAGAACGTCACAGAACTGACTAGGGTGTCCAGTCTACCGAGCAGAAAAAGAAGCGCTGCGCTCTGTCCACCCTATCTTCATGGTCACTCCCAAGCTGAGAAACATCGAGATATCACAAACATCCTCAGACATGACTTTCGTTTAACGTAAATTGTTACGCACATGTGCACCAACGGCGACGAAAACTGCGAAAGTCAGGTACGGAGTGATGCATAACTGAAAACAAATTATAGCAAGGTAAAGCACAAGGCAAATGATGTCATAAACGCCAGAAACCTACGGCAGCTGTTCTAATGCGACCTCGATTAGGGTCTACTCCAAGTGTCCGTTCACTTGACTGGGACGCAACGTTGTAAACGAGGACCAACAATGCGAGAGAGGTCCTTGGGTACATAGTATGGCTCAATAATGACTGACCACCTTAATTATCGCAGATGGGCTCACATCGGAGGAACACTGCCCAGGAGGGCCGTCTGCGTGACACAGATTCCTTTCGACGGCTCAGAACCGAGTTGCGTGCCTTTATAAAACCTTCATAGGATATAATTACAAGGGCACAAAAGTGTGCAAGGAAAATGCTCACAGAAGTGATGAAAAAATGCCGGTCAGAATCCACGAGCAGCAAAGACTGATGAGAGTTGCACGTCGTCTAAGAGAGCGCGAGCGAAGGTACGTAGCGACAAGAAGGGGGAGTAGGATGTGCCCGGCAGCGATCTGGAAGAACAGCCATATCGCAAGGTTAGGCAATGCTGTTGACCCAAGTTGCTCCGCCGTGATGCCTTCGAGTTCAACCCCATGAGATGCCAATATCATGAAGCTCGACTATTTCCAGCACTCACGTTTCCTTAGAATTGAAGGGTATGTCATTCGGAACTGGAGTGGGACAAGGAAGGAGTGAGTGCAAGTGGCCAAGGACAAAAAAAGGAAGCCAGGCGCAGCAAGGACAGGAGGCAAGAGCACGACACCGCGCAGTCTGCCTGCAGCCCGGTGAGCGAAGAAGGTTCAACCCAAGAGAAGGTGCAGAAAGAAGACACGAGGATTTAATGAAAGTGGATTCCGGTACGCGCAAAGCGTTGCAGGAGGATGCCTTCAAGGGCTGAGCCAGTGAGGGTCAGAGGGAAAGGAGTGTAAGAGAAAATACCGTGGATATTGGGTATGTCGGCCTAATACATGTTGGGGTGAGACATGAGGTGACATGTCCAGAGCCTGTTTCTCAGTCCTTGCATGCGCAAATCATGTCAGTATGGACAGAAGACGATGGGCGCTCAATGGTGGACATTGGGCGGCTTAACGACAGAGTCGAGTACAGTAGATATTGGCAGATGCGTGAGCAGAAAGCTCAAGGACAACAGCTCGATGAAGGTACCTGTCAGCTGGCCGTGCAATTATTCAGCATAGACCCGCAATCGGAGCAGGAAACTTGTCGATGACAGCTTCCGTATCGAAACGGGCGGGTAGAAGACTAGTGTATGAATGTTAGATGACTTGTAGCCACAACGTGGTATTCGGTCAGATGCAAGCAATAGCCACGACGGCGCGTATTTCGCTTATATCGCTCTCGGACACCTGAGCTTGGCAGCTCAACGTATCGCCTCGCCAGCTGTCAATCTTGCTCAAGTAGGGAAACCTGACCATGTGCATGTCATCCGTGTGATCAGGCGTCCTTCAGGATTCACAGGAGGTGTCAATGACTTACGAGCAACTGCAGTGGCAACAGTGGCAGCTAGTCACGCACAAACAAATACCAAAAACATACATTTCATCACTGATACAGCACTCGGGATATGCAGTATGCACAGGACTGTTATACGTGAGACTGTGATGACAACTTAGGGTGAAGGGGATTCTTCAGAATAATTGCATTATGTAACTTATGAGCTCGATAATGAAGGATCGCATGAACGCTATTAAGACTCACCATCCTTGCACGCCCGTCTCGGTACCCATCCATCACTGCTCTCGGGCAGATTGAAGCTCCTGAAGTAACAGAGCTACTGCATCCCAGTCCTTGTGCTTCGTGAAAGATTGACGAGCGTCGGATTCGAACTCCCCTACCCTGCGATAGGAACTGGCGATCATTTGAAATGACCTGGGAAGGTCGAGGTTGGGGAATGTGGAATCGATGAATTGGGCTACTTGAGAAGGATCCTTTATTCCTGGATCACATATGCAGAAGATATCCAGCTTGCGTAGGGAATGGGACACAACCCCGCGTATTTCGTCGTTGGATGAGGGCGTAAGATCGGCAATGAAAGGCAGTTCGAGTTGCACCAACTGTGGACAGAAACGTGCAAAGCAGGCGAGTGCACCCAACGTTGGAAGAAGACTGCCTACGGGAATATGAGGCCCCAATCTGCTTTCGGATGTTCTTAAGGTAAGGCACTGAAGTTCCTGCCAGGCAGACGCTATATCATAAACATCCCGATCGGACAATCCCAACGTTCCATCGCGAAACATGAGAGCTACATCTTGAAGATCATGAATTTGCAGAAGAGGTCGGAAGAGATGCAGCAAGGTGTGGGAGCCGTCCAATGCGGGTTGTGAATAATAGCTGTGGTAGGATATACGACGTAGTGACGCGCTGCACACCTTGTGCACCATCGTCATGAGCTGAACATGATCATTGAAGCTACTCGTGTGCTCGTGGTTCGTAAGCTTGAGGGTACGGATGTTCGGAGCGACAAGAGCTCCCAAGAACGCCACAATGTTGCCTAGCTTCCCTTCAAGTCGCAGATACGACAAGGTGGAGAGTGCTACAGGAGTGGGAGAAACCCGTTGCATCATATCACAGCGAATCCAGAGCTCTTCCAACGACTCGAGTGCGGACACTGCTTCGAGAAACTGGCAATGGAGCATTTGGGGTGGACCAATGACAGCTAGGTTGCGTAAATGACTGCACCGGGTTACCAATGGTGTCAGCGCTATTGGACGCGCAAGGTCCCGAATGCGGAACTCCTGAAGCAGAGGGGCCCGCTGCGACAACCTATCGATAATCTCTTGCAACTTGATATCTCGGTCTCTCAATTTGCAAGTATTGAGAAAGACAATAGACACAAGACGAAGCGACTGTGAAAACAAGAACTGTACGTTCATGTCCAGAGCATACGAAGCTTGCCAATAGAATTCGTGCAACGATGGAAGGAGGGCCTGGTCGCCAAAATGAGTACGGTGGTAGCTTGTTATGTCATGCACAGCTTGTGATGATCCTCCGCTGTAGTTGAGAGTGCGTACACGCCGAGCATACTGTCGGAATCGCGCCCACTCTTCTGGAGTAATGTCTCCGACTAGGGACTGACATTGATGAAACGCAAACATCAGTCTCACTGCACTCCCAACAGGCGAGGTTTTACTGACGTCTGAATTTCGTTCTGGCTCGTCGCCATCGTCGAGGGAATCTGGAGGGGAATCATCGCCTGGTACGAACGATGAGAAGAGTTGGAGAAGAGGGTACAAATGATCTAAGTCCTCCCAAAGGACGTCAAGCGCATTGTCCGAAAATGCTTTGCTCACTCGAGCGCAGCTCGCCAGAGTTACCGAATCAGCAAATTCGGACCTGCCCTTCGTGGGTGATAGATGACAGAAAATTTGGGGCAGAATATCGTAGCTTGACAATGCACTATTCGCCTCCATATCGTTCGAACGTTGTCAGGAATAGACTGTCAGACAACAGTCGTGACTCGGAGGAAGAGCGTCGAATATGCCACAGGGGGTATAATGGGCTAAGTTTGCCGAGTGCCTCCAACGACTAGTTATGATACTGGGGACGAAGATAATCCATTGTGACGTGCAATCTCAGGGATCAAGATGGCTGTACGCAGGGCAAATTCGACAAAAGGCGAGGATCAGTTAGACGCGCCTCAGATCGTAATGTCACGTGACTAACACATCAGCAAAAGTCAACTTTTGGTTACCTCCATTTAGCTCCCTTATCTCCTTAATTAAGGAGGTCTCTGTTCTTATTTGGGCAATTAAAGCCAATAACGGTGAATAATGGAGGAATAAGAGAAGGGATCTCCTTATTTTTCCTTAATCAAGGGAATAACACCGGTAAGCAAAAGTTGACTTTTGCTGATGCACGTGGCGCCCAATGTGGACGAACAAACATTATGCGACTCGGACATCATTGGATGCCTTCCCGTAGCCGTTTAGAGACGTTCTAAAGCTAGATTTCGTCTCTAAATCACTTCGGCATGTCGGCCAATTGATCTCCGACGAGCATGTGAACAAAGTGAGACATTTCTAAACCTTATGTCTGGAAGGGGGGGGTCGACCCCCCCATCGTCGCCTATCTTTGGTGTTCCGCATCACTTACATCATCTTGCCGTTCATCCTCCGACCGTCTAGAACTTGATTTAGAGATCATGGTCTCACGTCGTTACGGTCTCGCAAATCCGGCTGTTCCGACGCAGTGGGGCATTCCGTAGTCCGCTTTATGATTTAGAAACACTCTAAATCCTACGGGAAGGCATCCATTACTGCACTCATTCTGCGCTCCTTGGGCGAGATCGCAGTCGCTTGGATAGTGCAAGGGCTTCAATTTCAGAGTGGGTACTACTGCACGGTATGCTGGATAGGTCTGATGAGATACTTTATGATCCAGATAATAAATATTGTGTCTTCTGCCACAAGCCGCCGTGCATGATAGCTAATACTTCGTTAAGTCCCAGATCTCTGCTTCGTACCGCTGATGCAACACCAGTGGTCGTGCTACTCCGTATACGTAGACATGGAGCACACTATCTTAGGGCCTGCTGCACCGGACTTCCCTCGTCGAAGCGAGTGACTTATGTACCATCACAGCATCCGACGATACTACGGTAGACGGTGGCCATGATGCCTTGCTCGATGCCATCAGTCTTTGCAACCTTGCCGCCCTTCCAGAGCCAGAGCATCCGGTGGACTCACGGCACCGTGCCTCCGGCCTAGTACGACTTGAAGTTTCACACCCACCGGCATATCACTAACCAATGCCCAGGTATGACAACCCCGAATACAACATTCACCCAGACTTTTTAGGAGAAATATTCATCACGTTGTTGCAGTCATTTGCAATTGCCTGCAATTTCAAACCACCACAAGTCGTTAGTAAACCGCAATCATAGCAATTTCCCTTCCGTACGGTATATTCAATACTACGTGCTTGCGAAGAGCTCGCGAAGATCGGGCATCAAAGGAATATACATCACCTGTGTGCCGACAGCGAGTGGTGGTCCTACCGAACGTAGCACTTAGAAGTTACTTGTGGAAGATTTGACAATTGCCGACCCCGCGCTCTCGACCACTGGCCATGTGTATTCTCTGGATATCAGAATGGCGAGGTGGCTATGCCAGTGGTCTTTAATCGTTCGCCCGAACAACAGACCCGCTGCCTGAATTGACCGTTGTGTGGATCTGATAAGAGAGGACTAAGTACTGAAATATACGATTTATCCACCATACCGACAACGAAACAGCACCACAGACAGTAAACACCTGCAGAGTCAAGTCCCAAAAACTGATTACTTTGTTGCACTGCTATGAGTCGAATCTTCAAGAGGTTGACGTTTCTACCCATGCCACACCAGGGACGCACAGAATCCTCATAAACTTGCCGCGTTTAACACCTTCATTACTCTGTTGCAAGCTAAGAGACTAAACGTTTATTAGCTCATAGCATATCAACAAAGTCTCGTAGAAAAATCAGCTGTAGAATTGAAAGAGTAATTCATCCTCGTGAACGTGCAAAGAGGATGGGCGCTTCGAGCCCCTGGTTCAGCCTGCATATATACGGCAGCTCGAACAAATCAACCAAGTGATGTCCACTCACTGGAACTCCAGGTGGATCAATCGGACCTCGTGCAATGAAGCTGGGTTAATAACGGTGCGCATCATTGGCGACAAGAGCTCTGTTGGTTACATTGGTTGGTGTTATAAGAAAGAAAGCTCACTTTTCACTTCCGCTGCATACAATTGGGTGATGCATGCTGCATTTTGGTGACATGACAGTGGCCAATTGTAGCGACTGCAGTTCTCTCACAATCGCGGAGAGGATATCGGTGTAGGTAAACTACGAGGATCATTAGCGATTCGTCGCGATCGATGAGGCATCCGAAAGTCTGTGTGCAAACGCGGATATGTTGAGGAACGATAGTTGAGGTAGATCTGGCTCCAAGTACCTTTGGGAGACTTTGTGAACTCTCCGATCTCAAGCCGCCTAACTGCCATGAGTTTGTTTTACCTACGGAGCTAACTCAAAATAAAGATAGTCATACATCTACACATCGAACTTGACGATCTGCTCCCCACCTCCCCGCTCAATCTTGAGCAGTCGCTTCGCCACACACCCGTATATCGGCCTTGTAACTGCTCCGCCACCCGCAGCAGACTTAGTTGCGAGCGTCTCTTTCAGACGGCTGAGCGGCATCGCGTACTGCGGCGGCGTAGACAAGAGTGCCAGCAGCATGTGTGCGGTGAGAATCTGCTGCGCGGTTGGCTGCGAGGGAGCAGATGCCGGAGGTATCGCAGCGGTGGAAAAGGATGAGAGGCTCGAGGTGGTGGGTGACGAAGGTGAGGGTGTGAGTGTGGAGAGGGTCTGAAGGTGAGCACTAGTTCTGATGTTAGCGCCGTTGTGTGATTAGGTATGGATAGAGAAACGTACATCGTCTCTTTCGCACGCGGTGGTCTGTTGCTGCCAGCCCCCGATACATCAAAGCGGCATCCAGGCATAACGACTTCCCCGATAGTTGCCCAGATCTTCGACTACATCGATGAAGTCAGCTGAGAGCACACTGAAGGCAATGCAAAGACACGCACAACTATATGTTCCAGTTCTGTGGTCACTTTAACCTTCGACCGCCTCAGCGAGCCAGAAGGCGTCTCAGCGGCCGGCAGAGGACCCGAGGATGAGGGCGAACTCATTCGTGGATCGGGTTCTGGATCGGGTTGGGAGGTGTCCTGGAACTGCTTGAGATGTGATGGTAGCCTCTGTAACACGACTGTTTGCTCCTTGTCTTCTGCAGCACCTTCATCATCCAACACGCCCGAAACTTCAGCATCCAAATCTTCACCGCCTTCGTATGCATGTTGGAGGTCAACCTGAACAGAGCTTCCTATGTCGTACGCTTGATCTTCCTGCTCTCGTTCTTCCAACTTAAGGTCTGAGCAAGGGGATGGTCGGCCTCCGCGTAGACTCCCACTCTTTGTCCTAGCAGGAACAGGGCTGGCAAAGGACAATGCAGACACATTCGCAAGTTCTTCATTGACATCCTCATCAAGTAGCGAGTTTCCCGTGAAGTGCAAGGTACGTGCGGCTGCTGCGGGGGTATTCCAGAACGTTTCTTCTTGTTCGTCCGGAGGTGACATTGACTGGGGTGTTTGTGGCTTCGGCTTGGCCTTCGGGGCTGCGCGACTGATAGTTCGGCCATTGGATTTCCGTTTCATGAGGCTCTCTTTCTGTGGAATCATGAACATCATTGACAATGCGAAAAAAGTGTATTTACATGCTTCCTCAGCTCGGCGATGCGCTGGTGCGCATCCTGGATTCGACGTTCCTCTTCTGCGAAGATAGATTTTGGAGAAAGCGGTGGCTGAGAGGGAGCTACGGGGGCGGTCTGGACTTAGTTGTTGTAAGCAGGCCACCCAACTGACGCATAACTCACTTGCTTCGCTTGATTATTGAGTCCATGGATACTTTCTCGCACTGCAGCCAATTGTTCGACAATCCTGATGGCCTGTTCCGAAGCACGCGGCATGGGTCTGATGGACTGGCTATATCGCCTTGAGCAACGGAGTTACGAGAGACATGTATGGCACTCACTAACGATCAAGATACTTCAGTGCGGCACGGGCGTATACCTCTGGCTCGTGCTCGCCTGTTCTCTGTATGTCCGATCTTCCAGGTTTCGGCGCAGGTGGCTTCCTGAGGGGAGTTGCTCCGAGGAACTCGACTCGCGCGATCTCACCGTGTGGCGGAACAGGAGGATCTGTGTCATGAGTGGGCGGTTTCGCTGGAGGAACCAGGGTAAAGAGCCCCAGCTCCGCGGGGTCGATATCACGGATGAGATCCCCGAGCGGGGTGTGTAGCACCGCATTGGTGAAGGGGCCTACTGAGCCCGATGGAGAGTCAGACTCAACGGAGGAGGTAGACGTCGCAGCTGAGCGAATTGATCTAGCGAGTTGGGTGATGCGGTCGACGTGGTCAGATAAGCTGCTCATCGCGCTGGTCGACGAGGCCGGCACGAAAGACGGCGAGCACAACAACACGATCGAACCGGCCCTGAACTCTAAGTCACGTGGACTATATGTTTCGTACACCTACAGTACTTAATTCTACTCGACTCCGATAGCATCAGCCTGCTCCCTGCGAATTCTGGAATCTGATTGTAAACGTATCTTGACCATTGTGGGTGTTGTGTCTCGAAAAAGTCTGACTTGGGAACCTCGGTTGCTGATTGACGGCACTCTTGCCTACTTTTTTCTTAGTCCTGGTTTAGAGGGTCTGGGTAACTGAGTATGACTGCCCGGTGCTACTGCACATCTAACTCTGCTGTGTCCAGCACTCGAGCTAATCGGGCTATTGAAATGGACAACTATTCTTTCCCGTCGTTCCGTTGGACCAGCGGTGAACCTGCAAACCGTTGGCAAGCCGCCTTCTCACCATCGTCGTGCTTCTGATGAGTCTACGTTTCGTCTCCTGAGACTTCCTGCTCCACCCGATCACGAAGATCGATGATCACACCGAACCCCATCCTTCTGTGTGGCAAAGATTCAAGGAACACGCTGGTGATGCCATTCATTTCTTCCTACTTACAATGCACTGACCTTGCTTCTTAAGTTAGTGAAATGCTAGGTTCTCTACGACCCAGGATGCCGCGTTTATTGTGCCAATACGCCCCAATTCTGGGCGTCTATCAGATCTCACGTCTATCAGATGTGTCCTCTGTCAGTGAGCATTACTATGAAAGAGAGAGAGGTGATATGACTTTCGGCGCTGGCCTGTGGTTAGCGGTGTAACGAAGCTGTGCACTCTTGCTGCTCAGTTGTCTCACACATCACGCATACTACATAGGTTCTGTAACCCGAGATACTACGACACCTTCATGACATAGAGTTTGACGTGTGTGAAATAAACAGTGTATGTTGTGTCGGTCAAAAGAGCAGAGAGATTCCACGTGCAGAGGATAGTACCGTCGATCACGATTTTGAACCCGTCACCAAGTCGTCTTCTCGTCCTCCGTTTGTGTTCCTGCTTGCACCAGCCGACTCACTCAGGATCGGGCCTGCTACCTAGTGCTGATCGACCGTGAGACCGTGACCAGAGTCTCAGCGCTCTCCCTCTGTCGAGCATCGACCAGGCTATATACCCACTCTTCTCGACGCGATGGTCAACAACGGACCCTCAGGTTTAGGCGGGCGCAAAGGCGTCTGGGAGCCGCTACCTCTCATACTCTACGGTTACGCAGTTCATCCACTCTCGCCTAATCGACGAGACACCAAACTCTCCAACCGCACCCGCCTCTCGAGCTTCACGGACGCATCTGGGGAAGAGCACCTTGTGCACAGGGATGTAGTCTCTCTCGAGGTGGGTGACAATGTGTACGCTTTCGAAAAGTATACACCGAGGGACAAGGAGGTGGAGGGAGTTTGGTATCGAGGGTGCGTTCGCCGTTTTGTCGCAATATGCTCCTTCAGGCGAGTTGCTCGGGAACAGCTGTCTTATCCCATTTCGATTGTGCAGATATGTTGTATGCACTACACGACGCCCACAGGTGAACTGGGCGATTTCATCGGACCCGTCAACTTCGTCCCAGAAGGCGGTCGCCAAGGCAGATGAGACGCAGCAAGTGTTCATTGGCATCTTCCCTGCTTCCCACATCTACGTACGAGACGAGCTGGCGGACGCAGAAGGCCGCCTGGCGGAGCTCGCAGTGAGCATGACCTCCAGCATCAACGGACACACATCCTCGTCGGACCTATACCCGCAATGGCAACGAGAGAAGGCGTCTGCGGTCGACTTCCCCATACCGATACCAATACCGAAGACAGAGGAAGACGATACTATTTCGCGGAAATCGTCGTTCAAGCTGACGCCTCCCCCGGAGCAGGCGAATAACGCGCGCGCCCGTCTGCCAGTATACCCAGCAAGCCTACGATCCGCTTCGCCCACGGAGTCGCAGGTGATGAAACCGCTCCCTCCCCGACCATCGCTCAAATCGGGCGACGACACCGCGTCGGGCGCTACGCAGCCGATCGTCGACGAGATTGCGTCTGCACTACGAGAATGGCATGCGCTCATGTTTCAGTACCTCGCGCAACGCGATTACAAGCTGTTCCACATCGTGCGGGAACACATTGAGGCGCTTCATCTCGGGCGACGACAGCTGCTCGCGCAGACGCTGAGCTCGGAGGAGACCGTCAACCTGCGACGGGAGTGCGTTGCGCGACTTGTGAGCGGGAACCTTGTGCAGGGCCTCGATATCATCGTGCGACATCCTACATGGGGCAGTCTGGTCACCGTCGACGTCGAAGGCGAGGTCGATACCCGCAGCTGGCTGAGCGCTATCAGGATGTATGCAATGCAGGCATCGCTGGCGTTCATGGATATCTCGCCGTCTAACCATCCTTACAAGTCCCCGCACTTCGGTGGCTCGCTCGATCACACCTCACCCGTGTTGCCCGGTCCCGCTCAGGCACTGTCTGTATTTCCTGAGTATAGCCGAAGTAGAACCAACCGCGCGTTAGGTTCGTTCGCATCATCAACAAGCACCGCTCAATCTGCCAAGGCGAAGTTCTACCATGTCTTCATGGATATACGCGCGTTCGTTGCCTCTATCTGCGGTCCTGGAGAGACGGTGGAGTTGTTCGTCTCGCTCTTTAACAAGGCTTACGCCCGGTTTGTCTCGGAGGAGTTCTGCGTAGTATTGAACCACAACGGTGTCCTCGCCCGCGATCCGTCGGCACGTATTCGTACCCTGTTCACAGATCTCGTTCAGTCGGATGCGCAAGATCCCATATACCTCGTGTGTCGCATCGTCAGGAATGGGGCTATGAAGATGGGAAGCAGCATGGGCTCAATCAACGAGGGTGGCAGGCGCGCTTCAGAGGCTTCGTTAAGAGAGTCGGGGACATTGACCCCCTCCACAGCATATACCGAGGGCGGGCTGACAGCGGATAGCTATGCACCTGGGAAGGGTTCATCGATTGAACTTCCGACGCAATTTAGAAGGCCCTTTGGCTGTGCGGTGCTCGAGCTCACGCAGCTTAATGCTATGGCGGCGGAGCAGTCGGAGATGTCATCTACCAGAGAGTATCCTATGCCTATATTCGTACCCACCAATGAGGCGACATTCTCCATGCTTCATCAGGACATCCTCAATCACAATACCAAGGAGTACGAGAAATCTCCGAGGTGCGTCTATCAATAGTGTGCCCTTCTTCTTGTGTTGACTGTAGCATCCAAGAGCCGAAATGATAGCAGTGTCAATCAAGATTTTTTACGGCGACGCGGAGACGATCGTTCGAGAGAATACATCACTACTCCAGGACACACCACTCAGTCTACGCCTAGGTTTTCCCGATGTTGTCTTCCCTGGGGATGTACGAAACGAGCTCTACATCAAGCTCTGGAGCGGCGATTTTTCCTTCTCGCAAAGCGGTGCCGCTCGTCGCAGCGTTGCCAACTTTGCTCGAGGGCAGGTTGGTAGTGTGAATGGCAACGTGCAAGTGACTATCGACGTGAGAGATCAGGATGGTCGGATTATGGATCGCGCCATCACGCAGTGCAGTGGGGAGCCGCCGACGACACAGTGGCACTCCATGGTCTTCCAGCGAACCAACCAACCAACGTTCGGAGAGCTCATCAAGATCAAGCTCCCCTTTCAAGGCGATCAGCACTGGCATCTCTTCTTCACTTTTCGGCATCGAAGCTCCAGGGAACGATCGATGAGCCGAGGATCGGATGCTCCTGAACGTCCGTTTGCATTTGCGTTCTTGCCGCTTTTCCCTGATGGTCCCGCTTTCCTTGAGGATGGGTCTCATACTCTGGTATTGTATCGCGCAGACCGGCTGGGCCAAGTCTCGACCGACATGTACCTCGCGGCGTCACCATGGCTTCCTCCCAATCAAAAACTTGAGCATGTGTATGTGCCCGTCGAGTTGCAGAAGATCGCGCCACCCATGCGAGACAGCCTTACCATCCGGTCTTCGCTATGTTCGACGAAGTTCACGCAGAACTCTGTCCTACTCAGTTTACTGAATTGGGAGCAGCTGACAGACAGAGAATTCCTCACGACCGTCTTGGCGAAATTCACGTTCGTCGGTGAGGTGGAGATTGTCAAGTTTCTGCGCGACATCTTCGACTCGCTGTTTGGGATCCTCGTGTCTCAGAACAACCAGTCTGGAGAGATGGATCATCTCGTGTTCAATGCGTTGGTGACGGTGCTTGGAATAGTGCAAGATCGCCGCTTCAGCAACTTCCAGCCTGTCTTGGATGTGTATATTGAGAACCATTTCACTTGTGCATCAGCTTCGTCGCATATGATACACTCAATGAACCGACTGCTGCAGAATCCCACCGCCAATGACACGGCGTCTCCGTTGCGTGCCGCACTGAAGGTCTGGTATTACATCTTCAAGTTCATTGTAAGGTCTCGCGAGCTGCAGAAGGCCAAGGAACTGGGCATGGGTGGAGGGGCTACTGCAGATCACCTAGAGGCGACCTTCAAGCGCGAACTGCGTGCTCATCTGTCAGAGGTGAATCGGATGATGTCGACCACATCCCCCCCGTCTATCATCGGGACTCAGACCATCGCTTTGCAACACTTCACCTCTATCCTGCCTGAATTAGGGAAGGTGTTTACGATCGTAGAGCTGGTGACCATCGCCACGACGTTTGCGAACGCGATCGCGTCCAACAAGGGCAAGATTGTCATCTGGAAGCTGATCATGTACCTACAGATGGTCAAAGGCTTCCTGTTCGATAACAACCAATCTCGCTCCTTACTCCTCGAATCCGTTGTAATATGGATCAAACCACATTTCGGCAGGTTCGACGAATATGCTCTGACGCAGCCTGGTGACTCCGAGAGTGCTCGTGATGCTGCTCGTGTCAGTTGGCTGGAGAGCGTTCGGTTGTCTGTGACAGTCGTAGCGGTGATGTTGGACAAGTTACTGCAGAGTCTTGTAGAACCTTCCATTGTATCAGATCGCAATCTCCTGCGACAGGAACAGGATAATATCGAGACGGTCTTGTCACTCTTTCCTAGGTATTTACGCTGATCATACGTTTTCGACTTCGGCTGATTTTCACTATCAGATTATTGGATTCTTACCTAGAGTTCCAAAACGAAGACTCCCGCAAAGCAATCGAACGTATACGTTCCCTAACACCTGTCTCTACTAATTATCCCGTCACTTTCCCTGAATCCTATCCGTTCTCTTTAGTCACACATCTTCCGAAGAACACCACAACCGCATCCGGTTCGTTTGACGTTAAGGCAGACTTCATCCCAGGTCTGGGCGAGACCGCCATCGTGTTCCTAGTCTTGGTGTTATCGGCACCCAAGAAACACATCCTCAGTTTCTTCGACCTGACCCTGGAGATTGAAGGTAAAGATAACCTCGCGACCTTATTGCTACAAACTTTCAAGGTTTCTGCGTCAATTTTGAACGGCGACGCATTCCCGAGCAATTGGTTGAATGTGAACATCCTGGCGCACAAAGTCCTGATCAAGCTCGTGGATCCAATTGCATCGTTACTCGAACGCGAGTTCGTTCCAAACGAGAAATCCAGGACATTTGACCCGGTTTTGTGGCGAGAGGGTTTCTATGTCTTACTCAAACTTTTATCTTCAGAACATCTTGTGATCGAAGAATCCAGCTCCCAGGCGAGTTTTTTGGCTATACTTGTATGAGTTACCTGTTGATCGTGGAGCAGAAGCGACGAGCGGTCTGGCGTCTTGCTGGAGATATTCGAGGCGAAGGAGCATCAATTCTCCTCCGGATGTGGGACGCCCTCGGGTGGCATGAAGATGACCTTGCAAATGGCGGAGCCAACCCATTATATGGTGTACGTGCCTAACGGTCGTAAAACGAACATGGACCATGAACTGATAAGTGTTCTCAGAACTATCAAGATGCTCTCAATCCCCTGGTTGGGCATGTTGTCAACCTATGCTTGAGCCATCATGATCAATTACGTGACAACGCAGTCCATATCCTCTATTGTATGATCATCTCGGAGTACCAGCTCACTCGGCAATTCCATCATATCGAGAACGAGTTGGTCAGCAAGTTGGACACGCTGTTCATGTCCGACAGTAAAGGCGACGATATATCACGGGCATTCTTCATTGGACACCTTCGACATCTATTTGATTCTTCCGATGTCGACGAGCAGCTACGAGAGCGAGTGACAGGCTTCCTCGAAGAGGTTGACCAGTTCCTCAGTTTACTCCTCAGCGTTCGTGCACTGCCGGAAGGTGAGGAATATGCCGATGACCGTGTCATCGCAACGGTACGTTTCGTTGGACCTACTTATTGTTATTTGCTCTCATCTCAGCGGTCCAGCTCCGTCTAATGAACTACATTCGTCGAATCGGGCGTGACGAGATATACATCAAATATGTCCATCAACTTGTCAACGTAGGAATGTACATCCAAGTAATGAACGACGCCTCTAACAATCCTTCGCAGATGCATCTGCAATCTCAAAACTATGTGGAAGCTGCACTGACATTGAAGTTACATGCGGATCTGCACGAATGGGATCTCAATACATTCGCTCCACCTATGGAAGATCTCGGCCTACCTCAACAATCGCAATTTCATCGCAAGGAAACGCTGTGTTTGCTCATCTTGGACTATCTCGGTATGTGTAACGATGGATATGACATCACTGCTTTTAAGATAAGGATGCATGTTTCTGCAGGCAAGGGCAAGGCTTGGGAAAGCGCATTGGAGATATGCAAGGATCTTGCTCTGCAGCATGCCGAAGTAACCTTCAATTAGTGCGTGCCTTCTCGATATAGCTGTCCTGGTACTCTTCTCACACTTGAACTCAATTCAGCACTCGATTGGCTGAGATCCTTCGACACCAGGCTGCTCTCCTGGAACATATTATCACGGATCAACGTTACTATTCGGACTACTTTAGGGTCGCTTTCTATGGTAATTTCCCTGGGGCAATCCGGAACAAACAGTTCATCGTGCGTCATTCGTGGCTCTGGAAGCACCAGATATTCAGCAGGTTCTGACCTTGCCGTATACAGTACCGCGGATATGAATGGGAGAAGTTCGGAGCATTTTGCGAGCGGATGCTCAACAAATACCCAGGCGTCCAGCTTCTCAAGACTATGGGCGATCCCCCTGTCGACATCCGCTTCGGAACAGACCAATACATTCAGTGTACAGCTGTTATTCCAGAGCCTGTACGGGATTCCCCAATCTTCACTAACCCCGATGTCCCTCCCCAGATACGAGCATATTATGAGCACAGGTAGGCCCGTTCAGATGATCACGATTTTCGCGTTTCTTGACTGCCACTTCCAGTGCTATCAACCTGTTCAGTTACTCTCGTTCACTCACCAAAGTCAATCCCGATGGCTCAGAAGAAGTCTGGACTGAAAAAACATTCCTTACGACCGAAGAAGCATTCCCCACAGTTCTCCGGCGCTCTGAGGTTGTCGACGTACAGATTGTCGAAATTTCTCCCGTGGAGAGTGCTCTGCATGAAGTTGAGCAGAGGACGAGAGAGCTAGCAGGACTTAACATCAAGTACTCCGCATTGGCCAAGACAGCACAGCCTGTCCCTACTAACCCGCTTGCAATGAGTCTAAATGCTGCGGTCGATGCGCCAATCAACAGCGGTATTGGAGCATTCAGACAGGCTTATCTATCCGGTGATTATCTTCTTAGACACCCCGAGCGCGTAGAACAGGTGGAGAAGTTGCGAAACGCCGTAGATGAACAGGTGAGTGACGTTATTTCGATACTAAAATGCATGCTAGACGAGTAGTCATCCAGGTCCGTATGATCGACAGCTGTCTACGACTGCATGGACAACTGTGTCCACCAGAGATGATGGCGTTCCACGGAACACTTGAAAGGTTCTTCAGGAAGAATTTCCACGATGAGGTCCAGCGTCTCGCAATGGACTTAGTGGGTGGTTCCCGCTCCAACGAGTCATCGTCTGTTCCAGTGGCTTCACCATCTCTATACCCTCAACAATCGTCAGTATATTCTGCATTTCAGATGCAGTATCGATTGATAAATTATCTGCTCCCTAGACGTCCCCCAGTCGCTGTCCTTCCTGTGGGAAACACAGTACCTTCTGAACCACTTTCCCCGCTTTCGACACGCGCACCACGAGAGAACGCGCAGCCTAGTGCTGAAATGTTCTCCAAGCTCACTCCACTGCAGAGACATCTCGCCCACCTCGCCCGTCACGGTTTCAATGGTGTGTCCTCGGCACCTGTCGAGGCTGGTGGCAGCGATACGATTTCAGAAGGATCTCCACGTGACTCATTTATCAACGGCGTCAATGGCGCCCTGATCATGCCAATGTCGGGTGCAGCATCCATAACGACGTCAACCATGGGCAGCATCGGGTCAATGAAAGGTCGATTCTCGAAGTTCGGAAGCTTGAACTTCGGTCGGCGAGATCCATGATGTTGGATATTCGTCGGCTTTCCCGCCCTCTCACTCTATCTCGAATTATCTCACTGCCCTCCTTGCTTTCGATCTTTGGCTTTTCGACTTGGACGATCTGTATCTGGAGCATCTTCATAATGTTGTATTAATTTTAGCTATTTCTAGTACACTACTTCACGGATGACGGAGAGTCCGTGCAACAGGTGCCTGGGGTTGTATGGTACTATGTTCATGAGAACATCCGGACGAGCGCAAAAACTATCGTAAATCGTGAATATGCATTTGCCCGAATAACGTGGTGGGGTTGAGACGACGGTGCAGAGCAAGACAAGATGGTTGCGAAAGACGATGGATATGTGCCAAGCACTACATTTGGGGACAGCATCCAACTCGCAGTGAACTACACGCAGAGTAACGCGAGATCAGGATGAGGGATTTACATGCTTCAAAGCACCACATGACGTCCAATCGATTGTCCAAGACACTAACCCTTGCTGCACGTACAGTAACTACTTCGTGATTGTCCACTACTTCTCGGTAGGCGGAACGTTTATCCAATAGACACTGTCCTGTCCCATTGAGGCGTCTGGTCAAATGCAAATATTAATACTATCGTAGATGGCGAATTACATTTCCACAAATAACATACTGGGGAGTCAGACGACTGCATTGTACCTACAGGACAACAACCACAATATAAGACAGGGGGATGCTAAATATTCTAGCTCTACATCTGGGCACGACAACCGGCTCGCACTGAGCTAGCTAAGGATACACACGGAGGAGCATGAGAGGCAGAAGTGCTAATAATATGGGTCAGCCAGTTTGTGCTCGCCAAAATATTGGAACTCCAAGGAGTCGAACGCCGAAATATTGTTGTGGAGCTGGAAGCCTTCCGACGAACACGGGTTGCCCGTGAGCGAAAGTGCGTCAGAGGAAACGATGACGGCCTGGCACAACCCACTCTGAGAGTTGATGACGAAGGTCGGTTTGCATGCAGGGTCGCACAATACCGCAGGAGAATGGGATGAGCTTGAGAACATGCTCGACGGCGATCCTACGTGGGGTGTACTGCACAATCCTGGGCTCTCACCCGAGTTGGTGAAGGGCAGGGCGTGATCGTGGTGTGAAGTCACGGAAGCTGCATCGTCACTTTCTGGCGCGGATATATACGAGCTGCTCCCCAGGGCATTAGGCAACATGAGGTCATTTGAGTCTCGAGAATACGTTGGATCGGGCAAAGGCGGCGACCTCAACGACGACCGGCTTGACGGTGTCCTCTTCTCTGGAGCCATAGAAATGCGACCACCAGCGTGCTCCGAAACCGGCGCGGAGAGCGACTGGAAATAATTGCAATCAGTCCTGGAAGTAGTGTCACTTCAGAGTTGCTCACATATTTTGCGATGATCTTGACCAATGCTTGCGATAAGATCTTCCACTCGAACACCTTGAGATCCTTCTCGATATTGCGCGGTTTCGGTGGCGGGAAGCCCATGATCTGGGTGAAAAAATCGTTCGACTCAACCCTATTCTTCGAGATGGTCTGAGGCCGAAAGCCCTCCAGGTTGCGCCGGATCCTGTTTTTCTCCTCGATATCAAACTCCTCCCCCACCAGGTGCTCCAGCAGGTAGATGATGTCAACCGACGTCACGAAGCAGTGATCGGTTTCGGCGCGGTAGATGCAGGAAATCACGACATCGCCCTCGGTATACTCTTTGATCCTGACACGCTCGCAGGAGACCTTGATCGTGAATCCTTCCTGCACGCGCGTGAACCGGACGAGACGACGACTGCTACGTAGCTCCTCCTCATCCCAGTCCTTGCACATGCTATCAAACGGAGTCAAAATCTCGAGGTGGGCACGCTCAGAGCTGGAAGCGTCGTCGCTGAAGCGGAGACGCCGGCCCTGGTTCAGGTGTTTCCTTGTTTGCCGACTTGACTGCCCACGCTTAGTCTCCCGCGATCGGCTACTGCTGGACGTACGAGAGACGTACAAGGGGGAGTACGAGGGGACCGATACAGTCGCATGGGTGGCAGAATCAGCCATGCTGATAGATCGGCGTATCATCAGGGGCACATTGGAGTTAAGCGTATATTCAGCGGTTTCGTACTTGACGGGCGCTACAGACCGGCTTCCTGACGCTGCAGTCGAGGTGAGCGAGCGATCAACACGGTCACAAGAGAACGAAACGCACCAGGAGGGAGATAAGTGAAATTGCCGAACGTCACGGAGTCCAACACCTGGTTCGCGCTATCCAAGACTTGCACGGAGAGAGGGACCGCGGTTGGACCTGACACTTCATCTTGTGGGATGGTCGACTGCAACTCCCACGCTCCGAAGCGGTCGGGCAGGTGCCGGACAGACGTGCTCAGAGCCTTCCGTCCGACGACTAAACGCAAGAAGATCGCGTTACACGTCTTGGTCGACAGATTAAGCGACACGGTAACGGTGGTGCCAGGTACACCCTCTAATGGGTGACATCCAAAGATCCGGAACAATCCCATGACAGAGACGACGGACATCTGGCCAGGAAGTGTACTGAAGTCGGCCGGAGATGAGTCTTTTACAAGGATAGCGTCGATCAGGACTACATCCGGTAAGGTAACGATACACTTACGTGACTGGACAGCAGACGGCATACGATGACTGCTATAGAACGAAGTGGACGCGATCTGCGTCGCTGTACATTGCGATCCAAAGGCAACAGGGTGACTCGACCAAGCGGAGGAATAAGGGTCAACAAGCAGGGTACCTATATCAACCGTCATTGTCACAGGTACTGTGAATTGAAAAGACCTGAGGAGTGAGCACAAAGCACTGGGACGCCCGGGGCCACGGACGGTGGTTTGAGGGAGAGGCTGGAGCGGCTAACAAAAGGCGTTTATGCTACAGAGAAGCCGATCAGATGCTATATGAGAATTCAAGAGAAAGAGCGACAAGGAGACGCGGTAGATATAGATCCAAGGAGACAAAGTTCGGGGAGCGACCGAGCAAGATTTGTTGTCTCTCCACCGAACAGGTTTAGAGCACCTCCAACATCGGCAAGTAGATCGCGGCGGCCCGCCCGATCGCTTATCGAGATAGTGACTTTTATCCTTGTCCATATTTGGTCAGCCGCCTGGCGTACAGGTGCGTTGAAACCTTTGCCTTCCCTGGTGTAAATCATCGCAGTTCTTCCACATGCGACAAGCGGATTGCCTTGACCACGTGTCGAACGTGTATACCATGTGCGCAATCGATGAGTCGCATCACCTTGTAACTGGAAGATAGCCTCGTGGTGATGCGGATGGGCACTGCAGATGGAGAGATTTCGGTTGTTGGTCCACGTGCGCACGGCCTGTCTGATTCTCCGTTCTCCGCAAGTTTCAACCGAGTGCGCTGGCCTGGCCCTCTGAATACCACGACGACGGCCAGCGCCGCCGATTGGAAGGAAAGCAATCATTTTCAGACCTTGGTTTCCAAAATATCGACGGACAGTCACCGACACATGCAGAAAATGGTACGCGTAAGGTATCACAGCCTCCATCGAGGATTAACACGACTCAGGGAAACAGTGGAAGCTTCCGATAAGCATAGGATCTGCTGGACAGGACACCGCGTTTCGAGATGTGACGCTGATCAGAACAACGGAACACAGGAACATCGCCGAGGTCCGGAGGGCCAATGGGAGCTAGTAGATCGAGTTTATCCTCATGAGTAAGCTTCCGTTTGTCGGAAGAAATTTGACAGAAAAACAGAGCCTTCGGACCGTCAAGTACACTGCCGTACATGCATATTTGCACCTCTATGGGAATTCTAGGCGCGATTATGTGTTGCAGTTACGGTCGTTACAAGTCGATGCACCCTTGGAAGGTTTGTGCAAACCGCGCACGTAGAGTCAACAAAATCTCCAAGATGCACTGTATAAGCCGACGTACGGTTGGCTATTGTTCTCAACCAGTCGAAGCTGTTACGAATTGAGCTGACACCCCTGCTCGCAACACACATCGACACCGGAAGGGAGGTCAACGTTTCACGACGACTGAGTCAGACCCTAAGCAGTGGGACGGGTCGTTCTGCAATGTTGCCGTCCTTGTCCACGAACACATCGGACCTGGAATCTTGAAGGCCTGACGTTCAGCCAGACACGCTCAGACCGTGTCCGACGAAACTCTGCAGCCGATCAGATAGCTAGAGCAAATTTCACGAGGGATGCACGCACCTCGAAAAATGAATGCAGCTCAACGACTGTGTCCTAGCGACCGGCGGGCTATACCGCTGAACTTGTGTGCAGATTATGTTCGTAAATATTGTGCGGTACAATGATGCAACGCAGAACATACCAGAAGTCCAATCAATGTAGAGCGTTGAGTGTAAGGCCCGGCAGCCGGCCTCGGGCATTGGGATTTCCCCGATGTCACGTGGCTTCAGCACCATATGTCACATCCATGCGCGTCACGCTCAATTCTTGCACTCAACATGTCGGCAACAGTCGAAAATCATTCCACACCTCCTGTACCCACAGACGTAAATGCGCTGCAGGACAAACTCAAGACTCTCACAGAATTTAGTGCCCGTTTACGGGCCCTTCGCCAGATTCCTGCGGTCCTCGTACGCCCACCGGGCGCTGGTAGCATACATACAGTGGCCCCATCACCTCCTTTGCAACATGAATTCCAAGTCTTGAATGAAGTATCGGGAACGCTTCTGTCACAGCCTGTTCAGGAAGCTTTGGCGGCTGCGCGGGACAGCGAGCAGAAGGACAAGAGCGATATCAACTCAACTGTGCGGCGGGAGACACAGAAACGCAAGTAAGCGTCATTCACAGCCTTGTCTCCTGCTGAGATGAACCCGCCGTATCTCAACTTCCCGTGAATCAGACGTCCACCATCTCCAGAATCTCCGCAGCCTTACCGTCCTTTCGAGCCGAAGAGCTCCTCGTCGTTTCCGGAGATTGATCAAGGGCTTCCGCCAGTTCGGCTGGGCACACTCCCTGGGTTTATACGGGAGTACAATGGGGCCGATCACGCCGTCAAAATGCACGTATACTCGCCCTCGCGGAATCGACCACTTGCGTGTCCGGTCGTCCTGCGCTGCATGATCAGGGACGTGGTCACCGTGTTCCTGACGCTGGGTGAATCTGCTACTGGCGCGCCGTTAGATGTTGAATGCGCTACAGCATTTGGCCCACGTGAACAGGTGTTTAGGGTTCTTCGTTTTGTCGGCGCATGATGTCCTCACCGTTCGTCCTGCATGTAGGAACCGTCGCATTCACAATCCCAATACCTCGTATATCAAAATTTGTCCCAGCAGATCGCGAAAATGATACAGTCACAACCACAAACTTCTCTCCGCGCAGTTCTGGTGGGCATCTCCACTCCAACGCTGAGAGCATATTCGAACTTTAAAATTATCTTTTAGAACCTATTATGCTCATACGAGGAGCTCTTCGTGCAACGGTGCGCGGTTTGTGATCGCATCCTGTCCGTCGAAGCGTACGTACCGCCCGTCGGCCGTGTGTGGACGAAGATGGGCGACGGCGCGTTCGGCTGGGAGGCCCGACACGCTACCTGCCTGCAGCGGTGACAGGCGCAAACCTGGAACTTCGCGTGTGGCCTACCGCCAGATACCCCGAGTGCCGCTGCTGCTGATGTGATGTGAGCCTACCGTGCCGCGCTGGCCTGAGCACACAGCACACGAAAATGGCAGCACCGCGCTGTCCAGGACAGATGCCTGGCACTTCCCATCGGCGTTGCATATGGTGACTCGTACTCCTGTTTGAACCTCGAACTTTTGTACCAGTGCATACCGTATTTCACTACACGACGTGGTCCTGATGGATGATATCCTAAATATTTTGCAGTCTGAGTTCCTCGATGAGGCCCAAGTGTGACCCGAAGTGCGTTGCGTAGTCATTCGAGAACAAACCCTCTCTGATTGGCTTGATCAAGCATAGATACACAGCTCAACTCTCTGACGACCATTTATACGATCTGCGAACATTACCAAACTGCATCGCCTTGCTGTGCTCAAAGGCCCACCGCGATTATTCCCGGCTAGCGGGACCGGTACACAAGGCACTACAGAGGTCGACCGAAGACCGAAGCACCTTCTGCCGCCAAACTGCCAGATCCTCTCAGCGAGATTTCCGATTCACCGGCGATTGGCATTGAAGGCGCTGCTATCGAACTTCGAGCTCCAGCCATCAGTGGCGCATCCCACTTCGGCATCAACGTCTGCGTCGCCCCGGCGTTCGCCTGCAATGTGCGTGCGCGCAGTAGCGCGCTCGGAGACCAGCACCCTCTCCAGTCCCCTCGGGCGGCGAAGCAGGACACTTCCCCCATCGCCGACGTCATCTGTGGCATCGGCTTTCCCCTCCGCGGCCAATGCAAAGCAGATAGCCTTTCCAGCTGACGACGTCTAGGATTGAATGTGAATTGAGTGTGTTGTGCTCATGGACTTGAGGGGGATTTTCTGTCCACCCTTTATAAGTCTTCTCCACACATAAGTGTGTATCCACGGCCATAGGACTTCGAAAACACCGCATCCCGTCCGATCTGCGCAGTTAACCGAAGTGCCGCCCAGTTAGTACCACGGTGGGGGACCACGCGGGAATCCTGGGTGCTGTGGTTTTCGGCTCAGTTTTCCACTGACCAGCTTTTAGCTCTTTGGTATACTTGTCTGGCAGCACATAAGCTGTATTCAAGACAAGTTCCTTCCGTGTGAGTAGTAAGCATGTACTTGAAACTAGTATCATGCATAGTTGATATTCAATGTGTGCACCATACAGAAAGTCATTTGCCTTTTTCTGTCTCCACTGCTATTTATTTTTACAAACAGCTGCAAAGTTCTCAGCACGCTATGCTAGAGACCCATTCTACAGATTGAATGGTGAACAGTTTCCAGCAGTCTGCAAGGCAGTCTGTCATGCAGTGAAGGGCTGGTAGTAGAAGGACTTGGATGACAAGACGGGAGGTGCACACATGGACGTCAGCGATGTTACGCAGATTATATTATTTAGATAACAGAATGTCCATAGTCAGCCTGAGGTACAACCCTGCCATGGGGGCCATTAAGTCGTGTCCTACTAAAGAGTGCAAGGCACATACATGACTACGACCACACTCCGATTCCAACCAATCCTGACCAGCCGGAGAACCCTTCATGGCTACGGTGACCAAGCAGAAACTGTGCGACAGATCCTCCACCTGCAGGCATGGGCTGAACGGTGAAAGAGTAGATATGATCCAGTTGGGAGAGAAGACTGGACAGCCGTTTTCCCTCGCTGCTGCGAGCAACGAGCTCCGTCAAATTCGACGGTAGATGCATAGCGGCTGGGATATCCACAGGAGTGATCTTCACGAATTCAAAAATCGCACGGCAGTCAATCATCAATTTGTCACAGGGGGGAGGGGGAGGTATAAGTGATCAGGTATACCTTGATTTGAGGCCCAAGAGCGCCATGCAATCCCAACGCCTCGAGCACCTCCCGCTCGTGTCCCTTCCCGTAATGTCCTTCTCCCAACCAGAGTGCCAGATCGCCGAATTCGTCGGTCTCGCTTGTCTGCCCTGCGAGGACGCTCCCACAAGCGAGCGCATTGGCGGCGGCATTCGCACTGAGCGTCAGCGCCGTCAGGTAATCTTGAGCTTCCACATTGAATGTATTGGCCGACAATAAAGGGGGTAGGAGCGCAATGACACCAGTCTGAGAGAGTTGTGCAGTGGACGATTTTTCCGCTCCATACAACGTCGACAAGGTGGAAACAACAGCAGAGCCAGATAGGTAGGGTAACGGAGAGGGAAGTACCTGAAGCAGGCTTTGACCGTTTGAGTTTTTCACGACCGCTGAATGCACGCCGGACATCGTCCTTGCGAAGTAAGACGTTAATTGGTAAAAAACCTGAGGAGTTCTGTCCAAGTACCACCACGAGTCAAAAGACGTTCCCTGAAATCATCAGAGAAGCAGCTTTCCTTCGCCCCGGCGCAGGAAAATACGCACGTCTACAGCAGTGATGGAGATTATATAGGCCTGCTGGATAGCGGAGAGATACACCCCTTGTCGGCGCCTGGAGTAACGGTCTCATATTTTGTGGCTGAACTTGGCCGGAAGAACGCGTGCGGCGGCAACTTTCGTTGTGCGTCGCCTTCTTCCTCTCCTTCATTTCCGCCAGACGTCCCTTATCGTCTCTCACATCGAGCACACTACATTGTCTTTGACTTTTCATTTTCATTCTCGTCTTGTATGCTTTCTTCGCTCGGGAGGAATGGCTTCGTAGAAAGGTATCTGTCCGCCACTCTTCTACTCCGGTGGACGCTGATCATTCGCCCCCATGTAGTCTTTCCGCGGCGAGACAACATCGGAATGTGGTCCTTTTCAATCGCAGATTGCGGGCAGGGAGCTATCCGCTTGTCTCTGGTTCAGACATAGCGCACTGGCAGCCGTCGTCTCGCGTCGATGTGTTTGCGGGCCGTCTCTACACCACCGCGACACCTCCGCAAGCCACGAAGTCCGCACAGAATGACTCCAAACAGCATATTCCCCCCGTCATCTCCCCTTCGCGAAAGCCGAAGATAGAACTCAGGCCCGGTCCCGTGAAAGTCTCGAAGGCGACGCATACCCCGACCGAACCTGCCGCGGCGTCCCCAAAACCCGCCTCAACAAAAGCCAATCCTGAACCTCTGTCCCCTTCCGCCTCGCCTGACTCTACCTCCAAGTTCGCCAAAGCCACGGAGCATGACTTCGAAGAAGCATCGAAGCACGGCATTCTCGCACCACCCCCGGAAGGCGCGGGGATGATCAGGAGGCTCATACATCAGGGGAAAGAGTTCTTCGTATGTCGTCCGTTGCATTTCTCCAAGGCTCTAATGAACCTCAGACCAGAAATTCTACTGGAGAGGACTCAAGCTGATAGAGTCCAACCGCCGGCGGGCGAAGGCCATTCGGGAGCGGGTTAAGACGGGCGGACGGCCGCTGACGCGGTGGGAGACAAGGTTCATCAGGACAAACAAGGAGGACCTGTTGAAGTGCGTTGTCCTTCATGTTCAAATAAGAGTACGATGTGACCTGTGTTTGTCCAGACTCATCCCCTTCGCCCTCATCATCCTCATAATAGAAGAAATCATCCCACTCGTTGTGCTCTACGCACCTTTCATCTTACCCTCCACTTGCATCTTGCCGTCGCAGAAGGATCGTATCGATGCGAAGAGACGCCTGAAGCAGAAGGAGTATACAGTCAAGGATCGGAGGACATTCGAGCTGGTCCGCCAGCGTATCGAGGCCGATTCTAGCGTTCCGGTAGAAAACTTGCTAGACAGCTCTGCCCTTGCAGCTTTCAACGGGTGCGTGGTGATCCCTTCTTCGTTGGACGGAGGCAGCTGATAATTTGTGCACAGCTCGTTGGCTCTGCCCACGTGGGGACCCGCACCCCTGCTCCTCCGCCGACTGAAGAGACATCTCGCAGCGATCGCCGAGGATGATGCGCTCCTGACGCGTGAGGATTCGGGGCGTTGGCTGACGGAAGCACAGCTTCGCGATGCACTCGAGGAGCGCGGGATGTACGTGTTCCGCATTACACTCTCACATCGGTCGATTTCTGATATGTAACCTACAGCGTCACCGAGGGTGTCCCGCAGAAGCTGTGGCAGACGCGACTGGAATGGTGGCTCTCGCATGCGGATACCGCGCAGGCCGCCGAACCCGACGCATGGCGTCGGCGTGTGCCGCTGGTCGCTAAGATTGGCACGGGCAAGTTTTGAGTGGGCATATTGACAAATTATTCTCAACACAGTTCTACACAGTATAATATGGGGTATATCTATTGATATAATCGCAAATCGCAGCTCTACGATCGACATTGTGGGTCTTGCAGAGGAACAGTCCTGTCACTGAACCAGTCCTGCCTGCCCATATTTCCTTGAGACACGGGATCTGCAATAATATACACAGGACCAACTACATACACCATGGAGTCAGAAAGCCGGTCATTCGACGTTCACATGGCATCTTGTGCTGTTTGACAATTACTTTCCTATCATCATGATCCATGTAGTCCAGATGACTTTGTTGGCTGTGCTCATGTCTTGGACTTTGAAAGGGTACTATAAGGAAGAGACCTCTCAGGGGAATTCTAGTCCAACTGAACGGACATGGATCAGTGAGAATTGTGCCTAGCCGCGATAGGCACGTACAGTTTTGTGGGGTATGTATGAATTACACTTCAAGAGACCGACTGACTTTCGACGTATCCAAGAGCTCGCCAATTGTGGAGGTCCCATGGTCCCAGCATGATCGCCTTTTGGGCAAGCTTGCGGGCTTCGCTGTTGACACCAGGATCCTGATGACCGCTAAGAGACAATGCAACGGCATGGAGAGCAAGAGACTCGCGAAGTTGCGCAAGATTGTCGTCACGCGCCGCACTCGAGCCTGCAATGACAGCGAGAGCCGCGCCGCTCTCTCCCTGCTGAAGGGTCAGGGAGGCCAACTGACGCCGGATTTCAGGACGCGAAGGCTCTGCATATGCTGCTTTCTGCGCCACAGAGAGGGCTTGCGTGGAATCACCCTTTCATTATTTTTGTCAGTTTGTTGTTAACCGGCAATTGCATGACGTGAATGATATACGGACCTGTCCGAGATGATGCTCGATGAGCAGATATGTGATATCCCTGTCGGGATCTCTCTGAAGCCGCCGATCCAGTGGCTGGGCAAGGATCTCGGAAAGAGCGGCGTCCACGAGGCTATCATCGTCCGTGAGTATTCCCATACCCGCTAGCGCATTAATAGCCATGAGATTTTCAGGATCAGATTCGATACTGCATAAACATGGTGAGCGGAAGCCATTTTACGTGTATGAAGACAAACCTTTGCAATAATTGTGCTTTAGCAGACTCTCGACCGGCTTCCGTGCCTACGGCCCAAAGAGTTTGCGCGAGTAAGACGACGATGTGACCTCGGAGAACGGAGTCTTCAGATGCAATCCCCATCGCGGCCTGCAAGAACGTCAGAGCATCCTGCAGTTGGCCAAGCTTAAAGTGGGCTAGTCCTGAGCCAAATTGCGCCTGCACAAGCAGTATCCTAGAGTTACGGTCCTCTGGTTCCTCGGGAAGCAGTCCCATTGCAACCTGATAAGATTCGAGAGCGCCGCCGTAATCCCCAAGGGAAAGTCGGAGACGAGCCACACTGGTATGTGCGATGGTAAATTGCCTCTCGATAACGGGATCTTCTGTGTCTTCATATGCTGCTTCAAGTAGGGATATCGCTCGGCTAATACTGTCGATACCCAGTTCCAGGTGTCCGATCCGTTCACAGACAAGCCCGAACAGATGCAGCGCGGCAGCATCCTGAGACTGTTTCTTGCAAAAGCGATCAAGAACGAAGAACGCGGGGAAGAGAGCATCTGAAGAGGGGGCAGAAGCCGAAGCTGTAGTGTTCGGTCTGTGGAAAATGCGCTTGGCAAACTCGACATCTGCCTCGGGCTGTATGTCTTTCTCGGTCATCTGCAATCAAGGCTCATGCGAGGGCACTACTTACCACGGTTGCAGTCAAGCCAACAGCGTGCTCAAACAATGCTCTTGCATCTGCATCATGACCATTGGCCGTAGCTACTAGTCCCTGCCCAACCCAAGCTGGAGCATAGTCCGGGTCCAGAGTTTGCGCCTTGTAGAAAGCCTCGTTCGCGAGCTCTGCATCGTCGTGGTACAGGTAGAACAAGCCCAAATTAGTCCAAGTTATCGGATTCTGTACAAGTACGGTTTAAATGGGATGGGGATAGAATGCAACGTTAATCGCAGACCTTGGAATCAATATCCAACGCCTTGATATAGGCATGTTGCGTAACCCTTGGTTGTGAAAGAAAAGTTGCGTCGCCCAATCCGCTCCAGTATCGGTCATTGCCAGGATCAAGGCGTAAGGCTTCCTTGAAATTTTGAACGGCTTCCTGCTGGGAACGCTTTTGCTTTGTACTCGGCGCTACTCTGCGTGCATATGCATGCAGAGCGACTCCAAGGTCAAAGTATGCACTCGCGCCAGCCGCCTCGTCAAGTGATCCCAGAATTATCCGGTAATCATATGCCGCTAGCGAAATTTCAAGGAGGAAAAGTGAAAGGTCTCTTGTATCGTTCAGCAATAGCGGCGATGACAGTATTCCAGATAAACCACTCTCCGGATGATCTGATACAAGTGTAGTCAGGTCAGCGGCTACCTTGCGCACGCCACCTTCATCCGAGAATGTCGAGAACTGTGATAGCTGGAAGACGGCATCCGCGGCGATTTTCCAGGCTACACGTCGGAAACCAGGGCTGGCGTCTATTAGGCGAAGCACCACGCGAATTGAAGAAACAAAGGAGGTTTCTGCCCTTGCTGTGTACGCAGTCGCAAGCTGCACGCGTCCCAGGTCCAAATGAGCTTGCCCCAGAGATATGAGGATACCAACTTCGGATGGATGGTCAAGCAGAATAGATTCAAACGCCTCAATGGCTTCCTCGTACGCTCCCGTCTGCCTTTGCACCTCGCCAATGAAATAAGAAGAAATCCAATCTTCCGGCTTGAGCTCGCGGGCGCGTTCCAAAGCTTTAAGTGCCGCGGCGAAGCGACCCGCCTTGCTATATGCCTCTCCCAGCCGTAACCAGGAGAGTTGGTCGTCTCCATCCGTTCTGAGGGCTATTTGGAATGCCTGAATAGCTGGAGGATAACTATGGCGGTTCTGAATGATCGTCAACAATGTATTACGGTGCCCCTTTGAGTCAGTGTTCCTCACCAATTCAACTACGCCCACAGCCTTCCATGCCCACGCGTTGACCGGCAAATATCTTGCAGCTGCAACTGTATCCGTTCCGCTCTGAGGTCCACCCTCACCATCAATGGTGCGCCTGGCAACCACTTCAACAAGATCCCATTCTCGCTCTTCTGCGAATCCTTCCGCTAGTCTACGGGCCGCACTTGCTTCACGAGGATCTAGTTCGAAGGCCTTTTGGAAGCACTTCGATGCTCGGATGGGATCAGGAGGAGATAAGAAATCTGAATAGTAAATTCCCAGGGACGTGAAAGCGGGAGCGAAAGATGGAAAGTGCCTTAAAGAGGTGACGAAATATCGGTATGCTTCTTCACGGCAATGATCTGCATAATCTTACTATGAGTCCACGACATTTACGAACGTAATCGAGGTCCTCACCTCCCATATCCCAATAACATTTGCCAAGCCGCCACCAGCAGCGCGCCTTGTCGGCGTCCTTCCCATCCAGCTCGTCCAGAACCGTTACAACGGCTGCCAACGCCTTTGATCCACCCTCCGGATCGTGACGCTTTGCTTGACACCATGCCTGTTCCTCCTTGGCACGTATACCGTGATTGCGATCATCGGGAATCAGGTGCGCTACCCTGTTGAACAGTTCACCTGCCTCCGCCCATTTCTCGGCACGCTGGAGGACGAAGCCTCGGCCCATAAGGCATGGCACGTTGTCCGGATCTTGGCTGAGGACCTGGTCGATGATACCGAGTGCACGAGAGTGGTATTTGGGCGCAAAGTGATGGACTAGAGAGACGCCAAGCGCGATGTTAAACGCCTTCCTGACTCTGACCACTACGGTCAGGAGCAGATTGCGACAGACTTTTGGAAAATACTCACTGCGTCAAAGACTTGCCATTATCCAACTCCGCTCGCTGCACTAACTCAAGACCGCTCTCTGCCACTTTGATTACATTTTCCAGCTCATCCTCTCGTTCATATATGTCAACCATCATCCTATGGGCAAGTATGGAATCTAGAAGACTCCCGAAGGCATCCTGATGTGATGTTAGAACACATACATGGACCTGCGATGGGTTGACGCACCGCCATTGCGTCTACGAACTCTTCCTGTGCTTCTTTTGTCTGATGCGGGAGTATTGCTATCCCGTCTGAGTCATCCCGATCCGAAGACTGTCTGCCCATGTATCCATAGTAGCCCAAAATCAACTTTGCCAATGGCAACGACGGGAACGACGTGACAAATTGTTGCAGGATGCTGAAATCGTAATCCTCTGCATAGCAATAAACATCAGAAACTCAGGGGAATGAAACCGACCTACCAATCCGAGCAGCATCTTTGGCTTCAATGAATGAAGTCCATGCTAGTTCATCTGGAATGCCTAGCAAGACCATACCGTTCACCAATTCTTCTACTTCTGTTGCGACCTGTGCCTTCTGAGCAGCAGACTCGCCTGTTGCAGGCAAAACATGCAGGCAACGCTGTTTGTGGCGCAGAAGCTTCGATTCGGTCGTGCGCCGCAATTCATCTGATGTGTTGGGATGATTTAGAATTTCATTGTATAAGTCTGGTAGCTTTTTGCGACTCAGTTACAGCTAGCATCAACCACTGAACAAATCAAGACGTACCGGTGAGATTTCTAGGACCTCCCTCTCAACCTCTCGTTGGAGCTGTTCTGGGCCTGCTGCACCGAGGCGCATCCTGCGTCTGGAAACATCTTTCTCCACTTTCGTCTTCTCTTCACGCTCATGTATCGAGACTATCTCCTCTAAGACAGGTAGGGAATCGTGTACGGCTACCTGCGTAGGATACGTAGAGGTAGACGTTGGGCTTGTAGGATCCGGAGGTGGAAGCGTGGATAGGGTCGAGTAAAAAGAGGAACTGGGAAGCATCGTAGAAAGTGTCTCTGCCAACTGCAACCGCGTTAGGAAGGTAAATAAGAAAAGTACATATGAGCTCCTACTTGTGTTGGGCTACTTCTGTTTCGGCGAAGATCTATCAGCTTCTGTAGGGTTTCAGCGCATTTGACTGCGTCATTACTTCAAGCGAAAGGATGTTAACAGGTGAAGTTACTTGTGACGTTGACATCTCACTTCTTCGCGAATAGCTGCGACAAGTGTTCAAGTGTCTCAGCGTAATTTTCCCATTTCTTGCTCTGCTCGAGCTGTTGAGAGAGACCCTGGATGATAATTCAATAAGCCGTTTGATCGTGCATTGTGGAAGGTTTACCTGCCAAGCCAAAGCCTGATCTGGGCTAGCAGCAATGGCTTTCCTGTATGCCTACATGTCACAGAAGAGTCATTCAGCGATACGCTCAAAGAATGGAGGAGCTGAGTTACTTGCTCGCTTTCATCTACCTGTCCAAGATTGAACAGCGAGAGACCGAGAAACACGTGGCTAGATTCATTCAGAGATGAGGCAGTCACACACAGAGCCAGTGATCACATACGCATTGTAATTGTCAGGTTCATACTCTAACACTCCAAGAGAGGCATCCCGAGCAGTTCCGTAATCTTTCTTGCCGATGGCGTCTCGCGCTGCTTTCAGCTTGCTTTTCACGAAAGCAGACATGTTGGAAGAAATGCTGCCGGAGAGAGATTTGTTGATCTTGTGCTCCAGACGGCGGCGGCTCGGTCGCAAGTAAGTACTCTCAACAAAAGAATCGCCGCTCGAGTTAAGCGCTGGCGTGTCGGCGTTCAGTATATCACGTGCTGTGCCGACTGGTGCCTGCCTCTCCTGCAGTAGTGCCCCAATTTCTTTCTGCTTGTCATTTGGTGCGGTATGGCGGCGCGTCGTGCGTTATCCAGCTATGACATCCTCACGGAAATCTTCGAATATTTTTCGCTCGCCAGAAGTGCGGGTATATGGGACAGATTGGACAGCACCTTTGCACTGGTGAAGTGTGCTCGAGTTTCCAAAGCATTCTCTGACATCGCACTGGATATTCTATGGAGGGACTTGTATGGCTTATTACCTCTATTTCAACTCTTCTCTTCGTTCGTCAAAGATGTGGGACCGGACGAACCTCCGGATGATTTGGAAGAAGCGGAGCCAATGGATGAGCCTGAGCAGTATTCAGACGTAAGTGTAGCCCAAGTATTCCATGGCAGTAGTGAAACCCTATCTGGACTCATTCGTGCATCTTGTCAGTATCTGAATGGGACAATCACTCCGGAAGAATGGACAGTGTTCGAGAAATACGCACGGCGTGTGCAGTTCTTTGTTTTCCTCTCTGCGTTGCCGTATCTGGAGGAGCTGTGGATCAGTTGTGAACACATACACATGAAGCCGGTCACACTTGCGTCCTTGCACGCTCTATTCAAGCTGAAAATATCCGGAATTATAGCCCAGATTGTGTCGGTCTTGGAGATCATCTCTTGCCCGAATATTCACACTCTTGACATCACCAATACTCAAGTTGATAGCAGTCCTCATGACCTTGTTCAGCTCATGGAACTAGTATGGAGCAGCAGCGGCACGTCGTTGCACAGTATATTCTATTCCAACGCCGGTTCTTTTATTGGGGATGAATCATTGCTCGACCTTGTTCGGCCGCTTTTGCAGACTCCCCGGCTCCAATTCGTTGATCTCCAATTTGGACTTGGACCGTGGGGCTTGCCAGACACGGATGTCCGTGATATTGCATCTGCTTGGCCAGAGCTCCGTAGCTTCTGCTTGAGCGCAGACAAGAGCTCTTCACGTCCCGAACTCTACCCTATTGGTCGCATGCCGTCGATGGGCTCACTTGCCATCTTCGCTCAACTCTGTCCGAGTTTGGTGAAGCTTGCGTTACCCTTCATCGTGGACTCAGGGTACTCAAATAGTGACGAATCCCATTGGACAACATCTCATTCCTTGCAGGAATTAGATATTGACTACATCTGCCCTCCGGGAATACGAAACCCTTCGCAGACAGCTCAGTTCCTTGATTCCATTTTCCCAAACCTTGACATACCCTTATCGTTCCAACAAACCAGTCTCGCTTATCTCTTATTGGAAGACTTTGAATGCATTCACCCCATAATCTATCGGAGGCATGAAGGCTGGGGTACGGTGGCCCAATTGATGGAGGAACTGCAGACAGCTAGAACAGAATGATGAATGCACTTCAATATGAGGTGGTGCAGCGTTTGGTGAGCTTGCTTTAATCATGCTTCGATTTGATGCTTTGACTAACTGAATCTGTGTCCAGCAGTTTTGCTGCCTGTGCCAGGCGCCTTTGTCATCGCATGTAGCGAGTTCGCGGGTCTGCCCACCAATAATCATCCTACTGCCATCTGACTGAGAGACATGCATTGTCCTGACGAGTACTGCTAGCATCCCTTCTTTGTCCATTTAATCTGGTCATGTGTACACCGTTGAACAGATATGCAAGTTTTCTGGCCGTTTAGATTTTTCGCGTTCGCGGATTCGTGTGCGTGGCTTGTCTGCGATGTTGTTGATTTCACAGTGGTCTCTCTTACATGAGGAGTATGCTACGGTGGCTCCACACAATACTCCCTTGATTGGATAATATCTCTGGCTGTCGGTACTTCAAGAACCCTTGAGATCAGTGAACAGTATGGCACTGTTCACGACTTCCTTCGATGGCACGGCCCATCATTGTGATGATACCTGCTCAATGGATACCGCCGTGCATAGCAGTCGTTGGATTTGTTTTCCTGTCGTCGCTCGCCCTCTGTCTGTTGCTCTGTCACGGATATCATTCCCGTCTGTCATGATCAGACTGCTGTACGCATCTGTGTTCTCAGCGTACCGTCATACTGATAACCATCTCAAGGTAAGTAGTGCGTTTACTAATTCGAACACGCTTTAAATTTATCTGTTGACCTTGCAAGACCCGTCACTCAAGGTATAACTGATCACAAACAGGACATAGTCGCAACGAATATAAGACGCGACCTCAATAAAACTGAAGGGAGGACTCGCCTTCGGCGCACGTTAATTTCCCTGCAGTCTCCGCCTAGTACTTGTCCCGAGGTTGCCAAAAGGCCTAGGACCGTCGAACGAAACGCACATCGACCCGTACCTCGGGACGTAACTTTATTATGGTCCCGCCCACCACTCTCACTTGTTGTATATGTTGGCAGAACCATCAGTTATGACTAGGGAACCAACGCTTCCTTTGTCTTCCTTAACCACAGACCTGCAGGTATTGCCATACAAGCGACTCGGCGGATTCAGACTTTCCTGGGGGCCTGTCCTGTGCTCGCATATCATGAAATTCCCTATCATTCAGGTAAATTAATATTATCATGAAGAGCAGCTCCCATATATATTTCCTTGCAGGCGAAAAATCTTGTGGTGGTTCCGCCACCACCTCTGCGGTCGCTCTTCACATTGTTTGTTCTTGTTTATCCTGCGATATTTATCGTTCCCTTGCTCTTACTCACACGCAACAAAGGTATGCACGATATCGATAGTTCCTATCTTACTTACATGTAACAAAGCCTTTTCCCGTTCCGTCACCGTCTCTGAGTGTTCCCGACTGCCGTCGGTTCCAATACGCGCTTGGGTCACGTGGAAACATGTAACGCCTCCTAATAAGATTGTTTGTGACACGACGCGTATCAGCTCTACTTGAGTAAGTTATATCTCTGATGACCCACACAGCCAAGAAATACTCAAACGCATTGAGGTGTTACTATGTGAATTTCTAATCAGGCCTCTTCAATGACAAGCGTCGCTTAGGCACTTTTTGGCCGTGCCGAGGATCGGTTCGGTCAAAACATCGAAGGCATCAAAGCTGGCCTCGGCGATACGACATGGAAACAAACATTTGTGGGACAAAGTGCACTGTGAGAAAGTTCTTCGAATCAGAGCCGCGCATCAGGTATATTAGGTAGTACTGTATCGATAAGAGGAGTACAGATATCCTTGAATGTCATAAATTACTTACACGAAGGAACGCGAAGCTCGAGAGGTTGATCTCTTTTGAGTGGGGTATAAGTACTCCAATTTCCAGAAGTGAAAGTCCGCGCAGTCGATGCTGAATGTGCAGGGTGTCGCGTATCAATCGATCTGCAAGTCCCAGTCTGGTACAAAGCTGTCGAGCACCGTCGCAGAGGCCGTCCGCTTGCGGAGGAACTCCACGAAGTCAGCGAGGAACTTGACTTGCTCGTACGTCTCAATGGCCTTGGGACTCCTCCGCCGACGCACGACGGTGATCAGGCGCTCCACTAACTGCAGTGTATCTCGCCGCACGGGCTCCGTCATGCTTGCACCAGAGTCAGACAACAGCGACTGGTATGCGTCTTCGCGAGCACCGCTTAGCCGCGGCTCCGTCTCGATCCACCCACAGAGGCCAAGTTTGAGGATCCAGCAACAGGCTAGGAGGCCTGCGCGCCCGACGCCGCCGCGGCAGTGTATGAGGATCGGTGAACCACGTAGCGTGAATTTCTTGATGAGGTAGGTCAAATGCTCGTCGAGCACAGCCGGGTCTGGTGGCGCAAGACCTTCTGGGGTGGGTAGACTTCCCGAGAACCATTAGCATACCAATACTCGAATCTGACCTTGCTCACTAACCGGAGCATGTCAATGCCAAGCTCATCGGCTAAGTGAACGTATTCCGCCCATGAGACACCGAGGAATCCCAGTTCATCGTCATCCAAACAACTGTAGTGCGGCGAGTCAGTGCGAATTATCACTTCAGGATTTGGCAGCAAAGCATACCAAATAATACAGGCCACCCCCAACTCCTTCATTCTCATGAGATCTTTGCGTAGGTCACGGCACACACCAATGCGGCCCTTGGTCGGGCCGTCTAGCCTGACTGGTAACAAGGAATAGGTTTGGCGCACTAATTCCTAAGCCAACCCTGCGCACCCTTTTTCCCTGGACAAGAAGACAAGTACAGATTTCCCAACATCGTCGGATAGCACATCCCAGGTTGACACATTGGAACAGCTGGAGTGCCGGGTCTCGATGGAGAGTCGATGGATTCAACAGGTGTATAGAATGTCGAAGATACACTGTGATGCGGCGCATTAGATTTGCGGAAGTGGACGACAGAAAATTAACACATACGTATGGAAGTCCACAACAGGATTGTTACAAGTACATGCTTTTGAGTCTGCACCTCCATCTATCTCCGGAGGTGCCGACGTCGGTCTCATAAAGTGGGGTGTTTCTTGCTTTTCGCATTCACGGATACTGACGATCGTCGCAGCCGGCATATCAGGCGGATCGGCATCGCATCCTTCCGAGGATGTGCCTTCAGACAAGGAATCACCAAAGGGTGAATCTGATGTCATCATCGGTTTCGGTCTCAGACGCTTTACGTGCGGACTCTTCATGCTGGTTCCTAACGCACTGTGAAAGGCACGTCGCACAGTCGGGTTCGACCAGAAGAAATGAGATAGTTTCGTAGGCCTTACCAGACCATACGCCGGTGAGCATGCAGGAGCTGTGAAGGACCGCATGCCTCCGAGCGGTATGGAGGGAGCTGTTGGTCGGGGGTGGGGCGACGCTGAAGACGTGCGCATAATACTACGGTTGAGGTAATAGACTGGCGGAACTTCGAACATGACAGCAGACGGCTGTTCAGGCTCGACGAGATGGGCCGAAATGATGCGTAGAAGTTCAACTGGGATAATTGCGGAAACGCTTGACCAAGGTGAGGTTTGTAGGACAGAAAATAGCGCTAGATTACTCACTTGATAGGGTGACTTTCCGAAGTTTTTATTTGTGGTAGCGATTGAACTTCAGGAAATACAGGAGGGCTCAGAGGAAGTACTAGTGGCGACGACATTGCAGCGGACAATTCCTGCCGCAGATCAGTAGATGATGTTGAGCGACTGAGACGGGGGTTGCGCGAGCGCGGTCGTTCTTCGTGATCGTCGTCAAAGGAATGGTTGGAGATCTGTGATGTGGCGCGTTTCTCGCAGGGCCACCATGCCCGCTGCTCGGCACATCTGGCCTGGTGTTCCTGCAACTCTTTGACTTGGTCGGGCATCATGATTGAAAGAGGGACATATGTCATGGGAGAGCCTGCATGCCCCATCAAAATCTGTCTATCCGTAAATATGTACCACTCACCCCTTGGTCCATACTTCAGGCGGTTATACTCGCTAGCATGATGTTGAGATGCGAGCTGCAGAAGCTGGTGTTCGAGCTGGAGGAGTGGCCGTTAAGACACTACAAGGCATGGAATAAAATAGTGCCATACCTGAGAGACTACCTCGGATTTCTCTGGATGTTCGACGGGAAGTTCGAGATGAACGTAGGACTCCGAGGAACGCCCCAGTGCATCAACGGAGGTCGAATTTTGGAAGGAGGGGATTATAGGAATTGTTTCCAGCACGGTAGACATTTTGTAAGCTCGGCGAAGAGATATTTTTGTGGTCCAAGGGGGGCCTTCAACCGGGTCGAAATTGTGGAGGACGGTGTTTCAGGCGTCGCATAAGTGAAGGTCGACAAAATTAGGACGCGTTTCGGCTATTCAAGACGATCCCGTGCGGAGTTCAATTGGCGGCTTATAAAACGCTTTCGGAGGTTCAATTTTGGTTACGGGTTGTGGTCGCCAAGGAGGCGTCGCTCATCGGTCTCATTAGCGCCGCTGTATACTGTGAAGCTCATCCTCGCTGTCATTCCCTTCGTCGGCATCGTTCACCTCCACTCTTTCTTTCGTTCTCTGCTGATACGTTCAGCGGCCTGCCGCTGCCCGACTTTCCTTCTTTTTGCTGAGCATGGCATCTCATCTTCACGTCACGTACGGCACCGGCGACGTCCCCATTCCTACTCCTCGAGTTATCAACCCTTCGGCCAACACCATCCGTCGTGCGAAAACCCTCACTCGCCCAGAGCGCAGTGTAGCCCCAGTACCTCTCATCAACCCCACGTCCGCCCACTTACCCGCGGGTGCAGCCGTTCGTAATGAAGATCAAAACCTCGACGCATGGCGCATCTTCTCTCGCGTCATTACCTTTTGGGCGCCTGCTGCGTTACTGCAGTCCATCGGGGGGCTTAAGGACAAGCACACGGTACAAGCATGGAGGGAGAAGATGGCTCTCTGTTTCATCATCGCAGTGTTATGCGTCATCGTTGGTTTTATGACAGTGGGTTTTCAGAAAGTCCTGTGTCCTCAGTCTGCCCAGCAGGGCAGCTACTCAAGGGTGGGCTCCGTTCTCAGTACCCTAGGAGTCCAGGGTTGGCAGTTTAACGTGACGAAGTGGGGCGTCCTGGACGGTGTCAATCTTACTGCTCTCATCCAGACACCTGGTCAGGATATCACGACCCTCTTCCAGCGCGACGCTGCCAATTACCCCGCTTGCAACGGTTTGACTTTCCGCGCTGCCGCAGAGAACCCTTGCAACACCGTCACAACTTGCCCCTTGGGCCCTCTCAACACATCCTCCACGTTCTCCTCTCTCGGCTTTCTCAAGACAAGTTTCCGCGTAGGTTACGACTGGGATCAAGTAGCTGCCCTGGAAAACTATCTTGTCATTGATGGTGCGGTGCTGAATATGAACGCATATATGAATCTCCATCCAACGGCCATCCCTACCGATGCGCTCGATGCCGCCATCCGCTACATCTTACAGGCGCCCGGTAATAGTGGCAGAGACGGAACACGGCTGTTCTACTACCGCCCCAACATCCGTGCTGCGGTACCCTGCATGATGCAGCGATATTATGCTGGGAACATCGACAAAATCACGCCAGGTTGCTTGATGTCCCAGCTGGTCCTCTACGCCGGTCTCATCGTCGTTCTTGGTCTGGTATTGGTACGCTTTGTAATGGCTTGTGTGTTCAACTGGTTCCTGTCCGAGAGGTTGGCTGGGCCGCCAGACACCATGGCTCTCAACCGCCAAGCCATCAGCCCCGCTGTCATGCCAGAAGGCGCCAATATTTCTATCGACAACAGAAACGGTACCGCCCCATGGGCGGGGCCTGGTGGAGGAAAGAGACTCGCAAAGTCTGGCAACAAGTCCGCTCGTTCATTAACTTCCTCGAACTCGACTCTCATAAACGCGGAGGCCGGTACGCCCATCGTGAGTCTTGCGCAGATCGGTGCAGAACTCTTTGCTGTATGCTTGGTGACGTGCTACTCGGAAGGCGAGGATTCGCTCCGGACTACACTCGACTCAATATCCCAGACTACGTATGCCGACGCCCGCAAGCTACTGTTCATCGTAGCTGACGGAATGATTACGGGTGCGGGAGAGAAACGCAGCACGCCGGACACTTGCGTCAGCTTGTTGGAGGCGGACCCACGGTTCGGAAATCCGGTTCCTATGAGTTACACTTCAATTGGTGCAGGGTCGAAGAGTGAAAACAGAGCCATGGTGTATGCAGGACATTATAGTAAGCCTTATCTTTTCCTCTCACGCTGTCTGCGTGGTGCTGACTGGTAGTTCTAGCCGTTGCTGGTCGTCGGACTCCCACTCTAGTGATCGTGAAGTGTGGTACTGAGGCGGAAGCTGCAACGGACAAAAAGCCCGGGAACAGAGGAAAGCGTGACAGCCAACTAATTCTCATGAACTTTTTCTCCCGTGTCACGTATAACGATCGCATGACACCGTTGGACTTCGACCTCTTTCGCAAGGTCCACGTTCTCATGGGAGTGACGCCTGACTTCTTCGAAGTTTGTTTGATGGTGCGTAGACTATATTTTCAGCCAGTGTGCGGAGCTCACAAATCTACCTCAGGTTGACGCCGACACGAAAGTCCTCCCGGATTCCCTCAAGTATTTGGTGAACTGCATGCATCATGACCAAATGATCATGGGTGTATGTGGGGAGACACGGATAGCGAACAAGCGACAGTCATGGGTGACGGCTATCCAAGTTTTCGAGTACTTCATTTCGCATCACCTCGCCAAGGCCTTCGAATCCGTGTTCGGTGGTGTGTCATGTTTGCCTGGCTGTTTCTCCATGTTTCGACTTAAGGCACGGCGGGCAACTGGAGATGATTGGGTGCCCCTCATCACAAAGCCGGAGATCGTACAGCAGTATAGCCAGAGCATTGTGACGACTTTGCATCAGAAGAACCTACTGCTTCTGGGAGAAGATCGGTTCCTAACAACGATTCTCCTCCGCACATTCCCTAACCGCAAAATGATATTCCTACCTCAGGCGCGGTGTAGAACGATTGTCCCGGATACGTTCAAGGTCTTGCTTTCACAGCGTCGTCGATGGATTAACTCCACTGTTCACAACCTAATGGAACTCGTACTCGTCCGGAACACGTGCGGAACCTTCTGCTTCAGTATGCAGTTCGCTGTGTTCATGGATCTCGTCGGCACCGTCGTTCTACCGATTGCCATCTTGCTTACGTACATGCTCATCATCAGCATGATCCTCTCGCCACCCCATACATTTGAAGAAGCTATACCCCTAACTCTGCTATGTTCAGTTTTAGGCCTGCCAGCCGTGCTGATTCTCATCACCACAAGAAAAGTGGTGTACGTGGCCTGGATGTTTATTTACCTTGCCGCGCTGCCCGTCTGGAATTTTATTCTCCCTATCTATGCTTTCTGGCACTTCGATGACTTTTCTTGGGGAGAAACCAGGCGAGTAGCTTCATTCAATATTTATCCCGCTGTTGATGAGTCTATTATGCATGCTTCTACAGAAAAGTCGAAGGCGAGGCGAAGGGTGAAGGGCATGGTGATGGCTACGGTGTCGCCACTGGACCTGCTGTGCCGATGCGAAGATGGGAGGACTGGGAGCGCTCGCGGCTTCGGAAGCTACGCCGAGAAGAGAGGCGTCGGAGAGAGCTGGAGCGCATGCACAGCAATTACATAACCGCCAACGGTGACCTTACCCCAGGCAGCGAAATTCACAGCCAATATGACGGCTCCGACACCTATTCCGTCACGTCGTCCGATGATGACCACTGGGGCGCGCAAATCGGTGGCTACAACGAGGCGAATGGACCACCACCACCGGTTGGCCTCGTGCCGTTTGGCTTTGAGAGCAAGGAGTCCGTAGCTGGGGCCGACCTGGAGGCCATGCTTGAAGCCGGCTTTGACGATGGCAGCTCGTCTACCTCAACACCGCCTCGGACACCGCGAGACGCGCCCCGTTATCAGCTATCAGATCGACCACCACCGCTCAATGGAAACGGGTATACACCTCTCTCGAGATCGACATCTCCCGGCATCCCACTACACGAACCGCTCTTGTCTCCGATCTCTCCCAACAGACCTACGCAGGCCATGAGCACCGCTGTCGTCGGCGACTACAAGACACACGCGAAGAAACGGAGCGGGGGCCGTCCAGGTCCCCACGAGTATGGCCCATTGGGTCCGTTGGATCCCGGGTCGCGACTGTGATCCTGTGGCGGATGTCGAAGGAACGGACGACTTGACGTTGCCTCCCTTCCCGGTACCTATACCGACCCACCATCCATATCCCCTCACGCTTGTGCCCACACCTTCTGGCTTGTTTCCTGGATGGCACCATCTACATACATTACATCGCCTGATACAAGGCTTCATACCGCACCAGTATCACGTCGCATACCATCACATCATGATTCACCCTTCTCGCCTGTCATTTTCCGCTGCATCGCTGGATAGTTGCCTCATCTTAAATTGTAAATACGGGTAGACATATTGAGGACTGTCATTGCAATGTAGCACCTAGGGATGATTCTGTGCGCCGACGACCGCATGCATATGCATAAGTGGTTGTACGGCCATCATGGGCGTCTAACTAACCGCCAGTTGCGTTGGCATCTTGCTGGCATCCCAGACTCCCTGCGTAACCATAAACTCTGTCGACAATGTCGTCGACGTACTTTTATTTGGGATTTTGTGAGTATCAATTTTATTTGATAGGCGGCACACGTCGCTAGTTGTCGTCCTTAGGAATCTGCGAGTCGCTCAAGTTTACCCAAAGGTCTTAGCCTCTACTACGCGATGTGAATCCAGCCCTGTCAGCAGGAATAATGATTGGTTTCAAGGACCTAGGACATAACAAAACTCCATTTTTGCCCATCATTAGCAGACCCGAACTACTTTTGACTGTAGTGGATACCGGTTGCGGTGAGAATTTGCGGGGTACTAGTAAACGTTCAAAGCTGAACGGATCTTTTAGTGCCTTCAGGACTGGGAATCAGTTGAAAAAGATATCACCACTACGGTCAGATGTGCTTATTCTATTACTGGTCTCCATTCTCCCGATGACTTCTTGGAGAATTTGTTGGTGGCTCGCCAAACATGGAAGACCGAGAAGTCGATCCTCTGGCTTCCCCTCTTGGCCCAAGGTATTGATGTAGTCTTCATTGTTTAGGTTACGTGAGGCCCATGTGGACGATGTTGACTCCAACCCAGACATCGTACTGCGTCTCAGTCCAAGCCTTTCCTCTACCCAATGGGCCGACGGAGCCTATACCAAAGTTGCGCAGCGAGACATGATCCCCGCTGTCAATCCTCTCCCAACACAAAGATTGTACCAAGATGGCTGCGGCTGCGAGCAGTCACTAGTCACTAGCGATCCACACAAGCCTGGGAGCGCGGAACTCGAAAGTAGTGAGAACGCCTTCGCCGCAGTTAATGATATCGATCCGCAATACATCTCCGGCGTCTATAATCGGTATTCCCTTGAACGTTGACCTGATCTGTTTCATGTCGGCATTCAATACCTCTGTGAAGACACCGGCCTGCGTTCAGGCCGCGCCGCTGCGGAGTTAGGTGACGGTGACAGTTGCTGACACAACGGTTCCATTCAGAGAGATCTGCGCGCTCCCATGCAGGCAACCACTTGGATTATTGAAGACGAAGACGATGTGGTGCAGATGCTCAGGGAGTCTGCAAGGTCGTCCGAAAGGACGCGTGTCGGGCAGCATATCACAAGTTCGTCGAAAGACTTAAGACTAACTCATCACAGCAGGTGGAGGAACGACTGCGAAGTGCATGGAGGTAATTCACAGGCTGGATCTGGATCTGACGATCGCGAAGAATGACATTAATATTGCAATCGAACACGTTGGCACTGCGGCCGCAGATCAAGATTTCATTCATCCCGGTATATCTGCAGTCTTCCCACTTTACGAGAAGTTCGGGCTCGCAGTTTAGAGATAACTCGATTTTCGAGAACAAAGAGTATATAGTCATATAAACCTATTAAACGTGCTGTACTACAGGTAGGTTGGAAGAGCAGTGGGTGGCTACATGCCCATAGAGATGTGCTATAAGTCCTATGTGTGAGATATACTGAGACAGGATATGGGGGACACCGAGGTAGCGTCAGAGATACACTAAGATGGAGACGAGAGATAGTAGGGTATAGATATGGTAGATATAGTGCGAAGGAAGAAGTATCAGACAGCGATGAGATAGTGTCATACAAAGGTATGAATCGTCCTTGATTGTGGAGGACGCGAGCTTCGCGGGCCCACGAAACCGCTCGACCTATTCAACAGGTCACGCATAGACTATTCCGCGATCCGCGAACAGTGCGACTAATGTCTGGCGGGCTGCTTCCTCCTTGACAGCACCCTGGCTATAACCGGTGCAACGGCCGTACTCCACTCCGCGGACTAAATAGAAAGCTATCAGATACGGAGCAATACGGAAAGACAACTAAACCTCACTGTATGCCATTGCTGTCCACGAAGGAGCATGGAGTGGTCCGACCTGGTAGACTTCCCAGGTCAAGAGGTGCACGCCTCCATTGCTCTGGAGATAGTTGTTCAATTGCATGCGCCAGTCTGCGAAATACAGGTCAGTAGATTGCACAAGGAATAATCAAGTATCATAACACTCACGAAATGACTCAGCCATGTTATGTTTGTATGGTGTGGACTGTGTGAGAAGAGTAGTTGAGATGAAGAGGATGGGGTTGAGCGAAGCCTACGGTCACATTTTATAAGAGAAAGGAAGGATATACGCCCACCGCTATCCTCTGGTTGCCATCTAGATGAGTCAAGGGATGCACAGCACTTTCACATATATTTCCACGAGTTGGCGGTTCCGGATGAGGACTTTCCGGGTAAATCACCGGTTGGGATATTCGCCTTGCAAAGGGAATACGCAACACGAGCAACGATAGTTCCATGTTTCAGGAAGACAATCCATCATGTATCGGACATGATGCACTGCGAATAAAGCTGCCAGACCTGTCTGGTGGAGATTCGGGTAGTAGATAGCGCAGCACTGAGGATAACTGCGTATGTGGTTCCGCAAGTAATGTCCAATTCGAGCCTATCGAGCCGCAAAAAAAATTGGAGGACATTTTCAACAAGATATTCAGCACAAAGTAAAGCAGCATTGCCGAAGGGCAAAAGGGTGTATGAGTCAGCGCATGACTGTGTCGTGAAATGGTCGTCCAGTGTGTGCCGTCGCAGTTTCCGAAACGGTCGAGTTGTCCCGCGCGCTACGCGCCGTGGCACGGGCACGTGATCTGTGACGAGTCACCCACAAGTCATTCTTCCGCTGCCGCCCATCCACAGCCACGACACCCAAATACACCCAAGTCAAGTCTGTTCGTTTAATAAACGTTCTTGCACTAGGGGATAACACTCAAATATCCCTCGGTGCATCTCGAATATTTCTTCCTTGCAATGTTGATTGGTAGGGTGAGTCAAGCCGCTTCTGAAATGCGAGCACGGTTGAGTACGATCTGCCACACCAGCCGCTACGTGGTACCATACATGTCTTTTCTTACACTGTGTAATTTTGCCGGGCCCGCGCAAGTAGCTCATTACACACGGCTGTCAAGTGCCTTGTCTGTTGCGATAGCTGCCGCCCCAAGGATCCTACTTCTGCCGGCTGTGACGGACCTTGTAATCTCCGTGAATCGGATCTACGGACTTTGATGCCTTTCTTGAGTCTGATCTCGGAACCTAATACGCCTTTACCGTTCGGCGGACAACTTTGCCTGTGCACCACGTTCCATCTAACTGCACGAGCACTATGCGGGTTTTCTGCGTTTTCGGACATGTCGGGGGCAGACACTGGTCGCTTTTCCTCCGGGTCTTGCGCCACCACCTAAGCTAGTGTTGCCATACCATCCTGTATATTGATAAGCTGAGACATGAAGAGCGCAGTCCTTCGTATTTGCTCCATTGTATACTCTTTGTCATCCTCTTCTTGGGCATGACACAATGTTGTGCGGAGGTATAGCAGTACTTGTAGCGGACGTCGCAGCAGTCATTGCCTCGTTGATATCCCTGTATGTCAAACATTGTACTCAGAACATACACGTGGAACATTGAAGCCACCAGAAAAGTACAAGGCTTACCATCGAGGGGCAGTGCGCAGAAGTTGTAATGTTGGTCGTGTTGGCATTTTCAGCGTGCCATGTACGACGGATACGCGGGGGACACGTATTTTTTGACAAGACTGCATATCGTTCTTACTCACCTGCCATATATGGCAATCTGCATTCGATGCATACAGACAAAGCCAAACGAGCGGTGGAAATCACTTACAAGGTATTTCTATGTTAATACATTGAGGAGGTGCAATTGTCCGTATCAGGGTCACAACGAGAGTTGCGAGACTTATGAGTAGTCTACCTGTCCTTCCCGTTTCTCCTGAGAACGAGAGAGAGATTTGGGTGAGGCTTATAACGAATATGCATTGAATGCCGAAACGATTTACCATCAGTTGCGGGTATGTGACGTGTCTACATCGTCACTACAATCAGCTGCTGACATGCAGCTCCTCGATCCTCCGTCCGACACTTTCCACCCTTTCCTCTATCTCGTTCACATTCGTCTTCACCATGCTCTCGTTGTCCTTCATGCTGGTCTCCACTCCTTGCACTGCACGCTCCAGCTCCTCGAGCGCCGAGTGCTTCCTGCGCTGCTCCTCCTCGAGGCCCTCGAGCGTGCTCTGGAACGACGCCGCAGACGTGTGTAAGGCGGACAGCGTGCGGAGGCGCGTAAGGACATGGGGGATGTGCGGGAGGAGGGGAGCGAGGCGCGTGAGGATAGGAGTGAGTTGGTCTGGGAGCGGGCTTGGCGCCGGCACAGTGGGTGCAGGTGCTGTGTTGGGATGCGGAGAGGACGCTGCGCCAACATGGGGGTGTGAAGACTGGCGGCGCTGCCCGCCGTGCTGTTGGGCGCTTATGCTAGAGAGGCGGTCGAAATCTGAGAGAAGGAGTTTTATACGGCGAGCGATAGCGTCGACATGACGCGGTTGCGTGAGAAGTGTCAATAGGGAGTTAAGACGAGTCAGCAGCGGCAGGAGCGGGAGTGGCAGTGGGGACAGCTATATAGGCGCGTCACGATGCCCCGTCAAACTCAATCGGAACTGAGCAAAGAGCTGAGACTGCACCTCATCCAACGAAGCGGTCGAAGAGCCCATGGTCTTCTCCAGTTCACCGACGCGGCGGTCCATCTCAGAAATGTCCTTGATGTCGGGGGTCTTACCCTTCTCCTCAACCTCTACCATAACGCCGTCGTCACTGTCGGGCTTACTTCTTCGTTCCTTCTCCTTGTCGGCTTCGTCCTTGTCTTTCTTCTCTTCTTCTCCGAGAACAACGCTCACCAACTTTCCCCGGCCTTCCTTTAACTTGCTTATCTTCTCCAGCCGTCCCTTCGCATCCACCATGCGTCTGTTCAGGTCACCAGGCTCGACGTCCTTCTCCTGCTTGAGCAATGGATTTGATGGGTCGGCCAACTCCGTCTCCACCTCGGCAAGCATCGCTTCAATGACTCGTAGCCGCTGAGAGAGCGGGATTGCTGGTGTCTCGGACGCCGATGTGGGCGACGTAGGTGAGGGAGGATATGCATACAGTATCCGCGGTCGATGTTGTTCTGGGCACGCATCCAGTGAACCAGACAAGAAAGAATTACATTAATTGTGCAAATCTTCCAAGGGAGATAACACGTACTTCTCTCGGCTTTCCTGAATTTTCTGCTGGCCTCCTCCATCTCCATAAGATTGTTGGAATCGATCTCTTCCCTCCCCGAGGCTTCTGCATTCTTTCCTCTTCCATGCGAACGAGCGGCCACGTTCAACTCATCATCGCTGGAGTCGCCTTTCTGCGACACGAAGTAATTAAGCCAAACTGGAGTGAACAATATGTAAAACCACGACATACATTGTCGTTAGACGACGGGAACACGTCCTCCGTTTCGTACACATCGGGGGCGGTATCCTAGAGGACGAATCCGGTCGGTCGTCAGGGAACTATAAGGTATTGATATGCAAGGATATAGATTCACAATATCTGGGAGATTGGCGTACTTATTGGCACTCATGTGGATGAAGGGCTCGCTGGGAGGATACTGGCCAACTTGAAGTCGATCAAGCGTGTGCGGGCTCAAGCGCTCACCCCCGGGGCGCCGCCACTGCCAGTCCTACCTGGGAACACGTCTCTCAATATTCAACGGATACGCGTTTTGAGCATACAATATGCTATGCAAGACTGAGCTGAAGTACTAGACATTCTGGTCCATGCTATCGAGTCTCGGCATGGGAGCGGCTCCTGCCGCAGAAGGGACCCGGTGTCAAGTACGAGAAACACTCCGAACCTGTTCCAGTTGTTGAGCTCGCCCTGTTTCCACAATTCCGCATCCATACTTGCTGATAATATCCCTGCTCACTTAACGTGCTCAGATCGACCTGTTCGCGTCGTCGAGATTTTTGGACCCTTGAGGGAACCATAATGAAGGTCGACCACAGCGGTACCGGGGCGGCAACAGTGCTCTTGACAGCAAGGGAGTCATTTCGCCCTTATGACGGCGGTCCTGTGAGTATTTGACCCTGGTCCCCGTCTGAACTGCTGCGAAGGTGGTGTCTGCTCAGGACGAACGAGAGACGCCCTCCCCCTTCAGTCACTTCTAGTCATTTGTTACACAACAAAGACGGCTGGCAATCACGACGGCCACCGGTACTTTCTATGTTTTTCAAGTGAGCTGGCATAGTCATCCTCACTGTTCTCACGGATCTGGTAAACGTTGCGTTCTACTTCTACCCCACACAATCGCAGCGCTTCGCCTTGGACAATAACATGTTCGTCATCTCTGAGCAACTAAAGTGTTTGTAGGCACGGTTCCAGGTATTACTCGCCCCTCGTTGCTCGCACTCAGACTCATAACCAACAGCTTGCGAACAAATATTCACTGAGCTGTTGCGTGCTAACATTGACAGAGCTTCTGCAAGTGGCGCCTAGACTACAATCAAGGTCAGCCGTTTTCACTCATGCGTAGGGTCCCCCATCGGCGAGCGATCGTGTTTTCAAAGCCAGGACGTTGCTCAAAAGAAACTCAGTCACTGAAGGCAGGACCACACCAACAGTGACACTCACAAGAGTCGTCATTATTACCGTATCAATGAGGCCCGCCACCACACCCGCAAAGTCCACCGCCATACCGGCGACCACCAAAGCCGATTCCACCTACGCCAAGGCCTAGATAGGTACATCGCGCTAGAACACGCGAGGCTACACTGCGTCAAGCTCATGGGGCCCGTCGGGAGCATCGCGGACATCGTGCGACGATGAATACCCTGATGTTGCTGGACTCGAGGTGAATATCACTTCCAGTCTGCACTCCCGTGCCCTGAATCCTTTATGCAACTGTACGCAAGCCTCAGCACCATGGGGCATCGGTTTCCCTTTAGTGCCCGTCATCTGCTTAGGGACCTCAGAAAGCTTGCCGACGAGGCTGAGGACAAGAAATTGCTGAAATAGGGGGCGGTCGTCCATTTCAAGAGCTGCCGCGGTTGGCGAATCGTCTGCGAACGCATGACATGTTGCCCAAAGGGAGACCCAGTCCCAAGTTATGACAAATAATTTAGGTTAGCCAAATACTACGTCTGCGATGAAAGGTGGCGAAGCCATCCCATAGAATAAAAAGCGTCACCTGTGCGATTCGAACACACGCGTGCAAAGCACAACCGCTGTCTACAGGAGTAGCAGGCGATCCCGTTAACCACTCCGGCAAAGTGACATTCAGGTTATGAACAAAGATTTTATCAGATAGCGCTAATTTTAGATTCGGACACATCTTTCTCTTGTAGTTGAGACCGCTAGAACTACCACTTATCACGTTGATACCTGTGGTGATGGCGTTGTCATACGCCGAGTAAGAGAGATCATCCGACTCTAGGAGAATGCATTAAATGATGCCAGTCCGGACAGACCGCAACCTTGTCACTTGCGGGCGCAGAAGAAAGAGAGATCATGAGTGAAGCGGTTCCCATCGCGAATGGTGGGGAGGTACAATGCATTTTGCTGAGGTGCTGGAAGTCGTATATCTAGAACAAATACAGGACCAAACTTGCCAAGCGACAAATACGCAAGGAATGTTCGATTCCGGGGATGATCCAAAAGAAGAGCTGTTCCCGACACGTCATGCCCTTCATACACTCTTCCGTCCCGGCAGCTGTACGGCAAGATCAAGACAAGGCCGAGTATGTGATCGACAAGAGCAAGGTGCAAGGCTGAGCGAGAGAGCACAGTACATCGCCAAGAAAGCCCAATTTGCAGAATACTAGCAGCGGCGTGACAGGACAGCAGAAGGGTTTTTTGACGTGATGAAAACTGGAAGCCATCGGAGAGCATAGAGGGATTTGCACGTTAGCACAGACATTTATATCCCGGCAGTCACTAGCGTCGTGGGCTGTCTTTAATGAAAGTGACGCCACAATGTTGCGGGAAACCTGCCCACCAATCGTCAAACTGAAAACACGCACTCTGGCTGTGCCATGCTACTTTAAGACTGTTCAATGAGTCTACATCAATAATCTAGGACGATGCTGTCTCCATCCCTAAGCTGTTAAATTAGGCTCGGTACCTAGATAATATCAGCAAGGAACTTCACGGTGACTTCCGGTTGATCCCAGTGGGGCTGAGTCAACGGTAAATGTCGTTGGACGATCCGAGGAAGCCAAGTATGCACTTACAAAATGATTTGCTCCCACCATCCGCTTGATCTCGACCTTTCGCCTGACATCTGACCACCTTTTGAGCATTCCCGCCAGTTCCCACGCAGCAAACGCCACTTCGTTCAAGCTCTGATCACACCACACTATCACGGTGCGCAGGTGTGGCCACCTTGTCGCGTCGCCGAGCGCGGCGCGCAGGTTCGTGGCAAACACTGTAGGCGCGATTTCAACAAGGTGTACATGCGAACGCGGTGCACCCGCGTAATCGGCGGTCCCCTCTATCTCGGCGCTGGACATGCGCGCGATCGTTGGCAGATGCTCCGGCGGTGGATCTGACAAGGGCGTCTGTGCGAGACCGGAGAAGAGCTCTTCGCGGGTGAGCAAAGAAAGCGATGAGAGCGAGGACAGGATTTGGGTCGAGTGAGCGAAGTAGCCAGAGACCCAATCTGCGAATTTTTCTGCCTTTTTCTCTGCAGGTATGGAATGATCACGCAGGGGGTTGTAGAGCTCCTCTAGGGAGGGATAGGCTATGCCGAACACTTGGAAGGGGGCATCTGGACAGACGGGGGAACGTTAAATACAATTCTCAACGACAACGGCAACGGTTCGGCACTCACCGAACAACACGAGAGTGCGTATGTACACGTTAAACAAATTCTGGTCTTCATCCGACAAATTGTCTAGATGTGCGAGCATCGAGAGCGGGAGCATATTTCCCGAGGACCACGCAAGAACAGATAAGCCCCCAACAGAGCGTTGGCTGACATGATCCGCAATGCACATCGGAGGAATAGAATGATTCTGTATGTACCACAAGAGAAACGCGGTGATTTCAAGCCCTCGATTTTGCACAAAAGTCGCTTGAGCAGTTTCATCCGTACCATGCAAAACATCAAGTTCTGCGGTAGAAAATGGTGTAGAGCCAGGATAATCGCGGAGAGTGACAAAGACCAGGCGCAAATTGTAGGCAGCAGCATAGGAAAACATACGTCGGAATATGGCTGTATGTGTACAGTCAGCCTACACGTTAGCGAGCTGACAAGCCGGGGACTGCAAAATCTTGGACGCCCAGCACTGGAAGTCTAACACGGGGGTTATCACGTACCGCCGTGGAAAATCGTGCCATGAATCAAAATTAGAGTTGCATAGTCTGCAGAGCCTGTCGGTGACCCGCTGTCTTCGTAGTACAGCTGTGTACCATGGTTATCAACTGGAGCGAGAGGCATGGTGAGTGACGACAAAGAATAAGACACACCGGCTTTTAATGGAATAGCGGTCATCTCTCAGGATCCCAGGTCATGAATTGCTGAATAAGGGAGAGAATAAACAAAACCAACCGTGCGATGGAAATTAGGATATACTGCTTGAGGCAGGGGCGGCCCTGTATGGTTCGCCTCGACTCGTTGACCCTGGAGGCAGAAACCACCCCTACAGTGTGCATCTTCATTCCTGCATTTTAGGAGTAAGGCATAGACTCGGATACCCTGGACTTGCACGTGGGAGTCGAAGACAAGTTGTGCGTTCCATGAGAGGATCGCAATCTCCGAATTTTAGTGCTAGTGACTTAGGTCTTAGTACCGATACTTACATCAAACGTTGCGTTCTCGAAGCGAGAGCCTATACCAAACCAGCTAGCACAGAATCACAGAATCATATCCTTCAGCTCACTTCGTATACAACCGTGCAAGTTAAGATAGTAGGATGTGACGAGCCGTGATGGGGGAGTCCGGGGAAGAACTTGTGTGTGACCGCCGTAATCATAGTATTCGAATACTCACGCCACCTTCGAAATGGCGACAAGGCGGAAGAAAAGCTGTTCAGTTGAGAGGTCCGTCGTCGCAGCTGTACAGATCCTCTCGAGCACCCGTCTTATCTGACTTTTGTGCTTCTTCCCCAGAAATCAAGAGCCAGTCCACGTACAAGTGGTTTATCTCTCCGAGCTATTTAAGGCTCGATGCCGAGATAACAATGAATGTGCGGTTCCGCTCCCACCGCCATGTCGCCCAGGACATCAATGCACGAAAAGCAGGCTCTCCTACCGTCGAAGCCAGCCATGGTGCACGGAAATGCCAAGTATACCCTTGTCATCCACGGCGGTGCAGGTGCGTGTCACGCGAGCAGACAAACGAAGGGATCTTAAGTTGTGAGTTATTCTCTTAGGCACAATGGAACGACATAGCTCAACGCCTGAGCTCCAGGTACAGTACAAAACCGCGTTGAGCAATGCACTGCTTGCAGGGTATGCGATCCTGAGCGCAGGTGGCGAGGCGATGGATGCTGCTGTAGCGGCGGTTTCTTCCATGGAAGGTATGCCTCAGCTGGCGCAAGATCTATATCGAAGCCGACCCTAAGCGGTGCAGATTGCCCGCTTTTTAATTCAGGAAAGGGGGCAGTATTTAACGTCGATGGCAAAGTGCGTCGTCACACTGAGACCAATGTATATGGCTCACTCTACTGCATTATCAGAACGAGCTCGAGGCCTCTATTATGCTTTCCACGCCGCCCTCAACCCACCCGTCTATCCCTCCCACGCGCCGCGGCGTCGGGCTCACGCTTCTCTCTCACACGCGTTACCCCTCCCAGCTCGCGCGTGCGCTCTACCTCGCGCCCGACGTTGCGCCGCACACGATGCTCTCCGGGACCACCACGGAGACGCTCGGCGAAAAGATGGGCGTGCAAATGGTCGACCCCAGCTACTTCTTTACGGAGCAGCGTTGGCGCGAGCACCGGCGCGGCCTCGGGCTCCCCGAGGAGCCGTTGCCGTACCCGAGCGAGGGCCCCGACGTGCCGCAGAACCTGGACCACCTCCCCACGGGGACGGTGGGCGCGGTCGCACTGGACGTGCGCGGCTGCATTGCTGCGGTGACTTCGACCGGTGGGCGCACGAACAAGCTTGTAGGGCGCGTTGGTGACACGCCGAGCATGGGTGCGGGGTTCTGGGCTGAGGGATGGCGCATTGAGGGCTGGGCACAGCGTGCGTGGAGGAAGGTTCAGGGCAAGGGCGCTACAGTGGCGCTCGGTGTGAGCGGGACGGGCGACGGTGATGTAAGTGTCTGCTAACGCCCTTTTGCTTTGAGTGGCTGCTTACGCTCGGTGCGCAGTATTTCATCCGCCTGGCGACTGCTTCGACTATTGGCCGACGTATGAGGTATCTCGGTGAGTCTCTTGAAACGGCGGCGTGCCATTGTGTAGAGGAGCTTCGGCGCGATGGTGGTGTGGGTGGCGTGATCTCTCTGGACAATGAAGGCAATGGTGAGTGTGTGATTAGAGCTGTGGTAATTGTGGACTAACAAGAGTTTACAGTCGCGATGCCATTGAATTGCTCGGGCATGTATAGAGGTGTCGTCAGAGAAGACGGTGCCCCAAAGACGGCTATCTTCGATGACGACGAACTGAGCTAGACAATACCTGGATGTCAATACCCGCCATACCAATGTAGAAGTATGCTCACATAGACGTGTATGCCAATTGCTTCAGGAAGAAATTATCCTCAGTGAGCATACATGTACTACAGGCTGCATGAACTGTCTGATAGCTCGAATTACAACCGCATTACCGACTCGCAGTCGATGCTGCTGTCTGCGAGCTGGACGAATTACGTATACATACAAGCATTAAACTGGATGTCGAACTAATCTCCCTGAAGGGTGAATCCTACACATATCAGACTCTCCATCATCGCAAGACATCGTCACCAGGTCAGGTTCAGATATACCGATCCACAGCGACACGGAAGCAGATTATGAGTGCGACGCATGCATGACTGCCGCCTGTAGCCGCCGTCGGAGACGCGACTTGTCTTCCTCCTCGGGGCCATGACGTTCGTCCTTGCTCTCAAGTTTCACTTCGTGCTCGGGTTCTGGCTTGACTACAGTCGGTGTCTTTGGCGATGCCACATCTGGGCGTGCCGTATGTGGGCTCTCTTCTATGCGGATTCCCAGTTCACCAGGCTCAGCCGGCTCCACAGTCTCGTAGAGTATGGCAATGCGGGTCCACCGTCTGTAGCGCGTATACTGCAAGAGCATCATTCAGTTATGCGCTAGATCGGGACCAAAGGACCCTTACCTTGCCCATGCCACCCTTGCCACTCCCGCTCTCCCACTTATTGTCCGCATACATCCACCCGTCTTCATCCGTCAGCGGCTCCTCCCCAGCTACCTCGTCCTGACCATCCCGCGGCACACCTTCCTTCTCCCTGAGCCGCTCTGGGCTTGATCCATTCGTGCTCCCCTCGCGCATCTTCCCCGCCGCGCGCAGGATTGCGGAAGTCGCGGTGCCCTCCTCCTTCTCCTTCGGGAGCGGCCGCTCGACGCGGGCAAGCGCGCCGCCCTCTGATCGCACCATCACGCGCCATTCTGCCTCCTCCCATCCCCATCGTGCTTTGCGCTTCACGCGCCCGCCACGCCCGTCGCTCATGTACACCGTTGTGGGCGCGGGTAGTGCGAAAGAGCTCGGGGGCGAGAGGGGCTGCTGCGACACTGAGCACCAGGAGGGACGCTCGCCGGGAAGCAGAGCGGCGGTCCAGTCCAGTCCCATCCACCAGCGCTGGTTTTCGTACACTGTGAAGAGGAAGCGGAGGATGTTCTCCGACTGGACCGCCTGCGAAGAGAGTGACTGCGCATTCAGCTGCGAATCGGGGGAAATGGTCTTCGCAGGGAGGGGCTGGCCTGAGAGGACGGACCAGACATAGTACGCGGACCATCGTACGTAGGCACTGCGCCACAGAGAGCGCCGGATTAGGGTGGCCCAGCGGGCGCGCCAGGTGAAGAGAACGGTGCCGCAGAGAGCAAAAAGGACGCGTAGGCGGACGAAATAAGTCAACAGTAGATATGGAACATATAGAATCCCGATGACACGTAGAAGCACCACGAGCGGTTGGGACGAGGGCGGCGGTATGGAAGGTAGGAGAGTGCGGATAGTTATGAGATCGGCGACAGCATTTTGGAGCGTCTCCTCTGAGACCAGAGGTGACTCATGGTATAACTTCTGCCTCCGTTGCCTGAGAACTAGGAGGAGTACAACAGCTACGGGAAATAGATATCTGTACAATGGTCAATACCGGCACGCGACCATCCCTAGCACACGACGTACCTCAAGACTGCCTGTGACAACAGACAAACAAACCAGAGAACAGCAAGAGCAAGCCAACTCTCTTCCCATGACGACTTCCAGCTAAGAATTTGGGCGAAGCGGAGGACTCTGGAGATAGACGGCGCGAGGCCGACGAGAACGACCGTGAGCGGTGAGGGAAGCGTATTCAAAAATTCGGTAAGCGGAGGCGCTGGCGCGCTCGAGGGAGATAGCGGGATTTTAAACATGGTCGTCACTGTTCAGAATGACGATGTAGCCAGGCGCATTGCTACGGTCGACGTCGTAGTAGACGTCCGAGCGGACGTGGACGGCGACCGTGACGACGAACGGACTTGTCAGGTATCACGAGCTTGGGGTAGGAGCTGATAAGATTAGATCCGTCGGTGCCGAGGAACTCCTCTGCTCTGAATCAAAAGGTGCTAGAGCTACTACAGACATCTTGATACATGAACGGGAAGAAAACATCTAAGTCAGAGTGTCCGAGGTATACGAGCGACTATGGCGGTCTAGTAAGCGTCACGACTATGCACTAGAGATGTTTTGAGTGCTAACGGAACCGAGACCATCTTTCAGTTCTTCAAGTACATCCTTCAGAAGCGGCCGGGCATCTGGATTATCATCCTGAAAACGTTGCGCCAATGCGAATAGATGCGTCTTTCGAGCGGGAGGAGCTTTGTGGCGAATAATAAGCGTATGCCTGAGCAGCTCTCCCACCTCCCACAGATCTGCAAGTTTGGGGGCTGTACGGCAAGTTGTCGTTCACTTCCGGCGCGACCCAATCCTCTGTGCCGCGGAAGCCTTCTACCTCGTCTTCTGGTCCTTGTATGCGACGAGCTAGACCATAGTCAATGATATAGACCCTGCCGGTATCGATGTCCACAACGAAGTTGGTGTCTTTGATGTCCAAGTGGGCAATGTTCTGTTCGTGGAGGAAGCTGACACCTTCGACAACTTGGATGAGGATCCGGATACATTCGTGAGGAGTTGTCCAGGCGGACAGCCGCGAAAGCGGAAGAAACCTGGGCATAATCAAGATGCACTTGTCCGCGTTGACGTTCAAAGATTCGAGCAGCGGGATCGTGTGATTGCGTGCGTCTGGCAGAAGAGCCGGAGAGTTCAAGTATTGGATGATAGTCAACTCCTTCCTGGTCTTCGAGACAACTTTCAAGACAAATTCTTCCTGCCGAGAGTCTTTGGCAGCATAGCCGATGTGCAGATACTAGTTCATACCATAATCAACTCGGGAGCAAATCGTAGCTCTAAAGTTGAAGAATACTTACGCGTTCATCCTGCGGCAGATTGCAGTAGCCGCCCATCTTGAATACTGACTGTGGTCCAGTACGTTCATCTCCTCGATTATGTTATACCCACGACTGAGGGACATCTTGCATTTGTTTTTCACCAACAAGCTGACCATCTGCGGTATTCCAGCCTTGCTGTCGTCGAACCCTCGCACGATTGTCGATGGCGACAGGTGTTTATAGTACTAAAAGAATGTGCACATACTTGTCGTAGCCTTCCAGGTCCATGAACACTGTATCAACGAGGACAGTAAAGTGACTCTTTGCGAAAGATGTTGACTTGTTCTTGACGACGCCTGCGTTGGGGGGCACCATCCAGCATGGCGGAGACGTATGTGCGGATCTCGGTCGCGCCTGCTTCACCTTCACCATCAACTTCTGCAAAATAGTGAGAGAACATTTCTCCCATATTCTGCTTCAGTATGCTGAGACCCTGCAAACGTCCACTCAGGATACCATGCGCAAAAATGACTACAATCAGAACAGGCTGAACCGACCTGCCTTAGCTTGTTTCGATACCGACCTTCTTCTCCGAAGCGCATTCGCAAAATCGACTATGAAGTTAGGAAATCGGTCAGCAGTAGGGGGAAAAGAAGGCTCCTGTTCAGCATCGAAGGCGAAGGATACGTGATTATCAAAGATGTTAAGGTCGGACCTTGCCCACCGACCATATCTGGCGATGAAGACCGTCATGTTACGAATCGATTGAATAGCGTCGCCTATCTTCGCGAATTCGGGGTGGACTGAAGCATGATAATAAGACAAGACCCAGTGCATTACACCCAAGTGCACCTACCTGGCTTGATCATAAATTTCACAATGATGTGAAGATGCATAGGAGGAGGGGAAAACGAGGAAAGAATTTGCGCAACTCTCAAAACTTGGAAGTTCGGATCCGTTTCGAGTGAATCGAGTCGCAACACGCAACCCCTGTACGACATCACTGAACCAGCCGCCCAGAGGGATAGGGATAGTAACCTTGCACACGCGGATGTACCGGGTCGAAATATCGTGGACAGAGTCGCATAACTCCTTGGTGATAGACACTTTCAGACTTTCCACGTTGCTGCTGTCTACGACACGAATCTGAAAGTGACTGGAAGGATATTCACCGTCCAGGTGGCAATTGAGGAGGAGTTCGCGGGACATGAGGTCGGTCTTGTCAGAGAACTGCTAAAGATACGCGTACTGCACATGAGCTAGATCTGAGCCGTAGAGTTGTAAAGGTTCGAATCGTGAGTATCGGGCTAGGACTCAGGAGTAGTTGGAGTAGGCACCATCGTCCAGTTGCGTGCACCGTGTACCTATCGCCTTTTCAAGAGGAATTACGGTTATGACATAGACACACAAAGCTGAAATTTATCCCTAATCGGCATGAGGTTTAAGTGCCTTTGACGCTGGGCAATTGCCATTGTCCTTGATAGTATAAAGGCTGTAATCGCTTGTCCGGCCCAGATCCATGCGGGCAACGTCCATGCCAATTTTCCACATGGTGGAAATTTACATACGGTGAAGTCGCCCACAGCCGCTGCACGGTAACGTCCCTTCCTCACCACAAATCAAGCGTACAGCCTGTGTGATCCGCTCGCCAGTGCAGCCAGCTAGTTACACACTGCTGGAACCAATCAAGGATTGCGTCGTCGCTACCATTGAGAGCACATGCCGTGCGGTTTACGCAGGTGGGAGGAATGCACCCCAGAGGACGAGCATTGTAGCGCCCCATACCACGCTCCAGCTGACCCAGCATGCGCCCCACCGAGGATGCTCGACGACGAGCCACGCTGCAGCCCAGTAAGTGAGCGGCATGGTGGCGGCAAACCGAAGCACAATTTGGGTGTGAGCTGTGAACAGGAGGGTAAGCGCAGTCAGAAGGGCGTGAATGGCGTGTGGTGCAAGCGAAGACGCGAGGAAGGGCGATGCAGGCAGGGATCTTCCGGACGGTCGTCCTAGCAGGAGTGAATGCAAGCGCGGAATGAGCGCGTGAAGAATGTAGAAGGTCGTGTATGAAAACAAAAGCGCGAGAATAGGTGCGGAAATGAGAAAGTTCGGCAGCTGTTGTGGAGTCCAGTAGCGTAGGAAGGCGACGTTCCAGTACTTCGCCTGCACATAGGAGTATATCAATGGGGGGACGCTAATGCACCAGGGGGCAGGTGTGGCGGAGCCTCCGCAAAATGCGCGGTAGGCGGTGTATTGATGAGAGACGAAGGGCATTACAGTGAGTGAGGTGAGCGCTACGGCGTAAGCCAGCTTCTTGAACGGTACCTGGAAAAGTGTGAAGAGGTGATATGAAGTATTGGCATATGAGAGCATACCTTTCGTGTAGTCAGAAACGGCTCAACAAGGACGCCCCAGAGGATGAAACCCGACAACAGAATACCATTCGATCGGAACATGCCTGCAAGCGCAAAAGTACACGCTGCAAAGAACCACTGGGATCTAGTGCAATATAGCATCCCTAGGCTCCACTCGATCAGACATCGAGGCAATGGACCGGTACAGGCACCCACCTCTGTAAGATAGATACGTAAAAAATGGCTCGCTGTATCCTGCAAGGCGGAGAGTGGCTGGACTACTTGGGAGCAGAGAGAGAAGAGCAGCAAGAAAGGCAAGCGACGGCGAGCGAAAATGGTGCAGAGTAAGACGATACAGCGTAGTCGTCGAACTGCACAAGCAAGCAGCAAGTGCACCACCAAGCAGGACATCCTCCCAGCCCGGAGTTTCTGGCGACGCGCTCCGGACTTCAAACAGACGGACCACACTTGCTGCGCCCCGCATGAGGAGGGGTGTTCCGGGGAAGAACGCCCATTCATACTCGTAGACATAGCCATGCTGTGCGATGTGTCCAAAATGGAAGGCATCCCAACGCAGTAACGGATGGCTTAGTGAATGCAGCAATGACGAACTCGAGGCTGGAAGAGCTGCGTGAGGTGACGAGTCGAAGAGAGGGAAGAGAGACGTGATATGGACGACTATTGCACAAAGAAACCATGTCAATACTGACAGTACACGCAGCACGTCCAGGTGATGCTTAGTATCATCCAGCTTGAACGATGGCAAGAGGTACTGAAACCACGACTTAGATGGCACTGCTAGTGGCATAGTGCACCGCTCGTGCTCTGTGAGTTGTCACCCTACTTCAGTTGGTGTGCATGAAAAGGTATCGCTGGCCGGACCACTGTGTAAAATTTGAACAAATTTACTGGGAACTCATCTCCCATAACGCACCTAACGGAGCCGCTGAAGCCCTAGTAGTGGTCGTCAGTGAGCGCGAAAGCGCCTAAATATCATGATTATGGGAAACAGAGATGAGATCTCAAGATTCTCATCAAATAAATTCTGAGGACAGGAAAGCTACGAAAACATGAAGACTGGTACTATTACAGTGATACAAGATTGTGAGGATTCGATGACAGACAGACACTTCCGTTATTCAGGATAGAGATAGTCCCCATCAAGAGTGCAAGCGGCGTGAAAGCCAGCTATGTCCTCGCGACGCACCGATTCCCATCCAGATCGTCGCTCAGCTCACCCTCCTCCCGCTCTTCTCCAATTTGGGTCGCCTTCGAGGCCTCTACAGTTTCTACTAGCGGCACTTTCATCTTCACATCCTGATCTTTCTCCTCCGATGTGCTCGCAGCGTAGGTGGTCTTGGTCGGCGGTGCGGCAGCCGCGGCTTGCTGCTCGTCCTCCTCCTCTTTCTTCTGCAGGCCATTATTTGCCTCCAAGGCTGCTTCCTGACTCGGTGTACGGTTCTCAGCCTTGCCACTGCGAGTAACTCTGGCATTCGCGGCAATCGAGACCGAGACGGAAGTAGTAGTGGTCTCGCTTGCACTTGAGTGTCTCCTCCGGTTCGCTGCCGCTCTGGGACGTCTGGAACGCGTGTTCCTCACCGGAGGAGCCTCTGCTTGTCCTTCTTCAGTCTCTGCACCCTCCATCGGGGGAGAAACTCCGGCAGAACTGCCTTCGGCATCCGCCGCGACCACCGCACCGTTCACAAGGGGCGATGTAACAGAGGGTGTCGCGTTGCCTGTGCCGCGTGGGTTGCGCGTGCGCTTGGCAGGAGGGGGGTACACACCATCCCCATCATCTACCTCCTTTCTCTTGCGCTTTCCGCCCGAGCCTCCGCCCCCACGCCTCTTGCGCGGGCTCCGCTCCCGAGGTACCGCCTGCTCTGCAGCGACGTTCTGGAGCGCGTTTGCTTGCGAAGTAACGGAATCGTTGTCGTCCCCTCCACCTTCACGGTCGCGCACCTTCGGAGCCGGTCGCCGCGTACGTGAGGACGCGCGCCGGCCCGCGTCGTTCGCTAGCTCGCCGTCGTCGATCGTGAGCGAGCTTGGGAGGCCAAATGCAGCCGGATCAAGTTCAGGGAGTGAGAGCGCGAGATGTCCCAAAGGGTGGTATAATGGGAGTGGAGGTCCTTTACGGAACCTCTTTGGGGAAGTTAAGGTTCTGGGAGGTCTGACCTGGACAGGTTGCGGGTTGATGATACTGTGTGAATACAGGGGCGGAGGTGGCATAGACTTCTGTTCAGATGGCCCGGAAGTGTGTATCGCTTCTATCAACGCGTTAGCAAGGCAGGATGACCGAGTCGTGCCACTTACGGTGGATGGGAAGATCTTGTACACTCGGTGACCTATAGGTGGTAGATGGTTTGCGACGGACGAGAGAAGTTGCCATGGATGTGTATGTGTATATAGAATAGGTATGTTACAGTTTATAGGAGAGGGTATGTGTTGTAGCAGGCGCTTGTTGTGCCTGTTCACCTGGGCGCGGTGAAGGTGATATCCGTCAGACTTGAGAGCTACCTCCGAACGTTAGATATGCGCACCTCGTTAAGCTGCCAAGTATCCGAAGAGTGTGTTTGGTTTACTTTGTGTTCTGACGCGTACTACGGTTCCGTACTAGTAGATGTAGCTCGAGCACCGCGCTCAAATGAACCGAACTTGTGACATTCGTTGTCAGCCTAAAGACAAGAAGAGCGAGAAATAAACAGGGCACACCACGAGCTGTGTCCGGTGGAGGTTGTGTATGAAGGACCGACTAGTGTGTTGGTGCGGTGGAAAGCCGGAGAGGAGGCCGTAGGAAGGCTCGACGCACTGGCACAAGCGCTCAACAATCACCACGTGGTTATCTTATCGATCTCGCCGCTTTGATCGACGCCACGAAGGCTCTCTTGCTTGAAGTGTTATCTGCGAGCGCGTACCTTTGAAGGTCGAAAGCTGTATATATACAAGCTATCAAAGAGGCCGTTCACAATGTAGACAATTCGGTCATGCTAATCTACTACGATTCCGACAGACCTTGTAATACCACGGTGACAGGGTAGCAAGTATCGTAGTTGTAGTATTTGCTGCCTCCTTCTGCACTATACACAATGTTATAGTATTCTGCACCGCTATCCGTAGTGAGGCACATAGAGAAGCTGCTCGGGTCGGCATTCACGGCGAGCACTGGGTACGGAACTTCGGATACAGCGTTGGGCTGACGTGACATCTTTAAGCATCCTGTGGGACAAAGAAATTCAACGGGATGCTTACCACAGCACAGTATATGGGAGCGCCAGGTTCGACCAAGTCAGGCTGCTCGCTCCACCCGAACAACACGACGGAGCCCGCATACACCCAGAAGTCGGACGCCGTCACACCGTTCAAGCCTGAGGGTATCAGAGTGCCGTTGATGAGAGAGAAACCTGGGAAGATGGTGTTCGGGTACGAAGCGTATGTCTGTGCACCAGCACAACAGTCAGTTATGCCAGATTTATTGCAAAGTGGGTTTGAGAGACACACCGTAAGCCCTCCGTTGGTCTCCACAACCGCACCGTTGTTATCCTCTTCCGAGAATGTCACCACAGTTAATGCTGCAGGGGCACCGCTGGACGACACGGCCCCGTTTGTGACGTTATAAATTGCGAGGGTGAAGTCGTATGCCGTCTCCAACGCCGCGCTGCCAAGGCCATCGCATGGGTAGTTGGTCTGACGCCCGAGGAGCGCGGGCGTGGAGAACACAGTAGTGGCGAACGCCAGAGGAATGATATGCTGGAACAACATCGTGTAAGGGTGAAATCGCTAAAGCGATATGTACTGGGACGTTGTCCTAGCCGCAGTCAGGACTGGAAAGTTTGGAGGCGGAACCACACCATACTTAAAAGGATCCGCTGGGGGTTCGGCGAGCACTCACAAGCCCGGCCGAAGCAGTAACAAGGTCGTCTCGACAATCATGACCAAGACAGACTCACCCAAAATTACGTGGTCAAGGTAACCTTGACATAGAGATATCTCACATAGATGTGAGTGGGACCCGAGTAGACCGAACAATCCAAAGATGCGATGGTCAAGACACACGATGATGATGCACGGCAATATTGAAGCCAGAACTGGATGAGTAAGGTTCGTGGGACGAGATCTGACCCCTGCCAGTGAGATATGTGGAGGGTCTAAGCTTCACGGCGTACACGAGCGCTCTTGGACAAAAAACGACGTTCGAGGCCCAAGACTTAAAATTTTGAAGCTGATGCGAAAGGCGAACCATCGGCCTTGACCTACTGACATCGGAAAACAAGGGAAGAGGCCGATGCGAGAGTCCCATACATCAAGGATGCAGTACCAGTCATCACCCGCAGCATCACAGTACTTGGACCAAGCCAATACTGGCAGAGTCCAGTATGGAAGAACCTGAGTCGTCCTAGGACCGAAAACTCCAACGGGAGATACGCGGTTGCAGAATTTCCGACCTCGGGTAAAACACCTCTGCATGGAACCCACGAAGACGTCGGAGCTGCCGCAGTACCGACCGGCTCTCAGTGATCTCGGAGAGAGACCCTCGGGCTGAGCACACAGCGGAATCAAAGCATCAAAGACCGTGAGCCATTCGGGTGATATGACAGATACCATGCAGGCCCCTTGAAGCCGAAATTGCGGATGCATCGTGTTTTGGGTTGATCCCAAGCGAACATAGAACAGCCGTCTTCCATAGTCGAAGAGACTCGACTCGAGCTTGCGCTGAGAGCTGGCGTTGGCTCAGCGTTGGCTGAGCGGCAAAGTAAAGACACGGATGTCACATGTCGCACGTTAAGCCCCATCACACTGCGTGTGTCAAGCGCGCCACTGTGACAAATGCTGAGACAGTAAGTACTATTGGTTTTCAGCAAGAGGAATGGAACAAAAGACCGGATATTATATTCAATTTGGCTCCCTTGTTGTTTCGATGGTGGAACGTTGTTCATGCAGACCTGAAGAAGGGTTTGACCACAGTTTGGCATATGATGCCTCGCACCTAGAAGAAGCAGAAGTCAAGGAATTTCGTGATTGATATTTGGCAAGTTAAAAGTGCAAATACATTATAAGCCGGGAAGATGGATCACAACACGAAACATGAAGTCCTTGAATGTTTTTGGCAAAATAGCGGACCAATGCCTTTGCAGTTTACCAATGTGGTACATCAGAACAAGCCAAGCAGATTGATAGAAACGGGGTAGCAGGTGCTGTAATCATAATGCTCGTTGCCCTCTTGCGCCTGGTACACTACATTGTAGTGCCCCGCGCCATTGTCATCAGTGAGACACAGCGAGAAGCCGTTCAGGTCACCGTTCACAGCGAGGACGGGGTAAGGGATGCCTCCACCGGCGGGATCGGTATTAGCCTGCCGCGTAGTAATTAACATCAGCGACAAAAATAGAGATAGCAAGTATGAATACTTACCATAGCACAGTATATTTGCGCACCAGGATCGACTTCCTCGGGAACCTGGGAGTACTTGAAGAGCAGTGCGGAGCCGGCATACACATCAAAGTTGGATGCAGTCAAACCGGTAGCACCAGTCGGAATCAGAGTGCCATTGATCATCGAGAAGTTCCGGAAGAGAGTCTGAGGGTACGAAGCGTACGGCTGCACGATATACATTAGATTCATTAGATTTTGTCGTTATGGAAATCCGGTGAATGCTTACTGTGAGTGCCCCGATGGTTACCGGGGGCGATTCCTCGAAAGTCACCATTGTGAGCCTTGCCGGGGTGTCGCCGGGTGACGCAATACCGTCCGTGAGGTTGTACGTCGCAAGAGTGAAGTTGTATGCGATATCGAATGCGGCGAACCCGAGACCAACGCACGGACCACTGGAGGTCTGATGCTCATTGAGGACAGGCAACGAAAGCATAGTGCAGGTCAGAGAAAGAGATAAGAGTAATTGGAACAACATCGTGGCAGATGAACAAACGGTGGAAGCTCAGATGCACTGTACAAGGGGGGGGGAGACTGCTGGCAGAAGCAATTATGCTGTGGAGATGGATCCGTACTCCTCTTATAATGGCCATATGGCGGTCCGGTAAGCTTTTGCGCTTCCGGCAGTTGCGAACGCAGAAGCATGTACATCCATCCGATCGGCTGTCTGTCATCGTCTGCAGCAGTATTTACCGCATCGATGACTCGTGAGATGAGGCACGTTGAGCGCAAGCAGAATGAAGTCGTTTGATGAGTATCCCTAGCAAATCCAAGTATCCTGGTGCGGCATGGCATTCATAGAGTGGATTGTTTGTTACGAGAGCGCTCTAACATTGCGTAGTGCAACCCTGATGAGTTCGGAAACAACCTGAGCATACAGCGGGACCAAGACACCGGGCAACAGAAATCATGTGTACGTCCGCTGCCAGAGAGAGTTCATCCGGAGGACGGTCGGAAATGTCAAAAGCGGACGTTTCAAGCAGACACAGAATGTCCTAGTCATAACTTCGTCACGCTATTGTGACAGGTCGCGGAAGCGCCGTGTACGGGTTCGTCACGAATGCGTCGAGGAGCTCTGCGATCTTTTATGGACCACAGTAGCCGGTGCGTGTCCTACAATTATTGTATCTTGATATTTCACGAGTGCGCACAGAGCTTTCGAAGCAGCGACCTTTTTGAGGCAGTTACTTTCCGCCTCCGAGGTCAGCTTCGTGCGCGCCGAACACTCAGACTCAGACGGATTGCGACAAGGGAGGTCCAGGTCTTGATAATTGTGCTGCTGCGGTTATTTCCTTTTCATGTTTACATCAGATCACAGAGTTTTCTGCGGCTCACCGAATGCGTTCAGCAGAACAATTCGATCTTTGTTCGAGTCACCAGGACAAGGATGTAGGGTGTAGAACATAGAACATGTTTTCCGGCGGGTTCCCTGAAAAAACACTGTCAGAACCGATCCTGGTCTCGCACCGTTGGTATGTGTTTTTTCACCACCCAGAATTCTGGGATTACGTCTTCTCGCATTACCGCCCAGTCAAATCGATCGGGTGCAAAGAAATACGTTCGTCTGGTACTGCCTGCGTGGGTCTTTGCCTCAGGCCCGGATCCTGCAAATGATCTGCGGTGGAGGGACCTAGGACCTGAAGCGAGTTTTCGCTACATCCTGGTTAGAATTTGCTGAGATGCAAGGTTTGGTTCCGATAGACTTTTTTGCTCCAGAGACCATGAGCGGGATTCCAGTATGTGCTGCCTCCATGAGGCGTGACAACCCGAGGACGTTGGCACACCTTTCGAATGATTGGGATATGCATCGTATGGTTTGACAGTCAGTCGTCCCTTCTGGCGCATTGTGTTGCGGAATATTCACTGGCTCTTCAGGTTTCGCAGACTATTCGGCAGACCAAGGCTATTAAAGTGGCCGCATGAAAAGTTCTCTTGCGACGAAAGCAGGTCTGCTTTACCCTTTCGAATCAGTGATGATCAGGACAAATTACTGACGATCGCGCATCGAACCTCAAAACTCAAAACTTCAATGATCCGAGCAGAAATTAGCTAAACATAACATACAAGACCTATGATACACCAGATATAGTACACAGTCGGTTCGTTCTTCTTGTCGCCTTCGCGGGGGTCAAAATTAGAATTGAACATAATGGTCCTTCAAATACTGCCTTGCATGCTCCTTGGCTGATTCGGATACGCGAGGGTCTGCAACGACTACAAGTCAGACGACTTGGACAGAGACCAAAACGCAGACACTCACTCTGTAGGGCAGCCTTGTAGCCAGCGATGACGCGGATATGATGCTCTTCGTCGGAGACGCCAGCTTGCTTCTCGACAGTGTAGCCAGCAGCCTCGAGGGCTTCGCGCGCGTGCTGCTTCGCTTGGTCTGAAGCGCGCTCGTCTGAAAATGGACTGAGCTGAGGTAATAGCGACGCAATGTACGGAAACGAAACATACTGTGCAGTGTCGCTTTGTAGCCACCGAGGACGCGGTTCCGCTCCTGGCCGACGCCGGTGGTACCTGCAACTTCATGGGGGGCATTCATGTCGTGCAGGCGCTCTGCAGCGCGGTCCTTAGCCTCTTCCGAGACGTTCGGATTATGCATCGCTGCCTTCAATCCCGCTGCGATACGATCTGGGTCCTTCTCTATAGATCCCGCGCTTATAAATCGTGTTAGTAAAATTACAGAACAATAAGCATACCTGTGTGGGACGCCATTCTGATGGATACTGGTTGGTGTGGGTTGGTAGAGTTGAGCACTGGGAGTTAGGAGTTGGGGAGTAGGGAGTCGAAGGGCCAATACCCTTTTCTTATAAGCTGCGCCGCCCACCACAGCGACGCGGACACATGACATGGATCCGTGGAGTCGATACGCTGGCGCGACGCGTCGAGCCACGCATGACGTCAATGCTTGGCAGCGACTCGACGGAAGTTTTCCTCAATAGGAGAGGTCGGCGGCGGGACGGCGCTTCGACTTTGCAGTGAGTCACTGTAGAATTATGGTTCGAGCGCGCAAGGTGCAAGGTGAGCACCGAAACGACAGACCCTTCCGCGATGAACACATGGAAAAGGTTATGCAGTCCGTCCAAGAAAGACATGGGTCCGTACCTCAATGTAAAAAATTGCCATGATGCATTGCAGAACCAGTCCAGTCACGACTCGCATGATCATGAAGTTCCGTGGCTGGGAAAAAATGACCCACGCGACTATATCGTGTGTCAGGATACCTTCAGTCGCGGTGATGCAGCGTCACGACTACGTAGACAAAAATCGGTTTTGTCATGAGAAAAACTGTTCGACGTTAGTCAGAGCATGATAGTCTACGCACAAAATAGTCTAATACGCACAGTCTACTTTGCCACGTAATGTGTGATGGACCGCCCCGTCGGATCCAATCCCTGCAAGACGTCCTCCAGCTTGCTCCTGACATCCTCCACCCTGCTTCCCTGCTTCTCCACTTTCCCTCGGTTCAGCAGCCGGAGGACCATCCGCGCTTCCTGTGCGAACTCGTACGATCGCTTCACCGCATCGTTCACGCTGCCGCTCGCTGCATCGGAGTCGGGGATAGCTGCGTCCCCTCCAGCCAAGGCACTGGTCATAGCAGATGGCGGCAGAACTGTCGACAAATCGAGGTCGGAAGCACGGAGTAAGGCAAGATCGCGTAGCGTGTCGCTCAGAGGTAGCGGGTTTGGCTTGGGGGCCATCTCTGTAATCAATGAAGTAGCAGATACTCCGAGGCAGTCGGAGGAGCTGAATATTACGTACATCTCTTTGCATAATTGCGTGAAACTCGCGCGTCTATTTGGCCCGCGCAAACAAACCTATATCAGGTAGGTGGAGAGGTTGCCGGCCGAGCGGGGTTCGGGGCTCTCCTCTATGAGCCGGGTCTGGCGTTCCCGACGCCTTTCAGAGCTTCCGATAATATTTCTTTCTCCCGGTTGGTTCCTACTGTGAGGTTCTGGTATCGAGAACGAAGATGTTCTTAGGTTCTCTAGAATGGTAGTAGAAGTCGATCACGAGCTTCCGTTTAAGGCTTTGTTTGTCCCGCCAACGCGATTTGTTTACTATGTTTACTATATGATATCCGCCTTCGCCCCAGTGGGCTTAGGACATGTACTAGACAGGCCTCGACGAACCCAATAAGTAAGACGTATGAATTTGTTTTGGTGAGCTTCACGCAATTATGCAAAGCGCTGTAAGCTAATTCCCTTTTTTCTCTTCTGAACCTACCCCAACTTACTCCACGGGTCCCCTCGTTCTCCGTGATTTCGTGTGTACAAACAGACTTCTCTCAGCGACAATTGTCTTGTGCAAACCTTGTGCTTCGTTCAGCCCGCAAGCGCTTCACAAATTTGTAAGGTATGATGACAAGATGCAGGAAGTTCGGCCCATCATCATGCGTGCCCGAGTCCTTGAGAGCTAGCTGCTTAAAGCCTGCTTTATTCTTTCTGGGTTGTTCCCAGGTGAGGTGGCAGGGTCAGCCCTGGGGCGAAGGAACAACGTTTATCACTTCGACCTGTTCAACCAAACGTTAGTGCATCGGGTGTGCATCGGCTCACTTGCTGAGCGAATTGGCAACTTCACTGAGGCCACCTGTCTGCTCACATCAGTCACATGCACCCAACATGCACCAGCGGACTTTGACACCATCAGCAGGCAGTGAACTATGTCTAATTCTGCCACCATGATTCGCGGGAGGCGTGAGACACCGTGTTTAGCCTCCCTAGCCATGGTGAGTACCCATACTTTGCCCGTTTTGTGCTGATATGGACGCGTTCAAAATGTCACCCCAACCACCCTACGAAGGGTTTGGACATCCGCTTCGGAATTGAATGCTGGGTGATCTGGGACCCATTCGCGTATCTGATCTGATCTGCTCATTGGGTTCTGAAGTGGGTATTCGCATCCCTTATTAGGAGAAGCATTTTACAACGGAGTCCGAAATTTACTAGGCGTTGTACTTACTGGGAAGCGGCGGAGCGTCGGCGGGTGTTGGCGACAACATTGTCAGATACACTTAGTGGAAGAGAAGATGAGATCTGCATTGAGTCCAAGCGGTACGATCGAATCGACGAGTACTGACTTGCAAGTTTTGGCAGGCACTGACTCGTTCTCTCCGTCCACCAGTTGCCACCCAGCCTCTGTTTTGCAGCGCGCCTGGATTTAAAAACTCGTGCGAAGATATGGCCGAAGTGTGGTCACTCTTCATTCTTGAATATTGTCATTACTGCTCAGCACATGTGTCCCAACGTTTACGTACAATGTTATTCAGTACCGTACTGCCACTCGCATTTAGATAAGCCAATTCAGGGAGATATAGATCGCACCTCGCTAAATTTCATCGTGGAGGTGGCGGTGATTCCCGCTTGCGTGGAAGGATGTGTGGAACGTTCCGCTCCTTAAATCAACACACGACTCAGAGTTTGGTGATACCCTCCTGTTCATCTTACTTCTGCATACCATGGTGCGTCCTTCCTTGCTCCGTTTGCGTTAAAATGGCACACTCACACGGCTACAGAGCGCTTCTGATCTTCTTGCTATTGAATTTGTAGTTGTTGGCGGAGGTATTGCTGGCCTTTGCTCTGCGATCGGGCTCAGCCGTGCTGGCCATCGCGTAACGCTGTTGGAACAACAGGCTACCAAAGAGCAGGTAAGGAAGGTTAACACCTCTACCTGGCACTGCGCTCAAACGTTTGTATCCAGACACCACTTTCAGGGGGATGTCGAGTCCCTACTAACCTCACTAAGATTTTCTTCCGATGGGGAATGGGAAAGCGCTTGATGGAAGCTGGCCTCGTGGTGAGAGGAGCAGAGTTCGTGTCCTGTGCGTAGTCAATTTTTCTGCTCTCAGTTGTGCTTACATCTTGTCTTTCACTGCCCTAGATGAGACGGGTGGGTTCCAGGGAGGGCACGTGCTGGAAGAGGAAGTAGTGGAACAGCTTGGCGGCGAATTCATCTGTATGCATGTGCGTCCTTCTCCCCTACACACCCAACCCACACGTAACCTCGTTCTGTTGTGCGCCCAGTTTGGCGATTTGCGGAGAATACTATTCGAGGCTGCGGAAGAAAATGGTGTTACCATCAAGCTGAATACGAAAGTGCTCTCGATCAATGCTCATCCGGAGAGGCCGTCGGTAACTCTCGCGTCTGGAGAAGTTTTGGAGGCCGATGCGATCATTGGAGCGGATGGTGCCTCGGGTCTCTGCCGTTCGGTCATCCTCGGCGATAGAGACCACGAGGAATATTTGGGGAGAATGATGTACAAGTGGGTAGCTGTTCAACCTGTTGCGGGAAAATCGCTGACTGTTGTCTTCCGAAGCTCCGTGATCCCAATATCGCAAATGGACGATGAAACACGAGAACTCACACGGAAGGTTGGTTGGACGAACATTCTCAGTCGATCTCAGAATCTTACCACTTTCCTGTACATTGTAGATCCAGATGACTGCATGGTGGGGTACAGATCGTGGTGCGATGGGTTTCCCGATCGTAAGTGTCCTTCAGGTTTCGTTAAAGATCGGAGATCAATGCAAAGAATATTAGGGTCAAAATCTTTACTCTCTTCACGTATGGGCTCCCGGGGAGCCAAATGCAAGTGAGAGAGTGGAAGTAGGAGTCGAAAGGCTAGAGAGTGCACTGGAGGGTTGCGTACCAGGGTTCGACCTTACCTGTTCACACGACATATGCCCATCTCACGAGATTGGTGCAGGTTGCTCCGGCTAGCAAAGTTGGCGATGAAGGTGGTTCGTATACCCATGACAGAACGACCTCACCTAGATGAGTGGATAGACCCGCAAGGTCGGCTGTTAGTCCTCGGTGAGGGTGCACATCATCTCCTCGTGAGTTATTGACTCTTTGCACTTGAGACTAGCTACTCATCCCGTTCAGGCAGGATCGTTATACACGCTAGTCGTGGCAGCGTGTGACGGAATGGCGCTGGGCCGCTTGTTTCAGCATCTAACTCGCAGAGATCAGATTACGACTTTCCTCTCCGCGGTACAGGAGGTCCGTCAACAACGCCTAAAGGACGTCATGCAGATCGCTAGTACAAATCCCTTTGCCCTCACAATGCCAGAGGTGAAACCCAAGTCCAAGGATGAGACTGAGACGGAGGAGCCCCCTGCAGACAAATGGGTGCTACTGCAGGAGGTGTGTACTGTTTCTGTACATGCCATGGTATCCGACTGAGTTATCGGACAGGCTTTTTTGAATATCCACGGCTTTGATCCTGAAGATGAGGTGGAAAACTGGTGGGTGAAGTGGGGTTTACCCCTGGAGCGTGCTTCCAGAGTCGTCTCGTCCGACACCGCAGTGAGTTCGTCAAGGCAGCCTTGAATCTCCTCATTTGAAGTAGTCGTGCACCCACCTAGCTCAACATCTCAAAGATTTCAAGAGATATTATTACCACGTAAGTGGCTTTGGATGGTGGTTTGTCCTGTCTATTCAAGTTACATTCATGTATGTACTATCTATGGTCAATCGTGTGTCGATGTTATTGTCTAGAAGTATTTCCTGCAAGGGCGGTCAGATACTTGCACACAGCTGCAGCCGAGGTAGGGACTACAGCAAATTGGGATCCTCGCTGCCAGTCTCTTATGTTGTCTCTAAGCCCACGGGACGTACCCTCAGACGTAAGAGAGCGAGGGGAGTGTGTTGACCGACAATCAGGAACGCCAGTTTTCTCAGGCTGGCAATACAAGTACTGCCAATGTACTACACCTTCAACTTTTGCAATGTGGATTCTCACCCAGCAGAGATTGACACCTGCTTGTGGAGATATGTACCTTGGTCACCGTATTTCAATTTGACCCTTATGGCGGCTCGCAAAACGTGTGAACGGGTACTGCGTACTCTGTGTTAGCAGTGTTTGTTACGACCACTGTTAGTAGCACGAAAAAGTAGTGGTGTTGTCGTGGTGTTGGTCCTAGTACTTGTGCGAGGGTTGACGTTGGGGTGCAGAACTCGTACGTGCGTTACTGTCGCATTGAATTCGTCATCTGCCTTCGGGGGACTATGAACTACTAGTGACAATATATCGCCACCTGTCCTGCAAACTGAGGCCCTTGCGTTGGAATTGGACTCTCCGAGCAAGACGCGCCACCGTATGACGGCCATTCGAATTGTGCAAACAGCTGTAATATTGCAGCCTCCAGGCACTCATGATGACGGCGGTCTACTGTAGTATGCTCAAGAGTCAGAAGCAATATTGTTCACTGATCAGACCTCTGAGACAATCATATCACGGTTTGAAGCACAAAAGGGACGGTTCCTCGACACCGCACTGGTTGAACATACAGATTACTGGGCAGACCGATTTAAGTGTCAGAAAAGCCGATAAAGAATATATACGTATCGTCGACTCCGGATCCTGCCGACTACGAGAACGCCAGAGACAGATTAGGACGTCGAATCCTCGTGACGCCATCGATCCATAATCACGAGGAATTGTAATGACGAAAGTAGAGCTGAGGAAAGGGGGAGACAATTTTCCGCATCCGCACTGCCCAGCACAGGATATTCCGAGTCATCCCGCCGTTTCCCATGGTGGAGCGGATGAGCAAGATGTGGTTAAAGGCTCAAAAATTAGGTGAGCAGCTGAGATTGCGGGAGAGGGGCGTTAGGGCGTACCTTGCGTCTATTGATACCTATGGTTTCGATCATCCGAGGCGTTTTGGGGCTTATGGGTAGTGGAACACTCCTCCTGTACTTATACTAACCCGCGGGCGTGCTCTTGATTTTTCATGTCGGCTCCATCTCATGTCCTGACCATGGTGTGTTCTCCTCTTCTCTCTGCTCGATGTTCTAACACTGTTCCAGCATACCCCCCCTGACTTCTTGGCCATCGAGTTCGTTATTGTTGGAGGAAGTATTTCCGGCCTTACGACAGCCCTTGGACTCGCCCGAATCGGTCATCGGGTAACCCTAGTGAATGAGGGCGGTGACATGGAAGTGGTAAACGAATATATCTTCTCGGTAGTATTGGGCTGATATATTCGCGAGCAGACGGCACTTGCAGGGGGTTGCAAGGTACCGTTCAACAATTCCAAGGTTTACTACCGTTGGGGAATGGGGAAGCAGTTGAAGGAGTTCAGCGTTGCCTCCAGGCATTCAACCTTCATGAGCTGTGCGTGGTTGATTGTTACCCTTCGACAGACAACACTAAAACGCCCTTGTTTGGCTAGACGAGACGGGCCAGAACCTCCTCGGTGCACATCTGGAAAAGGAGATGGTGGAAGAGACTGGCGGCGAATTTCTCTCCATGCATGTGCGCGTGTGTCCACTTCATTCCCCGTACGAAAAGCCTGATCCCCTCCGAGTATGCGAATTTGCGAAAGTTGCTGGTCCATTTTGCGCGCCAGAACGGGGCCACCATCCGTTCTAACGCGAAAGTTGTGGAGATCACTGTTCGGAAGGAGAGGCCGTTTGTCAGGTTGATATCCGGAGAGGTCATCGAGGGCGATGTGGTCATTGGCGCGGATGGTACTTCGGGTCTGTCTCGCGCGATGATTATCGGTGACAAAGAGCACAAAGAATTCCTCAACAGGATGATGTTCAAGTACGTATATTCGCAGCAGTCAGATTCGCATAAAGTTCATGAACTGGTCTTCCAAGTGTTGTTATAGAGGAGGCAAAAATGCGTGAAGATCCTGACTTAGTAGACCTCTACGAGCAGGCAGTGAGTGACGACGATACCGGATCTGGCAGCACTCTACTAACCTGCATTCGTCGTTCAGTACCATACTGTGTGGGTAGGTGCGGACCACGGCGCGATGGGTTTTGCAATCGTATGTGTCCCGCATGTCTTCTGGCCGAATTGCGGGATGAGGTTGATCCGAGCAATGAAGTCAGGGCGAAAATCAATATTCCCTCCACCTATGGGCACCCGGAGAACCTGATTCGGACGCAACCATATCGGAAGTCGGACGAGCGAACCTGGAACGCGCACTGGTGGACTGTGAACCGCGGTGGGTCATCCGATACTATGCGACTCGTATTTCGGTCTGATATACTGGTCCAGGTTGATGAAGATTGCGAAAGCCGCCTCCGTCGTGATCTGTGTTCCGGTGGTCGAGCGACCACATCTTGAAAATTGGGTTCACCCAGATGGCCCTCTGCTGGTCATCGGGGAGGCTGCACACCCCATCCTGGTAAGTCACTATTGCGGCACAGTCCCTGACGCGCTGCTGACGTTGACCAGCCAGGGTCCCAGTACGCAATGACCCTCGCGACGGGCGATGGGTTCGTCCTAAGTCGGCTCTTCCGCAATTTATCGCGCAAGGACCAAATACCGGTCTTCCTCTCTGCACTGCAGGAGATACGTCAGAACCGCCTGAACAACGTGCTCAAGATCGCGAGCACGAACCCATTTGCGCTCTCAATGCCTCCAGGCGTTGAAGAGGCTCTGCACCAGAAGCAGTTGTCCAAGGACAAGGCGGATTCATTGTTGACGCGAGCACGGGAGGACAAGTACACTGTGATGCAGGAGGTCGGTCGTGTATTCTCAGCTTCGATCTCCTTTACTGATCTCTCCGCAGGCCATGGAGTCGATTTACGGATATGATCCCGAGGACGACGCGGACACTTGGTGGGTGCAGTGGGGCATTATCCGAGAGCGCGGACCACGCAGGCTCTCGTACAGCATTCTGGTGAGCGAGTCGCAGCGGGAAGGCTCGCCCGAATCGGCGTAGTTCAGTTTTGTCTATTTGGTGCTTCAGAGGACCCTGTATCATCGTGCACTAGGTGGCGTTGCCACGTGCTTTACCTGACTGTATGATCCATAATTCATGTATTTTTATGCTGGACGCTTGCGACAGGTTGAGCTGTCGCCCTGCAAATAGCAGACATCAAAGCAAGGTTGGCCTACATCCAGTCATGCCGTGCTCAACGCGCACCACTCGCGATTCGCACGACAAGCGAAATAATGGTACGCGAGAGAAGCCTTGATCTCCCCGTCGTTGAGTAGGATCGCTATCTCCTATCTGCAGAAATAATCCTCCGAGGACTCCAGGTGGCAGCATAAAGTGTTGACACGGGCCTCCGCGATGATATCATAGTACGCCGAGGCGGCCTGCCCAGACTCACGCGTGCGCAATGACAACCCCAGATCTGCTGCTGGACACGGCGATAACTCAATTGTGCAGACTCTGCGCTGTGATTCGTCAGATTAAGCTAGCTTATAGGTGCCAAGCGGACATACGCCGAAAATACCATATTATACTTTTGTTTGCTACTTTGACTGTTGGTCGTTCGCTGTGCCAGGCGGAGACGCGGACATAGCCAACTCCTCGATAGGCCACTTCACCCGTAGCGCAACCGAATATGCGTCTGTATCGCCTGCGAGAAACCGGTCCATGGATGCCCAGGCAATCATTACTGCGTTGTCTGCACACCAAGCAGGTCAGCAATGCGAGTAGATATGCAAAAGTGCAGAACGCACCAGTGCACAGTGACGGTGGGGGAAACATCAGTGAGATAGGCACATCAGAGCTAGCGGCGTCCAAGCACATGCGCAATCTCCACATACAAATTAGAATGTGCAATGCGAAGAGATAGGGCAGCTACTGACCTTTCTCGCAGAAACGCATTGCTCGCGACACCCCCGCTCACGACGACGTGGCGTATATCCACACCCTGCCTTCGACACTGCTCAAGCCCTAGCGCGAGCTTGTCCTCGAGCTGGCCCACCGCTGCCTCCTGGAACGCACGTGCCAGTGCCAACCGGGTTGGCGCGCCCACCGTGCCACCGCGAGAGTGCAGGTACCGCTCCACCGTCGAGTGCAGGCCGGTGTATGAGAACGCCAGCCTGCCAGGCATAGGTCGCGGGATGTCCGGAATCGCCTCCCCAGCATCCGCGTCGGGATCCGGAGTTTCCAAGCAGAACTGTTCCAGAGCGGCCCCGGGCCCGAGCGCGGACCACTGCAGCTTAAGCATGCGCGAGACCTTGTCGAACGCGCGGCCGATGCTCTCGTCCAGCGCTGTCGCGAGGGTGTGGAACGTGGTCGGAGTTGTCGCGAGGAGCAGGAGCGTATGTCCGCCAGACACGAGGAGCGTGAGGAAGGGGTATTCTGGGAGTGACTCAAGGGGAGTCGTCAGGAAGGGCGTCAGGGCGTGTGCTTGCTGGGAGCTGTTAGGTAAGTTTTTGACGCGACGGAAGCCAGGCGCACCATATGATGAACTCCCACTAGCGGTTTGTTCAGTGCGGCAGCAAGGGTCTTAGCGGCATTGGAGCCGACGCTGAGACAACCACCGATACCTACAGTCCTTAGTCAAAGGGAGAATTGCAGAACGGGAGCGTACCGGGTCCGCGGGTGAAGGCAATGCCGTCCACGCCAGTGACTGCCATGTTTGCTTCCGCCAATGCTTGTTGTACCGCACCTGGCTGAAGGGAATCGTATGAGCATTCCAACACTTCTCTGTTGTAAGTCTGATGCCGTATACCATGTTCAATTGATGCGCCTCAATGGCAACATAGGGGTGTATCCCGCCATATGGTGCATGACTAGATGTTCAAGACTCAGTCCTAAACACCCTAACTCGCGATACTGGACGTGCTCACAAAGAATCCTGCCTCACAACCACATTAGAGAGAATCTGGCGGTCCGAGGTGACAATTGCGGCGCAAGTGTCATCGGCGGATGACTCTACGGCGAGAACGGTAAAATCCCTGCCTTCCTGGCGAGTATAGACACGGTGACTCGGGGCAAGGAGACGAAGACATCGTCGAGCTCTGCCAAACATCCGGAATTGGGGAGGAAAATCAGCATTTCCGAGATAACTCGGAATAAATTCCCTAAATATGCCTTTTTTGGAGTTACATTGCTCAGAGGCCATAATTGGCCGGAAACCCCCTTGAATGTCATCTCGGCCGGTCATCGTTTTCGTCATGGTCGACCGCGTATTTCTATCTCCCCTTGTTCGATACTGTCAACGACGACAACGGTTCGGAGCAGAGCGCTGGGAGTATCTTAACGAGCTGGCGATTTCTCAGTCTTGTGACATTTCCTCCTCGCTGCACAGCCTGCGATGATGGAGAACTCGTTCATGTCAACTGCGCGATTCCGGCGTTCATCGCAGGACAGCAGTGTCCTCATGCAGGCGCATGCAGAACGGCGGCGCTCATCTAGCCAGAGCGATGCGACACCGCGACAGGGAGGATTGCTGCAGGGCGGCGGTGGAAATAGCACGCCCGCGGGCACTGCCCCCAGCAGTGATGCTGTCCCACCGAGCGCTGACACTCCCCCCAAAAGACTTGCCTTTCTCCCAGAATTGCTATTGTCTGCCGCTTCAGGGAGCTCAGCTTTAATCCAGCGTTCCTCGCCCATCCCTTCCCAGTTTCTTCCAGTGCGCTCCCATTCTCGCGCAGAGTCCACTCTCGGCACCATTCCCCGTGAGCCTTCCCCTTCACCGACACCGATGACCGCGACATCCGGCGCGCAGGTCAAGGGCCACATATCCCCGACGAAGGTACGCGGTACACATCACTCGGTCCTACCCGGCGAAGCCGTTGACATAAGCGTTCTTCCTTAGGCGTCCTCGTCGCGGACATACGATTCGAAGCTCGTCTCCCGTGAGATGCATCGACTGGGCAACCTCGCACACCTCCCATCCCTTGCTCCTGCTCTCTCTGCTGCACAGTCCACGGTTTCCCTTGGCATGGCTCCATCCGCCGGATCGAGTATGTCGTCAGGTTCGTCCGGCGAAAATCCGTGGGCTTCGCTCCATGTCCATATCCTTCCGCTTTTCAACGGCGAGCCACTGCGAGTTCCACTGTGAGTGCACTCGATTGTTTGGTGTTCCGGTAACTGAATGTAGTGCAGTGAGGACCTGAATCAGCTTGTGAAGCGCCACGTCCAAATTGTCGTGTCCGCGTCGCCATCCAAGGCACTCACTACACTGGAGCATGATACATCAGAGTTACTTGCATCAGGTATGGTAACGCTGAACGCGAAGTTGTCGGGCATAGAGGACGAGAAGTTGGTAGCAAGGATAGTAGAGCTCTGGGGTTTCTTCTGGGACCAGATCCTGCCATACGTTGAAGGCGTGAGTCCAAGTCTGTCCCAGTGCTGTAGACTGCATACTCACATATTCGACCAGGCACTGCTGCCGCTGCAGACAGACCCATTACTGCTATCACTGTACCGTATGCCAAAGGCGCACAAAGCAAACTCACCAGTGACATCGCAGAACGGCAAGGGCTCGATCTCGTCCTTGATGCTTCAGTCCACGCCCCAGATCGATGTACGTACAGTGGCGCTCCAGTCTTTCCGTGACCGAATCATTCTTCCACTCTTCCCGCGACTGTATGCGCGCCTTACGCTTCCTAAAGAAGAGGCTGAGAACCCGGTCCTCCAGCAGCCGCGCCTACAGCAAATGTACGTGCTCACCTGATTCACGAAACCCTTACGCTAAATTCGTGCTCCGCAGGCTGCTCGTACTCGTATCACAGCACCCGCAACGTGCGCCTACGTTCTCGCTCACCGCACCTCCGCCGCCGCCAAGCGCGGGTGAGGCAGCAGTACAGCACCTCCTTCGCGCAGTGCGTGCGCCATTACCTCATCTGCAGCGCGCCTCCGCGGGCACGGGTGCGCCGTCGTTCGTCGCTGACGGGCTTCCACGCGACCGCCGTGGGCGCATCGCCCAAAAATATGACTACCCCGCGGATGTCGACGAGGAGGGTGGCGAGACCCCGCGTATTGGCGGCGTTGGAGGTGTCGCGTTCACGAGCCCGCGACGCGAGAAGGAGTTCTTTGACTCGCTCAGGTGAGGTGTCCTTTGTGCTATCGTGCTGCCCATGAGCTGACGAGTGTACTTCATTGATCATGCAGAAGTCCAGACGTGGATACCTGGGACGAGAGCATACACCGAGGCGAGGAGGAAGGCGGGATCGAGGAGGATGCGGAAAAGGATTCGGGCCAGCAGGTGCGTGCGCTGGCTATTAGTACGTCGCTAGCGCGTGGCTAATCGGCGCTGGCTGCACAGCACAACATTATGAACCGGTTGGCAGGCATGAGCCGCCGAAGAGAAGCGATTTGATGTGCATGGGGTTTCATCTTGGCTGCTGAGGTAGTGTGTATGACACTCGTATGTTATGGCTATAGTTTGGACTGTATCATTATGGGATAACTAATGATTGAATTTTTGCACTCGTGGTTTAAATACCGAATAAAAATCAAGAAAATAACGGGACTTTATGGTAACAACTCATCAGACAGAGGTATACAGGGTAAGAACACTACGAAGGTGGTATGTGTAGTTGTGCTTCTAGCATGTACAGTTCGATTGGAAGCTGGGAATAGCGACAACTTGTCGCTGAACGTGCCTTGGTAGAAGGGGACGATCAAGTGAAGTCGAACACCACTTCCGTGTCCTGTAGGAATGAGTCGAGGCCGAGCCCGCTGTCTTGGGAAGAAGAAGGCTCCAAAGGATGTCGCCGAAGCGCACTTCTCGCCGAAGCTAGCTCCTTGGTGGTGTCGGGCACTCGCGGACGCGCACGCGGAACGGGCTCTGCATCGTCGTCACTAGGAATTTCAATGACGTTCGAGCTATCAACGGTGGTACGACGCCGTAAGGGAGCCGGTGCGGGCAGGGGAAGTTGGCGCCGGGGGGGACTTGGGAGATCAGGAAAAGCCGCTGCTGCAACGCTTCGGCGCCTTACTGAGCCATCGGCCTCGTCTCCGAGACACATGTCGGGAAACGCGACGGCACCCGCGGCTGTCTTTCTGCGCTTTGATGCGCTCACGCTGGGCTCCGCTGCGCCCTGGATAGCGCACCCTGCCGCTGAAGCAGACGCTCGAGGTCTCATGGGGGCTTTGCCCTTGTTCTTTCTGCCCGACAGACCTGGCTTGATACCCAGGATTCGGTCAAACATGTCGTCGTACTTGGCCAACCGACCCGTGGCGGGTGGGAGCTTGTCGTCACTCGGCGCGGCGATGACACTTGCTGCTCCAGTAGCCTTTGCTCGGGATTTTGCGCCGGCACCAGCTTCGGACGCTCTGGTTGGCTTACGCCTCGCTGGTGCCTTGCCTTTCTCTTTGGCAGCCGGCGCAGCGTAGTTGCCCGAAATCTGGTCGAAAATATCATCATATCGGCCAGACGGGCCTGCCACTGGCTCTTCGAACTGAGGGTCTGCAGCGGCGATGCTGGGGCCAGCGTGGTCATTGTCCTCTGTGGCGAGCATGTCCGGGTCGTCGGGATCGGGATATGTGAAGAGGAACCCGCAGTTCCGTCGTGGCAGCGAGTTTCCCAGGTTGCTGAAGACTTCGGTGTGTACGGCGCTCTGCCCGGCGATGCTCTCAGCTTGACTCCTTGCAGAAGGCCCTGTAGTTTGACCCTCCGCTGGCACTTTCTTAGTGCGCATGCGCTGCTGCTTGGGCGGAGAGCCGCCGGCCAGGGAATCGACATCACTACTGGCGTCATCATCTCTCTGTCTCTTGCGCTTCCCCACAGTGCTCTTCTTCATCAGTTTGGCCTCCTCTGCAGCTTCAAAATTTTCGACAAGGCCCGGGTGTACTTGCCGCATGATCGACGCAGGCAGCCAAATGCGCAAAACGCTGTACGGGTCCGGTGGCGGCTTCTTGGAACTCTTCTCCCCCTGCTGGGAGCTTCCAAGGAGGAATTCCTGCATGTCGTCGTCCTCGAACGCGGAGTTTGTAGCGTTTTCCACGCAAAGGGTAGGCTCCGGGTGTTTTCCCTTGATCCCGGACTCCACCAGCTCGAGAAGCTGGTGTGGGTCCACCTCAACGCGGTACTCGAGGATATTGTCTGTCGACACGTGCTTGCGCGAGCCCACGATCTTCTTCAGCAGCGGATGCAGCTCACCCTCATCCCTCGCCACCAGCGCTGGCGCTGGGTCCCGCCGCACAAATGCCGCCGCATAGCGGTCCACCTCGCTCGGATTTAGATACTTCTTTATCAGCGCGGCGGGGGTACCCACACCTTCGTGTCTCGCGGGTGTAAGGAGCCCGCGTACTGCCAAGCCGTTCTGCCCAGCAGCGATCCGCCGATCTTTCTCGCGTTTGTCCACCTCCAACGCGACGCGTCGCAGCACGCGCATGACCGCCGCGCCCCAGAGCAGGTCGCGGAAGCGTTTGATGATCGCCGACCGGTGTCCCCACTCGTCGAAGTGGTCCTCACAAAACCCCGCGATCCGCGGCAGGCTTAGCTCGCCTGTGTCGCGCAGTGCCCCGCCACCGCCGCGCTCGCTGTCACGCCTGCTGCAGATCGGGTTCGCGTAGTTCTCGAGGCTCTTCATCGACGGAAAGGTGTCCGGCAAGGAGAGAGATGGGTACTTGCGCGGAAGGAACCCGCGTGAGTTCGTACGCAGCTCCGCGTTGATCTCGATGCGCCAGGCTCCGAGTACCCCGCGAATATCTTGCTGGAAACGTCTCTCGGACGCTGTGAGGAGGCGGTCGCCGAAACCGCAGCGGGCGAGGCCGTAGGCTATCTGGATGCCAAATCCTCTGAGGCCCTGGAGCCAAATGTGTCAGCGGCGAAGTAATCAACGCGAATTCCCACTGACATCGTCGTAGTCGCCTCCCGAGAGTAGCGCACACAGGATGAGTCCCCCTCGCGACATTCCAACTGCCGGATGTATACGAATGGCGTCCGCGGAAATGATCATCACGTGGTGTTTGCTCGCTTTGCCCTCAGTGTTCAGTGCAGGATGAGGTTTGTTACCTGACAGTGTCGGACTTGCGCTGCACAGGAAAAGTTACATGAGGCCACTTGAGAAAATCATGTAGCCACTCACTTCCTGATGACGGCTTGAGCGCCGAAGACCAGGGCGTCTACATCGTCCGTCATGACAGCGTCAATGATGCCTATGCGATTGAGATGGGCTAGTTCCGCCTCTGCCTCACCGAACGCCTTGGAAAGCGTGAGATTCAAGCGTCACGATTTGTGGGAAAGAGACGGAAGTCACCATTCTCCACTCCATGCCAAAGATATCGAGGAGTTTCTTCATGCCAGCCGTGAGGTTATGAGAACCCGCCTTGCCCATCCTGCTTCCCCGTTTGACCTTTGGCCTCTCGCGACCATCGAAGACGAAGAGTGGCAAAATTGGTAGTTCTGCTAGTGCTCGCAGTCGGAAAAACAGAAGTCGGAGCTCGGGGTTCTCGCCGCCTTTGCTGAAGGTGGCGTGTTGATACCATATGCTAGCGTCTATGCCTACACGGTATGCTCGGCAGCCAAATTCGTTCTTCTCGAAACCATCGACAACAGCGAGGTGGGCGAGTGAGCGTGAGCGGCCCGCCTTTATGAGAATCTATTCAAAATACAGTCAGTTTCATCAACAAAAACTGGGAATAAATCGGAAGATAACTTGCGTCCCAAAGACCCTGCACGCCCATGCTAGAAGATGAGATGAGAAGCTGATGCGGCGACGTCGAGACCTAAAAGCTAGAATAAGCGCCGAGCACTTGACGCGACTTGTCACAGCGGTGTGACAATGCTTTGCATGTGACATATCGTGTCACCCTTCCGCTCAGCCACGATGCTCATCAGCAAAATTTACTTCACCCGTTTAATTTACTCTGATCATTGTTTCTGTTTCTGTTCTCCTCTCCGTCCGATTGTCTCCGCGCGCTACCTTAAACTGGGTGCTGCTTACGTACCTAAGCTATGTCATTAGCGTGGTCAGCTAATCTTATTTGTTTTCTCGTTTTTTTACTACTTATCCGGCTACTGTAGCTAAGATACACTAAGTACTGTACGATATAGCAGAACGCAGTTTAGCAATTCGGTGTCATGATTATTAATCCCATAGAGTTGGGGAGTTTCGAGTACTTGCCACTGGCAGACCCAAGCGACGGCGAGACGCACCCTCTACCCTTCGTCATCCCCGTCGGATTGACTTCCTTCTCCCGGAGCCTTCGATGAGCTCCGTTCAAACAGAAACGAGATTGTGCCTCCTGGGACCTGGTCCACCGTCATGGGGGGCGCACTCTCCGCTAACACATTCTGTAGATCGATCGCGTCCAAGAGCGAGTGGAACGACGAGGAAGCACGTCGTTTCTCACCATCCGGCGCGTACAGCATTTCCCGAAGGATATCATCCTGTACCTGCTCTCCAGCACCGCGCGCGAGGCAGTGGATGTGTGTCCACTCTCCCAGTGCGGCGAGCTGTGCTTTCTTCTGCTTCATATACTGAGGGTGGGTATCTTAGCTTTGTTTCAAGCGAGGAGAGGGATTGTGCTCATGCTAACCGCTTTGTCCATCTTCGAGATTTGCTCTGGCTTGACTTGAGATGCGACAACAAAGCGCGTCTGAGCCTCACTGTCGCTCTCGTCCCCATCTTCGCTTCCACTGTCACTACGCTTCTCGTTTAGTTCGACAGGCCCCGTCAAGCCATTGCAGGGGCATTCCAACAGATCATGGGTATTGCAGGTGGTAAAGGGATGAACGGTGAAGATATCCCGGAGCTGCTCACATCAGGAGAGAATATTTACGCGAGGTAGTGGTTTACTCACATCTTTACGAGTAAATGAATCTGACTTGGATTCCGAAGTTCCCTGTAAACCTTGCTTAAGCCATGAGTAGCGTACAAAACACAACAGTATGCCCACATTTCCCATCAATGCTGCAGCCGAGACTCAGCTACTGACCAAGCTCTCGAAGAAAAAATTACTCACAGTTACTTAGCCCAAGTTTTGTCACCTGGCGCTGGTATATTTTCTCTGCAGGTAGTCATTACCCAACACCGGCGCACCGCGCAGAAACTCACGCACCATCGATTGTTCCGGCCGTGAGGAAGCGATAGATGAACACTGGGCGCTTCTGTCCGTCTCTGGAATGAATGGTGAGTCCTGGATATGCACACTCACGAATCATGACCCACCGGTGGATCCGGGCCATGGATTGTAGGTCATGACTAACAAAAAGAATGAACGCTCGTTCAAGTGTGATGCCATCTCGTCCATACCTTGGATTCCAGTCGGAGTCAATCAGACACAGCCTAGATGCACCAATCAAGTTCAATCCTACACCTCCGGCCTTGGAACTGAGTAGGAACAGGACTAGGCGCCATGTCAGGAATGATGGTGACTGCCTACTTAGATGTACTGACATCGTTTTGCCTGTGAGGCCTTGTTGAATTCGTTCACGTATTCTTGCCTCTTCGGCGCGGGCGTCTGGCTATGAACTGGCGTCAATCTCGCCCTAGCCGGGGTGTAAAGCTGACCCACCCGTCCAAGCGGTGGTAAGTATAACTTTTCTTCTTACAATATGCTTCTACGATATTCAGCGTAGAAGTGTAGTGTGAAACGATGATACACTTCTCCTCAGTGTTCTGAGGAACTCATGAGCAGAATGACAACCTGCGCAGAAAGTGCGGGGTTTACCTTGCGTAGCGACCGCAGCAGGTTTGCCAGAGCGGTTAGTTTACCTGGAAGCGTGGAGAGTCACAACTGTGCCGATCACGAAAAAGTTGCATCCTCACCACTGAGCGACACATCCTCTACCTGCGCCCCCGAAGGCATCAACTGCATCGCTTCCTCGATCGCATTCCGTTTGATGACATCTCCACCCCGGTCGGCCTTATTCTTCGCCTGGTCCAATGTTGCCTTGAGCAAGATCGGACTATTGCTGATCTTCGTCAACATGCTGATGAGAGCCAACGACTCTGCGGTTGAGTTCCTAACGAGGTTGTCCAACTTGTCGGCCGTCAGGATCTTGTTGAAGATCGAGAGCTGTAGCTTGGTGGGTGTGACAAAAACCACGTATTCGTCTATAGAGTTTAGTGAGACAACCTGGCATTGGGAAGACGGAGAGAAGCGAACATTTGGGCGGCAAGTACTTCTTAAGAATCGTGGCATCCCTCCTAAGCACGAAACTGCGAGCAATAGCGGAGAGCTGTGTCCACCGTTAAGCTCAGAAATATTGAAGCAAGAGAATAACAAGGCACATGCCTGAGCTGAGCGCGCCTCGCCGACCTCGGTCTCTTTGGCTGAGCATCCCGGTGCACGACTCTTCAGGATCGGCGTCTCATATACTCGACGGAATGTGTTATAGTCGTCTGTCAGTGTAGTAGTCAGGTACTAGTATTACTAGACGTAAAATTGTGGGGCGTACCAAGCAGACCCGGATTGCAAAAATCCGCCTGATATTCACGATCAGCTCACGACTTCAGTGAAAAGATGATAAAACTCTCACCATTGCATGGAACTCCCCTAAATCATTCTGAATCGGCGTACCAGAGAGGATGACCCTACGAGGTGTGCGTAGGGCTTCGAACATGGTCGACGTCTTGTTATTAGCCGACTTCAGTCTGTGACCTAATACCCCTGGAGTCAAGATACACCTCGCACATCTAAGCTTTCAATCTTACCTTCGTCACAGATGATGAGACCGATAGGTGGACTGGAAATAATGTGTAAGCCTGACTGAGGCTTCCACAGATAACAATCCCTTACTTGCAGTAGGCCAAGTCGCCGCTAGCTCAAATAATTTATTCAGACAACGTCATGAGAATACGGCAAAAACAGAATCTCACATCACCGTACGAAGGCGTTCATAGCCAATCACGAGGACCTGGTGTACACGTCTGAGAAGAGAGAGTCAGGAAGGTTTTCGTTTCCAACACAGAGAGATACTTGCGAATTGATGAACTGCTTAATTGTAGACTTATCCTTGTCGCCGACAAATACGCCAACGCGGTCCTTTCCGAGCCTACCGGCAAGTCAGAAATGACGGAAATAGAGAACGATGGCGACTTGACAGAGATCGCACCATTTGTGGAATTCGTTTTTCCAGTTCTATGAAGGGGTGGCTGACTGCAGCCCAGTACGTGGCAAAGACACGGAACTCACGTTAATTAGAGTGACTGGACAAACAATGAGTATTTTGCCGACCACAGGGCTACCTCCAGCATATGGATTCTGTTCTGTGTAAAGGTAAAATGGATGAAAACATTTAGTGAGACAAAGTACGTCCAGGATCGGGGAGCATGATATTCGCACTCAGTAATGTCCATGCCAACGCGATCGTCTGAAGGCAATATGACTGCTCAATAACCGAAATAGTTCGGAACACATGGTAATAGGTACCTGCAAGGTCTTTCCCATTCCCCTGGATAGGAATCGATATTACTGAGTGAATTGGGACCAAAGTTGGGAATGGCTTACATCTCATCGGCCAGAATGCAACCTTGTCCCTCATGCTTCCGCAGGCCCATGACGCACTCGTACAAGAATTTGACACCTTCCACTTGATGCGGCCTCAAGTGCCGCGCTAATACAGGGTCGATCACCACTGCTACGACAGGCAAGTTCCTGCATGACAAGCAGCTAAGCGCGCACGTTCAGAGACCCCAGAATCTAACTTACTTCCTGTTGTACTTCGCGACATGCTCCTTTGTAGGTGCCTTCATGACAACTGCTCCTTCAGCGTCGGGATCATGTCTTACAAAAACGTCAACTATAATCCATCCTGATAAGTGGAAGGCGCATACAGTGGGCCTTTTGGCTTCTGTTTGGGAGCAGCTTGCCCATAGAAGGACGTCGGGGGGATATATGTCTTCAATGCTCCTTTGGAATCCGGAGTAGACGAAGATTCCCCCTTCACGGGTGCGGACTCGCTCTCACGCCGTGCTTGCAACAGAATAGAAGGCCGCAGTGAAGATGGTGGACTACTACTCAGCTCGATATCTGGCTCAGGCTGAGCAGTTCGCCCGGCGACTCTTGGAACTTCTGATTCAGAAATTTGGATGTCGAGTTCTATCTCTTTGCCACCAATATTAGCTTTCCAGGTGCTATAGAGAGGCAAGCCGTCCCATTTTCTCGTCCCCATACTTGACGAATGAATATCATTAACTCTGGAAGATATAGTTCCGCATACAGTCGACACTCACATGAGACCTTTATCCGATATTAGTGTAATCTTGTCACCTCGATGCGTGACAAAGGCATCTCCTTCCCATGTCTTGTGTTTCTTCGATTGCGGTTTCCGCCTAAGCTTGCTGTCTATCAGTGAACGCCCTGTGGACCAGATGTTTCACAAACCAATTTGCAGTCCAGAATGTATTTTGAACTTGAGCCTTTACCGCAGACTTCTCCGAGGAAGATACTAGATCTACCGCTTCCAAGTCTATGGCCTGCTTCTGAGATGCAAATTTGGAGAGGACCGAGGGAGACTTGAATGAATTCATCGCCTTCGGCCTCAAGGGCACAAACTGCTTGGCTGTGGCACCAGTACTTGCGAGTATCGGTGAACACGACCCAGCACCTTTGCCAAACACTCTGCCGGACAGAAAGTCTTCGCGGTCTACGGGCCTGTCTACTTCAAGCTCTTTCGTACCCACTGTGAAGTTCGCACTCTCGATGATTTGGTGAGGGCCCTCTATACCTTGGGCCTTCCCAAACGTCAACCTGAAGGGAATGAATTAAAGACAGGATCAAGAGCGAATACTCGAGAACGCGTACTCTTTCCCGGCCATATCGAAGAGCTTGCAGAAGGAACCCTGGACGACCATCACCGCGTCCCCATCCCATGTTTTATGCTTTTTGTATTGAGGTGCCCGCCTTCATAAGGTATGAGACCAAGCTTTCACTCATACAAAAACTTGTACGTACCATTGCACCATCCAATACTGCTCATACGGTGTCCGGCTGTTCTCACCCGTTGCCACCGTCGATGGTCCTTCACTGAGTGCCTGTCTTTTACGGCCGGCCAAGTTCGGGTCATGGACGTCTGACTTGCGTTTCTGCCCTCCCACAAGCTGTGGGTTTTGAAATGCAGGCATCAGTTTCGAGAGCGAGTGGTGATGGCGGTGGTTGAGAACCTGTCACAGCTTCGCACACGGTCACGGTGACGCGACGCGTCCTGTCAGAGCACGTGGACGTGATCACGACTAGTGCGTCTGACTTCCGCCAGATTGACGGTCCCGTCACGCGAGTCACGCGGCCATTTACAGTCCATTTACGGTCCCTCCTGCCTAATCCGTCCACGCGCGTCGCCTGACCGAGCGCCGGCGCGAGTCCCCAGCCAGCCTCGCTGAACGGAAGGAAAACGGACGTCGGACACGAGAGGACATGCGAGCGCCGCACGCGAAGGTCGCGGTGCGTCCGCGAAGGTCGGTTAGCCAGTTTCCGAGCGCTCTGAGCAATTGTGTCACAACAGAAACATCAGAATCTCTAGCTTTGAAGCGATAGTTTGGCTGACAAATTTCACATACACTGGCAGACCTATAAGGGAAGCAATCTCCGTACATTAATCATAACAGCGAGTGTCAAGATGGACAAAGCCGACGCAATTACATATCAGCGTGTTTCCCCAGCTCAACCACCGCAATATCCTCAAAAGGTTTAAAAAAATAACTACAGTGTTTAAAATAGCATGGTGAATAGCACCTGCTCAAATCTCTCCATACACTGGTCTACCGTCGATAACCGTGGCTATCACCTTCGTGTCAAGAATCTGATTTGCAGGAACGGTCATGATATTCTGCGAGAGAACGATATAATCCGCGCGCTTGCCAACCGCGATGGATCCGAGTGTGGTTTCCGTGAATGATGCATACGCGGGGTCGATGGTCATGCCTGCAGAACCCTGTATGTGAGCGACTTGGGCTCAGAGCCATTCGAAGTCTTACCCTTCAGGGTCTCTTCTCGAGTCATGCGTTGCTCAGGGAACCTGTTCGGTATTAGAAGTGGATCGCGTGATACAGGTAATTCCACACTCACCAGCCGCCCGGACCATGGGGCGAGCTGCCATCCGGCGACAGCCGCGTGACTGCAGCGTAGAAGGTTGCGAGCGGGTTCAGATCTTCAACAGGGAAGTCGGTGCCAAGTGTAATCCTTGCGCCGTGGTCAATGATGCTGCGGAATGCATACAGCCCCTTCATACGCTCGGCACCCTGCGTTGGTGTATCTGAATTCAGCGGCACCGCTCAACGGACGCTGGAAGTTGGGCACTCACTAGCCGCTCTTCTGCGTACCACATGTCACTGATGCTGAGATTGGAATGTATCACTTATTTATCAGCCTGAAGCGCCTCTGTTGGAGATAGAACTCACGCATGCGTCGGTTGGATACTTGCGATGACTGAAGGATAATATCATTATCAGTTGATAGACCGACAACGATGGTATGCTACTTACCTCCCAGGTCTCCGAAGCGTACCATGTCAGCTTCGGTCAAAATCTGGGCATGCTCGAGTCGCGGCCGGAGCGCCGTCACATTAGCCTCCTGCAACGCAGCCTCGAATGCATCCAGAACGACACCGTTTGCACGGTCGCCGATAGCATGTACATTCTACGAATGCGAGACTATGACTACAGTCATAGAGTGCGTTCATAACGGATCACGCACCACCTGCCATCCATCTCTCATGAACTTCGGAACTATCTCATTCAGCGTCTCTGGGGAGATGCGCATGACACCCCGGGTGGTAGGATGATCCGCGTACGGTTCATATAGCTAGAAGTACCCGCATTTGTTCAGTAAATATTTCCTGGCTTCACCCATCAAGACGAGACATACCGCTGCGCCGCCGGACCTGAGAGCCCCTGAAAACCCTTCGTCAGCATCAACCTACGACCTCAAGGTGACAACTCACCATCCGCAAATACTTTAATGCTCCGTATAGTAAGCGTGTTATCTGCGGCACCTACGATTTTGGTTGTCCTATCCCCCCAGTAGTCGGCGCTCTCATTGAAGTACGTCATGCCGTAGATACGGATCTGAAACCGCAGATATGATCAACGGGCAGCCAACTGATGTGGGCACCTACACCGACCGGCAATTTGCCAGCGTTAGCACGCCTGCAGAAATGTCAATGTAGTTCGGAAAGGCTCATCGATACACCTACTTTCGGAAGAATTCAAGGGAGATGGGGTCTAATCCCGCATCATGGATCGCAGTCAGGCCGCGCTTAAGTGCTTCTTGAACGGTCGCCATGAATCGTCTCTCGAGCGTTTCATAAGTGGGCTTGGGCTTCTTGATTAGGTCCTGAGCGTTGTCCAGGAATACACCTAGCTCCAAGGTCATGATTAACGGTTGCGCAGATAAGACATACGGACACACCTGTAGGGTTGCCCTCAGAGTCGCGGAGAATGACGCCACCATCAACTTCCATTGGCAATGGCCCCATAGACTCGACCACCTTCCGCGAAACCCACATAGCATGGCCATCCTTGCTTTGCAAGATGATAAGGCGGTCTGCCACAATGGGGTCGGCTTCAAAATATTTCTGGTTTCAAAGCAACGTGAAATAGAGGAGAATGCATTCAAAAGTGTGGCACCAACATAGCTTGGGAACCCCTCTTGTGGCCACTGAGTATGGTCCCAGCCCCAACCTTCGACATACTGGAATCGGTCGTCGCGGATGTCCGGATGGGTGAGGACGTAGTCCTTGACGCGTTGCACGGCATCTGTTGCTCGATAAGACCAACTGCAGACCAAGTTCAGATGTGAAACAACAAAGGCAAACCTGGAATAGTCTTAGCGCCCTCAATAGGCATGAGCTTTGTTGCACCGTATTCGAGGATGTGGGCGTGTGAATCTGCAATGGCTGAGTTGCCTTACCCATGCGATACAAGTTGACCTACCACTCAATCCCGGAACAATTATTTGGCCAGGTTCAGTGTACCGAATCTCAAGGGTCGTAGCATGTCCTGAGGAGGCATTCCACAAGGAAGTGGCACCGTTCCAACGCGCCTTCACTTCGTCTGGATAGAAGTGAGTACGAAGTCATGACAGGGGAACGCAAGCTGCGGATCTAAATAGCACAAAGACCGAGCGAGGCCACAGCGGTGGCGGCAACCGGTGTGGCGGACAGTGATTCGTAGAGCAAACACGTACCTAGCGAGCCTGCATAGACGAAATAATACTCGCGGACAACAAGGCACTCCACGCGTGCATTAGAATCGTCGATAGTATAAATATTGGCGCCATCCGAAGAACACAGAGCGTAAACTTCTGGCAAAGGCGCAGCCGACCGAGAGCGAAAGTAAATAAACAGCGAGAGGGCTACGGAAGCCAGCAGGATATAGACACGCGCTCCGAGGTACCCCAATGGCGCGGGAGAAGCACTTGTGGCGATCGTAGTAACATTGTCACTGTGATGCTTCTCGTCAAGAACGGGTTGACGCCTGCGCAGGTTAGTAAAATCCTCTGGAGAGGGCATAGCTGGGGGTCAAATTCTGACGGACAGACACCAACATGACGCTCTATAAGTACTTCGCCGCATCGGCAAATGACCGGGAGCAAGTCATAAAATTGACAAGATCTGGCATGCGCAGGGGTATTGTTGCCATTTTCCTGGGAGGCTGGCGTCTCTTCGCCAATTTAGCTGCCCATCGGCGCTTCCGGGAGCGCCCGTTAGTGATCAATTAATGATTGGCGCTCGAGGTTCATGCATATTTCCTGAACTTCGACTCAACTTCTGCTCGCCATCGAAACGCCTTTTATGTATTCCTGACACAGGCTTTCGTGGTCCGAGCTACACGGTGCCGAAGTATGAAAGTTTACAGGTCGAAGTGCGCCTGCGGCCGGTCTGCTGCGCTCCGGATTTTCAAATTTCTATCCAGGTATTTGGACTTATTGATAATAAATAATTCAAAATAAATTCAAAAGCAATCTGGCTACGCCACGTCCCTTGTTGCGGGCGCTTGATTGACCGCGCATGTCGGCGTGCTGCAGGTTCGCTGAAACATTCCTCCACCGGCACAGGCTCCCGTTAACCACCTGTCAGCGTCTCAAAGTGAAGAACGGCCTCCTGTCTGTCACTGTCAGCAATGCCGCTGAACGACATGGTGCGGCAGAGGCTCCAACCTCTGACCGCCGCAATGACGTCCAACAGGATCTTCCTGTACTTCGTCTTCAGCGTACTCGCAGTTGTGGGTGCTGTGGCAAATGCTTGTCGGAATCACAGCAACTTCTACTCGGTGACTGTATATCTCTCGCGGAGTGGGCGGAGTGTCCTGGTAAGCATAGCGGCTTCGCCTGCAAGTGCTTTTGTGACCCCCGTTTCAGATACTCGCCAACTTTGGGTTCATACTCTCTCTGTTATGCGGTAGACTTCTGCAGCGGCTCTTCTTTGGCCCTCTGCAGGCTCGCGAGGTGGAGGTGTGCATCACCTGCCACTACCTTGCGCTTTCTATACTAATCCTTCGATAGCGTCTGTACGATCAGACATGGATGTTTGTCACGGAATCTCTCCTGGCATTCACCATTTTCCGGGACGACTTTGACATTCCGTTCGTGCTCATGTTTGGGTTCCTCCTGTTTGTTAAGTGCTTCCATTGGCTTGCACAAGACCGCGTTGAGTCGGTGCGTCGTGACGACCGATGCACTGTTAGCGCCTATTCATCCATTCTTCAGATGGACCAGACCACATACCCTGGTCCTCCTACACTCTTCCATATCAGAATGGTCGGCTTGTTTGGCCTGTTATTTTGGACCGACCTCCTCATGTTTGTTCTCGCCGTCGAAAGCACGTACACAAACGGGATCGGTGGAATGGTACTTTTTGCCAGCGAGGTAAGCGGATGTTCTTTTCCGCACGATCTTATGATCTTATCAGCGACTCAGTATGCCATTCTTATGGCAAGTGTTTGGAACGCGACGGCTAGGTATACCCTTTCCGTTCTCGACTTCAGAAGAGCACGAACAAGAGGGGGCGAGAATGCACCTCCATGGGAACACAAGAGCATGTATGTGTTCTATGTCGAGCTAGCCACTGGTGAGTTGCTATGTGTCACTGTGCTCATCATTCTGACCGATCATTTCGCACAGATTTTTTGAAGCTGACAACCTACCTCGCCTTCTTCATGATTATCCTCACCTTCTATGGTTTGCCTCTCAACATAGTGCGTGATGTTTACCTGACCGCACGTTCCTTCATCACTCGTGTGCGCGCCCTCGTCCGTTACCGCAATGCAACCCGGGATATGGACCGCCGTTATCCCAATGCAACCGAGGCCGATTTGTCCGAGACGTCTGATAGGACGTGCATCATCTGCCGTGAAGAAATGGTCGTGCGTGATACGCAGCAACCGGCCGGCGCCGGTCCAGCTGCACCGGCGCCTGTGCAGCAGGACGGTCCCAATATGACACCCAAAAAGCTTCCTTGTGGCCACATCTTCCATTTCCAATGCCTTCGATCGTGGTTGGAACGGCAACAGAGTTGCCCAACGTGGTTGGTGTTCCGTTGCACTGTGTGCGAGCGGTTGTATTAATCTTCTGTTATGTAGTCGTCGCCCAGTGCTGGAACCAGATCCGCGCAACCCAGGGCAGGCCCAAGCTCGTCAGCCGGGTGTTCCACAGCCAGGCGCAGTCCCACAGCCGGGGCAACAGCCTGTACAAGCAGCCGGTTGGCTTGGCCGTATACTTGGATTTGTCGTACCACAACCTCTTGTTGCAGGTCCAATGCCGCATGGGCAGTGGGTACCTGTAGGTGCTCTTCCACAGCAGCAGCAGCAGCAGCAGCAGCAAGGTAATTTTGGCTGGGCGCCTGGGCAGGTACCTCCGCCGCCCCCACCAGGATACTATTATCCAGTCCAATACCCGCTACCGCCTCCCCAACCTCAGCAGCTGCAACCACCTCCAGTATTCCGAGGATTTTATGGGCCGGGTGGTGTCTGGCAACCATGGGTGGACCCACAGTGGTTAGCACAGCAGCAGAATCCACAAGCACAAGCACCCGCCCAAACGCCACAGCAGCGTCCACAACAGTCGAGAGATACAACACCAATTTCGGTAGGCGAAGCTACTCGTCCACGGGTTTCGCTGCCTGGTGCACCACCCGTACCTACCGCCACGGCGCCTACCGCCTCCGCAGCAAGTGGCTCTGCGCCAGCAGCGACAGACCGCCCGTCTACGCCAAGAGATGCGGCAGCAACGGCCGCTTTGCCACGATTGAATCCTTCGGGATCAGTTACCGAGGCTCCGCCCTTAGCGGCTGTGTCTGGTGGTCCGGTGAACTCACCTCCGGTTCGGGCATCAGTGCCTACCCCTACGACAACCACTGTTTCTCCACCGTCGGTGGCTGCATCAGAATCAACTTCTCCCGCCATTTCCACGTCCACAGATAACGCCGGTTGGCCGACACCTCAACCGCCCCACAATCACGATGGAGTTTCGGGGATACCCTCCTTGCTCCCACTGTATGACTTTGGACCGCTGACGGGACGGGCACCGCGTCCACCTCCGAATGGCTACCCTGGATATTTATCTTCGGCGCCCTCCCCTTATTTTCGCGGCACGGGCACACCGTCCGGACCCCAGCCGCCCCAGCCCCGCACTTACAGACCCGCACTACAGCAACAAGGAGGTCAACGGACGTTAACGCGCGCCGTTGTGCATGATCCTCGCACACCGCTGTCGCAGTTGCCAGCTACTATCACGGATGCACAGCTCGCGAGGCTCGACCGTCTTACTCGTGAGGCAATCGACGAGCGCCTACGCGTACTCGAAGGCGTCTCTGGGGCAGTGTATAGGTGTATCGAGGAGCTCACGCGGGTGCGGAGCGTCTTGCCCATCTCTGCTGCGGTAGGGCACGCGCCGGATCAGGAACGGACAGCTACTGGCAGTGCGACGGCCAGTGTCAGTACCACTACTCCCGCGAGTGGAAGCAGTGGTAGCAAGACCAACGTCGAGACTGCTACCGATGTGGAGCCTCCTGTTGCTACCAAACCTCCGCGCGGAGCGCCCGTGCGGCTGGAGCCTAGCGAGTCGTCTGAGGAACGGAATGATGTAGACCCGGGGTCTCAGGACGGCGATACTGCTGTACTAACGGGTAGCTCTCCTGCAGAAGATGAGGCAATACCGCTTGACGTTGTGGAGTGATCTGCATGATCTTTTCGTCTCTTGATTCGGTTGTTCAGTTACTCAGTCACTGTTTTTTGTTTGCCGTTCTAGTGCGAAGAGCCTGTAATCCTATTATATTGCATCGCAACTTGTATACAATCCTGCAACACAACATTTATGGTATGGTCATCACGCGCTCTTCTCGGACAACAGTGCCTCTGCTCTGCGTTTTACTAGGTCAGTGTCGACGGATAACTTATCCACCTTCGCGTAGAAGGCCTTGAACACCAGACCTTGCGCCTTCTTTGAGGGAGTTCCAGACTCCATGAGTTGACTTTGGTCGGCGATTGTCTCCCGAAGAATGCGGTCGACGTCCGCTTCAGAAAGTAGAGGTGGCAGGAAGCTCTGCAGGAGGTTGGCCTCGAGTTTCTCCTTCTCGGCAAGGTCAGGACGGGAAGCTTTCTCATATTCCTTAGCGGCATCGGTCTGGATAGGTCGTTGAATCAAATACGCTTAGCTGACATGCTCGTAGAACGGATGAGTAGACTTGCCCTTCTAACCGCGGCCTTGCGCAAGATGGAGAGAATGACGGAGGATGAGACAAGTTCTGGGCGCGCCTTATCGGCCGCGTATACCTCGGCAAGAGCGGACTATTGAACAGCGCCACACGGCCGCTCAACGGCAGCAGAATACCTTTACGAGACTTACTTACGCGAATCGTCGTCGACTTGAAGGTATCTTTGCTCTACTTCAATGGACAAAATCGATCAGCACACTTCGAACGGTCGATGAAATACACCTGACCTTCATGGCAGACTTCAGTTCAGACATAAGCTGAGCACGGATATCTGTTGGAATGTTAGCCTCAATTTATCCAAGCATAGGACACATACCGGGGCTGCTGGTCGCCACGGTCGTCATTCGGTACACAACAACTGCACGCTGCTTCGTCAAATTGCGAAGCGGCGCAAGTATGCGAAGTGCAGATTGACTCTGCATTCTTTGCAAGTTTTTGAATATGCTACGGTGTCACGGAGATTCTAGAGTTGGGGACCGTGACGAGGTGGCGCCTAGCCTACGTGTTGTTGTCTACTGTTTGGCCAATCCACTCTCCCACGGCAACAGAGAGATTCTTGGACACGACACTAAGTATGTACATATGTATCTTAAGATTTCTTTCTCAACCCTACGCAGAGTACATCGACCGCAGAACTGTTATACACCGGGCTCTTACGTCTTTCCCACCATCAAACGGTCTTACACTATGATGCGAATTCTGTTCTTCTCGGACGTGAAACATTCAGTCCAGATCGACTGCAGGACTAGTTTGTTCGGGCACTGATGTAGCTTTCCTATCTGGAATCAGTATACCCGGACGTGCGGACGTAGCGCCATCTCCCCTCATTCACCGTTGAAGTTTATATCAAGCACTCGGCGGCTTGTTTTGTGCTCCGCGTAGCGCTTGTGGATTCTGTTCCGACAAGCTGGTTGAGCGCGATCGCGCTTCTCCTATTCCTGCTGCAGCCAGAGAGCGCCTAGGTTGTGTTTAGAAGTCGTAGCGCGGGTGCTTGCGAGTATCTGTTATTCTCGCTGTTTACCTGACGCATGCAGAGGCCTTCCATCAACTGGGCAAAGTTTGTAACATGAACGGAGCATCAAGAACGCCGTCTCCGACGACTGCGGTTTCTCGACGACTTTGCTTTACACCTGACCTGGCCCTGTTCTTCGGATTGGCCAGGCATATGTCTGCCCTTGATTCTGATTGAACTATGGCAATCATAGATTCCGAGCTGGAGTCTCCAGTGGAAATCTTCGCAAGGGTCAAGCTTCTGACAACTGTAGGCACCGCTCCACCTTCATTTTTGTGCCTGCGCCCCGCAAATTTTGAAGCTGTGTATGTCGATGCTTACAGCCACGCGTCTTTTAGGATATGCCTTCGTCCTGGACCTCTCGGCATACCTGCTCACCGTTTTCACGTGTCAGAGCACTCTCGGAGGACAGCAACCCCAGACATAGCAAATTAGTGAGATTCTACGTTTGCGGTGTTGCATCCCTGCTCCACACCAGCTTGCCGCCTTGCCTCCGACATGCAGATGTACCGCGTCATTGGCTGGCGGTGCTCGCAACCTGGCTCGGTAACAAGGTCCGGACCGTGCCGGCACGTTTATAAGCATCAAAAGCTGAAGAAGACGACCTCCATTACTTTACTCCTAGACTTCTTCCGCTCGTGGCATGTGCTCAGAGGCCCATCAGTGTGCGCCCTACTGAGAGACCCAGGACATCTGCATGATCTATGTCGACTGTAGGTTCTCTGCTCGGACCCCGTGCATTCTCTATGCGCTATTGCTGCTGCTGTTTTTCTGTCTGTGGTTTGGATAAGGGCCCTTTAGTCGCTCTTTGCCAGACCGTCGATGAGCAGGGTTCACGCGTTCACGTGTGATCACGAGAACGTGGCTGCTGAGAGATTCCTGCTCGTTCTCCTCTTGGTTATCCTCGAGCATCATAGAAATAGGTCACGGTGATCGCTTTCCCATCCAATGCAATGCAAAATGAGGTCCCTCTCATGCCGCGGCCAATGTGCCATCTGCACTTTCGCCGACGAATTTCCCTCCCATTCGCCGTGAAGGGGGTATATATACGTTTAATCATCGCTTAGACTGTCTCCGCGGTTGAGCTACTGTCGTTGCGACCATGTTTCTTGCCGCGCTCTCTGTCCTTGTTGCTGTTGCGCCCTTCCGCGCTGCGGGTCGTGCTCTTCCGCGCGCAGCCAGCGCCTCGGCGACACTCGCAAGCTCTGCTCCACTCCCCACGTCCACGGCAATTGTCCCTGGCCTGAACGCCCTCGCGCAGGCTGCAGGCAAGGTGTATTTCGGCTCTGCGACTGACAACCCGGAGTTGAATGATACCGCCTATGTCAACATCCTGTCCGATAACAGACAGTTTGGCCAGTTGACTCCCGGGAACAGCATGAAATGGGTGCGTCTTGCGCTACTCATACAATTCATGGGCTTCCAGGGAATGTAAATGCTTGTTGGACTATTGTTTACTGGAGGACTAGTACGCAACGGAGCCTGAGCCGGGAGTCTTCACCTTCGAGGCGGGTGATGTCATCAGGAACTTGGCCTACGCAAACGGCCAGTATCTCAGAGGTGCGTAGTTCCTGGAAATTTTCGACGAAAGACTAGAATTTTTTGTACAGGACATAATTGCGTTTGGTATGAGGAGCTACCTGACTGGGTGACGGCGAACAACTACACCGCTCCCGAGCTGGCATACGTTGTGGAAAACCATTGCGCCACCATTGTTGGCCACTATGCAGGAGAAATGTGAGTGTTCTATCCAGAATGTAGGTAGTAGTGAGATCTTCACTCACAGAATATCATTTAGTTGTACGTAGCCGACATTGATCTTGAAGTTGACTGATCTGATTTACTCGCACTCAGACAGTTGGGATGTCATTAATGGTCGGTCGAGAATTTTCACATCTACGTTTCTCCCAAATCGACGTCTGACTCTACTCAGAACCGTTGAATGACAATGGTACCTTCCGTGAGACTGTCTTCTACGACACTCTCGGCATGGAGTATATTCCTATTGCCCTCAGAGCTGCCCGAGCTGCCGACCCTCACGCGAAGTTGTTTATAAACGACTATAATATTGAGGGCACTGGTATGCAGCCTCTCTGGTCTTCTCACAGGCACATACTAGCTCATAATTTTGATGTTACGTTCATCAGGTGCGAAGTCGACCGCTATGGTGGAACTTGTGCAGTGGCTACAAGAGAATTACGTCCCCATCGATGGCATTGGTGTCGAGGGACACCTTATCGTAGGAGAGGTCCCGACAACACTCGTCGAGAACTTCCAGCAGTTCGCAGACCTTGGTGTCATCTTCTCCATCAACGAGCTGGATATTCGCATGCCCCTGCCCGCGACAGCCGAGATGCTTGAGCAGCAGAAGGCTGACTACGAGACCGTCGTGTCGGCGTGCATGCAGTTTACGCAATGTGTCGGCATTACTCTGTGGGACTACACTGACAAAGTACATGAAAATTTCCTGAACTTGGCGGGATCTGACTGTATCGTGGTCCCCATAGTACTCGTGGATTCCGTCTTCTTTCCCTGGCTATGGCGAAGCATGCCCGTGGGACGAGGTAGGCTCTCTGAGCTGCTGCATTCGGGTATAAACACTGACCGTGTGTTATCGGGAACAGTACCTGCAGAGGAAGCCCGCTTACGATGGTATCGTTCTTGGGTTCCAAAACGGATCAACACTTTACCTCTGATACCTTGGAACTTACGAATTGTACTGTCACTTGCTTGTGCAATGCAGGAGACTGCCACCGCTTATGATTTCTCAAAGCTAAGGCTCACCGGTGTCTTTTGAACGTTGATGCAACAGTTGGTGGTTTGAGATCCAAACGTCACGGCATTCTTACTGCAGAAACAGTGAGTTTGTTAGAGGCTGGGCAGCGATTAGGGTACTTCAGAGGAGGGTTTTCGAGGCGGTTTTCGAGGCGGTTTTCGAGGCGGTTTTCGAGGCGGGAGAAATCCGAAGACTTTGGTACGGCCCAAAGCCAGGTTTCGGCTTCTTCGGCATCAACTGCGGACTTTGAAAGTGAACTGTGCAAGATGCCGATCATCGACGACAGCGACGGAAGCCTTCCGGCGGAGAACTTTATTTTTCTGCTCACTTATGCTGTCGTCTGGGGAAGTGTGACACTCATGAAAATTATGAAAGACCTCTCAAATATGGCAGACAGTGAGTGTTTAGGTCGGAAGATGTGTTTCGAGACGGCCGCCGTGCTGTCGCGCACGATGAGCACAGCTACTTTGGCGTCGCCGACAGCTCGGCAGGCATGTCCGAGCGGCTTTTTTGAAGTCCGCTTCCCAACAGTGTCGCCCGGGCCTAGCCGAAAACAGTTTTCGGGCTTCTCGGGGAGTCGAAAGCCAGCTCGAAAACCGCTCGAAACCTCTACGTACTCTGAAGTACCCTATTGGTTGAAGAAATGCGACGGTGATTGGCAGATCGCCTTCTATAAATTCTGAACAGAAGAGTAACCGTTAGTGTTACCCTAGTAATCGTTAATGATCAGCCACGTTCGTGGTTATTATTGGTTGTAGGGCACTTTGTGGTAATAGTAACAAAGCCAACAAGTCTTTATGTAGTTAGTCATTCACCTCTCCCAGGCAGACTGACATAAGGGCTCCGGCATCTTCTCCTGTCCACATTTCCGTCGCATCGCAACCTCAGAAATTACCTTCATGATATATCATTCAGAGCTGTTTGGTTCGTATTTAACGCCCACCTGAAATCTATAAAATTCGTTGGTGCGTTTGCCGTCCAGTCAGATACACCCCTAATTCTTACCGACCGAGGGAATACAGGAAGAACTGCTCATGCTGCCCCCTGCGGAACCTTCACCAGACGTGGAAATGTTTTCCACGCCGCCGATAACACCGACCGTGGCAGAGCTCGAGATTCGCCCGTCCATCTCTCGCCGTTCGAGCAGACCATCCAATCTGCAGCTGCAGCCGTGCTCGCCCAACCCCATCGTGCTCGACCAGCAGCATTCTCCATATCGACATCGCTCGAAACCTCACACCGTGCCATCCGAGACGACCAGCGATAGTACGAACGGCATGCCGCCCCCGATGGCCCACGACCCGACAGTGACCGCCCAGTCACAGTCTGGCCCTCTGCATCATGCCCATTCTCACTCGCATTCGCATTCCCAGTCCATCTCTCCATATTTCGTACACTCTCAGCTCCAAGGTGCTTCCTTCAAAGACTGGCTCAGCGCAAAACAATCCAAGGCCATCCAGGACGCACGCATGGTGCACGCACACCAACACGCCTACTCGGACGGCACCATCTCCGAGCCGTACTCGGACGACGACGCCGAGTACGGAGGCAGCCTCACCGCCCAGCTCGCGGAGACCGCCGTCGGTGTCCGTGAGATGAGCAAGCAGCTCGGTCAGTGCTGTGCCCCTCGGTTCCCACCTACGTTGGTGCTCATAGCCCTCAGGTCGTACCCACGTCCACTCGCACATACAGACCATCCTCATCGTCACCAAGGCCCGCGACAACAGGCTTATCCAGCTCACCCGCGAGCTCGCCCTCTACCTCATGCTCAAGCCCCGTAACGGTGGTCGCGGAATGGTCGTGTATGTTGTCCTCTTCTCCTTTGCGGACTAACTGGTAAACGTCCCGTGTGCAGATACGTCGATGCGCAGTTGCGGACCTCGCGAAGATTTGATGCAGTCAGGATCGAGCGCGAACACCCGGAGCTTTTCGTGCCGTTTCCCCGTCGGCGATCGTCCAGTAGCTCCTCGCTCGCGTCCACAGTGTCGAAGGAAGAGATGAACGGGGTCGCAGAGGGTCAGTTGCGATATTGGACTGCGGACATGTGCAGCCGCACGCCACACCTCTTCGACTTCGTCGTCACTGTGAGTGCTCCCACCGTCGTTCGAAACCTCTCTGACGCTCGTGCGCAGCTGGGCGGAGATGGGACGGTGCTTTTCACGTCGTGGCTGTTCCAGCGGATTGTTCCACCTGTGCTACCATTCGCGCTCGGCTCATTGGGATTCCTCACCAACTTCGACTTCGCGGACCATCCGTCGGTAATGGACAGCGCGATCGACAACGGGATACGCGTGAATCTGCGGATGCGCTTCACGTGCACCGTGTATCGTGCAGTCGCACCAGAGCCGGGCAAGTGGAGTCGGTGCGCAGTCAAGAAGGGCAATACGGGTGAAATTATCATGAAGAACCTCGAGCAGGGTGGATGGGAAGCATTGGAGGGTGGGTGTCCTCCGCATGATGGCAAGTACGGCTGCTCCAAGGACAAGGAAATCATGTGCTTCTCGACACGTCCTGTGGAGAGCTTTGAGGTGCTCAATGATCTGGTCGTCGATAGGGGTCCAAGTCCATACGTTAGTCTACTCGAGCTGTTCGGTGAGCATGCTTCGTGGGTGATACTGGGCGATAGACCAAGTGATAGACCAACTTATATATTCTGCACAGGTGATGAGCACCACCTGACGACCGTGCAAGCTGACGGGCTGACAATCTCGACACCCACCGGTTCCACGGCGTACTCAGTAGGCGGCCTTTGAGCGGCGTTTCTGCATCTTAGATCGAGTAACTCATGACCTTGTCGATCTAGCTTTCTGCCGGCGGGTCGTTGGTGCACCCCGAGATCCCTGCTATTCTGATCACTCCCATATGTCCACACACACTCTCATTCCGTCCACTGCTATTGCCAGATAGCATGGAGCTGCGTATATGCGTTCCATTCAACTCCAGGAGCACTGCGTGGGCATCGTTTGATGGGCGGGGACGCGTCGAACTTAAGCGTGCGTAGAAGAAGCAGTCGCTACAGCTCTTCACTGACATTAGGGTACTTGCAGAGGGAGACCACATCAAGGTCACCGCGTCCAAGTACCCATTCCCGACTGTATGTGCGGACACACAATCTGTCGACTGGTTTAACTCAATATCGAGTACGCTCAAGTGGAACGAACGCGAACGGCAGAAGTCGTTTGTCGTGGTTGAAGAAGGGCCCTCGCGGAAACAGTACAAGCATTCCAAGTTGACCTCACCCAAGGGTGAGGTCCCCCTGGCGAGTCAGGCTCAGGATGAGCCCGCGTCCGCAGCTCAACGGCCGGAGACAGGCTTTGTCCCAGTGGGTGATGCGGAGGGTCGAGTGGAGGAAGATGAGGAAGACGAAGTATCTTCAGACGAAGAGAAGTACGACATTGACGACCTCTCCTCGAACGAATCGCCAAGCTCGAGTACCAAGGACGTGGAGGTAACGACCGAGTCCGCGAAGTTGAGCCCGACGCAGGCGGAGACGGGCAAGGAAAAGGTCTTCGAGGAGGAGGCCACACGCAGAGATCAGGCGAAGGCCGAGCACGCCGCGCGGCTGCTCAGCATCGGCAGCCCCTATATGCAGAAGTACACCCGCCGTTCGCGCTCGCGTACACGCTCCGGCGTGCAGACACCAGACAGGTTCGCTGGACCTCACCCACATCCTCCGAAGCTCTCTCCTCGGCACGTCCAGTTCGCCTCCCCATCGATATCGTCGTCTACGTCGTCTCTCGTGTCGCACGTGGAGCCCCCGGGCCCTTCCGAGGATCACCATGCGCCCCCACGGAAGATACAATCCCGCAGCCGCACGCCGCGCACGAGAGAGACAGATCGCGAGACTGTGAATACTCCTACACCTGCGGCAGCACCGTGGGGGAGACGGTCGGGATCGCGCAGTAGGTCTGGCGAACGCGCCAATGGCGATGGCGGGCCTCATCGCAGAGCATTCTGTGTGTGGGGCCAGGACGAGAGCGACAGTGCGACGAGCGATAGCGATGTGGAGACATAGAGGTTCGATCAGCGTACGGGAGGTGGGTTGGGGACTTGATGAATCTCATCGATAGACTTGTTTACTAGGGAACTAATAGCTTTGCAGCATTTTACCTTGGAATCTTGGTACTTTCTTGACGTACTGCTACCATGATGGAGGGAGATATTTGGGTTGTGCGGCATCCACGAATATAACTCGTTACGCATCGTACACTTGGTCTGTAATGCTGATCAGAAATACACTGTATCTCGGAGAACAAACCGTTCCAAGTTCCTCCAATCCGGTCTGTCCTTGGCAGCCGACCAGAGCCACGCATCCAGCTCTGGCAGAGTGATCTGCTTCAGAATGTACGACTCCTCGTTCGCGTTGAGATCACGCGCAGTTGCAATGATGGCTTGACTAGCATCTATCGCGGCTGCACGCAGGGCGAACGCTTGCACTGATGTGAGCACCGGCCCTTCCTTCGGCACCTCCTGATCTTTGGTCGTTCTGGTGTCTGCAGGAGGGGCAGCGGGTACCTCGCTCAAGAGTGCCCTAATGGTTGAGTCGTCCTGCCCGCGAGGGAAGAGATCGCGCAAGCCCAGAGAAGGTGTTGAGTCCTCGAGGTTGATTATGCCGAGGTGAACGAGGATAGATGGGATGACATTGTCGACGAATACAGGGAGTTCTGAAGTGCGCGGGATCGGGATTTCTGATAATGACTCTGCCGAGCCAAATCGCAGAGCGATGGCATGGATTGCCAGGAGCGCCTTCTTGAAACAATATACGGCTAATTGCGCGATGTATGTGAGTGCTAGTGACACAGTCGGAAGAGTGAAAGCTTACGCTGGCCGTTCACCACTGCCATGTCTCGGAACGCTGGAATCGCACGTACAAACTGCGAACCACCCAAGTCAGTATGAAAAAGTGAACCCAACACAAGATATTATCGACGCTCACCCGCTCCAGTATGACATCACACTCGTGGTTGACGCTTTCGGCGCTATTCTTCAGCTTGTCGCCTTCATTCAACGCTTCCAGGACGAAGCTTCCAAGATCCGGATAACCAGAATTGACGAGCACAGTCCCAGTCTCGTTGAGCGCCTGCGTCAACAGTTTCACTAGTTCCCAAATGGGTCCTCCCAGCTCTCCAACGGTGACGGCAGGAACACTTTCATGAGCGTGCTCAACATGCAAGGCATCTGTCACCCCCATCAAGTCTGCAATCGTGTGCTCCTTGATATCTCGCATTCCCGTAGCGGAGAGGTAGTTCCCTTCCCCAGTGCCGGTGGACGAGGAGATATACAATCCCAATACCAGCGCCCTGATGTTATCGAACGCACCGCGGCCTGTCGCAACGTGCAGCGGGACACGGTAACCGGATCCAAAGTTGAGCAGACTGAGGATGGAGAGGAGGTTGAGTTCCGCAAGCAGGGAGGGGAACTTCAGTGGCATCGCCATCCCGTGTGACTCGCGTAATCGTGCATATGTGCTCGTGAAATATCCTGACGTGAGCAGGAGCTTGATTTTTTTGTGATTGATCTGTAGAAGGATTATTCAGACATCCTACAAGTCGCACAAAATCCTGGAAGAAAAAACGGACACATTTCACGATGCTATGACGAAAATAGGGTATCGACGAAGTAGAAAGATATCATTGGCTACAGTTATCATTTTTCACAGGAAGTTGCTTTCGGGTCCGACTGGACGTGCACTGATTGAGATAGAGAGAGAAAATGGAGCCCACATTGAAGCTCAAGGTTCACGGACAGACTCACCTCAATGCCTGCTCGCTGTCGGAGTGCACGAGAAGACTCATTCACGGCACCAATAAACCCTCCCTTGGGAGGAAACGGGGGAAGAGGTGTAGTCATTTTATGTTATCTGGCGCAACCTTGATTAACGCAAAATGAATGATTTAAGGATTGTAGCACAACTGGTATCTGGAAGCCCGAGGAGTGCGGTGCAGATTCAGAGGCAAGAGATGTGGCTCAAGATCGGAGATCGCGTCTAACACGTCCGAAGATGGCAAGTGTTGTTGAACGCCTCCATGTGCGTGGTGCTTCGTTTAGGCCGCCGGTTCCCACTGAACTTGAAGCTGCTCGGGCGCATGCGTAGGAATTTTAGAAAGGGAGTCAGGGGGCGAAGAAGTTCTCAGAAGTATATGGCTTCCGAGAGTCTAAGAACGCAGTGCATGCTCATTAACTCCTCTCACGAACTGCAACTTCTCTTCCAAACATTCAGTCACTGGCATTCTCCGTTGGCTGGGCCTCTCTGGTGGTGAGGCGGTGTACCAAAATGTTTTCATCATAGGTGACACAGGACACATAACCCCTTCTTTCCCGAGGAAATAACTTGGAAAAATGTGTGGAAATCAATAAAGTTATACTGCGGGAAAAACATGAGGAAAAAATGTGTAAAAGAACAAAGCATTTCCGCAGTTTTTCCACTGGAAATAAGTTGGTCGCCAAATATGGTAGTTTTGTCCGGGTTTTGGCATGTCCTGGCATGTCCAGTTGCCTGATATGGTAGGCAACTTATTTCCAAGGGAAAAACCGTGAGAATGTTTTGTTCTTTTCTCACTTTTTTCTCGAGGTTTTTCCTCTGAAAATATATTATTGATTTCCATGCTTTTTGCCAGGTTATTTCCAATGGATAAAAGTGGTAATGCTTCCTGTGTGAGAACTCAGGAGGTGAATACAGTCTTCTTCAGGATATGCCAAAGCGGCCCGGCAGTGCCAGCGTTGCTGGAAGGCCCGGATCCTGGTTCATCACCGATATGCACCGTGACAGATAGTGACATGCAGCGGTTTCAGCGGTTTCTGTTCTGTCTGCTCCTCGTCAGGGTCTAAAGATATCTAGCATTGTTTCCCGTATGTTTGGTTTGGGTCATCTCGACCTACTGCCTGAAAGAATACAATTTTCTGCCCACTTTACATTTATTTGGTGACTCGTTGGTGCAATCTATGAGCACGCGCGGTGCGACAGATGATTGGGTGATATTCCGTGCATCGACGGTCCACCGGCCCGCCATCAGTATTGGAAATGTGCGTTCACGGATCTCAACAGAGAGCTTGGATGACACGTTATCGATGGTGAGAAAGACCGCAGGGAATGTTGCAGAACGGTACAAACTTTATGTGGTCTGGTCCGCGACAAACCATGCTGCGATGTACGGAAAAGCCTTTGGCGATCTAGACCGCGCTTATATATAGCGCGTCTAGGTAGAACGGCGTCCAAGGTCTACTTACTGTACATGACTGCTCTGTCGAAATGGTGGACAAGATTGCGCATGCGCTTCGCAATATGAACGACCTGGCATGTGCCCGCGAATTCGAAGCACTAAAACCTTCGCTGGGATCCAGAGCGGTCCGCCCGGTAGTTCTCATGCGTTCGCCGTTGAGTTCAACGGGCATGGACAGACATCTCGCGCAGTTCCCTGGCAAGGGTGCCGTTGATCCAGAGCAGGCCAAGCAGCTCTAGACAGTGGATAACTACGGGCCGCCGGTGCACGCATAGTGGATACACTCCCTTGGTTCCATCGCTGTTCGTAGATAGCAGGTCCGAGAAGTTATTGTAACAGATGCGAGGGTATAAGAATGGCTGCCACCCCGCAGCAAACTCAGCGACAACCTTCCTATCCCCTAACTCACTAGAATCTACGCCTCCTCCTCAGTTTCACCATGCCGAACGTCCAGCGTGTCACTGAGAAAGTCTTCCAATCACCGTCCAAGTACATTCAGGGTCCAGCCGCCATCAAGAATGCCGCCAAGTACCTCGCACCCCTTGGCAAGGCGCCGCTCCTGATCGCCGATACCATCGTCTATGAAATCGGTATGTCCAATTCAAATCACATCGAATGTCCGGCCTACTGACGGACGCAACATGTTCCAGCTGGCAAGAGCCTCACCGCGGCACTCGAGCAGGGCGGCTTCAAGGTGACGCGGGGTGTATTTGGCGGAGAGGCCTCCAACCAGGAGATCCAGCGTCTGAGCGTGATTGGGCAGAGCAGTGGGGTGGACTTCGTCATCGCCCTCGGCGGCGGGAAGACGAGCGACACCGCCAAGGCGACTGCCGACCAGCTCAAGCTCGAGGTCGCGGTGCTGCCAACGACAGCGTCGACCGACGCGCCTTGCTCTGCCCTGTCCGTTCTCTACCACCCAAATGGCGAGTTCGCCCAATACTCGTTCTTCATGAAGAACCCCTCGATCGTCCTCGTCGACACGAGCGTCATCGTCAGAGCACCACCGCGCTTCCTCGCCTCGGGCATCGGTGACGCGCTCGCGACGAACGTGGAGGCTCGTGCCGTGCGCAACAGCCTCAACTTCGGAAAGGGCCTCCCGACAGAGGTGTCCGCCGCCATCGGCCAGAAGTGCGAGGAGATCTTATTCAAGTATGGCCGGCAGGCGGTCGAGGCGAACAAGGCGCAAGCAATCACGCCTGCCTTTGAAGCTGTCGTTGAAGCGAACACTCTCCTCTCGGGCTTGGGCTTTGAGTCCGGCGGGCTTGCCGCTGCGCACGCGGTCAGTGGCCATTTCTCCTGTGCATGTTTCCGCGCCTCATCTAAGTGTGTGTGCAGATCTATGATGCGTTCACCGCCATTGACGATCACAACCTGCACCAATTCATGCACGGCGAGAAAGGTCAGTACATGTCACTCACCGGCTGCCGATCAACCCTGACATGAATTCGTAAACAGTGGCCTTCGGCACCATTTGCCAACTCATCCTGGACGGCGCGTCGACCGCGGAGCTCGAGCGCTACATGGAACTCATGCGCTCCGTCGGGCTCCCCATTACCTTAGCGCAGCTCGGAATACCGAATGTGACTGACGAGCAGCTCCGCAGCGTCGCTCGGCTCGCGTGCGCACCTGAGGAGACCATTTGGAACCTGGACAGGGTCCTCAGCGATGACATCGTGTTCAACGCAATCAAGGGTGCCGACGCCGCCGGCCGGGACTACGAGAGCAAGGTTGCCGGGCGCTAGAGCCTTGCGGAAAGCGATACCCTACGGAAGGATAGAAGCGAAGTTGGTTTGTACGCCTTTAGATCTGCTTTCGGGCGGCACATCAGAAGATTGACATGCGTAGTGCACTCACCAGATTGTAGACACATAGAGCATAGACCGCAGGGTCCGTTCGATACAGTTTCAGTACACTCTTCGTTGTTCTTGATATCCAGAAATCAAAAGTTATTGGCTGTTAAACTTTCAAGTGAGGCCTCTTAGCGATCACTGAGTGTCTACAGACTAATCGGCGACGCATAAGGAAAAAGGAACATGGTCGCAGCGGATCCCTGTTCGGGTTGGCGGAAACCCGGTCCTCTCTTCCACACTCGATGTGAAGTGTACAGCTATTGCATAGGTTGCAACCAGCAAAACGAGCGGCGAACATCCAAGTAGAATAACAAGCAACGTGTAATGTGTGACGCTGGAGCACGGCCCCTCCTGCGGAACATGGAGTGATCGGTGTGAGCCTATCCTATCTTGTATTCCATTCCCGCGAACGTGAATCTCACTATGTATCGTGCGAAGGCAAGGGTGCCGAAGCGAATACGGACGATGAAATGAATGGATCCCGATCGTGCATGTCGTAAGGCTCCCTGATGCTGGGATAGTAGTACCTGGGGAGGCAGGGCAAGGCGGTATTCATGGCTGAACGTATGTCAGTTCGTCAGCATATCTCGCCGGTCGGACTGTAGTACGTACCGGAAAGTATTTGTGGCATCTGACCAAGACACTGGATAACCCAGCAACAAGTCAGAGAATTCGCAGCAACACACGAACGGTGACCCGACAAGATCTGTACATCCGACAACAGACGAAAATCTCATCCACAGTAGACCGCGAATGTTCGCTCTCATCTGGTATCAAATACAGATCCTCACTCAGAGGGAGAACCACCGCGAGGCAAAACGCAACACGCCAACTCACCGCTCGTACTTCGCGACCACATCACATCACACAGAAGTTGCCCTACGCGCTTCAGCTCCAAGTCGCGCCCACCGCCAATTGTTCTTGCGTGCTCCAGACAGGGTCCGAGGCACGCAGACGCACAGCGGCGACACGAAGTCAAGTCCGCGCCACCAAGGAAGCCAGGGGCAGCACGCGTCCTCACGCTTCGCGAGGTCCACGACGCAGCGCCGTTTCTGACGAACGGCCACTCGCATGCGCGTGTCCGTCGCGCAGCAACAACCGTCGTCGTCGTCGTCCGTCACCGTTGCAGTCGCCGAGAGTTGCTATCCGCCATGCAAAGACGAAAATCGCCGATGACACACAAGACACGCTCTAGCAACAACACCGGCGCCACAACGACTCCAGCAGCAGTAACCTCGCACGATCGTCAATTCACGTCGCCCATCGACACGCGGGAACGCGGCTCGAGCGAAGTTCCTACGGAGACACGCCTCGAGGCTAGCTGGACGTCTAACGGAAGGGGTGGGGCCGCATGTCGCAGTGGACAATGGCCGCACGGGCGCTACGGGACAATAGCGCAGGCAGACACGGTGCACGTGCATGCCCCAGCCGGTGGCACATGCCGAGGGCGACGCGCACCCGTGACTTTGCCGCCGTGTTCGAGTTCGATCAGCGCGACGACATGCAACTTTGAGGACAGGATGCAGACAGACCTTTGAGGAGCTACCAACGCAGCATCGGGCGAGCTGTGATATCAGCAAGATATTCCATTGGTAAATATGATAACGGGACAGCGCGATATGATAATTAGTACGCGGGGATAACACGACAACGACGAAGCAGACAAAACCCGGGAGGGATGAGCACGATAGAGGTGAGATAGGCGAGATAGATAGTTCGAACCACGCAAAGCAAATGCCAACAAACGCGTCCTGTCGGACTGCAAACTAGTGAGAAACGTGAGCGGGAGCAGATGCAGATGCAGAGGGCCGGAAAAGGGAGAGCATAAGTGTTGAGAGCCGGAGCCAGAGAGCACGCCGCTGGGGCGAAGAGTGAGAAAAGTGAGACGAAAAGCGATGATGAGAGGAGAGCGATGAGATGCGATGGTGGTGGTGGTACAAATATGCGATGAAAGCAAGAGAGTAAGGTGAAAACGAAACGTGCAGCGATGAGCAAGTGCAATAATCTCTGGAACACGATAAGAGTCAGACGGGTCATCGTAAGAAAGAACATGAAACTCACAGTTTCAACACAAGGCGTCGCGTCACGGGTCGTCATTCATGAGGTCTTTCAAAACGTCTGGCCATCCCAGGCGTCGATCATGGGACTGTCCATGTATTCTTGCGCTGGGTGCCAGCTCCCAGCCACCCGACGCATCCCGCTGTTCATAGCACCCGCTGGGGGAACGTACGGTGTCGTGGGTGCAGGGGGCATCGACGGGGCGGGCACAGCAGCATTTTGGAAAAACGGATCCACATCGAAATTGATAAATGCGAACGGATCCTCGTCCACGCTTGGCTCGACCGCGCTGCCACTGCCACTCCCGTCCTCCTCCTGCAAAGGCGGGAGCCCAAGCGACTCGATGAACTTCTCGAATGCCGCCATGCACTCGTTCTCCGCCATAGTGAACGTTTCCTGCTGCGACAGCGAGATCGTGTCCGGCGCATCATCGCTAGCCTCGGGGCCCAGGTGGTAGACCGGTGCAGCGTCGGGAATCGGACCCATGTCGTCGACGAGGTCCACGTCGGGCTCGTCTAGCCAAGGAATGTGGATGGGAGGGAGTAAGGCGTCCATATCCTGTAGAAAGTGGTTAGTTGAGAACAAAGAAACAAGATAAGATGACGACGCACGACTGCAGACGGCCCCGCCTCCTGCTCAGGCGTGTATCCGTAGTTCCACTGTGTCGCGGAAGACGCCAACGCAGCCGTGAGCTGCATATCCGGTGTCATCAACGAGAGGACGTCGGGCACTGGGGCGGCGGCCGGGTATGTGGCTGGTGGAACAGCCGGAGGATCCAGCGCAGCTGGTGCGACGGCAGGAGTTTCAGCACTTGTAGACGCGGGAGGTGTGGGTGGGTGCGTTGAGGTTGACGCGTCGGGAAGGGCAACGACGTGCCCGGGGGGTGTGGGAGAGCAGGGTGGGGGAGTTGACTCATCGGAGAGGGGAGGGGACGGATAGGACGTATCGAGGGATCGCACGTGCTGGTGGGGGTTGTAGTATGGCATATGGTTCGAGGAGACGAAGTGAGATGAGAGGGACGACGCGTCTTGCGCCTTTGCGCGACGCTGCTTGTCGAGGCGCGCGCGCTGCTTGGCCTCCTTATCCTCCTGCCTCTGCCGCTCTCGTTCCTCCTTCTTCTGTGGCTTGTAGACGTAATCGGGGTGTTCCTGCTTGTGCTCGAACTTTTTGATGTCGGCCAGGAACTCGTAGTGTGCCTTGACGTCGGGGGTGGCATCCTTCCAACGCTGCGAGATTATCTTGGATATCTGCGCCTGGGGCATCTTGCGGTACTCCTCCAGCTTGCGCAGTTCCCGCATCGTCTCCGAGCGGAAGATGATCCACGAATTGACCGGTCGTGGAACCTTCTCGCCGTCGCGTTTGGGTCGTGATCTGCCAACGTTCAGGGCAGGCGGGGCCGAGGAGGACGACGCGAGTGGCACTGGAGGTTGAGGAGGGAGCAGGGAGAGAAAACCAGCCATATCAAAGCAAAAGACAGTGTTGAGTTTTGAGAAATAGAGGAAAGGTGACACCGGAGACGGGAGGTGGGTGTTGGAGAGAAGCGAGAGGGAATGTTGGGCGGTAAAATATAGGTGGGATCGCGGTTGTGTTTGGCTCTGTCTTTATCTGTGGGTCCGCACTTCTCCCACGTGTCTCCAGGCACTTGCCGGTCGCTTCCCTTGCCTTTTTGGGCATGGCCTTTTGGCCCGCACCTGACTTTGATTCGTGTTTGTTTCCCTCAATTCAATTGCGCGCACGGCGGGCGAATGTATTGCTACTAGGCCCACTCAGATTGTGCGGTTCTCTCCTTCCTATTTCATCAGCGATGGCGTGGGAATTGCCGCCGTCAGAGCATCTTGGCAGAGTAGTCTCCCACAGGCAGTTGTAGATATTCTGTTTCAACCTTCGTGCCTCAGGATATCTGTATCTGACTCTCAGAGTCAAATTCTCATAGCGGAGAGTCAGAGTGCTGGGATCAAACATCCCCGTAGCTAAACCCTCTTTGTCCAGGGGAAACACAGTTATGCGCACTCCAGAAAGTTACGGAATGGCGAGGTATGTCAATTGGCTCCCTACTATCTGTGCCACTGGCGGTCGCAAGTACCGCAATGGCCGCGAAGAAGTTTGGCCGCAAAGAAGTTCACGGACATCTCGGCTTCCTCCCACGTTGGTCGTTGGCCTTGAACAAGAAAGGATAGATGGATGGATTATGATTGCACGGCATGCAGAGCACTGCCCAGCCATGCCCGCTCGGTCCACTGAGAGGAAGAAGGCCTCAGAGCAATTTCAGCATCTGTAGATCTGGCCCAGAAAGAAATGGGCGTGGCTTCGTGATCCGCAAGTCCCGATTTGGCCATAACCACCAGTCACCCTGCTTCGCGCCCTTGTACCAAAAACCGCCCTGACGTTGTGGCGCGGGGCCAACCGAGTCATTCCATGCTGATCCGCCACTGCTAGCTCGGCCGCTGTTCCTTGGATTTTTTTCTCCGTGGGATTCTGCATACGAGGCCCGTCTGACCACTGGTCGCAAATCCATGAACACGGACACTTGCAGCTTTGTTGCGCTCCAGAAGGGATGTAATTCGTGAAGGCACTGCGGCACATGCCATGGAAACATTGGCCTTCACGCGGAGCGGTAGCACCCGATCCAGTCACTGAGTCAGATCCCTCCTTTGTTTCCTTTGTCAAGGCCACCTCGTTCAATTCATTCAATTCAATTCCATTCAATTCATTGCAAACCGCACCCTCTGCCCTGCGTGGTGTAACCTTTTCTAGTTTGTTCTGATTACACAGGCAGATTTTGTGGCGGCGACCAGAAGCCCGGACCTTTGCCTTGAACACGTCACTTGGAAAATAATCGGTGGACCGCTTGTGTGCTTGGAAATGGAAGCAGGGCACCGCACACTTGGTGTCTCATGGTGGCCGACGAGTTTCTCGGCGCCCCTACTCTTCCCCCTGGCCAACGGCACAGCCACAGTTTCTGCAGAGTGTAGGCTAGGCCAGTGGCCCCACCCCCATCCCCCGCCCGGCCTGACTTCCAGCCGCCAGAGCATCCCCGCGCAGCCACTGGATATCGCATTAGTTATTCGTAGCGGACGACGGTCGTGCAAAGGCTCCCGCAAGAGGGCCGCGGGTGCCCAGGGTTGCTCAGTGTCGAAGGTCAACATCGGACACTTCTTTCTCTTCACCGGCTGGAGTCTCGCCCATACCCTCTGTGTGGCCACGCCGCGTCATTCCTCTACTGGGAGGCTCTCGCACTGAAGTCCCCCCCTTCCTTGTCTCGGTCGTCGAGGCCGCAACCCCCACACGCTCAGCACCGGTTCAACTTGGCCTGGACGCATGAGGTAGTACTCTCGCTCTGCGTGGAGAACCCTCCCTCGCTGTTTTCCGCCTCCCTCGCATGTTTCCCGACTTCGCAATCCCACCCCTGGAGAAGGAAAGTCTTATGGCAGCGGCAGGCCGATGGAGCACAGAGACAATGCGAATAACACACACTTCTGTGCGGTGGCCTCGAAGACGACACCGAGCCTATCTGGACGTCCGCTCGCAGAAGATGGCTCCGGCGGGCAGTGGCGACCTCGCATGCAAGTGTGTCTCGCCGACGGTCCCCGCCCACACTTGCAAGTTATCGCTCGGCATGTCCTGCCAACTTCCATAGGCGATGTCTCTGCTTCGTCGATTGGGGGCGTGTCCGCCTGGTTCTTGCTCGGGCCAGTGTGGCCTCACCACCTGAGGGACATGCGGACCTTTTGTTTGAAGGCGTTGCTCCTCGATACCCCATCCCTAGGCACCTGCATTTTCAATACAGGCAACGGCCCACCGAGTTCAGTAAAGGTCATTCGACCTACCACACGCCTCCGAAGACGATCGCACGTCAATCTCAGGTCTACGATGACACGAGCCGTTCCCGACACCGAGTCGACTGGTACTGACCTGTCATCCCTCCCGCACAGGACTAGTGCGGACAGTTCGCGACGCCCTGTCCTGGCATCAGAATCTTACCTCGGATGATGTGGCACAGGCGCTGACAGCGGCCTTGTTCGCACATCTCCCAAGCGATCTGCTGCGCCTCGTGTCCTTTGAATTGGAATGCGGATCCATCACTGCTACTAGTGAGCTTCGCCACTTGTCGCCGTGGCGAATACGTATGTTGGCCGGTGCACAGCCTTTTCTGCCAGTGGACACATCGCAGAATTGTTACTTCGTCGCGGCCAAACGTCTTTTGTCGACGTCCTCTCTCTCTTACAGTTGCTAGGGCATCGAACAAGACATAAAAGACATGTTGCGAAAAGCAGGAAAACAAGACGCGCTTCGCTCCACTTCGTGTTCATTCGTCCGGCGTTCATCCACCCTCCTGCTGTGGTAACGGTGCCACTTGGACACACGCAGCTGTTAAAAAGGGTAGCGAGCCTGTCGCCGTGGTCTCTCGGAGCGTAAAGTTTTGTACCACAAGTCGAGACGCACAATTGTCACATAACACATAATTGTCTCGACGCCACAAAAATGACTGCCTGCGTAATTATTTCATCCTGCTCGAGTACCAACCACAACACCCAGGCTTTTTTGTTTGTCTGAAGCCTCTTGGCCTTCGAAGACGGAGCCCTAGTACGACGGCCACACCCATGCAGGCCCGAGCGTCTCACTAGCCCACCGATGGACTGGATGACTTTTACAGGTTACCTGCTGCTGTATCCTCCGAGTCTTAGTATTCGACCGCTGGAACATTAATGGGCGTACGACTTCTCCGGACCTTCCACTTGTGACTTAGGTCGCGACTACGTCATTTTGGGTCACCGCGACCGAAGCTGACCGGACGCACTGGCTGATCATTTCAGCGGTTCTTGGTGTATGTGAGACCGCGACGGACTCTTTTATCGACTATGATGTCAATGGATCACTCAGGCCAGGAATATGTGACACAGGGTCTTCCAGCAGCCTGGAACTTGGCCCTGCTTTACCTATTCCTGGCCGACTCTGAATTAGTTCAGATGCTGCACCAGGCATCGTGGACTCAAAGAGTTGTTCCTGTCAGTGCCGTCGCCGCCGTTGTGTTAGTCTGCATGTACAGTCCGGCAGCATGACCCGATGCCTCGTACGATAGATACGACATGTACGATTCTCACGCAGATGGTGCATGTCGTCCTGAATATACAGTAGTTCTAGCAACCTCAGACTAGCGCCACTGACTCTTCCCCTCAACGAAATTGAGGAATTTCACTGCAGTATCAGCTCACTGCCTAGATCTCCGTGATACTTCGCATGTTTTTGTTTTATGACAACGCAGGAGAATGAGATGCACTGACAAAGGCCTTCTTATCATAACACACAAAGACGGTGAAGTCTTCTTCCTGCATGGACGTCGACACGGTGCATCAAGACAATAGCACACATCGCACAACTACTACAAATGCCCGAAGACTTCTTTTGATACAATGGAAACAGACACGCAGCAAAGACACACCCACCCACAGCGACGAGATCGCGGGGGGTAACTAACGACGATGAGAAGCAGGGAACGTGGTAGCAATATACGTACAGAATCGGTGATGATGCGCACAAGTACAAGCCGGATTGTGGTTGAAACCGAGACCGTATCAACGAGTGGGATGAAACGAGCCAGGACGAACACGACGATTGCTACCGAAGACGACGGACGGATAAAGACTGGTGTGGATGAGTGGGTCGAGCAAGAAAATGATGGCTGAGATGTGGAAACGACGCTTCACAAGGTGACGACACCCGTGCGCGGAGAGACGATAGACGAGAAACATGAAGAAAGAGGACACATGGCGCGAGTCTGACTGCAAATGACATCACCAAAGGGGCTTCACGACGCGACATAACCACAACGCACCGACAGACCGCAAAACACTTAGTACTGCGGAGCACCACCGCTGTAGCCAGTGTTGTATCCACCACCGTACCCCTGCTGGTAACCACTCTGCTGGCCACTGTAGCCCTGGCCTGTGAAAGCAACATCATCAGCAATGAACGCAACGACCATCATGGCGCTACGTCGCAACCTTGCTGGCCGTAACCACTAGGTGGCATACTGTACCCACCTCCACTGTATCCGCCACCACCGCCTGCGCACGAAGCCCACAACGTCAGCACAGTAGCAATAAATCAGATTCCAGAAGACTCGCCTGAATAGCCGCCGCCTTGGCCGCCGCTGTAACCACCGCCGTAGCCACCGCCTGATAGGTATTAAGGATCAGCTCGCAACGACATGATAACATGGTGTCCGACCTCCGCCGCCTCCACCTCCGCCACGGGCATTGGCAAGGTTAACTTTGATCCTCCTCCCATCGAGCTCCTGCTCATTCAGGTTGCTGATAGCAGACTGGGCTTCAATGCCACTGCTGTAAGTGACGAATCCAAAGCCACGCGAGCGACCAGTGTCGCGGTCGCGCATCACGATCGACTAAACACGAGGCATACAATCAGTTCACGGGACAACATTTTACCGCGGCACCGAGGGCGTCGCAGAACGCAATGACTTCGTATAGCCACAAGAAGAGATCGCGTACATCGAGAATTTGCCCGTACGCAGAAAACGCCTAAAATGTAGAGATCGCGGAGACACGAGGCATCAGACACGGACAAGACAGACGCGTCGACGCAAGGGTCAACGCGCCAAAAAATCACACTGACTGCGCGGAGGGAATCATCGGTAGTATTCCAACTCAAATTGCTACACAAAACGTAAGCAAACACTATCAGTCGTGCGGCCCCACAGGGTAGCGGAGCCGCCTGGGAAGGCACAACAAAACTGACCCAACATAAACTTTCGCGGACATGACTGATTCTGTTATGTTAATACAGTAGACCGAGGACCTGCTGAAACTTTGCACGGAAGATTGCACGAAACCGAAACGGGGACGCAGAACCAACGGAGATGGGGGAAAGAGAGATGTGGGAGGAAGATCCGCTGACGCCGCCCTCCTATATATCCCTCCCAGCTTCTTTCAAACTCCGCGCCCAAACCCAAACTTAACTTTCAAAGCTTCTCCAAGGCCTAGACCCCGGGAACTCCTGGGCGTGTCCAGCACAAATATGGAATCTCACGCATGACTCCGTTACCTACTACTCTACAGCAAGATAACCTAGCGATGCAAATTGCGATGTCAGTCCAAGCAGGAGGTAACTAGAAATGCTGATGAAAACAGAAAATGTGCACGGTCGATGGGGGCATGGAACATGGCGGTGGAATATTACTACAGTAAATCCAGGTCGTGTCAAGTCGTTCGAATCGTGACGATCATAGCGCTCAGCCAAAGCTCTTCCTCTTATCCTTCTTATCCTTCTTCTTCAGCTTCCCTCCGATGTCGCTCGAGATGCTCGCGTTCGGGCTCTCCTTTGCATCCTTGCTGCTCCCCTCGTCCTTCTGCGAAGACGACGTACCCTCGCGCCTGAGTCCAGGAATGATTGCACCAGCTATTTTGGGGATCGACGCGCTCGATCCAGCGCGGCGCGTGGGGATCGACGCGCTCGATCCAGCGCGGCGCGTGGTGATCGACACTCTCCTGGCCAAGCGCTGGATGCCTTGAGTCGACAGTGTCCTCTTGCGCTTCCCCTCTGTCTCCGGGTCAGGAGTGCCCCTCCCAGATGGCGATGGGGTGTCCTGGAAGGTAACACCGGGAGTCTGCGTGCGCTCTGGGGTGGCGACACTGCGCAATGACGCCTCCTCTGAGGCAGGGAACACAATAGGCGCCGGGTCTACAGAACCGGGGAATGCCACCGCAACCGGTCCATCAGAAGACGGGAACGCCACGGTAGCGCCACCATCTCCAGGTGTGACTCCCTCAATCGCAGGATCGTCCGAGGCAGGGAATGCAACCGCCGCAGAGGAAGGGAATGCGACCGGAGCTGGGCCGCTGGTTCCAGAGGGCTCTGCCACGGTGAGCTCCGAAAGGGCGACCTCCGTGGGAGGTTGGACGTCTCCATCGGGTCCGGGATCCGTTGTATCAAGTTCTGCATCCATCACCTGTGGGGTCTCAACAATAACAGTTTCATCCGCAGCACAGGCAGTTGCAGTCGACTCTTCTTGTACATGATTCGGCTCGGCCTTGGTGGCGGGATCCTCTACAGAGTATCCAGCGACCTCTTCCTTGTTGGAGATCGATATGCCATCCTCGGTGCTTGAAATCTGAGCCGCCCACATCTTTGCAAATACGCCGTCGAGCGCGAGGAGCTCGCTATGGCTTCCTTGTTCAACGATCTGCCCATCTTTCAGAACAAGAATTCTGAAAAGCAACGTTAATAACACCACGAGGATTTCACACTCAAAGAACCTACACGTCAGCCGTAGCGATTGTCTGCGCGGCGATGTGTCAATCATGTGCAACTACCACCGATGCAGAGAATACGTACTGAGAGACGATGGGCAATGGTCAGGGAAGAGCGGCCCTCCACGAGGGTCTGCAGAGCATTCTGAATGTCCCTCTCGGTCGCTGTGTCCAGAGCGCTGTGAAGATCATCGATGAGCGAAATTTAGCCATGACCCGGTTTCACAGTACCTGGTGGCTTCATCCAGTAGCAGAATTGGGGGGTTCTTCAAGAGTGTCCTCGCGATGGCAACACGCTGCTTCTCGCCCCCACTCAACCTGACACCACGCTCTCCGACCTTGGTATCATACCCGTCCGGGAAACTCACGATCCGGTCGTGCATCTGCGCAGCCTTGGCGGCGGCTTCGAGCTCGTCCTGAGAAGCACCGAATTTGCCATATCTATGGAGGAAGGTGTGAGTTCAGCGCGGGCAGGGTGGTCAGGTGTGTACGCACCCAATGTTATAGGCAATGGTCGAGTTGAATAGAACACAGTCCTGCGGGACGACGCCAATGGACTTCCGCAAGCTTGCCTGAGTCACGTCGCGGATATCCTGGCCATCAATGAGGATACGTCCGTCGCCTTCCTTGAGGTCGTAGAATCGGTACAGCAGGCGCAGGACAGTAGACTTTCCTGCACCCGACTCTCCGACCAGTGCAACAGACGACCCCTTCGAGACTTTGAAGGACACACCGTTGAGCGCAGTCGTGCGTCCGTCGTACGTAAAGCTGACGTTGTCTGCGCAAAGGAATGAGCCGTGCGCATGGTACTGGAGTTTCAACACATACCGAACTCAATCTCCCCGTCCTGAACGATCAGATCAGGGGCATTAGGCTTGTCGTTCACGTCCGTAGGCTCGCTGAGCAGCTTGAGCAGCTTCTCCGTGTCGACCAGAGCTTGGTTCACCGAGCGATAGATGGTGCCAAGCATGTTGAGAGGCGTATAGAGCTAGTCACTTTGCCATCAGCTCATACCCTCGTACAACTACCTTGGCAAACGTACCTGGGCCAGATATGTGATGAAGAACACGAACTGGTAAGGCTCTGACTGGCCTCTCACAACCCGGAGCGCAACAATCAAAGATCCAACGAGAAGACCCAACGTCTGTCATGATGTATGAATATCCAGGTGAATTGTATGCGAAGAACAACGACGAACGATGATGAAGTTTTGCACCAGGTTGAGAAGATTGAGAGAAACTGTGTACACGCTTTCGGTAAACGACTAGAACGAGACACAGGAGGACGAAAGACATACCAATGACTTTGTACTCCAGGACCTGGTACTCGTGGATGGCTTGGCGATAGCGTTCTCCTTCATGTTGCTCGCCACCGAAGTACTTCACCGTCTCATAATTGAGCAAGCAATCGGTATGAATACCACGCGTAGCCTGCAGAGCCGTGTCAACAAACAGCACAGACTAGAAAATTTGACACATACGATATCACGATCGTTCATCTGTCTTCTGAGCTTCGTCCGCCATCTGGTGAGAACGACGCTGGTAGAAACTGGACGGAATGGTGTCAGCAAGAGCTCCATCGACCACAACATTGAACTTGCATACCGTACGCAGCCATCACGAAGAAGATGACCACGGCCAAGGTCCACTCGAAATAAATGACAAACAAGACAAGAGCGATAGTGATATCGAAGAAAGTGGGAAGAATGTTGAACATAATAATCTGGGTCGAAAGTTGGAGTTGACGTGTTAAGACCCTGTAGAATGGTGATTCGTACCTCAAAAGTGCGGTTGATAGCAGCGCCGCGATCGAGGATGCGCAAAATCTCGCCAGTCTTGCGGCGCATGTGGAAAGCATAAGACAAGTTGAGTAAATGATCAAAAGAGAGTTGGGACATCTCTGTTTATTCAACGTGAGTGATTGTACGAACGTTTGAAGTCGCGATTACTTACCTCGGTCAGAATATTGCATTACAGGCGCCCACAGAGCCTGTAACGGGTGTATGAGATGTTGAGTCTACACGACAGAATTGCGATACGCACATCACGCAGAGCAGGTAATCCTCCGCTTCCCTGCAAGAAGCGTAAACCCACGTATGAGAAGAGATAGAACCACAACGATGTTGTGGAGCCCTCCTCAAACTTGTGCACAAGCTCCGCAAAGATGAGAGGTACGAGGATGTTCACGAGACGACCGAGCACGACCAGCAAGATACAGAGAACCTTGCAGCAATGTCAGGCTACGAGGGTCAGATCCGCGAGAACAAGAATCACGTACTCCAAGGAATTGGAGCGTGAAACTCTTGGACGGCCACAGGTAGGGCACGATGTGCTTGATACGAGCGTAGATTTCGCGCCAGGATGGATCAAGGGCCACTTCTTCCTTCGCCGCCTGGATATGTGCGGTGAGTCTCAGTCGACCAAAACGTAGGCTAGATACTTACATTGCCCTTCGGCGGGGGAATAGATGGTGCAGGGGTATGCGTGCGAGTGGTGGGACTTGACGCCTGCAGCATCGAACGCGTCGGGCGTCCATTCTCGAACGTGCCATACTTGCTCGTCTCAGCGGAAACCGCGGAGAGGTTTGTGGATGTGGGAACACCTTCCTGAGGTGGCAGGAGTAGACTAGACGCAGTGGGCACGGCTTCTTCGCCGTCGTGGACGGGAAGATAGGCAACGCGGGGACACAAGAGCGCGACCAGGAGAGGCGCGAGCAAAAGTACACGGAACGCGGGTAAAGCAAAGTGAAGTAATTGCTGAACTGAAAAGGGCTCTTTGAACTTTTATCAGCACGCGGCGCGCTCCCAACTAATACAATGAACCCACTTGCAACAGACAAGCCAAGTAATACAACTTGGACGATATCCAGCGCCAATGCTGCAGCAACGCCAGCCTTCAGTCTCTTCAAAGACCAGACATCCACCCCTTGGATATCTTTCCAGGCACCGATCGCCGCCAATCCAGCGAACGCTGTGAGGCCAAGGACAGCGTTAATCTCAATGCCGGTATGTTCGGGCCATGTCTTCTGCAGGACTGCATAGACCACAAAGGTCAGACCGTCCAGGAGGAAGGTAAGCGCGGTCAGAGAAAGAAGAAGGAGGATAAGAGCACGACGAGGAGCGCGAGTAGCGACGATGACGGACGTAATGGGAGAAGGGGTCTGCGGGGCGGGTGGTTTGGTGGATAGAACGGATAGAGTGGATAACAAGACGAGTGCTGGGGAAACAACCCGGAGGATGAAAAGCAACGGTAGTATTGACATTATCTCTATACCACCCATGTTGGTTGCCGTTGCCGTCGCTGGGCTCGACGTCGGGGCCGCTCGTGAAGGTTGGAAAGAGAGTTGCGGTTGAGTTGCGCGCGCCTCGTGTGTGGCGCGCCTCATTCTTATCTCAGCCGGATATGCCTTTCCTCAGAAGTTTCTATGTCATCAATCCTCGGAAAGCAATGATAGAGGCCTTTGACAGAAACAATCAATTTTCTCTGCGCGCGAGGCGAACAAATGTAGGTAATTCCAATCCCATTGGCCGACGCCGGACTCAGATCCCGAGGAGCCACAGGCGCCCGCAGACGCGCCACCAGAAAGTCTTCGGTGAAATTTATATTTGCTCACAGCTGTCATTTCCCTGCACACGACAGCTGTCGACCCTGCATAAATGGGCACCGGAGTACAACTACAACGTTCGCAATTACAAAGCAGGACAGCACAGAGCACGATAGCCCAAAGACCGAAAGATATCTAACAACGCCGGCACTGCGGATATACTACATCCCCGGGATTTTAAGCTTCGTCGCCGCGCGGGAATCTCTTCTCGATGATACCGTCGTTCATCTTGTAACCGTTGGAGGCGAACAGTTTCGAGCGGAGGAACGGCGTGGTGTCAAATATATCGTGCTCCTTCGCCTGCAGATATGAGAAAGTCAGCATCATGGAGCGTGTACAGTTGCAAGACATGTTGGACGCACGCGTTCGTCTAACTCGGAGATCTTGATGGTGATCAATTCTGGCTGCTGATACCGCTGTAGCTGGTACAAGCGAGCCTTCTCCTTTACAATATTGCCCAATAGGAAGGCCAGCAGCTCTTCATGATCGCGAGCTTGCGTGAGGTATTTGCGGAATCCCTGGTGCAATGCATGAGAGTGTGAGTGGACGGAGCTGATGCAACAACAGCGTCTGCATGACTCACCCGCTCAAGTGTCTTCTTGATCGACATTTTCTGGGCACTTACAAAGCTTCCTACAGTGACAGAGATGGCGAGGTCGATGTCGTCTGCCCGGACGTATTCCCTAAGAGCCATCTTCGCGCTCGCCTCTGCCATACGGATCATGCTCTCCAGATGGCGCACAGTGATTGGGAACGAACCAGTCGCCAAGGATTCGCGTCTTAAGTCAGCGAACAGACGCGACAGCTTCTCTTGGTCAAGGTCGTAGAGCTTCGGTCGGACTCTCTCTCGTGCATACATGATATATTTCCGCAGGACGTCTTGAGATATGATCTGTGCAAGCCGTCAGTTTACCGTCACATCATACGAGACTCTCACACGCACATCTGCATCGAGCGTGGTGCCTACGTTCATTTCCTCCTTGTCCGCTTCAAACTTCGGATGGCTTCTCAGATGGCTGCCGACGACGAATCTCGCCAGCAACTCGTCCTTGACTGGGTCCACAGTATCTTTCACGACGCAGAGAACATCGAACCGCGACAAGATGGGCTCCGTCAACTCTACGTTCTGCTGAAACGGAATGGTAGGGTTGTACCTGCCCCGAATCGGATTCGCAGCAGCGATGATAGCGCAACGCGCCTGCAGCGAAGTGACAATGCCCGCCTTGGAGATCGAGATCGACTGCTGCTCCATTGCCTCATGGATCGATGTCCGGTCGGCATCATTCATCTTGTCGAACTCGTCGATGAGACATGTCCCCTTGTCTGCCAACACCAAGGCCCCGCCTTCGAGGGTCCATTCGCGCGTGACTGGATCTTTGCGCACACTCGCGGTCAGGCCGACAGCAGACGCCCCTTGGCCCGTCGCAAATACCGACCTATGCGCGGTCTTCTCCACGTACTTCAAGAACTGCGACTTGGCTGTTCCAGGATCACCCAGCAGCAGGACATTGATGTCTCCGCGGATACGGTGCTTGCGGTTAATGTCCTTTGGCACACCACCGAAAAGCGACAATGCGAGGGCTATCTTGATGTCTTCATGACCATAAATCGACGGTGCTATGGACTTGACGATCCGCTTGCGAATACGATCGTCTCGCGCAAGGTTGCGAATCATCTTATCGTCTTCTTCAGTAAGTCGGAACGCGGCAAACTGGTCTTCCTTCTTGTTGACATGATTGGCCTCAATAACAGTGGAGAAAACGGGGAAGCCGTTCTTGGAGTTGAGTGAGGCATCGAAGTTGTTGCGATAGATGCCAGTGATTTCCTGTAAAATCATGAGTTAATCTGAGACAGGAGCAATCAGCAGACACGAACAATTTCCTCTCCGGGCTTGGCTGTGTCGATGAGATCCCAAAGTAGAACAACTTCACGGTGTCTAGGCAGGCGACCGGGAGGCACGGAACCGGGAGACTCCTGCAGGGTCATCTTCTGGTAGTTGCGATAAACAGTCTACAACACCAGTAAAATACGCTGAAGACATTAAAAAAAATAAGACAGACCTGCTCCGAGTTCACGCTGAATGGGCCCTTGCCTTCGCAATTCGGGCAGTAACTAATCTTGACTTCCTTGGTCGCATCCTGGTAGAATGGTCCAAGGACAGCGCCACACTTGCGGCAGTCGAACTTGACATATTTCAACTGAGGAAAGACGCCCGTGCGTCTGGTGACGACACCGGACACTCGCACAAGGTTGTTCAGATTCGAACGGCGCAAGTCACGCAGCGACGAGCTGAGCGGAAGGTCCGTGATCCGGACGTGGACCTCTGAGTGGATCCGCTCGTAGGAGGGATAGTACACCAGGATGGCATTAAGAGCTACCTCGTCAAAGATAGCAAGCATGGCCGTAGGTGAGTTGGTAAGGAAGTAGGCGAGAATTGGCTTCGAGAGAGCCAGATGAAGATAGGACACTTCTAATGACTCCGAGTTGTCTTAAGACAAAAACGTCAGCTGGTAGAAGGCGAAAAAGCTCGTGCCCTCACTTTCTCCAAGATTGCGAATACGTTGTCCGTAGACGGAAGCACCGTGCTCGTCCACATAGGTCATCAAGAATTGGCGGAAGTGCCTGACTATGGACCGGCGAACCCGCTCATTCGCAATCCACTCGGCGATCGACTTCGCTTTGATATCGCTCAACTGCTCCAGCGGTAGTTCCTGCACCAAGAGTTATAAATCAACGCGAGTTGAATGAACTTTTCCCCTCACATCTTCAATGCCTTCCATGTCATCAAGCTCCTTCCTCTCATCATACTGCCTTCTCGTACGCCTCTTCGTGCCTGCCAGGAGGCCAGCGTCGAAATCATCATCCATGTCGTCACTCTGCAGGAAGTCAGGCATGCGGCTCCTCCGCGCAGCCCTAGCTCCACGCCTACCGCCCTGCGCATCTCTGCGGTCCATTTTCGCCTCGGCTGCACGTCGAGCTCCAACCGACATCTCGTCGAAATTCTCATCGTTGATTCCGGCGTCCGAGTAAGTATCGAGCATTTGGTTTGGAGCATAGTCCCTGGAAAACACGTTCAGCAAGCGACGCAGATGAACACGCAGCTACTCACTCTTCCAGATCCTCTCCGAAAAGATCCTCGCCCTCTTGATCTTCATCATCGATCTCCCTGACTGCATCCCGTTCATCAAAACTATCATCAGTATCGGAGAAGGGTGGCGGTGGAGAGGAAGGCGGGAGAGACGACTCCGAGTCGCGACGACCATGAGTAGGATGCCCGGCTGGGGTGGGAGAAGAACCGGCGAGTGGAGTCCGTGAGCGACGACGTTTCGCGCCACGAGGTGTCTAGCATGGAAACGTCAGTGAAAATCAAGTAAATTGGAAGGCGCAAAGGCCTAAGATGACCACGAAAGAAGCCGCGTCGCCACGCCATGATGAGACCACGTTGGAAAAGGCGTCCACCACACTTAATGTCGTCTACAAAGCCTTATATACGTTCTGACAAGCAGAACATCATACTCACCGAGGCCATATTGATGATGAGTTAATTCAGCGGGGCTGAGGAGACGAGGAGGGGATACAAGCAAGTGCAAAGACACGCGAAATCACCACGATTGAGGCGGAGTTTGGAGTTGCCACAACCGCGTCAGGCACGTGCCTGACTGGTACGGGGTGGCCACCAAGTTCGTTCGGCCATCTTTCATCCTTGTTCCGACCATCTCCCTTCTCAATGCTTCCTGTCAACCACATCTCACAAACGTATTAACCTCTATTTTTTCACGTCTAGCAATGACTGCACACTCTGCAGAACGTCTCTCTCCATCTCGAGTTAAGCGCATCTTCAGACCACTTCGTGCCAAGTGCATATCTCTAGCCACATTCTCATCGCCGCTTTCACAACCGAGGCCAGCAGTCTCAACCACATATTTGAGCTCGTCTAGAAATTACGCTCGACGAACAAATGCCGAGAACGAGCCACCACCACTCGTGGTTCTCCAACCTCCGGAAAACCTTGGCTCTCGCATTCACTTCGACAGAGCGAGCGTTGAAAGCTTGCAACTCTCAAAGAAGATATACGAGGTGCGAGACGCGTTCAGAAATATTGTGCAACTTGCCTTCCGCCAGACATCCACCCGTGGTCCTTCGAATGTCACACCCATCCGGAGTTTAGCAGCAATTTGCGCATCAGTTATTGGGGAGCACATCGAAGACGAAATTGAAGCGCAACAAGACGAATATCCCAATGTAGATGTGTGCGACTACGTGGCGGGTGAGGTCATGGAGAAAGTTTATGACTGCGTGCCCGCACACCATCGCAGGTACGCTCTTTTTGAACTCGTACCTAAATAAAATGCACTTCACATTCGTGCTGTTCAGCTATGCGGTCGTCTCCCATGCGCTTTCTCTGATTCTTGAGACATGCCAACACCGTCCCACCCTTCTAACCGCTTTACTGGATGTCTGCCTCTTCTTCGATCTGTATCAAGAATGCGGGATTCTCCTGCAGGCACTGTTCACCGCTGCACTTCAGCCAACCAGCTCCTCAAGCCCCACCTGTCCTCTCTCACACTCGGCGCATAGCAACTACTTAACGGCGCTGCTCCCAAGCGTTGCACGCGTGATAGACTCTTCAACATTCACCCAAATCTTTGTGGACGTTCTCGTCCAACCTATAGCGGGAAGAATCGAAGCCTGGACATCGAAGGCAGTTACCCGGCTAGCCCGGGAACTGCGAGGCGATGATTTTGGTGCTTTCATAACCCTGTGTTCCGGACTGGCCCAAACTATCAATAATATTGAAGCTCTACGCTCGAAGAAGAGGGCAAGAATGAAAAGTAAACATGATGAAGTAGTATACGAGTATAGTCTGCGGGCTCGCCTCGCGAAGTGGATCAAATCCATCCTCGAGCGGTTCTATTTCCGGCTCCACGGCCTCGACACCCTAGAGACCTGGCCGGCAGAATTTGCGGAAGAATATCAAGCTCTGGCCCGCTTCCTATTAGTAGGGGCAGAATACGATCTGTACCTCCTTCGCGGCCTCCCGCTGGACGCAGACATATGCCTCGCAGATGCCCTCATTTGCGTAACGACTTATTGCCTAGCGTCACCCCTCCTGGCCGTCTTGACTACCGCAGAGGCGGACCGCTTACAGAGCATCTTGCGCACCACCAGCACCCGCACAGAAAGCTACGACATCCTCGTCGCCCTCATCCTCTCTCCTCCACCTGTCTGCCCCCTCACCTTCACTACAGGATCCACGGAGTCGCCTCCGCCACCCCTAAGCTCTGCGGCCCCGCAGTACGGATGCATGGAGTCTCTTCGTGAAATCGCCGAATCTCTCCGCTCCCGCACACTTCATCTACTCGAAGCGGCGCTGTGGTCCAACGCCTTGCGGCACGTCGAGAGCCACTGTGCTGCACCCCGTTCTTTGTCTGGTGTGGACGACCGGCTGTCCTTGGCGGATTTGGATTCGTTAAGGACAGAGCTGGTCGAGCAGGTCGAGAAGGCTGAGGCACTCCACTTCGGTGCGGGAGGTCAAGTGGGCGCCCACCATCGGAGACGGGCACATATTGTACCACAGCCTCTGGATGGGCAAGCGGGCCAGCCCGAGTGGGAGTGGGAAGATATGGTTGGCTGTTGGGTACGCTCGTCTCCGAAGGTTGCTGCTGCTTCGCAGGGCCCTCCAAAGAGGCGAAAGCTTCGCCATGATGCGGACGGCCAGAAAAGCCAGAGCGACCGCCGTATCACTCCGTCGCAGCCACGGACGCATTTGCGTCACTCCGAGGGTATGGCGAGGAGTTCCTCAAGCCCGCAAGCGGGACTGGGAACTGCCACTCGCAGGCGAAAATCTGCCTCTGCTTCAACTTCCAAGTCGACGTCTCGAACCACATCTCCTGTGCCGGTTCCGTCTGAACGGCGGGTGCTACCGCACTGGTCTCCCTCTGGACATGATGCAGGTGATAAAAACATCGATGACACCAAAGCAAGTATCTCCACCCGGAAGCGGAAGGCTGTCTCAGCTTCAAATTCCACATCAATGTCCCGGTCCACGTTCCCCTCTCCAGCTCAGTCTAAGGAGAGAGGGTTGCCGCTGCACTGGTCTCCACCTGGACACAGTGCAGGCGATGAAGACATCTCCGCTCCAAGTAGCCTCATTCATAAGCGAAAGGCTCTCCCAGCCCCAACTCCCAAGTCGCTGTTAAGATACCCGTCTCTCCGACGTACCATGTCTGATCGGGAGCCTCTGTGCCGCGCTACTGTAGCTGAACACAACACAGACGATGAGAATGTCGATCCCCTCATCTTGCTCTTGCCTACGCCCAAGCCCCGCATGCCGAGGTTGAGCAACTTCACGACAATACTCGCGGACGCTCAGCGGAATTGCATTGTCTTGCATCCACACCGTAAAATTGGTGCCGCAAAGCAAGATCATCACAAGGGGTGCTCGAAGTCATCACGTCCCAGCATCTTTGCGGCAGAGACGCCGATGCGCCCCGTGCCCCGCCGTGACTCTGTATATGACACCACATTTGGTGCTAATTATCTCTCGTCCGACGATGCTCTCAACCTCTTCGCATACCCCGACTCCTCCCCGCCAGCGGTCCACCATGCATGTTAACTTTGGTTGCCTCTGTGCCTCATACACCTTTGCTATTCGCTTCCTCGTTCCCGATTGCATTTGTGCACGATTGCTGTCCCCATGCTATCCCCACGGAGCGCAATCTAATCCCGGTGTATTTTGTTTTTGTACATGTCGGAAATATCGTATCACTAACAATATCATTGTCACATTTGTTTTCTCCAACCATTAAATCGGGCTTTTCCCCTAAAGCTCCCTCGTTCAGGCGTCAACAACAAACACATCAACAAGCATTCTGGCGAGATGATACAGACACAAATACTTTCTCTCGTCTCGCTCGTCTCTCAATCACCTGGCTCCTGGAGTAAGCAGAGATCGCACACAGAGAGTTTGGAAAGTAACGATTCGCCAACCGTGTCTTCATCAACCCGAGACGAGCACGTCAAAGCAATATATACACCTTGTCACCAAACGCGGGCGTCAATATCTGTACGTACCAGGCACGTTACGAAGCGGTTCCGAGGTCGACAGGATTCTGAGGACAGGACGTCAATTTCGATCTGCTCACGATCGCATCAAACCGATCCACAGGACCTTCCAGTCCTGGATGACAAGGCAGTACGCCAGGCGATGATTGGTGGGAGTCTGGAGATTGCGGCACAGAGAGCGTCAGGGATGGTGACCCGGCATGCTTGACCACCTGATACCACACTCGGAACATGACATACCCCATGGGGGCCCCGAGAAACATACAGTGAGCTTGGATTTTCTTCTAGGTCATACTGGCGCCTCCTAGACGCGTCTAAGACATGATGGAAGCCATTAGCCATGGTCTACGGCCTGGAGTTGCACCTTAGCGACCCGCACGGTAGCAAAAGAGAACACTTCCATTCCTTTCAACCTGCGGAGTGCCACAGTAAAGTGGAAATTCCCGGAGCCCCGTTTGCTGTGCATTGGAGTCGTACACACCGTTTGTAGTCCCAAGAAGATGACACGGCTCCCGTCAGTTCAACAGAAACTGTAAAATTTCACTACAGACGAGTCGAAGTAAGTAAAAGAGTGGGGTTCTAGAGCTTCTTGAAGGGTAGGTAATGTACCTAGCATCTGGATGGCGAGGGAGAGGTGCCAGATCGGCATTCGGTTGGGAGCCGCTTCCGTCAGCAGTTCCACATGATTTTCAAACATGGCACATTCGTATTTGCAAGGTTTCTGTGGTTAGAGGAGGGTGTAGCCTGGTGGTGAGCTGCTGACCCACATAAGGAAGTCTGCCATGACCGTCACAGCGCTGATCTGGGAGGATGCTGACACGATACTTCGACGAGCACCTCTCTCTCACCCATCGTCCTGCGCATCTTCCGGCAAGCCAGGAAGCCTGAAGAGCAGCCTCGTATTTGTATGTGAACCCGTTCGGTGTCCCGAGCACGGACAGGACCGGGTTGAGGCTCCGTTGGATTGCACTGGTGCGAGCGTCACGCGACGAGATTACTTCAGAAATTGCCTTATTTGGAAATACGCGTCCCAGGCGGCTCCTGCTTGGATGCAGCGCCTGGCTGCTATAAAGCCCTCTCCTCTCCTCCGTTTTTCGATCGCCCCTCTTTCCCTTCGTCGTCCTCCTCATTGCACTCTCCGACGCCTAGCTCCCTTTTATCTCTGTAATCAACCACATCTGAACGTAAGTGTCGCATTATTCCCTCATCTATGGCAGTTGTGGTATGTGTTAGCTCGTTCCGTGCTGACCCGTACTTGAACTGTCTATAACTTGTCGTTCACCTTTTCACCTTATGCACGCAGTTTACTGATTCTTCACCCTCCTTAGTCTGCTGCCACCATGGCCTACACGCACGGGACGCCCTATGTGACCCCTCACATCCTCCACAAGAACTATGCACAGGCATTCGATGCCGAGCCCAGTTCTTGTACGTATTTCTTGCATTTCTCATGTCCTTAATGCTTCTGATATGTTGTGCAGTAGTCGGCCGTGACCTGGAGTATTTCTCGCAGGCCGGTTTCGACATGGACAGGATCCAGATCAAGCGCAATGCCCCCGTCGCCCTCTTGTATGAGGATGCCATCCGGAATGAGGGGGCTATCGTCTCCTCATCAGGTGCCCTGATCAACTTCTCCGGTAAGAAGTCTGGCCGTAGCCCCAAGGACAAGCGTATCGTCTACGAGGAGACGTCGAAGGATGAGATCTGGTGGGGCTCTGTCAACATTATGATGGACGAACGTAAGTATAGTTGTCATCGGTGTAAATTGTTTACTCACCTATTGTTCAATACAGACACTTTCGAGATCAACCGCGAGCGTGCAATTGACTACTTGAACACGCGAGACAATGTCTACGTCTTCGATGGTTACGCTGGGGTAAGCAACTACTGTTAATATCTCCGGGCCTAATGTTCACATTTCTCACTGGTGTAGTGGGATCCCGAATACCGCATTAAGGTCCGGGTCATCTGCGCTCGCGCGTACCACGCGTTGTTCATGGTAAGTTCATTAGGTAAAGTCCACTCTAATTTATTACTGACGTCATTTTTGCGCGTGATCTAGAACAACATGCTCATCCGTCCGACAGAGGAGGAGCTGAAGGATTTCGGCGAACCCGACTTCATCATCTACAATGCTGGACAGTTTCCGGCGAACCGTTTCACGAAGGGCATGTCCTCGACGACATCCGTTGAGATCAACTTCAAGCGAATGGAGATGGTCATCCTCGGCACCGAGTATGCTGGAGAGATGAAGAAGGGTGTCTTCTCCGTGATGGTCGGTTTCTTACCTCGCCAGTATTCCCGTCGTTCTCACTTTGATTTTGTTATGCAGCACTATTTGCAACCCGTCAAGTTCGGCCAGCTTTCGCTGCACTCTTCCGCGAATGTCGGAATGGACAAGGGCGACGTCACTCTTTTCTTCGGTCTGTCTGGTACAGGAAAGACGACCCTTTCTGCCGACCCCCGTCGGCTGTTGATCGGCGACGACGAGCATGTGTGGTCGGACAAGGGTGTCTTCAACATCGAGGGGGGCTGTTATGCCAAGTGCATGAACCTGTCCGCGGAAAAGGAGCCGGAGATCTTCAACGCGATTCGCTTCGGCAGCATCCTCGAGAACGTTGTCTATAACCCCATCTCACGTGTTCCGGACTACGATGACATCAGCATCACCGAGAACACCCGCTGCGCGTACCCCATCGAGTACATCCCGAACGCGCAGATACCTTGCGTCGTCGATCGCCAGCCAAGCAACATCATCATGTTGACTTGCGATGCGTTTGGTGTGTTGCCCCCGGTGAGCAAGCTCACCCCGGAGCAGGCCAGCTACCACTTCCTCGCTGGATACACATCGTGAGTGTCACCCGTTCACTACGTGTATAATCAATCTAAACGTGAATCTCGCAGAAAAACCCCTGGAACTGAGGACGGTGTGTTGGAGCCGATCCCCACTTTCTCGACGTGCTACAGCGCGCCCTTCATTGTCCTTCACGTACGCATATCTTTATCTTCCACTTCTGTCTCCGATCTGAGCTCGCGCCCAACAGCCTGGTCGCTACGCCGAGATGCTCGCGGAGCGCATGGCCAAGTACAAGGTCGACTGCTGGCTCATCAACACCGGCTGGACTGGTGGTAAGTTCGGCTCGGGCAAGCGCTGCCCGCTTAAGTACACGCGCGCGATCGTCGATGCGGTGCACTCAGGCGAGCTCGCGAAGGCAGAGTACGAGACGTTTGGCACGTTCAACCTCCAGATCCCCACGGGCCTTGAAGGCGTCCCGCGCGAGCTGCTGAACCCCCGCCATGCGTGGGCAGACAAGGAGGCGTTCGAACGCGAGGTGCGCAAGCTCGCAGGCATGTTCCGGAAGGCATTCGCTCTGTACGAATCGGACGTCGACGAGAAGGTGCGCTTGGCGGGCCCGGAGGTCTGAGGAGCGAGCGCGTTGGGCTTGCGATGCGGAGGAATCGACAGCATAGCGTTCGTTTGTCTCAAGGGGGGTTACTCATTTTTAATTCGTTCATCCTAACATGTGTATGAACACCCGAGTGTATTGTCACTGCAGTGTCAACTGTATCCAATCGAATCGCACAATCATAGATTTCGTCAGCTCGAGAGCGGCCGTTGAGTGTTGGGAGGTTCGCCCACGCCCGTCGGCAATTGCTTACATATCCAATGTTTCGACTACTCTAATCCTTGAGACCATCCTCCAGACTGCCATGACCACCCAGCGTAAGGTCAGACTCATATGTGTTGTGCCGTCGAATCTCGATAAGGCACCCCGATCTGATTTCATTTATATTCGGCTTCCATATCATCATGGAAACCGAAGCCAAAAATGAAGGCAGGTCGTCAAACGTCGTATTTGCAAGCCTGATTTCACTACGAGAATTTCATGAAAGCGAGGTGGTTTTGAAAGGGTCGGTTCCACCATGTCTGATTGTATATTACTCCGGTCGGTGTCTTTCTTCGACTCATTGGATGAACTACTTGATGCGTGGATAAGCATCGCGGGCGCAGCATACACCGGCGTCGTCCGTCAGGACGTTCTGACTACAGTATTCATTACCCAATATCATTGCCTGACGATCGACTGATATATCTTTCAAGTACACAGTGGCCACCCGGCACGAGTGAAATATCAACGGGGAAACAAGTGCTGGAGATCCGCTTATCATCGAGTTCACGCGCAGATACTCGCAGGAAGCACACACATTGTGAGGGCTTCTCGCCACCTTTGCGCCGCTGTCAACGTATTCCTGGTCTTTGATTCATTGCCGTCATGGATGTTGAACACCGCTGAATGTGCTTCCCGGGATGACGTGGAAAGCAGACTCAGATATGTGGTGTAGGAAATGTCGGTCCTTGCACAGAACCGGTTTTGTGCACGGTGACATCCGCAATAACTACACTCTGGTTGTAGTCAAGGCAAGAAACATCGATGTCAAGCTGATTGGGCAGGACAAGTTGGAGAGATCCGGTACCCTCCCAATGTGAATCGCGTGACAGTGCCATGGGCCGACCTGAAGGGGCTGTTGACGGGAAACTCATCGAGAAGGGACATGACCTGGCTAGCTTCGTATTTACCAAGTTTAACCGCAAACAAACTCGTGCTTGCCTCATTTGCTTCGACGGTGCGGGAATTCAATAGGATGTTCAAGTGACGAGAAAATTTGTTTACTGATGAGGATGATGGCCGACCACAATCCCAGCCAGATTCTACGCTATATTCCCATATAACGGACTTGTGGAATCGCGGAGGCTGCACCGCCAGTCCTCAATTGGCTCACATGTATCCCCTGGATTTGCACTCTATGGACCCTTCTTCACCTTGTATTACAGCTGTGTGTACCTGGATTGTACGCATAAGGATAAGTCAATAACATCAACTGCTTAGCCTCAGGCGGACGTCAATCTGTACCCAGGAATTATCGCGAGCGACGGTGGTGAATCTCAAATGATTTCGCCGAGTAGTGCCCTCCGTGCGATTCCGTCGGTCACATCCGTCTCTGCCTCCTACTGGGAAAATCTCCTATATAAGGTGGGTACTTTATACGAGCACTACATAGAACACTGGCGAAGGTGTTGGTCAGGTCATCGGTTAACAGTCCGGACACCAGCGCTCACTATCAAGCCAGGGTACAGGCGATTGTGAGCTGCGCCTTCAGGCGAGCCACAGCGCTAAAGCCTTCATGGTATCATTGCGTTGCTCGAAGGGTAACACAAGAACATCGTGGCAGGCATCGGGCTCCTCGACGTACACCACCCGATCTTCCCCCAAATCCGCCGCCATCTTCTTCGCCAGCGTCCTACATTGGTCCACGAACCGCTCCATCCCACCCGCCGAAATGAATGTGGGGGGAAACCCTTTGAACGACGGGCCGTCCATGGCCGAATGAGTGGATGCCGGCGAGAGGTACGGGTTCACGCTCGCACCCTCCATCCCAAGCAGGCCTGCGTACACCTTGCGAACCTCAAACAGGAGGCCTCTTCGCACATCGGGAAGGAAGTCGTACGTGTTCGTCACCAAGGAGGACGCTGGGCTCTCGTGCGAGGTGCCCAGGTCGCACCATGGCGACAAGAGTACTAGTGGATAGGAAGGCGGTAAGGGTCCCAGGGTCTTCACGGTCGCGGATAGCTCCGCGATGTGGTCGACGAGATATCGCGCGAAAGCAAGGGCGAGGTTCCCCCCCGCTGAGTCCCCGACAACGATGATATTCTCGGGTTCAAACCCGACAACATCCACTAGGTAGACATATCCAGCGACGACATCCATAAGGCCAGCTGGAAAGGAATTAGGGATAGCATTTGAATCTGGCCCTGGGTCGCTGATACGATATTCGATGGTGAAGGCACGTTTGGCGAATGGACATTGCTGCATGATCAGACGGGGAATGACTGACAATATGCACTCCGGGTGTGCGGATAGGCACATGAAAGCACCGCCATGGATGAAGTAGATGACCTTTTCCCCAGCCGCAGGTGCCTCTCTGATTGGAGTGTTATAATTCACTTTATCTGTCCAGTAGCCGGGGATGCGCACTGGCTCTACACCAGCAGCAGTCGCCCATTCTCTCACATTTCCAGTAATAAGATGGGGAACAGCGTCCACCCAGACGCCCTTGATTCCTGGACCTTCTTCCACTGCACGTCAGGATGGCCAAGATTGAAGCTGTCCTACTCTGCAACGAAGGTCAGCATTTGGTGATGTCAGGCACTTTTGGGTGCGGGCGTACTTCTCTTGGATTTCACCGAATACGTAGGGAACGAGACGCATTACGAGGGTTTTCTTCAACGACCAGGACCGCCGTGGGCGCCAGGAAGGAAGAGTATAGCGCAAGCACCAGAGAGGGATTAGTGCAAGTACTTTAGCGGCCCCATAGATTAGGTAGATGGCTTTGAAAGGTTGATGTCGCCACGCATACACCATGGCGGGGGATGCTAAGAGACAAGTCGTCCGCCAGTACGCCCTATCCCATTTATAAGTTAACTCACCTTCTCTTTGCGATCTATCTTTCTCTCGGTCTCATTCGCGCGTAGAGTCGCGATGAGTAAATCGCTTCATACCGCCGCTGACAGCCTGTCAGGGAGCTCCCAGTTAGCGCCCATTAATACGCTTGAGACGCCTCCTCGGGCCGACAAATCTCCTCCAGTTCGTGGAGTCGGAGATGTGCACATCTTGCTGCCTTGCTTTGCCGCTGCTTACCGTATGTTCATTCGATTTTCCAACGCTTCTCGTCGGCGTCGAGGACATGTCCAGGGACGATCGGCGGTGTGATGCATGGTGAAGGTCGTGGTCGTCACCGGCCGCTCTGTGCGTGCTCGGAGTTCACAAAGTTAAAGGCTTCTACCAAAAAAATCAACTGGTCGGACGAGCTGTGCGGCACGCGAGAGTCAGTGCGCCCGGCGGGCGGTATGGCAAGACAATACTTAGTATCCGTATCTATGTAGAGGAACCTCTGGGTTTCTAAAGTCCAAAATGAGTAAGTAGTAATAGAAACCAGTATTACACCACTACAACACATCTATGGATACGACAATCCCATTTATCAGCACAGACACCAACCCGCGAGCCTACACATCGAGCTCACATCCCGTCCCCGCGTCCGACTTCCCATCGCTGCGCCGTACGATCTCTGCAAGCCGCAGCGCATCACCCGTAACCGCACGAGCAGTTGCTATCCGGCGCTCATCCTCCGCGCGCCGCTGCTGTTTGCCCTCGAGCACCAATGCGACGACGATGGCGCATGCGAGGACGCCCTGGAATATGAGCGCGCGCGACATGTTGTACGGCAGGTGCGCATCTGGCCCGGCGCGTAGTGCGCCCTCGACTGCAACTCATATCAGCGCGAAAGATCTCAAAGTGAGGAGAGCGGTGCACGCACCGACGACAAAGATCACAGCAAACAGGTTAGCCCTTCGAGAAGGGGTCAGACGTGAACACGCGGCGATACGCGAAAGAGGGCGCGTACGATCCCCAGAGCACGGCGGAACTCCCATCTGCGTTGCGCGTAAGCTCTACCGCGAGCTCGAGCGCGACCGGGAGCAGGGTCAGGCTCGACGCGCCGATGATGGCCATGATGGCGAAGAGCGCGCCAGTGTTGTTCGCGCGCACTGCGATGACGCGTCAGCTACCGCTCCACACAACGAAACCCATGTATGTGCGGGGAAGAGAAGGGACACACACGTACCTGCCCAGATCAGACTCAGCCAGCTTGCCCCGAGTATGGGGCACACACACTTGCAGCTGAGCGCAAGGTGGTGCGACAGAACGCGGTCGAAGAGCGGGGCGGTGATCACCGCCGCGACGACACCGACGAGGAGGATAGTTGCGCCCATCAGGCCGGAGATCAAGTCGCCGTAGCCGTACGGCTCCTGCGGGGGCGTCAACGTCATGCAAACATGGTATCGGGAGTGGGCTCACAAGGTCTTGCGCTGTGAGGATGGAGAAGGACGTGGTGCTGCACAAGACGTCAGTGCGAAAGAGGGAAAATTGGGAGTGCACGCTCACATTCCGACCAACACCCCAAAAACAAGCGCCATCACGACAAAGTCGATGCGTTGTCGGAAAGTCATGTACGTCGGCGCATCGTATGGTGTCTTCCCTATCAGGGCAATGACGAGCGACCTGAAAGATGGGTTCTGTTCGGCAGCGGAAGGTGCTGCACGGGAAGAGGTGACCGCACAGTCAAAAGATAGGTACGTGGACATGATGAACTAACACATACTTGGAGGGGTGGGGGGTGCATCCTCGATGAAGAATACAAGCGGCGTCGCGGCGCTGAATACAATGCCCAGAATGAGGAGCTACGCAAAATCAATCACTGTTCAGCTAACAAGATCCCAAAACAAGAGCGATGAGCACTAACCGACTGACCAGGGGTCCCGCACAAGGGCGATATCAATTGAGACAAACCGGTCCCAAATGGATTGGCTAGGTAAGTCAGAATATTTGCATGAATGGAAGCGAAATACCACGGACCTATCGACATAAGCATGGTCGCAGTGGTGCGACCTCTGAGGTCAAACCACTTTTCCGAATACCTCGGGATCAGCACCTGGAATATCGGTTGGGCGAACCCGGCAAGTATCTATGTCACAGACGCTTCAGATTAAGACACGCCCATGGCGCAAGGAGACATCTCACTTGTCCCAGGAGCATCAGAACGAAGGCACCATTCATCGACAGCGGCTTCGCTGTTGCGGCGTAGCGTATCCAACCAGAAACGACGAAACATATCGCGCCCACATAGCACTGCACATCGGGATCAGATAAAATCACGGAGGACAGAATACACAAAATTCTCGCGCGTACCGATTTTTTGAGGCCGATACATGAATATAGTGCGGGTATTACGCACGCGCAGGGTACGTAGATGACGTTCACGACATTTCCCAGCCAATTTACCTGGTCGAGGGTGATGCCAAATTGCTCGACCACTGAGTTTGCGGGTATGATATATGAGTTTAAATCCTGCGCAATTGACAAGTCACGAACGTACCATCGTCCGCGATGGGGCCGAACCATACGAGAGGCATCCCCGCAACCACGTTCAGTATCATCTGTCTATTGCCTCAACTTCGCCTAATATCCACAGCGGTGAGGGAAACGCACGATCGCGACGAGCCCGACCCATCTTCGCCTGTACAACCGATATTCGACCTGCTCCACCTCCTGGATCCGCATCGCTAAGTCAGGAAAATCAGCATTCCAGCGATATCAACCATACGTTGCTAGCGGGAAGGCAACTGATGTCACTGCACAAGTCTCTAAACACACACCTATATCTGAGGCATCAAGCTTGGACAGAACCAACTTGAAGGGCCTGACGAACGACACTCCCATCTCACTACCCGGTAGGGCCTATCGGTCTCTGGAGACAGTGAAAGGAAGGGAACGGAAGAGCACGACTGAAGATGCGAGAGATGGTCACTGCATACGAATTAACACCATACAGCTTAAAGCAAAGTATAATAAGGAGATGTTACACCGTCTCGAAATGGCTCCTCGTCCGTAAGAGCGGTGCACGGCGGCAGCGTGGTGATCGCGGCTGCGGTGCAGGATGGGAATCAGCCATTCTGTCAGTTACAGCTAAATTCAGAACGTTAGACGTTTCTCGATGAAACTCACCTCCCGATTCTTGTTTGTGGCGCAACGTTTTAGTGCAGGAGAAATAAATAGATGCTCGAGCGCTCGCTGGAGATCCGGCAGCAATCCAGCGACACCGGCTACTTACATTCTCTCAGAGCCTCAGGTCAAGTCAGTACAGACAGCTTGCCATATTCGGCCTAAGGACTGTTTGTTCGCACTAAAACACGAACAGAAATCGGGAGGTGAGTTTCAACGAGAAACGTCTAACGTTCTGAATTTGGCTGTAAATAAGCTTTGCTATATAGCTTGGCAGGTGCAGGACCGTGAGCACGCTGTCATGGGTCGAAAGAGCATAGAGGCGGGCATTCCGAAACGCGTTGGCGGTTTCTAGTGCAAGTCTGAACGAGGGCTGGACTTCTTGGACTGCAACAGCTGGATATCCGAACCGAGTGTGCATGCGGAACCACCTAGCACCAGATGACGCTGCTGATGGTGGTGGGTCGTTGGTGTCTCAGCTAGTCTGCTATGAGTTGCAGGGGTCGAACCGTAGCACACCAATGTAGATCAACCTTTCGGTTAGTAACCGAAAGGTTGATCTACGAAACACGTTCCCACAGATCTGGTACCGTGACTCACACTGAGACGCGTCGACGCGACCAGCGTAGCCTACCTGTTAATTTCATCTAAAAAAACTTTCCGGTGCCCTGCTGACGCTCTTGGTTTCCGCGTGAGTGCTGAACATTGTGCTCCTTCACTCTCATTTAAATTTAATTATATCGCGGGTCGCGCGCTATGCAAGGAGATAAGTACTCGGTACGGGCAGGTCACGTCGCGCCACACCGCTATCAGTGATATACTGATACGGCTGTATCTGACTGCAAGGCGGAGGCACAGGTGACAATCGGGCGCAAGTGCTTTACTCTTCTCGGATTCGGAATGCTGGCAATGTGTGCAGGTCACGGGTTTCCCGCGCAAGGAGGCTTGTTCGTAAAGTTTACAGAGCAGCAGAGATACAAACACGTCACAATACGTATCGGACCAAAATGCAGGCTCATTCAGACTGCTCACTTGGGTCCACCTGAAGGACGACGCTCTCTGGAAACTGAATCTTCATCTGTGCAAGATGGAGTCCCATACTGTACGGGACAACATCCGGGAAACCGACTCCGTCCGCGATTCGAGTGCTGGTCTTCTGTGTGTTAGAGTCAACGACAGCCAGTCCGCCCTTCCACCTGATCGGCTTCACGCGGCCTCCATAGTCGGACACGTCAACAGAGACCCAGTGGTCCGTGCCGATGCACCCGTCCTGACCAGCTGAGGGCGACGCTTCCAGCGGGGGCTGTACAAGAATGAAGGGCATGGGCAAGTGCTTCAAATTCAAAGGAATTGCGGGTACGGGAATGACGCTCGGTCGGATGTTGACTGCGAAGAATGGCGTATCGCTGAAGATTGGGGACCCGGGAGTTTCTAGCGACGTGGGAGCAAAGACTTTGACTTCCAACACCCCATCCGAGTTGGGGGTGAAGGAAAACTTCGCTATCGTCTTGGGGATATTCCAATTCCGCCGACCTGTAGTAGTTCTAGGATTAGAGCATTGTATATCAGGTTCGTGTCCTGGCTCCTCACCATTAACCACAGAGTTCATGGTCGATACATAGATTCGAGTGATGCGAGACGATTTTGCGGGCTTCACGCCAGGTGGGGACTTGAACGACCCAGGCAAGACGATGAGTTCGTCATATGGACCTCCCCAGGAGAGATTTACTTTTCCGCGCACTGGGATATCGACAATTCTCACCTGCAGGGCTGTCCGTATAACGAACGAGCTGAATCATCCCATGACTCCCTAGGTAGGCACCCTCCTCGGTGGCAAGAGCGCGCGAGCGCTCGTGCAGCGGGTCAAAGTAGCCCGGCGCAGACATTTCCCCCTTCTTGGGCCAGTGGAACAAAGCAGTGAAGAACCACCATGCCTGCCATCGAGTCAGATCCTACCTACTCTTATTCTTCGTGACCTGTTGAATTTACTCACCTCGCCTTCCAGCAACCACGGTGCAGGAACATCAGATACTTGCAAGACGTTGTTATCCATGTAACGGAGACAGAGAATATTGTTAACTTAAGGTGACTATCACCTAAGTACCAAAATATGGGGAACGACTGACTAATAACGTAAGGTGCACCTACTCAGGGGACTGGCGTTGAAACCAGATACGCACACGCCCTGTTCAATGATGTCCCCTAGTCTCCCTACTTTGATCGCCTCAGCAGGTGCCTTATTTTAGACCCGCGTCTCGGTTAGATCAGAGTTTGCGGTTGCTCGCGCTCTGCTCTGTGGTCACGGTTTTCACTCTTTATGCTTGACTTTTATATGGTTTGAAAGCAATCATGCGCCCTGCACAACACTGCAACCTTTCCTGTGAAGGATGCGCGATCTTGCATACAAAGTGTTGAGATATTTTTAGCACACATTTTACATAATGCCGGAGATCGCCCCGAGACGTGCCAAGGCGAGAGCAGAACTCAACTCAACTCGTAGCCGAGTTGAGTTGAGTTCCCAAGTTATTTAAACTCGTAACCGATCACGCTTGGGCGGTTACGTCGCTAAGTACTTACTCTGTGCCAGAATCTAGCAGAGGTTGCAAATACTACTACTACCTGAAGTCGCTGAATATTGGTGAGCCGCTTGGCGCAGTTACTGAATCATGACATCTGCGCAAAATGATCTGTGATCAGAGCTTGAGCAAACTCGTCACACAAGTTGACAGCGGTGCTTGATAATTTGAAGATGGACGTGTGGCACGAAGAAGGCTGGAGAAGAGCTTGCTCCGAATCTAAGGATGCGCTCGGCACGGCCATGCTAGGCTTGAATTCCGTACAAACGTACACTCATACTCTAGAAAATTGCGTCCTAGTAGATTCTGAAGCACAATTTAGCTCCATCAATCGATAACAATCGTGAAGCGAGGCTCATACTACTCACATAAAGATAATAGCTTAAGTAAAAGCAGCCACCGCACCGGCGAGACGTAGCTGCTGCAAGACTCGCTCGTACAGTGCCCTTCCAACCACTCCGACCGCAGATGCACTACAAATGACCCCTATATCAATGGGCGCAACTTGGCCAACAACACCTTTAGCCACTGCTTCCTGAACCGCTTCGTTCACCACGGATTGAAAGTTGGGTATGGCACGCAGGAGGAGGTTGCTGTCGCGTCCCACGGCACTGCCTGCCAAAGAGACGTTCGGAGGCATTTCACCAGACGCTCCGAGGTGACCTCTCTGTGCAAGGTACAGAGAATGCGAACTATCAAGGATAACAACTCTTGCTCCCGTCATTAATCGAAAATCTAGAGCATGTCTATCCAAACCAAATGAGCGCGCACCAGTAGATAGTACGGAGCCGTCCTACCTGAGGTCCCCGTACAGCACTCTGAACCACCCGGCGGCTTTGGGGAAAATATCCACATTTTCCCCTCTTCTCATCGCATTGAGTCGAATGTCCTCCAGCTCCCTAACCATCGGTAGAGTGTCGCGCAGCAGCGACACCAACGTATGCAGAGAGGACGCGAGGCGTCCTCTCCGCAGGAGATTACGCAAGTAAGGCTCTAAGTCGTCGTGGGGATTCCGAGGTGGTGCATCATGTGGCCCAACAAGCGTGTCATCGTCGACAACACGGGAAAACCGCAGGTCATAGGAGCCACCAGTCGGAGAGAGCTGGTCAGTGCAGGTGATACACACAGTGTAGTCCGCTGCGTACGCGAACTCGACGGTCTGCAGATCGAAGGACAATAACCGGACATCTGTCCAATTATTCTCTCGTGAGATCTGGGCGACTGTAATTTGGATCTGAATAAAGAAACTCCGATTCAGGGAACGAAATGACATACCTTCGCGAGCGATGACCACTATCTTCGATACCCGCGCCCATTCTTCTAGGAATTCATCTACACACTTATCCACGTCTTCGGACAGGAATGACACAATCGCTTCTCTTGTGTCGTAGATGATACTCTTTGATGGCCGTATAACACTGCTACTGCCAGCTCTCTTACCCACCGGTTGCTGCACATATTTCAGCTTCACGCATGTTATGACCTGTTGGACTAGCATGTCAATATCTCGTAGAATGGAACATGATATCACCCACCTGAGCACGCTGCTCTGACCACCAGTTCAGTGGCATGACGCGAATATTGGGCATAGCCGCTTCTGCCGCTGGAGCTCCAGACAGGATATCGGACGACTGCACGCAAAGCGCCGGTATTGAACGCGCCAATAACGATTGTACATGGGCCAATTCGGGAGACGCAGCCCCTGCGGGATTGGCATGCGTGTAATGAATACCGCGAAGTTTGAACTGCTGTTCAATCCTCGTGTAGGCGACGCGTGCACTGTGCGACAATGAGTCTAAGGACTGCAGACCCGCAGTCAATAGGACTCACCAACAATACGCATATAACTCCCGCAGTACTTGGGTTTCAAGACGAAATCTATCAACACATCAGTACAGAGGCCATTGTGCTCTTTATAAAACTCGCCGTTGTGGATGGTGTTCCCGTGGATTTGCAAAGCCACCATCATTTATGAAACGTTTGCGCTTCTGCCCTACCCGTACCTCCTGTTCATCACCACGTCCATGCGACGTGATGACTACGTCCTCGCCATGTATACGGTGGACATCAAGCCAGCCGATGTCTTCCATGATAGTATTGGCATACATTGTATCCGAAAGCGTCTTCACAGAAATGAGAGCATAACGGAAGTCGTCATCTGTGATCACTAGCACAAGATAGTGATTTGGAAAGCTTGAAAGTTGTATATATAATATTCCATGGGCGACAACCCCAAGTTTCTGGAGTTCTACAGATGGCGAGTGAGCGGGCGATGTCACATGTTTGGGAGCCTGAGTCACATACCTTGCGGAGAGAGATTACGAGCTTTGTAACATCGGAGGCCCAAGTAACCTGCTTTTTGTTCAGCAAGTTCGATGATCGTCTATGGAAGATGTGAGATCCACACAACGCACAACATGGCCAGATAACCATACGTTGTCTCTCAGCTTAACCATAGCACCCACGAAGATCGTTGGAGTTTCGTTCAGTTGCTGAGAGATGAGGGCAAACCGGGGTCCACGACCAGCGGCTGCAAGATCACCGGTGTCGTGAAGACTCAAGCGACCAGTCCTCGTATCAATAGTGACAATGACTACTTCATCTGCACAAAAATGTGTCCGGAGAACGTGAACGCCATCTGGCGCAGAACACATTATTACCTTGCTTACTAAAGGTGTCTGTCAACGTAGACTCACCTTCCATGTCCAGAGTCACTGCCCCGGGGGAAGAGAACACTTTGCGTGTAATCGGACCATGTTGCAGCTGATTCCGGAAAGCCTTCAAGATTGCCTCGGTATGTTTCAGGACTACAGTTCGCAGCAATAACCCGACATCCAAATCATCAGGATTCTACTAATATCGTCAGCTCTATGCAGTTAGTCACACGCAACACTCACGACTGCTAAGGAGCTTGTAGGCAGTTGAACATCTTCTCTAGGAACTAGGACACCCAGTACACCTTGCTCTGGCTCCCATTTCACTTCGAACCTGAAAGGCTCCACTTCGTCGGAAGGCCGCCCAATATCAAGCTTGGCTTTTTGTTGCAGTTCGGCTAATACGCGCTCTTTCGGTGTACGATACGATTTACGTCCCGGTGAAGATTGTGCGTGCACGATGGATATCGTGATAGTGCCACCTAAGGGAGGTAATTTAACCCTTGCTGTAGGAGAAGGTTTTCGACTGCGTCGTGTCAGCTGTTAGATCATGAGTTATATCGAGGAATGGAAACTAACATCCAGTATGCAATGGTGAGTGTCTGTCGATTGTTAGACATCCCGACAGTCAGGTAATCAGCCCAGCCAAGTGAGCGTAGATGTTCGGCCTTCAGGGTCATTACTGTGAGGGTGACGAAGCAGGCCCGCAGGAAGTGCGCTTACTTGGTACCATAAGATTTCCAACTGATATGACAAAGACATCATCTCTGCGACATGTCAGAGATCGAACGAATGGCAGCAAAACAGAGATCCTACGAAGGAAGTTGAAGACACGCACAAGCGGCGCGTCTATAACGCCAGGAGGCAGTTCCGGTCTTGGAGGAACGTCTGGCGGAGGGGAAGGTTGGTCGGATGGAAGTGGGAGGTAGAATGCAAGACGAGCATCCGCTTCATCAGTTATATGCCTCTTCAGCATCCCAGTAGGCTTCCGCGGGAAATCTGCGCATATGAGAATCGGACGATAATATCAATGAGCTAATGATAATACCTCGCATGCCAGTGCGGTCTCCTCCAACGGTGAAGAGAAATTCGACATTGACGAAAAACCACCCATCGCCCTTCTGCGCACCTCGTACGCAAAGCGACGCCTCGAATAGCTTGGGTGCAACGAAATGAACGCGGCCATCGGCTGTAAACAGCATTCTCAGTCAAAGACCACCATAATCCGGAGTATAGTTACCAATACGATAACTCGCAAACTCAGTCGGAATAATCTCCACCATTCTCAAGCGGAACCGGATGGCATCTTCCACTTCAGAGAGTGTTTTCGCCACCTCTTCGTCTGTCAGAGGTGTTGGGGGCACTACGAGTTTCTGACAGCAAGCAAAATTAGCACCGAAACAAACGAAAGCTGGGTGCAAAGACCTTGATGGCCGAAGGAAGTCTTCGATATGAACCAGTAGTAAGAACGTCGAGGGACGTTAATAAATCATGGTTGCGCATCCTGGGAAGGGACTATCGTAGTGACCGAAGCAGCAACAGGTGTCCACCCCATACATACCTGGCAGGGTCAAGGCTTTCCTTCGCGTACTTCAAACCTCCGATAGCATCCTCGAATTGCTGATTCTGATCCATTAAGAATGCTGTTACATTCTAGGAACACAAATTATCAGTACCAACAATCATCCCTCGGTGCTCTCAAACAAATGCACCATGGCTTTCTGCACGACATCCGCATCTCGTGCCCATTTCACCACCGCGTACAACTTCACAACTTGCTTCTTTGTCTGGACTACCCAGTCTGCCAGGGTCCGTTTCCGCGCGCTATCTGACATATTGGGTAACCTGAAGCAAGGGTAGGTGAATATGTCTGGCGCGCCCGGGTGACTCCTCACGTTTCCGCAAGCTCGGATAGCTCAGCATAGATCGCTTGGACAGCTCGAGAAACCACTTCCCCAAGAGGGACCTGTCCGTCATACACCATCGGTAACTCGCGCTCCAGCTCGTCTTGTGTCGGCTCATGGAAACCATTTTCACGACAGTTCTGCTGCGTTCCGTTCAGCTGAGCTCCGTTTACTTGAGAGATCGCTCCGTTGCGGCCGTTCATAGTTATCACAGCTTAGACAGAAGATGAACGCCTGATTGGTCTGACCATGAAGATGTGCGGAACGAATACGAAAGTCTGAGGTCTGTGAGGTCAGAGAACAAGAGCTTCAGCCACCTGGTCACGCCGCCACAGCGGGAAAGGCGATCAGTTAACTCCAGATTTGGGTTATTGAGATCATTAAGGAACTTTAAATTAGCTACGTAGGAATTGGGATTCACTGCCCTCCAGACTCCACACCCGCGGGACAGACAGTTTAAATACCGCAGTCATTGCTATTACTGGTCCTTACCACTTCTCAGCCATGGACTACCTGCGAACGCTGGGTTCTGCCGCTGTGTCATCTCTGGTTCAGAAATCTGGCCTTAATTTACCGTTCTCGCTGGGTGCGAAGGTCCTTTCTTTTGACAACAAGTCTATCTGGACCTTGTACGAAGGCACAAGAAGGGTGCGCACAGTGATCTCCAGAATCTCTGTTGACTTATCATGCGTTGCAGGATGATGGCACACCTGTGTCTGTCTTCGAGTTTGACGCGAGTTCATCTTCGAAGCGTAACTTACTGCCATTGGCCAAGAACGCGCTGAGGAAATTACGCACAGTCCGCCATCCGGATGTTCTCAAGTTTATGGATGCCGTGGAAACTGATAATACTGTCTACATCATGACCGAACGCGTGCGACCACTAAGTTCTGCCATTCAAGAATGGACTTCGAAAGGAGCGCGAGAAAGAGAAGACTGGATAGTCTGGGGCCTCCATACCGTCTCGGTTTGTCCTTTCCATGTCATCTGTGCTGTAGGCCTTCATGTAACTCATGCCCAGGTAGCGCTTGCATTTGTGAATGACTCTTGTGCATCCACACACGGCAATCTTCGTGAGGACTCTATCTTCATATCCGCTTCGGGCGAATGGAAACTTGGGGGATTCGAAGTGCTGAGCAGTCCAAAGGATGATGCAGCTGTGCTATATGTACGTAGCACCAGATCATGTTTCGTATACCCGAAAATAAATTGGTTTACGACAGACGATGGGCAGTCTTGTGCCCGATGCATTGCTGTACTCCTCCCCAGAAGTGAAGAAGAATGGTTGGTCCGCTTTGAAAGAGTGACTCGCACATTTCTGCTGGTCCGCGTCTCGCTGACATCCACGTCAGATTGAACCCTGCTGCGGCAGACGCGTACGCACTAGGTCTTCTGATACACTTCGTCTTCAACCCCGACCAACCCCTCCCTGCCACAGCTCACGTTCCTCATCCGCCTCCTACTGTGGCATCTCGAGGAAATATACCAACTGATTTGTTCCCTTCATATAAGAAGCTCCTCATTCCGAACGCGAAAGGACGCCTTACCCCCAAGAATTTCCTTGAGCTCGGTAACGCAGGATCTGCAGGGGAAGGATCGGGCTTCTTTGTGAACAACCGGTTGATCAAAGTTTGTGCTGGACTGGACAACTTCAGTGTTGGAAGCGAAGCCGAAAAGGCCACGCTGCTACGGTAAGTGTCTATCTCATTAAGGATTTGCTATATATATTGAGGTCTCCAAGACTACTGAAGGAATCAGCCTCTTCGTTCCCCTCTGAGCTTGTTTCGTACCGTGTTCTCCCTTCTCTAGTGTCTGCGCTGCAATTCGGAGGAGCTTCTGCCCCAGCGATACTTCCTCTAGTGCTGCAACTAGGACAAAGTGTTGCTCCTGAAGATTATTCTTCCGTCATTCTTGTCCAACTCATTAAGCTGTTTGCAAGTCCCGATCGAGGAACACGTATGGCGCTGCTTGACCACCTGCCTGAATACGCCGACAAGCTAGACAAGAGAATTGTAGCTGACAAGATTTGGCCACATCTCGTGCGTTTACAGAACGTCGGGCGCCTTTCTCTTCTCACATCTGTGTATGCTCGATAGCAAACCGGGTTCACAGACACAGTAGCTATTATCCGCGAAGCTACTGTCAAGTCAATCAGCCTTTTGTCCGACAAGGTACGTGCTTTACACGTTCTCTAGCCTCTTCGTTACCTATCGTCGTCAATCGTATAGTTCAACGAGCGAATACTGAATAATGACCTGCTAAGATATCTCGCCAAGATGCAGGCAGATCCGGAGGCTTCGATACGGACGAACACTTGCATCCTTATTGGACGACTGGGCCCCTCCCTAGGATATAACACGAAGCGTAAAGTTTTAGTGCCTGCATTCACGCGGGCATTGAAGGATCCATTTGTGCACGCCCGCGTTGCGGGATTAATGGCTCTCATGGCCACCATCGACTGTTTCGATGTGGACGAGCTGGCTACGAAGGTTATACCGAATATGGCCTTTGCTATGGTCGACAAGGAGAAGTGCATAACCCGCCTTAGTAGTGTCCAGCGTCTGCACTCACATTTACACTCAGGTTGGTCCGTGATCAAGCTTTCAAAGCTATAGAACTATTCGTCGAGAAGGTTGAAGAGTTCGCCGCGAAGATGGTAGGCATTCCTCACGGAGTAATTCACAGGGAATTGATCGCGGTAACGTGGACTGCAGCCAGAAACTGCGATGGTAGAAACCGAGGCTATGCCGGCGATGTTCCCTCCCGGACCCGAAGGACAGAACAACCTAGTGCACAGCGCCGCTGGAGCTGCTGGGGCACTGGCGGGCTGGGCGATCTCATCCATTGGCAAGAAGGTTCGTGGGACAAACCACGTAGGCAATTCAGGGGAGTTTGATGTCACTTTCCTCCACAGCTAGCGACTGCAGATTTACAGAGCACGATAAGTTCCGTCAATGGCTCAGGGATAGACCGCCCGGGTTCCGCCCCACCTCCAGCCTTTTCGCGCTCGTCTGATAGGAGTAGTCTGGGACCCTCTTCTCTCCTTGATTCCACACTCTCATCGCCAGCATCACCCACCGTGCAGATATCGACCTCAAATTCGATGTCGAAGGCGAAGGGAATGCAACTGGGAGCGCATAAGATGCCTGTCAGCTCGATGGTCGCGCTAGCAAATGAATGGGTCGAAGAGGCTATGGCTGAATCTGAAGCTTCTCAGCACAATCCTTGGGGAAGCGATGATCTTATGGACGTTAATGCAGACCAGGATGATTGGAGTATGTCTTACTAAACGATTAGCCTAGGGCTTAACTGACAAATTTTAGGCGCATTCGAAAGTGCACCTCACCCTGCCCCAACGGTAGGGTTGGGGTTAGGGGGTGTACACAATATCTCTTCATCTTCTCCTGGTAGGAAATGTCTTCCTGTCATGGAGAAGCCAACAGATCTAATCCTTTGTCGAAGGGAATGACCTTTGGAGAGACAGCGATACGATGCAAAGGTCATCTACATCAGACTGGGGTGTGAATTCCGAACCAAGTTTGGCACTGACATCCCAGAGAAGGCCTGCAGCTCACCCGCCTGCTCACAAGATTCCGATACACAGGTCGCCCACACCTTCAGAGAACGGCAAAGTAGAACTTCACAAGGAAGTACATCATAGTACGATTGGAATGACGAAGGAAGAGAAGGCCGCCGAGATGGCACGTCGGAAGGAAGAGAGGAAGCAGGTACGTTTATTTCTTAATAGTGATGTGCCTGGTCTGAGATGGTTTCTGTGAATAGCGAATCGCAGCATTAAAGGAAAAGAAAAATGCTGGCCATCTACATTCTTGACATACATGACTGATACAAGTCCTTTCTCTACTCGCTACATCGTCCGTATACCCTCGATTAGGTCGCGTTTAAATTATGATGATTTGTCTTCCGGAGATTGTAGCTCTTCGATCGGCACGCGCACCAGGCGTTCACCAGACGTGGTTGGTGCAAGCTCGGTGTCATCAATGCGCTGTTCACGCGCCGACACTGCAGAATCTCCGGTCTACATTGATGAGATATATCGTATAAATGACACGCACAGAACAGACTCAGGATCCTGAACATGTTCGGCCACTGCTCTAGTACCTGCCCATGGACTGACCTCAACGTTACTTCGGCTCATTTCTGTATTGGGGATACTGCTCACCTCGACCCGCATCTGCCATCACGTCGAAGTCATCGCCGAGCTCCTCGATGCGTCTCACGAAGTTCAAGCTCGCTCTCTCCAGAGCTGCTGCTGCTTCGTACTCCTTCTTCTTTTCGAGTAACTTCGCCGCAGCTGCAGCATTTGCAGGGTTTGGCAGCTGTGATTGTCGGGCTGCTACTACGGACTGTCGCATAATGGAGAAGAACAAGAAGAAATATCAATGTTTCTGGGTCAGGTCGCTTCAAACGTTGCTGACTAAGCACGCTGGTTGGCCGCTGCGCGACATCGTCAAGACTTTATTGCAACTTTATTGTCCGCTATTTTGTCTGCTACCTCTTCACGACCGTTTACGACCTTCTTGGGCCACCAATCTATAAAGGCAGCTTGTCTGTGTGGCCAGACACCCCACAGATCGCGTTTGCGCGGGCTCTGATCTCTTTTTTTCTTCACGTTTGCTCACAGGGCGTCCACGTTTAAGTCTTATCTGTCGATTACCTCTGACAAACTTCTCGCCGTGTCAGGATCGTCACGTACCTTCCCATCTCTGCACGCGCACCAGTTGAATCGCGTGGCAAACGCGAGGCATCTTCGTGCGTTATCTGGATTAGACACCATCGCGCGCAGGAGGCCAACGCGCTGTTCGAGTTGCCCGTCATGGAGACTCCAGTCGCTCTCTCGATTCCTCGCCTTAGGCTAAGCCGTCATTCAATCCAGTCCACGCCCGTGGCCGGTCCTTCCAGCGCGAACGCGTACGAGAGCCGCGAAGACGACGAGGACGCCGAGTCCACCCCCCGCTTGACCGCTGCCGCCATCTCTCCCGACTCCACTTCGCCACGCACTTCGCCACGCACTTCTCCACGCGCTCCTCCAGGGGACACCCCCGCGGCGCGTCTACGCGCGGTGCTCGCTCGGGTTCCGAACACCTCCATCACCCCTCAAGCTGCGGCGCCAGTGTTGCTATCGCCCTCGGAACCGGACTCCGATTTCGACATGCCGCATACTGCTCCGAGTATAGCTCGCGAAAGTCTGCGCGAGCTCTTCTCGAGAGCGCTGCGCGACCCTGGGAACACGCCGCGGAAGGAGCGAGGACGACGGAACAGCATCGACATCAGCGAGGTGGACGACAGTCCCCGGATGGAATGGGTGGAGAGGGAAAGAGCGAATAACAAGGGGAAGCGGAGGAGCATGAGCGACGAGGAGGCGGATCATTTGCCTAGTGCGTAGTCATACGCGTATCGACGCGGTTTTCCTCACGGGTGTGTGCCAGGGCGGTCTCAGTCCTCTGTGAGGTCATCACCGGCGGCGGCGACGTTCGACGCGTTGCGGGAGCGACTGAAGCGGTCGAGCACGTTGCCGCTGAGCGCTCCGACTGGCGGTAGGTAACACGTTGCACGGTTGCACGGGTCAAAAATATTGATTTGCGGATGTTGCAGAGCTGGTGATGGAGATGTCCATGCCACCGGCAGAGTCGAGCGGGGATACTGCCACGATACTGCAAGGGTTGAACGGGCCCGCGGCGACCCCACCGCACGCGACGAGTACGCCAATGCGATCGCTGCAGATCTCTACTCTGCAGCCAGCGCAGTCGAGTATGTACACCGTTCCCAGAGCGCGTTCTTGACTGAGTCTTCGCCCGACGCAGATTTATTGGAGCAGGACTCGGAGATGCAGAATGCACTGGGAGGTTTGGACAGCTTCGAGGGTGATTCTGCTCCAAATGGACGTCCGTGTAAGATATTCGCTTCTCAATTTAGCCGATAGCAGTAGCCTGACACAGGAGCAGTGTCGTTCCCGCCGATGCGGTCGAGTGCGCATTCTACCACTCCAGGGCGCCCCCTGTCTTGGAGTTCACACTCCAAATCGCATTCGTTGCACAAGTTACCCTTGCTGAGACGAGGGGGGAGCGAGGAGTTTGACAGCTCCTGTAAGTATTGAGATCCCTCTGACGACTTCCGCTGACTTTCGCTTTTGCAACAGCATCTCGCACGGGTTCCTCTCAATCTGCGGCGGACTGTAAGTGTTTGCCCCCGCACTGATTCACCATGAAGTAAAAATTCTGCTGCAGACAGGGACCGGCAAGATGAAAGCCAGCGGGATCGCCTGCGCGATCGTGAACGAAGGTGGAACCATCCGCTGCCCAAGTCGCCAGGTGATTTAGGTGCGATTCATTGCACGTTTCTCCCTGTGCTTCCATTCACAAGATAATTGTAATAGGCCGAAGTAGTCCTGCCCACCAGCGACCGAGGAAGGACAGTACAGCGTCGGTTCAAAGCATGGACGACGGTCGTTCGTCCAGAGCTAGTTCGGTGACATCGCGATCGGATTGTGAGTGATTCTGAAGTATCATGCTAGTGCAGGGTGTTTTACTCCGATTTTGCAGACCAAGAACGGATTGTTGAGGGGGATCGTGCTAAAGACCGTGAACGCTCGTGGAACAGGCCAAACCACGCGCAGTCACCGTCTACGCTGAATGTCAACGGCAATGCTCAGCGTGCTCGCACGGTGAGCCAACCTATGCGACCCGACTCCTCGCAGTCGTTGATATCTCCCGGGCGGCATGCTCTCAACCGGCATCATTCGAGCAACCCTCTGTCGAGTTCGGTCTCGAGTAGAGCGAGCTCCCCTGCAGGCTCGGTGTCGAGTCGGAATGCGGACGGTTTGCCGCCGGAAGTGCAACAGGAGCGGGAACGCAACTGGAATTCCTCCCACCCGAAATGGGTGCAGCAACCCCAGCCGGAACGCACTCCCTCTCCGGTGCCCAATAAGTCATTCCAGTCGACTCTGCGGCGCAGGACGAGCTCGACCCCGAAGAGCGCTGGTGATGCGCCATATAACCGAGAAGCCGACAGTCCTAGGACTGAGAAGCCAGTATATCTCCGTGTTGATACGACGGAGGCATCGACTGCTAGGAGGCTTCGTTCCCCTCAGCAGGACACGGAATCAAATGAGCACCCGCCACCAGACTCACCAGAGCCGCGTTCTGCAGTCCTTCTCAGTGACGGGCCCGCAAAGACTCCAGAGTACCGCTACCGCTATGGCTGGCATTTTCCTGTCAGGCAGGCATTGCCACCATTAGAACTGGACCAGGACTCTCTTCAGAGAGCCGTCCGACCGCCACCACCACGACCATCCAGCCGGATGTCGGGGGCGCCAAGTACCAGTCAGATACCTGTACGCTCGCCGTCTAAGCGAGGCGATACCGCCAACCAGAGGAGAGGCCATAGGAGAAACATGACAGAATTCAGCGAAGCGGTAGGCGCTGTTTCCGTTCGTGTTCCTGAGTCCGCTCCGGGTCAAGTGATAGATACCCCTCCATCTGAAGATGGCTCCATCTTCGGTGAGTTTTCTCGGATCCACTCGTCTCTCTCACCCTTACAGTCATGCATGACAGGAAGCGACGAGGACTCGCCTCCAGCCACAAGTACACCTACATCTAAAAGTTTGTCTTTACCCCTGCCTGCTACGAGTTCCTATCCTGCGATGCCCCCTTCTCCGACTATTACGACGAATATTAATGGTGATGCGCAGCGGCTAGAGAAGGCGCTTGCAAAGCCAGATTCTCCTCCGCCGTCACCTCCTCGCGATACGACCCCATCATTCTCCTTGCAGACACCACCGCGAAGACCTCAATTCAGCACTCCAAAAGTAGATTTCCAAACCCCCTCACCCCCGCGACACATCCCCGATCTTCCTGGGCCACCTTCATCAGAGGATGAAGATACGGATCGCGCTGATCACACACCGATCGGCCCCGATTACCCCGTTCAAGGCGACATGACGACGATGAAGACACCTAGGCCACCAGGTGCATGGACACAAACCCCTGTCCCTCGCCACACGTCCAACGACATACTTGTGCGGGCGCAGTCCACTCCGCCGGAGATCACTGAAACCCCCGATAATAAGACCGTTGCTGCTCCATTCTCGTCTCTTTCGAGGGCGAGTTCACTACCGCTGCAAACTCCCGCACCACCAGGTGCATGGATGCCGACACCTGGACCTTCTGCAAGAAGACGGAGCATCCTGAAGGTTCGTTTCGACGTCGAACCGGAGAACGCATCTTCGGATGGCGTCCCCGACCACCAGTTGATTGACTCATCGGATTTCCCACCGATCCCCGTCGCTAACGGCAATCGTCTGGATGGGAAGGATGTGCAGCATGACCAAAATGGTCAAGCGAAGGTGGAACAGGAGACGGCTGGTCGTCCCTCTACTCAGCCTGTGGTAGCTCCGCGCCCTCGCCATCTCCGAAAGTCACCAAGCGTGCGTGTGGTTGATGCCTTCGGTCGTGAAACCAAAGACGAAGACGAACCTCCGCAGCCGGTCGATCATGTATTCCAAGAGGAGCTGGTTCCACTATCTCAGGAAGCTCCGCGTGTGCCAACAACACCGCGAAGTAGAAGTCTAGTGAAAATCGTGGATTCTATGGGTCGGGAGGTGGAAGATGTCCCTGAGGAGCCTCGGTCCCCTGAGCCTCCCCACTCACATACTGAGGCGTTAGCTCGCCTCCGACGCGTAACAGCAGACCTGGCGGAGGACATCAGCGAGATTGACAGGTTCGTCGATTTATACATATACGTGGTGTCGCGCTGACCGCAGACTACTAGATCTCGCGACGAACTCGCTCTGGATGGAAAACGGCTTACTGCGTTGGATGAGGCCTCGAAGGCGGCGAGGACCGCGAGAAAGAAAATCTCTCAATCTCTTGACCAGGTCAAAAGTTCGGGATCAGACATGAAGAGTAAGTACAAGCCTCTGCGGGAAAGCATGAGGAAGAGCAGGCTATTGGTACGTGTTGTCCTTCCGTCAAATGAGCCATTGAGCTGAAAGAATGTGCAGCCACCCGCAGTTGTGGAATACCAGATGAGTTGGAATTTCCTGAATTCTTGGGTATTTTGGGGCTTCCTTCTCGTTCAAGTCGCGTTATTCCTCATGATGTACCGGTATGTGATTTTTGCCGTTCTCTTGAATTGATGCCTGACCTACCTTAGAATGTCGAACATCCGAGCGAAGCGCCTCTTCTTCACAACATACTACGATCCGTTCTACCCCGATATCTATCTCTATCCCGATACCATTCAAGCGTCGATACCCTCGTCTTGCTCCGCCTTTCCGCCTGCTGTTCGAGAGCACGCAGGATGGGCGGGCGTTATGGCGGACTTCTGGAGCTATCTTGGCTGCGTCGTGACCAACTGGCAGCGTCGGACATGGGACACTTGGATATCAGGCCAACAGCAACAGCAGGCTACTATTTCTTGGCCACCCACATGATGTTTGATGATCTTATTCATTTATCGAGTTACTTGCCGATGTCTTCGTTGTATATTTCTTTCTGAACGCTTCGGTGGCTGTCATGTTGTACGCGCTCGATGTACTTTTGCCTTATTCGATCATTATATGGCCGCGCTAGTCCTCATCTCTACCTATCTACCTACCTGACGCCACAATGTCGTCAGGCGGGACTCGCACCTTCTTCCTGGTGCTGAGCTCAAAAACCCGAGGACGTGAGAAAGGCGTATCAGTGAGATTCAACTACCCGTCTATATTGACGAATGCTAATCAAGAGGTTAGCGCTGCAGCTCTCGGCCGTCTGAATGCTTCGGTGTTTGTTGGGACTGGGGCTTTATAGGTTGGTTGTTATGTACTACTATCGGTGCGACACAAATGCCATATGTATCCCAAGATCTTGGACTTTTGTGCAGCGCTTTAGTGCAAACCTCCGTCGGTATGTGATATCATACAGATCTTGCCTGTGTATCCATTTATTTTCTCCTTCAGTGGAGAAGTCAGAGATAAACTTATTGAGACGGAAGCTCTGGTGCAGCATTATGTAAGGATATTAGAGACTTAGAGGGTCGGAGTTAGCCGAGGCGTTGAATATGCGCTCAACCGTGTTGATGATTCTCTCGCCTTCATTTTACTCACTGAAATCTTGCCTTCCGAATAAACTTGGTTCAGTGCACTTCCCGCGACTTAATGACCACCAACAGGCCGCAAAAGCCTTGTACATTTTCTGCAAGAAGCACTCTTACGGTGCACGAGCTGTATCAGGTCTGTTTTTGGAAGTGAAGCCTTTTCGCGTGAGTTTCAGTAACAGTGTGACTCACGCTCACCGCCTAACCGGGCGCTCTCCGGGCTCATCGGCGATCATGTGGCGGCGCTCGTTGTGGCGGGCTGCGTCGGCGACGCTGGACGCGTTGAGCGCGGAGTCGGGAATGGCAAAATTAAGAAAAATATTCTTTGTTGATACCTTTGGATCTTAGTACATAGTTGAAGTTGAGCATAAATAAAAAGAACTATTTCACAGTGCCGATAAATGGACAAAGATTGATATTGCGCGGCAACGGGTAGGTGACCAGCATTGTGCTCAGCCACCACTCGGAAAGTCAAATTAATACTCACTGTGCATGTTCCCGAGGCTCTACGTACGGGGACTTCACAAATGTTGAATTAAACTCTGTTAGAAATCGCGCCTTAGTTCCCAAATAGGAAGGTAGTGATGGCGGGTCAAGATGCGTCGGGGCGCGTGATTACGCGTCCTAAAATAGATTTCTGTATATATACAGTTCTAGACGCTCCACTTTATATAAGCAAATTTCCTTCTTTGTCTTTCTTTGTAATCATGCCCTCGGCTTGTCTGCCCTTGGGCGCTCCCCAATTTCTGGAGCTCCAGAAATTTGGGCGCTACTTTCCAACACTCCCCCTCAAGCCGATGGGCATTCCGAGCTTCTTTGTGAGCTTCTCGTGCCTCAGCTTAGGGAGTGACTTTGTTAGGATATCCGCTATCATGTCCTCCGTGGGACAGTAATGGATATCAATATATTTATCCCTCAATTTCTCGCGCACATAATGATGCTTTACATCAAAATGTTTTGATTTCGCATGGAATTGGGGATCACGTGCGATTGAGATCACCGCCGTATTATCCTCGAATAAAATCGTAGGATCTTGTTGCTCGAAACCTATTTCTTTGAATAGTGTTCGGAGCCACACGGCTTCTTTTGCCGCTTCAGCGGATGCCATGTATTCGGCTTCCGTGGTGGATGACACGACCATGGTTTGCTTCTTTGAGCTCCACGTGATCGTGCCATTTCCTAATTTGAATAAATATCCCGAGATTGATTTGCGATCTCGGATATCGTTCGCATAGTCTGCATCTGAGTAGCCCACAAATATGGATTGATCTTCGGGCTTGACATCTGCAATTGGCCCGTAGATTATTCCAAGTTCTCGCGTTCCGGATAGAGAGCGGAGGATGCATTTAGCAGCAGTCCAATGAGCCATTCCGGGATTGGCAGTAAATGAGCTAAGCCGTTGCACGGCGTGAGCAATGTCTGGTCTCGTGGCAATTGCCGCGTACATCAGTGATCCGACGAGCGATGCATATCCGTTGTCTCGGTCGCATTCATCATCAGTTTCAGGTTCTTCTTTTTCAAGCACTGTATTTGGATCAAGAGGCATCCCGACCGTGTTGGCGTTCGTAAGCCCATTCTTGTGTAGGATAGACTCAATATATTTTGTTTGAGAGATTTTGATTGTCCGCTTTGAACGGTCTCTCTCAATTTCTATCCCCACAATTTTCTGGGGTTCGCCAAGGTCGGTAACTTCGAACATATTTCGGAGTTCGCTCTTCAATTAGTCCATTAGTGCGCAATCATTGGTGAATATTAATAGGTCGTCTACCCAAACAGTGACGATTTCTATCTTATCACCTTTGATCCGAATGTACGCACATGGATCCGAGAATAGGCGCTTGAATCCCACGTCTAGTAACTTGCGATATTCCATTCTCGGCCAGACTGCTTTAGCCCGTAGAGGGTTTTCTTTAATTTACATACGCGATATGTTCCATCGCTGTATCCTTCGGGTTGCCGCATGTACACTTCTTCTTTGAGAGTTCCGTTAAGATAGGCGCCTTTCACGTCCATCTGTCCGATCTCCCAATCTAAGATTGCGGCTAGCCCGAGGATAGCTCGAATGGTTTCGAGGCGGACTACGGGCGCTAACGTCTCGGTATAGTCCATGCCTGGGATTTGAGAATATCCCTTCGCAACCAGGCGGGCTTTGTATTTAATTATTTCACCCTCTTTGTTTGTTTTCTTGACTAGAACCCATTTATTTCCTACGAGTTTTCGATCTTTGGGAGGTTCCACTAACTCCCAAGTCTCCATACCCTGTAGTTGATTGAGTTCCATTTGGACTGCCTGTTCCCATTTGGGCCACTCGAGTGATCTCTTGGCATCACTGAGCGTCTTTGGCTCGTCCGCGTCCGCATTTCCGTGGGCGCTCATCGCAATATAGACTAATTCGGCATTTGATTTATCTGGAGCATTATCCAGATCTTCATCTGCCTCTGGGTCGTGCATTAGATGGTAATCATGCCGAACTGTCTTTCTTCTGGTTCGTCTGGGCTGGCTTGGTGTGTCCGTCCCGCTTTCCTCGCGTTGATCAGGATCATCATCCTGTCTGCGCTTTCGCGGATTTTTGGCAGGTGACTGTGGCGCGGAAGTTCCTAACTCCCCCTCGCGCCGTCGTTGTGAGGTTTGGGACTTCGGGTCTCCTTTCCGCATGCGGCACGTCTGACACATTGCTAGGTAAAGTGCCCAGAAATATATTTTGCTCCCCCTCACACTGTGCTGTGAGGATAGGTACGTCGGATCCTATTTGCTCTTGTGGCACGTGAGGCGTGTTGCTGGGCAAATGGTCCGGGGAATTCGAAGAAAATTGGAAATTACACGAGATTTTAATCTGGCGCGTGTGCACATCATAATATTTGATGGCTTTGGGTCCGTCCATGTATCCAACAAAAATATACTTGTTGGCACGGGGCGCTAGCTTTGATAGTGTTGCGTCCTCCGTGAGGACCCATACGGGGGAACCGAATTCTTATAGGTACGAGATATTTGGTTTCGTCCCATTCCATTTTTCTTCGGGAGTTGCCCCATTTAACGCCTGGGTAGGCGATCTATTTTTAATATAGACTGCGTGAGCAATCACTTCAGCCCAAAGATAACGAGGTAGATCTCTCGCATAGATCATCGCGCGCGCTAGTCCAAGCAGTGTGCAATTCAATCTCTCAGAGACTCCATTCTGGGATGGTGAGTACGGTGCAGTCGGACCCATCTCGATCCCTTTCATTTGACACCAGTTAATTAATTCAGTGTTCATATATTCTCGACCGTTGTCGAGCCTGAGTCGCAAGGGTTTATTTCCAAACTTGTGCTCGATATAGGTAATATAATTCTTTACCTTTTCAGTTACTTCATCTTTATGCCTCATAAATAGTACTGTACTTCGACAACTGTAATCGTCGGTAAATGTAATAAAATATTTCCAGCCTTGTAGAGCGGCTGTCTGCGCAGGTCCCCACACATCCGTGTGTGTTAATTCTCCGGGTACCTTGCTGCATTCATCCGTCTCTTTGGGAAATGGCTTCCACGTCGCCTTTGCTTGGATGCACGCCTCGCAATTAATTTCATCTGGGCTTGGCGAGATTTCTAGGCCATCTACAAGCCCTTCGCGATATAATCACATAAGCGCTGGTTCCCCGATATGGCCATAGATCTTGTGCCACTCTTCCCAGGTATGCGGGCCGTATTCCTTAGCAGTATAGGTTCGCGCAGGTTGCGGAACTATTGGACGCAATTTCAACGAATATAGTCGTCCATTTTTCTTGCCTATAGCAAGAGTGTGTTTATTTCTATCTATTAGTATTGTGCGACTATTACCCATAAGTACTCTTCCTCCCGCATCGTCCAAACCCGTGATGCAGAGGAGGCTATTGGGTGCTGTCGGTGCATACAGTACACCGTGGAGACGGAATTTCACTTTCCGGTCTCCTACTTCACTTTCGACATCGACCGTACCGCGGCCCAATGCCTGTGTTGGTTGCGGTCCAATGCCCATGATTGCGTGATCTTCGAGCGCCTGATAGGTCGCGAAGACTTCACGACGATTTGTAATGTGCGAAGTTGTCCCGGAGTCGGCAAACCACTCATAGAAAGAAGCGATTTCGCCATCAGATCCGAGAGATACAGTGTCGCTATCATTATCGTAGGCTATTTTTGCCTCATCCTCTTTCGATTCGACCTCTCGTGCTTCGTAAGCACGTTCCATCTTTTGCCGTTTCATCGGCGGGCCCTGTCCGGCTTTGCCGCTGCCTTTAGCCCAACAATCCGTGGCCTTATGCCCGAATTTTCCGCAATTCATACATTTGACCTTGTCGCGGTGCCGACACTCGTTACCAAGATGTCCCGGCTTTCCGCAGATCGAACATTTTTTGTATTCCCCGAAGGGGCACTTCTTTCCTTTGGCAACCATGGCTTGGTCCAAGGATTGACCGCGCTCGCCACGCTCGTGCCTTCACCTATTTTCATCAAGAATGATGGCAATCAATTCTTGTGATGTAAGCTGAGGGCGCACGTTGTCAGTGCCTTCAGCGCCAAAGTAAGAGCTGAGGAAAGAATCCCAGCTCTCCGGTAATGAAGTGGCCAGGATGAGCCGGAAATCCTCGTCAGAAACAACCTTCCCCATTAGGTGGAGTTGTTCCTGGATCTGTCGCAACTGTGTGATATGATTGGAGATATTGTCTTCTTCCTTGGCTTGCATCCGGTAAAAACGCCGGCACAGCGCGAGAATTCCATGCTGTCCACGCTGTTCCTTGACTGTGCGGAGCTGCTCCCACATGGCCAGTGCCGTCTCGGCTCCAGCGATGTGCACCATCTGAGCCATAGCACAATTACGTTCTGGGCCTTGAGGTCCTTCTCTCCCCAGGCGCTAATCTCCGCCTCTCTCGCTGCCCTATTGGCCGGGTCATTACTCGGCTGCGGCTTCGGTGTCTTTCCAGTCACATACTCCTGGAGACCCTTATCATTAAGGATGGCCTCGACGCGGCGCTTTCACGGGAGCCAATTGTCTTCCTTCAGGAGTGGGATCCAGTAAGCATTGCTATTGCTCGTATTATCAGCGCTGGTCGACATTATTTGTTCTCGTACTAGCAAGGGGGTAACAACTTTTGTAGCCACAATAGGGGCTATTGTTATCCGAGTATTTATTGGCTAGAGCCGGGGCTCATAACCTGTTATAAATCGCGCCTTAGTTCCCAAATAGGAAGGTAGTGATGGCGGGTCAAGATGCGTCGGGGCACGTGATTATGCGTCCTAAAATAGATTTCTGTATATATACAGTTCTAGACGCTCCACTTTATATAAGCAAATTTCCTTCTTTGTCTTTCTTTGTAATCATGCCCTCGGCTAGGCTCGTTAACCAGCCTCTAGTATATAGGAAGAAAGAGTCGTTCCTCTATATAGAGGCTGGATCCTCGTATGACGGGCTTCTGAGAGGTCCCCCGTGGGAACTGCGGAGTTTGAACATGCCGACGGCAAAAACGCGCACAGAACTTTCAGGGCAAGCGAGACGCGTCGCGTATCTGAGCGTGCCCACGACATCCATATACATACTTTTATTCATATATCCGCGATTATGCAACCCTCGTCTGTTCGACGAAGTACAGTAACAGACACCGAAACCACTGAGGAGCATCCTGAAGCCCCGACGGTGAGCCAACCACTTGAACACGGCGAAAATGTTACGAACGACACGCGCAACAACGAGTTGTTGACAGATATACAAAGCGAACCGGTAAGATACACATGATGCGGCTATACAATTTTCGAGTGTCTGCAGACTGACCACGAATGAACAGGACACCGAGGACCAGCCGCGAGATGTATTCGGTCCTCTCCTCGCACCGCAGCTCCATATGCTGCTAGTTCTCGCGGCGCATTATTAGCACATTCTACCCCTTATCTCCCATATATACATTTTTGTTGAGCTCTTTACACCCGGCCACAATACACATCAAGAAGTGTATCAAGCAATAGCTGCATTCTTGCAGAAGAGGAGCAGGCCTAGTGAGTGTGTGGTCTAACTGCCAGGGCCATACATGTGACAGGCCGCATTTTTCTTGAACGAGAGTAGCCAGCCATTCCCGCGAGTCTGGTGGGTCATCATTCATAGCCAGGAGGGATAAGTTACAGGTCAAGAGGTGTCTACTTGCCAGGACAGACGCGTCGTCGCGCTACTCATCACGCCGCGGTCACATGACCATGCTATGCCATTGGGCCGATGTCAATATTCAAACTCAATAATTCCCACGGGGGACCTCTCAGAGGCCTCTCACACGAGGTTCAAGACTAGCCCTCGGCTTGTCTGCCCTTGGGCACTCCCCAATTTCTGGAGCTCCAGAAATTTGGGCGCTACTTTCCAACAAACTCTTTACAGCGCTTTGCATAATTGCGTGAAACTCACGGGAAAAAATCGCAGTATTTGGCTGGTGCAAACACAGCCATAAACGGAAGGAGGCAGGTCGAGGCCGGTCACGAGATCCCGTGCCCACTCAAGAGTTCACAACAAAAGTACCGTTTGTCGTGCAAAAACCTCATAAGAAAAATGAGTAGGCCACATATGATACTGTTCAGAGGCCCTGGGACGGGCTGAAAAGTGTTGCGGAGTCCAAACTGTTAGAAAATGCGGGGGCTCGTAGCCCTTTTGGGAAGCGAGGAATTTAATCTGAGAGAATCGGACCGGACGCGAGGTAAAGGATCGGGACGAAGATGTGGCTGCGGAGCTCTCTTTGCTCCAAATATAGATATCCTTTTATATAATGGCCACATTATGTAATTAATCTCCGCTGTGGCGCATCCCTCGGATGCCCTCGGATTGCCTCTTTTCCGGCCATTTCCAACACTCCCCCTCAAGCCGACGGGCATTCGAGCATATTTATTTGCTTCTGATGCCTTGGCTTAGGGATTGTTTTTCTTTCCGGGATAGGACAATAAATATTTTGAGGATCGCATGCGATTAATATCGCCGTCTGATGGTCCTCAGATACACACTCCCGACCATCCTACCTTCTGGTAGGGGTAGACCAGCAGTTAAAACCTCGCGGGAAAAAACCCAGTGGGAAAAGCCCGCTGTCGGAATCTGGTGAGGGTTCCCCCAACACCAAATAACACTCGCTACTAGCCAGAGTGCGATTTTTCATTTTTTCAATTCTGAGCATTTTTAGCTCATATGCGCGCTTCTGTTGGCGCACGTTCTCCGGATCGTCCTTCTTGGCATCCAGATCATTCGGTAGATTTTACCGACTTTTCTGTCTGTGGGCCTTTCCTTTTTTGTGTGCATCAGTCCCACCTTCTTCGCGTTCTTCGGGATCATCATCCCATCTGCACTGCGCGGATTTGATGTGGCAGTTGACTGTGGTGCGGAATTCCCTAGCTCCCCCTCGCGCCACACGTCTATGGCTGCCGAGGTTTTAGGGCTTCGGATCTCTCATCCCCATATTGCACGTCTGCAGTATTGGTTGGTATGGGATCCGGCAATTTCCTTTTCTTCCCCCTGGCACTGCACGTCTGCAGTTCAGCCTAGTTTGGAGACTTCGGGACTCATCTCCGCACGCGGCACGTCTGTCACATTGCTTGGTAGTGGACCCGGTGCTAATATGCTCCCCCTGATTTCCCCTCGCACTGCACGTCTGCAGTCGCTTTGAGTTTTATGGGACTTCAGATCTCCTTCCCATGCATGCACGTCTGCCATGCTAATTGGCAAGGGGTCTGGAATTTTTCATTTTCTCTCCCCCTGGCGCTGCACGTCTGCAGTTCCGCCTAGTTTGGGGACATCGGGCTTCTCCTTACCATGTGACACGTCTGTCCATTGGTTCGCAGGGAGCCCGGCTAGGTGGTCTTGACGCATTTATGCGCCCTACATTTCACTCCATCCATGTAGCTTACCAATATATTTTTGTAGCCCTGGATGCTAATATTGTATTTGAGGGTAGCATCTTTAATTGTGCTCATAGGCACATTCAATCGAGTAGTGTTCAATTTAGACATTCTACGGCTTTCTTTCTGGAATGGCGAGTGCAGCGCAGTCACACTCATCTCACTCTCATTGGCCGGGTACTGAGCAATTACTGTAGATTGCCCTTTCGATATTCTCGACCATCTAAATTTAGTGCCTTTGCTCACGATCAGCTTTGGCTTCTTTCCGGTGATATACCCATTATACCGGTTGATTTTATTCTGTACTCCGTTAAGTACAGTACTGCATACAGCTTCACACTGTTTTTGGCCCGTAGAAATATATATTGTTGGGCCTTACATTTGTGTTTATAGGCCCCAGTCTCCGCATCCCGCTCTGCCTTGCCTGCCAGATCTAATCATCGGCTATGGCCTCGGCTTTTCTCCGGTGATACAGAGTCTGCTTCCTGAGCTTGGGGCTCGAAAACGTCTTCTGGCTATGGCTCGGGGGTCCACGCATTGCAAGTGCATCTCTCACCACTAACGCACATCGCGTCACAGCTTCCGTGCATCTTTGCACGCGCCATATTCCTCGAGGCTCACCATGCTGATGTGCGCAGTATGCATGCGCATCATCTTATCTTATCTCACTTATCTGCTTTAGGCGCTCTGCGTTCCCAAGGTGCTTTGCATCCTCATCTAATCTTATCTCAATGACACATCTCGCGCCTCGGGTTTTCGAGTTTGGCCTCTCATCTCTGGCTCTGAGTCTTTGACTCGGGACTGTGGTCTCTCTATGGACTCTCAGTCTCTGGTCTTGCACTCTAGGCTCTGAGCTCCAGGTCTTAGCACTCGCATTTACCGCAGTTCTGCCTCTTAGGACAGCAAGAGCGCATCTCATTCTCGCACGCTCCTATTTAGGCGCGCTTGGCCTCCCAACGCTTCTCTGCGCGGCTCTTTTGACCGCGTCTGCCGAATCATTATCCGGCGAAGTCTTTAGGCACAAAACAATATTATTTTTCCTCAGTAGTCCTAAATCATACATAGGACTGCTGAGATCTCCTATTACTTGTTGTGCAATGCAGTATATCAGCCTTTTGGTGAATAGGGGTCAAGGACTCAGCTATATATTCAGAGAAGAGCCTATGTCCGAGGATTGCAATCGTCTCGGGGCTCATAACCTGTTAGAAAATGCGGGGGCTCGTAGCCCTTTTGGGAAGCGAGGAATTTAATCTGAGAGAATCGGACCGGACGCGAGGTAAAGGATCGGGACGAAGATGTGGCTGCGGAGCTCTCTTTGCTCCAAATATAGATATCCTTTTATATAATGGCCACATTATGTAATTAATCTCCGCTGTGGCGCATCCCTCGGATGCCCTCGGATTGCCTCTTTTCCGGCCATTTCCAACACAAACGACAAATGCCGAGGAGAGCCCTGAATGCCGCGGGTGGCTGGCAAACTCCCCACCTTCTCGATATGGGTTTGTTTGCACGGACCAAATAGCGGAAAAAAATCCGCGAGTTTCACGCAATTATGCAAAGCGCTGTAAAGCTGGCGACAAAAACCAGAGTTCATCGGCAAAATTCATCACATGACCGTCGTCGGAGACGGCGGGCGCGATGACACCAACCCGACGCACAGCATCGAGAACGGGCGGGACGGCGGGCAGCCCGGTGAGCGCCAGGCTTCACCGGGGAGAGCGGCGGAAGAACGTCACGACGTAGAATCACGCTGGCAAATACTCTTCACTTCCAAAAACAGACCTGATACAGCTCGTGCACCGTAACTCTGGAAGAAATATAAGAAAATGCAGTTAGTGCATAAAACAGGGATGCCGATGCCCGTACCACACAGATCAAACAGCAAAGCATAAACCTAACCTACAAAATGACTTTTCATGATCCCGGACAAATTGTATTCGTGCACTCTTTAAGAACTGCTTAACACACAGCAGTGCGCCAAACGGGCAGTGCATTGATACTGAATAGCTTCCCAATCAGACCTGCAATGTGATCAGCACAAATATGACTGACTATCCAAACGCAAATCAACGCTGGCCTGTCGGAGTAATTATCTGGTGCACTGCATACTGACATAGGTTCACAAAATAGCGAATAGATTGCAACTGCTGCAAACTGGATTCAACCTTGGACGAGCACCTGTGGCTTGCCGCGCCGCGCCCCGGAGACACACCATTCCGAGTCAACGTATTCACGAAAACCATCAAGTCATCGATTTTCGTCGTCGTCATCGATCATTCCATCTTTACCACCCTCACCGATAACCAGACACGCGCCTCCCTAACTCCCACCATCAATGAAACAGGCTGACGGAGAGAGGTACTCACCACCGTACGAAATTCCTAAGAGCCCCCCACCGGGGAGAGACACGTAGCAGAAAAGCTCAAAGGAGAATCACCAGCCGGCAAACGCGTGTCAGATCTTAGAAACCGAGCAGCGCAACAAGAACGAAGACTAGAACGGTCGAGACACAATGCAGGGAAACGCAAATCACTGAACCCTTACTTACCCCAAGACAACTCGAAATTACTGAAGAGAAGACCTGTACCACGTCGTGTCCAGGAATAGACGCATTTCGACGAAACTCGCTTCATCATTTTCTGTTCGGAGTGCATCAAATAGGACGCAAATTCTCGCTGCTGATTGGCCTGAATTTCCCGCAAGACCGCTGTTTCAAGGATGATTCGTGAGCAACGTACTTGAAGCAAGTCTCGTCGAAGTGCGTCTATCGTTTTCGACTTAGCTGGAAGGCAAGCGCGGTCCGGATTTGTCTCCCTTGTTGTCTCCCATCGCAACGGGATCACACACCTCGCGTAACTGCCGTGCAACTTTAAATGACGTCCGAATTTTCGAGAGCTGACTGCGGTTCATCACCAGGTTGGGTCTAACTGGTAAGGACAGAACCCGTGTTTCGCGCGCTCTACCGCTGGGTTCGAGGTATATCTCCACCACGACATCTTGCGGTATTCCCTCACAACAGGTCTCTATGCATGTGATGCGACAGTCAAGCCCTGTTCCTCATTCCACGCCGGCTCATACAATGGACTGCTCGGAACGTCCATATTCTTGTCTCGAAAACGTTACCCCCTTCAACTCTGCGTCGGGTTCATGCTCAGACCAGCACACTTTCAATCACACGTCGAGCAGAAATCGTGCCAGCTATCCAGAGGTCTGTGCGCCCCACGCAGAGGTACCCATAAGGGGACACTCTGCCCCAAACACTTCCATTTCACGGACATCCTCTTCTCTGTCAACCGCGTCCTCCACTCGAGTCTTCCGCCCACTTCCGACCCCTCCATATAGCGCGAATATTCACAGCCCGGAGTCTGGTTGGCACTCAGACGCGTCTGACCGCCTTGCGCCACCCTCGTCATTTCGTCCGCCCCCGCGTCCCCTGCCCCGACCCTCAGGTCCCCCAGCAGTTGAGCTCCCGGCAGTTGAGCTCGCATGGGCATCTACCACCTTGTCGCCCTGTGACCTTCCATCTTGTCCCACCTCGAAGCCAGTGTTGTCCGTCAGTATTCCTCAGTCTCGACTTGTGGATGAGATGCGTGTTATCGAGTCACCGCCTTCGGTACCAAACCCGCCACACGATGTCTCTGCGGCGTGTCCTTCCAACCGTAGTGTCATACCAGTCCATCCCGACTCTGAGTTTGATGACGACTCGGATCTCGTTCTCCTTGAAGACACCGACCTGTCCTCATCGTTTGAGAGGTGTTCAGCGGAAGAGAAGACTCTGCCTCCCCTTCCAGCGGAAGCACAGAGTGCGCGCCATCCGGAAAGTCCTGTGAAACGGAAGTGGGTGGTGGAGAAGAACGGCAAGCGATGGACGCAGGATTCCCATCACTATGCGCAGGTGTTGCATGTCTTGCGCAAATTGCGGTAGTGTGGCATGGACAGTGAGTCTCGCGCTGCTGTGTGCCAGCTGTTTCGTTTGACCTGATAGGGCTCTTCCAGGCTGTTTAATGGCAGACTTAAGTGTCGATCCTGCTCGAATCCCACGAAGTAGTAATGTCAATCTAATGTCGTTTACTGTTCTGCAGGTTTTCCACTATATGCTAGTTCCTCTGTGATGTGCACCTATTTCATGCATGTAATTGTGCTCCTCATCATAATGTGCGCGTAATTGCTCCATCCTCTGCATGTCAAATAATTCATGCTGTCGACCGCTTGTAATAGAGAATTGCCGCAGGGTCGAGGCTGTGCAACTTCACACTGGCAGGACGGACGTCGAATGCCGGTGAGTCTGCCATCGTGCCCTTACTACTCAGGGCTAGCGCCGGACCAAATAACTGCCGCGAAGCCTTCAAGATCTGCCCTTCGCCGAATCGCAAGGCACCATCATAATCCATCAGAAATATACAAATTCAATACGAACTTGGTTGCCACATGCGGAAGGTAGATGTCCATATATGGGACAGACGTGTCGTGGAATATGGTCTCAAGTTGAATATACAAGGCTACGCGGACAAAAGACATGCATAATGATGAAAAGGTAAATTTCCCGTGCAAACGGCATGTTTGCCTTTGTGACCACTGACAGGACGGGAATATCGGGGACGTTGTTGTCGGGGCGATGCATCAATTTGATGGACACAAACAACGTTGGCAGCGTTCTGAAAGGTTATCGGATTTCGCGCCGGGCCCATAGCCTTCCGAACGGCTTGTATACTGACGTGTTACCCGCATTAGCCTCAGACGACGACATCCGTACGCATCTACTGTTGACGGAACGCCCCTCCAAGGAACAGCCTGAAAGGCCCACTGTCCGGTATTCTAAGAAGACGTACGAGAGGGAGATGCATGAAGCTGGGAAACCCACTGGACTCATAATTGAACTCTCACGTCACATTGGCAAAGTCGTATAACAGAATCTAACCTTGCGCGGTCACCCCGGGCCTGTCTCTATGGACCGGGACGTCACCTCGCGTATCATATCATTCTACAACGTTCTACTATACATGTGCTAACCACAGGCGATAACATAAACGAAAACTGGTGCTCTAGAATATTAGAAGTAGACAAACCCGCTCTCGTAGAACTTTCTCGCGTACTCCTCCAGAATATCCGGGATGACGTCGGGGTACAGCTCGCGGAAGTCAAGATAACCCAACGCCTGCGCGTTCTCCAAGCAGTTCTCACCGAGGACGTGGATGCTGTATTGGTATTCGTACCAAGACCAGGTTGCACGAGAGGCGAAAGCATGCGTCTGTACAAACTCTTCTTTAGCTGCCGCAGCTCGCTTGAGAATCTCGTTCGCGGATACCTGGACAAGGAAACCCCATTGAAAACGGAGATACAAGCAATTCAATCCTGATCAGATAGGCTTACGTGCACGATGGTCTCCATGAGGGTCGACCCTTCTCCGCTCACTTTGGCTCCGATCTCCTTGGCATCCCAACCCGTTACCTGGTCCTCCCAGATAAGCACGGAATGGTTGAGCGTGCGCTCATCAGTGATGATGCGTGCCACATACTCCCCGACATTGTCGAGGTTAGTGACGAGCATCTTCTTCATACCACCGTTGTAAAGCTCGCGGCTCATGCTAAGCACGGGGGACTTGCTTGGAGAACTGCAGGGGAGGGTAATTTGCATCCACCAGCCGATGTCGATAAAGGTATATCCAAGACCAAGGCTCTGGATGTACTCGTGTATTTCAAGTTTCTGTACGCGAAACACTGGCTTAGACTATGATGCGAGGTAAACACATTTCCTGCGGACCTCATCGTGCAAGTGGCGGACTCCCCGCGCTCCGGGAGTCCCGAAGTCGCATGGAATAACCCTCTTGACACCGACCTGCTTTGCAGCGGCAAAGAGGTCGCGCTGGTCAAAGATCTTCTCTGCATTGATCGTGCTGATGAGTACGTCTACACCATCCAACACCTTGGCCAGCTTTTCCACGCCGTCATCGATGTCTGCTTCCCGAATGTCGACATCGTCCCTCCTATATTCGACAACCACAGGCTTGGAGAGAGAAGATGCGCGGACGGCCGTAGCGACGCGCTATGAGAAATGATTAGATTAGCTAGCACACGCCGGACACGGAACGTACGAATGCTCCGGACTTCACGAGAGCATTGATGATTACTACCGCTGTATGGCCTGTGCCGCCAAAGACGAGCACTAGAGGCCGAGAATCGTTAGATGTAATAGACATGGACGAGTAGTTAACGTGTGAGAGTGCGAAATGTAGAGTGGCCGTCCGAAAGGTTCGGTAACCGGTTAGGTGTGGATTGTACAGCGACGCGGTATTTATACGCTAGTGCCTCCGTGAGGCGCGGCGATAGCAACTATATGGCGCGATAGCAGCTAGGTGGAAGGTAACATTTGAACGAAAAATGATTCTTGCGGACCGAGTCAGCAGCACAGAGAATGTTGTGGAAGGCTGGAGGCGATATGCCGAGTGGCTATGTCATCCAGAGGTGATCGAGATCTTGCCTGGGTTCTCGAGAGATTATCCTGTTTTGGTATGAGTAGTCATCGACTCTCTCAGCTATCATCGACTCCTTTGCAATTATCCGCAGCTCGTTGAGTTGGCATTCTCCAATTTTGGTGGGGTCGCGGATGAGAAGGGCCTGCTTGTCCGCAACTTTGTCGTCAACTTTAAACAATATTCAGAACGCTCCAACGCGATGAATAAAGATGGTAAATGCAGAGACAAGTACATACATATGCATGTAAGTTACGTACCACGCAGTACAATCATACGACAATCTGGTGACACCATCGGTCATGATGACGCAAAGTTCCAAGCTGCAATAACCTCGTCCAGCGACCGTATCGCCCAACCCGACCCCATCGTAGTTGACATCTGGGTGCCAGTCGCATGGAGGATCTCCTTGATGCCCTTATCCAGTAACATAGCATCCGTCGTGCCCTGCGGCGGTGGCATCCGCAGACATTGCACGTGCGCGTCATTCGCAAGCCGCTTGAGCATGTGCAGGAACGTCGACACCGGAACATTGTTGCGCTGCAGGTACCAGGAAAGGTACGCAGCAGCTGCGTGCTCTGCAGAGCCAACTGAGAAGGCGGGTATGGCCTCGCCACGGGCGTAATGCCCCAATATCCGCTTGAACACCGCTGTGTCGCGAATGTGGTCAAGCTGGAGGTCCAACGCATGGGACGCACCCGACAGCGTGTTCTCGCGGATGAGAGGTGGACGGGGATTGTTCTCCGCGCGGCCGCCGAACCGCCTGTCATATACTTTGTTGTAGAAGTCCGTTGCAAAGCGCAGGTCTTGTGCCCGGAGGCTGAAGTACCGTGACTTCAGCGACATGGTCCGGTAGCGGAAGAGTGTCAGGTGCGACTGGATCGTCTGCGCCTTGTCCTGCAGGATACTATCAAGGAGACTTGCGTGACAGTAAGAATGCAGTAGGCGCTCCTGCGTAGTTTCCCCGTCGTCACGGCAGAAGCGGTCAGCAAAAGCGAGGAAGAGTGCATCATTTGAAAACGAGGATATAAACTGGTGAAGGTCACTAGCTGGATGGGTTTTGAGTTCTGTCAGCTGTGGGAAGTCGAGAGTGGCAGCGTCCCCGGTGGACGACCCGGATCGCACAAAAAGGCTCCGGCTGCCCTTTGGATCCTCCATATAGCTCAAGAACGCGGTTCGCCGTTTGACAAAGAGCGTCTGGCTTCGAAGGAGTGAGTCCTTGTGACGAGGGTAGTTCGCGATGTCCAAGTAGAAGGGCCAGTACCGCGGAGTATCTACTCGGATCGAAAGCAACTTGTCGAGATCAGGAATCAGCGTCGGGGAGATCAGCTGTGTGGTCCCAACATCCTTGCCCTCTTTGACCTTGATCTTGACGGGCAGGTACACCACCTCCTTTGTATCTACGTCCCGCGCTATGAGACACCTAGGTTCTACTGCCAGCACCCACAGATGACGCAGGGCTTGGAGATAACTTTTGTTGTCGGAAGAGATTGCCGCATATCGGGGGAAGAAAGCTGCAATCATGCATGCAATTGCAGCATCAGAAGTGCCCAGGGTAAAGCGCCCGCCACCGAGGAAGAGTAGGCCTAAGGACATGTGAGTAGTAACGTACGTGCCATATCTGATGGGATGGTTGTACATGCCATACGCATATCTCAGCCTGCGCAAACAGTTAATTTCGCCTGTTCCGGCCATGACCATGTTGAGCGATATCGAGATCAGATTTAGGCCGTCGCGAATAGCTGAACGCTTGATTCTGTGATCAAAAGCAGGACCTTGAGAAGAGAATCTTTAACACGATGCTCCTCAAATCGCAATACAGACTTACTGTTGGTGTACGTCAGCTGGCTGAACATGTCGTAGTAATGGATGATGAGCAAGTACGCCTCCTCTCGCGCGGTACCCGCAAACTTGAGCGCTATGGCAAAGCAGCCGCCAGCAAGGATGTTGTAATACGCCAACTCGTACGCGTCATCCACCGGCTTGCCTTGGAACCGCCCGTTCATCGCCATGCCGATGTTGGGTGGAATCTGTGCCGATAACCAAACCTGGTTGGGGGCAATCCTGTCCCACATTATCAGCGCCCTGCCCAACGTACGCAGTAACAAGAAGCTTGGTTGCACGCTGTCTAAAGCCAGAAGCGTATCAGGAATCGTGAGGATGTCAGCGACGTCTTGCCGTTCCGTCCTCAAGTACATCAAGCCGAGCGCAATCGTAGCAGTAGGTGACGTTAAATTGATGTCAAAGGACGGCCGCTGTGACTTGCCGTCCACCATTGTGTGCCCCTCTCCGTGTATAAGGACGCGCAAACGTGATAGAAGGTTCAGGTCGGCTGGGATGGAGGACCCTTTACCAAGCATCACCATTCCACAAGCAAGGGCAGCCGACAATGTGTAGGCCTCCCGGTACTCGTTGCTGAGATCAGGCTGATAGAGGTCCTTGCGACTGATCTCGCCCAGACACACTTCTGCCATACGCCTATTCTTCGTCCCCATGTAGAGCAGCCCGATGCCCGTCAAGCCTGCAGCCTGAGTGATGAGCGGCACATTCAAGTCAACAGTTGGAGTGGGAAGTAAGGCTGGGGTGTGCACAGCAAGGAGTTTCGTGACATGGGGGTTGCTGCTACCAGCATTCGCAGCAGAAAGACCAAGAAGGACGCCAATCGAAGTCATGTCATGTTTCGGTGTGAGATATCCGAAGGTGTGCCATGTCAACATTTCTCTGAGGTGGCCTGTCAATCCAAGTGCGAACAAGAAGCCGGCGTGCTCGGGTGTCAGGTCAGAGGGTCTGTTGAACTTGATCCAGGTGCTCTCGACAGCATTTGACTGCGAAGATATCCGCAAGCCGGCTGCAACGCCATTGTGGAACTCTCCCCAGCTCAGGCATTCGGGCGGGACCTTCCCAAGCTCTGGAGTTATCAGCATACTGTGGGGTTGAAGTCGAACAGTAAACTCGAGCTTCGGAATCGCATATGCCTCGCGCGTCACGGTTGGAACAGAGCCGAAAGTGAACAAGGCTCGACCTAGAGGGAGTGCCAGCGTTCTTTCGGCCATTCGGACGACCTGATGCTGATTTTCCTTGGCTTGATCGTGTTCACTGGAAAACCCAAGGACACCATAGTTAGATAGAACGAAAGATATACACAGATACTCACCTTAGTTCTGGGTGATCTATGGCCTTGATTGTCGGAATGCTAGATGAACAAAGCATACGCGCAACCTCCTCCAACCTTCTGTCTTGTCCGAACCGAATGTGCGTGAAATCCTTAAGGTCCAATTCGACGCCGGACACAACGCCGAGTTCACCTGCAGTCTTGCACGATTCCTCTATTTGCTCCCGGATCGTTTTGCGCGGGGCTGAGAAGATCTGGTAGAAGATTAACATGTCAGAATATACAACAGCATGCTGCTCAGCACTCACGGTGTGATCCTTTGCTGAACGATACCCATAGCTAGTAAGCGTATCAGGCGAGGAGCTCAAGCCCTCTGCCAGATCGTTGCGTCCGATCAACTGGTAAGCAGAAACAGACCAATCTCCTGAAGGAGCTAGCTGGCACGTCCGTGCGGCCTCTCTGAGTGGCGCAGCAATCCCAATAGGCAAGTAACGTAGGACATCAAGCCCAATCTGTGACTTCACCAGCATACGCAGAGCATTCTCCGCGCGTTTCCTGCTCTCAGCGACTTTGCTATCCGCAAGGCACATGTACACGGCCGTGAGCTTGTGAATGCGCGCGAGAGGCTCCGTGCGACCGTAGGCGAATGATGCATTGATCTTAAATTGTGCACCAAATTCTTGACTTTCTGGCCAAGGAATGCTCCACTCCGGGTTATTAATGCGACCATACAGAATTGCCGACATATCAGGAGGCCAGAGAGGGAGTCGCTCGTCTAGATGGGCAATGACTACGGCAAGACCGTCAAGAACGTCCTACAAGAAGAAGAGTAGAATTCCGCACCTGTGGTTGCTGGTGAAGGCCATACATCGATAGCTTCTGGGCATAAGCGCTTCCAGAAATCCGCCCACTCGGGACGAACCACCATAGCAATCCGACAGATGACTGGGACCAGCTTGAGTAATGCAGGATGCTTGTATACCAAACATCGCATATCCTCGGCAACATAATGCAAAGCGTTCAGAACAGGGGCGAGAAGAGGGTGTGTTGGCTTATCAGGTTGCTTGCAGACATAAGCTGTACGGAGAGAAGGCGGAGGTAGCTGCAAACTCTGTAATGCAGGATCTTCACCAAAGCGAGAATATGATGTACTGCCAGCAAGAGCTGGCCAGGGGCGACTAATATTAGGGTCTATTGAAGGACGCGGGACTGGGTCTGGTCGCTCCAGTTGTAAAACTTCATAGAGTGCCGCAGTGAAGGCCCCAAACTCTACGTCCTCAACAATGGAAAAGTTCTGTTGTGACCACTTCGACAGGAACCGACTGTGGAGAGCAAATGATGTATCTGCGGGAAGTATCATTGCCAACATGAGTAGACATTGACGAGCCGTAGCATCATGCGGCATCAAGTTGATTGTAACGCGAAAGCGAGAGCTGTTTGAAAATACGACGGTGATGGAAGAATCGAGAGCATCCTCGATGGCAATGACGCCACCATCGGAAGGAACTTGTGGCTTGAAATTGGAATTGGGTGGTGGGTCGATGTCCATATCCATACCTCCATCTCGTTCGGGGAGTGTGAATTGCAGAGGCACCTCGTACAAACCATGCGTGAGGACGGCTAGACCACCGTCCCGTCGTAACACCAACAAGTCGCGGACGGTGTCACGAGTGGCCCGAATTGCGGCCACAGAACACGCAGAGAGACGGGTGTGAGGTGACGCAGTCAGAGTGTGGTCACCATGTTTCGTGACGCAGAATATCAGTAAAGTGTCCGTTCTGGGTAGACATACACTCAGTAGCGAGCGATTGACAGAGCCATCCCAGCGCTGGTCAAATTGTGCGGCAGAGATGTCTCCCAAAGACGCTGCACTACGAAATGACTGATCGTCAGCTGACGTACAACAACATGAAATACCACCCACTCTGATGCTGAGATCTCTTGGGTGTATAGCTTCTCCATCCAATATGCAGGAGTCATCTTCGCCGTATCAACAGGCTGTGGAGGGACTTCGGCATGCACACGGGCATTCGAGACCATCTGGTCCATCGTTACGCTCAAGTCGAGTTTACTGATAGAGTGCTGTCGTTTTCCAGGGCGCTGAGGCTCAGATGACGTCCCATTCACTAGAGCAGCCATAGTGGCCGCTGCAGACAGCGATGGCGGCATTCCAGGTAAAGCACTCAATGACAACATATAGATTCCTTGAGCAGAGAGCCCGTTTGCATGAGCAGGCGCTTCGCCCATGGCAATGCTGACGTGTCTACGATGAACGGGAGTCCCCCCGGTCATAGAAGCTCGTTTATTGGCCTTCGTGCGTGGTCGTGGTCGTTCGTGAGAAGCGGCAGCATCCTGTGGTTTGATCAAGGCATATCTCCAAAGCGAGACCTGGCTTGTTGTTGCATTAATAGTAACCATGACTTGATCCGACAAGTCGAACCCTCGTTGTGACAGCCAGACGATGTGCTCCTCCGCGTCCACGAAGTTCATGGACTTGTGAGAGTCGTCATCCTTAAGCGACGCAGGAACCTGGTGAAAACCTCCTATAATCTTCTCAGCAGAACATACCGCAAGTGGCTCGGCGAAGGGATGAACGAGGGTGAAGATAGTCGGTAGAAGAGATTCCTGTGAGGTCTTCGCCTCCGCCACTTCCACCGCGTCTACAACCCGTTGAATCATCACTCCGTAAGGGTGTAATGGCCACGCTCTACGCACAATAAATGGCAGATTGAACGTGTAATCCATGTCACCGAATAAAAATATCTTGCCAATGCTGCGCAGGAAAACGAACAAAGCTCGTGCGTAAGACCCAGGCTCATGCTCGCGTTTCTGCTCCTGCTGGGCGCGGGCAAAGGGACCAAAAGTCGCTCTTTGCGAGGAGTCCGACACAGGCGTCGACATCTCGGGATTGCAGTACGTGTAGTGGGCGGGGCGCATGGAAGATGCCGATGTGACTGCACTTGGTTGTTCAAAGTAGCCAATACAGGCCCACTGAACAGGTTCACCCTCGTCTTCAAAATTGAACCTTTGACGTATTATTCCACCGGAACTGAGAACGACGGTGTGGGCATCCCAGCTGAGCTCCTCGTCTCCTGGAGCATCTTCGGTTGCCGAATACAAGGTGGAATGTACGGTAGCATCAGAGTCGCCTCGACTTCCCGCCAACGTGGCACGGATAGATTTCAGTAGGTTAGACTCTTCAGCTTTGACTGCATGTTTTGAGGACGACGCGTAAGCGAGATATTGATGGGCCGATGATATTGGACGCCATCGTGGACTTAGAATAAGAGGTTGCATAGACTCCATCTTGCGTTTGCACACCTACTTCCGAGTAGTTTATCCTACTCGATGGAATTCACTGGAAAGAGGAAAAGTACACCTCATGAGATACACGAGAAAATACCTCTGCGGTTCGCTGGTTGTGAATATCTCATCAGCATCGATTCATAATTTAAACAAACATTACAAAACCTCACATCGTCGCACCTATATCTCCCTTCTTTTCTGTCCCAGAAGATCGAATTCGGCGCAAGTTCAAGACAAGCACGGATCGGACAAGGTCGTTCAGCAGCTGAGCGATTGCCCGTCAGATTCGGAAGAGAACCAGGAGCAGTTGAGCCAGCTAACCTTGGAAGATATTCGTGCCGTCCAAAAACCAAGCGACGAGCGAGATTACTTTCTGGGTTGGACGGGGGAAAGTGGAAGAAATATTGGTGGTGAGGACACAGGCGCTAGTCGCGCTCGCACTCACGAACGCGTCCTGTTACGTAACAAGATCTACAAATGGGCAAAATTACATTATGTAACCCAGGTGAAGTTCAGTATAGACCGTCTCCAGTCTCTTTGCTTGCTTTCCTCATGTCGTCAAGTATCGAGCTCATAAATCCCAAAGCCGAAAGCATCCGCCGCGCTGCGGCGTTGCAGGTGAGTAGTTGCCAGTATGACCCACTCGGAAGAAATTTGATAGATTTCGTCTGCAGGTTAACACAACGGGTGCTATGGGACTTGCGAACGTTGTGAAAGGCAATCTAGGTGTGCAAATAAGTGTATGTGTGCGCCAATATGTATCAACTCACGTTTGTCGCGTCAAGGTCCACGAGGCACACTGAAAATGCTGGTGGACGGCTCGGGTCAGATCAAAATGACAAAAGACGGGAAGGTTCTACTCTCTGAGATGCAGATACAGAATCCTACCGCGGCCATGATTGCCCGCACGGCCGTTGCACAGGACGACCAGGTTGGCGACGGGACGACATCCGTGGTATTACTAGTCGGTGAACTACTGAAGCAAGCGGATCGGTACATCAGCGAGGGTGTGCATCCCACTGTCATAGCGGAAGGCTTTGATCTGGCGAAGAAGGAGTCCCTGGCAGTGTGTATACCTCTCACCATTTCCCAGTTCTGCAATATAACCGTTTAGTCTCTTAGTTTCTGGAGAAGTTCAAGCAACCGATGAAGTTGGATCGTGCGACTCTGATAAATGTGGCCTATACTTCCCTTGCGACGAAAGTCCATTTATCTCTAGCGAAGCAACTTGCCGCTGAGGTCGTAGATGCTGTGTTGACGATTAGACCGCCACCACCATCAGAAGGTCAGTATTACTCCATATGTTTCCTTAAGACATGTACTTATGGCTGGGCACAGGGTCTGGAGAATTCCGAGAGCCGATTGACCTGCACATGGTTGAGATCATGAAGATGCAACATCGGACCGCCTCTGAGACGCAGCTCGTTCGCGGACTGGTTTTGGATCATGGCGCAAGGCACCCAGACATGCCGAAGCGCGTCGAAAATGCTTTCATACTAACCCTGAACGTAAGCTTGGAATATGAGAAAACGTCAGTGATACATGTTTCCTGGCCTTGACTCAACGGGGGATGTCTGATAATGTCTCGCAGCGAAGTCAACTCAGGATTCTACTACTCGTCTGCAGAACAACGAGAGAAGCTGGTGGAATCGGAGAGACGGTTCACTGACATGAAATGCAGGAAGATCGTCGAGCTCAAAAACCTCGTATGTGACAAAGCAGTAGACGCGAAAGAGAAGCCGAAGAACTTTGTCATCATCAATCAAAAAGGTATCGATCCTATGAGTCTGGATATCCTTGCCAGGAATGGTATTCTTGCTCTCCGACGGGCGAAACGGCGAAACATGGAGCGGTATGTGCTTTAAATAAAGTAGAGATATCATGTGAGGCGGAACTCATGTGTCACTTATGGTCTTTAGACTGCAGCTCGTTTGCGGTGGTGTCGCCCAGAACTCTGTGGAGGATCTCACGCCAGACGTCCTTGGTTGGGCAGGTCTTGTCTATGAGCATACACTCGGGGAGGAGAAGTACACGTTCGTAGAGGACGTCAAGGATCCAAAGAGTGTCACTCTCCTCATCAAGGGTCCGAACCCTCACACAATCCAGCAGACCCAGGATGCGCTACGTGACGGCCTTAGGGCGGTGAAGAACGCGATAGAGGACGAGGCGCTTGTGCCAGGCGCCGGCGCGTTCGAAGTTGCCTGCGCAGCGCACCTGATGGGTCCAGTGAAGAAAAGTGCGAAGGGCCGTATCAAAATGGGTGTCCAGGCATTTGCGGAAGCCCTGTTAATTATTCCCAAGACGTTGGCTGCCAATGGGGGATACGATGTGCAGGACGTAGTTGTTGCACTACAGGTCTGGACAATAACTTCATTTAAGTATTGCCGCTGAACACTGTCTGTGTTATTAGGAGGAGCAAGCCGAAGGCAATACTGTTGGTATTGACCTACAGTCTGGGGAGCCATTTGATCCTACTGTTGAGGGTATTTGGGATAATTACCGGGTGAAGAGGCAAATGCTGCACTCATGGTATGACGCTTCCTAGTCCTTCGGTGCCACCACTGATATGCTATGCAGTTCGGTCATTGCGGTGAATCTTCTTTCGACGGACGAGATCCTCCGTGCAGGTCGTAGTTCGTTGAAACCCGAGGGACAGCAGTAAATGTATAGCAGACTCTACACTTCGATAATGACGGTACGGGTATCGATGAATCACAGTTGAGTGTGGACAATATCAACAATTAGCTGCTCCCAAGAACCTCGGTGAGCGAAAGTGAGGTACTTACTGCTACACACAAGAGATTTACGTCGATAGATCAGTAAGCTAAACACAGGAATACGTAGTACAATAAGGAAAATAAGGAGTACGGTGAGCAAGTTCATAAACGTCAAGGGAAGAGCCTCTGCTTGTCAGGAGTCCGTGTCTGACGAAGTGTCCCAACCGGCAAGAGTCAATTTAGCTGGAGAACTGCGCAAGTTCGCCGAAAACGACGCAGCCGGATTGCTGAGATAGGGAATGTCCACAGGTAGCAGCACAGTCTTCTTCCATGCCATTCCTGGGGATTTGTCTTGATTGGGAGGGGAGGATACAGACGAAGAATGTGATAGTAGTGACCTTGACTCTGTTGTGAGAGGCTCGCTGACAATTTGTTCGACGATCCGCTCTGAGTCTTCAGTTGAGTCCGCCGTGCCATATGACGAGTATGACGAGGACGATCCTGGGCGATGAGAGAGAAACAGGCTGTGAGAGTGCATCCATTGGGAATATGACGTGTATTCATCTGTTTCCGATGCATACTCCTCGTCAGAGAGCAGTTCTCCAGTGGGTTCGGCAGGATGAGTGTCACTGTCGGAGTAATCAATATCAGACTGAGTATCTTGCATGAGCGGTATTGAGGGTTTCTGGACGTCTGCATCCGCCCGCTCATGTAACCTCGAGGGAACTGGTGCCCAGCGACGTTTGGCAAGATTGATAGGAGAAGGCCGGAACGTGAGCTTGGGAACATACGTAGCAGACAGAAGGGGACGAGAAGATACGGAATCTCCGTCGTCATCGTCCACAGTCTCCAGCCTTCCCTCAATCTCGTCCAGATCCAGGGGTTCCGAGATGGTGAGAGCCGGGTCCACGTCATCTTCTGGAGTTATAGGTAAATCCACGTCCTCGTCCGTGGACACTTGTGTACCATCTGTGCTGTCGGCAATTGCTGCAGAGTCACCCGTAAGCATTGGGGCCCACTTGCGACGGGCAAATGTCATGGGATTGGGGGCACGAAAAAGAGCGAGCCCGGCATGACTACGCTGAGGTAATTCCGAATCGGATGGGAGGAGGAAAGGATTTCCGTCGTCTTCCTCGTCTTCATCTGGCGACAAGCTCTCCTCTTCGAGTCGAAGCCTCTTGCTCGGTCGTTCGTCTTCTTCTTTCTCTTCTTCAATTTCATACCGCTTGTGGGACATGAGGTCCTCTATGAGGGGTCGGTCATCCTCACTCTCGCTCGTCTCCGGCCTCCTTAGGATTCGCGATCGATATTTGGCCCTGTTCAAGGCTTTGTGGGCCCGAGAGAAGCGACGACCGCCTACGGTAAATTGGAAGTTCTTGCGCATGTAGCGGCCGTTCGTATCCGCTTTCTTGCCAAACCTTCCATTCTTCTCCCTTGGCTGTGAGGCAACAGCCAGGGATTTCGGGGTTAGAAGTTTAGGGCTGTCCTCAGACTGCGGACTGTCGTCAGAGTTCGAATTGCCCTCCACAGTCGGTTCTTCTGGACCGTCCCCAATCACGTCAATGGGGTCATCGCTTTCTGTAGCAGAAAGCGACGACGTCGACGAAGGCTTTGGAAGCAGTGAAAATGGCATGGCCAGCTTTGGAGTCTCGCTCTCGCGCAGCTTTAGACTAGGTACGCGTGCGCGACCGCTCCGGCGTCCCTTAGGCACACCAACGTTCAATAATTCCTTCGCTTTGATTGACATACCCACTTTATTCTTTGGAGGACGACCGCGGGGACGGCCTGTGCTTGTTTTCTTCTTCTTCACAGGCCGTTCATCGCCGACATCCTCAACGACACGGCGACGCTTATATGGGCGTTTGGGTAACGTTGTACTCGAGGCAGCAGCGGCGAGTTTGTGATCGAGCGCCGCGAGGGATGTTTTGGTTATCTTTCGCGTCCAGGACGCCCCCAAAGGAACACTGTCCTCGCGCGGGGTCGGGACGAAACCCGCACCACCGTCGCTTGCAACACGATCCGGCCACTTCATAGCATAGATTGCAAAATGGCGCATGCACCTGCGAATAGTACCATCAACAAGATGACTTGATTCAGAATTTACGACACTGACCTAGGGCATTCCACATGCACATGCTTTCGTGGTCTTCCCCTCTTGCCCGTTCGACCGAGTGCGAGACCCCAAATGACCTGAGAATCGACCGAAATCACAGGAAGTACGTTTTTGCAGGTAATGCACGTTGGGAGGGGCTTTCCATCAACACCTCTGGGCCCCTCACCCGGCACTTTCACTAACGGTTTCTGTTGATCGGGCACCGTTGGAACAGATACTCTTGGACGCAATGTGCGCATTTCCGGTTCTTCCCTTTTTTTCTGCTTCAAATCCGAGACATCGGCAGCGGAAGCCCTGGCAGAGGTATCATTCCTGTCCTTCAAGGGTGTCGTCAGACGAGAAGAACCTGTCCCTACTGAAAGTGCACCACGGGTCCGGATGCGCGAAGACGAGCGCACACTTGGTGCAGTGGAAGCTGAACTGTCATCTGTTGTCAACGGCGGCGTCACCAGCTGCCTGTTGGCTCCAAGCCGAGACTTCGCACCCTTGCCAGGGCTTCCTTCCAGCTGCGCAGAAGTAGCGGCTTCCCTGGCTTTTTGACCACGTGTCGAGATGACAGACTTGAACGGCGTTGACGCTGTACTAGGCGTTAGCTTGCGCGGCGTCGATGCTACCGATGCTGTGTCGTGGCGCCATCCACGGAGCGCTGGCTCGGGATCTGGCGTCATCAACCCTTTGCCCTTCGAAGGACCGGCGACCTGGGCAAGTGGAACTGACGAGCGGGAAGGTGGCAGCGAAGTCAAGTCTGAAGCGGTATCCGGCTCTATCTCGGCATCGAGCTCCATCTGCCCACCGCCCACCGCCACAGAATTGACGACGGCGTAAACGCCTCGCCGCGTGCGGCGCTCGTTCACGTTCACGTCCTCCTCGTCTTCTGAATCGTCCGAATCGCTTGATGACGACTGCTGGAATGCACCCTGGTCGGAGTTCGCACCTGCGGGAGAGGAACCAGAATCGGACGCGTCGTCATCTGATGCATCAGGCCCATAACCGCCGCGTCCATTCCGTTCGCAGGTTTCGCACAAGCAGTGGCGGTTCTTACGTCCGACTATGGCGGAGATGAGCGTCAAGTCGAAAATGATATCTTACACAAGGAAGAGATTGCTCACAGTAACCATCTCCATAATGCGCAGTAACCTCTTCTCCCACCGCGATCGGCTTGAGCACCCTAAAGGTGATGTACCGCCCCTCACGAAACAACTCAGCGTTGTGGTCGCAATCGTGCTGTGATACAGAAATCACCCCTGTCACAGCCAGATCAACACCGGTGCATCGCAACACTCACATTCACGAACCGCGCCGGGCCTAGGAACAGGTGGTTCTTCTTCAACTGTTTCGAATGGATCACGCTGAAGTCCCGTCGAATCCCCGCCCCATCCGCGTGCCGCTCGTCCGTTCGTTTGAGCTCCTTGTCCTCGTCTTCCGTCAGGTCCGCCATCGAGCCCTTCAGCTCGCTAATAACTGCGCCAGGCGCTAGGGACCGCGTAGCCAGTATGCACAGCTCTGACTTCCCCGTCCGGTGTGAATACCGCGACGTATGCGCGATCTCAATAGACCCTGTTGGCATGTACAGCTCGAAGTAGCGCGACGCATGACTGCAATGACGCAACGAGGTCAGCGACGCGTCTCACTACGAAGCGAGAAAGGTGATGAGAGACGTACGTGGCGAACGCGTTCACCTGCTTCTGGCTGTACAATCGCAGGTAGTAGCGAACCGCAGACAGTCTGTGGCGAACAATTGTCAGCTAGTGACAAGAGAAGATACAGGAACGCGTACGACAACAAGCTGTCCACTGCTTGACGAACTGCGGTCTTCGAAGGCAATTTGGACGCCACCAACTAAGACACGGTGAGTTGAGAGAAATTGAAATAAAGATAGGCACCCACACGTCGCACTATCTGTAGGAGCTGGTCCGAGTCAGTCTTTGGTAGCCTTCGCGACGGGTCCATTTTGTGCACGACGAGGGGAACAGCACCAGTACCCAACTTTTCGACGAGTAGATGACTTAGGAAGTCGTCGTCACGCGAAAGATCGCGCATGTTCATAATCTTGGTCGGTCGCCATGCCTCGTTCAGCTGCGCCCTCGCTGTCGCATGTGGCATTGAATAGAAAACTCGAAAAGGGTGAGGGTTTTGAAAATGTACAGAATGAAAGCAGGTGAGAGTGAAATGAAGAGGGGCAGGGAACGAGAAAGGAGTTTAAGAGCAAGCGGTGCTTTGCCCACAAGGAGCGCACCGTGTGGCTGTAGCGTGCGCTTAGCAGTTGTGGCCTGAACGTGACATCACGCTCTTGTCTCCGGTCTAAATTTTCGTGTCACCTTTCCAGTAACGATTGGTCAACATTCGGACCAAGCAGAGTATCGCGGACAAAAGATGCATTGGAATGAGCATGGACACATAGTCGTCATACAACAGGTAGAGAAGAGTTATAATGGTCATAAGTTTGGTTCGCCGAGCATTGTCGCATCTGCGCTCTTACGTCCACTCTCACACTCCACCTGACGGGTAGGGGAAGGGAATAGAAGTACCTCGCTCAACCGAATTACGCTGCGTGAGCATGCTTCTGCTTGCCGGTCCTAATCTTCCTGAGGTAGAACTGCATGTGACGCGTCAGAAACGCTACGTGGGCAGAGCTGGCTATTTGTAGCAACTCACCTCCAACTCCTTACCCTCGAGGATATATCCGTCCGCACGACCGGACTGACCTGGTCGGCTGCTGATACATGCGTATAGGCGGCCAGCAGCGAACTGGCTGTCAAGCATAGGGTCGATCTTCGCGTCTGAAAACGGTCAATTGTTTCAGGGTCAGCAAATCCTACATGACCAGAAAGAAAGGACACTTACCCTTCTTCCTCTCTTCGAACTTACGCTCAACGTGGTGCGACAACTTTTTCTCCTCTTGAGTAGCCTCAGCCGTATCCTTCTTTGTCCCCCTCTTCGTTACGGGCTGCGCGTACTGCACAACAATAACATGTTGGATGCAATCCAAAGCGAGAAAAATAAAGCATACGTGGGCCTCATACCACTGACGGAATGGAGTGGCATCAACCTGAATGATAGCACTCTTGACAAGCGTGTTTGTCCGGACCAACTCATTGTTCGACGCATTGTAAGCCTGGGGTATTATGGTAAATATACGAAGTTCTCGAGCGGAGACGCGGGTTACTACTCACCACAACAATAAGCCTGGTCTTCCGGGTGACGTGCTCGCTCGCCCACGCGAAGTTACCGGAGTCAAGGCGCAGTGCCCGGTACTTCAAGTTCCCCCCGCGAACGCGGACAGTGTGAATCCGCTTGGGTCCCAGCTTCGTGCTTGCGGGTTGGCGGCCGAGCTCGAATTTTCTCTTTTTGCGGTAGTGGGGACGCTGGGCCCCCGAGGCCGATCGCTTGTGCCGGGAACTGCGGGAGATACCTGCGCGAAACAATCAGCGGGAGCGTAGTTATCTCTGAACACAACTGACCCATGTCGGATGTCTTGAGGGTGGTGGAAGTGACTCTGCCCTCCACAATCCGTGGACAAGCACTTACAGTTTATGACATAAGGTTCACACTCAGCTATTATCCGAGAGGGAATCGGAGATAATCGGACTTTCAATGATAGTTCCATTTGTGTTCTACTAAATATGCACAAATATTGTGTTAACACGCCCTCCTGTTCGTGGTTCTCAGTGGCATTCTTTGGCGAACAGTGAAAGTTCTGGCTGGAGTTTGGACTTGGCACTCTGTCGTCGTTTCGAGCTCGTGGATGGTGCTGCAGCGACTAACAATGCTGTATGTGCAGGCTTTCTAGTCTTGGAATCGGGTGCTTGGTGGATTTCTGGGGCTCGATCTTCCGTAGAGTAATTAGTTCCAAGGGAGCTTGTCTGAGGAGATGCTGCTGAAGTAGTTGGCTGTACACACCGTCTTATTGTCTGGTGAGATCTTGCTGCTGTTAGTGTCTGTTGGCCGTCTTGTCTCGTCTCTGGCACGGGATATAGCACAGTCCGTACCCGTGTGTATTGCAATATTACAGGCATACGGTCGTCTACCCCAGATGCCGCACAGCGTACCTCGATCGTGAGCCATCGCGTACAGTTGGTCGAGCTGCTGGGCTGGTTTAAACTTGCAAGTGCATGTCCATTTGTACAAACGTGTATTGGAAGTCTACGATGCCCTCAATATCCTAATTCATCACCCCCTGATTCCTTTGCAGAACGGCGAGTCTTGTAACTTCAATCTGTCTGGAGCTTGCCCCAACATGCTCCCTCCTGAAGCGAAATGGAGCCCAGATACCGGACCTTTATGGTGAGGTCATGATTGTTACATGAGGCAATGTCGGTGTCAGGAAAGAAATCATCGAGGTGAGGTCTGAATGTACAGCTCAAACCTTGCCAATATTCTATAAGTATGGGTCAAGAGACTGAAAGAGAAGCTCTATTCCTGAAACTAGATTTAGCAGATCGCAAGTCTGTCAAGACTGCGCGGAAGAGCATAGAGGTACATCATTGTATGGAATATACGAGCATACGGACGCAATACATCTGCATTGAGGAGACTGAACTGCATGTCTTAAATAAGTGTCCAACAACGGAGCAGTCATATTTCCTCCTGTTGCGCAAGTGACTTAGTCTAGTTTTTAACGCGGGGGGCTTATCGGTAGGTCCCCAATTTCGTTCGGAGCTTGGACCTTCAGGGAAAGAATTGCGTGACCGATCAACTCGCCTGCAAGAGAATGAGTCGGAGCTGGAAATAAGAGAACAAGCGCTCGCCGCAAGCTCACGGTGCGCAGATACTACATACTCCAGGGAAGCGGTCATTGTTACATTCGAGATATCTCAGTCAAATGGCATGCCTTTTAAGCTGCAGGAGACAAGCAAAAGAAGCACATCCAAAGGGTAACAAAAGAAGCAACTACTGAGGATTGGTTGTGAAAGTTCTGGCTTGAACTTGGACACTGTCACATCCCAATAATTTTGTTCCTCCTTCTAGCATGAGACTGTTGAAGAAATCCGGAAGACTAATTGGGAGTCACTCTGGCTACCACTACCATGGTTGTAAACTGTGCGGCATATTGATATCCCCCACCTAAAATACAGTATTAGTGGATTTAGCTGTTCTGAGGGCTCTGAGGCATGGATTTTCTGAAAATACATTCAGTCTACAGACAGTACATAACAGGAGAATGTCCTGTGCACCAGAGAGCTATGAGGATGCGGCAGAAACACGAGACTGGCATGGGTAGATGAGAATGCATTTTGACGCGTCGCGTGTGCACGTGATTTGCAGAGATGAAAATACCCAACCTACCAATAAGGACCACCTTAATGATAGCAGACGCCAGACACGGATATCCTGAGGAACGAAGGTTGAAGCAGAGTGTCAGTCTGCCTTTGAGAGACTAAAGTGACTGTCACTGCGGACGGATATGATTCACAATTTGGGACGGACATTTTTAATATGCGTCAGTCTCGCCTTCGCATCAGTACCAACCTCCATCTGGAAAAAGAACAATACCTATATAGTGCTATGTAGCTCGCGTAGGCCTGAGAGGCCTGTAGCAATGTCCCAAATTATGTAGAGGTCTGTAGATGAGCTGTTCCTACAGGAGTATCGGCTAGTATCGGCTAGGACTGTAGTCGCATAGTCTCCGAGGCTCTGTAGGATCCTGTAGGACCTGTAGGACACGGTGTGAAAGTATTCTTGGCTGCACGATAGCTCTATCTTGACATACCATTTTCCGGTGCAATTCGTATGAAATGAGGCTCGGAAGGCAATATATTATTAATCAGGGTACGTACACCGCCAACTGAGCTAGATCTCAGCCTGACTCTCAGTCACTAAGATCATGCGGGGGGCTCCTTGGACTCATATCACCACCTGGTGCGGATTTTCCCATGCTCTTCGCCGAGCAAAGAGAGGGAGCATCGTCTGATGCTCCCAGTCAACACAGATTCTCACCTATGGGAGGACTGTAGATGCCACCAACAGACAGACAGCCAACTCGACATCGTCCGATTCGCCATTGCGGCAGTCGTTCCCCCGCATGTTCACTCGACAGGGTACATCCGACTTCGTCGCGATGCATCCACCAGCCTGGATCCTCAAACCTTCTACTCTGTCCATCCTCGACATGCATCCACTATCCAGCACTTGCCATCCATCTCTCTGCCTCAATTGAGGTCTTCATTTTAGGTATCCCACCACCACTTTTCCGCCTCACATGATTCACACACGGGAGCATTTGCCGAAAGACGGCTGCATGAACCTACGGGAGTTGTGCCCCGCCATAGCAGGAATGCGTTTGTGGCCTTAGTCGACATGGCGTAGTACGCCGATGGGGAGGGGTAATAAGCAGGGATTGTTACAACGCTCCCCACTTGTGGCGCGTCTTTTCTTTTTCTTTTTCCTTGTTCCCTTTACGCTACCAGACCACGTGATCCAACACGTGACTCATTGGAGCGCAACCTCCGATTCTTTACCCAGATGTCCAGAACCCCTAGTCTAGGGTTACACCGGATCCAACTCCGGACCTTCTTCTTATCGCGCATGCAAGACGTGCATGTACGCCTCATCTTTACCTCGTTCTGATACACGACTCGTTATCCCCATTAGTACTGATTATCTCTCACGACCTTACTCAGCTTTCTCATACATATTACTTCCTCGCTGTTACCTTGCCCAGATATCGTTTCACCTTATCTAGCCAATGAACGATCTTGCATTACTGCGTAGTACTGCGGATACCTTTTGTATAAGTAAACGACCTTGTCGAGCTGGATCCCCATCTCGACCTGGTTACCATTAAACCAGCTTTTCACTTGCCTTTGACTGAGATCGACCGTCAGTAGCAGACAGCTACTACGAGTCATAAGAACGAACTCTGATCGACCTTCAGTGCGAGGACATCGCCAGAAGTGTCACTTGAACGGACTTGTGTCTTAAACTAAGACCTTGTCTCGTGACGACTCGACTAGACGCTCGTGTTTCGCTGCCGCGTAACATTAGGTCGAGATCTTATTACTCTCTGTGACTTCCTAGAGTCTAACAACGAACTACTGACCGGACCGAACCTTGAAGACTGAACGATACACCCGATTCGATTGCTAAAGCACCGTTTGAGATTACTCTGTAATCGAGGTAGCTGAAGGGATAGACTGATCACTCATCTTCGGAGAGGGGTCTGTCCGAGAGACCAATAGGCCGAGGAGGCTGAGGTAATCACTCGAGCAATCAGCAAATAGGTGTATCAGTTTGAAGACAGAAGACACTCTACGGGCTTGTTAGCCGACGACGAACGAACCCACTTAGTTAAGGACGGTGTGCAGTCTACGTGTAGACATAGGCCACACAGAAGAATTTATCCACGCTGGATTTTAACTACATCAACCCGACCGCTCTTCCAGAGCAGTACCGCGAGCACCTCCCATCCCAAGCGGAGTGGAGCACAGAACGAAACGCACATTTCGTAGGAGGAAGGCCTGTATTCATCAGGCCAGACAATCACAACTTCGACTACTCCCCAGAGGAATTTGAAAGGACACTTCCCCATAATCTTGGTGGAATAGTGCTCCAGCACATCGCAGACAGCGATATAACGACCTCCTATCCAGGAGAAAGACCAGACGCCCCTTGGAACCCCCCTGCCCAGAATCCTGTACCCCAACCGACTCTTGCACCAATCGTACCCGATTACATACCACCGATGGCTACAGTTACCATGGATGAAGGACGTCACCATGCTAGCCAGAAGGAACTTGGTTTTAGAAAACCCGAGATCTTCAACGGTTCAGACCGTTCAAAGCTTAGGGAATTTATAAACCAATGCAAGAACTACATGGCCGGAAATAGCCATGTCTACCAGGAGGACAATCAGAAGATCGCATTCGTGCTATTGCACATGCAAGGAGGAACAGCAGGATCATGGGCACAGAGCTTCATAGAAACGGAACTCACCAATGATGACTTCCTTTCTTATGGGAGTTGGAGAGACTTCATTGCAAGTGTGAACAAAGCATTTGGCGATGAAAATATTGAAGAAACCGCTCGTACCTTGCTGCGTAACATCAAGCAAGGAACTCGTACTGCGGACGACTACATTGCCGAATTCCGATCGCTTGAATCCAAGGCGAAACTAGAAGATGCCGGAAATATCGAGTATTTCAAGTGGGGACTTAACGACCCACTCCGACAAAGGATATATGGGATGGAAAGCATGCCCAAGACACTTGACAAGTGGTACAAATACGCCTCGCGGTTTGATAACCAATGGAGATCTGCTCAGATCTTCAAGCGAGGAGCCACTACGACGACACGAAGAAAGGGCCGATCTGTCCATCGTCCCTACTACTCGGCTTCTGCAAAGGATCCAAATGCGATGGATGTTGATCGTGTCAATATCTCGCGCTTATCCCCAGACGAGCGACAGAAGAGAATGAAAGAAGGATTATGTTTCCTATGCGGAAAGAAGGGCCATATAGCCAACGACAGACAATTTCACCCCCAGTCTGGAAGTTTCACCCGTGCTAGAACGATACAGCCCGGGTTAGACACAGACACGATCACATGGATCAAGAAGATGCGAGAAGACCTCGCACAGAAGAAGGAGACGTCGAAGGAAGAAACCAGAGAGGAACAGATCGCCTATGTGCGAAACGTCTTCAACGACATGACTGACGAAGAACGAACCCAATTGGGTTTTTGAGACGACGGCCACTAGTAATGCATGGACCGTTGCATCTTACCGTATCTCCCCTCGTTATTTGTAACACTAGCGGAAATTCAATCACTGTGAATATTTCGTTGGGAGAGAAGGAAGACGTTACAACAGAAGCCTTGATCGATTCCGGTGCAGCCGAAACGTTCATGAACATTCGTTTTGCGGAAGAAAACGATTTCATCAGATGGGAATTACCAAAACCGATTACAGTCATGAATGCAGATGGCACACCAAATCAAATGGGCACCATTACTCATTGTACCTGGAAGATGATGAAAATCGGAGGAAGGAAGACGCTTACTCGCTTCCTCTTGACCGGCATTGGCAAAGAAAACATACTTCTCGGCATGCCGTGGCTTAAACGCCTCAATCCGATGATCAACTGGGAAACCGGTGACTTTTGGTTTGGTAAAGACGCCAAATGGCCACCGAAACCCACCGTCGAAGATGCACCAGATAAAGAAGTTTCGATTTTCAAGGAAGATGGACTCCCAGAGTTAATCACCACCGAAACTTCCCCTACCTCGTTTAGACATTCGGAGTCTATTAGAGAAATCATGGCCGATAACACTGAGCGTGGCGAGTTACCCGCAGTGCGGAATGATACTGAACCAGATGACCCACCATCAGAAACCCCTATGGATCAGCTCGATGACGACGATCTAGTTATATCCTATATCGCAGGAGAGCCAGTCATTGGGATATTTGAACCCATCAGGAAGGAGTCACCTTTGACGAATGAAGAGACTGAAACCGCAGTCTTCACCATACGAAGAGGCCCCGCCATTGGAAGAATGACACACAGTACTCGATCCCCATTATTCTGTAACGCACAGAATACGGTCTTTTACAAACCATCCGGTAAATCACAAGAATTGGCACAACAGGCACACAAGGAAGCATCAGCTGTAGACAAACCCAAAACCGTCGAGGAGTTGGTCCCCAACTACCTCCACGATTTGAAGTCCGTCTTTGAAAAGAAAGCAGCTGAACGCTTTCCAGAAACCAGGCCTTGGGACCACGCCATTGACTTGAAACCCGATTTTATTCCACGCGACTGTAAAGTCTATCCGTTATCGCTCAAAGAACAAGGAGCGATGGATGACTTCCTGGAAGAAAATCTGCGAAAAGGATACATCCGACCGTCGAAATCTCCCATGGCTTCACCATTTTTCTTCGTAGGAAAGAAAGACGGAGCACTACGTCCCTGTCAGGATTACCGATACCTGAATGAAGGGACGGTGAAGAACGCCTATCCTCTTCTGCTCATCTCTGACCTTATGGATCAATTCAAAGGTGCATCGATCTTTACAAAAATGGATTTACGCTCCGGATATAACAACGTCAGAATCAAAGATGGTGACCAATGGAAGGGCGCATTTAAGACAAATCGCGGACTTTTCGAACCTATGGTCATGTTCTTTGGACTCTGCAACTCCCCGGCGACTTTCCAAATGATGATGAACGCACTCTTCAAGGACATGATCGATGAGGGATGGATAGTCATTTACATGGATGATATCCTCATCTTCTCAAACGATTTGGAAGAACATCACGTTCGAACCCGACGCGTACTCCAACGACTCGAAGACAACGACTTATTCCTTAAACCGGAAAAGTGTTTCTTTGACGTTAAAGAAGTCGAATTCCTAGGCATGATCATTCGAGAAAACTACATTGGCATGGACCCTATCAAACTTAAAGGAATTGCAGAATGGCCTGAACCAAGCACGGTAAAAGGTGTTCGCTCTTTCCTAGGGTTTGGAAACTTCTATCGGAAGTTTATTGCCAACTTCTCGGATATTGCCAAACCATTGACGAATCTTACGCGCACTGCCGCTGGATCCCCACCTTTTGAATGGACGACAGAATGTCAGACAGCTTTCGACACGTTGAAGCAACGATTCAGTACCGCACCAGTACTGTTACTGCCTGACAAGGCAAAACCCTTTATTGTTGAATCCAACGCCTCCAAGTTTGCTACGGGTGCAGTTTTACGCCAAGCCGACATCAATGGAGACCTCCATCCTTGTGCCTACATTTCACAGACGTTCAATCCAGCTGAACGGAACTACGAAATCTACGACCGCGAACTCCTCGGAATCATTCGAGCCCTCACTGAATGGCGCCATTATCTTGAAGGCTCTCCCCATCCCGTCGAAGTTCGTAGTGATCACAAGAACCTCACGTACTTCCGTACAGCTCAGAAGTTAAACCGCCGACAAGCACGATGGAGTCTCAAATTATCACAATTTGATCTTCACCTCATCCATGTCCCTGGCACTCAGATGATCCAATCTGATGCGCTATCTCGTCGTAACGGACTCGATGACAGTGAAAATGACAATGAAGATCGCGTTCTTTTACCCAACGCACTATTCGTGCGATCCATTTCCCCGACACTATTCGACGAAATCAGGAATCATGCAGCAAAAGACCTCATTGTTCACGAAGCCCTCGAAGCGATTGCGCACAAAGGGCCATTTCCCATGAAATCATCGCTTTCTGACTGGGAAGTTCGCGATGGTGTCATCCTCTACAAGGGAAAGATCTACGTTCCACCATCCGAAACTCTTCGTCGTGACCTCGTTCGACTACATCACGACTCCCCTGCCATGGGTCACCCTGGAAAGTTCAATACTCTTGAACTGTTACGTCGTGAATTCTGGTGGCCCGGCATGTATACATTTGTCTACAATTATGTTGAAGGCTGTGCCGCCTGTCAACAAATGAAACCGAATACTCATCCAACTCGTATTCCTTTGAAACCAATTCCCGCCGACCCACACGCATTACCATTTTCCTGTTGCACCACCAATTTTATTACCGACCTCCCCGTTTCCAACGGTTTTGATTCAATTATGGTCGTAGTAGACCATGACCTTACGAAGGGGGTGATTCTTACGCCCTGCCTCAAAACGATCACAGCCGAAGGAACGGCCAAGATTTTTCATGACAAAGTATACTCGCGATTTGGATTACCCGACCGAATCATCTCGGATAGAGGACCTCAATATGCATCCAAGGTCTTTCAAGAGTTAAATCGACTACTCCAGATCAGATCATCAATGAGCACAGCTTATCACCCTCAGACGGACGGAGAAACAGAGCGAGTCAACCAGGAGCTGGAAATCTATCTTCGACTCTATTGTGGAAACAACCCTGAAACATGGGCCGACCGCCTGCCAGACCTCGAGTTTTGTCATAACACAAGGGAACACTCGGCACGGAAGATGAGCCCATTCCGCATCATGATGGGATACGAACCACGTGGACTCCCTTCTGTATTTCCGACCACGAACATTCCATCGGTTGAATCCAGGCTTGACATGTTGCAGAAGATAAGACTAGAAGCACTAGCCATGCACGAGTTAGCCCGACAACAGATGGCGGACCGAGTCAGACAAGGATCGCCGAAGTTTACACTAGGACAGAAGGTCTGGCTAGACTCGAGGAACCTGAAGGTCAATTACGCCTCGCGCAAGATAGCACCAAAGCGTGAGGGGCCATTCGAAATTGTCGAAGTCATCGGACCGGCCAACTATCGTCTCAAACTCCCAAAGACCTGGCGAGTTCATCCCGTATTCCACGCCGCCCTTCTATCTCCTTATCGCGAAAACGACATACATGGTCCGAATTACATGAACCCACCACCTGATGTCGTTGATAACGAAGAAGAGTACGAAGTCGAAGCCATCCTGAATCACAAGACGTACCGAGGTCATCTGAGATACTTAGTCAAGTGGAAGGGATATTCTTCAGCAGAAAACTCGTGGGAACCTACCCACAATTTACAGAATGCCAAGCGAATCCTCGATGCATATAAAAGGACCAGGGGAATCCAGTAGAGGAGAAGAAACCCGGAATGACTACCACGACGGTTTTCCTCATCATCTTCCTAATCGTCCTCCACTGCACAACCCTCGCTTTTCTTTGGATCGTCCACCGAATCCTTATCAGACGACTTGTCGAACACACACTCTTCACGCGAGACAGCCCGCGCGCTGACGGCTGGGGTGATCAGAACGATGCCTGAAACTGATCAGGCAGCTCTTATCTCTGTGGGAATACTCTTTATCGTCCAATGGATTTTCATCTATTTGATTATTACCCGGATCCACGACATTCTATTTCACATCACAGATAACCGCGACCCCCTTAACGACCGAAAGGTATAAAAGGGGGAGAAGACGACATATCATCAATGCCCACTTCCGCTATAGACGACCTCGTTCACAATATACTCGCTGAAGTCGCCTCCACAATTATGAGCATACCCGCATCGCCTACGCTTGTCAATGGAGTACCCTCTCGAGCACAGACACCCTTTATCCGCACCTCATCGCCCTCACCTTCCATCGAACTCAGTCACGCATCAGACGAACAAGAATTTGCCACACGTCTGGTCTCGGCTATCCGTGTTCCTGTCGACTTCACAGATATCCTCGTCGCCTTACGAAATCGCCCGCAAGATCGACAAGCGGTGGTTTCCATGCAACGAGCATTAGAAATGGTCGAGTGGATGCAGACGGCCAGACAAGAGCTCATCGCAGCAGAAGAAAGGACGAGTAGAGCCCGAACCAGAGTCGACCAAGTCTGGTCGTTGATGCGCAGTACGGTCACTCGCACAGCACAGGAGATTTGGAGGGAGCATGGGGACGAAGACATCGGACACATCCTCGGATACACCACTAATGGAATACCCGCATCCACTCCTCGCTCGTCGCCAGAACCAATTCCCGTTCGACCTCGCCCTCCTCGTTCGCACGTACCCAGTGGACGATCTCCGTTATCCCAACCATCTTTCTCGACCGCATCCACTTCTTCGCGTCGCAGTCATCCCTACAGGAATGGACGTATCCCCGAACAAGGATCACGAACCAGCCGGCGGACATGCTACAGATGTGGAGGAGATCATTATGTCCGCGACTGCCCCCGACGACGATGAAGATCACAATATTTCTTGTGGGACAAGAAACGTTAGACGGGAGCTGATGTTACAACGCTCCCCACTTGTGGCGCGTCTTTTCTTTTTCTTTTTCCTTGTTCCCTTTACGCTACCAGACCACGTGATCCAACACGTGACTCATTGGAGCGCAACCTCCGATTCTTTACCCAGATGTCCAGAACCCCTAGTCTAGGGTTACACCGGATCCAACTCCGGACCTTCTTCTTATCGCGCATGCAAGACGTGCATGTACGCCTCATCTTTACCTCGTTCTGATACACGACTCGTTATCCCCATTAGTACTGATTATCTCTCACGACCTTACTCAGCTTTCTCATACATATTACTTCCTCGCTGTTACCTTGCCCAGATATCGTTTCACCTTATCTAGCCAATGAACGATCTTGCATTACTGCGTAGTACTGCGGATACCTTTTGTATAAGTAAACGACCTTGTCGAGCTGGATCCCCATCTCGACCTGGTTACCATTAAACCAGCTTTTCACTTGCCTTTGACTGAGATCGACCGTCAGTAGCAGACAGCTACTACGAGTCATAAGAACGAACTCTGATCGACCTTCAGTGCGAGGACATCGCCAGAAGTGTCACTTGAACGGACTTGTGTCTTAAACTAAGACCTTGTCTCGTGACGACTCGACTAGACGCTCGTGTTTCGCTGCCGCGTAACAGGGATGCCGAACCCTCTTCGTCCCAACTGTGAATCGCTGACGTGGAAGGAGGTTCGATGGGAGGACGGGATGGAGCTTTGATGCGGGTGAGTAGAGTTTGGTGAATGCGAGCTAGGCGGGGAACACGTTGAGGATGGCAAGAGGTTCAGTCGGTGTGAAGGGCTTTCTCAGTTTCTTTTTTCTATCTCTCCGTTTTCCTTTTTTCACTTCATAGACTTCCACCGTTGACATCACTTCCCCACACCCGAACAACGCAGTACTCATGAGACACCGCTGCTTTCATGGCAGCAAAGACACTTCTATTTTTCGACAACCCCTTACCAGCGCGTATTTACCTATGTTAGAGACTGTTCCTTGGTGCACTTGATCGTCTGCTTGCAGTATAAATACACAGATTTTCATCATCATCATCACTAAGATCATGCGATATCAGATGTAGATAACTGGTAGATAACTGTGTGGTTACGGCGTGATATCCAAAATCTGATCTCCTGTGAAACCTCTCTGACAACAAGCTGAGATCGTCCGGTAATATCATACTGAGTCCTCTCCTTAGGTCTCAGCAGCTCTGATAATGTCAAAGTGTGCAAAAAGTCACCTCTGCCTGCTATATTTCCCTGTCCTCTGCGACCTCCTGCTCCTTCCTACTATTGCTTGCTCGTCATCTTGGAGTCCGGAACTCTGAGTACGCCCTCCATTGACTGCATGGCTGTGCTGCTAAGAACGGGCCCTAAATTTTGCTCCCTGTGTTCAAACTGACACGTGATGCACAGACTTAAAAGTTTGTTCTCCGGCATCTTCTCTCGTCTTGCCATCTCCGACACCCTTCACCATTATCTCCTTCTCCTTTCTCCATCATTGAATTCTGGCTTCTGTCCTTCGCGACAATGTCCCAACACTCTTTTAATATACCACATTCTGATGTCCGCCAATGTCTGCATATGATGTCCCAAGCTCACCTGCACAGTCTCCATCACCAACGCTGAGTCATGACGTGTCCAGATTTTCTTTTCCATTCAATGGGCAACCCAATAGCCTGCCGGATACATCTGCTGGCTCCGTTGCACCACATAACACCATTGTCAATAAGCCATCAATTGAGATGCTCGGCAGGGTGTCATTCTTTGTACGTTTGGATTTGTAGTTGAACGAGTCCATGCATTGACCACTTGACACTTCAGAGACACTGTTACATCCAGTACAAGGGAACCAAGCAGCCATCGGACGACACTGCCCCGACGCGCCCCTCGGGCTTGCACGCGCGCCGTGGCACACCACCTGGGAGTGCTTTGCCTGCCTCGCCCTCACGCACCTTGCCGTTGTCCACGCGGTGAGCCCTTCCGTGCCCACAACTGCCCTCCTCCCCATGCTCCACTGCCTGCTCTCCCCGCCCTCCTCCCTCGCTGTCGCAGCAGGCCCACCTAACCTGCAGCTCGTCCTCGTGCAGGTCATCGGAGGCGCGTGCAATGCGTCTGCTGCACATGCATATACGGCCACGCTCAATGCCACGGCGACCACCGCGGGCGGGCCTGTGCTGCGCATCATCACCGAGTGTGCGCCGCTGTTGGTTGTGCGCCAGTGAGAGAACACCGCGTGCGTGGGCCCAGGTGTGTGGGAGGCTGCAGAGGGTGTCGTCTGTGCACGTGGCCTTGTTTGATATCCTGTAATACTCCTCTGTCATTAGCCTGTCATGTATTAGCACTCTCGTACTCACAACGTCTATATGCCGGCACTTAACCAATAAATACAACGTGGACAATTTGCCATTTCTGATGCTCTAAGATGGTTGTGACAAATAGCACCATTGCTATCTAGAAGATTACAGGGATATGTCCCGGTAAGATTGCGCATGAGCCTTGCTAGAGAGCAGGCTATGATACCACAGAGCTTGAACCACTGATATCCTGTTGATCTCAGCGCTGAGCTCAAGCGGCTCTCGCTCTCCCATGACAATTACAGGATTTGACGTTTTTATTGCTGCCTGATCTCAATGCTATTTCTGGAGATGTCAAGGGTGATCTCATCGGATATTTGCACTCGGATCACCATCCGATCTCTCGGCAGAATGGTGGTGTAGAACATTACAGTCAACAGTTATTATACAATAGAATGGCATAAAGTATCACAGCGGTGGAGCGCTAGAAATGACAGGGTGTCTAAGATGTGTACCGTTGCCCAGCAGGGTCAGGTTAGAAAAAGGAAATGCACCTGGGGTCTCTGACGCGTGTGGCACTGCGTGATGCTCGCATGTGACTGCGCGCCTCGTAGGCAGGCTTTCTGGCGTGTCACCTTAGTAGTATGTCACTGTGGACTGATACCATATTATAGTGACTTGGAGCGGGAAGCTCCTGGTGCCTACAATGCTCGTAGGCACCGACTGAAGGAGATATGTGAGTTATGTATATGTGTTTTGCCATCATAGTAGGTCCTTGAACAATCCATTGCAGATGCTCTGATTTGAAGGATTTAGTCATGTTATTCAGAATATGCACTGAACTGTTTTGAAGTCTTTTTTGTTTTTACTTTACTTGCTGAAATCTTGTCTTCCAAATAACTCGGTTTAGTGCACTTTCCGTGACACTAAGAACACCAACAGGCCACAAAAGCCTTATACACATCTTCCATCAGCAACTTTAACCCTACGGTATTGGTGCTTTGTGAATAGCCGAGTTCCTTAGGCATAGTGCAGGCTTTGCCTGTCGGCTCAAGCTTTAACCGGGTATATTCTTACATGACATCTATGGGTTGTATGGCTACTTTGGCCTCCCTTGTCAAAAAGCCCGAGTACTTGAATGCCTTGTAACTCTTCCATAGTGTCAAACCTCAGTCAAGCATTCAGATTGAGGAAGGATGCAGCTCTCTGCTGAGTCTCTGCCAACAAGGCGAGATATTGCACACCTCCTGGCTCCGGAATGGCACCGAGGAATCTGTAGATACTTCAAGTTCAGCACTCAGTGCTCAGCATCCAATCCCCCACTGTACCATCATACCCATCTGCCGATCCATCATGCTTCGAGCCTGTCTGGCATCACCAGCAAACCCACGATGGTGCACTGTACGATCCCGTTTGTTAGTCACTGGCTGGGCCTGTTTCACTTTCACAGAATGGTAATCTTAAGTTACTGTATATAGAGGTATTCACAATTTTACTTACACCAGCCATGTCACAACGTCTGAAGCCGAGCGCCATAAGGACCCCGGTGACGACTGAGTCGTGATTCATAAGCAAGATCCAACCTGACCCTGCTGGGCAACGGTAGATGTGTAAGTATAGCTCGCGATCAATGTCTTCCGCCCGCAACTCATGAGCAGAATGGACTCTCCGTATGCACTCCTCCCCTCCCACCTGTACTAGTAACCATGTACAGCAGCACTGACAATTAGTACTACAATAAATGCAAGACAGGGTGCACCTTTGTCAACGGTAGTACCTCCACTGGCAGAAGCGGTGGTGTCCAGGTCGGCAATGCAGTTCTTGAGGTCATGGATGCAGACTCTCCCAACCTGTGTGCATATCGAAGATCCTACCAGAGGGACAGGCACCGATAGTTTGCGAAGCAGATGTCCAATGTGCAATCCCAGAGGGGTCAGAGGTAAGTGGGCAGTGGAGAGAGCGAAACAGTGAGACACCATATGAAGTCTCCAGGCAGATTTAGGGCCGGAGGATAAAGACTTTGAACTTCTGCGCATAGTAGAGAGACGGATAGCGTCGGAGCGTTGATGTTCTGAAGATAGGAGCGTGTAGGAGCGCGTAGTTCTGTAGTATCTTGTAGCTCGGCTAGGAAACGCTTGAATGTTCTTGCAGACGGAACGGGGCTTCGCCGAGTCGCCGAAAGATTCATGAGATCTAAATTCCTCCCAACTCCTACATAGCGATCGGTTTGCTACGCAGTCCTACACAGAGCTATATAGGCAAGCAGATCTACTGAGACCTATGTAGAAGAGGCAGTCCTACAGTAAAAAATTCACTTTTGCAGATGTCCAGCGTATTCCTAGGACCGTTTCTACCTCACCCAGCTACTCTTACCCGTCCTCCTGGCGACCACTAAGAGCAGTCCCGATGGCAAAGCGCGTGTAATTAACACGTCTTTCATGGGACACCTCGTCTCGGACGTCGACTTCGACATGATTCCGTCCCTTCCCTCACTCATAGGGATCATTTTGTAGTCTGCCTACGGGAGACTACTGAAAGCCTGAAGTGAAGAATGCTTGATTCGCGCAAGCTGTACTTCCAGACCAAATTCGTCAGTTTTCATGATTATGCCCACAAGAACACTGATTCAACATTGTTGCAAGTGAACGTAGTGTTCTCGAATGAGCAATATCGAGGATATGTCGATCGTACCTGTCCCTTCATCCTGGTAATCTGATGTGGGACTTTCAGAGGCATTCATGAAGGCTCATATGGTAGGCTGCTCCTCGCTATTTATCGTAAGCTATCTCATTCGTCAACCCACAACGATAGTCATCGATCCTCCATCCTGCCCCATGACCACGCTCATTCCGTTGTGGGCAGGTACTAAGTACTTCGGAGGGTGCCAGCTTGGGTGGCAAGGTGAGTTTGCCGCTTTTTTGACTACGGAAAAAGTTGAACACTGCACTGTGTACTTCATTCCATGGGTGCGAGTTACCGAGGAGAGACCAATGACCCGCAGATCCCGCAGAAGCTGTGGATCTGGTTGGAGGCGCAAGTCGCCTATGTTCAGCGGGTGTAGTGACCAGGATATGTTTGTCGCAGTTCGTATATATATTCTTGACTAAAAGTGCTGTGTTCTCCTCTTGTACGATGGCCGTGTACTAGAGGCAAGTGTTGGCTATGCAGTGCTGCAATATTGCTGCACATAAGCATAAGTTTGCGTGTGGTTAACGTTCCATCATGTGATCGGTCCTCAACTCGCCCTCTTACCATCTGCCTCCAGTTTTCTGCCTCGTCAGTCTGCTGTGCAATAGGGTCGACATGACGCCACCAGCGTTGCTTTTACTTTGCTTCTCGCTGTTTTTTCCGTTCTCTCGCATCTCGGGGTCGCCGACGTACACGCCCCGACCACTCGTGATATGGCACGGCCTCGGTGACAGCTATGCGTCTGCAGGGATGCTCGAGTTCATATCGCTCATCAGGGACATGCACAAAGGCATATACGTTCATTCGGTCTACCTTGACAAGGACTTGGAACAAGATCAGCGCGCTGGCTGGGTAAGTACTAATTTGACCGCTTGTATTCCACGTGCAACCGAATGAAGGCTGTCGGTAGTTTGGCAACGTCAATGAACAAGTGGAGAAGGTCTCTGAACAGCTCGCAGATGTTCCAGAACTTCAAGGAGGGTTCGATGCTATTGGATTCTCACAAGGTTTGTTCCGCTTCCATAGTCAAATGAATGCGAACTTAGGGAGCCGGCTGGCCATTCAGGTGGTCAATTCGTGCGCGCATATGTGGAGAGGTACAACTCTCCACTAGTGCATAATTTGATTACATTCGGTTCTCAGCACATGGGCATATCTGATATTCCTCTCTGCCGTCCCCTCGATATTGCATGTCAACTGGCTCGCCGAGCCGCCCGAGGCGGGGTCTATACGGAGTGGGCTCAGTCAAATCTCGTTCAGGTGAGGGTACTTAAAAATGACAACTAACAATCTCATAGATTCTACACAAGGCACAATACTATCGCGACCCTGTCCAACTGGAGAGGTACCTGTCCTCCAATCACTTCCTCGCTTCCATAAACAACGAGGTTCCCGACACGGCTAATAGCACGTACTCGGACAACCTCCTGTCACTGCATAAGCTTGTGCTCGTGGTCTTCTCTGCGGACAAAACTGTAGTGCCGAAGGAGAGCAGCTGGTTCGGATCGTATGCTCCACAAGACGACGACCTCAGCGAGAAAACTATCCTTCCGATGCGCCTGCAGCCCCTATACGTGGAGGATTGGATCGGGCTGCGGACGCTGGACGAGCGGGGAGATGTCCTCTTGGAAACATGCGAGGGCGAGCACATGCAGCTCTCGACTGGCTGTTGGAAGCCGTTTGTCCAGAAGTATGTCGGCGGTCCCGTTCAGGTGGATGAATTCGGGAGCGTGTTGGCGGTGCAGTAGTCAACTTAGGCACGTCAGGCTTTGTTCCATCTCCTCCTTGTTTTGCTGTGTATCATGTTCTCTAGCTGAAATACTTTCTGTCGTCGTCGTCCTGATTGAAGCTTAATTTATTGATCTGTGGTTCCATCAAGGCCGTGCAATCTAGCATTTTGAGTGCTAGCCATGATCATCTTTAAAACCCACATTGGCGAGCTATCCACTCTGTTCCACTATCCGCTCTGTTCCATTCTGGATTGACATCATGGTGGACATCAGTGACTAGCAGTGACTCGCCGTCCTGGCGGTGTCTCCAATGTGAGATGTCTATGGTGCGCAGTCCGTGTTTGCAAAATACTAAGTAGCATCGCTGGAAACTTGGATTGTGCGGAAGGCCTAAGATTCTGTCATTGACGCGACCCGTGCAACCTCTTGAGTTGTCCAAGTCGCAACGACGGAGACGGGAAAGTCTGTGACATGTCGGACAAGGAATGTCGCTGTCTGCGACTGACCGTCACCATGCGTGCTCGTTAATTCAGCGGTGCGCCGTTTCCCTCCTTTCCTGCAACGCTTCGACGTTTTCATCGCCCACCGTTACTAGTTACGGTTCAGTTGTTATGACTCAGGCACGGACAGAAGACCGGTAGGTCGGTGGCAAGGTCAACCAAGAATTGCATCCAAGCGCGCATAGAATGGATCGCTCAGTCTCACACTTCCCGTTCGTGAGAATTCAGTCGTGGAAGTTCGAACGTCCAATGCGTTATCAGTTCCCCATGCTAAACATAAACAGCGACGGAGTAGATAAGACGAGGTCGGAGTGCACATTGGCGACTGCAACCCTGACCTCCCATCCCCATCCGTCAACACGACGGCGATGGCTTCCAATGTGCTGATCAAGGTCTACCACCATGGGCGATTCAAAGTTGCTGGGGGTGTTCTACCCGATGCTGTGACCGCGTACCAGACGTTCGGTGACCCTGCAAATCCGTGCATCGTCTTTCCCACCTGCTATGGTGCACAGCTGAGGCTGGGAAGTAAGTGCTTCGTCTGCCTCTTGGCGTACCTGTGCTGAGATCGGTCTCATTTGTAGGCCAGTTGTATCTCGTAGGCGAGGGCAAGGTTTGAATTTTTTTAATTGATCGAGATTAACTTCTGAATGATCGACCTCACCTGTTTACTTCCTGCCTTTCAAGGCTCTGGATACGATGAAGTACTTCGTCGTTACTTTTGCGTTATTCTGCAACGGAGAGGTATGTATCTAAATATTTGGACATATTCTTCTGGCTCAGTCAGCAATTACCATAGTCATCATCTCCATCTAATACAGTAAGCCTCCTAGTATTAGCTCTATGCTCCAGGTGCTGCCCGCGAATAGGCGACCCCATACAACGGCCCATACTTTCCCTCCGTTTCCTACGAGGACAACATGTATGATGTTTTTCCTGCCATATTCCGTCAGCTGCTAAGGATTCGCTGCAGCCGCGCACAGTACGCCGTTCTCACCAAGAAATTAGGCATTAAGAAGATCTACTGTGTTGTTGGGTTCTCTATGGGAGGCCAACAGGTGGTTCACGTAGCTCGCAGAGTTCGTTTTCGTGAGATTGACCCTCGATCATTCAAGGCGTACCACTGGCCAGTGATCTATCCTGACTTCGTGGAGAGATTCGTAGCAATTTGTTCCTCTGCGCGCACGAGTCTCCACAACAAGTGGTAGGCATCGTCATCCTATGGCTTCGTTCAGTCGTTGGATAGGTCATTCAAACGAACATCACTTAGTTTCTTGGAAGGTCCCAAGAACGCGATGAAGGCGGGAAAGGACTTTGACGATGGTCATTACAAAACCTCACCTCATCAGTCCATCAGAGCCTTCGGCAGAGCTTACAGTGCGTGGGCGTACGGCCAGGCTGTGAGTAATAGTCCTCACAGAATCTTCTCTCCTAATTGCTATTATTTCGTTCAGTGGTTCCGCCAGCATCTGTACACCATGAATGGCCTGTGAGTCGACTTGTAACCCATTGCAGATGTCCTACACAAATTATCTAATACTATATATAATAGCTATCCGGACTTGGAGTCATGGCTGCACGAAGCCTGGGAAGCCCGTTACATAGAGAACTGGGATGCAAACGACATGCTCGCTCTGCTCTCGACGTGGCAAAACGGCGACATCTCACTCATCAGGGATGGCGGTGACCTAGAGCAGTGCCTCCGCAGCATCAAGGCCAAGGCCCTGATCATGCCGTGCAAGACGGACTTGTACTTCTGCGTGAGTTCTCCCCGCTCACGAGTTCCTTGCAGCCCAGATGAGACATGAATGGTGTCATACAGCCGGAGGATAGCGAGGTTGAGGTGTCCTACTTGAAGAATGCGAAGCTCGTCGTGATTGGCAGCGTCTGGGGGCACGTTGGTAAGTCAATATCTACGAGTACTCGGGAGACTGTACTGCATGCTGATATTTGGGCAACTAGCTGGCGGTGGTGCTAATCCAACAGATGTTGCGTTCGTGACGGGTCAGATCAAAGACTTCTTGGTGTAAAGCGGCATACGGGGAGTCTGGATCACCTTTAGGAGAGCCAAGCCCACAACGTTGTACATCGTTGTCCTCCAAATATTTGATGAGGGCTCTTCCTAGGTTATCACAACTTAAGTGTCCTTTTGTGCTGACACTAAGAAACTGACCGCAACACTCCGCATGCTGCACTTGTGTATGTGACGTGTATTACTGCGTGTATGCACGATGGGTCGTATTCTACCATGCAGCAGCGCAACAGATGTAATCTTCAACGAAAGCATGGCCAGTAAGGGAAGGAAATCTAGGAAATGAGCAAGTAAATTGTCCTTGATGAGGGGTATTTGCTTGGGTATAGTGTACGCAGATGTGAGTTTAACTCTCATGCCGCTCAGAGTTCCTAACAGAAAAATCGACATTAGCATAGAACTTGCGAAGAAGGGAAAGGAAGGCGTACAGTCATCGTCAAGTTACCCGACAGCAATCCTGCACATACAGTGAATGAGACAATGCCGCGATGAAGAGTTTAACACTCACTGTTCTCGAGTATGCAACCGTCGGGAATGTCAATCCGCTGACCCTCATTCGCTACAACTGTGTCATTACCCATCATCAGCACCTAATGACATCCTGAGACGAAGTAACTCTCGACGTACTGATCACTGTGCCGCGCAGAGTCACATTGCGCCCGAAGTAAACGTCGCCCGTAACAGTGAGATGGTCGAGCTCGATTATCTTGGGGATCTTCTTGAATCGCTTCTGGAACTGCTGGATCTGCAGCACCGACTTCAACATCAGCCACGTTCTTCGTCTCTTAAAAGGGGCGCACCTTCTTGAAGTGATCGCCCAGCTTGATGACGGGTGTGGTGCCGAACATGCGGTTCTCGCTGATGACAAGCTGGCCGTGCTCGAGCGAGTAGATGTCGCTCTTGATGAGGAGCAGGTCCGAGCAGCTCTTCACAGGCAGGAAGCGCGACCGCGGGACGTTGATCCCGTGCGCGTTTCTAAAGTGCTTGATCGCCGCACCAGCAGCAGTTTCGAGCTGAATGACCGAGAGGCCCTCCTCGGTGACCTTCGGGTTGAAGATGATCTCGAGCTCCATGCCCTCATTCTGCATGATGCGTTTCACAGCTGAAGATAATGTAACATGAGCAACGAAGGGTAGCACGGGCAACGCCAGCGGAAATCACCCTTCAAATTGATCCAGAGGTTGTTGGTGTTGAAGATCTTGAACTTGCGCACCGACTTGAACTCCTCGACGTGCTCTGAGGGCACCTGAGCGATTTCGAGCAGCTGCACATTGCCCTCGTAGTCGATGAGTGTACCACCCTGTCGCCGAGTTATTCAATAGCACTTGCATGGGGAGGGAAAGGCGCACCTTGACGTCCGCCTTTGTCTTGTCGGTCACCTCCATGATGAACTCGGCATTCGTGTCAATCATATGTTGCAGGATGCTCTGATCCACTCTGCGCAGTCTGTCAGTTAAGTGCCAGCCATGCTATACAGGAATACTTACACTGCGCCAAGGTTGTCGGAGTTCGATACGAACAGGTACTCCTTACCCTCTGCCAGTAGCTGATCAAGAACGCCCGAGTGGTACAGCGCATTGTAAAGATCGCCGTGGCCAGGCGGGTACCACTTATTCTTGTCGTCGTCCGCCGTCTTAGGACACGGGAGGAGCGTCTCCTTGAAGATCCGCGGGTACCGCGACTGGTTGAACGTCGTGATCCTCAGCTGCTGGTTCGCGTACTTCTTAATGATACGTAAGGTGTCCTCGTGTGTGTTGAAGGACGTCATCAGGATCAGGGGAACGTCGACACGGTGTGTAGTGTTCAGGTGTTCAATCTGCCGCACGGTGAGGTCGAGGAAGGTCATGTCGTCCTTGACCTCGAGCGCGCTCTTCGCTCCTGTCATACCCATCGATGTGCCGAGACCACCATTCACTTTCAGCACTGCCAGCTTGCTGAGTGACTTAGCGTCCACCGAGGTCGGAAGCTTGTCGTACGGGACAATCTGGTCCGCTGCGGGAGACTTGATACGGTCCCAAACACTGCGGAAAAGATAAGCGGGTAACCAGAGGGGTGAAATACAGAACAGCGCACAGCTCCTTGCTTTGCGCCTTCTCGGACAGATAGCGCGTGAAAAGGTAAAAGAATGACTGCATCTCTGTGTCGAAAGCCTGCAGTAGCAAATATATCAGTATTTGATCGGCAGACATTAAAGATATAGGTATGAGATGTGTTCTAGCAAGATATACAATAATACCAGCCTCTACTCGCATCGCGAGACATGAAAAGAAATCATTGCACATGACAGAAATTAAGAACCAATGGCAGCGGGTATCGCATAGATGAAATCTGCAGATATGCAGGAATGAGCTCGAAAGGCGCATAGATGTACCTAGCCCAACTATATGCGCCATTCACTCGCAGTACCCGCTTGTGAACCACCAACGCTTGAAATAAGGGGGGGAAACACACCTTCTTCGTCGCCGGGTCGGACACAGAGTTCACGAGACCGTTGAGCTCATTGCGCATATTCTTGGAAGCTACGCCTGTCGTGGCGCTCTTGAAGTTCTGCTTGCGGCGACGACGCATGTGCAAGCGGACGACACGGAGGCGAAAAGTGTGCACGGCAGCCGTCCAGCGGGTCGTGGTCGTGGTCATGGTCGCGGTCGTGGTTCCAACAGTATTCGCATCACCATTGGTATCAATATTCGTTTTCATATTCGTGTCCATGTTCGTACAGCAATCGGAATGAGATAGCGGAGGTGAGCAAGCTGCAGCGGCCTAAAGACTTCTGGCGTGCATACCATGGCAGACACGCCCCTTGTGCGAGGCGTCTTCTCCCCGAACACGACAGGCGAGAGCATTGACATGCTGTTAGATTCTGGTGGCCGACGAGTACTGTTTTGTTCAAAGTAGTACCAGCGCAGGAAATTCGAGAGGGAAGGCGTGCACAGACACGTACCTTATAACCGGGCCCCGGTACACATCCCGACGCGGAGTTCAGTGCCCGCGGACATGATCTCCAGGTGGTCTGGATGACGGCCCCGGCGCATCTCACTTCTGTTTTTTTCACAACTACGGCCATGGTCGACGTCGTCGTGGCTCATTTCTGGGATACAAGGTGCTGGTGCAGTGTTCGCGGAGGAGACGAACCAGCAGCGGAAGAGAGCAGCGTCTCGAAAACAAGACGAGCTTTCCGTCGCGCATAAGACACGCTATTAGCACGGACAAACGTGTAGATTTAGCCAGACAAACGTGTGCATACCTGAAATGTTCTCGGTACTTAAACTGCAAGTTAACGTTCACTACGCCGAACAGGTACATACGTGAATATATTGATACTAAAACATGCCAGGTATACATGAAACGCTCTTATCAAAGTCCCAATTTTGGTTCGTTTCTCTCGTTCAGTCGTCATCTATGTAGGTAAGTGCGCGCAAGTAAGTGGTACAGCCGAAGGCCCGGAAGGCAAAGCGAAAGCAGAAGAATCTGCCAATCAGCACGGCAGAGAGCAGGGGAAACAGAAGAAGATCATAGCTCCTACATGACAGAAACGATCAACGCGCGGACTAGCAGGGAGTGGGAGAAGGACGCACGATCATGTTCAAATTGCCCGATAGCAACCCTTTTCATTGCGGAGTCAGCACCGGTCAATGGTATGAACACGTGCCAGAGCACTCACTATTTTCCAGCACGCACCCGTCGGGAATATCGATCCGCTGACCCTCATTCGCGACGACTGCGGATAAAGGTCAATCTGTGAATATCGGGCGACTATCCGGGGCAGAGACGCACCGATGACGGTGCCCCGCAGGGTGACATTCCGCCCGAAGTAGACATCACCCGTAACAGTGAGATGATCCAGCTCGATAATCTTGGGGATCTTCTTGAACCGCTTCTGAAACTGCGCGATCTACGTACCAAAGAGAGTAGCGATCAGCACTTCGCCCACCGAAACGTAAAGATAGAGATCAAGTGAGAAAACGACGCACTTTCTTGAAATGGTCGCCAAGCTTGATGACTGGGGTAGTCTCGAACATGCGCTGCTCATTGATGACGAGCTGACCGTGCTGCAGCGAGTAGATGTCACTCTTGATGAGAAGTAGGTCCGAGCAGCTCTTCACGGGTAGGAAACGCGAACGGGGAACGTTCACGCCGTGGGCGTTCTTGAAATGCTTAATCGCAGCACCCGCAGCAGTCTCGAGCTGAATAACTGCCTGGCCTTCGTCGGTCGTCTTCGGGTTGACAATTATGTCCAACTCCATCTCGCCCGCCTGCATAATCTTCCTGAGGGCTGTACAGGGGTTAGACCGCGCATATAATCAGGGAGTTCATGCCGTACCAGGAAGATTAATCCACAGGTTATTGGTGTTGAAAATCTTGAACTTTCGAATAGATTTGAAGTCCTCGACGTGCTCCGACGTGACCTGCGCAACCTCGAGCAAACGGATCGACCCATCGTAGTCGATAAGCGTACCGCCCTGTTCCACCGCCCTCAGCACCATTCAACACCGTGAAGCGCAACGATCGTACCTTGATATCCGCCTTGGTCTTGTCTGTTACCTCCATCAGAAACTCCGCCTGCGAATCGATCATGTGCTGCAGAATTTTTTCATCCACCACCGCGCCCAGGTTGTCCGAGTTTGAGACGAACAAATATTCCTTGCCATCCGCAAGAAGCTGGTCGAGTACCCCAGACTGATACAATGCGTTGTACAGGTCACCGTGACCGGGAGGGTACCAGTGTTTCTTCTCGTCGTCCGCCGTCTTCGGGCACGGCAGGAGCGTCTCCTTGAAGATCCGCGGGTACCGCGACTGGTTGAACGTCGTAATCCTCAGCTGCTGGTTCGCGTACTTCTTGATGATACGCAACGTGTCCTCGTGTGTGTTGAACGACGTCATCAGAATCAGGGGAACGTCCACCCGGTGGGTCGTGTTCAGGTGTTCGATCTGACGCACGGTGAGGTCGAGGAAGGTCATGTCGTCCTTGACCTCGAGCGCGCTCTTCGCCCCGGTCATGCCCATGGACGTGCCGAGGCCGCCGTTGACCTTGAGCACCGCGAGCTTGTTCAGGTTCCGGACCTCTGCCCCGGCGGGCAGCTTCGCGTACGGCACGATCTGGTCCTCCGCGGGGGACTTGATCCGCTCCCAGTCGAGCTCCTGGCTGCGGGCACGCTCGGCGAGATAGCGGGTGAAAAGGAAGAAAAAGGACTGCATCTCGACGTCGAACGCGCGCTTCGTCTCCTGGTCCTGCACCGACTTGACGAGGTTGCTGATATCGTTCCGCATCGCCTTGGCCGCCACGCCCGTCGTCGCCGTCTTGAAATCGATGTGGCTGGTTCCGCGCACCCGGGCGGCGAACGAGTCGCTGCGGGGCATGAGCGAGTCTGACATGGTTCTGGTAGACGTCAGTCAGCGCGCAACACGGCGACGACAACGAATACGCACATCTGGGAGTGATTAATGTAGACCGGCTGGGTGGTGGTGGTGGAGAGGAGAGGGACTGGCCCGACTGGGAAGATGCTGCCAGTGGGGTGAGGAGCACGGGGCCTGTGGTGACGTTTATGTATTTCGAGGTCGAGGTCGTCAGTTGGCCCCTCCTCGTTGATAGGCTCGCAGATCGATTTCCGGACAGCACCGTCGAAGGTCGAAGTCAAGGACAAATGGGCGATGGGCGACGATAGCGAGGACCGAGTCGGAAACGGAAACGACGCTCGTTTCTGTTCCTTCTGGTACGACAAACGTGTGTGCATCCACGACGGCGAAGACGATCTCGGCTACTGGGCACTCGGCGAGAGCGACGAACTCGTCGACGGTGTCGACTTTTATGTGTGCATGCTGCACCTCTTCCTCGTCCGCGGCTTTATTCTAGACTCACTGGCAGATCGGACCTGATTCCCCTCTGTATCGCTGAGGTGACCTGGCGCTTTACATACCGTCTTCTGCCGTTATCTGGTGTGATTAGAAACTCACGTTTGTACCCACTTACAGCGCCAGCCAAGCCGACACGCCAGGTCGGTACTCTCGATCACGAACAGGCAAGGTGCGCGGACAACGGCATGATCTGTTGCTCAATGTGCGGGTACAAGAGGGTTGCAGCCGATGTGTGCAAACCGTGCAGCTGCAGAGAACAGGTCAGTCAATACTTCCGTCCCTTACCAGGTCCAGGGACTATGTCCAGAGAAACGATGCCGGGACCGTTCCTCTTCGACGGAAGTCAACTGACATGCAGAACAGATACCGAATGTCGCTGACAGAGTCCCGTGCGCGCCGCGGACCTGCCTGCATTCTGTGATCTATCAATTCTGCTTTGGGTGCGACTTTGTTCCGCTTTCACTCCAATAACCCACTTTTTCAAAGCTCATACAGGTAGCCGAGGCTAGGGATTACGGTGCAAGGGGTGTGCAGGATGGCCTAAGTCCTAGACGCAGCAGCGGAATGACGCCTTATCCCCACGCTGCCATCACGCTCTCGTTCTCATCCCCGAGGATCAGCGTCAGACGCGTTTGTGCCGTCTAGTGTTCTGGATGTCGCAGGCCTGAACCAACTCCTTGCACTGCTGTTCCCCATGTCAGTGAACTTCCCAGTTGAGCATTGAATGAGGAGCCTCAGCTATGTCAAAGTATACTATCGGATCGAGGAACAAGGGGCTGCCGCCTGGCCAGCGAGTGGGGCGCATATAGGCAGGTCGAACACGGCAGCTGGTGTCTCCGAACCCCCTGGATATCGAAACTGGTTCAATTGTGCCTTTATACATGGAAATATCTTCCTATGTCATACAGTAGCTCCATAGTAAGCACCTGCCTAGACTGTGACTTTCCATGGTGTTTCTATTCACCATGCATATGTTTGGACTTCTGCAGCTGGGGAAGTCTATTCGGGATGAAGCGCGCTGCAGCGCGACCACTGCCAGAACTCGTAAGCAGCAACTCACTTGCATCTAGCACTTGAGACCCTCCCGGATTTGTATCCCTGAGTGAATGTAAGGTTTACCTGCCTTGCAATGTCACCGTTTGTCGCCAGTACAAATTTAGTGATAAAGTTTACATGTGTGATTAGGACTTAATAGGGACTCAATTGACCAATTGAATTTGTTACTTCGGCAAATAGAAACTGTGTTTCATCTACAAACGGTTACTTTGTAGTGGGCACGAAATTCATCATTTGTCGGTAGCAAATTTGCGTCGGTCTCGGGTGTAGGTCGATGGCACCATATACCTATCAATCTCGGAATAATGTGTCTGAATCACTTCCGCCCTGAATCGCAGTTGAAGCTCAAGGGAAAGCAAAACAGTCAGTAATAAATACATACACTGCACAGAACATACCGGTACCGAAAAACAACAGCAATTGGAACGGTGTACAACCCTGACTAGAAGAACACAGAAAGACTAGGCCATCCGAATATGTGGACCAACATGAGAGTATCTAGGGCACAAGACTGTCTGCGAGATAAGTCCCTCATATGGGAACGACACCTCCCAGTCCGTGTACATCAACTGGTAGTACCACCGGGAGGACAGAAGATAAAATCTGTCGAGCTTTAGGAGACCCACCACGTAATCACCACAAAGATCACGAGGGGCATAGCCGCCAATTCTGCCACATCCCTCACAAACCCATGAACGAAGCCCGCGCGGTTCCGCCATGCATTCGATTCGGCACGACCGCGGTGCACGCCTTCCTGCACATACTGCAGCAGGGCGGTCAGCCCTGCGGCGCCGAGAGAGAACCGCGTGGGGCGCTGGGTGAAGGCCGAATCAGGCGGCGGGAGTGTTGCATGTGTAATCAACTTCTCCTCTTCATCGTCTCTGCCATCCAACGTAGCGGACGAGAGCCAAGCATCCGGATCGGGCGGCTCGTCGCGCACGTCCCAGACTGTCCAGAAGCGCCTGCGTGTGCGCACGCGGTGCGCGTTCGAGACCAGCAGTATGAACAGGCTGGTCAGTAGTAAGGGGACGTATATCGTCAGGTAAATCCCAAGTTGGTCGGGAAGCAGACATGGCGCGTCTGCGATCGTGCGCTGCGATGATGACGAAAAGGCAGGCGGGGCTAGCGAGAGGAGCTGAAACCCAGGGCGACGGACACCCATGGCCATTGAGAAGGATCTGACTGTCGCTTCGCGCACAGCAACGGGACTCGAAGAGCCGACGTTCTCTGCAGGAATCTCATGAGCGTATTCGCAGTAATCGTGGTCATCGCCGCTGCAGAACGTGATCAGCGAGAGACATCTCTACAACCACACCAAGGCATACCTCAGCACGAGCGAAGGATAGAGACTTTGGAGGAGAAATGTCGATGCTTCGGGGCTGAGTGTATTCTGGTATCCATGGCCTCTGCCACTGCGGATAGTCCCACGGTCGCGAAGTGGTCCACAAGAAGCCCCCGCAGGCCGTGCAAGAGGGACATGCGTGAATAGTACGCGCGGGTTGCGACGTTCCCCTAGAAAACATATGACAAAGGGCCACCACGCTAGGAGGTGGACGTACGTGTTGAGATAGCGTGGACGAATGCAATCGTCCCCTCAGGCCTTGCATCTGCCCATTGCGTGTAGCCCATGCCACTCCTCACTCTCTCCTCTTCCTCCTCGACAAAACCGGGTGCGCCCAGGAGAACGCAGGAATGACCACCGATCTCAATCTCTTGATTCAATTTCCCGAAATGTGTAACGTAACGCTCTACGGCGCTCTCAGAGAACGCAGAAGACGCGCCTAATCTGCGCATGACAAAGTTAGCTTGAGGAATGTAGGGATGTGACACAGAATGCACCCAACGTCGTGGTTACCTGGCACATAGTACGTCGGTAGTACTTGGGATGTCCTAAAGATATCCCGGAAGCGCTTATAATACGCCTCGTATCTGCGAGATGCAACAGGTCAGAATCGCACATTTCGAACAGAGCGTATTCCTCATGAATTCCGAAAGCGATGGGTGACGTGACGGAAGGCTTAGACACCTCTGGAAAGTAGACACGGTGAACGTTGACGTAGTCCAGTTCTTACTGCGCAAGTAGCTCGCCAAGGTCAGCTGCAGCAGTTTAGTCATTGCAGTCCGCTGAACTGACTAAGAAGCACCATGCACAAAACCCACTCGCTCAGCAAAGTGGACGAATCTTACTCGTCATGGGAGATCGCGCGTCGGCCGCCGTCCATCATGTCTCCAAGAAAAATGACTGCATCCGGGGTGAGACGTAGGGCAGCTTGCCAGCTCTTGCGCATATTCAAATCGACGAGCAGCTGGGTCAGCGACATCAGCCACGGGTTGCGTCCTGGGTATGATCGACTGTCCAGAATCTGGGGGTCCGCAATCACTAGGACGCGTGTAAAGCTCCTAGTATTAGACTGGTAGAGCAGAATTAGGCCCAGCAAGTGTAGACAGTGAAATAGCGTACAGTGGTAGAATCAACGTCGGGCCACGGACAATAGGATACATGATTTTTGAAAGTTCCGAGCTCGAAGTAGAAGATCACCCCAACCCATATTATTCGCAGACTTTCCACTGGGAGAGAATAAGGATGCAGAATGGTCACTCGCTTTACCAAATGCCGTGACCATCGGACAAGAGACATGATGACTTGGCTGGTGGGCTCTCAGTAGGGTTCCCGCAGTACTTCTTTCACCCGCGTTATTCAACGCCGGGCGCCAACACAATCTGCTCTATCAGGAAGGTGTAGTAGAATGTCAGGAGGCTGTACTTTTCGCAAGAGTTGCGGCCCCGGAGGAACGCAGTGATAACAATCCAGTCGAGCCTTCAGGCAATGTCATAAGATAGAGGTCCAAGATACAGAATCGTCAGGACAACATCGTGAGCACCACAACTGTGGCAGTGCAGTACATGCAGCAGAACAGGCACGAGAATACAAAGGTCCATGACAGCCCCTCGCATGCTTAATCTACGAATGTAATTACTCAGAACACAGCGTTTGAGGAAGAAGTGCCCGGAATCCCACAATCGCATGGTACGTGAAAAGTCTAGCTCATCACCTCCACCACATGAGCACGCACCATAGCAGCAGTGGAGGCCACATGGCCCTCCATAAGTCCATGAGAGTACCCAAGAGGGTGATTCCACGCCTTCTGCGCGTTGATAGACATTGCTTTCCTGAGTTCAGCAGCCTCCAGCGGAGGCGACGCAAAGGACCCGGTATGATACTAGTCGAACCTCGGCCGAAAAAGTTCATCCATGGCCATTGTCTGCGCACCAAGAGACGCCAGCTATCTCGTCCCGGTGCATCTGGGAGCGCGGGAGAGGCGACGTTGGGATCGTTCTCTCGATATACACGATCGTGCCTGAATGGACCGGGGAACGTATCGGCACCGCCGGTCCACTGGGCACGTTCCCCATTGTGTATCATGTAGTGAGGAGAATAGGGGGGGTAGTCTTTGTCGATCGGAGAGGGATTTTCGTCGTCCACGAGACACGCACGGAAAGTGGATATAGATCCTTCGTCATCGTTGCCATGCACTGCACTCGTATTCATGTGAGGGGTGCGGGGAGTACGTAGGCCCCCTTGTTGACCGACATCACGCATCGTAGCAGAATTTGGGAAGGACGATCGCGGTGACACTCCCGGGCTCGACAGGGACGGTGAATGCAGGGGATCCAAAATTATAGGGAGCGCTGGTCCGCGGAATGTGTGCAGTCTTGCGCAAGCCAGAAGGACGGTCGACATCAAGAGAAGTGGAAGGTAATGCGTAGTATATACGCCAATGTAGTTCGGTAGGAGACACGGCGTATCTGAGAGCGAGTGCGTCGACACAGACGGGTCCAATGATGTCAGGGCGGGAGGAGAGATCAGTGATAACAGCTGAAATCCAGGCCGACGAATGGTGGGATACGGGGAGAAAGACTTGACAGTGACTTCGCGGATGTCAGTAGGACGTTGGTCACCCATTATCGCGCTTAGAGAGGGGACATGTGTATATTCACAGTAGTCTCTGTCATCTCCGCTAGATACAAAAGAGGAGTGAGTATGAGGTACCTGCCTAGAATGTAAGAAAGTTTAACCTGAACACGATAGAAGGCTGGATGGTCTGCAGGAGGAAGTTAGTCGTCTTTTTGCCCAAAACATTCTGATAACCAGGCCCGACGCCTCGGCGAATCGTCCCTCGCTCGCGCAGGAGACCACATGCGGCCGTATCAGGACGATAAAGTGGAATATGTGTGAACAAGACGGGCCAAGGAACTTGTTCTTCCGTTTGAAACCTTCGGTGTCAGCATAATTCGACGTTATGGTAAATCCAAAAACTCACGTTCACGCAGAGTTTCGACAAAATGTACTGGACCGCCGTTGATTGCAGTCCATTTGTCATACTCTGTGTTTCGTGCGGCACGCTGATAGTCCTCTTCAACAAGGCCGGATGCGTCTATCAGCACGAATGTGTGATTGTGCACGAGAACTTGTTGATTCAACGGCCCAAAATGAGTTGAGAACTGACGACGCGCTTGACGAGAGTCTGCCAGGTCTATATTCAGACTTGATGGAGTAAGTCTGCACAGAAGGGAGTAAATCGGAGAGAGGACACTACCCTACATCATTGTTGCCAGGGAGATAGTACGCCGAAACGCCAGGAGGAAGACGAAATATATCCATAAATCTTCGATATTGCGACTCATAGCTATGTGATGAGTTCGGTAAGCCGAAAGGAAGATTTGATCAGAGAGTGACATATATGACGTACTCCGTGTCTGTCTTGAGCGCTCTGACGGAATTGATCATGTCTCCAAGAAATACCACTAGGTCAGGCTTCAAGCGAATTACCGAACTCCAATTCTTCTGGAGTGTAAGCTCGTAGAAGAAATTGCGAAGACGAGCAATCAAGGTTCGCTTTGACGCTGGAATGTAGCGAACCTGAGGTTCAGAGACGAGTAGCACATGAGTAGGTGTTTCTTTCTGCTTCAAAAGTAAATACGGGTTATCTTGTGCTGTTCTACAAATAACAGGCATCGTACCTGAGGCAGGTCGTCATCTGGCCACTTGCAAAAAGCCAGACTAAGGTGGAAGATGCCTAGCTCATCCCATAGAACAGTTGTTAACCAGATGAGACGAAGCCAGTTCACGAGCTTAAATCTCAGCAACGCGGCATTCAAACGTGATAACAGGCTTGATCTCCTTGCATGCCTCGGAAAGTACACCATGATGAGCAGGCAAAGAGCCTCCACAAAAATGAGCAGCGAGTGAAAAAATGTCCTGTAAGACAAAGTCTAGGATATGAACGTGCGGAGGACACGGCGTTCGTGGTATCTATCAGCAATAAGACGCTCGAACCCAATCATAGAGCCGTTGTGCCTTTCGCAAACAGAGGGAAGTATGATGAGTGCCATCATATGATGTGATTACAAGCGCAAATGATTCTGACCCCTTTCAAACCGTCTGAATTGACATCTTGCGGAACACGCAGTAAGTTTGCAGTAAGTGGAGAAGAGCAGCAGATGGCGGTTCAATTTGCGGAGAATCCAGATCTGATCGCGATAGTGTTGAGTAGCCACGTATATTTTCATATATGGCAGGTGTAGTAGTTATCCCTAAGGTATGAATACAACGCCGTACCGTACGACGGAGGGGTCATAAAAACAACATCAACCGTGAGGGATCGACGTCTTACAGTAATAGGCCTAATACAATACAGCCAGCACGATTAATACGTTAGAGCATTCATCACATCACTCCCAATCGCTGTCAGGGTCGTCCTCCACCGGTGCTGTTGGCGCCGGTGTTTCTGGTAGCGAAGGGCTCTGTGCCTTAGAATCTATCCCTCCACTATAGTTGCTTACTTGTGAGGAAACGACGTCGTAGCTATCCTCGCTCTCCCGCGGACTCTGATTTCCCGGCGTTGAAACTCGAGACTTGGGAGCCTGAGTGGGAGTCGCAGCTTCCGCAACAAGGGTTGCCTTATTATCGACCGCCTGCAGAGCAGAAGCGTCGGACGCGTCCGATGTCTGATCCTGATGGAGTTGAACAAGTGGAGCCTTAACGGCCGTCGAAGTGGTATCGTCATCGTCATCCCAGCTGAAATCCTCTTCATTTTGCGCGGTGCCTACGGGCAGGATTAACGGATTTCAGGGAATAAAATTGTGACAGGACTCACCTTGGATGATAGCCTTCCGTCTCTCTTCCTCCCTCTCCACCTGATGAACGCGGAAGAAATACCTCACCCAGAACATGTCACTGGTTATAACAGAGGGTACTGCAGACTACAATTAGCAAGAAAGACAGTGCAGAAGATGGCACTCACCAAGAGTGTCGAAGGTGGACTTCAATGCTGCGCCATCCACAGGCTCCGTCAACGCATTCTCAATAGTATCCTTCCATTGAACGCTGTTTATACCGCCTTCCTGAGCATCAACCTCCGACTCCACCCAGCTTGCAAACATATGTCGCACCCGCTCGTCCGACTGCGGGTCGACCTTGACCACCTCCGGGTCATGCTTCAGTTGCTTCAGAAGCGATTCCGCCCGCGTCGCGACGGCTCTCAACTTCTCCACAGAAGGTCGCCCCGAGCTCGAAGATGCCCTCCCCTCTCTTTCCTTCCCCTTCCTTGAACCCAATTCCCCTCGACCGCCTGCACTCCCTTCGGTTGGGAGCATCCATACATCCGAGCCATCCCATATCAGACCCGGTGAAACCCCGCCGCTCTCTTCAGGAGGTAGCACCTTCACGGCATCCTTGAGAAATTCTCCTGCCTCACGGAAAAGCTCTTCGCTGCGCTGAACATACTCTCCCGTGGCGTCCTGCACACGGTGGAGCTCTGTTGTCAAGGTGCTGCGCAGCTGTGCAAAGTCAAGCGCGGACAGACTTCCGGCGCGTGCGTGCTGCAGTGAATCAGGAAGCTGGCTCTGGACGCTGGACACGAGATTTGGTGGGAGTGACGCTTGGAGGCGGGAGAAAATTGTCTGCGGCTGGGGCTGGGTCTCGGTGGGCGTTGTGGAGCGAGAGTCTCCTTCGGCGATTGTGCTTGCGGATGCAGAGTAGGCACTGTTGCTCTCCGGAGCAGCGGACGATTCTCCAGCAGATGGGAGTTGGTCAGTTTGCTCAGTCCCAGTGTGGTCCTCTTGGGTGGAAGTAGAGGCGAGCGTCTCAGTAGTGAGCTTGTTGATTTCTTTCTGTGCCTGAGAGACCGCATCCCCAATGTCCTTCCGCGCAGCTTCAAAAACTGTCTGACTCTAACATCCCGAATGATTGCAACCATCGATTTCAGCTCACGAATACAACCCGCCATACCGTGCGCAACACACCTGCTTTCTGAAGCCTCCCCAGAACCTGCTCAGCTGCCCCACTACCTGCGAGACCTCCTCATTCAGGCTTGGCTCAGCCTGCTGGCCTGAGGTTGGCGTGGATGGGCCGCTAATGTCATATGCATCAAAGAAGTTCATGTTTCAATTCAAGACACAGTGTCATAGAGTCAACGGATTCAGTTTGGACCTAACGAGAGAACTGCTGGTCGAATCGGACCCGTATTCTAGAGCTGTTACATCAGGCTTCTACAGGAGTCTGCGCAGGTGTAGACCGAGTAGCCTTATCTTTGTAACAAGCCCTTGTTACTGAAATTCTAACTTCATCTCTAAAGCATCAGTAACGTTTCTGTAGGATCACGTGCCTAACTATTTCCTACTGCTTTTCAAACCTCCGTGAATTTTTTGCTCATCGTTGACTCGAATATCCAGCAGCTCCATTGAAGACACACTTGAGCGACTTCGCTCGTACATGATATTCACTCAAAGCACTCGTGACGAGTACGTATTCAAAACGATATTTCTGTGAAGTGTATTCTTATCAAGTTTTCTCGTTAGCTACCTCAGCGACCTCGTATTCTCTCTCCTCAGTCACTGAAAGGATCCTAACAAATTTCAACATGTTCGCTCACAAACTCATCCACGTCCCTCGCATGTCCCGAAGCTTGGGAACGCATGCTAATCGTACAGCCCTCGGGACTTCTCTGCCTGCGGTGCTTCACCTGAAAACAGGCCAGTCCTACCGTGGCCGGTCATTTGGGGCACCGCGAAGCGTCTATGGAGAAACCGTGTTCTCCACGTCCATCACGTCTTGTAAGTTGTTCTACCTCAGTAACCTGGGTGTTATTCACAGATTATTTATTAAAAAAACAGACACGGAGTCGATGACCGATCCTTCATACCGCGGTGAAATATTGGTCTTCACCACACCTCTCATCGGCAACTACGGTGTTCCCGTCAATAAGGCCCCTATGGACTCCCAAGACGTAGGTGTTGTCCTCGAGTCGAAACGCATTCAGTGTACCGCGGTCGTGGTGGCCGATGTAGCTGAGAAATATTCGCACCATGCCGCCGTCGAGTCACTGTCGTCGTGGTGTAATCGACATGGTGTCCCGGGCATCACGGGTGTCGATACTCGTGCCATCACAACTCTCTTACGCGACCAAGGTACGACCCTCGGCCGCCTTGCCGTCGGCGCCGACTCTTCACTTCCCCCACCCCAGCCGAGCGAATATTGGGACCCTACCACTGTGAATCTTGTCGACCAAGTTTCAACAAAAACGCCGTATGTGCTAAACCCGACTGGTGATGTGAAGATAGCTGTCCTCGACTTTGGTGCAAAGGCGAACATTCTCCGCTCGCTGGTCCGTCGCGGAGCCGCCGTTACTGTGCTGCCATGGAACTACGACTTCAACGCCACTCGTGATCGCTACGATGGTCTGTTCCTTACCAACGGCCCTGGTGACCCAAACCATTGCACGGAAGCTGCTATGCACCTGCGTCGTACGCTGAAGGAGTGGGATCGACCTATTTTCGGTATTTGCATGGGTCATCAGGTCATCGGCATTGCTGCTGGCCTGGATGCGTATCGCATGACTTTTGGCAACCGTGGTCATAATCAACCCGTCCTCGCCCTTGCGTCATCTGGGTCTATCAAAGCGGGTAGGGTCTACGTCACCAGGTATGTCTTACGATCGCTCTTCAGTTCCAACTGAACAGCTATCTGATCTGTTGTTCTCAGCCAAAACCACCAGTATGCTTTGAAATTGCAGGATCCCTTCCCCGCTGGCTGGGAGCCGTTCTTTATCAACTGCAACGACTCTTCTGTGGAGGGTATCAAGTCAACAGCAGATTCTGGACGGAAGGTGTGGGGTGTACAGTTCCATCCGGAGAGTGCTGGCGGTCCACTTGACACGATCGAGGTAAACAGCCTCTAATGTGCGAGTGGCACCCGTACACTGACACGACCTGACGCGACTTGGCAGATGTTCACTGATTTCTTGGCTGAGTGCCGGGCGCATAAGCTAGAGGTGCGCTACAAGACGAAGGACGTCATGGGCGCTCCGAAGACTGATCCATCTTCTAAGGCTGCTGGGCCTGTTGCTGCCGCAGCTTAATCTTGTATCGATATGTAATGTACGTGGTATCCGTATACTTACATACCTTCATTGAATGTTTAGAATTATAGTGAGACTGGGATTCTCTTGACTTGCCGTCTTACCCTCGGAACTTTTCTCGACGCATGGCACTAATGTTCACATCGTAGACACCATGCATGACATACCTGGCTCGCTTCTGTCATTGTTTTGGGCCTTGCAACTTGGAGGTTGTCTGGTTATGCTGCGCACAAGCTTCAAAAACCTCAATCAATCAATAATATAATCCGAATGCAAACAATTGTACAGGTGCTTCTTCTACCTCACATGTTTTGCGAACACCCCCTTTCCACCTAGAGTCCGATGAAGTAGCTTTTAGAGCGCGAACGGAACTACTCCGCTGCAACGTCGAATGGCGTTGCCAATTACATGATAGGTAATGGTATTTCGGGGTCGACAGCACTTCTCCGGTGAACGAACGTTAGACACCGCTATTGAAGACGCGAAAGAGCGGCTCACTCAGGCTCCACCGTCGTCGGAAGTTGATCAATGCACTCGCGAATGACGCGCAACGTTTCTTTCTTATCGTAGAGGACACGATCGCAACTCACGCATCTGGCGTCCCAGCATGCACGCGCTGCAGGCCAATCCAGGAGTCCCTCGTTGCACACGGTGTCACCGAGCGGCCGCACGTCCATCTCCAGAATGATCACGTACTTCAGCTCTCGCCACGTGTGGTAGTCAACCACAGAGCCACAGTGTGAGCACAACGTGTTGCCATTGTCGTTGACAAATGGTGGTTCGTTCAAGCGTCGTCTGAGGGCCTCTCGCCTATTTCGATGGAGCTCCATGAGATTGAGCAACGCCAGGGTGCCTAGCTTGAGCAACGTGTGCCGGTGCTCTGGAGCATGCAAGTCAAGGATGAGGGTGTATTGGGAGGCCAACTTGGCTTCATCTAGCCAACCGTACCGGCAGGTGATGGCGTACAAACGCAGAGGATCGGCAAGGAGAGGAGGGGTCATGACGACTGCGCGAACGATTGACATAGGTCCTATCATGTCGTACTTCTCCGCGGCATGCAGAATTGGCTCGATGGCTTCGTATGAATCGAGACGGGGTATTGGAAGTCCACAAATCATGCGAAGAATCGCTTCGAGTGTCTCTGTGTCTTCGTCCACATAAATGACTTCCAGCGAGTTTGAGTCCTGCTTCTGTGGTAGAGAGAACATGGTTCGAAACCATCCCGACGTGGTCTTTAGAGTGTATGAGTGCACGCGGAACTGCGTACCATCCTTCGATCCCAGGAAGACGTCACCCTCGTCCGATGAAAAAAGTGGATGAAGTACACTAGATACAGCGGGTTTGTCTTCTTCCTCCGCGTCGGCCTGCATTGCAGTCGGGCCACTTTGATAATACTGCAAGTATTCGTTGAACACGTCAGCAATGAAAGTGACTTGCCCGCTCACCTCGACGCCGAGCTCTGGAGGCAATTGTCGAGGGACAGTGGCACGACTGGAGCAGAAGTAATGCGGTCACGTGCACGCGCCATGACCAACGCCGCTAGATGCGGTTGCAGGTCACCGGTCACCGTTTCGAGCAGTTCGAATCTCTTCTAGCTTGCGGCAGTCTCTACAGCGCCGAAGTGGATAAAATAACGGTGAGAGAACACGCCTATCGTCCGCTAGAGTCCAGGATACACTGTGGCGAACGTCGGTGAATTGCCGTTGACAGAAAATGTAAGTAGCCGGCACACGGATCCAGCACGCGCGCCGACTCGAAGGGCGAGGCGCTACTTAGGACCCCCTCGCAACGGCAATTTACGTCAAGTTTTCGTGGCGCCCAGAACTCACCAGTTGTCATTCCGCCACAAACAGAGCGGAGAGCTTGGGATCGACGCGAGGTCGGACGATTGGTGTCGATGTAATGCTTCGTTTGAGAGGCATGCGCAAGGAGCAGTTGAAGGTAAGTATTACACCCGCTGAACCGGCAAGGGTATCCATGGCCTCGAATCGGCAGATCGATGAAACAATAGGGTCTGGCCGCCTATGGTCAAGGGCGGAAAACGTTAGCTAGTCTGTCGCTTCTCCAGCAACAGTAATTCTACGGGATGCCGTGGAGATGGATCTTATTGCGGGACAAGTTACCAACCTGGTACCTCGACCCTGCATCTTGAACCGATTATAATCGTGCAGGTCTCGGGTTCTGAGGCCTTTCCGTCCCCTCCCTTTTTCCTTCATTTGTCTCGCGACCAAGCATATCTGCAATGTCGCAAGCGAGCGAGCTCGCCGCCTTGGAGGCCGCCGTCCCGAAGCTAATGGGACCGGTGGTTATAGCAAATGCACTGAACGCAATGTTATACGGACTGTGCTTCCTCCAGTTTCTTCATTACTATTCGATGGGGAAGCGGGATAGTCTCCCCAACCAGTACTGTTTTTCCCCCTCCTGCGCGAATGAGGCTGCATCCTGAACATGTTGTTATCTCCGCGCAGAGCCATGGTGTGCTGGACCTTCGCTGTGGACACAACTCACACTGCAGCATCGGTGTGGATGTTATGGTACTACCTGGTTCAAAATTTCGCGAACGCACCCGTAATCGGTACATTGCCATGGCCATATCTCTCGTTACCAATCTTCATCATTCTGTGAGCACTGTCGTTCGTGGATCTTACTTTGTCTAGCTTACAGTCTCCCCAGAGCTTCACTTCCCATCCAGCAGTTTTTCGCTTGGCGCATCAAGCAATTGAGCGGATCGTGGATTGTTTTCTTTGCGTTGTCTATCCTGTCGTTGGTGTCCTCAGGGGTCGGTTTCGCGAATTCCGCCGTTGCGTTCACTACTCCCAGGTGAGCCGGTCTCGCGTTAGCCCACCCCACCAACTGACTGTCTTGGTAGTGTCCAGGACTTCAACAGCCAAGCGCATCTTGTCGACATCTGGCTGACATTGTCCATGGTGTGTGACGGTTTTTTGGCGTGAGTAATGCTTATTCCTCCTATGTCTGTGACTCATGTATATGCATGCACTCAGTGGGCTCTTGTTCTACTACCTGCAGAAGAGTCGTACGGGCTTCAAACGTCAGTGAAATCTCGCTCCGTGTGTTCGTATGTTCTCACTCTCCTCCAGGCACGGACTCCATCATCACACGGATCATCCATTCTTGCGTCGAATCGACGGCGCTCAACTCTATCTTTTGTGTTAGTACAGAGTTTGGCAATGTGACGATTGCTGACAATTTCTGGATTATTGCAGATGGCCGACCTCATCGTTTTCGTTCGTGTATACTCAGATAGGTCGCTCTCACTCTTACATAGTTGCCATATAGAACTTGTACACCGAGTCCAATTACAACTTGTTGGTTGCTATGGTGAGTAATTGAGATGATTATGGAGTGCATCCTGACTTGATATAATTTTCTTACTTACAGCCTATGGGGCGTGTCTACACGTATGTCTCGTACACTCCCATTGAAACACTGTCGTTGATCCTATTGTAACGAACAGAATTACTCTCCTTGGAGTACGTAGCAATTTTTTTTGCATCTTTCTGTTCATGACCTGATTGGTCTTGCAGATGCTGAATTCGCGGCTCGCTATGCGCGAGGAACTCGAAGGAGAACTCAACGACACCTCGCATGCCATGGTACGTCCGCGCCGTTCTCTCACCCAGAGCTGTCCTTGTTAATTAACGACTGGGTCATCACAGCAACCTAGTCGTATCGACCGACGCTTCAACATCTCGGGCAACCACAGGTCGACTGAGGTCAAGGTCGACGTCGTCGACGAACGGTCTGACGTGGACGCCTACCTGCGCTCGGGCTCGCGCGAGTCGATGAAGGCGCCGACTGTCTCGGACCCATCTTACGTCGATCACAAGCAGCAGTCAATCATTGCTTGAAGTCGACGGCCACTCGGGGCTGATCGGTGCAGTGTTTTCGCGGAATGATGTAGCTGCTACAGCCATGGTTGTCCAAAAGTGCAGGTAGAGTGGCATTTCCGCCGTCGTTGGTGTACTCATCTTCCTGGCACATGGCTGTGCTAGTGCTCACTGGAATAATGGGTGTATCGTAGCATGGGCTGGTGCCCCGCAAAGTTACACATTTTGTAGTACGAGCTTCAGCTAATTGTTAATGAGACACCGGATGATGCGACCCGTGCATTTTACCAGAACATGAATTCGTGTGTTTTTTGTGTGGACTTTCCGCAAATATAGCAAGCCTCACCATGCTCCTAACCATTCGCTCGTGGGTGGAAGGGGGACTTGTTCCGAAAATGCAGTTCTACAGTATGTTTTATGCAAGATACGCGATTCCGAGTCAGTAATGATGATATCACGTGCATTCAGATCTTTGTCTCGATCAACCTTATTTCCCCCAACCGCCCACAAACGACACTTGCAATGGTGTCCCATTCTCTGAAATGCATACCTATTTGACCTTGTAGTACAAAGTGTACTATGAATATATTTCTGCTGTCATAATAAGTCTACAAGTGACATAAAAGTGAAGAAAGGTTTCATACTGTGACGGCGCGGCTGAGATAAGAAGTCGTCCGGACTTCATTAGAACGCGGCCTACAATTTGGCTACAACCAGTTTGTTACTCGGTCACGGTAGGAGACTGGCCGTAGTGGGCGGCGTTGGACGCGGAAGTAGGGCGGTCAAGCGGGCCAGCCGCTCCGGACTGGGCGTTGCCGGCGCTTTAGAGTTGAACCAATTGTGAACCACATACGAAACTTCTCCACCGCCAGTCGGCTGTGCGTACTGTTCTTCTCTTCTGACCTCCACCATGCCAGCCACTCGTTCATCCAGACGAGCGCAGAGCCGCGAACCGCTCACGTCCCACCCCATAAATGCAGGAGCTTCTAGCCCAGACATCATCATATTGTCATCCGACGACGAACTTGCTATTCCCAAGCAGAATCGTTTGACCCCGAAGAAGAGCAAGCAGCGCGTGCGGTCGAAACCGCGAATCTCGGCTGATGTTATTGTTCTGTCTGACGATGAGGGGCCCGAGGCTTCGACGTCGACTGTTCCGCGCGGCACCACACCAAGCTTGCGGCAGCAACTGAAGGAGGCCAAGGAGGTGAGCGCGCTTTCTTATGTACTAACGCATAGGCGCTAACTGTGCATATAGATGATAGCCAGGCTTGAAGCCGAAGCCCGTGCTTGGGAGCAGAAGGATAAAGCGTCTCAAGGCGTGAGTGTTCGTATATATGCCATGTATGCGTGTGCTGAGCGTGCTTGCATCGACAAGTTGCTGCCTGCACTAGACGAACACGTCAACTGTGAAGTATGCACCCTGAAGATGTGGACTCCTGCAACGTGCTTATTTTGCTTTCGTCCCTGGTCTTGCGCCACGCTAATTCTTTGTCCCTAGTCTCGCATGTGGCCACACTTTCTGCCAGTCCTGTCTTCAAGATTGGTTTACCACGGCGCTCACGCAACACATGGCCGCAAACCCTGACTACGACGCGCAGCCCGCAATCATCCAACAATACAAAGCCGCACTCCAGAACCCAAATACCACCTCGCAAGCACGCCGCCAGCTGGCGAACCACATCAATGAACTCTTGGAGCACATTCCTCAGCCACAGTACACTTGCCCTTCGTGTCGAGCCCCTGTGAAAAGCAAGCCCATCGAGGTTTTCAGACTCAAGCATATTACACGTACTGTCGCTGCTGCAACGGGCGAGACCAGTCCGAAGAAGGCTGCGCCTGCGAGGACTACAAGGGGTGTTGCCAACCGTCGTGCTGCAGCCGATGGTCCTTGGGATGGATTCTTCCCGTGGACGCCATGAATGATTGGTTTGGACGGACAGTGTTATCATTATTGTCATACATAATCCCAGAGCGAGAGCTACTATACCACGGTATACTTCTACATGCAGCGCGTAAATGTTGGGTTGTTCCTGGAGTCTGTATGCTGAAAGAGAATGTGTTCGAGATCGTTGGGATGTGGTAATGACATCTAGGATCAGTACAAGCTGAAGTCGAAACAGTGAGTTATTAGTCCATGTCTTGTCTGGCGAAACAGCATCATCGTTTCTTTGTGCGAATCTTCGAGCCCGCTTTTGCTCTCGATTTCTTGGCGCGCGAAGCAGGTACGGGACCTTCAACTATCTCGAGTTCGTCGTCGTCGTCTACGCTTCTCCGCTTCGCGGTCGATTGCGATGCGGACGCCGGTAATTCGAAGCTGTCGACGTCAATGGGTTCGCTAGCTGTGGATACGGAGAGACGGCTCGGAAGATGTTGGACCGGGCTCTGGCGGAAAGATGAAACAGAGCTCGGGCCTGAATGATGGAGCATAGAAGCGCGAGTGCGGACAGACAATGCTGGTGAAGCTCTGCGAGAAGACGGCCGCCTCTCAGAGAGTCCCTGACCCGGCGCAGAGTACGTCGGGATAATCATGGTGCCATCGTCCTGCTCTCCTCTACCCCGGCTGGCACTGCTCACCGCGTCGTTTACCCCTATTCGCGTCTCTCTCCAGTCACGCATGAACACGCTCTCACCGGAGAGGTCATCCTGAAACGTGCGGAGATTCCCTTCGACCATGGAGTCGCCAGTGTATGCTTGTGAATGAACAACGGAGTCGCCTGTCATCTTCGTGCCAAAGAGCTCCAGGGACAGTGAAGTCGAATTCTTCAGCTGCTGATGCTCTGACTTATCATCGCGTTTCGGATCAACGGCGGGAGCATTGCCAAGATACTCGGTCCATTCCCATGGACGATTCTGCACAGGCTGGTTGGCCACCATGGACCCTGAGGCGTCTCTGGTGGCATACGCGAGGTCGCAAACAGCCAAATTTTGCGATACGTAAGGAAGAAGAGAGCGGAGTCTCCTCCTGAAATCTGGCGGCATGTCGCTCGGTAGGTCTGCTAAGTCAAACTCCGGGTAATTCCGACAGGGATCAAGCGTTACGGTCTTGGGATCCGTAGGGATTTCTGTCGTCGAGACAGTCAGCCATAGAAACATGTCTTTTCGCGAAACATACCATCGAGGACATAGTAAAGGGTGTCAAGCAGGAGCGGAAATGCCAGAAGATCCAATGTTGACCCAGCGGTGTGAAGCTACGAGACTGCTCAGCATATAAAAACTTCTGCACTGTAGGAAAAACGCATACCAGGGAGAGTCGGGAGAGGATAGAACACAGCTCTTCATTGATTGTCTTCATCTGAGGCGACCAATCTCCCCGAAATCGAAGATTGAACTGTAAGAGCCTTGCGAGAAAAATGGCAAAATGAGACGCTTGACTTAAGTCCGCTTCCTTGGATAAATTTCCGATTCCAGCAGTAATGATATTCTTGATCTCCTCAAGTTTGCCCTTCAAAACCAGCGCGAGGTCTTCCTGCACAACAGGAGTGAGGTGAAGTTGAGTTGTCTCGTCCTGAAATGGTTGAACTATATTGGAGAGGAGGCGTAGGACTTCGCCCACGTTCGACACGAACTGCGCCATGTCCTCAGCGGTCAATGGTGCGGGAAGTGATCGCAATGTTTCCGTTATACAATGTAGCCCAGCATCGACAAACTGGAGAAATGATCAGATTGAGAGCATGCGGCAGTCAGTGTGCCTTTACCTTGGTAGCTACTTCCCGATCAACATCTACCATCATCTCGGCAACAAAATCCACCAATTCCATATTCGTACAGTGATGAAAGACGAAATCAGTGAGTTCGTCCAAGCTAGTACTTGCAGCTTCGTGCGAAGACTCTCGGGCCAACCCTTCACCCAGCTGCTTCAGGGTAAGTCGCATTTCAATTGAGGTAGCTGCCAACTTCCAAGGACTGAGTAAGGACGAAACCGCCTGGAATCCTGAAGTGTCTGTATTATTCCCTAGAGTAGACGTCAGTAATCTCCCAGCCGCATCATGGAAGTGCGGTTCACCGTGCGCAGGATCGCGGAGCATCATCCGTAAGGCAGAGACAAGATGTTGATGAGTTTCCTCAGGAACGGTCCGACACTCCAAAAGTTTCTCGAACGCGAGCCGTACTGCATCTAAATCACGATATACACCTTGACGGAAGACACTGACTTTACATATGGCCTGGCGGAGCGATAAGGAAGTACGCCGTGAAATTTCCGATATGTACTGATTCTGCTCGATCAGAACAAGTATGGGTAGGTTGTCGATTAGTGAAGAGAAGTATGGCTCGCGAAAGACGTCGCGACGTCGCGTCTGCAAGCCTCGAGCTTCGAAGATATCGCGTGGGGGAACACCATTGCCATACTCATCCTTCAGCAAAAGGTGTTCGAAGAGCGCATTGACTGCGGTCAGAAGAACTTCCAAAGACAGGCCTTGTTCAACGGAAGCAACTGTAGCCCCCATTTTCCACACTGGATAAATAAGACCTTGCAGGATAGTCGTGGTCGTGAGAGCACCACAGACAGAAAGGTGAAGAAGCAAGACGGTCATGACTTCCCACACGTCGGCGCTGAGAGCAGCAACCTCACTCCTTCCAGCACCCAGGAACCACTGGAGGACCTGATCGTCGAATCCTTCAGGAAGGTGTTGGTCAACATGCGAAAGAAAGACGGCATAGCGTAGGGCGCAAACTCTCCGTCCAATCGAGTCAGGTATCATCGAAGGGATCTGGCGGAGACTTGCGACAGTGTTGTCCCAGACTTTCCAGGCCCAGTCCGGAGCAGTCAGGTACCTATACCATAGACTCTTTGCTAGATTAGATGGCGCTTCTGGATCAGGATCCGTCGCAAGCATCAAGATCTCTGGGAGAGCAAGAGGTACGGTATCGGCAGAGGGCTGATTGATTGGATACAGGGCCTATTATGGAGAGGCGTATGAGTAGTGTGAAACAAATATTATAATAGGATACCTTACATTCGTGTAAGCTGTAATGTCGGCCAGAATATGTTCGCGCGAGGCAGGCTCCAAGTACCGATCGTTATCTACCTCAATCAGCAAGGACAGTAAGGCACGAGTATGGATTCCGCGCGTTCTCCAGAACTGATGTGATGCATACAAGGCCGTGGCGATAGTGTGCATGATATTCATGCATGCCCACACCTCCATGTGTTGACGAAGTGTTTCCATCACCGCCGTCAGTAGTTCGTTGCTCGCCGCATGTTCCAACGTGAACAGTGTGATCTGAATAGGACAATAAGTCTGTTGGGTGAGAATAATATATAGTCAGCGCTTACGTCGAGTATCGAGCCATAACATCTAGTGTGCGCCATGAGAATGGTTGCCATTGTATACGACTTCAAAATGGAGGTGTCTCCGCTAGCTCGCCGCTGGCTGGAAAACGTCACAGATCTGCAAAGCCGGATACGGTAGTACTTACTTGGAGATACTCTTCTTCAGAACTGGTAGCAGCCATTGTTTCATCGTTTTGACTTGTTCAAACCGCGGAGACGAAAGTAAAGTGCTACAACCTGACCGGATTGTCGTCGCCAAAGTTCTACCAGGATCCGGAACACCTACAAGGTATCATATCAACTGAAGGGACATTCGTGCATTATTGACATAAACGAACCTGCGAACAACTCCGGAATTACCTGCCGAATCTCTTTCCGAATTTCTCGCTCATGCAAGTCTTCTGGAATCTCACGTGCTCGAACGCCATATAAGGTCACCTTGCGTTGGCTCACCAGTGAGGGTGATGTGTTGTGCAATGGTATCCAACGCAGAAAGTCACGATGGCGTGAACAATCCTCCTAGGAACGATGCAAATGAGCGAGCATACATAGCCGGGTAAACACATACCAAGACACACCTGACCAAACGACAAACCTCTTTCACCGCGAGCAATCAGACGTTGTATGTAGTCTTGGTACGAATACAGCTGATACTTCACAAGTTGCCCGAAGAGAAGTGATACTGCAGGAAGATTGCTCGATTCGCTGGCTACTTCAGAGGTGTCCAGCCAGTCGAATAGCTGATCCTGGAGAAACTGGTCGGGCGATTCCGCATCATGACGGATAGCACGCTCTCCCGCTTTGTTGCGCCATTCTCGCAGCAGACATGCAGCAGCGTACGGACGATGGTCGCCATATTGGAGCGACGTGACGCTCCACGTGAGCAGCAGGTCTAGCTTGCGTGTGAACGAGGAAGAGTTCTCGGTGCCATCTTCAAAGAAAATAACACTGCACATGTCCGTCTTACCAGACAGCGAATTGAGTAGCTTGGATGGAATGACGTTAGAAAAAAGTCAGTGATATATTCAAAAAAGTACCTTGATATCTGAAAGAGCGGACGAAAGTGGACCAAGAACACGGGAAGGTAAGCGCCAGAAAAGCATGGCTTCGTTTCGTTGCCGCACATCGGCAAACTGTTCAGCAAATGTCTGGCAAAGCGCTTGCGCATTGTGATCTGAGGTACTATCCAGAGTAGCAACGTTGAAGTTATCGGACAGGATCTCCTCTAGAAGCGCGGAATGGAGTGTCCATGCACGGGGACTTACGAAAGCATCAGGAAGAGAAAGGAAAGATCTCTACCGCTGGTCAGTGAGTGATTAGCCTATCCCATGTAATCCGAGACCTACTGAAATGAGATTCTTGAGCATGGCCTCTACGTTCCCCAGGAATTCTCTCGCTGATGACGACCGTATCTGTACATTTGCTCAGTCATTCGCGTGTAAGAGAGACATATGTGGATTACCTCCGACAACTTCTGCAAGGAAGCATCGACAAATGGACGGGTGATCGCACGACTGACTAGCATGCCCTCCAAATATTCATCGGCCAACTTAGCGATGAAACCAAGCTGAGCGAGATTGCATGTCGACATTTGCTGAACGAGCCAGCTCAGGAAAGTCCGTTTGTCCACTAATCCTTCTGCATAGAAAGTGCGAAGTAGACCCAGGCTATTGGAGCGTCAGCAACGGCTACACATATCGAACCTGAGACTGACTGACCAGTACGTAAAGCGAGATATCCAGCGCTCGCGCTTGTCTGCATCTCCAAGCTCACCTTTGAAAGTCTGTTTGATGTTGAAGCCGAGACGAGGAGCGCTCGGCAGCGCGATATCCGCTAGCTGTTTCTTCATATAGCTCGTGACTACGTTCGCCCAATCCACGCTGTACTGCGTCGGGTTGTACGCCTGCTTGTTGCGTAAGCCCGCCTAAAATAACGCCCTCAGGTCTGTGTGCGCAAGCAGGAGACATAATCGCACCGTTTCGTTCCCGCCAAACACGCGGAGGAACCAGACAGCGCGTGGGATCGCTACATTGTGGGTGTGCAGCAAGTCAAGGAGGTCATGTCCTTTAGCACCGTGCGGCACGTTCTTCCCCAGCTTGGACAGAGGAACATCAGGATTCGCGAGGTCGCTAAACCACGCCTGCCGCCGTGCCTCATTGAGCGTAACCCGAGAAGGCAAGCGAAAAGACGGTGCACTGCACAGGTAAGTTAAATGGAACGTGCATAACACGAATAGTGCTCACGGTACAGGAGGGACGTTCTCTGCACGCCGCGCGAATATCTGATTCATCAGATCTTCGAGCTCACTGATTGCATTCTCATGCACGAGGCAATGCCTGACATTGTCCTGCAGGCTCAAAGTTTCTGCCTGATAGGCGCATTCCAGCAAAGAACCCCGAGTAGAGATGCGGCAATACTCACGAGGACCGGCGGTGCCAGGACCAAACCATTCTTGACCTTTGTCTCCGATAAAATCTCTTCATCTTCATTGCCGCGAGGAGGAAAGTATCCGACATATCCTGAGCAAAACGTTGCAATGAGGTAAGTTTGAAGCGAACTCCAAGAGAACATACCTAGATCAGCGGATGCATGAGTCTTGGGTAGCCACTCAGGAGGGCGGGACTCATATACGGTGATGGATTCGTTGTCATCCTTCGACATGTGGCTACAGGGAGTAATCCCTTGAGTGGTGAAACCTAGGATACAGGTCCGTGGTTGAAAGGGACTGATATGTATTGTAAAAAAATAATAACACGGTTCGCACGCGATCACAGCGGTGAGCAGGCGATGGAAATACGTCAGGTTCCGTCGAACTGCATAAGGCACAGCCACATACTATATTCTGCTAGTCGAGTACGGAAGTGATCATGGACTCCCCATAGGCAATTCGTGAAATCTGTGTCTGAACACTCGACTTCACCACTTCTCCTGATTCCTAAAATTTAACTTGGCAACACTGAGACGCTTTAAAGGTATCTCACCGTCAGCGTTGCAGCCAGCTACTGGTATTTTTTAACGGCGCAGCAGATTATTTGTGGCTGTAACTATCGTGAACTCAGTGGGAATGCGTTATTGCAAATAGACGCCCGCTCCGTAATGAACTATCATGTGACCCGCTGCCATCGATGACCATAATATGGCACTTCTGGCAGATTGTTTTTGTAACATATAGAATATTAGAGACTATTTTTTCAGAATTTTCTATAACGTTGAACATTTTAGAGACATGCCGATCAGCCAAATGCACTCCTGCAATCCGGATTTTCATGGGACCCAAGTTGGCCACATTTAATTCTCAAACTTTTACATGTTGAAGTGCAATGAATGAGAGCATCTCTGAATAATTTCGAGGCAATCGGTGAGGGGGATCAAACTGTAGAAAGAAGTATGGCACTTCTGGGCCATATGGCATATCGGGGTCACTGATAGTAGTTCTATTTGGATATCCATCCCAAGTACGTGCAAGAAAACACGCACCCAGTTGCACCCCTGTGTCGTTACACTTAGTCAAAAAAAGACAAAAAAGACGCACCATCGGCTGAGCCAAGAATATCAATCATCAAACAATCGTACTTCAATCACGAACGACACGCAGAAGCGTATCCATCCATTCCGACTAGTTAAGTTAAAACAAGAAAAAACAACGCCGATGCACGATGTAAGATATAGAGTGTGCCCGGCAGGAGCCAATCCATCCTAGCCCTATGTATCATCACAGGGGGAATGCGAAGAAAATAAATGTAGATATGCGATGAGTTTGAGAGCGAGATGATGAGGATGTGCGTGAACGCGTGCGGTGGGGTATGGGGAGCGAAGGTGTCCTGCGCGGACTATCTCGGCGCCCCCATCTGTCACCGTCTTCTAGGATATCCCATGTCGTGGAGTATACGTACGCAGACGCGCCTTCTGCCAGCAGTCTCTGCTAGGATCAATGCGAGTATTAGACCGGGCGTGGCGTGAGGAAGCGGAGGCAAGGATATGCTTTTGATACGTTGCAATGTATGTGAGTGACGAATCCCGGAGTTAGGATGGTGTTGATACAGAGTCGGTAGATTACAAATGTGACGATGAACATTGAGTCGAATGGGCAAGCGAGATCCAGGGGGTACAGTGCCGACGAGGAAGCGTGTAATACAGGGTTGCGGTCGATGCGAAGAAACAGCGGCTGTCGTGTCAGAGGAGGGCGAGCGAGGTTCGATAGACAGTGAATAATCATATTGAAATAACAGTGCATGCACAGGAATATCCATGCACGGTTTCACTGTAATATTATCGCGGGTAGATGCACCCCACGATGAGGCGATAGCGACCAATCACCGGGGCGAGGATACTGCAGAACGCGAGGTGGCGGGACTTCAAGCACCTAGGGTAACTACCGCGGTGCAGACGGATCGGCGGCAGCGGCCATGCGTTTACGCTGCGATGGCGGAGTAGATGCGGGTATCGTCCCGTCACCCACGCCGCTGTCCCCGTCCAATTTGAGAATTACACCGTCGATCCCGCGGTACCCATAGGGCTTGCTGAACTCGTTGATCAATGACTTGCCCATCAAGCACACCCACCCGAGGCCCCGACCGGCCAGGGCCTGACCCGGCCAGAACAGTTCGCATTCATCATCATCGAAGTCGGGCTCGTGCTCATCCGTGGCGGTCAAGCTGGTGTAGACCGTGCGCGCGAAAGTGCGTGGATAATGCTTAGCGAGGATCGGGAGTGTCAAGAAGCGCTGCGCGTGGTCGAACGCAACGACTGCACCATGTACGCCGTTGCTTTGCGTCTTGCGGTCCTGTATGAAATGTGAATGCACCGGTACCGTGATATGCTTTGGCGGAAGAGGATCTTCCTGGCGAGTAGGCTTCCCCTGGGATTTTGCGCTGGTAGCAGACGAAGGTGCTGACGTAGGCTCTTGCTTCGTGGTGGGCGTGGAATTGCTACTGCTGCCAGAAGTGACACTCACAGGAGAAGGGAGCATGGGGGGAGTCAGCTGCGACGCGGTAACAGCTGCACGGGCCGCCTCAGCAGCCGCAGCCTCACGGGCGACCTCAGCAGCGGCTTGTATCTTAAGTCGCTTCATGATCCATTCATTCCCTTCGTCGATCTGCTTTGATCCGTGGGTCGACTCGCGCCCGCGAATAAAACCTTCAATCATGTAACTGCGGGGCGCATGAGGTGAGCTTGTAAGGACAACACACGACGGACATACATCAGTCCCAGGAAAACCTTCTCCCGCTCATCACAGTCCTCCTTGATCCACTTATCCTTCGTGAAGTTAAGATATCCATCGACCGTACTCCATGCCCGGATGTACCCGGGGCGGCTGTAATCCTTTGCCCATATCGCGTAAACGAAGTTGATGAGAGCATCAACCAGCTCGATACGCGCAAGCAAGGATCCGTACTTGTGGTACGGAGAAGTGACGGGAATCGGAGTAACCAAAGGTTGATAATCCGGGTAGGTCGGAGGGTATGTGGACCAAAGACGAGTCTCGCCGGAGTACTTCAACGTACGCCCAAGGGAATGGTACTTCACGTAGATGTCGTCGTACGGAAGTCTATTACCCCGACGAGGGCGACGCACAGGAACATAATGTGGGATGGCCGTGATCGGATTGGAAGTCTCTTCACGGACTTCGCCATCTTCTGAAGGCTCGTGCTGACGGGAAGAGCGAGACGTAGAAGGTGTCGGGTGCGAGGCAGACGGGTCGGAGTTAGATGGCTTGGCTGACGAGTTGACGCGAGGTTTCTTTCTTTGACTCTCGTCAGAGTCAGTATCGAGGCGGCGCTTGAGTGGATTGGGTGAGTTGTCGCGAGAAACGGGAGGCGATGGCGGAAGGTATGGGGATAGTGGGACGGTGAGCGGACCAAGGATCTAGAAACCGAGCGTCAGAACAGATCATGTTGACGAATAGTATGGCAAACCTCCAGACTTTGCAAGAGCTGTTCTCGAGTGAGTTTACTGGAAGGAGAATGAGCGACTGGGAAAGGTGGACGACCACGAGGCGATGCGGCTCACCGTTCCTTGGAAGACATCGTTGAAGAGGACGAGGACGCGGAAGAGGATGAGGAAGGGGTGGCACGATGCATAGCACGGCGTGGCGGAGGAGATGGTGGTGGTAGGAAAGAAAGAGTGGCCAAGGCGGTACGTACGGAGTGCAACGATGGCGTGAAGTCGGCGGAAGGCCACAGCGCCTGAGCGCTTGAACATCCGTTACCTCGGGTCCTCGTCGACTCGTCGAGGTGGCTCCCGCATTTCTTTATTCCTTTCTCTTTCTTTTATCCTTGCTCGTTCTCCTGCTTTCTTTCTCTTTTATTTCCTCTCGGAAGCTACGAAAACATGCATCGATGGCATCTACACTCACCAACTTCCCGGAATGGCAGGCACTGTGCGCATCACTCTTCCATATGTCCATTCTCATGCTGACTTAGCCCACGCCTCCATTCCCTGCCGAGAAACATTCTCTCTCGTCCGACGACAGTTCCATTTCAGCCACGCCCAATATATGTCCTACACACCTCTTCTTGAGGATCTTCGACCTCACATGTTGCTGACAGAACCCTACCGCCCGCCATCAGGGCACCCGCTTCGTCCGGTGACTCTCCCTAAGACCATCATTTAACGTCGGCGAACGAACCAAACCCATTATTTCAGGGCATCCACCGCAATTCGCTGAGGTGCTCTGCAGAAGCTCGCTTTCACTCTCCACCGCATTCACCGCCCTATTCCAATCGTGTTTCTCGCTCTAAGGTGTTTCACACATGCCGGGAACTTTCGGTCGCTGTGTGGCTCCGATATCTCGTTTGTCGCCCGTGCATCTGTCGGCCAGCCACACACGAGCGCGCGTGCATGTTCCGATCGGCCCTGCATCCGTAAGTTTATGCCCATTCTCCCTCGTTCTGCCCATCCTTCCCATGTCCGTACCATCCCGTGTCCGCACGCGCATGACAGACATATGTCGTGTACTCCTCGTATTCAGCATGCATGCCTAACCGCGCTCGCCGTGGGTGGGAGCTTCAGATCTCGATCATGGATTCTCGATACGGCAACCCAGGGGCGCTTACTGAGATCGGCCACACACTTAGTCGTTACCAGATGAAAGATGTTGATCATTCCACTTGAATTGGTTTTCTGGCATATATACTGACAACCAGCATGATTGAATATCATGCAGTGCAATGGCAGAGGTTGAGATGTTACGGAGGCTGCTTTATGCTGTCAACTCAGAGTATATGCTGTAACTCATGTGGGGCACAAACTGGAAATGTGAATACATCACTGTTGATACTAATATACTTGTGGGACAGAGTTGTGAATTTTGATAATGACCACAGGCAGCATGAATGAGACAAGAGGTGAATCAGTAGATTTAGTACACATCAGAGGCTGATTCAGAGCCGATTGCAAAGCTACTCATCCTACCAACTTTTCCGGTCCAAAACTCATGAGTATGGCATTCAGAAGACAAGAAATGCATGAAAATGGCCAATTGGGTTGCAATTGCATTGCTGTTGCTTGTTTGTTCTTGGCCACCCTCAAACTATGGCCGTTGAAGGGACGCATAGCGCGCTGAGGTGGGAATCACATCTGCGAAGTGGTCTCACATTTCGGAGATACCAGGGTGCTACACAACAGACCCTAGTCCGACACCAATTGGAAGCTGGTTATTGGAGGAGGGAACACTACAAGCCTGAATGCTACTTCCAACTCCTCAACTACGATCTGCAACTAGGGAAGGACAGGGGTTAGGGTTAGCCCACGGTTTTTGCTTAACGGGTCTGGTGGTGACGGGTACAGGTTACATGATGTCAACCCTCTGTCATACCACTGACCCGAGCCGTGGTTGGGCGGGTTCATACGGTTTGGTGGGTTTGCGGCGGGTTAACTTCTCAGGTATGCATGTCATGTTTGCATCTTCTACAAGCACACTTTGCTACGTCACGCTTTTGGCAATTACCATGTACAAGCACCTTTCTTGTGTCCACTGCACGCTTTGCCACCTCGGTTTTGGTAACTTATGGTTACGGTTGCCATTGCATCATAGTTACTGCCTCTTTCACCTATTGCTTTGATGCTTACCAGTGCTTTCATTCTCTGGTATGTGCTTTGATTTCTTCTTCCCCGTGCCATTGAGCCTGCCACCCTGAGGTATATAAAGCCCCATGCTACCCCGTCTTCAATCCCAATCATCCTGTTCCTCCAACTCTCACATACATAACCTACTCTCTATCTGAACACAAATTCCACTTCCATCTCAACCATGGGCTCTAAGAAAAAGCCTCGTGCATCAGCAAGCCGAGCATCGGTCACCTCAGCGGCCTCTTCGGTATCGCGAAAGGTGTCCAAGGTCACGAAGTCAGTCAAGGCTGGCGCAAAAGCACTCATGCGGCCTCTCAAAAAGGCTCGCTCTGCTCTTTCGAAGAGCAGAGTGAGCCTTCGATCTCACTCCTCATCTAGTGCAATGTTGATCAACGAGACCTCGAGCAAGCCTGTGTCCGTTATCGACATTGACCTAGATGATGTCACTGAAGCGGCATCATCCCAGGTGGCTAATGATGAAGAATCACCTGAAGCGGAACTTGGTATGCTCTGGCTTTCTTATTATCTTCCAAGCCATGCTCACCTATTCGAAGCTCGTCTGCAAGCTTCATGGCGCTCCCCGGTCTACTCCTTCTTCAAACTTGCAGAGGTTTCAATTGACTACGATGATGAAGGCAGGAAGTACCACTTCTTCCCGTGTGCCGCTCGGCAGTGCAAGAACAAGTACAAAGGCGTGCGTCGCTACCAGGATTCCAAGGACAAGTCTTCAACATCAAACTTGAAGACTCATGCTATGAAGTGCTTTGGCACGGCAGCAGTGGCGGCCGCTATTCAAGGGAAGTCCGATACAGGCAAGGATGGGTCAATCTTTGCCGCCTTTGCGCGTTAAGGTCAGTGTCCCGTTACAGTCTCACATCGCAACCACAGCAATGCCGAAGTCCGGTGCGTCACACTAATATGCCCTTTTATTTGCACTCACAATGCTGCAGGGCTCACCTTGTCAAGTGGCTCACGGAGAGCAATCGTCCAAGCACTATTGTGGAGGATCGCGAGTTCGTTGAACTTATGATGGCAGGTCATCCAAATCTTGATATTCCCTCTTGCAGGACTGTGTCACGTGATATACATGCATCATTTGATCGATGTCAGGAACGGATCAAAAAACTGCTAAAGGTGCATTTGATATGAATTATTTTGCTCTTTGTGCACTGATGTGTACTTGCAGGAGCATCCGGGTAGACTTAATTTCGCAACCGACGCCTGGACTTCGCCGAATCATCGTGCGTTCATTGCCTGGACAGTCCATCTGGAATATGAAGGCTGCCTGCTGTCGTTTGTGTTAGATATCATCGAAGTTCCTGAAGTACGTTCCTCGGCTGTATTCACATATTGTTGTACTGACTCTGGGCACTGTAGTCTCACACGGGGGATGCTCTCGGAAAAGCTTTTCATAATATGCTGGTTGACCTGGGCATTGAAGAGAGAGTGAGTCTCTCTGTTATGAATGTGCCTCAGCTTCTCGGGAACTCATCACACTCCAGATACTTGCTTTTACCGGGGACAATGCGACATCAAACGACACTCAGTCCACTAAGCTCGATGAGCTGCCAAATTCCTTTGAGGAAGCTAATCGGGTACGGTGCTTCAATCATACCCTCAATCTTGTGGTCAAATCGATTTTGAAGCCGTTCAATCACAAGACGAAGGACCAGGGGGCTTCTAGTGAGCTGAGCGATGAAAACGATGATGACGAACTGCCAGATCTCTTGTCAGACTCGGACGACAGCGACGATGGTGGCGACGATGAAGGGGAGTCATGGGACCTCAGCAACTTGGACGATCCTGAAGAAGTGGATGAACTGGAGGAGCTCGATGTTGAGGAGAAGAGTATACTTCTTGCAGACACTGCTGCAGTGCGATCAACATTAGTAAAGGTAAGTGCCTGTCTTCGATGTATAAGATTGTGTGTTTACCCTGTGGTGGACAGCTCCGGGGTCTCGCTTATGCAATCGTACACTCTACGATCGTCGCACTACCTGCGTGGTACAGAGCGTGCAAGGCTCACGGAGTCCCGAGCTGCCTCATCCCTCGCGACGTTGTTACGCGATGGAACTCCACCCACACTATGATCGCATTTGCACTCAAATACCGTCATCCTATCGATGATATCATGGGCAACAAGGCACTCAAGCTATGCAAGTATGAGCTTCACAACGATGACTGGAGGATCCTGGAAGACCTCGTTCACATTTTAGAGGTGTGCTGATGCTTCGTAATCTTGGCATTTCACATGTACTAAGTAGTATTGTAGAAATTCAAAAAAGCGACATTGTTTTACTCACAAGATGCCGTCGTAACCATCGCCAATGTTATACCAAGTATGGATACCATTGACGAAATGCTTAAACCCGGGATAGGTTCATGAACATACCATTCTGCGATTCAGGCCGCTATGAAGCTCGGAAAGGCGACCATGAACAGGTATTATTCGAAGACCGACCTTTCGAATGTTTACAGGATCACCATGGGTACGCTTCTCATCCATGACTCGACCTATGCCAGCTAACATATTCGTGATAGTGCTCCACCCAGGCCTTAAGTTAGAATACTTCTGTCAGCATGCATGGGAGGCCGATTGGATCGAGGAAGCAAAACGGCTGACACATGAAGAATACCATAAGCATTATGAGAAGAACACTGATGGCACACAAGGCGATGCTCACAATGAAGCTGTGGTAAGCCTGTATTTCTTTCGCATTAATCCGCAAGCTCAACAATTAATCCGCGAGCTCAACGTATTTCATCCAGCCTTCTGACGACGAATTTGGTGATTTCGCTAACATCTCAGTCACCATGGAGCCCTCTGCGAGGAACGAACTAGAAGAATACCTTGCAGCTCCCCTCGAGAAGGTCAGGGATCCGCTGCGGTGGTGGTGGGATTCTCGGAAGGCTTACCCGCACCTTCATCGCATGGCTCTCAATTATCTCTCTGTGCCTGGTGAGTCTTTCTCTGTCTTAATATCATAGAGATGATACTCATTCCAATGTATAGCTACCTCCACCGCAGTTGAACGCGCATTCTCGCAAGGACGGCAATTGCTACATTTCACTCGGAACAGACTTTCTCCAAAATCCATTCGCGCTGCACTTTGCCTTGGCTCTTGGGGTAGATCAGAGCTACTGCATATCGCTGATCTTATAGCTGCAGTGAACACGAAGAAGTGCAAGTGGGCTGTTGTAGAAGAGGAGGTGGATGAGCAGGCGTAGTAGCTCACAGATGCAGATTGTTATATTTTATTGTAGACGAAGAATAGTATATTGCTGCAGCCAATACATTTGGAATTGGAAGTATTATGGTTATCTCGTTACGTCGTACAGCCTTCAAGTTCGTATGTATGAGTCCTCCATTTGCGCGCACTCCATCGTCTGGCCACCTGTCATCCACTACGCAATCTCTATCACATAGCCCCTTCCCCCGCTCTGTCCTTGCTGTGAGCTACCCTCATGCCCCCACAGCCATCTTTGAAAACAACGTCGCCGAAATCTGCCTCGACGGCAAGCCCATGCAGCTTGCGCCATGGGACACTACATGCGTCCCCATCTTTTTCTTTCCACCTGCTCCACCGGCTTATTGTTCGCAGTGGCCAGGAAAAGTATGAGCGGCTACGGCCAATGTCTTATTCAAAATCCCGTGTCATCTTCATCGCCTTCGCCATCGACACCCCTGATTCGCTCAGGCATACCTCTAGGATCTGATGCACTCCCCACCATGCTCCCCATCTCTGGGATGTTAGAACATTCAGACCAAAAGCACGTTGCCGAGGGAGACAGGTGCATCGTGTCAAGGGTCCGGCCCAATCGCCAGCTGAAGGCGCGCCCGCAACATGTAGGGCTCTGCCAAGGCTTTCTGTAATCATCCTCTGAGGCTCATCAACAAGGATTAAGGCTAAATTGTCATTGTTTGTGATGTTGACAATGAGACTTGTGCTGCAAACTTGGTATGGAGCGAGCGTTCCACCTTCCCGGCATCTTCGTCCTCTTCTGCTCGTTCGTGTTACTATTCCTCATTTCTGTCTCCCTCCCGTTCATTGACCCGCTCGACTATGTGCGTGTGTACATCTACAATGGCATCGTCACGACTACAGCGAATGGGACTGCCATCTCCGAAATTCGTGTGTGTGCTTCATCGAGGTGCAGTCCATTTACGCGCTCACCATTTAGGTCATTACAGTTCGGGTTGTGGTGTATGGGGAAATATCACGGAAGGTCGGGGCACTGAGAACCTGCAGGGCTAACTGCTGGTATGAGATGGTGTCCAGGACACCGTGTATGCTCGTCCGCAGGTACGTTGGAATATCGCCTCCCACTCCTGCGCAGAACCTTTTAACACTTCCCAGCAGACAGATACACTACGACGCTTTGCACCAATGGCGGGGCTAGCGAGGTGACCGTTGGATCCTCCTGGATGTGTGGGCTCATTACGCACCCCATTGGTGAGCAGTCCGCTCACTGAGCCCTTGCACCCACGTACTGCTTACCTTAGCCCAGCGACGGGTGTGTCCCTTCTCGTGCTGCTCTTGTCATTTTTCACACATCCCACCATCACCTTCCTGATGTACGTCCTCGTGTTCCTCGCATTTCTCATTGTGCTCGTCGCATTCTTCGCTGATGTTGCGCTCTAGGAGGTGAACCTCCTGCTCTCTCGGATGCTCGAAGTCGATTGGCAACACCAGATCGTGCTGCGAGAGATGCGTCTGTCGATCGTGGTTATCGATAACTTTTATTCGCCCGACGTCCTGTTCGACGATAGCATGACGCGCTGTCCATGTCAGGCGGGCATCCAGGTCGAGACGGACAGCGAGTCATTGGAGGAGGAGGAGCCAGAGCCGGAGCCAGAACTGAAGGAGCTGCCAGAGGCGCAGGACGAGGGTATCACATCGACGTGGAGCAATGATTCGGAGTCAGACATGGTGTTCGCGACACAGTCAGTGACAGACAAGTCGTCTTGGGCATATTCGGAGTCATACGCGAAGCGCGACTCGTACGCGCGGTCCATATCATGCTCGCCAGATTCCCCGCTCTTTCGCTCCCTGTTACTCCTGAAGGCGGTGAGAGTCTGCAGCCGGAAGAGTGGCGACGACCGAAGGCCCTCACATTCTGCATGCACTCTATTCATCTTTGTCTTCATGACTTATGACGATTCGTGCAGTGTGCGCAGCATTCACGCTTGGCCGACACTCCATGCCATTCCTGATGTTGATCCTGCACCCGCACTTTTCTCAGAAGAGCTTATCCCTCACGCGCAGGATTCGTCAAGTCTGTGTATTCCTGGTTACTGGATCGTGCATTCTGCACCAGGCCGGAAGATGATCTACTTCCTGTGCAGCGGCAGTGCAAGTCCAGCAGTCTCACAGCTGTGGCTTTCTCGACCAACGTCGTTGAGTGGCCAATTCTCTTGTCATCTATGATCACAAGTGACCCGCTGATGTCTCCATCTTGCATTATGCCATGACATATATTTGAATTCCCTGTATATAACAATTTTCTAGTGTTGGACCCGTGGTGCAGCCCGCGGTAATGAAACCCGCGGTGACTTGGACAACCCGCCGGTGTATGCCCGTGGGTCTAAACCCTTACCCGCACAAGGGTCGGTGTTGCGGGTGGCGAGTGTGGTGTCACTGGTGTGACCCGTGTCCATCCCTATCTGCAACCCTCTCAAAGTACCATCTGCCAACTCGCATCTACCGATGATTCTGAGCATGACATAGTACAGTCCGCAGGCTGCATCGTGCAATGTCTCAACCTGAAGGTGCAAGGTTCCTGATGGCAATAAAAGCTAAGAAACACGATTCTAGGAAAATATGGATAGGACGACGGTGCACCAATGTCAGGGAGACCATCTGGTGGGTGGCCCAAACCAAAGTCCTCGCGGACAGTGGGGTCATCGTACAGAATGCGGGCAGTCAAACCATGAGGAATGACCGCAGGAAGGTGGTCGGCAATCCGAGGGATCATCCGACGACTGCCTTCCATAGTGTGAGCTGTTGCAAGGTGTATTTCCACTTGGGCGAGGACAGGAATATCGTGCAGAAGGGGTAGGATGATCCCCACGCTGGCTGCTTCAGACTGGGCTTGGACCATAAAGACCTGAGGGACGTGTGAGGGTCAGACGGTGAAGGATCATATGCTTGTGGGAGCCTCACCAGCAGGACGTGCATCCGGACTGCCCATGCTTTCCACAGGATCGGATCGAAGGGCTCGGTAAAGATCTCAATGTGAAGAAGAGCTTCCGTGAGGATGTATTTGCGAAGGATGATGCTGGCATCCATGAATGGGAGATTGAGTTCAGGATGGGAGATATGCCTCCGAGGCAGGTGGGTGCTTATTAGGTGCTTGGGCGGGCCCGATGATGGAGGATCCCTCGGATTGAGTAGGAGCGTGAGTGGACGGGATTGTGAGATATGGCATGATGGGCAGTGATGCAGCAGAATGATTGTTAAGCAGATGCGGGCAGTATCGGGAGGGCAGGAAAAGGTCAGGACCAGTTTAAGTATGATGGCAGGGGAAGAGGCCAGGTAGAACCCACCGTCCCGGAAGGTACCCTTGCAAAAAGCCTCATTCACATTCCCATTCCATTCAGTTTGTGCATCTTTGGGCAGTCTTGCATTTGTGCATTTCTGGGCAGTCTTGTGTTTCTGCATTTTAGCGTTCTCCTTAGAACAGTGCAATTTTACCTGTGACACATTTTCCAGCGACTATAGCGACTACAGAGATTTTCTAGCTACGCTATCAGGCTACCCATCTCATACTTCTGGAATAGACTTTTCTCCTCCATTGCATCTCAGACCTCACGCGGACTTGATTCCGCTTGTACTCCACCTTTCTGACTTGTGATGAAAATACAATCTTGTCAACTGGAGCCCACCACGAGGGGTCTTCATGCGATATGGCGGAGCAGTCACCTTGCTTCCAGATCGCTCCAAGAGGAGCTTACCTTGGCAGCTTCCCAGCCGCCGACTCCAGGTTCCCCAGTGTTCATGGGTTCACTTTCTGACAATTTCGCATACCGACCACCTATCGACTTCGATGATCCGGAGAACCCATTTGTTGACACCCGCCTTTCGATTTCCTCGCTCTTGAGATCTTGCAAATCATCGCCCCTGTCACCACTTCTGGAGGATGTCTCACTCATTCCATCTCGTCCCCCGTCCTCAGCTCTATCACCACAATGCCTAGAAGCCGCAGCCATGGCGGACCAGGAACCAGCCCCCAGACCAGTCTCGATGCCAGCATATGGTCACTCGATGGCGCCCACCTTTGATGGATCTTCATGAGCCTTGATGTGGTATTTCGCTGATCTTGAAGATTTGGCGATGCGAGTACAGCTGGACGATGATGCAAAAATCTGAGCGGCTTGCAAGTACGTGTCGTTGGATGAGGCGGATCTTTGGATGGGTGTCACGGAGTGAGAGCTGTATGAGCAGTTCAAGACTGCAGTCATCACACTGTACCCAGGAGCAGAGGATGACCGTCGATACACACAGTCTGACTTGACCCAGATTGTACGGGCAGCACGGATGAGAGGAGTATCCAGTCGCGTGGAGGAGGGACAGTACTATCGGGATTTTACTCGCGTCACATTGTTCTTGTTGTCTAGGGGTCAACTATCAGCCTATGAGTGGGACCGGCTGTACCTTGAAGGGTTCGAAGTGTCCCCCTTACATGCTATCAAAAATTGACTGGCGATTAAGGTTCCCGATCAGAATCCGGATGATCTGTATGCAATATCGGAAGTCCATTCTGCAGTGCAGCACATCCTTAGTGGGAGCGGGAGTGCATTGAGTGCAGTGGCAGTATCGAAGCTGAGCGCAGGGACGGTGAAGTTGGAAGGGAACGAGATGGACGCAATGCGGTTTCTAGCAAATGTGTTGCAGCAAGCCATGTGAACATCTGGGGGGGGGGGGACAGGCACCGGTAATGCAGGCCAACATTCAGGCAGCGGTCGCGCAAAATCCTCTTCCACAAGCACTCCGTGCCTGTAACTTCTGTCTAGCCATCGACCATTTCATGCAAAACTGTCCATGCATCGAGGATTACATCAGGGCATGAAAGATTAATTGTGATGCACTCAGTAGGATTATCCTCCCAAATGGATGGTTCATTCCTCATGACCTTCCTAGACGTAGCATGGCGGAGCGTGTTGATGCATGGCATGATATGTATCCTGGGAACCTTTTCAGTGATGGTCTGGGGCCGTCCGCAGCGCCTCCACCCAATGTTTCGAGGGATGGGCGTGACCAGCCTCCGCATATGGTCAGCCTGTGGGAGATCGCGAAGGAGGCACTTAACTCCAAGGAACTGTCATCAGCATACATTGAGGAATGTCTTGACGACTCCGCGACATCAGTACTAGAAGCCGGTGTGGCTCTGAAGAAAAAGACTGTTCGGTTCAATGACAACGCCGCAGGGAAGTCGGCGAAGCGTCCTCCCGGTATACCGGCCTCCCAGGTCCCCACGTCAATTCTCAAGCCAGTGTCGGATCCATCTGTGGCGGTGAAAGGAGGTGCGAAGGCATCTTTGGCATCTCCGGGAAACCAGACTATGCAATACAGCTATAAGATGCCGGTGGAAGACAAGGTGAATGTGTGGGATATATTTGAGCACGTCCAAAATGAAGTCCGCATCTCGCTTACACATCAGGAACTGATGGCATTGTGCCCGGAGATCCGCAAGCTTGAGAAGGAGGAGATTACTGCAAAGCGAGTAGCAACAACAGGAAGCTTCAAGGCTGCGGATGGCGAGGAGGTTGCGGAGGCTCTCTTAGTGGACGTGAGCAATGGCGGCGGACCACTTGTGGTGGCCGACGATTCTCTTCCATTGCGAGCAATTGATGCCCTGGTTGAAGGCAAGGAATCAGCAGAACGTATCCTTGACCAAGGCTCACAGATCATCACAATGCGACGGGACATCTGGGAATGCATCGGGTCCACGCTGCAGTCCGAGAAAACACTCAACATGGAATCAGCTAACATGGGTATCAACCAGACGCTCGGACGCCTTGCTAACATTTGATTTGGGTTCGGCGAGATGGATCTGTATCTTCAGGCCCACGTTCTAAATGATGCCCCATTCAAGGTACTCTTGGGCTAACCGTTCTTTACCTTGACGGCATGCAAAACACTCGACTTTACCAATGGCGAGCAACACATTACTCTGTGCAACCCTAACACGCGTCAGGTAGTCATGCTTCCCACTCACGAGCGTCGCCCAAGGCCACGGCCGATGCCACCTCCAGGAATGGGTTTTCAAGACTCGAGGAGTCAGGCTTGATCCGAGGAGGGTCCACAATGAACAGGCACCAGCGTGCTAGTGATACCCTTAAAATGACAGGACACATCGGGGAGCGGTCCCTTGTGGATGGTAGAGTTCCCCATGTTCCAGAATCAGTGTCTTCAGTTTCCTCTCTCTCTTCCTCTATGGCTGCGGTATCCTCTCTCTCTTCCTCTATGGATTCGTTTTCCTCTCTCTCATCCTCTGCGGCTCCGGTTTCCTCCCTCTGAAGACTTATTTCCTTGGATCATTTCATTGCAAATCGAAGAGCCCTGCATTCTTTATACCCTTTCCTCATCTTTTTGCAGTATCGGAGCAGTCAGCAGTGTGACCACACCTGCAGTGGCCCCTGGTGCATTCCAGATAGAGCACGAGGCCGTAGTCCACAGTTATGGATATAAAAAGGTTGACAAGCATGTCAAGTCTGTTCCAGGAATACTGGCTGACGAGTTCTGGATCATGTGGCGTGTTCCCCGTGACCCCATGCAGAACCTCCCATCACTCCCCTTTCACCCACCAGACTTCATCGGTGGATCACATTATACAGAGGAATGATGGTGGGACCTTAACATCAACAGCGACGGGTTTCTCTGGGAGGAGGAGGTGAAGCTGTTCGATCACATCCTCTATCTCCATGAGCAAGTGTTCGTCTGGGATGAGTCCGAAAAAGGGAAATTTAGCGATGAATATTTCGAGCCGATCCGAATTCCCTATCAGCAGCATGTCCCTTGGGCATTGCGCAACATTCCTATTCTGCCGGGAATCCACGAGCAAGTTATTCAAGTCATTCGCGATAAGATCGCATCAGGTGTATACGAGCCATCGAACTCATCCTACCAATCACGCTGGTTCTGTGTCCTGAAGAAGGATGGGAAGTCGCTACATTTGGTACATGATCTCCAGCCACTAAATGCCATTGTGATTTGAGATTCGGCAGCACCGCCACAGATTGAGGATATAGCGGAGGCGTTCAGCGGATGCTCTTGCTATGCGAGCTTCGACCTGTTCGTCGCGTTCGACCAAAGAACTCTTCACCCGGACTCCCGTGACCTGACAACCTTCCAGAGCCCGCTCGAAGCACTCCACCTGACCACCATTCCGATGGGATATACCAACCCAGTCCAGATCATGCATGGCGATGTGACCTTCATCTTACAAGATGAGATACCACATGTCATGATTCCCTACATCAACGACATCCCTGTAAAGAATGGGACAACGCAATACGAGATGTCTGATGGAGGATACGAAGTCATCCCCCAGAACTCCGGAATATGTCGCTTCATCTGAGAGCATGCAGAGAATGTCAACCGCGTGATTCATCATCTGGAGATGGCCGGTGCGATGCTCTCAGGAAAGAAATGCAACATCTGTGAACCGGAACTTGAATACCTTGGCGGGTTGTACAACTATGAAGGTCAGTGGCCTTTGCCATCTCGCATACAGAAGATCGTTGATTGGCCGGCATGTACGACTGTCACAGAGGTCCGCGGAATTGCTGTCGGTTTTGTCCTTTTCCAACTTGGCGAAGATGGGAAGTGTCACCCAAACCGTTTCAGATCCATCACTTGGAATGAGCGCGAGTCGCAGTACACACAAGCGAAGGTCGAATTGTATGGTCTCTTTCGCGCTCTCCACGCAGTTCAGATCTACATCATTGGGGTCGCAAACTTGGTTATAGAAGTCGACGCGAAATACATCAAAGGAATGCTAAATAATCCCGACATCCAACCCAATGCTACTATCAACCATTGGATCGCTGGTATCCTACTATTCGACTTCGCCTTGTACACGTACCAGGTTCACGCCACACGGGGGCCAATGGTTTGTCACGTCAGCCCCGTGCGAATGAAGACCCCGAGGAGGACAATGACTTTGAGCAGTGGTTGGACAAAGCTAACACTTTCACTATTGATACCGCAAATTCCGGGATTATGTGTGAAGGGTGGCGCACCTGTACTCCAGGGACCGTCTTCACTGCCTTGAGTGCTAGGACACCAGATGTCGCGGTCTACACCTCGGCCGCAGAAGATGTCGAGATATCGCGAACAGGAAAGGCCATAGCTAGGAATGGACGCGTTCTCAAAGTCCGCGACTTCCTACGTGATCCCGAGGTTGCTATGAGCATGCCAATAAAGGACCGCCATCAATTCCTCAGATATGCATCGGATTTCTTTCTCAGGGATGGAAATCTCTGGTGAAAGGACCCGAGTGGCAGGCACAAACTATTTGTCGATGAGGGAAGATGCTACACGCTTATCCAACAGGCGCATAATGACCTCGGCCACAAGGGAATTTTCACAGTACGGACTCGCTTGCTGGAACGCTTCTGGTGGCCACTCTTAGACCAGGATGTGCGATGGTACGTGGGCACATGCCACGAATGCCAGGTCTGCCAGATGATGAAGGTGCACATTCCACCAACAGTCGTGCTGCCTTCTGCACTCTTTCACAAGGCACACATGGACACGATGCTTATGCCGCGGGCAGGGGGGTACCGATATATTGTACAAGCACGCTGCTCGCTTACATCATATCCCAAATAGCGAATGCTCCGACAGGAAAATGGGCGGACCCTTGGTGCATTCATCTTTGAAGAAATCCTTTGTCGCTGGGGGGCAGTCGCGGAAATTGTCACCGATAACGACTCCGCTTTTGTTCAGGCATTAGACTATTTGGCTCAGCAATACAAGATTCATCATATCCGAATATCACCGTACAATTCCCAGGCAAATGGGCTTGTGGAACGCCGACATCTGGATGTGCGAGAGGCCGCAATGAAAACGTGTCTGGGAGATGAGCGGAAGTGGCCGATAGTTATGCCCGCAGTCTTCTGGGCAGAGCGCGTCACAATTCAGCGATCTACAGGATACTCCCCATATTACATGGCACATGGAACCAAACCATTGTTCCCCTTCAACATCGCAGAAGCGACGTACCTGGTTCCATACGACGGTGTGCAGATGACCCGTATTGAACTTTTGGCACACCGGGCTCAGCCATCGGTTACAAAAGCGGGAAGAGGACTTGGAGGAAGTACGCAAGTGTGTCATCCGAGCAAGGTACAAGTCGATGGAGCAATTTGCACAAGAGTTTCATGCAACGATTAAGTCTTACAACTTCAAGCCAGGCGATATAGTCCTGGTTCGAAATTCCCGAATTAATATGGAGCTCAACTGTAAGATGAAGCCGCGTTACTTGGGACCCATGGTAGTCGTTCAACGAACCGAGGGCGGATCATACATCCTTGCAGAACCGGACGGTGCGGTATCTCAGCTACGTTTTGCAGCTTTCCGCGTCGTTCCTTACAAGTACCGATCTCGTGCCGATCTCCACTTCACCCCATTGTCCGACGCAGATGAGACGGACAGCGCTGCTGGATCGGATGATGAGGCTTGATGTCAGCATGTATCCGTTCCAGCTGTTTCATCAGAAATTTTAATCTTTGTTTAATTGATCATGACATTCCTATTGAGAACACTGCATTCCGACACCATGAATATTGTACAAGTCATAATAACAGAACAGAGTTTCGTGGGACCCCACAATGCTATCGTACACTACCGCATACACCCGGACTAACGATCCCCTTCGCTTCGCATCTCCCATCCTTCGCTTCACATCTCCTAATCTTCCCCGTCGAAATCAATCTGTTCATCCCCTTCCGTGCCCATCGATATGCTGTGGACGACCTCATCTTCCTCCTCAGAGGGAAACTCGTCATCCGACCCCTCCAAATCCCTGACATGTTTCTCCAACTCAAGCAAACCCTGCGTCACCTCGCGGTGATGGGCAGGAACCATGTCGATGCGAGTGGCGAGGACACCAAAGCGAGTGGCGAAGAGAGCGGGGTCACCGCCGAGTGCACCCATGATGGCATCGAGCTGCGAGCACATCGTATGTTGGCTATCCTCAAGTGCACGTGTGCGTTGCCAGTTACACCTAAGCGCGGACTCAAGTGTCGTGATCTGCTCGCTCAGTTGAAGTGACCGGAAGTTTGCCGGGAGAACATCTGCAAAATACGAATGGAAAGTCGCATGGTGCAGTGGGTCGTCAAGAGATATGGCAGGGATGCTTGGATTACTGTGACTTCCCTGCGATCTGGTGTGCTCGATGGGAGATGGTGCGATGTGCAAGGACCGCGCAGAGGTCTGGCGACTGATGGAGCGGTCAGACGGGTGTCTGGGAAGCGTGGCAGTAACATGTAGCGCAGGACGGGAGTACGTGTCATCCATTGTGTCGGCTGCGATGGATTGCGAGCGCGAGGGCGCACTCATCTGAAGTTGAGGGGGAGGCATGGCCGATGCTGTGCAGATCGGCGCCGGGTTGTCGATCATCATCGGATCAGTTGGCGGAGAGGTGGTGCGACACTTCACTGGACGCTCCTCACCCGCGATCGATCCAATCAGCAGTGGAGACGGGTGGCGACTCTGCGCGGATGGTGCAACAGGAGTCATACCGATGGTCAGGGCAGACAGAGCGACAGATCCACGATCGATCGAACCTGCGCTCCCCATCTCGCAGTTCAAAGAGAGATGCATCAGTTGGGAAGCGGACCCGGTCAACGCAGGCCGTGGGATGGGCGATGTGATCGTGGGCTTGGTACTTTTCATGCTGTGGGTACCCGAAGTTGCGATCTTTGGAGCAGGCAGAGCGACAGGTCGTGGGCGGATTACCTTCTTCCCCTCTTTCTTGGATATGGATGATGCAGGCAGGGACGCCATGAGGGACTTGTACGCAGCCAATGCGTCCTCGATTTCGGTGTGGCTTTTGAGTGTAAGGGGGACTTTGAACCCCTCCACGGTTAAATGTGCGTGCATGGCTCGCGCGCGCTCCTGCATATCTGCAATCCACCATAGCTTAACCATTGAATACTGGAGAGGGATGGCGACATACAATGTGATCCCTCAGACCCTCAGCCCATCCACGATCCCGCGTGCATGGGACCTTCATCGCTGCGACGAGCTCCATGATGAACACTGCGTAGTTCTTCATTTGCAGACCAGCGAATTCCGACATGGTGTGGGTGGAGGAGTTTGGGAGATAAGGTTGAAGGGCTGAAAATGAACACATGCGGCCAACATTCCCAGGAGGCCCGGAATCTGTATAGGCATGAAAACGCAGGCAGAAGCGCCCCCTCGCACTTATCGCATGCCTCCCAGAAATATTCGCAATTTATTGAGTGCGGGGCGGGGACAATATCTTGGCAGCTCAAAGGCCAGGAATAATACTAATACAAGCGGTGACGTTATGCGGAACGCAGTATCTACACCTCTTCATCATCGTCGTTCTCTTCCAACCCAGCCGGAACCTCGTTGTCTGCATCTGAGTCAGGCTGTTCTGCATGCAAAGTGAGGATGGTCACTCCAGCTCTGCAGAGCGCGTTCGCCATAGTCGCGAAGTCGGGAGCCATCCGATCCTGCTTCTGGTGAATATAATACAATGCCGTGTCAAAGCCATTGAGGCAGGTGGCGAGGTTGTCAGGATCAGCAGCAGGGGTGGGAGCACCACGAAGTTTGTTCAGAAGGGCGGTCGCCTTGTTTTTGTCCCACTTCAGGCACTCTTGTTCTTCCTCCAAACTCGTAATGCGAGCCTCGAGGTCTTGCATTAGGCCCTTCTGTGACTCACGAATGAGCGCATCGTGGTGAGGGTGAGGCATGGGTGGCACGTTGACATATGGGATGCGGCCTCTGACAGGACCTGCATCCGCCATAGATGACGATTCTGCCACATGACGGGCTTCCAAGGCAGTAGCTGTCTTGCCACGGGATCGCTTCATCTGCGGTCCTGGTGATCCCGCAGTGTGGGTGGACATTGCTAGTGGGGGAGGAATTAGTGAGAGCGTGATCAAGGAGATATCGACATGGATGCACTTTGGGATTTTGCCCTCTGTTTCACATAGGTGCACCTGCACCTCCACACCTGACATCTGGCACAAGATCCTCACGTGGAGGTGCCAAACTCGCAATCCACCTTGGGGATCTGACAGGCATCACAAGCAGGAACATGGATCGATGGAGGCGGTGCAGTGCGACACTCAACCTCGGTGAAATAATCATGGCCCAGTGCCAGCCGCTCCATGGCAGCATCGATCTCATCTTGCGAAGGCTCCGGAAGGAGGGCATTGGGAAATGACTGTGTGCAGGCGTGAACGATCACGTCCACGAACGCTGTGCGAATTGTGTCAACCTCCCGCGGATCAAAATCCGACTCCCTGAAATTGGTGAGGGTCTTGAAGTGAGCCTCCAGGACACCCTGATGGGAAAGAGGGGTCAAAGGTGGACAGCGAAGAAGATGGAATACGGACCACCAAATCGGACAGTGCATAAATCCACACCTGCTGCACCTCATTTTGCGCGGACCTATCTCCCCTAGCAAGATGACCTTGCACTTGCACCACGGCATCGCGGAGGTCGTACTCTGTGATAATACAAGCAGTGGATACTTCGGCCATTTCAGCGGGAAATCATCAAAAGGGGGACTATACTAAAGGCAACCGACCCGAGCATGCGCGGAACCCACGCGTGAGATCGTGGGTGCTATGCGCAAACATCTACTTGCACCAGAAGACCGGGTGCCAGAGTCAGTCCTGTGGAATGCCTGATGAAGTGCCAGTGTCGCGGAGCGCCCGACCAAAAAGTCTCGCGGAGTGCTGGATCAAGTGGCGGAGCGCCAACCGAGAGGATCTCGTATAGCGGCGGACTTAGACAATGTCACGCACCCAATCTGGTGTCGCATAGTATCCACAGCTCGTTCTTGTGTATGGGCCCAGGTACCCTGACCGTGGACGGTCAGTATTTGAAGTGTTGAGGAGATGAAGGGATGCAGAGCGCGCTGAGGTGGGAATCACATCCGTGAAGCGGTCTCACATTTTGGAGATACTACAGGGTGCTACACGACCGACCCTAGTCTGATAACAGTTGAAAGCTGGTTATCGGAGGAGGGCACGCTACGAGCCCGAACGCTACTTCCAATTCCTCGACTATGATCTGCAACTGTCTCAAAGTACCATCCGCCAGCTTGCATCTACCAGTGATTCCACGCATGACATACAGTTCGTGGGCCACATTGCGCAATGATTCCAGGAAAATAGGGACAGGACGACCGCGCACCAATGTCAGGGAGACCATCTGGCGGGTGGCCTAAACCAAAGTCCTCGCGGACAGTGGGGTCATCATACAGAACGCGGGCAGTCAAACCACGAGGAATGACTGCAGGAAGGTGATCCGCAATTCGAGGTATCATCCGACGACCACCTTCTATAGTGCGAGCTGTTGCCAGGTGTATTTCCACTTGGGCGAGGACAGGGATATCGCGCGGAAGGGGTAGGATGATCCCCATGCTGGCCACTTCAGACTGGGCTTGGACCATAAAGACCTGAGGGACGTGTGAGGGTCAGACGGTGAAGGATCATATGCTCGTGGGGGCTTTACCAGCAGGACGTGCATCTGGACCGCCCATGCTTTCCACAGGATCGGATTGAAGAGCTCGGTAAAGATCTCAATGTGAAGAAGAGCTTCCGTGAGGGTGTATTTGTGAAGGATGACGCTGGCATCCATGGATGGGAGATGCCTCCAAGACAGGCGGGTCCTTATTAGGCGCTCGGGTGGGTTCGGTGATGGCGGATCCCTCGGAATGAGTAGGAGTGTGAGCGGACGGGATTGCAAGATATGGCGTGATGGGCAGTGATTCAGCGGAGCAATTGTTAAGCAAAGGCTGGCAGTATCAGGAGGGCAGGAAAGGTCAGGACCAGTTAAGTATGATGGCAGGGGAAGAGGTCGGGATAGAACCGACCGTCCCGGAAGGTACGCTTGCAAAAGCCTCATTCACATTCCCATCCCATCCAGTTAGTGCGTCTTTGGGCAGTCTTGCATTTGTGCATTTTCTGGGCAGTCTTCGAAAGAACTGTGCATGTACTCCTTGCAAGGCCGACCGCAGGCAAAACTGCGACAACCCTCACCAATGCTGCATAACAGCCCAGAAACTCCTCAATGAACTGCACCCCAAATACCACCCCAACTGAAACCCTCTACCTGACGGTCTGTCCCTCACCCCACACTGCCGTCAACAAAATATTCTCGCCCGAGAACACAATGGTGAGATTATCTTCAACCCCTCAGTAACCGCTCTGATGATCTCGCTCCAAATTTCCGCATCTTCGCAGATCCTGATGCATAGTGCAACGATCCTGCCTTCAGATGACAGGCAGCCTTCATACTCTCCGACAAGGCAACCACTGTCTTTACGGATGGCTCCGCCCTATACAACAGTGAAGACCGCACACAGGCCGGTAGCGGCCTATGGTTTGGCCTAAACGACCAACGCAACTCATCTATACAACTCCCTACCGATACCCAATCCAATCAAGCTGGCGAAATCTCCGCCATTCTCAGAGCTTCCCAAATGGTGGGCGGCTTTGCCCCACTACATATTGTAAGCGACTCGTGATATGCCATTGATGGCTTAACTAAACATCTTGCCAAATGGGAAGCCCGCAGATGGATAGGCGTAAGCAATAAACGTCTCTTCCAAGCCACCGCCGCCCGTCTCCGTGAAAGAGGAGCCATCACCACCTTTCGTTGGGTTAAAGGCCACAATCATGAACCAGGAAATGAAGCTGCTGACAAACTCGCCAGAGAAGGTGCATGCAAACCACTCTCTGATGCCCTCGATACCTCCATCCTTTCTAAATTCAACCTCACCGGTGCTCAAGTATCAACCTTAACGCAATGCCTAGCCTACCGCGGCCTCCGCGAATGCATCCCACTCCTAACTCGCACATTGACTGTCATTAATCTTGACATCACGTGACATGCAGTACAAGCTTACACCGGAAAATGACCGACGGACGCCACAATTTGGCACTCCATACGCTCGAAAGACATAACCCGCAAAATCCGAGATTTCCTATGGAAATCTATCCACAAAGCCCACCGTTGCGGAACCTGGTGGGATAACATACCCAATTACACCCACCGATCCACATGTTCTACCTGTGATGTCCCGGAATCAATGGAACACATTCTCAATGACTGTTCAGCACCTGGACAGGAAATCATCTGGTCCCTGGCCAAAAAACTGTGGCTAAAAAAGCATCCATCCTGGCCAAACATCTCCCTTGGCACCATCCTAGGCTGTAGCCTCGCCAATTTCTGCTCCACCAATGGGAAAAGACAACCAGGAGCAAACCGCCTCTTCCGTATACTTATTTCTGAGTCCGCATACCTCGCGTGGTGCATCCGCTGTGAGCGTGTTATTGACTGAGGAAACGATGCCGACACTTGGCACTCCGACGCTGAAATCTCCCGACGATGGATCAAAATAATCAATAAACACCTCAAACTTGACCAAGCCATGACCAACCGTAAATTTGAACACAAAGCGCTCCCACGCTCGTGCGTCCTCCGAACCTGGAGCGGTACACTACGCAATGAACACCTCACGAATATCGTCCTCTGCTACTCTAATGACACCGTGGACTATCGTGACATGAGAAGTGTGTTTACAGAACACGATGTTATGGTCAGCATCAAGACACAGTGCACGCACTGCCCGTCGTCATCCATACACAGTACTCGCTGCTCTGGTGGATACCCACCAATGGCAGTGATGCCCACCAATGCTTGTGGATGCCCACAATTTACTGTGGATGCCTGCGTATCATGTTCACATACTTCACCGCCGCACCACCCCTACACAGACTCGAATACAGGCGGCAACCTTTGACCGCCATCATCTCGGCTTACCCCTATTCCCGATATTCACGAATATTGCTCTCTACTACTAAAAGGACACTGATGACTATCGTAACATATACAATATGTTTGCAGAAGATGACTCCATGTCCAGCGTCGATGCACAGTGTCCGCTGCTGCCCGCCTTTTCGCACGGATGCCCACTGATGGCGGTGGATGCCCAGCAACGACGGTGGATGCCCTTATGCTGCGGGACAGTGTTTACAGATGGCAGCTATATGTCCAGCATCGATGCACGATGCTCGCTACTCCCACCTGCTAAGGTGGATGCCAACCGATGGTGCAGGATTACCTGCCTGGCCGCTCACCGCGATCTCTCACTACCCCTATTCGCGAACACCATCATCTCACATCGACGACTATCGTAACATATAACCTTGCAGACTGCTCATGAGTTGCAAGCATATCTTCGGCGACATCGTTGAGTGCTCACTACTTCCCGCCTTTGAGCACGTATGCTCATTGGTGCTCACCAATGGCCGTGGATGTCTACACATACCCATCCACGATCGATGCCTGCGTGCCATTGCGGATGTCAATTGTTGACTCTGTCTCCTTCCGACGCACATATAGTTGACCTACTGCCACTGTTCATCACCACCACTATCTCGTACTACCCCTATTTGCACACTGCTCGCTGAGTGTACTCCGTGTGCCCCGTAGCCTTTTTCGCGAGTAAGGTCGAGTACGACTCTAAGCACTGCTCGATGCTCGGGGCACTTTCACGCCTCGCCTCTTTCAGACTACGGTGTTGGTGAACAGGTGGCAACCGTGGTACCGGAACTGTGCATAGCTCCTCTGTGGCGAGCCTCACCACCGCGCTACCTGTACAACATCCAGCTGACTGTCTGACATGCACACTGCACTTCTACATCATGCTCCTCGTACATGTCATGTACCGCGATGAAGGTGATTGAGCACACGCACTGCACGGGGACAGTACTTACATTGTTCACACAATCTGCATTTATCCCTCTTGAAATACCGATGTGCAGCTCTCTTGCTCTTTGCTACCCTTTGGTCAGACAACCTTGTGGCTCTTGTCCACGAATGTATTTTCTGTCATCGTACAGAGTGGACAAAGTACGAAAGAGCTTCCAAGAATCTGCCTTTTACCTACGGTCTGATCACCCTATTATGGAAGAACTTCTTCCAAAACATATCTGTGGAGGTGTTGCACCTAGTGTGTACTACATGGGGTTATGTCCAATTTGCTTTTTGTGTGAGCCTATGGTGCAGAGGAAACATACTCCTTCCACATACAAGAGAGCCTACATAGCCTCATGCATCCTTCATGGATTTCGTGGGACAGTGCCCTTGTCAAAGCAGCTCTAATTAGCGGATTTTGAGCTGTATTGATGAGTATGCATTGATCGGAGCGATCTCTGTCCTGGATGTGTTGTATCCTACATTACAGTAGTGTACTGCGCACGGGTACATAACTGCGATCTTGGTGCAACAACCCGGCGTTCCTGAATGGGACCAATGCCGGTAACCTACCTACCTACACCACCATTTGTGCCAGAGTACAGTGTGAGATCTAAGCCAGGATGTCCGGAGAAATCACACCGGCTGTTTCAAGATATAGCTGGGAGCTCTTTGGGAGATCAATCGTCAAATCCGAGAACCCTTGCAGGAGCGTGATATCTATCAGAGCTCTCCTGCTGAGATCAGGCGGATATCCAGAGCCTGAGCTCCGCAGGATAGCCCATTGTTCTCTCACTCAGAGCATGAATGACCTTGCGATGTGATCTATCAAATCCTCAAATGTCGGTGCCGGCAGTGGTTGCGACATTGCACTCGGATCAGGGCCTCAGAGCATTCAAAAGACCCAATGGATGCATGCATATTCAGGGTTTGTATAAAACATGAGCTGCATGAGAGTGCAAATACATGAGAATATAAAAAGGAAAAGGACAACTACAGGATTTTGAAACAACGCTAGGTCAGTTAGATGATGTCATTCCTCCCTCAAGAACTAGGTAAACGGTCAGCCCATCGCGGCGCAGGCTTGCAGTGGCTTGAGACTTGAGTCACGCAAGCCGGAGTAAGTATTAGAGGTGATGACCATGCACCACGAGTTGATCCTTGTCCAGAATCTGTGCAAAGGTGACTAAGAGTAGTGCTACAGTCGAGGAGGGAGGACATACTTCGACATTTTCCTCATCGTTCTCCGATGTGCACAAGCTCGATGTCCATGTGCAGCCGGGGGTTGTCGACCGGTTGCTCAAGCAAAGAGGTTGTTGTGATGCTTCTTCATTCTGAACTTTGAGGGGTCAGAATGAGATGAGTAACAGAAGACAGGATACCGGATGATGACATACCTGGAACAGGACCCTCCTGAGCATTCCATGCAATGGACTCCGCGGATGCTACGCCCTCAAGCATGCCATCATTGCCTATGGACCTAGCAATAGAATCATTTGTGTCGTGAGGCCGCTTGCGCTACTGGCACTTCACGCGCTCCAACGGTTCAGATGTTGGACTTGGTGACAGACTCTGGTTTGGCGAAGGGTTATCGGAAAGCAGGTCAGGACTGAGAGGTTAACATAAAAAATGTAAAAGACCTGTTTCGAAAAAGGATGTTGGATGTTGAAGAAGACAAAAAAGGGAAGGACTAGCAGCGGTCAAGAACGTTGAGAGAAAAAGGTGACAGCCGAGGAAATGAACCGTCTGAAGCGGTCTGAAGTCCACACTTCACGTGCACGTGCCAAGTTTGAATCTCCAGCCGCAAAGTCATGATACTTTTGCTGCTCAGTAGTTAACGTGGTGCCAATACCGGCAGGATGAACGTGGCGCGCCAGTCGACAGATGCAACGGCGGAGTATGTCGGAATCGTATAGGAGGAGTGGACTGCAGATGCAGATGCAGATGCTCTGGAGGGTGTCTGCATTCAGAGCCTCAGAGAGTCCATTGAAGACTCTGCTGATATTCCACTGAGGATCTCACGGGGATATTTGACAGTTCTTATGGAGGTCTCTGCTGATAGATCTCACGCTGATAATCAGCCTGTGATCCCCAGGGTTATCTACCCTGGCTGTCATCTAATCTCAGCAGCGAAGACTCCGGCAGATCTCCAGCAGAAATGGCGGTGTACCTACCTACCTACACAGCCAGATGTTCAGATGCACTCCGGTTAGCCCAGCTGCTGTGAAGTTGTGGTGGAGTGCACGGATGTGCTAGGTTGGACCTGAGGACAGCTTGAACGCAAAATAGTACGCTTGAATCTGGCTTGGCCCGTGGTTCCACCCTGGGTGAACCTGCACCAGGGTCAGCCTCAGGCTCATGTCTCCTGCACTTCCGAGTCTCCCGAAGCACGAACTCGTGGCCACGTGATACACGAACTCGTTGATTTTGTGTATCAGTTGCGAACGAACTTCAACATTCAACCTTCATCCCCATGTTCAATGTTCCCCTCTGCAGTCCATTGAGGACTTGTGCGCCCATCATGTTGGGCTTTCTGATTCATTCAAAGTTTCCTTTGTGACAAATATGTCGCCTGGTGCATGTATACCAGTACCTTGATCTGTACTCAGATCAAGAGCCCGTCCGATACTGACTTCCACTTTCTCAGCAGGGCCTTGTCAACAGGCGGATTTTGGGGGTTCGGCGGTGTTGGTTTTTACAACATTTAAGGTGCGCGAGTGTAGCTCAGTTAAATAAACTAATACCTGTGGATATCAATACTAGCATGTTGATCTTCGACGGCGGTGATCCTTCATGGAGCTCGCAAGCTCTGCACTCACCCAGACCCTTCCGCATTTCGACCGCTCGAAGCTCAGAAAGGTCGGCGCGATCTGCGGGTGCATTGGCGACATCGCACACACATCAAGCGGGATGTACGGTATCGGGTGGCCATCAAGAAGTGGGCGCGCTGACGACAGAATCCCGGCATGGTGATGTCGCTGAGTGGCGAGACAGCTGGCAGTGTTCTGCCCGTTGATGTCTTTTGCTTACATCTGACAGGCTTCCTGTTGGGCTGCACACCCTCTTCCTCATGTCCGTTTTATGCACTGTCGGTAGCATTGAAATATAGTATATATTCCACATTACCGCCAGTTATCAGATACCCAAGCCAAAATTAAGAGACATAGAGGCGCACCTACGATAGATGTAGTGTACACGGACATAACTGAGTTTGAATTGATATACTGCATTTAGACGAAGGATTTACTTGATATGGCGGCAGTGTAACACAACCAAACAAAGCTGTAAGTTGAGGAACCGGCTTGAGCATATTGCGGCTCAAATTGCGGCTCTTGTGCTCTTTCTCCATGCCTGTATACTACCTGGTAGGCAATTTCAGTGTACGGGCTTAGTGAAGATACTGTCTTCTTATTTGTCTTCCTGTAATTCACTCCCAAATTTGTGCAGCAACCAGTTTGCAAAATTTCCATGAATCTATTCAACTCCTTGCCTATATACCACTCATTGGACCTTTGGACTACATGTAACTTGCTTAATATAATATGTGGAAGTGTGGTGTACAGTACGCAGATTTTTGTCTGACGGATTTACCTGCAGAATTGATTCCCATACATGGACTTCAATCTCTGCATTTCTTGTGGGCATACAATGATTGTCTTGCCCACAAGGCAAGGAAGAAAATTTTCATGCACATCACCACTATAATGTTTAGTGTAGGAAGGGTCATGCACAGGGCATCATCAGAGACTGAGTTGAATAACAGTTTTGACATATGGAGAATTTGCATATCCAGCTGTGAATAATTAATTTTATGACTCAATTCCTATGTGATGTTCTCTGATGTTGTAGTGCAGACATACTGATAGACACTCTACAGTATCACTGGACAGCCTAAGTTCATAATAGCATGCACTGTTTGGCAAATTTTCCTCTCTCTTTGAATTAATTTAATTTAATTTAATTAATTTCCAGAAGACCACTACATCTATGGCCTGAGTGCCGTTTGGGGGGCTGACCTTGTCCACGTTGCCCCAAACCTTTGCTCCTCCAAAACAAATAAATAAATAAATTGATCTCAATGGATCTAGACAGTATCTAGACTCTCGAACGGAGAGCTGCACCATCTCGCTTCACATCCTGCTTGAGAGAGCACTTGCATACACACTTTCAGTTCATGGTGCTGTGAATCATTAATCAACTACGATTACTATGGAGCACCCCGTGAATACAGCAAATCGACGAATCCTCGATCTTCCAGCCAAACCGGAAGCAGGTCTAGCGGAATGGACAAGCAAGATCAAGGCAATGCAGCGCCAGGTGGACGCGGATGAGGAGGCGGAACACAAGCGGCTTGAGGAGGAAATCGCTGCCTCTCGCCTTGCGCGTTTGCGAAGGAGCACCGGGTACGGCCAGGCGAGCACTCTCGACTTGTCCAGTAAGCGTTTGTTCTTCTCACATTTAGAGCGCTGACCGTGTTTGATGCAATCTCGAAGCTCGTAGTGAGTATGCCCATGCGCTGAATGCAGACGATAGTACGCCACAGCAGTCCGCGGACGCTGCGGTATGGACACCCAGCAGGCAGGGAAACCAGGACGATGCGTTGCGCAAGTTGATGGGAGAGAGTCGCGATGCAAAGCCGCGATTTTCCGTCTCGTTGCCTCCGACAACGAGTGCGCCGATATCGCTGGCTGCATTTATCGGCGGACGTGCGACCGGCCCTCGGCTCACCCGTCATGCACCTCAGCAGGACGGGAGCAATCCGACACAGTTTGAGCAGCACAGACACATCACTGCGCCTCACCCCGTGTTTGGTCGGGGTGGCGTCGCCGTGCCAGGCATGGTAGGCAGAGGGAAGATGTCTGCGTCCCCTGTTGGTACTACAGAGGAAAGCGACCGAGATAAACTGTCTGCCGTGTCGAATCAAACCTCCAACCGAGATCGTAGGATTAGCACGCCATCTATAGTCAAGGCTTATGCGGAAAGAGCGCCAGGTCAAGCAATGGTTTCGCAGGGGACTATTGTTTCGCAGCCCCCGCGGCAGCGCACGATCAGTACGCCGACAGGGTCTCCCGTTGTTAACACTCCACCAACTCGGCTCGCCGATGTTCACAAGTTCGCCCACCCAACATCTCGCTCACCTGCCCCCCGTTCTACAACACCTCACGAGCAGCGCAGATCCATCACACATACTCCACCACCTGGATCTACATCTGCTACTATGCGTTCGTCCTCCTCCGTACAGAGCTCTCCTCCCGCAATGGTATCACCTTCGTCCTCTCCGAAGCCGCCTATCACCGTCCCCTCACTTGCTCGCCCCATTCAGCCCACACCAAGACTTTCCTTAGGTCCACAGATTCCTGCATCAGCTAATCCCTCCCCGGCATTTTTGCGCACACCTCCACCTAAGGAACCCACACCGAGTATCAGTAAACTACAGGGCCGCGGGTTTGTGCAGAGCATGGTGAAGGCGAGCACTGAACTTGAGAAGAGTTCCCCATGCACTCCTTCCACGCCGATGACCGAACGGAAGGACTCAGGGGGGAAGAAATCGACGCCCGTACTTGATCGCTGGCAGTTTACTGCCAGTGGGAGTGTCTCATCATCTCTACCCAACATCTCTCCCAAACCCCCACCTCTGCATAAAGCGTGCACCGTTGATCCGTCTTCGATGCCTCTTCATACCTCTCCTCCACCACCAATGACCACAAAGTCCGATTATACGGGCAAGTCTGTGAAGTCAATGGCGTCGCTGCCCTCCATGTCCACACAGGAGACAGAGAGGCGATCCTCGGCCAAGGCCGCTAGTGATGTCGGAGTGAATGGCAGTTCACGTCCCCGCGGACTTGGATCCTCGAGTACCATGATTGCATATGTCAAACCTACGAAGACCAGCAATCAGCCCGCCGTGACAACGTCCCCTCCGTCTGTCAATCGCAATGATGCGTCACCGGGGGTGGATGAGCTGGGTATGCGTGTGGGGAAGAGTAATGGGCGTGTGCGGGAGGAAGTCGGGAGGCAGTCCGGTGGACTTCCTCCATCGTCGGGGAAGCCTTTAAGCCATGTAGGTTCATCTTGGTAATCCAAACATATACGTGCAGAGATTGATGCGTCTGTTTCTTCCGGTGCGGCTTGAACTGTCGTCAAATGCTGTGATATAGCTCACGAAAGATCGAGCTAAGAAGCCGCGGAAGGTGAACGCAGCATTAGCTGGAGATAAACCACATACTGCGGCAGTTATCTCGACGAGGGCGAATGACGCACTTCTCTCACAGAGTGCCCAGGAGCTACCGCCAGCAGTACAGACTAACCGAAGGGCAGACTTGGCTGTTCATACACAGGTCCCCGATGTTTCTGAGCCGATATTCAGCGCCCTTGTACCTCCTTCGCCGCTTAAGGACAAACCTGCACTACTACTAAAACCTGCGATAGGAAGGAAGCCCCCGCCAGTGTTAGAACCTTTAGCATCGTCGCTTGATACTATTTCCGATTCTCAGGTATCGACAAGGCCTTCCGCCTCACCTACAAGCCACTCTGGTGTGCCTACCGAAGTAAGAGAAAAATCACCACCCTCACCACGCCATACTCGTATTCCAAGCACTGGAAATCGAGCTACGGTTATGGACGTCGCCCAAGCTTTCCATGAACTTGTTCATCACGAGTCTGCAATGACTGAAACATCGGTATCGGTAATACCACAAGCTTCAGTCCAAGAACATAACCAGAGCCGCTCGCCTGAGAACGACGAAGAACTTAAATCTCTCGCTGCCAGTTTGGGACAACGGAATGGCTGCGCACGTCCTGCCATCCATGCGGAGAAGCGCAAGTCAAGCTATGACAGATATTCTGCAATCACGATGCCGCCTGTGGAGGAAGAGAAGACGCCAGTTCCCTCACCCGCTAACACAATGTCGCGAAGTGCTGTCCAGCCTGCGCCTGAACGAAACCAGGAGAAACCAGATGAACAGTCCTCGCAGAACGAAACTGGCATAGTGTCTGTTTCTCCGGTCGGACCCCCAGTTCCTGGCCTTTCGTATGAGATGAAGCCATTCGCCACTGAGAACAAGTTCATCCATATAGGTATGTAAAGATTATGACATGCCATGGATGCGCATGTCAATTTGTTTTTCTTCTAGAACATGCACAAGATGCCATTCCGTCGGTCGATCTTGATGCTCTTCTGAACAACTGGCGAATGCCGTCGACGGAAGACGGGGACTTGCAACCGATTTCCGTCGACGTTATGTCTGTCATCGGGAACACTGCCACTCCCATCGCACGCGACACGTATATATTCTATGACAACGACTTATTGACAGTGGTCTACCGTGCAAAGGTTCGATCTTCTGGCCTCGTGTCAACGAAAGTATGGGCATGGCGTGGCAAGCACTGTGTGGTGGGCGAGAGGGAAGAAAGAAAACTGCAAGAACTGGCAAGGCGGTATGGAACATCTCCGGTTCGTTACCTCTCCTGACATGAATATTTCTGTAAACCGAATATCAGTTCGTTGACGTTTCGTTGCTTCAGATCACTGTGCACCAATACTGCGAACCTATGGATTTCGTATCTGTGCTAGGTGGCAAGTTTGTCACGCGTCAAGTATGTTCTTGGTAGTTCTCGCAACGGCTTCCCTTGACTGTTCCCACAGGGAGCCCGAACGCACTGGACCGCAGAGAACACTGCAATGCATGTGGTTCGCTCCATTGGCGAGGCGATCTATATTGACGAACTCGAATTTGTACGTGCATTTGTACGATGAGTACCAAGTTTGGCTCAACAGTGATGGCATCTAGGGCATCCGGAATCTCTGCTCAGGTTTCAGTTATTGTCTATCATTACTGGACACGTTCTACGTTTGGTACGGCTTCGGCTCCGTAGAGAGCGAGCGCCGCGCAGCTCTCGAGTATGCGCAAAGTCTTGCGTCGCAATCTTCCAATTTGATGGAGCTGACAGAAGGCGAATCTGATAATGATGAAATGTTTTGGATGATCCTCGGCGAAGGGGAGTACGCCAAGGCAGATTATTGGAAATGGAGACCTTCGGCGCCTGCGATATATCCACGCTTATGGGCCGTGGATGCAGGCAACGGGAGTGGAGCCGTAAGTCTTGGTTTCATTGCTCTGTTATCATCTTTGATCAACTAACGCCTCCGGAAGATTTGCGCGATATCGTCGTTTTGCTATGAGGTTGTAGTGCATGACTCTGTGTTCATCGTTGACTGTGTATGGGAGTTATACGTCCTAGTAGGTAGCGAAGCCCGCGGGAAGCGCCAGGACATTCGATTGGCGTTGTCAACCGCACAGGTATGTGTTGGCCATTGAATGCCTCAAAAACATTCTCTAAGACATGATTTAGGCGATGTCTACCAAAATAGCCTCCTCGAGACCGTTTGCGCCAACTGTACATGTCATAATTTTGCCTACCCAGATACCAACAGATCTCCGTCTGAATTTTCGCGACCTTGATGAAATGGAGCTGGTGAGATATACTCTAATGACTACTGACCTTGTCAATTTATCTAGTTGAAAAACTATTTAGAACTGTGGCATTATACCTGATCACATGAATATTATCACTGCGAAGGAAGCAGAAGAACACGTCAGTGCTGTGTCATCCCTATCCAGTACTCTCTGACATCTGATGTCGCAGCTTGCGCGAACTGTGTGGGAAAGGACTGCTGTTCAAGATCCTGCAATGCTCCCGCTCGGTGTACACTCATCCAATATGAGCTAGTCGTCTGAAAACTCTGCTGTATGTACTATGTATCTCATTGGATAATTCGTCTTCTGGAATCACAGTACATAGACGCCAAATGCAGCTGAGATGTCGACGTCGGTTAGACTATCATTGAGTTCCCCTCACGCAGGCATACTTAACGCGTGATGGAACACGTGACTTCTGGCCGATCCTGTTCCATGCGGACTCCTTCAATTTTCCCGTGTCCTTCGTGGACATTCCGTATCCAATGTCTGATGGTGAGCAGCTTCTTGGGTGTATAAGACAAGTCTAGTACTTCTTGTTTGGGTCTCGGGCCCACCAGGTTTGGAAGAACGCTGTTCTAATTCCGACTGAGCGTTGTTCTAGTAGTCCTTGCGTAACCCCGCCCTTCCTGCGATGTCAGCCTCTATGGTTTGAAGCCCGAGTCGTCTTGTTCAAGCTCACTGTCAGCTGCCTGTCTCAACACATGAGTCTTTCTGCCGGCATCCTCTCCGTGGTTGAGCTAGTTCTTCCACACTGACTACTTAAAGACATAGCTGCTGGTGGCTCGAGCTCGTATCACGGGCAGGTCTTGATGGCGATTCGAGCGTTGCTCTGTGCCCTCTTACTTTTTGCCGCTCATGCTGGTCGTGCTCACCCGGTGGTGCAAACTCGCGCGTTGAACGAAACGGCCCTTCCAGCGCCATTCTGTTTCCCGGCCTTGGGGTTTCCGATGCCTCCGGTTTTACCGCGTGATAACACACACTGGTGGTGCGATCCTAGTACGGAATATGCATTTGTTGGTTTCAGTTACGAAGTAACCGCTTGTACGTCTATTAGCTGCACCGACTTGATCATACCGTCCGCATTGACACTTATTGTGACGCCGCGTTCCATGACCGTTGAAATTAGGTCAAAGTTCTACGCAACTCAACAAAGAGTTTGCCGACATTCGGAATCATTTCAACTCTCGCTATGTCCGCCTCTACGGCGCATGCGATCGAGATGGATTCTAGTAAGCCGGCTCGCATCTTTCAATCTCTTTGCCACAAACGCTAACGCCGTTTCACAGTGATGATATCGTTGATGCAGCTTGGGATAATGGACTGGGCGTCCATGCTCTGATCTGGGTGAGAGTTAACTTTTCATTCAAGTCGCCGGGCGGGCTCATACCGTTTTGCCTATCATAGTTTGGTTTCACCGGAGGCGATATCTGGATGACCAGACGCGACACGCTCCTAGCAACGCTGCATGCTAACCCCAAAGCGAAATTTGTTACGCGGGGTGTGCAGTTCGGGTCGGAACCGCTGTACGATAACGTGCTCCCGCATCAAGAACTTGCCCAGCAGGTGCTCCTTGCCAAAGCAAACCTCTCCGACCTGAATATCCCTGTCACAGTGAGCGAGCTCGCGTACGGGTACCAGGAACGCGGAGGCGCGCAGGATGTGCTAGACGCTATCGACTTTATCAATATCCACATGCTGCCGTTCTTTGATCAGAACGCTTCCACTGGTACGTATTCAACGTATCAGCTCATGCAGACATGTTCATCTGCGTTTACGCGGGCACTACAGCAAATAACTCTTGGCCCATCGTACTCGAAAACCTCGAATTCTTCGTTGACAATGGAGGGGGGAAGAAGATGTACTTTGATGAGGTACGTCTTCACCCAATCACTGGTTCTTGACGCACGGGACTCAGGCTGACAATCTGGTTAATACTGTGCAGAATGGCTGGCCCTCAGTAACATCGCCAAGCGTGCAACCCAATAGTCCATATGCTGTTGCCGACATTCCAAACGAGCAGGTGTGTTCTCCCACTCAACGTAAATATTATTTCGTTCGACCTGTACCAATTATAGGCGTATTTCGAATTGCTCGATTCGAAGTGCGAATACCTCAAGGATGTCGAGGGTAGAGGGATAGGCTGGTTCGCGCATATCTACTCCGACAACCAGGAACCTGGTTATGGTATATACAATTTGTCGGGGCATCTCAAGTTTCCCTTCCATCCCCGAACGGAATGCTAGTGACCTAGACGAGTACATGGGAATTGTCTCAGAGTAAATGCTGAAAGTGAGCCTTCTCTTCGATTTCGTGACTGATGCCATCCGTACGGTTCGCTACTCGTGGCTCTCACATCAACGATGGCGAGCAATTCAATGCCATCGTATCGGATAAACGGAGACGTTCGTGGTCCGTGGTGCTATGCTAGTCGACATGCGGCAGAACAGTCACGCTGCCTCACCACCATTACAGTGATTGCACCTTTACATGGCAAGTGCTAATTTTGCTGGCGGTAATGGCTTCAATGTAAACTTGTAGCCAATCAATGACTCAGTCAATGTGCCTTCCTTGCACCACATGATTAATTGATTCATCATCCCCTCTCATAGCTTTCATACAAAGTTTGACGTCGGAGAGGTGTTGAAGTTTTCCCCGAGACCACGGAGCAAAGTTCAATAGTAGAAAAGTCCGCAGTGATTGCGTACAGAGTACGGATACAGCGCCTCTGATAAATAAACGAGATAGAGCGATTGTCCATAACAAGTCCGTACGCGACAATCATCGAATGAACCATTTAGACGAGGAGCGCGATCACAGTAGTCACAGCAATAGAGAAAGAAGCAACAGCGAACAATGAACCAACAGGAACGACAGTGGTAAACGCGCTGTTTGAAGTACTACTGGAGACTTCGTTGCTGGCCGTCTGGCTGACTGTCGCGGGCTGTGGGGAACCTAGGAATGGCACGCATCAAACAACAGAATACTCATGAAGATATGGAGATGTAGCGCACTCAAGAAGCTTGCACCGCATTCGTTCGAAATAGTTCCGTTAACGCCAGAGGTAACCAAGTTGGGGAACGCTTCGTTGAAGACATCGAATGCCGCCTGTGTGCAGTCCGTGCAGGTTACATTACTCGGCACATTGGGAATGCTTCCTTGAGCGATCTGCGAGATCAACGACTTGATGTTGGACGGCGTAAGCGTGCCAGTGTATGGCTGGATATTAGTGAGGGTCTCCGTGGCGCAAAGAGTGTTGTTGTTCGAGGTACTGCGTAGGAGTGTGAGGAAGAGTGCACGAGTAGACGTGATCGGCCAGTCGGATCAAAAGGAAGAAATATCTAGGAACTCACTCGGATAGACACAAAATCTTTCGCACTGTCGGATAGAACTCCTGTACCACCGACGGCAGCTGGGCGATCTGCGAAGACGACAAGCCAAGGGACTGTAGATCGCTAGAGCAGCCCGAAGTGACATTGCCGACCAACGCGGTCAACGTGGCGTTGTTGCAGGCTGGCTGAGCGCAGAGACCTGTCAACCAGTTGTTCACCGGGCCGATGACCGAGGTGTTAGAGTTGGTAACGATGAGACCAGCCAACGACGACAGGTCCAGACAATTTGCATCGCTGGAGGTCACAAGGCTTGCCAGGGTCGACTGACACTGCGATGAGAGACTACCAAAGTTCCTTCGTAAGCTCCATACCCAACAAAAGTTGGATTACAAAACTTACGACTGCGCTGCCACGAGCTGTGCGCCTGCCACAGCAGCCAAGACCGCCCCGAGGGAGATTTGCCTGACCGACAACATATCGAAATGGCAAAGGGTGAAGACAGGAATAAAGTGGAACGCGGGGTCGTGGAGCAAAGAGCAGCGCTGCTGCGTGAATCAATAACCGTTATAGGAGAGGTAATTAAGGTAGGGAGCAAGATGATGGAAATAGGCGGACGACGGATGCAAGTCTTTTATTCCCCCTTTGTTACGAACTTGGCCGAGAGATGTCAGGCAGCCACACTGTGCGCCGAGACATTTGACTCCAGACTGCGGCCGGTTGCATCCTGTCCTCGGCTGGATCGTGTTGTCCAGTGCATGCAGGTCACGTTATTCTCGGTATTCTATAACTCCACGGCGGTGAAGTTCTCCCCGGACGCATCTCAAAGAAAATGTCCAGTGAGCTAACAGGCAACTCGGTTCTGACTACTACGCGCAAGTACTCACGAATATTTGGCAACGATCGAAGCCGGGGCCCATTCTGATCGTGACGGGCTCCTGGCAAGCGGAAATCGGAAACTCCTACATTGACTATCATATATATCAGCTGTCGCGATCGTCTAACGGTCAGTTTGGTTCTGAAGACCTCTGGCAGAGTCGGAAAGGTCACCGTGCATGTGAGGAGATATGCACAGTTGCGGTAATGAATTAGGTTAAGTTCGGGTGCTGCCTTCCGCTGCTCTTAACTTATGCTGATAACCATCGTCGACATCCCACGCAATTCCGTAAAAGAGCTCTTCCGTATGGGCCATGGGGTATTCCAAATACTATGCTAGTGAGAAACACAATTATATTGAGCACTTCTTGGCACTTCTTAATGTCTGGAAAATTTATAGGAGTGCGTTCGAGATTGAGTTCATAGGAACAACAGTGACAGGTATAGAAATAAATTAATGTACGTAGGTGTGGATTTGGGACACGCTGATATCCTGTTACGCATCAGAAATCACAGCTTCCAGTACTGTATGCTAGCCACCGCGCGCTCGAACGGAAACTCGCCATTCCAACTCTCCACATCCCTGCTGCTGTCGATCAGCGCCGCATGCAGCTCACCGACTGCTGTCCGCGCTGCGGCGATGTCCGTAACACTCCCGGCCGCCATCTCCTCCTTGGAACTTTGAATCGCCTGCGTTATATCTGCATCAATCGCAGCGAGGACATCTGCGATTTCGCTGTCCTCCTCCCAACGCAGCCCAATCGTCGCTCGGACGAAACCGGTCAGCACGCCGAGACTGGTAAAGCCCATTCCAGCACCGTACAAGACGCGTGCTCTCCGAAGGGCATGCGGTAGCTCGGCCGAGGGGCGCGACGTCCCGTCATTGAGCCTCACGAAGAGCTTCACGCGCGTAGGAGGGGTTCGAGCGTTCACCTTTTCCAAGTGACGACGCGCGGCAGTGGTAAATGCGGAGGTGACCGCAGGGGGAGAGGTCGCCAGCATAGTCCGGACAACCGCGCGTAGACTGTTCACTCAACGTCAGGCTTGCGTCAAGCATGTAAAATGCGGGGTAACGTGCTCATCGGCCGTCGCATTGGCAATGAAGCTATCCAGCATCAAGTTGCTGGAACCATCTGAGCTCAGGTTAGTCCCACCGAGCGCAGAAAGAGGGGACGCACACATGTCCGAGGATTGGTCGGGCTTCGTGACGGGTTTCCGGGGCAGGCATAGTGGAGATGTTGTCTGTACGCAGACATAGCTCAGACTCTTATGGCGCGCCCGGCCTTGTAGAATCATCCGGTCTATCGACCGTTTCCAGCGTTATATGCACTTGTGAAGTCAGGCCTCCCTATATCTGTCAGCAATCGGTTCAGGGTACAGCGCTTGCGGTGGAAAAATAGCCGGAGCATATCATCAACTGTTAGGTTGGCGATTTGAGTACCGATTGAAATTTCAGGGTCAGCGGCGCTCTTCGCACTGAGTGATAATCGACAGATATGGATCGAAGCTGCTTGTGTGCTGCCGCACAGGCAGCTTCGTGCACCTACGTGCCAGCTCGCGTGATCTGCACCGCCTCAGGAAGAGAGGACGATGGAGCCCTGGCCGAAGATAAGGACGAAGCACCCACCTGTCGCTCAGAAACGGGCCCGCCAGCGTGCAGCTTTTGCATCGCGGCGATTTGGCTGTATGCCTGTGAATCATGCTTGCATCTTTGGCGTCATTCACTCCGAATGCGACGCCGGCAGCGCCTTCCACGCGCCTACTTATCATCGATGACCCGTCAACCGAAAACTTGATCGTGGTGTAAGAGCATGTGGGTCTAGCCGCCATTCTTTCCAAACTATCGCGAAGTTAGTGAAGTCGGGTGACTTCATACGGCCAAGGTACCCAACTTTTCGGCGCTGCTGTAGGTTGCCATAACCGTGAATCTGAATACCACCTGACGGGCCCGAAAATGTGTACGACCTGCGGCCATTGACCTCCACAAGAACTTGTCGATCAGGTCGCCGGACACATTACTCGCACCCGAGGGTATCTTCGGTACCTTGACTAGCATTTGGTGGTCATGAGCATGCAGCAGTGGTACTCCCTTCAAAGAAGCCAGGAAGGGAAATTTCATCGATGAACTCACGGTGTCCGCAGAGCTGGCAAGGGCCTGTCCTATGTAGCTTCAGCGTGCGATACTGTGTACGTATACATTGGTCATGTGTACCTACCGAGATACCTATCTGTCCTTCCCTGATATGACGAGGATAGCAGGGTGGGCCACGCATTCCATTCGCACAAATCCTCGTTGCAGCAATACCACCTGTACATGTCCGATATGGAGTTGACCCGCAGGAAGATGCGGAGCGCGAACACGGCCGCTTTATTCACCGTCATCTACGCTCTGTTTGGACAAAAGACTGCAGGTACGTAGCAACTTGCAACGAGCTATTTGATCGGAACAGATAATACCTTACACAGTATGTAAGAGGGACGAAATTTTCATGGGTTGCAAATACCTGCCGCCATACGTTGTTTCAATTTTCTGCCAGACGATGCCCAGGATTGGCACCGCCACCTGGTGGCCTACCGCATACAAATACGTTAAAATTGCACCATCTTGGTCCGCGCTCGGAGCGAGCGGGACTCTTGTGCGCTCCGGCACTCAATATTCAATACTCATCGATACTACGTCTTAGCCATTGAGCCAGTAAAACACCTCATTCTGAGTCATCGTGGAATACTAATTTTTTCTCGAAAACATTCACGCCGCCTAAGGTTGCCCGGGATTGCAGAGAGTTCTGCTGTGAGTGCAGTTCGGCGATCACTCTGATCGCCGGGGAGATGTAACTGCGAATGTTGCAGGACCCCCGACAATTGGGGAAGGTCCCTGAGCCAGTTACGGACAAATTTTGACCTTTCGAGCGCCTCATGCCGGTATTTCACGGACAAATCAGGGGGTTGGCCTGATCCGGGGCCGGACAAACGCAGCCTGGCGGGGGAAGGCGGACAGGGCCTCGTCGGAGGAGGCGGCGTCTACGCCGCAGCATCTAGCCGCCCCCTCAGAAGCGCCCAAATTACCTTTTTAAGGTTAGACCGCGGAAGCAAAAAATGCCTCATTTTTCACGGACATTTTGGGCCAAAATTTTTCTCCCAACGGACATTTTTCCCCTCTCCGGATCAGGCCTATTCACCAATTGTCGGGGGTCCTAATGTTGCCCGCCCGTGCGTTGGTGTTAGGCCAACAATCGAGACGGTCAGCACATCATCCCTATCGCCCAACTGCCATCTGCCATCCGGCGACCATACGTGATCCAGTGTAACCGATCTGTAAACACTCCTGTTGACCCGGTGTTGAAATGCGAGCCGATTCGACAATATATGAGCTCGTGTAGCACTGGCAGAGTTTGATTGAACTTTCAGTCCTCTCGATTATCGTGATCGACGCTGACATGTCTGTGGACACCCCTTTGATGTCTGCTCGCCAGGGGACATTCCGCCTTGGTCCCTTTGTCGTCCCCCGCATCTGGACGGGTCTCTGGCAGCTCTCCAGCAATGCCTGGGGAAGCGCTCCGACGCCCAAGGTTCGCCGCCAAATGGCTCTGTACGCAGAGCTCGGTTACACCGCATTTGGTGAGTAGGACAGTCGGCTGCCTTGTTCATCTCTGACACCCAGTCCGCCTTTACATAGACATGGTGAGCCTGAGCGTACCCGCATAGTGACTTTTATTAATTACAGTCGGACTCCCCCTTCTCTTCAGGGTGTGCACACTGTCTCTGTTCCACGATGCGGTGCACCTCATGCAAAATCTTCACTTACGCAGCTGATCATTATGGTAGCTCTGAGATTATCTTTGTACGCATTCTCTTGATCTTCTCTTCCTAGATTGCTGATACTAAGAGGACATCACCGTAGGGACAATTTCGGCAAAATTTGCCCCATCCTGAGAGTGTAGTTGGCGCCACGAAGTGGTGTGTTTTCCGCCCCACGAATCCAACGCGCGCCGTAGTAGAGGCTGCGGTACAAGAGCGTCTCGATCGCATGCAAGCACAGCGCGTCGATCTGTTGCAGGTCAATTTTAACTTTTCCTTCATGGCGGTAAATATCTTAACATAATTCTTCTCCAGTTTCATTGGCAGGATTACAGCGACAAGGGCTACTTGACCGCCCTACGATACTTGCAAGATCTGCAGGCTGAGGGTAAAATCGCGACGATTGGATTGTGCAATTTTGATACAATTCGCACCGATGAAATCTGCACGGAGTTGGGGCCGGGATCCATTGTATCAAATCAGATTCAGGTCAGCTGAGGTCTCTTCTCTTCCACGATGGTCTCAGGATAAACGGGAGATTGTTGTAGTTCTCGCTGATCGACACGCGTCCGCTCCACGGGATGGCGGACGTCTGTGGGAAGCACGGTATTAAACTGCTTACATATGGTACACTGGTGAGTGGTAGTCGTCACATACGTTTAAGCGTTTGTCTTGATCGGGGAACCTAGTGCGGCGGTTTCCTCGCAGACAAATGGTTTCACAAGGCTGAGCCAGATCTCTATTCCGGGAACCTTACCCCGTCCCAACGCAAGGTACAATTCTTCAGTGTCTCCAAGGGCTTCACTCCGTTCTCAACTCCATCTCAGTATCTCGACATGATTCTGAAAGCGTGGGGAGACTGGTCCTTATTCCAGTCCCTGCTATCTGTGCTACGCGACATTGGCGACAGACATGGTGGTGTTAGCATAGCGAATGTGGCGACACGCTGGGTGCTCGACCATCCTTGCGTTGGCGCTGTTATCATAGGCATGTTTCACACTCTTCCAGGGCGTCTCATTGATAGGCGCAGTTTCGTTACTTATCCATTTTGAATCAACAGGCGCGCGGATGGGCTTGTCTGAACACACCGATGACAATCAGAAAGTGTTCGCCTTGCAGCTCACCAACGCAGATAAGGCAGCGATCGAAGTGGTGCTAGAACGCTCGAATGGTAGACGATTGATTACAACAATTGGAGACTGCGGGGCGGAATATCGATAATGGTGAGTATTGTGGTACATGTTACCATGTTATTTCGAACGACCACAGAGTAGGCTGTGAAGTGTTCGGACGTGAATATCTACTGTCTGGGTGATTCGAACCAGTCGAATGGTACTAATAGTAAACCCTCTGAGCTCCACATGATCTTTGTGCGGCCTATAAGTATTATAGCAATGTATCCGTCTATTCACAACAGCACTCTGAGCATCTGGGGCGGGAGCGTACTGATGTGTTAAAAAGGTGAAGTTCCTTGCAGAGCCGCGCTGAATAAAAATGACCACGATGACTACGAGCTCCACGAGTCTTCTGAAGAACTCGAGAATATATTCATTGGTTCGACTCAGATCAAGCTGATGGCACGAGTTGTGCTCCGGATCCAAGTCACTGCAACTGCTGGACGCTTGGAGCACTATCAATGCTGCGGCCTTCCACTGGCACCCATTTCCGACCGGCCAGGGACTACAGGCCACAGTGCTTGCTGAAAATGTAAGTAAATGCTAAAGAAAGTCTGTGTGTCATCCGTCGCATCGTGCATGATGTCCATGTCTCCTTTCTTCAGTTCAAATTGGGACTAATGTTCATATCAGCCCGCGGCGGCGGGACCCAAGTTGTAACTTGTTGGCCTGTTGTAGCACTATGGCAGCCATTCGGTGACGATTATTTTATTCGCAAGGTCATTGGTTGACATAGATCTGACCAATGCGCCAACTTACTAGTCTCCCGAAGGCAGATGGTAGACAACTCTGCTTCAACCTCGTACCTCGCATACTGTAGGTTTTCAATCCGGACAGGCTTTGCCTTTTTTGGTTCGAAAAATCTCATAAAATCTCATAAATTGAGAAAAAATTATTGGCGGGGTGGTTGAAAATCCGTGTGACCTGTGACCATCCGGATTAGTCGTAAACCTACAGTATCCGTGTCTGTACAACCGTGACTTACCGGTGTCGGCCGCAGGTTACAGAGGTCTGAAAGCTTCTCTCAGGAGTGATGCTACCATGGAGATACTTTATCCCGCAGCCGCATTCTGTGCATAATGAAGCGATAGGCGAGTATAAGATAAAACGCAGCTGCACCGTGGACCACTGCACAGTCCATGGACTATTTTGACTTCCTTCGTCTGCCAGACATCCAAACGGGAGACGGAGGAGTGCCTCCTACCCAGTTTACACCTGCGTTGGATACGCAATTAGCGATTACCCCAGTCAGTGATATTAATCTCACGTTCCAATCAATATTCAAGCCTGCTCTAGGTTGGAACTCCCGCAGAACACCTAGACACAGCAAGCTCGCTCACCGTTTCTGTTTCTACGACGTTCTACCCAACAGCAGACATTGACGTACATTCGTCTGATCTCATCCTGATATCGACCAATAACGTCTTCTTTCACGCTTACCGTTTGTTTAGGGCGTCACACAACGGCTTTGGTGGTTCGCTCCCACTCAGCACGAGTTCCGAGGAGAATGAGGAAGGGTTTGTCCCGATGACTACCCTCACCGAATCTGCAGATGTTTTAAACGTCGTACGTCTACAGCATCTCCTGCACCCGATACGCCCCTTCATTTGACACGCTCTCCGCCGCCCTGTCTGCCTTGGTCAATTATGGTGTCTCTCCCGTATATCACTCTTCCGGATCATCCCCGCTTTTTGCCCTACTACTCGCGCATGCACCTACGCTCCCCATACAAACGTATGCGCTCGCTGCCCGTCATGGTCTCGAAGAGGCCGCTATTGCCATCTCCCCTTACCTACTCTCGTTCTCTCTCCCGACCTCGACAGATGAGCTTGCCGCACGGATCGGTCCACTGTATCCGAAACGTCTTTTCTTCCTCCATTACGACCGTATGAGCTCACTGAAGCGTCTCCTCCTTCATCCGCCTATTCCACACGCTCCCACATCGGTGTGTGATGTTCCGGAGCAGAAGACACTCACGCGTCTCTGGGCGCTGGCCTCTGCGCAAATCGTTTGGGATGCCAGACCTAGTTAGTGCGTCTTGCCATGACTGCGGAAGTGTAGTCTCAGCATGTATCCATTCTCCACCTTAGATTTATCGACAGCCTTACTTGAAGTGGCTCTCGGCCCTTTGGAGAACGAGCTCTCGTGCGACCTGTGTAAACAATCGCTGCGAGGGCGAGTGGGTCATCTCCTCTCAGAATGGGCGGCCATAAAGGTACTCCGTATCGCTCTTCCTCTGCTAATTGTCGTCCAGGTCACGACACCGATTCAACACCCAGAGATCGATCTGACGTACTCTGGTTCATGCTGCAGTATTCACTTGTGCGTAAATTGCTGGATCTCCCTCATGCAGTTTCTGTTCCAACTGTGTCTGAGCTTCTAATGACTCGTACTCAACTTTTTCAGTTCGGAACGCTCCATTTCGGTGCTTCTCTGGAGCTTCGCTGTGGTTCTTCATCGAGCTCCCTCGTTTCTTTTGCCAAACCATTCAAACATGGCTCTCATAATGCTCATGTCATCACTCTTCTCGTCGGGCTTCTGCTAGTAGCTTGGTTAGTGCGATAGTTATCCTGAACTTCCTCGCATACTGAGTGCTAGTACGTGGCGCTGAGAGGCTCCGACTGAGCTGTTTCAATCCTGTGCTTGGCTTCATCTGAAGCGTGAGCGTGCGATTGGTGTGCGATCTCCCTCCTCTGCACATTGAAGCCTGCAGACCGCAGGCTTGTCGCTCAGCGACTTGAAATACGACCAGTACTGACGGGTGTAAGATTGATAGCCACGTGGCAAAGGCGGCCTATGAACATCTTAATCTTCAAGTTCGAGACATTTCGAGTTGGTCGGTTGTTAGAAACTCACAGAATCATCGGCCACTCTTCTGTCGTTTTCGCTTTCCACGGTGTCGGACAAGCTTGCCGCATGAATCGGACCGCTCTACCTCAAGCGTCTTTTCTTCATGCATCAGAACCGTATGAACGAGCTCAAGCGCCTTCTTTTAGAACCGCCACGCCTGCATACCCCGAACAATGTGTGCGGTCTCATGCGGCAGCGAACGCTTGCTCTCGCGTGGGCACTGGAGGCGGCCCATCTGCTCTGGGAGGTCTGACCTGGTACGTACACAAACTCCAATTTTTGCACCATGGTAGCTGATCAACTGATACAACTCTGTAATACCAGATTTATCGGTGGCGTCGCTTCAGGCTGCACTCAGGCCCCTTGAGAACGAATTCTCATGCATTCTGTGCAAGCAGGCCTTGCGAGAACGCGTCCCGCACCTCAAACAGCATGGTCTAAGGTGAAGGTACTCTTGATTGACAATCATTTTGTTTTTCCCTGCTGCCAGTGGTGCATTGACTGACTTGACACTCAGAGGACAATCTGAGGGTTTTCTTTGTAGGATGGCTGTTACAGCCACCAGTCAAGGGTGTCATTCCTTTGGCTGAAAAGAATTAAGCTCGTTTAAAATTTACTGATCTCAGCTACGTATACCTATTTCAATTTCCACTGTGTGTTGTGTGTGCCCTCCGAAACTGCGACTCTGCCACACTCTTTGAAGATTCATCCGAGTCATTGATCGGGCCCTCGGAATCGGAAGTACTAAGTGTTGAAAGTTGAGATGTCTCGCAGGATACATCGAAACATTCCACTTACAATAAACTGACCGAGCTGTACCTCGCGATTGAGAGATCGTCTGAGCAATAGTAGGTAGAGTCTCAATCCTAACCTTAGGTAACCATATTTCCCACGTCCTTCTTGGAGTCTCGTAAATATTACAATTTTGTACCTTTGATCTGCATTCTCATCATGGTGTGTTATGTCTGCTTCGTCTGGATTAGTTTCCTCGTTTATACGGATTTTGTACCAGGGCAGAGCAAAGAAAACACGTAAGTTTGCTGCGGTTAAACGTATGTTGAACCCAAACGATATCCGGCTGTGGGTGGTGTCCATGTCGCAACGATTGGCAGGATATCTCATACTTGTCGGAAATGCTACAGAAAGGAGAACCAGTTGAAACAGAAGAAGAAGGAAGAAAGTGAGAAGGAGAAGGCAGTCCGTCGAGTGTATGTCCTGCCTATCATTGCATGTTCTTCGCCTTCACTTTTGAGTGTGACAGTCCTCAAATGGCTTCTTCTCTGTTCCTGCAACACAACGAGGCGCTTGTGCCGCCATATCGTGTGCTCATTGATACGAATTTCGTCAACTTCAGTCTGCAAAACAAGCTGGAGTTGATTAGCGGCATGATGGATTGTTTGTATGCCAAATGTGAGCACGCTCACTCCTCGATTACCCTCAGGAATAAACAAAGAATTTTCAGGTATACCTTGCGTCACTGATTGTGTGATGGCCGAACTGGAGAAGCTGGGCCACCGGTACCGTGTAGCTCTGAGGTATGTCGACGTTCTGCTAATCCACAATGCACATGCTAATCTGAGAGAGCAGAGTGGCTCGTGATCCACGCTTTGAGAGGCTTACTTGTTCACATACAGGAACTTATGCCGACGACTGTCTTATCCAACGTGTCACTTCGCACAAATGTTACATTGTCGCTACCTGCGACCGAGAGCTTCGTCGGCGCATTCGCAAAATCCCGGGAGTGCCTCTCATGTATATCGTCAGAAGACGATATGCGATAGAGAGGCTGCCCGACCAGGGTGCTCCTATCTGAGGTTACTTATATTGACTGCTTGCATATTCTATCCACTCCTGTAGTTATACTGTTGTATGTCTCTGTCGATTTAGATGACGTAATGTCTCCACTGATACTTGCATTTCCTATGGGCGATTTTGCTTGAATCCGCACTGCCACAACGCAAACAGAACCACATAACGCGTCGCGCGTTTCATTGGCAGATACATACACATCTCAACTTCATCCAACACTTACGAGTTGTAACCACCCTTTCGTTTCTCACTGGAACGTATACACCACACGATGACTGCAGGAGACGATATCATTCCTCCTGCATACTCCTATGCATGGACGCCTAACTCTGACATTCCCTTGTCAGACTTTCTGACAAAGGTATGGGTACGCCCGAACATTGTATTTGATTGATTGTGATCAATTCGCGACAGTACAAACCGTCAATGGTGCAAGATGACGGTACGAAGCCAGTGAATACATCAGTCGCGCAAATAAGTGTGATCGCTGACGTCCCTGCAGTGGCTGTGGGTGAGGAAACCAGTGCAAGGCAGGGAGAACGACAACGCAGAAGCTGCGATCGAAGAAGCTGCTGAATACTGTAGGCTATTGGTACCACGTATGTTGCGTATTGATTGAATTTTCTTCACAGTGAAGGAGGTGACAGAGAAGGTTGAAGTGGTCAAGGCGGGTCGCGTTTTACATCAAAACTCTCAATCGTTGTTAAGGCTGATTATGGTCACACAGAACGATCCCAGTGTTCCAATACGTTCAAATAAAAAGAAGGGATTAAAGAGCAAGAAGGAAGTCCGAGAGGAAGTATGCGCACATCAATCCAGGACTGTTGTCTCCTAACTTCAACTTACTTCCGATAGATTCAAGCCCAAGCAACTGAGAAACTGAAAGAAATATCATTACGTCACAGCTATGTGGTTGGCAAATGGTCTTTTATTCTGGTAAACGCGGTGGCCTGTGTTCTCACGCCCATTGCAGGCTTATCTTTGCCCCTCCGGAGAGGGTAGACGCCATCTGGTTGACGATCGCCAGTGAGTCGCTTCACACCTTTATATACATTCGCTGTACAACCACTCTTTAGATTCCCTCATTTTGGGGCCTCTGTCAGATACGTGTGCAGATACGGCCAAAGTGGCTACGTGTTCACAGAATGAGACTGCAAATCATACGCACGTGTTGTGTCTGTACATGCCTAATGTATATGACAAGAGCATCGTTACCGAGGTGAGGTCCATTTTGTTCTCGTGATTCCAAAGACGCGCTCAACAACGCCATTATACAGGTTATGAAGGTGTTGCTGGGCAAGCACGGCATGACGCTGACGGGCGTCAAGTCCGACTTATACACTCTTATTGGTATATTATTACCACTCAAATGTCATTCCCGATGTTGACATGGATGTTGGTGTGTCCAGGCCTTGATAGCAAGCACCCAAGCGGGGTGCCGTCGACGGTCAGTGCGAGCATTTTTCGGAAAGCATTTAATTGTAAATCATGACGTGCATTTCCAGGTTTGGAAGAACGCCGCTCTTCTCAAAGATTCGGAAATAAAGGCATGTCGGATATGTGCATCCTTCCCGTGGGTGTCTTATCTGACAGCTAGATTTTAGGATCTCAAGGACAAGTACTTTGCAGAGCTCAATACTCCCAAGGATGCAGCTACTGATAAGGTCACGACACCTGCTCCCGTGAAGGCGAAACCTGCCTTGAAGAAGAAGGTTGTCGATGACGATCCCTTTGCATCGGACGATAATGATACAGACAAAGCGAAGACTAGTGAGAGGAACAGTGCAAAAGAAGCGAAGCCCGCCTCTGCAGGGCCTAGCAAGGCCAAACCCCAACCAAAGAAGAAGTCTGAGGACGCTTTCGTTTCAGACGTCGACGAAGAGGTCGAGGCAGAAGCATCGCGGAAAGCACAGGTTGCTGTGAAGAAGGTACCGGCAAAGAAGAAGCCTGTCGCAAAGAGATCCAAGGATAGCGACGATGATGATGACAACGAAGTGGAAGAAAGACCCAAAAAGAGACTGATTACTGGTAGAAAGTGAAGACTGCTCTATCGCTTGCTACGGAACTTGTATGGCACCCGAAAGGTGCGGTATTCCCATTTACAGTAGTTCCTCATTGTTCTCTTTCTTTCGGAATGAAGCGGTCGTCATTTCGTCTAACTGCTGTCCGAAAGTGAGATTTTACTCACGCTTTGCTTCGTCCTGGATTTCCTGCTTTTGTAAACGTGCCAGTGACTGGTTGCCAAACGAGACGGTCTTCTTGTTCCGTCTCTTTAAACATGTCACGCCATCGATGAAGTTTGTTTGGCTATCATCATGACCAGTTGACTTAGTATTCCAGTTTCCTTCATACCGACAGAACAAATAATTTTCAGGGTCTAGCATCCTGATGAGGTGGGGTTTTACTTAGTTCACTTCCGCGCCATCTGACAGGCAGTTACTCTCTAGAATTCATACGCTGTATTCCTACAACGGAAGTAGACACAGCTGGTACTACGGGGAGCCGTGACTTTAATGAAACCGCCAATAGCGCCGGCCTATTTCATCTCCGGCGCTGACTGTACTCAATTGTGCAGTGGCTAGGGAACGCCACTGCGAGCGTCTCCACGCTGCCTCCCGCTTTTCCATCAATATGCTTTAGCATTGGGACAGCGGCTGTTGGACCGAATTAATTTTCGTGAGCATGTGGCGTCCGACTCAAGATTCAGAAACCTGGAAACAATGGCCGTTCATATTTTCTCGCTTTATAATGCAGCTATGCATGCCTACCGCTTGTCAGTTAACGGCCTCTTCTTTTCTGCCCTCCTATTTGCCTCCATCCTTTCACTATGTTACCTACCCCAATCTCATCGCCACATCACATTCCATCCCGAAACCTTTCCGGCCAGCCCTGGAGACCCTGGAGTGTTCCCCTTGATCCACTCCACACAGAGCGGAAGCTCTGTGGCCTCCTCAACAAAGTCACAAAGTCCAATTTCGATCGTATCTCCGACGCGGTTGTCGATTGGGCACTCACAATGGAGCGGACGGAGGACATGCCGAGCATCACTCGCTTTGCATCCGTTATGCTAACGCGGGGCGTCTCAGACAGGATGCGCGCGAAGGTATATGGGGAATTGTGCCAGAGGATAATGGACGAAGTGCAAAGTGAACGGGTCCGCTGCGGGAAGGCCGATCCGTATCTCCTGGACGATCCATTTAGGTCCGCCATGCAGGCTGCTGTCCAGAGCGAATCCGAGCGAATCCTGGAGGAGGGGGATATCCAGGATCTGGCTGCTCTGACCCATTTCATTACCGAGCTCCTGATGCACGACGTTTTGGACGTAGAGAAAGCTGGCGACCTCTTCGACATGTTCTTCACTGAGACAGAAAACGGTAATGAGGACTACGCCGTGATCCTTTACAGATCTTTGTCACGACTGGTGCATGCACCCGAGATTATCGACTCTCTCGAGATCGTAGAAAGAATCGAACGATTGCTGCGACAAGGCTCGATATCTCTCAAAGTTCGCTATTTGATGATGGTAAGTGGCGCTTTCCACTTCACTGCGACTTCCGTGTTGACTTGCTGAAAGGCTGTGCTGAAACGGGCTAATGATCACGAACCGCAAGATTCATTCGAGTCATCACATCCGAGGGCCGAGATATATGGCATTGTTTCAGTTGGCAACGTCGACAATGAGCTGCGCACTCGAGATCCAGATGACCTCCAACAAATGTGCGATGATGCAGCAAAAGGTTTTGTGCTGTCGAAGGTACTCACGTCGGCAGAGGACGTATTCGGGTCGCTAGCAGCGAAAGATCGGCATTTATTCGTGGCTAGCCTCGTCTCGGTTGCGGTGTCGTCTCAGGCTGGCGATGAAGCAGACGCTACATTGGTCGCTTCGCTATTTGGGCTGAACTCCGTGCAAGAACTTTGTCCGGTCCAGGACGCTTTCATCCCGGGTTTTGAGGGCGAAATCTCACGCTTGGGGACCACCGTCCTAGACATTCCTAAGGCGTATCGCCGTGTGGCTATCATGATGAATAGTTGCGGAATGAGTCAAAGCGTCGTCGAGGATTTGGTCTTGAGAGTAGCCAGAACCAGGCGTGGTCTCATAGAGACTCTTCTCTCCGAATTTGAGACCGTCGTAACAGGTGCGCGAAAAGATCTCATTAATGTGTACTTGTGCACCTTGTGTCTAACTTGCTATAGCAGGTCATAAGCGCGAATCCTACCAAGGGATACCGTAGACTCCTCCCTGGCACACCCACACCCACATAGATTCGTCAGAACAAGCAGATTATTATGCATTTTGCAGCATGTGCAAACGATTATGTACACACTATGTTTGCTAGATACCTTGGGCCCGAGTTTGTACATGCTACCGTTGATCTTCTGTCTTCTCAGACGAGCTTGCCCGGACCTTCCGTTTCTTCGGCTGAATGGTCGCCTGCTCATCTGGGGGATCTTCTGCTCGAGTGCGCTTCACACCCTTCTTTCCACCTTTCCGTCTTTTGGTTCGACGATTTTCCGCCTCCACTTCAGAGCTCTCTGGATGATCTTCTTCTGGTTTATAAGCAGCAGCGTCTGCACCGAGTTTCTTGCCCCGCCGAGGCACAAGGCGACGACTGACAACGATTGACGCTTTTGCGGTAGAGTCGGCCGTCTCCACTTCAACTTCCACACTGTTAGAAGACCCTCTCTGGCGCTTGGTTGCAGGCAAGTCGCCGTCATCCGCGTCACTCAACCCGCTCTCCGAAATTGAAGAGGTCGTGGGGCGGCTACCACGACGAGCTGAACCTCCTGAGGTGGATATGGAGCCGGCTCGAGAAGGTGGTGGCCTCATGGCAGAGAGACGAGGAGTCATTGATAGGCGCGGAGACTGGGAAACAGCATGCTCAAGTGGACCACCTTGCGAAAGTCGCATTTTCGCAACTCTGGATTTGCGCTTATGTTTGAACTTGTAGCGCTCTCCTTGCTGTGGCAGGTAGAAAACTTCCTGTTCCCGCAGAAGATCCACGCCAACGAGCTGCCGCAGAATCCCAAGAAGATATGGGCTGAAGTCTACAGATTCGATATCTGCTACTAACCGAGTATTGGCATCGTGTGTGGCCGGTCCGTGATCTTCAATGTGTTCTTGCTCCATAAGATCTCGATCTCCCAAAGAACATCCCGGGACAGCGAAGTATATACGTGGGCCATTCTCCTCGCGCGGAAGACTGATCTTGTGAAAACGACAGTTGGAACGCGTAACTGGGGAACCGGTTTCGGGTCGGGGCGCAACTCGTTGAGAAGGACTCAGTTGTTCAACGAAATTTGTCTCAGTTGTCGGTCCTTGGTCCACAGGAGAAATAGAAAGGGAAATGGAGTTTGAAGGTTGGACTGCTTGAGGCGGCAGTGGAAGCTGTACATGCAAGGCCGGTCGCCCGTGGTGGTGACGCATTACACCATGTGCATGAATGAAGGGTAGGGAGTATTGCTGATGAAATCCGGCGGGGTTGGCGTTCCGTACGGTAGCTGGTGAGGTCGGTGGATTTGTCCAGTCATTGCTGGGCACAGTCGATGCAATGGAGGAAGCACGAGAGTTCGTGTGACTTGAAGCAGCGAGTGCTTTCGAATCATCGTTGGTTTTGGACTCTCCAGATACGCTCTCGCACGTGGGACTTGAGCCATCCTCGTGGTCGTTTTCCACCGCCTTCTGCTTTCCCTTACCCTCTGAGGGCTGTGCAGGTGGTGGCTCGCCATCGGAAATATTCCTCGCCATTGAACGAGTCGTGCGTGTTGACGCTTCAACCGGTGACTTGCGTTTCCGCTTCAGAAGCCTCAATTGTCGCGGATTGGCCGTGGATGAAGCGTTTGCAGTCTCATCTTTCTGCGACAAGTCATTAGACTGTGCAGTTGGTGACTCTGTACCTTCTGCAGGTGTCGTCTTTGCGCGGGCACCATTGGCACGGTCCGTATATGACCTATTTTGATACAGGAATGCAGTTAGGACATGTTTAAAATAGGACGAACAAATAACTCACTGTCTTTGGGTAGTCAAATCATGCGATGCCTCTTGACATTTCACATCCACACCAGCAGAACTATCGCCATTCATGGCAGGAGCACTTGGACTACTGCTACTTGCAAGTACAAATGGATCTGCATCTTTGGCGGCCGCTGGGATGTAGTGGATCACGTGTGGTGAAGAGGGACCTGGAAGAGTGTCTTCATGTCTGCCCTCGTAGTCCGGATCTACTTCACCCTCTGCGTCTGTATCGTGCGTGCCTTCCTGAGGGCTTGAATGCCTTAGGACCTCTGGGGTAGGCGCCAATTCCACACCAGCAGGAGCTCCGAGGTTTTTAGAATCAATCATAGATGCTAGGGAAGGAACATCCTCTACATTCTGGTCGTCAGCCGAGGGAGGAGAGGCGGCCTTATCAAAGCCATCAGGACCTTCGGGAACAGCAGATACACTTGCAGTAGCATCTACTGCAGAAATTCTGTCGTAGGCGATGACATTCCCTTCCACAATATCGTGGTCTTCAGTAGTGTTGCGCCGCTCATGAGCGCTCACCTTGGTGCTCGTGCCTACATCCGCGGGTATGGGTTGACCAGATAGAGATGGTGGTCCGAACAATGTAGTGCGTACCGCTTGAAGCGTAGCAGACTTCGTCGACACTTCGAAACCAGCGGTCGCGCGCCCGAAGGCTCTTTCGGGATCTCGAAGTTCGACGTTTCGAGTACGAGGAGATGCAGGGAGAGAATCATCGGCAATCAAGGGAGTGAAGAGGCCGGCTGGAGTATCGCCGCGAGACGTGAGACCAGATCCTACGGGAAGACCGATTGAAAGTGCTCTTTCCGCAGGGGTACCACCACTTTGACTCCCGTTCCCTGACAATGCGTCGCTGTCGGCACGCGGACTGGCAGGGTCCGGTACGCTTGGGTCCGCGTATATAGGCATGGGCACGCCAAAATCCAGGTGCTGTTCAGAAGACCGGTCGTGCTGTGCCTGTAAAGCATCCAATGTATCAGGCTCATCAGTATCCTGGATCGGATACTGGAGCTGAGCGAAGTCAAAATTTTCTCCGGAGTCTAATGATTGTGCAACAACTTCAGGAACAACCTTATCTTTGCCTGTGAGGCCCGTAACAGAGCCTTCTTGAGGCCCAGGGTCCACTGAAGCTGCAATATCCTGCTCGTGTAAGGGAGTGTGCAGCGGAGGAGTTTCTTCGGTCTCGTAGGCACGAGCGTCCTCTACAATGACGTCAACACTGCCCAACTCGACGTCCTCCGGTTCCTGAAAATAATCAGATAACCAATTACGCCTGAAGGTCAAGCTCACCTCAGTTCGCCTGCCATCGGTGATAGGCTCCTCGACGGTATACTCCACCTCAGCCGCACCACTTTCGTCAACGACGATGACAGTCTCTGCGTCGAATTCTTCAAGCTCAGAATGCTGGTCGTCATCCGACTCCGCTTCCGTCACAACGGCGATGATCGGTTCGTCGTCCTCATAAATACCTGCAAACTCCTCTGAGAGTGGCGCCGCTGCGTGTTCAACTGAAGTATCCGAATAGCCAGGGACAGAGTCCTTCCCAAATCTGGAACCTGAAGTGAACTCGGATCCTTCTTCCGCCTCAGGGACAAGCTCAGGAGAGCTTTGTTTCGGGAAGGATCCTTCTGCAGGCTGAATTTCTGCAGCGGAGACCTTGTCATGGTCATCCGCACCTGCAGCGAGATCTGGTGGTGGGTGCACTGCAGAGCCAGTGCCAGCCGGAATGTTCCACGTATCAACTGAGGGGGCTACTGAGTCATGCAAAGACATCTCCACCGGCTCTTCTTCATCCTTCACCGGCTCTGGTCGGACGACGGCTAATAATATAGGAAATGTCACAATGTGGTAATATACCGCTTTCATGATTACGCACCTGGGGTTGTAGATATGATTCGAGGGAAAGATTCTGATTCTTGGGCTGGTGTAGCAGTGAATTCTACTAAATTCTCAGTAGGAACTTGGTGTTCTCGATTGTGCTGTTCGACGTTGGTAGCATTAGTCACATATTGGCTCTTCTGAAGCGGTGCTGTGTGGTCTGCCTCATCGTCATCGACTTCGAGGACTTCATGTTTCCGGAAAGCATGGTCAAGGGCACTCTTCGTATCAGCACTTTCTGGTGCGATTGGCGCGTTCCAATCCACTACCGCATCATGTTCGTGGGTGCCCTGGCCAAGAGATGTCCCAGCTAAAATTCAAGTCAGATGTCAAGTCAAGCTAGATCGCTGAAGAGACTCCACCCACCTGACACAACTGATTCGTCCCAGTGCGTATCTGGTCCCTGAACGGCCTTTTCGAGGTCTGCGTATAGATCGTCGAACATTTCATCGACGTTGAAAGGACCTACCGCATCAGGTACGGTGTCATGCACGTCCTCTAAAGCAGGATAGGCCTCTGTATCTGCAAAGAGTGGCGAAGTCCGACGCTGTTTATGGGCATCTTCGTAAGACTCTTGAATTGTGGACGGAGATGCTTGAGGAGCCCCGACCGCTGCAGGACTGCCTTTGCGGCTGAGCATTGGCGTCAAGTGTGACGGGGACAGCCGCCGAGCGCGAAGATTGCTCTCTCGCAGCTCTCCTCCTGAATAGAAGTCTTCCGCAAATGTCCTCGGACCACTCCACGGGTCAGGCAAGTCAACAGGGTGTTGAGGGGCATCTAGAGATGTGTCAGAGTAAAGCGTTGAAGTAGAGGGAGCACCGCTTACTGTGTTCAATCTCTTTGTCCAATTCGTCTGGTTCATCCACATCAATCACCTCCACCGACTTGGACCTTTCGTCCTCTGAGTTCGTATCACTGCCTTCTTCCTCCGAACCATCACTGCCGACATCTTCCTCCAGTAACTCAATGTTCTCCTCCGTCGGGAGGTTATGCGGATCACCGTGTTCAAGTGCAATCGACGGCACATCCCCGCCAGAGTAGAAGTCTTCTGCATAGGTGCTGGGACCGACCCACGGGTCAGACAGGTCGGCCGGTTGATGAGAATTTTCCTCAGGTGGGAACACTGAGAAAGAGGCGCCACTCTCAATTGTCACAAGTAGATGGGCAGACAACAAAATACCCACGTTCATCCTCCTCCCCTACTTGCTCATCTTCACTTTCGTCGTCAATCAAGGGGACCTCGTCTTCAACTTCTTCTTCTGTGAGGTCAATGTGATGTCTTACGCTCTGCCTTGAGATGCCAAGGCAAAAGGCAACCGGCTCACCATCATGATGCACTCCAAGGAGGGAACTGTAAGCTCGCTCATCGACCGCATCATCCTCCGCAAAATCTCCACGCTCGGCTTCTTCTTCGGAACCCGCGTCTTCCTCCTCGGAGCCTACGTCGTCCTCGACTTCCGCCATTTCCTTTTCGGACCCCGAATCTTCCTCCTCAGAGCCGGCGTCTTTCGCGATTTCCTCCTCGTCGGACGACAGCTCAATAATTTCTGCAGATATGCTCCGATGTTCGTTCTCGGCGTCGGAATCCGGTTCCTCCCCTTCGTCATACTCTGCCTGGTAACCCTCTGCATTGAAGACGGGCCCCCAATTTTCGTCCAACTGGTCAGCATTACCCTGCTCCTCTTCCGAGTCCGACAAAACGATTGGTTCTTCCTCGCTCCCAACATCCTGAGCCCTCTCCTTGCCTTTAGCTTCGCGACGCGCTCTGAGCTCCGCAAAGGAATCTTCCACAACGTATTCTCGCTCGTCCTGGGACGACGACTCGCGATCAGCGTGTTCGCGCTGTTTCGTGGGGCCACTCTGAGGTTCCTCTTTCCCGAGAGCACTCCGTAACGCGCTAGTAATGTCACCAATCCACGCGTCGAACTCCGGCTGCGTGAATTTGTCGTACGGATTGTAGATGGGGGCTCTGCCGAGCTTGCGCAAGATACTACGAGATGAGGATTCGTGACGTGATTCTCTGATACCAGACATTCCGGGTGTCGCAAAGGGGGTGGACATGGTGTGTGGCAGAGGTGAAGGTGTAAACAAGGTCGGGACGACAACGCCACGGTACGAGATGGCCACAATTGTGTCACATGCACGCGGTCACACGCTTCGCGCTACAGTCACTTCCCGCGGTCACGACAACACCTGTCACCATGCTCGGCTGTAGACTACGACTACATAGGGTGACTCTTCCAAGAAGATCTTCTGTCTCACCGCGTATTCGACAGTTACATCAGAACATGACTCCAACGCAACCATTGGATTTTGCTGCCGGGCCACTTGTATGGATTGACTGCGAAATGACTGGGCTCGACCCACGCGCCGACAAGATACTCGAGATTGCAGTAAGTGTCTACATCGGCAGAAGCTTTAATGCAGGGTCAATTCTATTGGGGCAGGTCCTCATAACCAACGGTAATCTCGAGCTTGTAGACGAAGGAATTGAGTTCGTCATTCATACAGACCAAGCAGTGCTAGACCGGTAAGTAGTTGTCCTAGTGGTGGAGTCCAGTGCAATGATTTAACCCAACTTTAATCCCACAAGCATGGGTGAATGGTGTACAAGGCAGCACGGAAATGTGTTCTCAAATATTCCTCACATTCTCACCCTTCTGAACTGAACACTTGCTCTCGCTCCAGTCCGGGTTGACCCACGCATGCCTAACGTCTCAGCACTCAAGAGAGTATGTCTCTGGTGAGGTGTTGAAATACATCAAGAAATGGATACCCAAAGAACGGACTGGAGTATTGGCCGGGAACTCGGTGCACGCTGACCGGGCATTCCTCGCAGAAGAGATGCCTCAGATTGTGGATTGGCTGCATTATCGGTATGTTTGCACTCTCCTGATAGTATGAAAGGGCTCGCTAACTTGGACGTGTCGACTAGTATTGTTGGTGAGTAAGCTAATATGTGTGCTCAAGGACATTCTGAGCTGTGACATATACGTATTAGATGTCTCTTCAATCAAGGTGTGTTGACGCTGTCGGGCTTCTCCGATCTCATGAGTAATGTTTCTCTAGGAACTTTGTCGTAGGTGGTATCCTTCTTTGAAAGTTTCACGAGATATCTACAAAGAGAGCAATCACCGGTAATTGCAGTATTTACTACCTATCTGCAATAGCTAATGATCTTCCAGTGCCTTGGACGACATCCGCGGATCTATCCGAGGTAATATTTGGTTTTGCATCATTAGCACTGTGTACTTAACTGTCATATCTTAGAGTTGCAATGGTATCGCCAAAACCTGTTCGTACCTCCCAATGCGGCGCAGTCCCCTAGCAGCCGTGGCCTGTAGATTAAACGATATTTTTCCGTGACTGTGAAGCCTCTGTATTCATTGCGTCAACTGACTTGGGCAGCATTCTCCAAGTCTCATAGCCCTTGTGTGAGGCTTGCTCGTGTTTGGTACGTCAGGTTCATCCATACAATGTTGAAAATTCTTCGATTGCCTGCATATAGATCACCCCATCCTATCGCCTATCGCGCGTTGCTCTTGATCCAAAAGATGACGCACCCCCAAGTGTATGCCCTACATCTGACTTCGAACCGTATCACGGCGTATGTCTCTCCGCGCTTGTATCCTTTCGTCATGTTGAAAATGCATACGTTGTTTAATAAACCATGTACGCCATTCTAATTGAATGTTGCGACAAAACGGCGGTGATCATTGGCCGGCGTCGACTTCAAACCTTATTTCGAACCGGACTGATTGAACAATGTGACAATCCACCATGTCTGATATCGGCGTGGGCTCGAACTTTGCTAGCTCGCTGTTGAAGGCAAGATTGGACCTGCGTGTTTCTGAGCTTTCGGCTCTGCACACATGGCGCCACGGCGTTGTTTGTCCTTATTAGAATCCAAAGCTCTTGCCAAACACCGACAAATTCTCCATCATTACCTGCTAACGCCTTCAAGCTCTCTGCGAAGTGTTCCCTTCTGTCTGTGAGGTATGCCGGTAAGTTTGATTCACCTATCACCTATCATTTCTACTTATGATATATCAGTATTATGATCCCTCTATAGACCTAGTTCACGATGCATATCGACGTCTCAGTCGTGATCAACTCGTTTTATTCCTCAAAGTTCGATCTTTGTCAACTACGGGGACGGACGTCGAATTGGCATCGCGTCTGGCACACTATGACATTCATACATATCACTTCCCGTCCGCCGTAAATGGTGCTGGGACCGCCCCTCTACTTTCGTCAATTGATGTTCAGTCGAAGCAACGGCCCCGACAGGCCATGGCCCCCGAACTCCCGGTGGAGCTTCTCGCGGAGATAATGGATCACATAGGAGACTGGGAGCTTGCTAAAGCAGTTGGTGTGCCTACGTCTCTACCTCAACCATTAGCATGGACCAGAGCCAGTCCTTGCGACCACGCGATCCTCACAGGTTATCTCCCCCTGATCCGCGCCGCAGACCCTGCCTCGTACCCACCCACCAACATTGGTGCAAAACTAGCCGTCCGGTTTGGCTATGTGCACGTGCTGGAGTATCTCCTCACGCAGCATCGACCGATATTCTTGTCCAAATTCAAGGACGATCTCCTTCCCATCACGGCCTCCCACCATGGGCGCACGGCAGTGCTTTTTTGGTGGAAACACGCGCGAGAGCAGTATTCAGACGCGTTACCTCTACCCAAACCGAGCTCCGTCGCAGACGCGATTGATGGTGCCTCGCGCAATGGCCAGGTAGCCTCGCTCGACTGGTGGTTACACTCGGGAATCCCACTGGAGTACACCGAAGCAGCACTCGAGATGGCCAGCGCCAAGGATCAACTATCCGTGTTGGCGTGGTGGAAACAGCAGAGCGTCGTGCACGGCCTGCAACTCAAGATTGGCCGGGTCATGGATATGGCGAGCACGGCAGGGCACGTAGACGTTCTCGAGTGGTGGGCGCGTTCGCAACTGGAGTTCAAGTACGACCGACAAGCGCTGTACCATGCGAGCTGTCATGGTAAGGTGGAGGTCTTAGAGTGGTGGCTCGGGAGTGGGCTTCAGTTGATCTTTGACCCGGATGCACTTACTGGCGCAACCAGGCATAACCGGCCAGAAGTCCTGGAGTGGTGGGACAAGAGCGGATTGCCGATTCAGTATCGGATGTGTGACATCGAGGAGGCGTTGGAGGATGCTATTGGAGGCGGTGAGGCAGCAAGGGAGTGGTGGAAACGAAAAGGGGTGGACTTTAACGCGAACGACGTGGAGTGGTCGAAGTCCCAAAATCTGAACTAGACTCGGACATCGTTTGGTCATCTCGTGCATCGTGATTGCATTCATTCTCGTGTATCCTTAGACCTGTCCATGCTATTTTGAACACTCACTGCTTGGCGTTCGCCGGTTCTGACCACAATTACCCGTGTATCAAATGTATCAGTTGTCTCTCGTGATTTTCTCCCTACAACAGTAACTCTAGTGGCCCATAATAGATTATGTTCGATTATTGATTGTCGATCGTCCCTTGTTGAGCCTCCCTAGTACCTCACTTCCCATGGAAGAATCGACGATCCCCGACATCTTGGAACACTTGGGTCGACTGCTGAACACACCACCGTGCGTAGCCTGATTCGTTTAGCCACCAGCAGTACTTGACAGAACTTGTTGCAGAATCTCAGTCGAGATTTTCCCCGGAGATGGATATGAGGTCGTTCAGGATACCGACGGAACGGACGATACCACAAGCAGGCACAAACCGTTTATGTTCTTAGAGGACAACCTTGGAGTACCACAAAAGGTTCTTCACAAGGCGTACATGTTCGCCGTTAGGTCATTCGCGAAGTACAGGCGGGAGGCACGCATCCTGGACGGAGATCGGAAAGTCTTAGAATCGTTGGTACACTCCTCAGCCGTCCTTCTACTGGCCAACCCTGCCCATCAAACTGCGTTGAATGTGCGAAAGAGGCTCGTTCTCTGTCAAGTCATAGATCCTGCACACGAGATGCGATTCGTTGCAGCGCTTCTGACAGTCCGTGAGGGTGCCAAGCAATCCATCTTGTGGCATCATCGCAGATGGTTGTTTCGGCGTTTGTGTCTTACCCAAGAAAGCGCAGATCCTGGAGACGTCTCTACTCCTTCGTTTCAGAGTGATGGTTCCTTGGAAAATGTCGCAATACTTCCTGGAACATTGCAGCATGAATTCAAAACCATCTCGCAGGCATGCGAGGTCTATCCACGAAATTACCATGCCTGGGCCCATCGATATATTTGCTTTGACGCATTGGTCGCGCTCCTCTCTTCGTCGTCCCCTCAGCATAGTGAGTATGCAGCGGTGCTGGCCGACGAGTATACCTCCATGCGGCAGTGGGTCGAGCGCCATGTCTCCGATTATACGGCGGTACAGTATCTCTGCAATATTCACACACATCTCCCCAACCGCACTCCAGCCTCATACTTGACACCTAGCATTGCTGCGTGCCCAGGACGCCCCGCCCTGCTCCGGGATGACCATGCAATCATTGCGCACGCGAGATTGCTGGTCGAGGCATATCCTGACCACGAGTCACTCTGGCTGTACCTTCGTAGATCACTCACTATTAGTCTCAAGTCTCTCGACTGCGCATCGAGGACAGACCAGTGTGTCCTTACCTTTGCACACGAATTTCTCGCGCAGGAGCCAGGCCGTGCAGTAACCAATCCATCTCTCCGTTCACTGTCGGCGGCAGACCCACGAGTTGTGCACACACATGCCTGTCGATTCCTCGCCTGGTATGCACGTACAGTATGTGCTTCTTTTATGTCATTGCGATGTCTTCCTGCTCAGATCTCCCTCAGAATGGCAGTTTGGTGCACATTGGCGATACGTCCGTGAAGAGCATAGTTCTTTCGGATATTCATGATTGCGAAATTGGGAGACTGTTGAATCTCCAGGAGCTTTTCCGTAGGCAGATGTATGGCACGTCAGAGACGGTGAGATGAGTGTGTGGTACGTTAGAGATGAACCAGACTGATAATAATGCCTAACTGCGAAGCGCAGCCGCAATGCGGGTAACGTACAGAATAGACAGCATTTACAACACTTTTGGCAATGATTACACGCACCCCTCCTCTCCCATTCCTCGCGGTCCAAAGCTGGTGCAACGACCAATACGTATGTATGGAGGTAGTTATAAGTATGTCAACAACACTTCATACTTAACATAGCATTGTCGGATCAACGCTATGGTTCGTCGAGATGTCTAGAGAATCATAGGAGAAAATCTCAGGAATTGTGGTGTCGAGAAAATCACGATAAGACTTACTGTCCAAGCACCTTATTCATTTTGAACATGTCGATCTTGTCGACATTGAATATCGCCTTGAAGTTGTCATCACATATGATTTCCTTCTTGTTCTCCGGGTTCTGCAGATTGTGAGCCTTGATATAGTCCCAGAGTTGCTTGACGACTTGAGGACGCGATAGCTTCTCCACATTGAGGAGAGCGGACAAGGGCTCACTGAAACCATGAATCAAACAAGGAGTCAGAATGTCACAGAACGAGCACCAAAACATGGTAGACATACTCCAGTTTGTATTCCTTCTGGAATCCTCCGCCGCGCTTCTTCTTCGGTTTCTTGTCACCGCCCTCGTCACCTTCACCATCGGTGTCCACTGTTGCAGCACTCTTGGCACCCCGCTTCCCGCCTCTCTTGGCACCTCCGCCTCTGCCTCTCGCTGCGGAAGCTCTGGCAGGGCGACCGTTGATCTCGTGAGAGAGCTGCCGCGCTAATTCTGCGTCAGTCAGACCGCCCTTACGCGCCTTTTTCGCCTTCGGAGGTGGGGTTACTTCCTCCTCCTCGCCCTCATACACGTCTCCGTTCGTGCTGTCCTCCCCGTCCATACTCCTTTTTCCTCCCCGAGCACGACTATCTTCTTCCGGCTCCTCTCCATCGTCCTTCACCTGCCGGAACACAGCACCAATAAGAACATCGATCTCGTCCTTGTTCTCCTTCACCAACTCCGGTGTGAGCGAGGGGACCAATTCCAAGAGCTGCTTCCGAACGCGTTTTGCGCTGATCGTCTCGAGGTTGGTACCCGGGGCAGACAAGATCTCCCGAATGGTATGCTCGAGAGAATTGACCTCAAAGCTCATGTCGTTAGGGTGCTGTGGACGGAGGAGAGAGAGTACGTAAGAAAGTCTTTTCTTGACTTGTCAAGTGGGGAAGCCACCAATACGTGAAAGTGGCGAAAGCAGCTCGGGGAGTGCCGAGCCATCGGACAGGCATCTGATAAGATAACTCGTCGTACGTGGCATCTCTCGGACACACAACGCGCAGACTGGTCTTCTTTCTACTGAAACATCATTCTCCTGCAAGATGACTTGCAAGAAGTTTCGCGCGAGGAAAGCAAGCTTTATTGCCTTCGGAATCATTGCATTCTCCGCATTCGCACAGTCTTCTGAATTCCAAGTAAGTGGGCCAGCAGATTCATATCCAACACTCAACTTCTCATGGTCATCACAGGAAGATGCAGGGACGCGGACTCTTTCTCGAGCAGAAAATGACATTGAGATTGTAGATCCAGCTGCTGAGGGTAGGCGTTACACTAGCTGCCGAATCGTACGGCAGTCTAATGCTCATGCAACAGCTTCTAGGGCGTACAGACAGGCCCTATCCACGCTAGCCGCTCTCACTGCACTTCCGGCCCCTCAGTACGAGGACGCGTCGCTCCATCAATCTAGTCATAAAAGCGCGTCTCTTCTTTCTGCGTTCTTGCCCAGTATGCAAGGTCATGGCCCCATCGCGAGCGCCATGAGGATAACTGCCAAGCTGTTCCAGCATTCATGGCTCCCGTATTCTGTCACATCCTATCTAGGGAGGGAGACAGCAACAGTCAAGAAGAAGAATGATGAGATGCAGGGCAAGGCGGTCAAGGTGATTGACTTGTTGCAACATGCGGCTGAGCTGGGCAACACAGACGCGCTCTACACGCTTGGAAAGATATCTCTCGTAAGTGCAATGCCGCATTTCAATTCCTATTGCTGACGCCAACGCGTAGTTTCCTCCCAATGGCTACTTTCTTTCGGATCCGGCGTTGGGATTTAGCGCGTTTGTTACACACGCGTCACTTACGGGCAACGCCACCTCGCAAGCATATATTGGATTCTTCTATGCAACGGGATACCACGGCATCGTCCCCGTTGACCAGGCAAAAGTACAGCTCTACCTCACCTTCGCCGGCCATGGGGGTGACAAGGGTGCACAAATGGCTATGGGATATCGTTATTGGTCGGGTATAGGTGTCACAGAGGACTGCTTAAATGCTCTAGATTGGTACGAAGAAGCTGCTGATCAAGGTATGCCATTCAACAAGAGATACCATTCGAGTTGCGAACTGAGCTTGGCCTCAGCCATGGCGAAGTTCCGAGCAGGGCCTCCTGGCGGTAAGACACTGCCGTTGATGGCACCGCGACTTTCAGACCTCGATGGCGGCATCTACGGACCGGGCGCAAGTGTCGCATCTACTGGTCTGAATGCGGCTCGACCTGTCATTAAGACAGCGAATGCGCGTGCTGCAGGAGAGACATGGGACGATTTGCTCGAGTATTATCTTGTATGCACTATCGAATCTTTCAGAGGGTCCGTCTCACTAATATTCCCTACCGTATTAGTTCAATGCCGACCGGGGCGAGACAGATTTTGCATACAGACTGGGCAAGATATTCTATCAGGGCAGCATTTACGCCGCTCCAGGTGGAGTAGCGTCAGGCGGCGACGGGGCAAGCCGTGTTCCGCGTGACCTTCAGCGCGCACGATACTATTTCCACCTCATTGCACGCCAGGTGTGGCCGCGGGACCCGTCGCCTCACCAGTCTCAGTCGCAGGCGAAAGACGACAACCCTGCGCAGGCGGGTTATGCAGCTTTAGCTGCGGGATATCTCGGCCGCATGTATCTGCGTGGTGAGGGTGTGAAGGCTGATCCGATGATGGCGAAGCTATGGTTCGAACGGGGAGCGGAATACGGCGAGAAGGAGTGTCACCATGGCTTGGGCATCATCTGGCGGGACGGATTGGTGGATGGACGCACGGATAGCAAGAAGGCGATCGCACACTTCATAGCTGCTGCAACTCAAGAATTAGCTGAGGCCCAGGTCCAACTCGGAAAGCATCACTACGGTATGTGTTCTTCCTGATTGACTGTGGTTTCATGTCAACGTTGTCTCTAGAGCGCGGCGATCTTAAGCTCGCGACAACCTACTTCGAGACGGCTGTCCGGCAGGGCTCTCCGTTTGAAGCATATTACTATCTGGCTGAGTTGCAAAGCTCCCAGGCAAGAAGCTCTGCAACACCCGCCAATATTGCTGGCAGTTCGTGTGCAATCGCCGTATCGTTCTACAAGCTTGTGGCGGAACGGGGCTCGTGGGAGGACGACCTCCTCAACGAGGCCGAGCTTGCATGGAACACTGCTACTGAGAGAGGCGGTGAGATGGCTATGCTTAGGTGGTGGATAGCTGCGGAGCGGGGATTTGAGAGCGCACAGAACAACCTCGCGTTTGTCTTGGATCAAGGTGGGCTGGAGATTGACCCTTCGTCTTTGCGCTCCTCCTTCCCTGATCACTGCTGTCACAGACAAGAGTATCTTGCGGTTCACCAGATTCGCTCCCAACTCCCCTTCGAACGACACTGCCAGACTGGCACTGACCCAGTGGATGCGCTCGGCTGCACAACGTAATGTAGATGCCTTGGTGAAAGTCGGCGACTATTATTACCATGGATTGGGCGTTCCCGATGAGCAGGAGGACATCCGGTGGGAGAAGGCAGCAGGTTACTACCAGTCTGCAGCAGATACCCAGATGAGTGCTCTTGCCATGTGGAATCTAGGCTGGATGTATGAGAACGGTGTTGGCGTCCCTCAGGCTTGTGTTGAAGTTCTAGTCTCGCTTATACAGCTTTCTGACCGTGGCCGATCTCAGGACTTCCACTTGGCCAAGCGTCACTATGACCTTGCATTGGACACCAACAGCGAGGCATACATGCCTGTCGTGCTTTCGTTAATCAAGTTGCATGCCCGCAGTCTGTGGCACACCTTGATGGGCGGTGCCAATGGATTAAGTCTTTGGGGTGATGGAGACGAGAGCGGTAAGTCTTGAAAGAGCAACCTTTGAAAGGTGGTAATTGCTCATGTTTGACGTCAACAGGCTCTTATTATGCGCAGCCTGAGAGTAGGGAAATTGAGAGCGGCAAGAAGTCTGAATTGTCTTCGGGAGAAAGGGCAGAAGACAGAGAAGAATACGAGGATGGCCCATGGTATTACGGGAAAGCGCGAGATGACTACCGGCGCAGACGAGGCCAGGAAGCGGGTCGTCTAAATTCAGAAGCAGATGATCCTGTCCAGGTACATCGAGTCCCACGAGTCTTCAGGGTTGAAGCTAACGGTGTTTTGCCACAGTGGGCAAGAGACAGAAGGATAGCTGACAGCGACCGGGAGGGCGATTTCGGTCCTGAAGATTATTTCGACGCTGCCACGCGAGGGCGGAATCGTGAGGACGAAGCCGTTGATGAATTCACCGAGACGATGCTTCTGGTTGTCCTGTGTCTTATCGTCTCTATCCTGCTCTACATCCGTGGACGGTGGATGGATCGCACGCGCCGTGAGCAGCAGCAGCCGCAACAACCACAACAGCAGCCGCATCAACAACCACAGCAGCTGCAACAACAACCACAGCAGCAGCAGCAACAACCACAGCAGCAGCTGCAACAACAACAGCAGCAGCCGGGTGGTGGACCAGCCCCGCAGCCCCCGCCTCCAGCGAATGACTGGGCAATGTGGTGACGGACGTTCACGTACTAAACACTGGTGTATGATCACTGCTTGTGCTAAATGGATGCAGTGTCAGCTACAAATCAATGACTACAGTTCCCACCCTTCAGGAAATTCCTGCCGATGTCCACTGATCTAGCCTGGTATTCGGCCAGTATGTACATGTACAGTCCAACAACAGTACTTGCAGATTTCGACTGGCTGATAGCCTGCAGAACGCGTACATAACACGTGGCTGCGTGCGATCTGTCGGCAGCACTGTTATAGCTGGCCTTGCCCTCGTACTCGTCAGTCTTGCCTAAGTCTTGCCATCTTACACGTCGCGGCCCTACTCCCGTTCTGCTCAGCCGTCTGCGTCGCGATCGCGCACATGTCGACAAATAACCATGTTGAGACACAGTCCGAGACGGTCGCACCTATCGCTACTCCAGTCGCTGCTGGCACGACAGCTCTGCATGAATTATTGACGACCATGAACGGAAGCTGGCTTGCACTGTGCGTTGGTATCGCATCCCAGATGCCCGGCTCAAATGACATTGGTAGTGTGTCTTAATTAGCGGACAATCGTTCGAATTGCTCAATGAGCAGTCTCTGAGGGTCGCAAGCGCGGGACCTACGATGGTCAGGGCAGTTCCATGAGAATCATGAGAAGTTAAATTGAACACTGACAAGTGAATAACGTAGAGTGATTCAATAGTAGAGATACAAAAGCTGCGTCGCCAGCTACGTGCCCAAGATAAGAAACAAACTCTGCGTGCCAAGGAGGTCAAAGATACGATCAAGAACCTCCTAAAGGACCAAGTGGTAGATGAGATGCGGTGTGTAGTGTCGTGTTTGTAATTACTATCCGCGCACTCCTTTGACTGAGAACTCTTCGCCATCCTCCTCAGCTCACATATTCAAGAGCAAATCGGGAAGGAAATCGCTCTGCAAGTCAAGGAGCAAATGGACGCCCAGATTCAGGAGCACCTGCCTATACCATTGAGGCAGCAAACGAACGAGGGCAGGCTGGAGATCATTAATCTTCGCCATGCCCTCGTGAACTCGTATGGAGTGTTTCGTCACTAATTGAGACTGACTGATGCAGATATTAGAGAGGCAAGAAGAAAGAATTCCATGGTCGACTTACGTTACGAGGATGATCCATTGGCTGTTGTCATGAAACCAGATGGGACCAGGAGTGACCTTTATCCCGCTGACTTGCGATCCCTGCGCGCGTATGATAGTAAGTCATCGGACGAGCAGCTTTATACCTATTTAACCTTCATTCGCAGCGTACATGATGAGCGCGCTTCTCAAAGACCATGGCCTCCCGGAATTACAATCACAGGACCAAAATATCAAACAGTTCCTATGCCACATTGGTCAGTGAACCTACTTCAGAAGATGATACGCCCACTCACGTTTTGTATAGGCATTCCTGCTCAGACTGCTCAGATGACGCTTGATTCCGATCCGCTGACAATATAGATGCCGGCTTGTAACTTCTGAGGAGAGCAGCGTACTTAGTTGATTGTATCGTTCCTTCAACCACTTAGTCACGCATAGCGAACGAAAGCCTCCTTTGTACCATAACCACTATTACAGTTAACGATCTGTCATCCTCAAAGTTAATCGTGCAATGGACTGAAATCCACACAGCATACAACTGGCCCACTGCCTGGGGAATACACGGTCATTAGAACACCGAAGGGTGACAAAAGGTAAGATCTCACTTGCATGAATCTCATCCCAATCATCTGTATGGTGTTCGTCGTAGTCGTCGTAGTCGTACTCGCCGTAGTCATCTCCGTCTTCATAATCGTCTTCATCCTCATTATACCACTCTCCATCCACCATAAAAGAATTCAGGCCGCGGCCACCAGACATGAATTCATCATCCATCGCTGTGTCGTGCTGATTCGTTTCCATCCATGCAGCCGTCTGGGCAGACAAATCTGAAGGACCTGCTTCATCCTCGATGGCTGCGGTGTCCCAGAGTGCTTCAACGTTTTCTGAGGGTTGCATGCGTTTGCCGTGATCACTGCCTTCCGGGGGTATGTCTTCTGAATTCCACGTGAAATAAAGCTTCGTCTCCGTCATCTGTAGACAAGACACTTGACTCAACAGCCCACCGTTGCCAAAGTAAGGGATATAGGATGCTGAGAGGTGACGGAAGGAAATATTTGAACCGAGGGACGAATGCTCCTGTATAATGCCCAGACTTGTTCGAGCAACATCAGGCAGGGCCTCACTGGAAGGAAGGAGGTGTAGCGTGGCGTCCAGCGTTAAAATGTATACGCCGGAAGTCTGCAGATGTGGACATGAGCCTGTTGGAGAGTTTGAAAACATTGGGCTTACCGTTACAATGCCGATGCGGCCTTCCCAATAGGCAAAATATATCGAGTAATAGGAACTACCATGTAGACCTATGTCTTCTCGCGCCTCTGAAGGCCTGAGATGGAGCTCGAGAGCAACTTCTGCAATAGAGACAGGGCCTTTTGTCACACGCTCGAAGTCGCGTATTAGGATGAGCCTGTTATCACTACAAAGTACTGCGATGTCACGTCCAGAAGAAGAGACATGCACTAGTGGGGAGAAATTCAGCAAAGCCTGCTTCTTTCGTACGAACACCAAAACTTGCCAGCAGTAAAATCATGCTGCGACGTGGAATGCCGCGCACTGACATGGACTGCGATGGGTAATACTGTGGGGAGTGAACCTGATTCGAGGAGTCTCGGATCGGGTGGGTCAAGGACAGCTTGAGTCTCTGCATAATTGGTTGACGATGACTGTAAGCGCAGAACTAAAGCACCACCTCCTCGACAGAAAACGCGAAGCTCGAGAGCCCCACACACAAAGACATATCGAGGGCTCACGTCGACATAGTTGATATCGCCCAACGCAGATGATCCTCCATGCAGGCTTTGAATATCACCGATTGATTCCACGAGGGTCGCGGACGTAATATCCCAAAGGTAGATGGCGTCATAAGAAACCACCGCAAGTGTCGGGTAGGCAAACCGGAATGCCCTGCCCTGCTCAGGAGTTTCCAATAGGGCCCAAGGTTTGAAATGTCCCCGTTTGGTCCGTGAATAATAAAGAGTGTCTGCCTCCGCAGAAGTATTAAGTTGGTCTTCATCAGGCAGTGACCTAGTCGGTGCGTCCGTCGGGTCGAACGAAGAGACTAATCTCCACACCTCTTTGAAAGCTCCGAACCGATCAAATATGATGAAGCCATTATCATATTCACAGTGAGCATAGGGGCGGACGTATGTCTGAGTCGACATATGAGCACTAAACACGACGGCAAGATGTTCGCCTGAGACAGACCGACGACAATGCCCAGAGAACTTCGCGAGTTCTGAGGTCTGTCACCTGAAGCCCGCCATTTTGATGGGTGGTGATGAGGAAGCCCTCAGTCTCATCAACCTTCAGTCGATGTATGTCGCACGATGCGCGACAATAAGTGGTCACTGTCGCTGAGCCTTCACCAGCCCAATCTCTGTCCGTTTGAAGACATCTCTGACCTGATAGAATAATTGAGCTACCGGCTACAGTTCAAACGTACAGAAACAACTGAGGCTTACAGTAGAGCTTCCAGGTATGAACGTCAACAACGAAATCACCCAAGTGCGTAGCTTTCGCGTCAGGGAGAGATGCATCAGCAGAAGCTGAGTAGTTGTGCACTAGAGCAGCTTGGCGATAGACAGTCGATTCGTTTGCTTGAATAAAGCTGAGCCAGAAATGTGAAGTCAATTGCAAAGAGAACAATGATTGCAACGGAAGATAGGATAGAATATTCAGGACAAGTTCCGTTGGTAGCACTTCGAGCTGAGACATATTCACGGAGGACGCAGTCACGGTAATAACTTGAAGACGCTCACTCCCCAGCCCCTTAACGGCTCGCCGGACCGACGTTCCGTCAGATGTGAAGCTCTAGCTAAGTGGTATATTTTTTCTATCTACAGTACTCAGACGTTTGGGATATAGGATACATTCGACAGCACTTTTCCGAACGACACGCGCCACGGTCAAAGCTTGTGTTCCGGAATCACATCCTTCCCCCTACCCCTCAGCACATAATCTCTGAGATTGCTGAGCGCTCTAATCTCCATCTTCTTCTGCGAGTCACACGTTTCCGTGCCCATGTGAGGGAGAAGGGTGGCATTAGGAAAGTCGAACAACCGTGGGTTAACTTGTGGTTCGTTGGGGTACACATCCAAGCCAATACCGCCGAGCTGTGGTTACCCAGTCAGCGTGTCTTTGGGACTCTGCGGATGGGAATACGCACATGACCGTCCTCCAGTGCCTTGATCATGGCCGCTTCATCGATGACCTTTCCTCTCGCGGTGTTCACAATGACTGCACCTTTCTTGAGCTTCCTGATCATCGTCTCGTCCACGAAGTGCACCGTGTCCTCTCTCAAGGGAATGTGGACACTCAAAACATCAGCGATTGCGAGCATCTCATCCAAGCGCTCCGGTGGATAGTATTCGCACCATTCGGGCGCCTTTTCTACCTTTCCTCGATTGTGGTATACAATGCGCATTGGGAAAGCGTGGGCCATCTCTGCCATGCGCAGACCGATGCCGCCCAATCCAAGGATAGCGAGCGTACGTCCCGTCAGATCATGCGCATCGCCCGCCTTGTGCCCAGACTTCCATTTCCCATAGCGGACGTCCCGCTCAGCTTGGGAAAATCGGCGCAATGCAGAGATAAGAAGGTATAACGCAGTGGTCGCTGTCGCGTCGTCCACTGCTCCGGGTGTATTAGATACAATTATACCTGGACGTGGAAAATCAGCGATGTACGCATGGAGAATTATGATTGCAAGAGGAATCGACCTTTCTTCTTGCAAGCATCGACATTGATTTGATCGTAGCCGGCCCCATTGTGAGCTATCCACTTCACAGTTGGTGAAATAGCCTCAACGAGCTCCTTATCGAACACGCCTATGTTGTCAGCAGACGAGTTCTGCCTCATCATGGCGACGGTTCCGTAGTACTTTCCGCCGGACTTCAGACCGTCGAAGAAGTCTGCACGATTGGGAGAGTCCATGCGCTACCGAGGCGATGAGATACTATGGCTGGCAGGAACGCATGGCACTCACGACCACCTCCGCAACCCCCTTGAACATGACCTCGCATTCCTTGTGGGCCCACACGAGGTCACCTGTAATACATTGCGAGGATGAAAACCTATTGAGTTGGCTTACGCTCCCCCATCTCACCGCTGGGCTGGCTCACCGCAGAGCATTACGCGGGGCAGCGGCATCTTACTCACGAACGGGCGACGAAACCAAAGAGATGGAGGTTGCGAGAAGTACGACGAGCGCAAACATCGCGTGAGCTGTCGAGGGGATCTTATAAAGAGGAGAGTATATTCGGACCGTCTCCGGAGTCCCGATGACAGGCCAGATAAGACTCACGACAGTATCTGTCCATCGAGCATTGCGGACTTCAACAACAGCAGAATGTTTCGCCGTGAACGACTCACCTCTTGTGTCAGATCTAGATAGATATAGCAAGGAGGATACTCATGACCTTCAGTAAAGACGTTGCGGTCCGGGGGACCGCGAATAAAACATATGAATGCCACGGGGTTTTAGGACGGAAGGGCGACGGCGAACACATGCTATTACAGAGAGTATACGATATGTATATGCTGAAAAACGCGCGAGAGCCTGGGTATCGGAGATATAATACTATGTACGATACACTCAAGAAGAGAAGGTACAACATACTACAACGATGAGCGATAAAAATACAAAGATCACACATCCTTAAGTGTACATGTCTTCATCCGGTACCGGCAGCAGCCATCGCCACTTCCTCCTCGAAAATGCGCATATCGAAAGCTGTCTTGAATGGATCAAACAGCTTGCCCGGTACCGCAAAGACGACCTTCTCGAACGAATTTTTGAAGCGCGCCTCATGCTGCTGTCCCTCGCTCCCGCCTTCGGTCTTCCTCTGAGAATCGCCACACACCAGAAGTTCCGCCCACAAACTCGCAATCGTCTCCACCTTGTTTTGGCTTGATCCACAACCAAATGCACCAAGTACTATCACCCTGTCGCCCCGCTCCTCGAAAATCCGCAGAACACGACCCATGCGTTCCTTCATTGCGCTCCTGATTCCGTCCTCGAATAACTGTGCTTCAGATGGCAGTATGAGGTGCTTGGCACGAACCGCGGCAGCATTGACGGGAACGGAAGATACAACGTTGATGGTGTATGGAGGAATGAAGTCACCGCCAACAGAATCGTCCGCGAGATCAGTCATGTTCGACATGATCGCATTCCTTGGGGACTCATCAGAGGCAATGAGCGTATCGTCCCAATCGCTCCGAAACACAACCACCCCTGGAGAGTACACCATGGAGTGGTCGTGGAGCCCACTGCCATCTTCGACTTTGAAAGCCTTGTGCTCTTTGTAAAACTCGCGCGCAGCAGGGACGCTCAGGCTCGCTACCAAAGAACTCAGTCGTGCGATGGTTTCCTCCTGCTCATCCCCGCCATGTAGGCAGCCACCACCCGGTTTCTTGGGAGAAGCGAAAGACAAGACTCCGAGCGTGGTCAAGGAGAGGCTAGATGGACTGTGCGTGTAGAGATGGGGATGGGTGTTGGATATAACATGGGCTGCAGTAAGGGTGGAAGTACGGGTGAACTCGATTGCCGTGTTCGCAATAGCTGTGGTCGGTCGTTTGCTAGCCCAGGTCGCTAGGAGATCGGAATAGTGCGGGTAGAAGGTGGTGCCTTGCCGGCTGAGCTGGATTTGGGCAGAAATATCGTGGGTGACACGCAACGTCGTGTCCATGTCTGTGCTTGGAAGGCCTAAACCTTGTCCGTTCAATTGAGCTACAGCGGGAAAAACAACAGGAAGGTGGCGCTCTTCAACGTACTTGCCATCTCCGAGCACAATCTCCTGAGTTTCTCTCGCTATCGTCGCCCATTGCTCCCGCTTGGCCTTCACGGCGGCCAATACAAGCATCGCAATGCGCCTGTACGAATGCTTCCGCTGCGACTGCTGCTGAGCTTCTTGCTTGCGCTGTCGATGCTGCTTGATGCGCTGCTTCTTCAGATATTGCCGCTTTATCTCGAGATTCCCGCTGGGTGTTGTTGGGGTGCTTGAGCGGCGGATACGGAGTTTCTGAATACCAGAAGTCTTGCGGCTACGCATGGATGAATGTAGGATGTAGGATGTAGTATGGAAGAGAGGACATTGGTCATCTAAATTGGGAGCCGCAGTCCCGCAGACTCCGTCCTAGCTGTGACAGGAAATGAAGACTGGGAGGGAGTCTAATCTCTATTTTAAGTTTTGCTCCCGACTGAGATATTCTACTCAACGCGGCGGCCCGGCGTCTTCAAGTTCGCAGTCAAGTTGATCTGTACGGTGGGTACTTCAGGAAATAATATTCATATCTTATGGCTTTACTTTTGCACTATGCAGATATATTCCAGTTGTGTCTTTTGAAATGTCATGCAACCGCATAATGACATTTTTATTCAGAACACGTCTTGAAAGCCCGCTTCAAACTCTTCACGTCCCTTGACTCTCCATCCGCACCTAAGATCTGAATAGCCAGGTACATGATCTCGCAGGATCTTGGCATGCGGGTGGCACGGCGCGACACCTCCACGGCGTATCCCTGGATAATGACAGGTCCCGTGGCCCCAAGCACACTGTAACGGCAAGGTAAGGCGCTGGCACCACGCCTCGTCCCCAGTATGTCGAATAGGCGACGCATACGAGAAGATACCCAAGTTCACCTGATCTCAGAAACCACACTAGTGCACTCTATCTACGCTGTGACCTTCTCCCCAATCCGCAGGGCGCACTCGGACACAATTGGTATTTCCTCCGCGAATGAGCAAGATACAGTATATATCAGTCAGCGTTGGCCCTTGCAGCACAATTTTCAAATTCTGACAAACCTTCTCGAGGAAAGCCAATTGGTGGTCTGCATTTAGCGATTCCCTGCAATCCTTTGCCTCTATTGAGCGGTTGCAGTTCGATCAGGGTTGAAACTCATTCTTCTTTGTTCCATATCTCATTCATTCGTTCGCTGATCAGTGAAACTTTCTCGTCGATTACTGGGCGTTCTCGACGGTTTTAGGCCCCGCCGAATGGTACCGTGAGGTGTGCCCCGTGGTGTACACACTTCCAGTCACAGGTGTCTTGTATGCTTCTTGGCAGCCCCGCAAGATGATGTGAAAGTTCGTGTCGGAGAACCGCGGTCACGAGTCATTGTCTACGGCATGTACTCCAGAGGTGGTTGTACCTGCCGTCGGATGTCCGCGTAGGCAACGAGCAACAAGACCGTTAATATATATATACATGCTCAAGTCTCAGTCTTGACCTTCATCCCCTCGCCATGGCCAGCAAGGACTCTGAGATCATCGCCGTCCTTGAGAAGGATCCTGGTCTCGTCGAACATCGCTCGCCGTCTGGCTCCGTGGTAGACCAAGATGACGAGCTGCTCGCAGACAATGTCAGAGTGGCCGCCGAGCGAAAGCTTGTGCGCACCTTGGACTCAAGGCTGATGCCCACCATCATCGTCATTTTCATAATGAATTACATCGACGTGAGTGACTCACCTCAGCACGCTCAACATTTTGACTTACTGTGGCGTATGTCAGCGCGTCGCCATTACTTCTGCCAAATTGCAAGGTCTGACACAGGACTTGCACTTGACAAGTATGTAGCCCATGCTCCCAGTGACCATTCATCGTTATATGTACCACTCATGCAGGCATCCAATATTCGACTGTTATTGCTATTCTATATGTGTCCTACTGCCCGGCGCAAATCCCTTCCAACATGGTAGGTTATGCCGCACAACGTTGCGAGCCGTGTTGATACATCCTTCACAGATCCTCAACCGAATTTCCAGGTACAGACCTTCACTTTTGAACATTGACATGTCCTGAATCGTGTAGGCCATCATACTATATTCCAGGCTGTGTGATGCTCTGGGGCCTCGTGAGCATGTTGTCTGGGGTGCGTGTATTGTTCCTGCGTGTGCGCCACGAATTCTGACGGCGATGAAAGGTAACGCATAATTATGCCCAACTGTTAGTTTGCCGAGTCTTCATCGGCCTCCCGGAAGTATGTGGAATTCTCGTACCTTGTCGGACAATATTGACAGTCCACTCATCAGGCGGCATTCTATCCTGGAGCCATGTATCTCCTCTCCCGCTGGTATACTCGGAAGGTGAAGGAGCCACCTCTCTGAGTACAGCTGGACATCTCTCACAATGCTCCATCTATTAGGAACTGTCTCTCCGGGGTGCCATCATCTACGGTGGGTTGTTGATTTCGAATGCCTTCGGAAGTGTAAGTAGTAGCCCAACACTTCGCGGTGCGCGGATCTTAGTGGTGTGTTTAGCTTATGGCAGCGGGTATTCTATCGGGCATGCAAGGCAAACGCGGTATCGCAGCTTGGAGATGGTATGTCTATTTCTCTTCATGGACCGCAAGAACGTTGACACGAACTGTAAATAGGCTGTTTTATATCGAGGTGTGTTGCCTTATATACCTCAGAGTGACTGATGCGAGCTTGTTCCTTTGAAGGGCGCCATATCTATTTGCGTTGGTATCATTGCGATGTGAGTACCTTTCATTTTGTGACAATGATGTGAAACTGACAGTCGTCCTCGCACGTAGATTCCTTCTACCAGACTATGTGTGTGCATTGTTGTTCCGACGTCTCTCTGCTTCTGATAATATGACTGTAGCCTCACAACACTCGTTGGTTGTCGCCTGCGCAATTAAGATTGGCCCGTGTGCGTCTCGCAGAGGACGCTGGGGAGGCAGATGAAGACGCTTCCACCGACTCGTGCGTAATCTCTGGGCATATATCACTTTCGTCAGTTTCAAACAGCCACATACAGAGCGTTCTCTGGGTTGATGCTGGCATTGAAAGACCCAAAGGTCCCCCTCATGGCATTCATGAATTGCTCCCAGCTACTTGGACTCGGGTTTATCAATTTCTTCCCAACGTAAATGTCGTCCATTCTGTACCCGCAGCAAGCAACTGAAATCGGCTCTTAATCGCAGCATCGCAGCCACTCTGGGGTTCTCCACCACCATCACCTTGTTGCTCACTGCGTAAGCTCTTGTGCATGCATAATACGTGCTACTACTACGAACCTTACTACTCCATTCAGGCCTCCGTGGATCCTTGCAACGATCGTATGCTGCGTCAACTCGTGGCACGCAGGTACGCGTTCTCTGATGATGTTACTCTTGAGCATGCATTCAGTGAGTTTCGGTCGTTTTGCCAGACAAAAGCGGGGAGCGCTTCTTCCACCAAAGTTGGCCGTGGTGGGGCGTGATCATCGGATACATCATTGGGGTCTCAACGATGTCAACTGGTGGCCGCTATGTTGCAATGTTCCTGATGGCATGCGGATATGCAGGTGGGTATCCTAGTGGGTTCACTGAGTGGTGACAGTTACTCAACAGTCTTGCCCAGGATTCGCCTTGACAATTGTCTGGGTATCCAATGCCGTTCCTCGGCCTCCAGCAAAGCGTTCCGCCGCGATCGGTATTGTCAACGGCTTTGGGAACTTGGGGAACCTGTAAGGGATCTCAGATCACCTGTATCCGAGGACGTTCGATTAATTGTCTGGAATACGAAGGATCGCATCATATACATGGGAGGCACAATGGAGCCCAAACTACCATCAGTCGATGTACATCGGACTTTCGGCGCTCGTTCTGAGCTCGGCCCTGGCGGTTGGTTCGTGTGCCACCATTCTCTCCCGATTCGTACCTGCTCAAATGTGCACTCTTGTAGTTGTTCGCTGCATGCTCATTGCGCAAAACAAACAACTTGACCGCGACGAACTTGAGAATCTCCAGGCCGGAAAGCGCGAGCGTATCGAGGAGGCTGCAAGGCTAGAAGGTCTGACTTTCGAGGAGGCGCTGCGGCGCCGGAAGGGATTCAGGTATTTGTATTAAGCGCTTACCGCGAAGGACGCTGTATTTGTAGTGGACGTTTATGGGTATGCATCTTGTTCCAGCGACGTCGACGTCGGCGAGTGGTTTCGGGGACTCGGAAGATTTGAGCCCGACACTAGGGTAGGTGTACCGATATTATTATTAGGCCACCATCGGTGTTTGTCGCATAACGGATGGGCTGATGATTCCCACGATGGAGCACCTGTGCGTGCATTCTTCGAAGCGAGATGGTTCGTCCCATTCGTTGTTCTCTTGTGATTACACTTTGCGCCTTACTGGGCTGTTAAATAGCTCCTTCGCAGCTAGTTCAAATCACTGGCGGTGATATGGCCAGATCTAAGAGGCAGCTTCGTGAGGCGATAGATGTCTACGCATGCAGGCCATGATGTCACTGTTATCGCAGGAGCATCTGAACAGCGAACAACTCATAAGGCATCCTGACAGAGGAACGATAAGGCAAGGGCAAGAAGCATATAAATCTGACATACCGGCAGTTTCGTCAGATACTGGTCATCACCCGGGCCTCCAGGCATGATGGCGCCGGTGGGCTATCTGCTGTATGCATCCTTATTGCTTGCTGTTGTGGTCTATGTTCGGACGCGTAGGCGTTCCCTTCCCTTCCCACCTGGCCCTCCCGCCGAGTCCGTCATCGGTCACCTTCGTGTGCTTCCTCCGGTGGATCAAGTCGATGTCTTCCAAGAATGGGCTGCTAAATATGGTGCGTGCATCCTGATGAAGGACGAGTTAAAGATGTCGATGACCTTGTATGTTGTCCAGGCGATATCTTTTACCTAAACGTCTTAGGACAGTCCATCGTTGTTTTGAACAAGTACCAGGCTGCTGCAGACCTTCTTGACAAGAGGAGCGCCAACTTTAGTGACCGCGCGAAATGTGTTTCGTACGACCTGTAAGTTTACCTTACAACGCCTCGTCAAAGTTTGTTTAACGAATCACACGTACAGCATGGGGTGGAAACGCAGCAGTGCGGTGCTTCCATGTGATCCTACATGGAGAAAGCACCGGAAGATGTACCAAGAATATTAGACGGCACATAAGTGCATCGGGTACACGACACGCAAGCGCAGGAAGCGCAGCTTCTTCTCCGCACCATTCGCACAGCTTTACTTTCTCCAGACGACATCTAGCCTCCTCACCTTCATCTTGGCGATGGCGCTGTTTCCTGAGGTAGAAAGGAAAGCACAGGAAGAAATCGACATAGCAGTAGGCGGCGACCGTCTGCCTCAATTTACTGACCGTGACGCTCTGCCGTACGTGGAGTGTGTACTGCAAGAGACAATGAGGTAAGTTCTCCGAATACTGGGATTTTCAGACAAGTCCCTAACTCCGGTGATGATATCCAACTACTAGATGGCACGGTGCCTTCCCGATAGGTGTGCAGAGATGATTCGGAGACCATCGCTGTTGAATATCTAATACTGCTGCTAGGTGTCCCTCATCGGAGTCTGGAAGATGACGTGTACAATGGCATGCTCATTCTGAAGGGGTCCATCGTCTTCGCCGATCCTTTGTCAGTTGCCGATCTAAGTTACATGACTGCGTCATTCATTCAATTATACAGAGCGATGAGCCGCGACGAAAGCGTTTACAAGGACGCATGGACATATTACCCCGATCGGGTGCGTCACAGCATCGGTACTGGACGTGCACATACTATGTCCAGGATCTGCCCTGGCCGTTATCTTGCGGATGCTAGTGTACGGATTGCCATAGCCTCAATCCTCGCAACCTTGAGCATCACCAGGGAGCTTCGTGAAGATGGGCGGGAAATCATTGCGGAAGCTATATCCGCACCGTCTATAACAAGGTGCGTTCACGATCGCCATCCATGCCCTGTTCATCTCTAAAATCACCATTCTACGTCGCATTCCTATATAGTCACCCTAAACCATATCCCTGCGTTATCAAGCCAAGGTCAGTGAAGGCAGAGGCCCTGATCATGCAGATGAAGAGAGAGGCTCTGCCGATCTACCATCCACTTGCTTCGACACCTGCAGTCTTCTCTGTTATTCGAGAGGTTGAAGGCGGCGCTCGAGATGTTCTATGGAGTAGGTATACCAGCAGTTGAAATCGATATGTACAGTAACCTGCTTGCAATTACAAGGCATTCGATTGCCGATGGACGCTTGGGAACCCTGCGGACCTCCCGCCACTCGACGGCCGCTCTCTGCTCCTTGCAACCTCAATGCACCTACTGGCTTTCCAGCTCATACATTCGTATTAGTACTGCGGACAATTGATTTACTCGGATGTGCTTCATTAAAGACCGGGAAACCATAATCCGACTTTATGGGCCTGCCTAAGTGCATGCATGCTGCGTGAAAGGTCAGCACACGGTGCGAGCTGCTTCTACACCTCGATTCGCTCAGTTTCCTCTGCCAAGGTATACACGGGACAATAGTCCGTCAACACTTCAATTCTTTTTGATGGCATTGTATATATACCGAGTAAAGTTTCAAACAAATGAAGGAGAAGCAAATTTGCAAGCAAGATCGAGGTGAGCGATATCTTTCCGATTCCCTAAAGAATCGGTTATCAGTCTGTGCACGTATGGTGGTTGCTGACATAAAGTTGTACCCGCGCCGCATATAGTAATTTTCTCTTAGAATGGTTATCCGCTTTTTTTACTTTCCGTCTTTAGGCCACCCGATTCACTTCGGGTTTCCCGCTTCCTGTTCAAGATTTTCGCAACACAAAGTCGGCCGGCATTCCTTGAAAGTTTATTTCCGATGAAAGACTGGAGGAGGACCGATGGCTAGGGGTGATTGTCTGCATCTCTGCACCCATCCTCTATCTTCTCGCAGCTGCATTCACTCTTCACGTAGATTCTGTATGCTGCATAGATGTGAGTGTGCCTGATACTTCCTCCCTCCTTCTCTCCCTTGCTGATGTCGACACTTGCAGCTTTGGATTTATATCCTCTCCTCATCGTAGACAATAAACCAGCTACTGTGTGGCTCGTCGGAGAAGTCGACTCATCTTGGTTCAAACTTCGCGGTGAACCCTTGGCCGTTGTGAGCATCAAGATCGGTTCAAACACTTCAGATGTTTTGAAAGCATCACGCTTCCAGAGCACCGGGAGTGGAGAGTATGCTTCTGTATGTTGAATTTCTTCTTTTCAACAAATATTTGTTATTCATTGCTTTAAGGTGGAAGCCTTCCAAGACGTATTTGATGCCGACACCAAGTTCGGCCCCAGGAACACTATGAGACAGATGCATGCCACGGACATCCACAAAAATGATCTCGTCCTGGTCGAATGTAACGTCACTCGTTGGAGGGTCAATGCTAAAGGTAAGGCTTCATATGAGAAGGGCTGGACCAAGTGGCGGACAGGTTTCGAACTCGTCACTATAGCGCATCTGTATGATGGGCCCCAGGAGATTAGAGCTGTTGTCCCACGCGCGGAAGTTTCATCATTCATCTAAATAGCCTCTATCTTATATGAGCCTGTGCTACTGCTTGTAATCTGCGCTACCTACGTTTATTTTCTTCCCCACTATTCGCTTGCAGTGATTGCCACCGTAAATTTACATGGCTTGACTACGTGATTTTCTTGTATACTATTACTATGACTACCGCCTTATCACATGTCGCTCTCGCAGAAATCGATGCTGTGAATATACGTGGGGGGACTAGGGAATCGGACATGGCGTGCGAATGCAGCCCACAAGTAAAATGTGAACAGCTACAGTTTCCTATTTTAGTCTGTTAACTGCCAAATTGAGCGACAACTACCGTTGTCGCACCTCGTGGCGCCCGGGCCGATCTCCACACAGCCCGTTCGTCCAAGGAAGCCGTCTGCTAAAATTGTACAACTCTTGCTCTCTCTCTTCCTCGTCTATAGAATGTCGCCACACTGGTTTGAGCGTATACGCGTGAGCAGGAAATAATTCTGTGCGATGTGAACTATTAGGCTCTGGCAAAGTCCACTAGGCAACTCGCGGTCACTACTGGTTTGCCGCCGAGGAATGGAGTAGCAAAGTCTGAAAGATGACAGGGACAAGTATGTCGGCCTCCAACATGCCGCGACGGGACCTCCAAGCAAGGTCAACGACTGAACTAGGTATTGTCTTCTACATTGTACCGGTTCACAGTAGCTCAGAAATTCGGAGGGTGGGTTGTTGCTGCAATCATATCTGCCTCCCTCATGCCTATAGCTGAAGACCAGTCAACGCCATGTATTTTTTTGTTTGTCTTCAATTCCGGCACTTGTCATTCACAGCTGCTTCCCGAAGCTGATTCGGAAAATTATCGTGTCACAAGACTTTCCATCATTTTATTATTGCGGATTCGCAGTGGAGATCCTAAGTCACGAGCCGTCTTTGGCACTGGTGTTAGCAGAATACCACGGTTGCCGTCGGATGCCCGCGCAGAGGATATGTACGCATCACATTTTTCGCCGACAGGTTGCCCTTGAAGTCTCGTTCTGCAATGTCGACCCTCGGTTCGTCAAAGGGCAGTCGCACGTCTGAGAAGGACACTGCCGTTCGCATCGGAGACTGTTCTTCCGCTGTTGCTGTCGAAGTAGTGCAGGAGAAGGACGACGATCTTCTTGCACTGGGCGTTCGGGAGCGCGCTGAAAGGCAATTACTTCGCAAGCTGGACACAAGTTTAATGCCTACCATTATCGTGATATTTATTATGAATTACATCGACGTGAGCTCCCCGTTCTTACCTATGGGTTCAGCGCTAACTGAAATTGATACAGCGGAGCAATCTTACGTCTGCAAGATTGCAAGGACTAACGCAAGATCTGCATTTATCCGGTAAGTCTCCACAACTGTGTCGACACTATATTTCTCATCACACATCACCAAGATATTCAATACTCAACCGTCCTAGCAGTGTTCTGTGCCTCATACTGTCCAGCCCAAATCCCATCTAACATGGTAAGTTTCACGAGTGCGGTTCATTCATTTATTCTGATGCGGAATGCTACTGGTAGATCCTGAATCGTATCTCGAGGTAGCTCGTTTGCTGCAGAATGCTGATTCCTCTCACGGTCGACATATGCAGGCCATCTTATTTCATCCCGGCGTGCGTCATTATATGGGGACTCGTGAGCATCTTGACCGGGGTACGTCAGATTTCCACCATCAATTACTAGTCAGATCTTGACTGTATCTCAGGTCACGAAGAATTACGCCGGGATCTTGATGTGTCGCATTGTCATCGGCTTCCCTGAGGTACCTACCGTTCTTGTCCCGACCGCGGTCCACTTCTCAAGTTCCATAGGCAACATTCTATCCCGGAGCCATGTACCTACTCTCCCGGTGGTACACGCGCAAGGTACTAGATTCAAACCTTGATGCACGGCATCGTTTCCGATTTCAATATTTCGATACAGGAACTTGCTTTCCGAGGAGCTATCATATACGGTGGTCTCCTGATCTCCAACGCTTTCGGAGGTGTCAGTGTTTTTCTCGGCTTCTTCTATGGAACATTCTCTCATGACGAATTTCAGCTCTTGGCAGCTGGCATTCTATCGGGCATGCAAGGAAAATTGGGTATCGCGGCTTGGAGATGGCACGTCATGCGGTTTTCCCTTTGCTAGTTCACTAATTCTTGTAAATCTAGGCTTTACTACATTGAGGTGCGTTCTCAATCTACAACTGCTCGACTGCAGTGAATCGTTTTTTGTAGGGTGCTATCTCCATTTCTATCGGCATCGTTGCGATGTGAGTGGAGACTTCTCCAGCGAGCTTGCTATCAGCATACTGATGTTACGAAAGATTTATCTTGCCAGACTACGTTCGTGAACATCTACTTTCTTCGGGCTCTCTTGTCTGATTGCAGTTAACTGTTGCGTAGCCGCACAATACACGTTGGCTAACCGCATCGCAGTTGAGGCTAGCCCGCGTTCGATTGGCGGAAGATGTAGGAGAGGCGGACGAAGATTCTGCGCAAGAATCGTACGTTCTCATCTGTCTGCTAAGCGTGTAACGTCTCATAGGATTTTGTCCATCGTTCAGAGCTATGGTCGGATTGAAGCTCGCCCTCAAGGATCCGAAAGTGCATATATTTGCCATCATGAATTGCGCTCAGCTGTTGGGACTCGGCTTCATCAACTTCTTCCCAACGTGAATGGCCGCTTGTGCTTTGGCACTAACTTTACCGCTGATGACATACGTCGCAGGATTGCGAAAACTCTTGGGTTCTCAACGACAGTAACTCTGTTGCTTACTGCGTACGTACTTGTCCTGGTGCTGTATATCACATTTCTGACCGCCATTCCAGACCTCCCTGGATTTTCTCCACCATCATGTGCTGCGCGAACTCCTGGCATGCAGGTATGTTTCGCCGCCATAGCAATAGTGTCACGGATATTCAGCGCTTCAGCAACGCTTGTGCAACTTGGAATACGGTGTACAGACAAGACTGGTGAACGTTTCTTCCACCAAGTTACACCATGGTTCGGCGTGCTTGTCGGGTACATCATCGCCGTCTCCACTATGTCAACGGGCGGCAGGTATGTTGCCATGTTCCTCATGGCGAGTGGATATGCAGGTAAGTCTTGGCGGTGGTGCTCTTGTAAAAAGTCGTCTGAATATTGCATCATTGTGCTTGACAGGCTTTGCTTTTACCCTTGTGTGGGTGTCGAGTGCCATACCGCGTCCCCCGGCCAAGCGTTCTGCAGCCATGGGTATCATAAACGGTGTCGGAAACCTTGGCAATCTGTGGGTCCCTCGTGATAATCTCTCGAGGGCACTGCAGTTCGTTGACCACCCTGTGTTTCGCACATCGCTACCTCTATCGTAGGATCAGCTCATACTCGTGGCGAACACAGTGGAGCCCCGACTACCATCAGTCCATGTACATCGGGATCTCCATGCTCTCGTTCAGCACTGTTCTGGCTTTAGGTGGGGGCTAGCTGCGCTTGTTCAATCCTACTCTTTCGCCACCGGTCGCTGACTGTTAATTTTCTGGTAGTCATTCGTTACATGCTCATTCAACAGAACAAGCAGTTGGAGCGAGAAGAACACCAGGAAATCAAGGGAGCGGAGCGAGGACGGATTGAAGAGGCTGCACGGTTGGAGGGCCTGACCTTCGAGGAAGCTTTAGAGCGCAGGAGGGGCTTCCGATACCTGTACTAGACCACCGCAGGTTCGGCCACATGAGCACTGGGCACGCACGATAGGTGGTTGATAGGTAGAGTAAATAGATAGATATGCCGATATAGGTGACAGGGCGGAATGCCGTGGAACGAATACTCGTTGACTCCTCCGCGTATGTCGCTGTACAAAGATAGCTACCCGATTATTCATGCATATTCTGAGTGCCTGCTGGTTTGTAGTAACCGATAGCGAGGACCAATAGCTCCACCGATATCTCACAGGCCCTCGGTCCGATGACATCCCTCGTCCTATAAGAGATCAAGATCGACGAAGTCGCCATCGACACCTGAGGCCTGAGCTCTGAGATCGAGGTGGCACTGAGTACCCGCGAAAGTAGCTCACACTTCCACTATGGCAAGACCTCGTGTTCTGATCTGTGGTGAGCCCGTCTTCTAAGACTTCGCAGGTGCCGCTGTTCCTTCACCGTTCTACGCCCGTGTCCCAGGAACATTGGGCTGGACTCAGCAAGAATGCGCGGACCTCTTCGAAGATGTCGCGGAAGTCATCGTGAGTCCTACGTGTGATTCATTTCGCCGCGAACCCTTGTCCGACGCTATTTATGACAGCAATACGACAGCAGAAATCGCACAGATTTCATCTCTAGCTTCCAGCCAGGGGGGAGATACGAAGATGTCGTTGCATTGTACAAAGACGGAGGGTCCTACTTTCTAGGTCCCTTCGACAGGGAGCTTATCGGCGCCATTTCAAGAAGTGTCAAGTACATAGCCAACATAGGCGCAGGATATGACCAAATCGACACTGACGCTTGCAGAGATAACGGTCAGTTGTACCGCCGTTCGCCCTTCCGTTGTGAGCAACCGACCAATGCACGCGGATCATGTTAACAGGGATCCTGCTCACGAACACGCCCGGAGTGGTAGATGAAGGCACAGCGACTGCTGCGCTCTACCTCATGATCTCTGTTGTGCGTCAGTTTGCCAAAGCAGAGCAGGATATTCGTGCTGGCAGGTGGAATTTCGAGCACTCTGCCGGGTCCGCGCACGACCTGACGGGTCGCACACTGGCGATTCTCGGCATGGGTGGGATTGGGATGCGGCTGGCTGAATTGGCCCGCGCGTTCCCCATGCGAATTGTATACCACAACCGGCGGAAAGTGGAAGATGCGCCGGAGTGGTGCGAATACTTCGGAATCGACCGCCTGGATGAGATGCTCGCGATTACGGACGTGCTGAGCGTGCATGTTCCTCTGAAGGACGACACGGTGGGATTCGTCAACGAGGCGATGATTCGGAGGCTGAAGAAGGGAGCGGTGATCGTGAATACTGCCCGAGGAAAAGTGATCGATGAAGAGGCTATGATTAGAGCACTTGAAGACGGCCATGTGAGTCCAACCGGCTTTACAGACACAACAACTAAAGCTTACCACTCGGACCATCAGTTGGCAGGCGTTGGGCTGGATGTCTTCACAAACGAGCCGGACGTGGACACACGCCTTCTCGAACTGCCAAATGCAGCGCTGCTCCCTCATATGGGTTGTCTTACGCGTGAAACGCTGGAGAAGATGGAAATAAGGGCACTCACTAATTTGAGGGATATGGTAGTAACTGGGTCGGCAAAGGATGTTGTTCCAGAGCTGAGATAGACATTTCTAGACAGGCATTCCAGGACGAAGTAGAACATCTGCGTATGGCGCAAAAGACTAATATTTTAGACAAACCATGCATCCTCATGTATAACTAGTGCTGATTCCTTGAAGAGGATGGAAACAACCTTGACTCATGCATGTGGGTGACTATTAGTGTGACACTCAGTAAGCTTATATGAACGACATGAGTACAAGAACTCACATTGTAAGTTTGACTCCTGGCCCTTCCTGCCCGCACACCAAGTTCGCTAGCAGCCCGTTTCCGAGACCCTGCCCTAACTTTCCCACGCCATCGACGCTACAAATCTTTGCTGTGAGCATTCGTTTTTTCTCTTCGTGCGGCGACACGGCCAACTCTTCCCCATGTTGCTCATGGCTGCTCATCCCAAGCGGCTGTTCGAGTGTCAGGCTGTGTCTAGAACAAACAGCGGACGTCTTAGTACCTGTTGTCGTTTCTGCTTGCCAAGTTTTTAACGGGTGGGACGACGGGTCGGGGGTTCTGTACATTCTTCTTGCGGCATTTCCTGCAGTAGCTAGAAAATTCATATATGCCATGAATTTGCGGTATGGTAGTAATGCCGTCAATCATACAGTTGCCAATTCTGCATACATCTAACATGCACGTCAGATATGGTTACCGCAAGGACACGGATGCGTACTGCAGGTCTGAAACCTCACAAAAGAGGAAGCCTACCGCACCTTTTGTACCCGCATAAGTTTTCGTGTGCATCCTGACTATTATGGATACGATGTACTGCATACAGTAGACTCCATAAGCACAGGCATGACAGTGAGACGCGTGGCATGTGCCTCAGTACCAAGATCCTCGTGCATCTTGAACGAAGTCCCCACATGCAAAATATCGCGAGAGGGTCGTACTCGAAAACCGACCAGCAGTAAGATGAGTAACATAGGAAATCATGTTAGAGACAGAGGAACTTCAACACGGGAAATAGAGAGAAGCGTTTGAGCAAGAAGAGGACCCTCCAGAGCGTGTATGTCCCAGCTCACATTGTATGACTTCCAATCCATGGACGCGGTCATTGCACGGCAAAGTCAGTAGTCAAAGCAATAGGACGCGACGGTTTTTTGCAGTTCCGCTTGCATCGCGCTTGCATCTTCCAAGAGGTTAGAACGTGAGGTGCAAAGCCCATACGGGCGATAGGGAAACGTCTCAGGCAAAGATAGCTAATAGATGTCTTGCCACGCGTAACAAAACGTGCGGAACGCGTTGAACGTCGCTCGAGTCTTCTCGCCCATATGTGGACACAATCGTGCTTACATAATAGCGGTGCCGCTGAAAAGGTTGTCCTTACGCTTGCTTGTACACGACCGCTTACTTCCACCTCCTTTTCTCCCTCTCATCGCCAGTTTTCTTTGAGCTGTCATGACATCCCTTCTCGACCGTATCAGTCTTCCCGGAAACAATGGGTCCGTAGGACCTGTGCGCAGCAGGGGCAACCGCGCAGGGGGAACAAGCCCATACGTGCGCAGCTCACTTCCACCATCCTACTGGACAGAGTCGCTCACATTATCATATCTCTTTCACCTCGCCATACCTCTTCTCTACTTCGCCACACACTCATCTTCCCCGTGTCGTGATTGAAACCGCAGAATCGGAACCAGAGGCCCCCGAAAGGCGACGTCAATGGCACCTGGGAACACGACCTCTATCATGGACCTGGCTCCCAGTCCGACTCTCGCTCACTCAGTGCACGCCTCTCTGCCGCACCCGCGGGTGCGCCAAAAATGAACTTTTCTGGCGCAGACCGTGCGCTGCGCGAGGCGCTGGGGGAGAAAGGGCTTTCCATCAAGGGCGCCAGCTCGAGAGGGAACGTCGTGCAGGTCGGTGGACTGGCGAAGGGAACGTCCGCTGCGGACGTCGAGGTACGTCGTTCTCCGGTTGCTCGGTGTTAACGACGGAAAAGTTTATGCTGTGATTGTGCAGGCTATCTTCAAGCGCTGCGGACCCATCACCAACGCGGTCCTCAGCAGCAACCGCGACTCACCGACTGTGCGTCTCACTTTCAAGCACGAGAAAGATGCACAGGCCGCTGTGACCAAGTTCCACGGGCAGCCGGCCGACGGTCGGTTGCTTGAAGTGAAAATTGTCGGTGGAGTGAACGCAACGCTGAGTGGTCGCATGGGAATTGCCGTGCAGGACGACAGTGTGGACGTGCTTATGGGCGATGACGCCAATTCAAGTGGATCGTCAGTCGCTCTCAGCTGCAGCGATATCTCGGCCACGAGCTAATGTTTCGTCATCATAGAAAACTGCGCTCGGACGATATCCTTGCCAAGGATACCCGAGCGCATGTCCTCGTCGCGCCACCTGGCATGGATCCAACAGAGTACACTCAGCGACCCAATCGCGGTGGCCGAGGGCGAGGCCGCGGACGAGGTGGCAGGCGTGGTGGAGGCGGTACGAGAATGGAAGTGGATGTCTGAAGTGCCTAGCAGTACCGCACCCGTGTGTCATTCTACTTTTTGAGAATATTGGCTGTTAGTTTTACTCCGTTAGGTCTGCCAAGGATGAGGCAGCGATATGATATATATTCCCATGTATTTGTTCCTTCTTTTACTACGCTCTGGTCTGCCTGCTATCGGCTTCCGTCGTTGTACTCTCCCCGCTCCCAATGTTTTGGTAGTTTACCGTAGGTCCCACCGCTCTCCACTTGGGTAAAAAAAACCTCTTAATTATACTGCAATGTCCGTTGTGTGAGAGTCATAAAAATACCTTCCCGGATGGTCACGAGCTCGAGGAATCGTTCAAGCCGCGATTCGAGCAACACGGAAGGACAGATTTGCTTCAGACGTTCAGAGTGGTGCATCGGTTTGGGTGTCCAGCCGGTATGTTTCGACAGCATATGCCACGGCATCAAGTCGAGATGCATTGAAGATACGAGAAATTGTAAACACTCGGGAGATCACAGCGAATAGAACTCTCTGAGCCTCCAGGTCGACAAGTGTCCATCGCCCATCGTTGCCCGCTGTACGGATTGCTTGAAGGCCGAGACCGAGGAGAACAGTGAGATGGATGGGCGCCAGTCAGCCGACGGTGAGGAGACACGTCACAGCGATTACGCGGCGTAACGCGTGCTTGTCGTCTGCACACGTCTCCTGCAGGATCTCCACTCTCTTCGCGGGTCTCTGTCTACCATAGCATCTCCTTCCTGTTTTCTATCGTCTTTTTGATTCACGCAAAGCGTCAGTATTTACGATGGGTGGTGCAGGTACGCACGGCTGAACCTCTATCGCCGTGCGGAGGGGCTGACCGTTTGCCGTCAACTGCCACGCCGAAATAAATCCTTCAAACTTTGCTCGTCCGTGGATATCATGACGAGTAGGATGGCTCTTCCTTTTCTCAGTGCTCATGGCTGCTGGGCTGCTGTTTACGATGGTCTTTTTTGTGCGTAGCCATTCCTGCGCGGTATTCAAACGCCTCCTCCGACTAAATTCGCAGATTATCATGTTCTCCGACCTGGAATGCGATTATATCAACCCAATAGACCTATGCAACAAGCTCAACCAGGTGCGCTTGTGCTGAGCCTCTCCCGCGAGCCTATCAGGCTAAACGGCGCTTCACGCTCTAGTTCGTCCTGCCCGAAAATATAGCACACGCCTTCCTGGCGCTGCTCTTCCTCTTGTCCGGCCAATGGGTAGCGTTCCTACTAAATGCACCACTACTGGCGTATAACATCAACAAGTACGTGGTACTGGCACTTGAACCGTTTCTGGATGCTGATAGCGTCGCGGTCTAGGATACGAAATTCGAACCACATGTACGACGCGACGGAGATATTCCGCACGCTTCCTGGGCACAAGAAGGAGAGCTTTGCGAAACTTGGGTTCTACCTGCTCAGCTTTTTCTACTACTTGTATCGGTGCGTCTCCAGTCTTGCTATCCCGCGCACGCCGTGCTGACATAACGTGTGGTTTGTCCGCTCACTTCCAGCATGATCCTCGCTCTCATCCAGGAGAGCGAGTGATCGCCACCCGCAACCTCTTGATGGATGACCACGTTTACGAACACCGGGGGTTTGGTGGTACGGTGCCCAAGTCGTGGAGGATGGAGGGAGCTGAGCCTCGGCGGAGACAGCGATGGACGTACGGATCTAACAATTATTTGAATTCTGAGCATACTGTTTTCTCCTCTGGCTTCCGACTCTGCCTTCAATGTACTCCACGCTCTCATGACCACTTGACTTTCCGCTACGGCCATTGTCAGCGTGGATGGAGTTGAAGTAATGAGAGTGGAGGGTAGGCTCCCGTCCCGACTTCACACGGAAAGGAGGTGACAAGTAGACTGCTTTCATTTGAGGGGTAAACACCGTCGCTCGCCATTTCGGAGTTACATAAGCAGGTTGATCTCCGAGACGCGTCGCGTCGATCTTGTAGAGCGCGACGCGTTGCCTTCAGCGAGAGGCGGCATCCTCCTTGTCGGTCCTTGTTCCTTGTCGTATAATTTCACTCTAATTAATCACTCTACTATTATTCATAGATCTCTACATGGTTTACTCCAAGTTTGGGGTGTCTGAGGTGATGGATGTTAGGCGGACTGCAACTGTTTGCTCGCAGTATGGGACCGGAGGAGTGCCCGTGTGGACGCATAGCCTAGTGTAGAGGGCTCATTACCGACAGGACTGTGATACGGGTACATATTTCACGAAGGCGTACATGAATGAGGGTAGTCTGCTTTCAAATCAGGGTGAAATGGCGAGCGACGGCTAAAGGGGCGCGTTTGAAAGCAGACCTATATCAGTCCGTCCCTCTCATAGGACTGTAGTCTGCCTTTGGGAGACTAGGTGACAAGTGCTGTATCCGTCCATGATAGACGAACTCATCTAACAGATACGGACCCGCCGCGACACGAATTAGAACACCATGCGTCCTACTAAGACATCTGCGAATACATCTGTGCGCACCAGCCTTTGTGTAAATCAAGGCTACCTCCCAACCTTGAGCGATATCGAGCCCTTTGACGAGGTAACACCAAGCTCCTTCCACCATTTACCCTTCGTATTAGAGCCCACGTCGCGTTTGATGTTCGTATTTCGTGTTTTCGTCATGACCTCGCGTCCTTTATCGCGCTTCTTGACGATCGTCGACAGTCCGGAACTTACGCCCTTCCTCCCGCCTCCCGGGGAATCCACCTTCCGCTTTGAAGGAGTGGGCGACGCAGTTGACCCAGAATCTTCCCCCTCGGTGGGCGCTCGTTTCCGTTTAGCCGTCGAGCGAGTCGTGGTGGAAGGGAGAGCGTCTGGTCTCTGTCCCTTCTCCCATTCTTTTCGATGAAGACGGAATACTGCCATAGTTGCCCTCGCGTCTGTGACCTGTTCGAGATATAGGTCACATCCAGCGCTATTCATCATGCACAAATACAGCGAGGGAGGGTTCTCACACTGGAGTGCTCGCCTCCTTGGATGATCACACCGAGCTCCTGCTGGACCAGATGTCGGAGCGCTATCCGCCGACTGCGAGTGACCTTGTATTTTGCCGCATATACCTGGGTGTCGCGCGTGAGGGAACGCGGATGTGGTAGTAGAAGAGCCTGCGAACCGAATATGAGTTACTGCTTTAGAATCGAAGTGGGAGGACATAGGACTAACCTTCAAATCATTATGAACCGCATGTCCTATTAGTATACGGTCTTTCAGCAACTCTGCAACTTGTTTTTGCACCTCTGGGAACAGCTTTGCTGTGAAGTATCCAGACACATATCAGCGGCACACACGAAGGTCAAGCATAAATGACGGACCGTTGACCATATCACTCGCACGCACGCCACTAAACTCCGTCCGATAATCCACAACATGCTCCCGCTGGCGCACAAAGACGTCTAGCTGTACCGCTCCATGGTAGTTCACAAGACTAACGCGCGCAAGTGAAGACTCCTTCCCCTCGATCCCGACGCCCACCATCTCGCAATCAAGTGCGAGGTATTTCCCAGGTCTGGCGCGTTCGTTAGGCTTATTGATCGCGGCTAAGGCAAAGAGGAGGTTGACTCACTGTTGGTGGGCAGAAGAATACTCGAGCTCGCCTGAGATCATCTTGCGTAGTGCGGACAGAGACTCTCCGTTGACTACGGAGTCCGGCAGCTCCAGTAGTTGTTCTTGGGTACGACCGCGCGCAAATGATGTTCCCGCCGCTGCGTAACGAATCTCCTCCACAGTTTCACCATCGGCATTGCTCGTGTGCCCGATCTTCCGCCGTTTCCTCGCACTTGCGGCAGACACGCCGTCGTTCTTCTTGCCAGACACTGGTAACTTCTAACGCAAGTAATCCATGAGCTGACCAACAAAGTGCCGATGTATCATACCAACCTTCTGCAGGGCGAGCCAGTTAGACGAAGGTCCCTGTTCAACTGCTTTCATGGATGTAATCGTGAACAGTGTGCGCCTTGCGCAGACTTGGACGCATTTATTTCGCCGATCAGATCTGACTATCACTATGCCGGCGGCATCTCCAAATCAGGCAATTGTGAATGTTCGGCAGCAGCACCGAGCACGCAATCTCCAGGGGAGTCCCCGACTTTCGCTTCAGCCGGTCACCTTCCAGTTCTGAAATATGAACACCTCCACGTTGAACGAACTGCTGGCAGGCAGCGTCGGCGGTGCCGCGCAAGTGCTGGTCGGCCAGCCCTTCGACACGATCAAAACGCGTGCACAGGTCGCTCCCAGTTCAGTGCTCCGTTCCTTTCAGTGTGCGACGAATGGTAATCTCATGAGGCTATTGCGTGGCTAGAAGAGATGTTTGTGAGTATGTTGCTGCTTCTCATGATCGGAGGCATCATATGCTGAGTGCGCTGCGCTGCATGCCTTGGCAGAAAGGTCCCATGGACATTCTCATTCAGACCGTTCGGAAAGAGGGCTTCTTTGCGCTTTACAAAGGTATGAAGCATGCTGGACACTGTGTAGTACCTAACGTCAAACAACGGGTTAGGAATGGCTAGTCCACTCATCGGCATAGCGGGAGTCAACTCTCTGCTCTTCGCGGCGTATGGGGTTTCGCGACGCCTCATCTCTCCGTTTCCACAGTTGTCTCTCAAAGAGATCGCAGCAGCGGGCGCCATGGCCGGAGCAATAAACGCTGTACTTGCTAGTCCGGGTATGCGCGTGGGTGCTGCCCCAGCAACTTGATGGTGTTCACCTAAGGTCTGTTGCAGTGGAGATGTTCAAAGTTCGTATGCAAGGCCAGTATGGTGCCGCGTCCGACAAGCGGTTGAGGGCCGTTGTGAGCGAGATGTGGTCGCAATATGGCTTCAGGCGAGGAATCATGCGCGGCTACTGGGTACGCCAAGCAAACCCGAGCCATGATCTGATTGCTAAATTATTCTCCTGCAAATTATAGGTGACAGTCGCTCGAGAAATTCCTGCATATGCTGGGTGCGCATTTCATCGTAACAGCGCGATCGCGTCCTAACGTGTATGCTCCGATTAGCTTCTATACAGGTTCGCGGAGTTCGTCTATCTAACGAATGCAACCTCAATGATCATACTTTCACCGCGTCAGCGTTTGAGTTCTCTAAGCGTCAATTTGCCAAGACCTATGGCACACAGCTTCCAGTGTGGGCACTTCTTACCAGTGGAGCAACTGGAGGGGTCAGTTATCGAGCATAACCTACCGCTGTATTACTGATTTGGCCCCAGATCGCCTACTGGCTAGCTTGCTATCCACTCGGTGAGTATCGCTGTCGTCTTCGGAGATAACTTGGTGGACGGAATTACCGGCGGCCACGGGTTTGCTGCAGATGTCATCAAATCGCGCGTTCAGCTGCGGACAACGCCTCCCAGCGGCACACCTGTGCAATACATAGCGCACGAATTCAAAACTATTGTGGTGGAATCGGGAACGTAAGCCTATTTCCGAAGGCTGTCCACCGTTCACTTATCCATCCATTCGACTTCGATTCTGATGAAAATTTGTTTGCTGTAGCGCTGGTTTATTCCGAGGCTTGACTCCTTCACGTACGTGTACATCATCTTCTCTTGATTATCGGATTGCATGAGCTTACTTTTCTATTGAATGCACTCCAGTCTTGCGTAGGTTTGTGGAATTAATCAAATCTCTATTACCGCCGTCATAACTGATATTTCCGTTTCCTTCAGTATACCTGCGGCTGCGAGCACCTTTGCTGCGTTTGAGTTGACCAGAGGTAAGCGTGCCCTTATGCCAGCAAGGTCGTTTATAACAGCATCCTCAGAGTACCTGCGGGAAATAACAGGAATATGAGAACACGGGGATCATACCATGCGGCCAAAGACATTTGGATATCTTCATACTGCCTTCTATCTGTTGTTGATCTACTATTGTATGCTCTAGGTTGTGCACGATGTCATCCTGGTGAGATGCGATTGAAGAAGTATATCCATCATACTTCTGATGGAGTCACTGTGTCACGAAGTGATCCCACCGCGCCCGTGCCCAATACCCCTGTGCATGTGCTCATGCGGTAATGCTCTCGGAGACGAATCGTTGTTGAAACTGCGGTTATGGCGCTGTTGGATATCATCAAGCTCGCGGGCACTGGGCGACTACTGGGTGCTTTGATTCTTCATTTTTATCATCTTCTACCGGTGATCCTTTCGGGGGAAATTCATTCGTAAGGGGTGTAGTTGTCGATTCATACTTGGCCGTCCTCACTGTGGAAGCACTGGCATCATGCATGCGCCCATCCCTGATGCGTTCTTGATTCCCCATCTGCTGATCAACGTCACACAGGTTTCTCTCTTGGCTCAACTGGTTCGGCTATCTTTGCGCACCTGAGCAGCGGTTTCACCAGGATGGTTAGACTCACCAGAGTGCTCAACATGCTCAAGGGAATCTGGTCGACTGGGATGGCTGTCGGCCCATCTTGACCGGGATTACCATTTATGGGAAATTTCTCACGCCTGCTATTTCGTCTTGCACTCTCACTCCTCAGCTCCTGTTGAACGCTGTGATAAAAGTTCCGAGCATATGCACCGCGTCAACGCCCATACCGTGCGCTGAGCGTCATGTCTATGTGGTGGAGACACACGAGAGCATGGAGAGCACGTTGGCCATGCCCCTTAGATGCGGACGGACATGGTAGGTTATCAGACCTGCATGCAACATTGCAGCACTCGTCCGACCACCGACAGATCACTACTCTTCAATGGAGCCTGCCAATTGTCCAAACTGTGCGACGGATGTGAGTTATGCACGCCCTTGTCACGTCAGAGAAGTAGGAACGAGCGCTAATCACATTCTGGGCAGTCCCCATCTTCCTCGGAAGGCAGAGACTATGATCGCACCATGAATTTCGGGGTGGTGATGGGCGTATTGGGTGGAATGGCTTTGGTAATGCTGTTCGTTCTCATCGCCGTCCCACTTGCCAGATGCCGCAGGAGAAGAACGGGCGTGAGCACACGGGAGGATGTTGAGACCAGTTTTCTCACTTCCCGGCGATCTTCCTTCCGCAATCAAAAGATGCCGTCCGGACCGGACGCTTTTCTGCCCCTCATTGATCCAGTCTCGACTTTCACCTGGTCAGATCTCCACACAAAGAACTTGAGGACAGACTCGATGGATCAGGCGGCTACTTACTCCTTCCCCACCGACAAGGCCCCCACTTCGCACAAGAGCCGGGGGCGACGTTCGTCGTCGGTGGAGGATGAGATGGCGGAACACACTGAGGACCGTGCGTGTCCGAGCCACACAGTGACACCTGCCGTCCGCAGTCCGACACCACCGGGACTCCCGTCCAAGATTGACGCCAACACAGCTGCAGGCAGGCGCTCACCCTCTTCCGTCTGTCCCTTATCTACCGACGCCGGTGGCGCGATCCCGCCAATGCTCCCGTTGTCCCCAGTTTCGCCTGCATCTACGACTCCTGTGAGGAGTTCTAGCCGTTCTAGATGGGCTGCTCAGAAACCGGGCATGGATCCCGTTATTGAAGACAGTGGCGATGTGTCTACCCCATCGCGCCGGTTACCCTCACCCCCTACCTCACCTGACCAAACACAACCCAAGTGGAAGAGTGGACGGCGTGCTAGCCTTACGAGTACATCGTCAACGCCTACGACCCTGCCATTCCGTCCTCGCTCTGGGACTGGTCCTTCGTTACCTCTGACATCGGCGTTCAAAACAAGCGTTCGATCGTCCGCATCGCAGCGGTCCGACACTCATCGTTATGCTTCGACCTCCACCTCTCCATATCCCCCGCCTCGATCGCGTCCCAGTTCAGTATCGATGGAGGTTACACAGCAGACCGCTCCAGAAGTACCAAGGCCCGTCGACGAGTTCCGACGGTTGAGTACGACCGACATACGACATCGCCATCCTCCTGAACGGAGTATTTCCCCTGGATCCATGCACTCATCGCGCGCATTTGTCCGCTCTTCCGAGGCCGGATCATCACGGTTTAGTGCACACACACGAGGCGCATCGCTGTCATCCCTTGCGCCCTTCTCTCCCTCTCCCTTGAACTCCGCTATTCCACCCCCTCATATACCGTACTCCACCACCGGTAGGCGGTCGCAACCGCCCAGTGTGGTTTGGAAGCAGCAGCTTCCCCAGCCCCAGCCCCAGCCCCAGCCCCAGCCCCAGCAGCCTGCGTTGGTCAAACGGAGAGACAGTTTGGCGCTGCGCCCATTGCCACCTTCCGCATTCATCGCCTCGCCGCCCAACAGTCCGCCTCGTGCTCCCTCAACGCGCAGCAGATCTAACAGCGTGAAGACGGAAAATAGCCTCCCGTCGCGCCTCCCTCCGTTTGATCCGTTACCGCCACTGCAATTTGACCGCAAATTTCAACCCGAGGACAGGGAGGGTGTGGAAAGGGAGTCTGTATCATCCCATCGTGAACATGCACCATAGAGTCTCGGGTGCCGTTTCACGATCTTTGCATTATGGCCTATCTAAACTCATTCACGCCTTACTATTTGTATCAAAGCAACCGGTGAAGTGGTGTATTATGACATATTCTTGCAGTCCGTCTCCAACCTCAGACACCGGATAGGTCGAGTCGAGTCGAGCACCTGCAACCATGCGGTAATTATAATAATATCCTTAATCTATGGTTTACTGTACATGCTACGTTCAGACCTTGGTGTCGCTCGAGTCGTCCGGAGGCCCGTCCTTCCACTTTTCCCACATTTTCGTACATACATTGCGTGCAAGAACGAATGGCTCGGGAGTCCACGCCTTCTCCCATATACGCTTCGCAAATCCCCACTGCTCACCTGAATCTACCGTCTGGTACAGGAGGCCGAGCACCTTGTGTGTGGGTGTAAGAAGGTTCTCGATCTGATGTTGGAATGGCGGTACTGAGGAGGGAAATGGTATCGGAATAAGAATGGATTGGTCGCTGTACACACAGATGAGTTAGCAGTAAAGATACGAAGAATATGAAGGTGCTTACGCGAGATCTGGGAACGGCTTCTGCGGAATGTGTTCAACATTGTTGAGCTCCGGGGGTACGTCCGGGAGAGACTCCAATTCCTCATGCCCAGCAGATTGATGGATCGCTTGTTCTCCCCCATGATGCGTCCACTTCTCGTTCATTTCCTCCTTATACCGCTGCCACTCCGCCTGACGTTCTATATCGCACATCATCAAATCCATCCTCTCCTGCGCCGCCCAGCGACTCTTGCTAGACCACAGATACCACCCCTCGTTCCAATGCCGCACCTCGGTCTGTCTCGGTTCGTTCTCCTCGTTTGGTTGTCCAGAGAGCATTCCAGTCAAGCTCGGCGTCCTCTGACCTTCCGGAGGTAGAGGATACTTCATTTGGGCAATTTGTTCTTGTCCTTCGTGCACGGAGATAATCCGCTGGACTTCATGGGAGAAGACACGACGAACGCATATCGTCCGACACCAGGGTTCGCTTTTATCCAGTCGTCCACGGATTGATTGCGAACAGTAAGTGAAACACCGCTCGTCCACCTGCGGCGAGAATCTCCCTGTGTACAGTCAGTACACTAGCCTACATCGAGATGAACCCTTCGTACACACCTTTCGGGGGTCGTATAATCTTGATACTGGGAAAGGCAGTCCACCAGATTCTGAGTGGTTGCGGCGGCGGCGAATTGGTGTCTATCGGAGACGAACTGGAACCTGAAGACGGAGACGATGGAGACATGAGGGACAACGGTGCAGTCCGAGTCCAGCAAGCTGAGTGAGTAAGTGTAGACGCTTACGCCACCCCGGCTGCTTCAATCCAAGCGGAGTTGGAATCTCGGGATATAGTCACAATTCTTTTACTTTGCGGTTTCTTCACTTCGCGCCGTCTGAAGAATCGCCATCGCAGCTCACGCACAGGGAGTCGCCTCTCTTATTCTGGCTGTGGGGAAAGTCCCCGGAGATGCAGAGCATGTCCTCGTCCATTACGGAAAGCGGCCGCTTCTAAGCACGGCGGAACGAGGACGAGGACGGTGAGAATGTCAATGCTTGGTTCTTTACTGCTAGAATCCTAGCTCCTTCTCGACCACTCTGCCGTTCAATTGATTTGCTGGGTATCCTTTATTGCCCCGAGGTGCGAAGACATGAGCACCATGGATTGCTTGGATATCCGGTGGGTCGTTGTACGATTTGTTGCTCATAGACAAAGTTATGCGATTGCGGACCTTTCGAGGAACGTCAACAGAATGGGGCTCACTCTCATTCGGCGCGATTGTTGACCATTATTTTTTCCTACCCTGAACACTTCGTGGTTCACCTTGTAATTTCTGCCGTTATGTTTGCAGTGAGTATTCTTCCTATCTCACACTTTTCCTCGTGATGTGCCTTCATGTGGATCTCTTCAAGGTGTATACATTACCTTCGGGCTAGGCTCCAGAATTTTGACACTCCTGAATGCTTCACAATCATTTTTTCTTACAAGCTGACTCGGTTCTCCAGGGATGCTATGCAATTGACGCGGAGAGTATCTGGCTGTGGGCTTCCTGGTTTTTGTCTTCATGCCTGTATCTCATTGCGAAATGCAGTGAGTACATCTGTGTTGTCTTCCTTCGTGTTTGCCTTGTCCGTAGCTCATGTCGGCTAGAAATACCACCATTGCATAATCCGTGTTATTTAATAGTGAACGCAGACAATCACTAGTCTTGAGCTGTCTTATCTCGCTCAGGCTGCATTGCGGCAGTACTATCGTCACCCCAGTATTGCAATCTGGTCTAGTTATGCAATTTCGCCGTTTTGCCGCATTTTGCTGCACTAAAAATCACAAAGAAATATGTAATAGATGTGCACAGTCCCAAATACCTTGGCTGTGCAACTTGGGAGTCAAACTCAAAGGAGAAGAGTGCGAAGTCTCTGAATTGCAAGTTTGGAGGACTCAGGCGTGACAGTGAAGTGTGCCATTTAAAACTCCGACTAGAGGGAGAACAAGGGAACGGCACGTCGGCAAGCGTGACGATCTGTGACCGATTCGGCGCTCTTGCGTGCAAATGAGTCTCTTCACTGCGTTCGGTCTTGGAGTCGCACAACATCAGGAAAAATTGGCAGTCACACAGAAGGTAGCTTATATGTTGTATATTTGGTCCAAAGAGGTTCGAAGGAAAACGGGCCCGATTTGAAGGAACGGTGACAGAGATGCAATCGCAATTGCATTACTGGGGTAACGATAGTAGAACGAAGTTGAAGTTGTTGAGTATGGCTAGATGAAATGGCCATGTGCAATCCATGCTCCTTCCTCGTGTTGTTCCGCTCAACTTCGGCGAGGTAGAGTCGGACCGGCGTGCGCTAGGTGAGCGTTAACATCCACATTCGATGTCCTGGTACAGTAGAGTAGTAGATCACATTTGTCTCACGTCAGTCTCCTTCCTCATGGCCGTGTGCGCTGCATGCTCACCACGGAACGCATCTCCATGCGACAAACTCGGGGCCCTGCATGACGAAAAGCGTGCCCCTCATCAAAGTTGGATTCGCCTGGCGACAGCGGCCTGGTGGCAAGTCCTGCACCGCATCGCCGTGAGCTGGAGGTGGACGCGTGTCTGGTGCAATATGATGTCTCGTACTCAAGGCGAGTGCACTACGCTTCAACCATGTCGATTTCCTTTGCACCGCTTTTCAAGATCGCTTGGAAACTCGGGCTGGCACTGGCTGCCTTCAAGTGCGGGTTCTACATCGCGAGTCACTTAGGACGTGCTGGCACCATTCTACGTATTCGTTCATTTCCACCGACCGTCTCACGACACGTTATCCTCCAGGAACAAAATGTGCAGCTCAAGGCGGAGATCGAGGACTCCAAGCGGTCTATCAAGGATCTATTGGACCGGCTCCAGCACGAGAAGGAGAGGGCGAAACATGAAGTCGAGCGGCTTGGCCAAGAGATAGATTTCTGGAGACGGATGGAGGGGTTGGCCAGGGTCGGAATCCAGACAAGGGATGAGAAGTTGCAGCAGCAGCAGGTCTTACTTGCCGTGCATTGCGACGAGCTGCGGGTCCTCGAGGCGCGGTTACTCAACGTGACATCCCTTACTCACGAGCAACTGCATATGCAGGAGCGAGCGATCAGGGAGGCGTTGCTAGATAGGCAACGTACTGAGCTCCTGAACGCGCACAGCTATCTCAGCCCCGTAAACACCGTCTCCGACTCAGAGGTTGTCCAGATGCTCCGGAGTCTGAACCTCGAGATCTCTCGGACGGCCACTTTTCTGACAGAGTCATTCCGTGCCGAAGATCGGCGAGATGGTGAGGGTATTACGCGGGCGTTTGAGCGCACGAAGGAGTCAGTTGGTCCGGTGATTGCAGAACTACTGGAATCTTCAAGACAGCAGGAAGATCCAATTCTTGTGCATTTTGCTCTTCAAGCCAGTATCGCTAGCTTTTCCGCTGGGATAATCTCTGCATGGGACTTCCAGCATCAGAGCAATTCCATTTTTGCCGGCATTTACAAGCAAATGTTGAAGTCGGGTGCGTGACAAGAAGTTGTGGTGGCTACAACGCTGCTGACGCTTTGCTGTAGAAACGCAGAATATTGCAGGGCGCTGGCGCGCATTGACACGGCAATATTCCAAACTGAGGTTATACAATGGCCGTGATTTGTCCCCAGGTTTCATCCATCAACTCGCCGATCTCTTGTGTAACATTATGGTACTTGCAGGTGCTCGTATTGACACCGAACAAACGCTCCAACTTGCTAGCGAAAACTTCCAAAATATCGTGCACCTGGCGCTCGACATTCAGCGGATCATTGGGGAGGACATCACAAGTTGCGACCTCGAGATTCTCCTTGTCCCAGGCGAAGAATTCTTCGATCCGGAGAACATGGAGGACGTCTATGGCGGAGAGATCCTGGACGATGATGGCTTGCCACCTGTCTTCTGCACGTCGCATCTTGGCCTTCGGCGACACGAGAAGGCAGAGGCGGACGTTGGCGACGATATTCACTCGACGATTTTATTGAAACCCAAGGTCGTTCTGGAGGCGTTCGTATATGAGCTGATGGGGGCAGAGGAGGAAGAGGATCCCGACGACACCGAGGATGCTTGATGGAGGTGAGCAAATCATTGCATAGCTAAGTCGTCTGACTGAAAAGAGGCATTCAAGCAGTTTGGTCGACCTATTATCCTGCACGAACTACTTATTGCTTCAATAATATGTGCTTTCCTTCTACTCCCTACTAGCAGTGGTAAGACAAATTCCGTAGTAATGACGAACTCGCAGCAGCACAATGTCAAGTCGACACCCTCACCCTCAGTGAAGTTATTCACGTCCTATCCTGTCCGGAAAATCGTTGGTGGTCCCTTATAATTAGTAGGTTTTCTACTTCGACGTCTACTAAGAGGCTACTGGATTATTACTCCCGTGAAGCAGTGAACGAGCTTGATACTGGCTCTCATATGGGAATTTCATTTCGCATGAGACGCGGAAGAATGGATTGTTCGTGCAGCCACCGACGCGTTGTAACATTAGGTTGGCCTACTTTCGGAGTTTTAATTATATCAAATACTTTTTTAACTCCGAACAGTCGAAATTCAGCGGTCTCCTGGCCATTGTCACGCCGAGTTACATTGGATCCTTGACCTCAACGTTGAAGTTTGCATCCTTGTTTGGGAGACGTGTATGCCCAACATGACTACTGATTCCCGCATTGCCACTGTCAAGAAACTTCTAGAGGACCCCGATCTTGACTACGCGGACCTCGACGTCCGCCGGGACGTGTATGGTGTGGCTCGTTTCTCACTTACCGTCGATCCGCTCTTTGACATAGGTCACCAATAGACTCGATCACATATGATATAGTGCCTAAAGCGCCACGCGATGCTTGTCCCCCACTGCGTGTTTTGATCTACGCAATTCGGAATATCATGGAACCCTCTTTCGTAGAGTCTCAGACCATGGATCTCATCAACCTTCTGGCCCACGTTAACGTTATTCGAACATTTGCCGTCGACAAAGCTCAAATTGTTCTCCAGTGGAACAGAGTCTACACACACACTGTAACATCGGAAGTTCGTACTTTGTCACTTAACGATTGCGACCTTCTGCATTCCCTCATCGTCGAACATGAGGAGGTGGGTAGAATCTACGGCAAAATCATGAATGCCTGTTTTCGACACGTAAGTGATTCGTTCCTTGTCGTTGCATAACCACACTGAGCTCGGTGCTTGTAGGATATCTACTATTTACTTCTCTCTGGCGATGCCAGTCAGACTAAGTCTCGTTTGAACTTGTACTTCCCTGGCCAATTTCCTCAGTTCGCAAGCAGGACGCCACCCGACGATGCGGCGATTCAACACCTCCATCAACATGATCTCGCTTCTGAAGATCACCAAGTGACGCGAATGACCGGCATGCATTGTGCCAAGCTTGTCAATGATGCCACTCGCTTCATGCGAGACCCCAAGAAATTCTGTGCAGAGTTAGGGTGAGTGCTTCACGGGAATTGACTCATCCGCCACAACAACCCCATGTTTTGGTACATTGCTGATGTCGTTGGATCCAGGGTACCGCTCGGTTCTTTCAGCGCGATGTTCCCACCCCCGGACGAGTCGGTCCTTATCGATTCAGTGCGATGGTATCTCCAGAGGGTGGATCAGCTGGTCTCGGCATTAACACAACTGTTTCCCGGACAATACGTGGACAATTTTGACCAGCAGACATAGGAATTGTATCGTGAAGTCCTCCTGTGTTACTCGGTGCAAGTCTGTTCGTCTGAGTGTTCACTGAATCGTCTCCTAGCTCATAACGTTTTATAACACGGTGAAAACTATAATTGACTCGCAATCATACGCTCATACACTCTATCCTGATCGACGTACAAAATCTCCAGACTGCAGCATACTAGAACAACTCTGTGACTAAACAGGGTGGCAAGCCGTTGCGACATATTACAGAGAATAGTCCAGGATAAATCAGACATCAGCGTCCGCAAGTAAACCGAACATCCCTCCCATAGCACTGAAATCTTTGCCTCGCTTAGATATCCCACTCGGCAACGGTGCCGTTGCGAGGTCTTTGCCTTTCGTCTCCTTCCTAGCTTTTTTGCTTCGCGGCTCCGCGAACGCGGTTTGTTGTGCCTCGATTGAGGCTTCCCACATCTCCTGATCGACGGTTAAGGCAGCTTCTTTTCCGATCGCCGTTAGTAGCTCATGGAATCGCTGCCCGGAGAAGAGATGTGCCGGGCTAGGAACTCGATCGTGCAGGAGCAGAATCTGAGCAAGATGCTGAATAGATTCAAGCGCCGCGGACACTTGTGCCACGAGCTGAACATTCCTCTCAAGAATTGGAATAGCAGATTGAGGGGATTCGGGATGGGCTTGAGTTCCGGATGCGGTCCACGAGAACGCCCCCAGGAATGCCTTCGCCTCATGTCTGGTCCATCTCTCCTTGTCCTTCTCCCTATTACCTCCACTCTCTTGCGCGCGCGTATGCATGCATCTGACAACCCAGCGAACAGCGAGCACGGCCATAAGGACCTCACCCCTCAGTGTATTGACACGGGTCACGTCCGACTGCAGCATTCGGAGGAACAAGGTCAGCCGCGCATCTTCGGGCCACAGCTGCAAGGGCACTACGAAACCGCCCTCGTCGGTCATCGAGTACTGCCCGAGCACGTCCAATAGCGAAGGAACAGAGACGTCTTCCGGTGCCAGTCGAGTCCCCCGTCGCGAGTACTCCACCACGATCTTTTGGCGCCCTGTTTTCGAACTTGGCAAAGATACCACAAGAGGCCGGGCTTCTGTCATGCCATCACCCGCGTACTCGTCACCTGAGACGTCAAGCTGCTCCAATGCGCCCCGCAACGGTGCGAGTAGGTCGTCATCTTCTTCTTCCACCACATCCACAAGCTCGTCGTCATCATTGTCAACTTCCTCGTCCTCTTCTTCATCGTCTGGCCTCACTGGCAATCCTAGGCCTTCATCCAGGATCGCATAGCCCAATTCTCTGATGGAACGCCCGACGCTGCGCCACACGGTTTCCTTGTCAGGATCCTCGAGGAACTGTCGGGGCCAGCTAGTCCCTGTATTCAGAATATCTAGCACCCGTGGGCTTACTGCACCGCGACGATATGCACTGATGTACAGCTCAGAAAGGCGAGCACGGAAGTTGTCTGCATAAATTTCGCCGCTGTGATCTTCCTCGTGAACCGACCCACTTGCTGATGGGGCGAGGCTGTTCTGAGCACTGACAAGGCGCGAGAGAGATGCAAAGAGTGGACATTCTTCGCGAGTATGCACTACGCATACATTGGATGCCCAGATTGTCGCACTGTCGCCAAGTTCCTGTCCATGCACGCCATCTTCTTCCCCATCCTGGACCTCATTTTGCAGCTCAGATCGAGGAATCGCGTACTGGAGCGTCGCTTCTACAATGCGCTCCACGATGGCCTCTCGCTCACCCATAGCCATGCTATCTGTGGGACGGAGGAGCAGCGCAGTCACAGCGGCATCGATGAGTTCTATTACACTCCCTACCTGCTTCCTTGTCTTTTTTGGAGCGGTAGAGGAAAGGGCTGCAGAGAGAATTGAACGCAACGTGTTTGCGACTCGCATGATGCGCTGGACGAGGGTTAATTGTCGTTCAAAGAATAGATGCTGCAGGTTATTCATTCTGCTACTGGTGCGCTGAGGGGACCAGTCGACATCCATCCCCGTGAAATCATTCCCCACCAGTGCACCAAGAAGAGGAAGTAACGAGACTGGCAGTTGCAAATGCTCGGCCAAAGAAGCAGGGGGGTAAACTGTAACTGTCAAAACGACTTCTGATACAACTTCGAGGGGATCATATGGAGGAACGATGCCATTTCCTTCGCGATGGTTGGCAGCAGCGCGCTTGCTTGCCTTTTTCGTGCTTCGCACCGGTCGAAATCCACCGTCATCCATGATATCAACGTCTCCGTCCGCAGAAGAATAAACACTGTCGGCGCGGGACACAGAGGGGGACAATGATATTGAGCTCCAGATGACTTCGTCCATAGGAATGTATCCCTTATATCCGTCGGTGTTGAGCACCACGTAATCCGAGTCGTGGCCTGTGACATACGCGTTCAGACGCCCTGCAAGCGCAACAGCATAAGGATCGCCCTCTTCATCTGCAAAATGCACTTCGATCACTCGTGCACTTTCACAGTTTTTGGCAGCCGCGATGCCCAATAGAGTGCGAACGCAGACAGAGTATGAAAGAGGGGGGAGTGTAAAGGTCTCACGGAGGAAACGGCGAGATGATCGTGCCGATGCAGAGGTGCGGAAAAATAGTAGGCCGCCCTGGTTCGTCTGTGCCATGCGAGACACTATGGTCGGAAACTTCACCGACGGATAAGGCCCTGGACAATCTAATTCAGTATTGGTATCGTACACCAAGGGTGTAAAATGAAAGCGGCGTTCAGCGGTAACTCGATGACACGGTGCAGGGAGCCTGGCGCGGGGAGACGCACCCCCTCCTCTTCTCTCAGAGAGCAATTGCGTATATATGCCGTTTGAAGGGCTCGTCGAATTTATTAACAATAAAAGGGATAATACACGCACCGTCAAAGACAAAATATAGGCGTAATCCTACATTAAGCCATCCCTCCACGATTCGCGAAATTATGTTTGAGAACGCCTCGTATTCACCACCGTACACCCATGGCAAGTCTGCGCAGTTCATCACCTCGTAGATGAAACTTGCATCAGCGGAGGATCATCAGAGAATTAGCGCAGTAAAATGCCGACAAATGGTCAAGCCGAGGCGAGTCAGCATGCACAAGAAATCACTCAGGGATATCGTTCTACTCACGACCAGCCATCTACCACTATGGGTGTTCGGATACGGTGATTATCACCACCGCTGCGAAATTCCAGGGTGTCGGCGAGCTTTCCCCTGTTCTCGCGGAGGTAGGTGGTGAGCCCATGGATGCCCATGGTTAGAAGGTCGCTACGCTCGAGATATCCTTCGCGCCGACGCTTCCCTTATCGGGCATGCACTCGATCGAAATACGCGGCGCTAAAACAAATTTGGGCCCACAAACTGCTGCATGTCATCTTTCCTACCGCACAATAATGTTTATATAATTGATAGCAACGACAACAACAGAGAAACGTCCTTCAAGCATATAAATTTTACTACTTTTATTCTCGATGGACCTGGAATGGTGGGCGCTGTCGATGTCTCCTGTGGATAGACGGGTGAAGGAGGGGAAGTGGAGATTCACCGACGAAGCGACTCCGGGAGTGTTTCCAATGGCAATATGAATAAATCATCGACGGAGTTCGAAAGTCGCGAAGGCAAGGTCATAGCCACCGAATTCATAGTTGATCTTGTCCGTGCGCCGGTAGATACCTCTGAATCCACCAGCCGCTCCTGCCTCTTCGCTGTCCGCATCAACAACCTTAGAGCTGGGGAGCGTGAGAGCGGCCTTGAATGCCCTCTGCGCCGCCTCCACGGCGCTCTCCCCGTGCTCCTCCTCTGCGGTGTCATTATCCTCGCTCGAGATGAAGAGCGTTAACGTCAACCTGCCAGGCTGGAAGATGCTGACGACGCGCCCGATGAGTGTCTTAAGATCGGGGATGCCACTGCACTTCTCGGTGGGGGAAGTGGGCAGCGGGACGTTGCATTCGAAACTGGCGTACGACCAGCCCTCCTCGGGTGTAACATGGATGGTGTAGTAGCCCTCACCGCTGTGCGCAGGATCCACGCCTGCGTTCTCGCGCCATTTGATAAGGGCGTTGCACGAGTAGCCGCAAGGTGTGAAGGAATATCCATCGAGGGTGGTAACGTCGGGAGGGAATAGCTCGGATACACCCAGCTCGGATGACAGTGCGCTGGCGTGCTCCGAAGGTCTGATCTCGGATGCATCAGAATGGTCGTAAATAAAGGGACGGCATGCTGCGGGTGCCAGATGCGTCATGAGTATCTCGATGGTATAATCCTGCTCGACGGCATCCGCTGACCCGGACTCTGGCAGCTTGAGGACTGGTTCGCAGCTTTCGACGTCAGGAAGAGTCTTCAGGTTCTCGATGGGTGACCCTGAGGTTGTCTTCAAACCATCATCGCCTGGAGTGGTAATGTAGAGTAACCAATGGTCGCCGTTCACTTTGCCAATAGTGTAGGCCGCTCCATTCGGAAATATGGAGTCGAGAAACTCTATCTCCGCCAGCCAGTCCCTGTGAGGACCAAGTTGGCGCTCAGGGAACATGAAAGTCTTCCGGGAGTAGAAGCACTGGTGCACGGAAGGGAGGGAAGCGTGGTCGCGTGCGATCTCCAGGATGCGCGGAACGCCCAAGAGATTAAGAGTTGTTCCACAAGTCTTAAGTATGATGCGATGTGGGGAGACGAAGAAAGAAGATTCACTGTGTTGATAACCGCGAATCAGCTACTATCCTCCCAAACACGGTACCAAAGGCGTTGCAACCGAAGACACCTTCTGTGCGACACGTTTTAGAAGTAGCGTGCGATATACGCCATATTTTCAGCACTGAGCGATATTTTAATTCAGGTGCCACGGACTCTGTCTGCCGGAGCGAGACGTATTTGAGTTGGCACAGGGTACGGTCGACTCTGTGTTCATTGACTCCAATGGTGCATCGTGCCCGGACGTTGGGAGACAATGACACAGAACAGTTGCGGCGCCATGATGCACGGTCCCGGAGATCCGTGATTGCTGGCAACATACTCACCTGAGGAGATAGGCATCCATTTCCGTACCTTCGACGACCGAGAGGATCTTGCATTGGACGATATCTAGCATGTCCGCCCATACATCCCTGGAGACCTTTCTGAGACCAAACTTGCCATCGATGCTAGTGGAGGCTCCTGGCACGTCTGCGGGGGATGGTTGGAACCAAATTTCGAGTAATTTCTCGGGCCCCTCAAAGGGTCCCGTTGCAGGTGGATCGACATCGCTTGCCATCTGGCTAATGAGTTTGGAGGAACTCAGTAGGGATGCTATCGAAGGTGGTGGTTGTGGACGAAGTACGAGGCCGTGCGGGGATGCATGTAAAGTTTTGAAGGAGGAAGAGTTACTTGGGCAAGTCCCAGGCGATGTGGCTGTGGCTGAAGCACTCGATGAAAAATATGAGAGTGGTCATGTGACCAAACCTGATCGATGGCGCGTCGGAAACTGCCGGGACCTTGCCGCGTCGTGACGCGTTGGCACAAGCGCACACTCGCGCGCATAGGCATCATTTTTTGTCATATACTCAGTCCTGCACCTCTCCCTCTTCTCGCCCACACTCACTGCAACGTTCCTGCTCATGGTCCACTACCTTCGTCGCCTTCCTGTAATTCGAGCGTTGATCCCTCGTGTGTCTCAACCCCTTCTTCCGCTGACTACTCGGCTTGCCGCAAGCCAAGTCACGCGAGGTATAGGCCTTCCGCAAGTCCGTCTCTTCCAACATTTCCCCGCACGCCTCACCTCCACTCCACCACACTCTCCCTCCTCTTCAGCTCCAGATGACCCGAATTCAAGTGGTCTACCTCCGAATGCGACCGTCTCTCAACGGCTGAAGCACCTCATCAAGACGTACGGGTGGTACGCGCTCGGTGTCTACATCATCTTCTCCGTTGCAGACTTCGGCGTCGCATTCGCCGTTATCAACATTGTCGGAGCAGAACAGGTCTCGCGCGTCGCTGCGTCCGTAAAAGACTACTTCGGCGGTTTCCTGCCCTCAAAACATCCAGAACCAGGCAGGGAGGAGACGGACAGTGTCATGGCGAACGCTAATACGGTCGGGCATGAGGGGCTGTACGCAATGATCGTGTTGGCGTACACGATTCACAAAACGTTGTTCCTACCCGTGCGAGTAGGACTCACCGCGGCACTGACACCCAGATTGGTGGGTTGGCTGAGGCAAAGAGGTTGGGCGGGAGGTGCAGGTGCCAAGCGCGCTGCGAGAGAGATGAGGGAGAAAATCAGGAGCGGGAGAGAGCGAGACTGAAGTGAGTTGTTCGGGCGACGTTATTTATTACAAGTGTGTTGACAGCATGCAAGCGCTTCACGAACGTAAGATATATTCTTTGCTGCGAGGCGTGGTGACCATTGCTGATGGTGATAAATTACAAACAGTTCCGACCTCCCTACTCATACAGTGATATAGACTACAAACGGCATCGGGAAAGTCCGGGTAATTCATGCGGACGCGTCAAGAGGGAGGGGCCTCGTTGTCTGGGGTGACACGTCCATTTGGTGAATTGTCGTTCGAGCAAAGAATGGCTAGTTGTGCTCACCAAGAAGGATGCCACCCTTGACTAACTCCTCGGGCTTCGGGCGTTGCTGGAGCGCATGCTCGAGTTTATCCTGGAAAGGAGGGTGAGGACTTAAGAAGTAACTCGACCTTGCAAGTAGTTGCTTACCTCGAGCTGAGATCGCTGGAGCTTCTCCTTAGCAGCTTGGAGAGAGGGTGCCACGTTGTCCTCTAATAATACATAACATCAAAACGGGTCCAGCGAAGAATTAGGAGAACATGCCCTTAAGGATGTTGCGATCTATCAGATCGTGTTTGTCGGGCCTTTGGTTCAAGTACCTCTCGAGCCTGTCGGCCGTCTGTGGATCGATGGAGGGTTTGCGCTGAGGACGGGGTGGCTGAGTGGATTCGTTCGTAGCTAAGGAAGCGCTCGATGAATCCAGTGGTCAATATCGCAGTCAAACAAGGTCGACGTACACATGACTGAGCTCGATGTGCTATTATCTGAGACGATACTGGTGGGTATGGAACGAACTGTAGCGCAAGTTGAAGGAACAGCTCAAGCAGGCGGTACACTTATGAGGAGAGCACACTGGGTCGAGGCGTCGAGTCAGGACCCCCGACAATTGGTGAATAGGCCTGATCTGGAGAGGGCAAAAATGTCCGTTGGGAAAAGGCCGTTTCGGGCCCAAAATGTCCGTGAAAAATTAGGCCTCACCACATTTTTTGCCTCCGCGGTCCACGTTTCTCTTCAGGTTTTAACCCTAAAAAGGTAATTTTGGGCGCTTCTGAGCCGGCGGCTATGCCGCCTCCTCCTCGGCCCTGCCCGCTCTCCCTCGCCGGCCTTCCACAAGCGTTTGTCCGGCCTCGAATCAGGCCGCTGCCTCCCCGATGTCCGCGAAATGGCTCAGGCTATCCGGCGGTCAACCCCCCTGATTTGTCCGTGAATACATCAGCAAAAGTCAACTTTTGGTTACCTCCATTTAGCTCCCTTATCTCCTTAATTAAGGAGGTCTCTGTTCTTATTTGGGCAATTAAAGCCAATAAGGGTGAATAATGGAGGAATAAGAGAAGGGATCTCCTTATTTTTCCTTAATCAACGGAATAACACCGGTAAGCAAAAGTTGACTTTTGCTGATGTACCAGGCATGAGGCTCTCGAAAGTTCAAAATTTGTCCGTAACTGGCTCAGGGACCTTCCCCAATTGTCGGGGGTCCTGTCGAGTCCTTGTTTCCTCTTTCTGACAAGTCTAGAGTACGCGTGACCGAACCCCTTCTACTCGACTCGACCTCGGGCGCACAGCACACCGGACCATGTCCTCTGCACTGGACGTTCAGACACCCAGCCAGAAGTCGTCGTCGACACCCTTGGTCTCCTGCCTCTGCTTGTCGCGCCTCTCCTGGACCCGCTCGCTCCGTGCGCGCCGCTCAGCCTTGAACTCCCCGACGAGGGCACGTGCTTCGCGGATGTGGTCCTTGACGCGTTGAACTTCCCCGGCGATGTCGTTGTCCATCTGTTCCAACACGTCGAGCAGGCGGATGATGTCCTTGGGTGGTATCGTGGGCGATGGCGTGGACGGCAGGGGCTTGTCGTAGCCGTAACGGTATCCGTATGCACACGCGTACTTTGGCCGTCTGGACAGCGGGGGGTATGAGGGACTGCGTAGCGTTGAAGACCCGCCAAGGAATGTGCCAGAAGCGAATGTGTCGGCCGAGACGCCAGAGAGAAGAGGTGACTGAGGGATATACAGAGGAATGTGTAGAACACCATGGCAAGAATGACGGGACGGAGACATGGTTAGCAATGATGACAATAGGCCAGCTAGTGTAATACCAAGTCTCCTGGACTGGAGAAGGGTCTGACTTGGATCGGACGGTACGAGCGAACCTTGCCAGTGGTGAGCACAAGTGCAGAAGACCGGCTAGCGGCTGACAATTTCAGAAGAATGCGAGCAACGTTGACGGCTTGGCGATATCTGGGCGCGCAGACAGAATATTCGTGTCCAAAGATATCGAAAAGTCTGGTACACTTAGAGGACTTTATGAGTTCATCGTGGTGAAAGCAGAGATTTCCGGAGGTTTTGAAGTGTTATCTTGACTTGGATGAAATAAATAATGTTTGGGATTTTGATAACCTACATCAGGAAAAGTCAAATCTGCTTAGCCTCCTTATCTGCCTTAATAAGGAGAAATAAGACAATCCTTCTTCTTATTCCTTCTTATTCTTCCTTATTTTCCTTATAAAGAGGAAAAAGAACAAATAAGGAGAAATAAGCAATAATAAGGTGGGAGATTGCCTTATTTTTCCTTAAATAAGGCAATAAGGAGGTTAAGCAGATTTGACTTTTCCTGATGTAATACTTAGTAACCCTGTAAGTGCGCCCCGTCGTTTATCGTCCACCGACAACATGTCTATAGCCAGGGCTACTGGTATCCTGCTCAATCATAAGCAGGCCAGTACCATCACTCTACTCCGGCCCAGATATGCATCGTCACACAGCCATGATCATCACCACGAGGAGCATCATGAGGATGCTACTGCCTACCCCAAAGAAGGTGCGCGTTGGTGCTCACAGAAAGTGGCATCGCCCATAATGTATCTTGTACTTTCATCCAGATTTCTCGTCTCCGGCATGGCGGTACTTCGTTCTGTGCGGTCTTGGTGTCGTAGGCTTCTACAAGTTCGCCCCCGAGCCCAGCGAAAACGTCTACATCACCCGCTTGATCGCGCACTACGCGACGCCGTCCGAGGTCTGGCACAGATTCAACTGGAAGCACTTACTACTCTCGGTGCAAGGGTCGGACGAGGCGCTGCTGATGGCAGATGCGAAACCACCTCCGGTGCATCGCTACAGGTATCCCCAGTGAGTCCATCACTCTAATTCTCAAGTTCCGACTGGCTCTTGTGATGCTTCTGCTCCACAAGCACGTCGCTAACTTAAGGGTGGTTTCTCAGGCGGTTCGAGCAGGCTTCGACACATCTTCAGCCTGTGGGGCAAGACGTTGACCTCAGCAATGTTGTAGTTAAGGGGGACAAGGAGTACAGTTAGAGAACGCGTCCCTTGCTATTTGTTCATCTGAGGTCAAACACCTCAATTTCAATGGCGATCATTAAGGGCCAGGGTATACCACGGTGCTGCAATACTCCAAAGCATGAATTGAAACAATGAAGGTCAAAAAGGGCCCAATTCTGATAGAAAGCTCCACACGGAGAGATATTCGGTGATCCAAGTACTACAGCACAGCCCTCCGAGGTTGTTTCATCTGGTGCACTTCCTGCACCGTAGGCAACACGAATTGATACTTCCAGACCCAAACGCGTCCGTTCTTCACCTCACCGTCCTTGAAGCCCATCTTCGCCCACTCTGCAGGATTGTGTTCCTCGACGAGCTGGCAGATGAGCGACTTCTTCGTTGCAAAGACCGGATCGGTCCCGAGGAATGGAGAGTGAGAAGGATACAGAGCTGTTGTAAGACTGAATGGAAGTGAGAGCAGCTCAGATTAACGAGTACATTGCCGGGGGATGGAGAAAAACACACTCGTCGTAGCCTGGGGCGTGCAGTGCGAAGTGGATATGGGCAGCGCGATGCGGATGGCGGCCTGATCAAAGACAAGTGGCTCAGCGACGACTATTCCGAGTCATGCACGCAAGACTCACCCATTAACCGGAGGAAATCTCCAGCAGGTCCATCATTAGGCTGAACCACATTTTTGTCAATCAGAATGCGGATACCGAGAAGAAGAGACGTCGCGAACTATCGGATACGCGGTAGGCAAAATTCCGCGGTAGCAGAAAGTACCGTCGGGTTCTGCTATGATTTTTCCGCGGTCATTGGGTTCCGTACGGTTAGGATACTGTACGTCATAGACACCGTCCCCATCAGCTTGCCACTGTAGCAACCCAGTATAAGTCACATATCACACGATGACGGGTTTACACTGACGACATCAACTTTCGCGCCTTTGATTCTTTGACCTATCGTGTTCTTAATGAAGCCCGAGAAGAACATAGCCTCGCCAGTGGTGCCGCTCTTCGCAAGGGATACGCCCGACAGCACTTCAGGAGCATCCTCAGTGTAGAAAGGACCCGCTTCACAGCTATCAGTGCAGCCCTGGATGGAAAGAATTAAAAAAGTGAGCAAAAATTGATATGAAAAAGCGTTCGCATGACACAAACGGGAGGCTTAGGGTGATTCAACTCATCCACGAGGGCGCTGATACCAAAGCAGTCACTAAGCAGTACAAACTCGTTCTTGAAGTCCGTGCTCTCTTTGCCAGCGCGGGTGAGGAACTTGACCACCTCGGTCCACTCGTCGTGATTGACCTGCTTTTCTCTGCAGAACGCATGAAGATGGGTGACCAGTCCATTGATCAACTCCAATGTCCTAGGATCCTTGCACAGCGTCTTGTGGAGCTCAACGACGCTGTGACATAGCGTTTGAACCGAACACTCGAGTGGAATGTCAACCCAGCACATACTGGTCGGTGATAGTGTAGTCCGTTTTTTCGCGAAATTCCTTCTCAAGAGGAAGGTCCTGTGGGATCTCGTCCTTCAGCTGCGCACGAATGGCCGTGCCAACCAAGAGAGGGTTCGTCATCTGCTGTCTAGACGCCATGGCGGCGTGCTATACGGAAACGCGTCAACGTCCTTGCAAGGCGGGATACGATAAACCCTCGGTCTAGTACTTCGCGTGTGTCTCTTTGTGCGTGTGTTTGGGGGTCGAAGAATGCTCACTAATGCCACTTGGAGCTTGTTGGCAGTATTTATAAATGTACCTGGACGCTTCGATTGACGAAGACATCTTGTGACCGACGGTATTTTTCAGCGCAGAACCAGTTGGTGTTCTTGTCCGTTCTAAAAAGGCTAGCGGTGTAATTCCGCAACAATCCGAACTCCGCGAACATAAATGTCCACAAAAGGACAGTCTGCAGAATAAAATATTACGTCAGCAGGTTGATATGTTTTGGGCGCCTGCAGCAAGTGTGCAACGCCTGCACCGCGCGTGTCGCGGATACACACTCCCTTTCCCACCCGCCAATCCTTCTTTCTCTATACCCAGCTCGACGGTCGTCGAGGTGACTGCGGTCGTGTGCTCCATGTCATCAAAAGCGACGCGTTGTCGCTTCTGGCTCGGCGGTTTATCGACCCTTCTCCTGCTTTTATTCGCCAATGTCGCGTCCGCCAGCTTCCCGCTCGTCGATTTCGATCGCATGGGCACCGTAGGTTTAACTGGAGCGTTTGCAGGTCTCGATGTTTTTGACAGCAATTCCACGACTTCGGTCACGTTCGATCCGTCGACTGCTACACTACTTTCGCGTTCCTCCGGTGGTTCTCTATCCTCGCTCGCCTCCACCAACTCTGGCGGTAGTATTGTCGCGGGGTGCGCCCTCGGTGACGTCTACTACTTTGGTGGTAGCTTCACCTCCATCGGTAACGCGACTGCCAGCAACATTGCATCCTACTCCCCATCTTCCGGAGCTTTCGCCGCCTTGGGTTCGAATGGACCTAACGGAGACGTGCGTGCTCTATACTGCGATTCGATACATAATGCAGTATGGGTAGGCGGGCAGTTCACCTCTCCCGCGTCTTCAGTCGCCGTTTGGAACGCCAAGTCCTCGTCATGGTCGCCTCCACCGTTTGGCGGCCTGTCCGGCGCGGCAGCTCAGGTGTCGTCTATCACCGCGAATTCCTCTCAGTCTAGTATCTTTTTGTCGGGTTCATTCATCGCCTCGTTTGGCTCCACCACTCTGAATGATACCAACAACCCCAACGTTCCGTATTCCCCCGGTGCATCCCCCTTTTCCTCTTCTCTCGTCCCAGTCGCGCTGCAGAATTCCGCTGTCAACGCGGCGCCGTCGTCCACTGACGCGGATTATGGCAATGTTGACACCATCCTGTGCCCTTCTGGTCCTGACGGGCCTGGGCACACATGGTTTGCACAGGATGGAAATGAGGCCGTCATTACCGTCCTCGCGTTTTCCGTCCTCGGCGTAAGGGGAATCCGGCTGGGAAACACATTCTTGCAGGGTCGAGGTACCACTGGTTTCAGGTATGCGGCTGTGCTATCGCTCTGAGAATAGGTTTTCAATTTTTAATAGCGTAACAACAATCCCGGACAACACGGTCAGAACTCTGACTTACGTCGATCCACAGTCCGGGGCGAACCAAACGTGCACGAATACCTGCCCGCTCTCGACCGACTCATCGATTCTGTATCAAGATTTCTTGTTCAGTGACAGTCTACAGATCACCGGCCTGCAGATCACACTCTCTGAATGGCAGGGCACTGGTCCCGGTCTTCATATTCTTCAGCTGCTCTCGTCGGGTGCGTTCGCGTACTCGATCGCTAGCGAGAACGGTGTCTCGTGTTTCGCGCCCGCTCCCTCCAATGTCACGTCGACTGGCACGTGGACAGAGAAGAACGCGACCACGGACATACCGGGCACGATCCAGACGGTATTGGTGTCGACGGTCGCTGTAGGCACCCCTGCCTCGCAAGCCCCCAGCTTCACGTGGATGCCGTATGTTTCGGGTTCGGGCCAGTATGATATCTACATGTCTGTTCCGGGGTGCACGGACTTCCAGGATTGTGCGCTGCGCACAAGTGTAGACGTCACTGTCTTTCCTGGAGCGGGACTGCAGCCGTGGATCACGACGGTGTCGCAGCAGAACACCAACGATGCATCGACGCTCATCTATAGCGGTCCTATCATTCCGTCTTCTCCGCAATTTGTCACCACGATCTCCATGACGTTGGCTCATGATCCAGCGGGAGAGGGCCAGAATGGGCAGTACGAACTCGTGGCCGACAGCGTGCAGTTGGTGTTGACGAGTGCCAATGTTACATCTAACGGCACTGCACACGGTACGAGCGGCACATCGGGGTCACAAACGGCATTTGGTTTCTTAGAATGGCCCTTGAGTTCCATGTCTTCCGTTAATGCCACCTCGGCGTTGCCGAACAGCACTGAAACGAGCCTAGACACGCTCGGTTTCGATCTCTACAGTGCGCTTGGCGGAGCTGCCGCACTCACGTCCTCTTCGTTGCCATCCATTTTGGCTGTCGTCCAGCATCCATCGGGTACGATCTTTGTGGGAGGAGAGTTCAACCTCACTTCGGGCTCTGCGTCGGGGTCGTCGAATATCGTCTCCTTCCAGAACGGTGCGCTGGTATCCTTGCCGAGCAACGGGCTGAATGGTCCAGTGACGTCACTCGCTCTCTACGGCAACCAGTTGTATGTTGGTGGTGCCTTTGACGATACTGCGTCGGCTTCCACACAGGGTAAGTTGAGCGGCGTTGCGATGTACAACGTGCAGCAAAACCAGTGGTCTGCACTTGAAGCTGGGCTTAACGGCGCTGTGAATAGCCTGGACGTGTCCAATGGTCAGGTGTTGATTGCCGGAAATTTCACGAACATCGTCAGTACGTCGGGCAGCTCGTCTGACCAGAGTGCTGCAGGGTTCGTTACGTGGGATGTTACTAGTGGTGCTTGGGTCAACAACGGAGGTTTCGTCAATGGGAAGATGACGTTCATTGGGAACGGTACCTCTTCTGGGAGCCAGTTTGTTGCTGGCAATATTGTCACCTCCTTCTCGTATGGTGCTACGGGCTTCGTACTATTGCAGAACGGTCCAAACGGCGTCCCAGAAGTCAACGCACTCACCGTGCAGCTGAACAGCGCTACCGTGCAGGGATCTTCAAGCAACTTGCAGCGTCGACATATGCACTCTCACGTGCACGGCTCATCCAGTACTTGGTTCCCCAAGATCAACTTTTCTCACGTGTTCAAGAGACAGTCTGCGACAAGCAATCTGTCTCCGCTACCTTCGCCCAATCCCGCACCTGCGCCTGCTGTTCTCGCTGGCGCGTTCTGGACCAACACTTCGTCGTCGAAGGAGGTGATCATCATTGGGGGTAATTTCACTTTCTCCACCTCTGGCTCGGTTTCTCAGAACGTCGCGATCTACGATAATGAGACAGGTTCCATCCATCCGTTGGAGGGGAACCAAATCAATGGCACTGTCCGCGCGCTCCTGGTTCAGGGGGATGAACTGTTCATTGGTGGAGAGATCACGTTGGCGGGCACGAATATCAATGGTTTCGCTATGTATAACCTTGCCACGCAGCAGTGGGATGTCTCCGGGTTGCAGCCTTTGCAGGCCAGCTCGGGTTCGTCCGTCGTTGTCCGTTCGATCACTGCGTCGCCTTCTTCGTCTGGTACTGTCATTGTTGCCGGTTCGTTTGCGCAAGCGGGGTCTATGCCTTGTCGGTCTGTTTGCTCACTGGAGTACAATTCGAGGAAATGGACCGCTCTTGGCGATGGCATACAGGGGGATATCTCTTCGATCGCATATGCAGGGGTGCGTTTGCAATATTGTCTGTCTGGACTTACATTGAAACGCTGTTGCAGGATACGTTGGTCGCCGCTGGAAGTATCGCTCTAGCCAACGGCACTCAGGCAAATGTAGCCTCGTTTATCTTCTCGAACTCGTCTTGGGCATCCGTCGGGGATGGCGCTGAATTGCCTGGACCAGTGACAGCCGTGGCAGTCAATGATGGAAACTTTAACAGCGTCTTCACTGCTGGCAGGTATGATTGTGTTGCGCCACTCTTGGGGAACTGTCGCTCACCGCCTTGCTCAGAACTTCAGATGGCACCGCATCCTTCCTATATTTCTGGGATGGCCAATCGTGGAGTCCGGTCGGTGAGTGCATGTACCCGAAGTACTAGCGTAAGCGATACCGATCCTTGTCTTCGTAGGGAACACCTTGCAAGCAGCCACAGATGTCGCCCAACTGACGATGGTCCCATTGCAAAACACACACAACGCCAATTCTGTGATCGAATCCGATCGAATGCTACTTGTGTCAGGCTCTTTATCCGACTCGTCCTTCGGAAACGCATCGGCAGCTCTGTTCGATGGCCAAACCTTTGTACCGTATATTGTAACAGCATCATCTTCAGGGACGCCTGGTGCGATCTCCTCTCTTATTTACTCCTTATCGACTTTCAGCTTCACTCAGCATCGTAAGCGACCTTATAATATTTTGTCCCCATTCAATGAACTTATTTTCTGTCAGATTTCCTTGCCACTGGAGTGGTTATCCTCATCTCGATCGCCATCGCCGCTGGGATTGTGTTCTTGTTGGTGTTGATTGGCATCCTTTGGACACTCTTCTCTCGACGAGGCGACAAATTGAGCAAGTTCGACACTGCAGACATCGACCAGGACGATGACTCGACACACCGTCCTTCTTCTTTACTTGCGCATATCAACGCTGCGACCAGGACGACGATTCTGGGTGCTACAAGTCCCTTCGGCCCCATGAATACAGAGAAGGAAGGAGAGGATGCAGGTGGTGCGGCTACATCCTCTGATCACGATCCCTTCGAGCCGGATGCCAGCAACTATGTCCGCGCCGAAACGCCTTCTGATGCGATTATTGGAATGGGCGGGGAAGAGACGAGTCGATCGGCTCACGCCCGATACTCTTTTGACGGCGAGGGTGAAGGAGAACTTCCTCTCACTGCTGGGCAAGAGTTGGAGATCTTGGATGATGGCGATGCGGCGTAAGTTTCTATCTACCTTAGTTCTATCCTTTGACTGTAACTGAGTCTTGGTTTGTTCACAGGTGGTGGTACGCACGGGACGTGCGTTCAGGGCGTGAAGGTGTTGTACCCGCAGCGTATGTGTATTGAGTGAACTTTCCTCTTGATCTCGGTTTGCATGTGAAGACTATCAGACTGCTCTCGTCGCATTTGTCATTATCTCTATATACCCCTCGTCAGTAGATTGGCTTCTTGACTTCTGGATTCTTTCTTACGAAGGATACTTTAATTGTCCCTCATGTACCACGTCCCTTCACAGTTCAGAACGTTGTCATACATTACGCATAACGTCCCACGATGCACACTCTACGGATGTTCGAGACATAATTGTTCACTGTGATGCAGGCATTAGTACGAACACGGTTTCTAGAGTTTCACAGCCTGACCTGGAGTAACGGATCACGGAAATGCTTCTGGTGGTTGTTAATGAAGCCAATTTTGGTCTTGAACGCCTCTCTCCGGGCCTGGTCTCTGAATTCTCGGACATGACGCCCAGCTTCCCTTGCCTCACCGCGATTCCGTGCCTTCACGACATCGGTACCTGCGCCAAATGCACCAAAACCACCCTTGCGCGGTACGAGAGCGGAATTTTTGTCCGCAAGGAGACGGCGCACCAGCGCAGCGCCAGAATTCGGGTCCTCAGGTTTACCTCCGCGGTAAGCCCGGGGGAATGACTGCGCGTAGTATCGACGCATACTGCGGTGCCCTATCCGTGCACCTGATGGGAGAACCAGTTCGAAGTGCGAATCGCCATACGTGATCTGGTTGTCGGGGACCTCATCCGAATCGTCGTCAGACCCGTCACTCACGCCTTCCTCCACGACCTCGTCAACTTCTCCATCCGCGTCTTCGTCGCTCTCGTCCACGTCCTCCCATTCGTTCTCTGTCCCATCTGCGCTCTTCTTCTTAGTCTTCTGGGTAGCATCGGGATATGAGCTGGTGAAGTCGTAGAAATCGGATACCTCTAGTCGGTCTTCCCCAGAGTCATACGCAATTTTACAGTGACCCTTGTCGACCATATGCTTGCGGACTGCGTCCAGCGTACGGAACTCGCGCCCGCGCCCATTGCAAAATATGCACACGTTCCCGACAGCAATCTTCTCACCGAGGTACGTGATGAGACCCAGGATGTCGACGAGATATTCCGCGTCGGGGATGAAGAACGAGTGCGCAATGGACATATGCGTAAGGTTCGCGTCGAGCGACATAGAGGATTCGGAACAGAAAAGGCACTGTGTAGGCCCGAGGCGTGCTCGCGCCGCGGCGATCTTTTGATCGATCGTCTGGTTAATCTGCTCCTCGGTAGCCTCCTCTTCAACTGAGAGGCCTATGCTTCGCGGAGCAGCCGACTCAGTCTTAGACGATGCTGCCTGTGCGTCGGCTTCTGGTACTGGCGCGGGTGCAACAACCAGGGTCTCCTCGTGCACGGGCTCAGATTTAGGTGGGGGTGAAGATATCGCCTTTAGCTCGTTCTCCTTGTGCTTCCTAGAACTCAAATGAGACTTGTATGCGTTCTCGGTCGTGTACGACTTCCTGATGAATAGTAGATTAACGGGAAATCTTCAAAGGAAAACGGTCGAGCACTCACCCACAGACCTCACAAGTCGATCCTTTCGGGGATACCATTACTGCCGTCTCTGCCCTCCTCTCGAGGACTTTCTGGTTGAAGATGGCAGAGGAGACAGGTGGCAGGCCCGCCACACGCCGCTTCATGTTGTAGCGATGGTGATCAGACCTGTAGTGTTCCCCTAACGTTCTACCTTCAGAAAAGAAGAATGGGCGTCCTAAAGGTCACTTACTCTGCTCCTCAGCGGAATGGAAAGCAATCGTGCATGAAAGACAAGTAAACAGAGTCGTATTGGCTTCTAGCTCGGTAGACGACATAGCGAAATTCCGATATACGTTGGAAGGAGGATAGGAACTGAGAGTGGGAGTCACGGCACCGACAGCCTGAGCAACCTGGAGGAATCTGACGTAATCAGAGCGATCGGCCAGCGACTCAAGCGCTCTTGATCAGTTTAGATCTCTTAGATGAAGGAACTCAGAATTATTTAATTCCGCGGCAAAGCGACAAGAAATATATTAGGGAGAGGGGAAGCATATTATATGTGAAAAATGAGTCAATTAAGGAGGAGTTATTATGACATGTTCTGCAAGCAGCGCACAAAACATGCAGGACTCACTCGAGATGTTCCACAAGTGAACATTGAGCTGGAACCGACCATATCTGACAGCTCCTCCAACGGATGATATATACTAGCTATACCTCATTCCCCAGGCGCAACAGGAGATTACTTGCGGGAATTTACTTCACACTTGAATTGTGAAGTAAGAGACCTTTAAAATATCCCATGGTCCCAAGGAACAGCTTCGGCCACTACTTACGGTCATGGTCAATGGTCACATATGCAGGTGCATGAATGCAGAATCATCTCGTTTGAAGGCTTGAGGAAGATGACGCACCAACCGCATAGATGTGGCCGTCCAATGACAGGAATTTATGGTTCCCTTGTTTCATGATAGCAGAGGACGAATCTCGTGTTAGCAATATACCAGCAGAGTCGTGCCGGATATTGTTGCACCACAGTAGCCGTCTCCCCGCCGGACGGCTGAGCCCCGACCGTAGTTCATTCTCACTTGAGCATGCGCGTTTGCGTCACGAGCGTGTGCTACATACCAGAAAGGATACCAGATTCAAAAAGGTGTAGCTCCCGGCTGCGGATGCTACCGCTGCAGATCTGAGTAGGCTCAGAGCCAAGGCGTGGAGGACATTTAGACCCGTTAGGACCCGCCTCGAATTGCATGGAAGGGACGCCTACGGCCGTTCGATATCTAGTCCAGGCACGAGCTATAAATGTTCGAAACGAAGGACCCGGGCATACGCCATGCATGCAACGCCATATCATCTGCCTCCATTCCGGCGTTCCTGAATGGGACCAAGGCCGGTCCTCCACCGACCCACCTATCATCGTATCAGAAATCATTAATCACGCACAGGCGGGAAACTAACTTAGTTAGCATCGCATCACAAGGATTGCGACAGATCATGCTTGCGCGAAGAACTTCTAGCATCGAACCCTCTTTGCTGGCCACCCACCGGAGCACTGAATTGCGTGCTGAGGATGCAGATATTTTCGAAGTAAGCCATGCCATGTCTGATAGCGACGCCTATAGTTACGGCAGCTCGTTGTAAAAGACCGTGTGTCCATGAGCGAAGAAATCACGACCATCTGATCATTAAGTGTGAATATTCCCGAGGTCTCGAGCTAGTCGACTGAATTGCGAACTACGAGGAACAAAGAAACGGCCAAATCGGGAAGAGATCCCCACTTCGACCCTGGGTCCGTAAAAGGAAAGTCTTGTGATGGCGGTTCCCACAAAGTCTAATTTTCGCGCGGACGAAGATGGCTGCCCTTGTACTGCTCCGTTCCAAGATGGACACACAATCTAATGGCCTGTTTTAGACGTTACCTTCGCTTCGTTCGTCGAGTTGGTGACGACGGGGAAAACTCCGGAAATGAATTGCACACCTTCCGAAGATCGTGGATGGAAAGTACATATGCTCGCACGAGTGTCGATACGTCCCTCGTCCGCTGGTCCTTGAAGAGCATCCCGTCCACAACTCAGGACAGACTCTCCTTATAACTTTGTACTCTACCCTTTTCTGTATCGATTTATTTGGACAATATGGTCGCTGCATTCGTCCTCACTCGTACCTTTGTACTCTCTGCCTTGTTCGTCGGTGGTGAGCACCATGTCCTTGCGTGCCTGAATATGCATTCACGTCGACTGACAATACTCTCTGTCTCCACAGCATTCCCGCTTACTTGGGCAGCCCCCCTCGGTACATACCAGAGTGCCAGAAACGCCGTCGGTGTCCGTGATCTCGACACACGATCCGGATGCTGGATGGCTGGAGGCTTCGACGCATGCCTCAGAGGGGACTCCGTATGTCCCACTATTTTTCAGTACTGAAATTGCCGTTGGCTCACTATTGTCCCAGGAGGAGCCGTCAGCACCCGAGGTAGATGCGTTGACAGTGGAACCGGTCAACCTCTCCAAGCGAACTGAAGACGCGGTATGTCAAGCGCCACTTATCACCTAGTGCCCTTGCTGATGGCTGTTACAGGACGAAGAGGCCAAGACCGAGCCGCAGACAGTCTCCGTTCGCGAACTAGCCGAGCTGGAAGAGAGGTCCGGATGCTGGATGCCCGGAGAATACGATGCATGCATCAGAGAAGACGCAGTAAGTGCTTCAGGACCAGTAAAAGACCCACGGACTAATTATTCATACAGGAGGAACCCGAGTCTCAGTCCGCGACTCCTGAGGTCACCGCCGTACCTGCCGAGGTCGAACCACGGAGCGGCTGCTGGATGCCAGGCGATGACACTGCCTGCACTGCAGAAGAACGCGACGATACTGCCGTATCTGAGCGTGAGGCCCGCGAGGCTCTCGCACCTCCAGCAGATCCCGACCTCGAAGCCAGGAGTGACTGCGTCATCACCGGCGAATGCTTGTAAAGTCGCCTGCCAGAAGAATTTGGGTATGTCTTGTTTTCCTCCTCGTTGCTGTGCCATGCGCCTGACAAGGAAATTAGATGCAGATAAAATTCAACAACATGCAACACGCATGGCCTTCTTTGCTCCCCACGCCATCCCACAGCATCTCCTCGTTCCTTTCTATAAGGATACCCTTCCCAACAAGTGGTTTCCAGGACTCCAGGTCTGTTGTTTACATTATCCCATAGCATCTCCTCGTTCCTTTCTATAAGGATACCCTTCCCAACATGTGGTTTCCAGGACTCTAGGTCTGTTGTTTACATTATCGCTGCCACGCGCCAGCTGGCGGCGTCCGATCGTTACTCCCGCTTTTACCGTGTACTGGTTACTGCCCTGCTCGTCGTATATTGGTTCTGTCGTGCTCATCATTATTGCTATTCTACTCGTGCTTTCCCACCCATTTCTTCGATTTCCTGTCCGTTGATATCCACTGTTGTATTTTTAGTGCTTCGCTTTGTTAATCCGTGCTCATCCCGGACCCACTGCGCGTGTCCATGAGGAAGTAAGCGCATGATTAAGAAGCGATCGTCAGAACTACCGGAGGGGCACAAAGGTGTGAAAGGAAGCGCAGAATCATCATGATGAAGCACCGTAGCACAGCCCCGATGCCGAGGGCCCAAACATGTTCATGGGCCGAAGCCGACCTGGGCGAAATATCTCGAAATCCCAAAGACAAATGTACAGAGGAAATGTGCAGATGACCCCAAGCAAGGCCAACTTGGTTCTTGTGTCGCTGGAATCACGGTTAGAGGGCCAATTTTCAGTCGGAACGACAGCGAAGAGCACAAAGGTGTGAAAGGAACCGCAGAATGATGAAGCACCGTAGCACAGCCCGATACCGAGGACCGCGAACTGGACGAAATTTCTTGAAATCCCAAAAACAAATGTACAGAGGAAATGTGCAGATGACCCCAAGCAAGGCCAACTTGGTTCTTGTCGCGCTGGAATCACGGTTAGAGGGCCAATTTTCAGTCGGAATGACAGCGAAGAACACAAAGGTGCGAAAGGAACCACATAGTTATGAAGGATCGTAGCAGAGCCCGATGCCGAGGGCCCAAACATGTTCATGGGCCGAAGCCGACCTGGACGAAATATCTCGACATCCCAAAAACAAATGTGCAGAGAAAACGTGCAGATGACCCAAAGCTGTGCAAAACCAACCTGGTTCTTGTCGTGCTGAAATCACAGATAGAGGGCCAATGTTCCGCCGTCAGAACGACAGTGAAGAGCACAAAGGTGTGAAAGGAACCGCAGAGTTGTGAAACACCCGGTGCCGAGGGCCGCGAACAGGACGAAATTTCTCGAATATCCAAAAAGACTGTACAGAGAAAAGGGTGCACATGACTGTGCAAGGTCAACTTGGTTCCTGTCGCGCTGAAATCACGGTTAGGGGTCCAAGTGTCCTCCGTCAGAACGACAGTGAAGAGCACAAGGCGCGAAAGGAACCGCAGAATCCCAAACACGTCCATGGGCCGAAATCGACCTCCGTCTTTCTGGTCTGCCCAACGTTTCATGAGATCCAACAACACGGTGGAGGGCAGGTGCAGAAGACCCAGATGACCGGATCATTTAGTTGGGCGCCGACTTCAGGCTGCATTTCCACTTCCTTGTCCACAATCTTCTTCTAGCTGAAAAGAGATAACGATGAGAGGATATGGTAGAACAGATCAGGGGGCACGCGACGTCACGCTCCATGACCAGGTTTCCAAAAAATATCGACGCCCAAGGGGACAACAGTAATTCGACCTGAGCATATTAAGAGACACGGATACAGTATCACAAGATGACGGACAACATCTCTGCGGAAACAAGAAGGGCTAATGTCTACGCCTTAGCGCCCTGCAGTGTGGGAGTCAGTGAATCGGCCAATGGCGAGCTGCAGTCACGCACGACAACGGGTATTCCAAATCGCTCAGCCCTCTTCTTCCGCCTCTCGAGTTCCTCCGCATCGACAGTCTCTGTGGCAGGCGCACTACGCTTCCTGCCGTTCGTCTGGGCGCCTTTGGTCGCACCTGTCTTTGGTGTCGCCCTAGTAGCGGTAGAGGTGGCGGCAGGGGCAGGCTCCACAGGCCCAAACCGTGCAGTCCGTTGGCTCAATTTCTCTGGGTCCTACACACAACATCGGCAATTTTAGAGGTTGTGAATCAGATAGAAAGAGGAGGAGTTGCGCACATCAGGAAGGGGCTGCTCCACCTTAGCGTTAGCTTTGCCAGCACCTCTCCCCCTCGTGTTCCCCTTCGGAGAGACAGGCTTAGCGTCAAGCTGTACGACCGGGATACCAAATCGCTCCGCTCGTGCTTTGCGTTTTGCCGCCTCCTCATCTTCGGGCGACGTTGCTGCCGCCGGCTCTGGCTGGGGCGTGTCGGCGGAGGCGGCGGGGATCTCGGTCTGCAGGGTGTCAGGATCAAAAAAAAGTTGTAAGAGAAGGGTCGTACAGTTTTGGACGGGGGCGTGGGCGCTGTGGAAAGAGTGACGCTGGCATCAGACTGGACACCTGCGTGCGAAGGAGGCTCGTTCGCTTGTTCGGCCGGGAGGACGTTGTCGACCACTCTGTGAGAGAGGTTAATATGGCCTAAAAGACGCGTGAAGGTACGTACTCTAGGAGATTCAACTAGCGAGAGAAGAATCAGTATAGAAGAATTGACGCGTGCGCGTGGGACGCACCTGTTCGTCGCTCTGCGGCGACGCGTCCGTTTTCTTGTGCACAGGCGCGGCCTTGGGTGGCGAGGGGCTCTTTTTTGCGGAATAATTTGCATTGTACACATCGATGGCGGCTTCTGAGGCAATAATTTTGTTGATGAGGTCCTGCTTGTTGGCTTTGCCCTGGATGGAGAGGTTGGCTTTTGCGATGATGTCTTTGAGGTCGACGACCTTGAGAGCTTTCCTGCGGTGGAGTGAGGAACACATCACTAAGATATGAGTGGAACGTACAACTTAGACTCCATGGTGGGTGATGGTGGTAGACAAGAACGCAGGAGTAGCCACAGTTGCAGCCACCGGGGAAGCGGGTCACGTGCTCCCGACCAATGGGGAGGGAGAGGCGGCGTTGAGTTGGTCGTGCCGCAAGCCAATAGCAACGCTCGTCGCCCACCGAATTGCGTCTCATCCCAGGCCAATCAATGGACCCCGTCGATCACCTCTTCCACCCCGGCCCAGCTTATCCGTCCTACCGTCAGTCTTTTCCGCAGAAAACAAACATATCCCCGCACGCTGACCCCCGCCCAGCCCACCAGCCCGTCTACAACTTCTACCCCCACCGTCCCTCGCCCCCGCACTCTCCAGCGCCAGTCCCCCTCTTCCACCAGCAGCCACCCCAGGACTCCCACCAGCGCGACCCAGACCAGCCCGTCGACCAGATACACGACGACCCCCCCATCGACGAGGAGCCCCTCTATGTCAACGCGAAGCAGTATTATCGCATCCTCAAACGGCGCGTCGCCCGCGCCCGCATCGAGGAGTTGCACAGGCTCTCCAAGCAGCGCAAGGTACCCCTCTTCCTCTCCTCATTATTTTTCGCGCCCTCAACTCATCTACGCCAGCCGTACCTCCACGAGTCGCGCCATAAGCATGCCATGCGCCGTCCCCGCGGTCCCGGCGGTCGCTTCCTCACCGCAGAGGAGATAGCCGCACAAAAGAACCTGCAAGCCGATGCGGGGCCTTCCAACTCCACATCCCCGGACGCCGACGATGAGGACGCCATCGACGTCGACCGCGACATTGACAGGGACGTCGACATGTCCGTCGACAGCCCCATCGAGCCCCCTAAACCACCGGTCTTTGATCAGGATCGTCGCGAGCCGCTCAAGCCCCCTTCCTTCCAGCATATCCAGCCTCAGCAGCCGGTGGACGAGAAGGACCGCCCACGCGCAGGTCCCATCTCCCAGCCGTCAATCCAGCCGTCGATACAACCGCGTCCGCAACCCTCGCAAGTGCTTCGCCAGCTACCCCAAACCCAGCCTCCAACGCAGGCGCAGGCGCAAGTGCAGGCGCAGGCGCAAGTACAGGCGCAGGTGCAGATGCGGATGCACCAACAGCTGCAAGCCCAGCAACAGCCACAGGCTCAGCGCCAGTTGCAGCCGCCGCAAATGGCTCGCCAACATTCGCAGGCGCACCTCCAAATGCAGCCTCAGACGCAGACGCAGGCGCAGCAGGTTCCGGCGCATCCTCCACCCCCACAAATGATGCGCCGACCATCTCAGACTCACATCCAGACGCAGCAGCAGCAACAGGTTTCACAGGCACAGCTTCGCTCACCGCAGGGGCAAGTGCGGTCGCCGCTGCAGTCACAACAGCAGCAGACGTACGAGCACCAGCGCCAACATCAGCACCAGCATCCGCATCAGTTGGCGATGTCGCACGGCGCGAGCCCGATCGGGCTACTTAACGTCAACGTCGGATACCAACACTCGGCGCCGGTTTCACCTCTACCCCAGGATCACCAGATGCGCGATCACTCCCGCCAGCTCGGGTCACAGCACACGCAGGTTTCGCCGGTGCAGCAGCAGATGCAGGACTCGTCCTCGCAGACATCGTCCCCGCAGATTTCGCTGCGTGCGCCGTATGCGGCAATGCAGATGCACCATGTCCCACACCCGCACGCGCATGCACGCCACCACCATTCACTGATCGGTCGGGGGGAGCAGCTCTACCACGACGTGGTGCCCGGCAGCGAGTACGGCGGCGGCACATCAGGGAGGCGATAGGACGATATCAAACACATTTAAATTCTGATATATTCGACTCGTCGTCGATGCGGGGACCAGCACTAGACAAGGCTCGGACGAGACACTGGAGACGGATGCGAGCGAGAATGTCGAGGCCGCGATACAGAAGAGGAATGCAGGGCGGAGAGAAAAGAAGTAGAACGCGGGCGCAGGCGCGAGCGCGATCGCAAGGTCAAGACGAGCAGAGTCTGTGCACGCCCCTCCGGCGCCGAAAGTGAACAAATGACACAAATGGATGAGGAACGCTACCTCGAGCAAGGAAGAGATGGAGCAAAGGCGCGCGCGTGCGAGAACGACTGAAGACGATGGTGTACGCCCTGATGGCTCCATACGGACGTGCTGTAGAACGAGCGGCTGGACGGTTTTTGTCCGCTCGGTTGGGCGCGTTCTCACAATGCCAGGCTCGACATTCGGTTCCCCGCACACGGAATTGCACGAGGACATACGACGCGGAGCGAGCTCTGAAGCATGTGAGAGAAGACGAGCTCGCGAACAGTTTGTCGGTCATGCACACGCGGCCCTCGTCCAGTAGAAATGGACTGAACGACCGAGGACGATGGGTCATGACCTGGCGCCCTTCCTCGTCGTGCCCTGGCGTCTCAACGCCGAGTGTTTCGCACTACAGGTTGTGCAGGCATTGAAGTGACATTCCCGCGGAGAATTCTCTGACGCACAATGCCTTCGTCTTGCGTGAACACTTCCAGCGTGTCGTCTTGCTCCGCCCATGCAGTCCTCCCTGCTGCAGGGCTCGCAGCCGCGCTCGCATTGCAGCATCGGAACGCCGCCCAGGTACGCCGTGTTATTCTTTCCATCTTGCACTCGGCGGATGAGAGAGGGCGACGCCGCCAGGCGAGCAGATCACAGTCCGCGAGCTCGCAGGGATTCGTTCCCACTGTAGCGTCTGCGCTCGATGCCCAAGCACACTCGGTGCCGCTGCGTCTCTGCATGACGCGGGCGGTACAGTAGAGTAAACTATGTAGGAGCAAAATATATTTCTTTGTTTCGAACTCGCGGGTTCATCTCACGTCGATCTTGTCATACTGAGGGCTCGTCCGATGCACTTCGTCTCGTCCAGCTTGTGATGGCATGAAATCGAGTCGAGCTGTGTCGCCCGAATTCAAGGTAAGCAAAGAAGCAACAAGCGGCCTGCACGCAGGCTTACCTGTGTCGCGAGTACCAGAACTCAGAAGGCATCCGTGCTGATGTGCAGGACAGTCAGTGGGGCACAGATCGGACTCACCAGTGCGGGGAAGACGCACTCGATCGGCTATCTCGTCGATCGAATCGTAAGCTCGCCGCAATGCATTCTCAAGTGCTTCGCAGCGTCGTGCTAGCACGCAATGAGAGCACGGTTGCACTCAAGTATGTACAGGGACCATAGACAACAAATATATTTTGTTTCCTGTGCAACACAGACAAGTCAGCAGCCCTTCAAGACTTTTGGACAATGTGGGGTGCTCACCAAGATTGCCTATAGACTGTGTCAGGTTGTGCCACAGATCCAGAGAAACTCAGATGGTGTCAGTCTTCCGCCGAGCGGAGATGCAACCCGAAGAAAATAAATCTATTTCATCCTGCATATGGACATGTTAGAATCACCCGAACAAATGCAAGGGACGAGACAACTCACAAATTGCATATATTTACAACGTCGGACGACTCATCGGTGCTGGCTGTCAATCACAATCCCCCGATCGTCTAGTATGTAAGACAGACGGTGCGAGGTGCACGCAAGCGGTGGAACACTTCTCCGCCTCCTCGCGTTCTCGGTCCTTGGAAATCTGAAGCATCTGAGTGCTGTCAGTGGACAGATGGACTCGGGAAAAATACCCTGAGAGCGACAGCGAACGATGAACAAGCCTCTCGGGTAGAGACCAGGCTCGAATGCCATAGAGTGGCGATCAGAGGCAGTTTATCATTCATCAGCAGAGAGCAAAGGAGGGGAGACTAACGTACTCCTCAGTGCGGCATGTGCATTTGCAGCATCGGGGCGAAGCATGGCGGCCAGGAGATGATGAGCGCGACAGACGTTGTCGAGAATCAGTTGGCTGGGTGTGAGGAAGTAGGGAGAAAGGGGAGGATCGCTGGATGATGTCGAACATAGAGGAAATTCCAGTATTTAAGTCGCAGCCAGTGGTCCGTGCGCACGTATCCCCGAGTTTCCATGTCGTCTGAGTGAAAAAAATCGTCGGATCAAGTCACCTGGATACACGACGTGCGTGAGTAACCGGCCCTGATCGCATGACTCACCCGCTTCACCTCAAATTCCACCGACTCGCCGCCAACCCTGTCCAGCCCCTTCGCAACAGTCCCCGAATCTTCTGAACGTATGCTTCAAATAAATTTGCTGCACTTGTTGCCATAGCCGAGAGCCCCGTGATGTCGTAACAGTTCCGCGCCCGCGTGCAGCTTGAGCGGCGAAGTTTGCCGACCTGGTTTCAAATTGAATTCTTGCTCACCGCTCAATCTCGCATACCGGCTGGTTATACCGCCAATTTCTTCAATTTGCAGTGCCCTCTGAGCATGCAGAGGTCGACAATGAGTGTGTGGACGGACGAGGACCAGGGAGAGCTCACCAGGGTGAAGAAAGCATAAGAGATGTTCGAACTCACTCCAAACCCAAGGCAGAAGCGCCCCAACGAAGGCTCATAGCCTCGTGTCCGTCCTCTAATGTTTACCGGGTCCAGGCTGGACATCTTCAGAGATCTGCCGCGGACGCCGTTGATGCAATCCCGCTGTATCCAAGATTCCGGGTGGCCGATCTTGAGTTCCTTGCAATCTACGCGAATGAGTGCGAACGGAACAGTTCCAGGACAACAATCCATCCACTCTTTGCTCATTTGTTTGTGCATGAATTACTGCCCGCATTCTCCATGTACATATTAGATAGATAGGTAGATAGTTTCTCAACTTACCAGAGCACGCAGCATCTGGGTATTGGTAGACTGGCGGTACTACAGGCAAGGGAAGTGTCAGTGATTTTGGAATGTTAGCCTCTGCAACTTACACCGAGTGTCGATGTCCGACCCGGAAGAGTCTTCTGATGACTGAAGCATTTGCAATGCATGGCATGCATGCCCGTCCGGTGATCAAATGCCGTCGTCAGCACATAACCATCTAGCTTCCGAGCGGAGCCGAAGTGCTCCATTCATCTCACTGCAAGAGGAGTGTGCTCGGGCCGCAACTGTGAATGTAGACACAGATCCCGCACCTCTCACCTG